GCCCCCCCCCCCCCCCCCCCGGCACGGATGGCCAGGCAGAGATGGAAGAGCTGACACAAGTCGCATAGTCGTGCTGCCCCACTGATTTCGGATACTGCGATGCCGGCTCATACTGCGCCCCGGTGGGTGGTTATTGTTGTGTTGATGTAAGCCCCTTCCCGGTCGCGATGCGCGCAGGCGCCACAGCAACAGCTAACCTGGTTACCAGGGCGAGAACTTGGCAACGTGTGCAAAGAACGCCGGCTTCTCCCTGCCACCCTCCCTTGTTTCGGGGTCAGACAGCGCGACGCTCGAAGCACCGGGCGCAGGCTATCCCACAAAGCCTACAGGGGTGGCCGGCACGGCTTCGCCTGGGGCTTCCTCGGCGACGGGGGTGACACATAGTGGGACGAACTCGACCTCGAACACAAGCGCGTCGGGAAACCCCGTGGTGCAGGTCTCGGTGGCGATAAGAGGACAGTGGACGTTGACGTGGACCACCCTGGCGATGGCTGTGGTCGGAGTGTTTATGGCCTCGTGCTGAAGAGCTGTCTTTTTCTGGTTTGATGCCCCAGTGAGCTGCGGGCGGTTTGGAGTTCGGTTTGGTTGCGACTGGTCCCTGTGCCGGCAACGGAAGGAGGCGGATTTTGCATTCGATTACCCCACTAGGGCTGTGTTTACTCTGGTACTGTCCGAGGTGATACGCAGAGCAGCGGAGTGGTGGCCATTATGGTGGCAGATACCCCCTTATTACGGTTAGAAGAATAGTTGGCCCTCTTGCCAGCTTTCTCCAGTAGAGTCCCCCTGAACTAGTGACAAGCTCGCGCCTTGATCTGCTCAGTATAACGGGCAGCCGTCCTCGGCTCGTCTGAAGGCACCGGAAAAGAACTCCTGCATGGCGGAGTAGTGGAAAAGGATGCCGCCAAGCACGGCAATGTGCCAGAGGTTGTGGCTCCCACCAAAATAGTCGAACATGCCTGGGCACCATCTCTCCGGCACCTTGCTGGCATAGATGAAGGCCCCGAAAAGGTAGACGAAAAGGGACTTGGCAATCGGCGAGTAGAACTCCCATACGAACTCGGTCCCGCGGGTCATGGAAATCTGCAAGATCGGGAGGAATCCCGTCGCCCCCAAGCCGACGTAGAATGCAACCCTCGCCCAGGCCATGTCCTGTCCATTAAACCGGGGATGCCAGGGAAGGATGACACCCCCAAGGCCGAGGATCGCAGTTGCACTGATGTAGACCCACCGACTGACGGGCTCGCAGTAGAAGGCCGTATATTCGGTCGTCATGATCGATGCCGCTATTAGCAACGATATGCCCGTGTAATCGACACAGGCAAAGGTGGAGATTAACTTGAGGTCGGCAACGGCGTTCATCGTGTGCCAGATGGTGCTGCAGACCAGGCACTGACAAGCGGCGAAGAAGAAGACGGCGGCGATGAAGACGTCGGTTTTGGTGCTCAGGGAGAAGTTGAGGCTCGTCGGGTAGAAATAGAACGCGATGGCGAGGACGAGAACTAGGCCGATCGCGTGGGACCAGATGTTGACAAGCTCGTTGGAGATTCCAAAGGCGGACTGGACACAGCCCAGCTTCGACTCGGAGAAGCGATAGCCCCTGAGAATGTGCGGGTTGACGCGCCACGGCATCGGCAAGTCGTCATAGCATATGAGGCCGTGTTCCCTAGCATGGGCTATCGCGCGCTGGACGTGGTCCTCGAGCGACTCCGCGGCGCGCATGGCTCGCCCAATGCCCTCGTCAACCACCTCGCGCGCCCGTTCGATGCCCTCGTCGACAACACGACGGCTCTCATCCATCAGGATCCCTGCCGCATCCGCCGCATTGGCCAGGCCCCTGTCCCGCAGCTTGTGTGCATGGTTCTCGAAATCGTTAAGCATACCATCTAGCAATTCGATGCCCACCTTCGCCTTGTCGTTCAGCGACCCCGCAGCCGCAAGGGCGCCCTGATATCTCGCCTCCAGAGTTTCCACCATCACGTGCAGTCTCCGGCGCCCGGCCCCGATCATTTCTTCCGAGACTTGCGAGCATTGTGTCCTGACTGTCTGCAGCGTTGAGAACGCCCTCGAGATGCTCGAATCAGTGAAATCCCCATAGCTTTCCAAGAAATCAAGCCGGCGTTCCAGTTCCGAGAGAAACAAATCAACCTGTTCCATGCGTCAGCGGCTAAACGTCCCGGGCGGCCGGGGGGGGTTGAAGGAGACAAACCTTCAACAGGATACCCTCCTCGGTGTCCATGATATGGTTCACAATGGACTTCCTGCGCGGAATAAAGTGCGAATGCCTCCGCCTCTTGATTACCGGCCTCTCTTGGGGTCGGGCTCCAGTCGTGGCAGCTTCAGACACGTCGTCGTCATGAGCTGCAAAGGTGAATGGCGTGGCGCAATTCATGTTTGATGAGATGCTCATGATGGGCGATCAGCTGGGCCTCAATACGGGGCCTGACTGTTCGTTTAAGGAAGGCAAGATGCAAGACGTAGGTGGTCTTCACATGAAAAGCGCAGACCACCATCAAACAGAATGGCTGAAGGGTTGGGCGTGGGAGATCGATTGGTGATGATTGGCCACCGGGAAAACGACCTATGATCTCGCCTCCATACAGAAAGAAGTACGTATTTTCTTAGCCCTATGTAGGTCGCCGATGTGGGTTCGGTATCTTGTACGTGGCGGGTACAGAGTATTTTGTCTGGCCACGGCGGGAAGGCACAGGGCTTGCGATGGACAACAACACCCGGGAGCAGGAAGTGACAATGAGGGGAAATGAAAGGAGAAATGGCGCACCGGCTTTGTGGCCTCCATTGCTTATGAGAGATCCCCAAAAACCGGGGTTTTGGAAAGGAGATGCGCCAAGACGCTTGCCAGCCCAACTTCCCCAATCGGAAACCGTACAGAAACCCCACATCTTCGGAACAACGGGCAGGAAGTTTCCGCCACGGACAACTTCAACCGCTATCACCGAAAACCAGGACAGTGTCTTCGGAAAGCGCCAAGCAATTGTCGACCAGGAATTACTGCATAGTATCAACAAACATCGACGCCGCAATCTGCACTACCCGATCGACCCACCCCGGCAGGCTCAGCGACCCAGCGACCAAGCGACCAAGCGATCAAGCGACCATGGCCATCGACGCACAGATCTCCGACCCGTCACTTGCGTCCGTCCTCGAGACGTCGAGCTCTGCACGGGAGCAGGCTCTCGCCCTCGTAGAGCTCGTGGCCGAGGCGCACACCGCCGCGGGCGACGGGCCGCTCAGTTCCGAGGTGCAGGCCGAAATCTCGAAGCAGCAGAAGCTGCTGAACACGAACCTCTCCCGCCTGCGCGGGCTCCACCGCGCGGCCTGCTTCGGCGCCCGTGACACCAAGGCCGTGACGGCCGAGGCGCGGCAGGAGGTCGACCGACTGCACCTGCTGCTCCAGAATCTGTACTACGAGCAGCGCCACCTCGAGGATGAGATCCAGGCCTGCGAGGGTTTCGAGTGCGTGCTCCTCCTCCGTGTGTGCTGTTTCTCGAAAGACGCGGGCCCGACGCGTCTGTGGGGGTACAAGGACCCTTTCCCAGATATGCTGACGACGTTATGAAACCGCAGTCACAAATACCAACAACTTCCACTCATCCCCGTCGAGGAGTTTCTAGCCCAGCATCCCGAGCACGCCGACGCAGACGAGAACGCCCTCATGGTTGCGCGCATCGATCACGAGAGAGCGGAGCGGGAGGCGCTGGAGCAACAGAGGCAGGAGCTCCTCAAGCGCAAGCAGAAGCTCATCGCCGACAATAAGAAACGGCGGGACGATCTTGCGAACCTCGACAAGGATCTCGAAAAGTTCATCGACGTGAGTTTTGATACCATGGATTTGGGCACACTTTTGCCTGTTTTCTGACACCCCTCCAGGCTGCCAAGCCCATCCAGAAGCTCTTCGAGAAGGTCGTGTGAGGGAAGCTTGAGATGATAGATGATATCAGCTCAAATTTAAGCCATGGAACTTGCCTGTACGGACGGCTAGAAATTTGACTTGAGGTATGCTAATGGCTCAGATTTGTTTCACTCTGTACCTCGTGGGTGGTTGTTCACCACTACTAAAAGCTGATCGTGGGGTACGGCAGATGGTCAAATCCATTTCACTTAGAAGTTGGCCGGACATGATTGATCTGAGGGATCTCTTACAAGAAGTCACTAGGAAGTAGCCTGCAGGGCACCTGGGTGTTTGCGGCTGTGGAGTCGGATTGCTATGCAGCAGTTCGTGCCAAGGGGCAGAAGGATCTCCATTCCCTAGGTTACGTACGCGTCGGGTTACGCGTCAGACGGCGTCGGGCGGCGAAGGAATCGGAGGACCCAGCCCGGGCTGGGGCAATTGTCGAGTTACATATCAACCTGGTATCAAAGCTAGCATGACATGTAGCTAAATCAAGCGATCGCAACTCGATGCCTTACGTGAGGGCTCACGCATGATCGTCAGGAACATGTGTATTACCCTCACTATTAGCTTGTACGGCTGTCAGTTTGCGCAGTCTCTGACCCGTCGTCCGTGAATCGCATGAAAACGAGGGTTCACTGTGTCGTCAGACAATCTGCGGGGTTTGTTTGGCGGGCCACGTCTGGGCCACTGGTGGGGTGCCTGTCTGAAACTCCGCGTCCCAGATTCAGATCCAAGACCTGGCAGGGATGTACAGTACTTCCTTCTAGAATCTTGACGGGCGACACAACTGTGGCTTAGCTGGCTTACGTGAGTAGTTGCTTAATTTGAAATAATACTCTATTTTCCGTCAGGGTGGTATGACATGCAGCAGCGGGCGGAGGCCTGCGGCGCAGTCCTTGGCGAAACTGCAACTGCCTTGTACACCCCCTCACTCCAGAGCTACACACGCTACATAAAGTAACTACACTAGCAGAAGTTAAGGTTTCCTGGCTTCCTGGGCGATACCATCTAGCGTTTCACCGAGTGTGGCTTTGGAGCCCAGGGCGAGACGCGGAAGTAATTACACGAAAAAAAGCATTTTCAACAGATGGGCACCAAGATGAGGAGGACCCATGGATTGTAAACCAGTGGAAGCGCCCATATTGACATCAATCCACTCTCACACGGTGTCGGAGGATCGTGTCAGAGCGACGAGTTGGAAGATCCCGATGATTGTTCGAGAAAACGCCGATCCAAAGAGCCAGAGCTTCAACAACGGCTGCCTACCGAACTATTAAATTCTGCGTACTATGGTAGTATGCAATGCGACAACTCCTGGCGAGAAGGAGGTATCGTGGCCGAATCGCTGGGGCTGATGTGCGAGAATTTATGTCGATCACAAGCGAAATGACCTTGGCAGTGGTATCAACTCAGCAAAGCTGGCCAATGAGCTTGTTCATACGCAACACCGTCTTAGTGCTAGCGATTCTACTAGATCTAGCTAATCATCCTGCTGGTGATCGCAGTCAGTGCCATTTTCGTCCAGCTTCCAGTGTTGCGTACCAACCTACCTATGTAAGTCCGGAGATTCTTGATTTTTGGTGGGGTACGAACACAAAGCTTGCAGAACGTAAGCCCAGCCAGTACCAAAGAGACTACCTACCTTAGGTAGGTATGTACCTATCAATTTCCCCAAATCATCATTCCCCCCAACAGCGCAGTTGTGTAACTACGAAACGGCCCTGTTCACATACGAGAGCAGAGCTTTCCAAAAAGGGGATGCATCGAGGCGAGTTGACCTTCCCTCTTACTTAGTTAAGCGGAACCGCATATCGTACGGGGTAGTGACCAGGGGCAGAACCGTTCACCCACGAGATTGGTACAGGGTCTGAGTGTGTCCAATTTTTCTTTCCCATTGGCGGGGAAGGAAGATGAGGAACATGTGTGATTTTATGTACACTACAACAGCCACTGCAATAGCTGACGGTCCCTTGCATGCGAGTGTTGGTGGTGGATTGTGGTACGTAAATGTGTACATCCGCAGAAGTCGAGTTACTATTGGCTCTGTTGTTCTTGGCTGTGCTGTCGAAATTTGGACCTGGCCAGACTTCGCAGAGAAAGGCCATGCTTGTCAACGTCAGTGTCCCACAGTTCCATGCGGCGGCAGAAAAATGACACTAAATCAAACCTTGCCTAAAGCCGTCAAGCTCCAACATTTAGCTCCCCCATGACCCACATATATTTCTTCACCACCCAATAAACAAATGGCGCTGCCGTACCCCCTAGCCCGAGGGGCAGTGGGGCGGACTGGAGCTGCACCGGCTGTTGAATTGACGAAGGCTTGTTTTTTTTACGTGGAACGGGAACGGGCCAGGACAAGGTACAAGGTAGTGTGTACCTAGGTACGTACCTACGACAAAATTACCTCGATCTGCGAGGTCATCGCTCCTCCAATCCCAAGTGCCCAATCCGCCACCATCCTCGACCACTGGCCGGTGATGATGAGCGGGGACCTAGGATGGCTGCCCCCTTTCCCCCGGTCTAGGCCTTGGTGGCTTGGGCGGCTTGACCTCGATACCTACGACGGTTTGATAGCTCTTGTTTCCAGCTCGATTCCATGCTCACCTCCAGGCGGCCGCATGGCATATCGCACTCTTTTCTCGTGCACCTACCACTTTCCTCTTTCTTTTCGTTCCTTTTCTTCACATTCCCTCCTTTCCAACCTTAATTGCCCGAGGTACCTTACCTAGTTCCCGCGGGTACCTCTAGAGTAGGACGGTACGATACTTTGGTCTCGCCGCCGTACCATCGTATCGTCCCCCACCTCCTTCTCTCCCTTTCCCCTTCTCTCTTTCCCTCCTTCCTTTCTCCCATTCTAGGCGGGTATATTGCCTGTTCCTTGCGACCTGCATCTCACCCGCGTTCTAACTGGCCCCGAGGAACGCCTCTCTTCGTTGCTATCGCCATAATGGGGCTCTTCTCCTGGGCTTCCCGGCGTTCGGGTGGTCTGGCTATGGTAGTCACCATTGCGCTCTCGTACTGGGTTATCTCTCGAGAATCTGAAGCGCAGCGGAATGGCTATCACTATCAGCAGCCAGACACCCTTAGTGCGCCTAGTTCCTCGACAACAGGCGGTGGCATCTGGACCGTCATCTTTGCCTACTACTGTCTCTTCATCCACGTCCTCGTCTCCATGTTTCCCCTGCGTGCCTGTTGGGCGATTTGGGACCTTACCAGGAATCTCAGAAAGACTGCGCGCAGCAAACTGCTCAAGGATTTTAGGTTTGCGCGTCGCCGCCGAGGATCCTCGACCTCTCTATCGAGCTCCGAAACCCTAATTTCCTCTCGAGACGGGTGTTCCGCCTCGAGCAGCGAGGCTGGCGATCTTGACCAAGGCACCTATCTTGACACTGACACGGCGCGCGACCAAATTATCCATGCCATCATCATCCCGAACTACAAGGAGGAAATGGACACATTGAGAGAGACCTTGGAGGTTTTGGCGTCGCATACTCAGGCGCGCAACACTTACGACGTGAGTACCCCGAAGTCCCACTTTGGAAAGAGCAGGCACCTCGGCCAAGACTCGCACTCTTGCCTACTTTGTCTGGTGTTGGTGGAGATCCAACTCAGGGGTTGATACTGCTTGGAAATCGGACACCAGCTGACAATTTGGAAATATAGGTCTACCTGGCTATGGAGCAGCGTGAAAACAATGTTGAGCTCAAAGCCATGTCGCTCATTTCCGAGTTCGTCAAGAAATTCCGATCGATTGATTTCACAATTCACCCCTGCGATATCCCAGGCGAGTCCGCTGGCAAAGGAAGCAATGTCGCTTGGGCGGCACGGAAGCTCAGTGGGAAATACTCGATGGCCATTCGGAAGAACGTTGTGATCACAGGCATTGATGGTAAGTGTCCATCTTCAGCTGTCATGGCAGCTGCGTGTGTTGCGAGACGATTCACTAACAAAACGTCCTTCCCCATAGCCGATAGTCACCTTTCTTCCAATTACTTTGCCCTAGTCACCACCATGCACGTGACTCACCCGGACACTGCCACCACCACCATGTATTCGGCTCCGATCATCTTCGACCGGAATGCTCACAATGTTCCCGCCATTGTCCGGGTGGCCGATATTCTGTGGTGCGCTGCCGGCCTGTCTGGCTTGTACAGCAGTTCGACTATCGCCCCTCCAACCTCAGTCTACTCCCTTCCTCTCGAGCTGGTCGACCGCGTCGGTGGCTGGGACTGTGACCCGGAGGCTATCGGCGAGGATCTACACATGTACCTCAAGTGTTTCTTCGCGCTTAATGGTAACTTGACCGTGCGGACCGTCTTCAGCCCCATCAGCCAAAGCAACGTCACTGGCGGCGGACATGGCAAGGGAGCCTCTGGAATTGTTACCGATATGCGCGCCCGATACAAGCAGGCGTTGCGTCATATGTGGGGCGCTTTGGACACTGGCTTTGCCTTGAGGAAGACAGTGGAGCTTTGGCAGGAGAGGAAGCATACGTCGAGGGCATTCCGACCTCTGCACAGTTCCTTGTGGGCTAACCCCCTTACTTCCATCATTGGCGACCCATAACTGACGAGGTATTAAATAGGAACGATGCATCTGATGCCTACGTCCCGCAAGCGCAACTAGATTCGCCCAACTCCGAGGGAGCCCCCGAGAGCGGTATTTTCTCCGACGTGACCCAGGACACCCTCAAAGGTCCCAACTATCAACGCATCTTTTATCTCTTCCACCGACTGTTTGAGGCCCATTTCTTGCCCGTTCAGATGACCATTCTGGTCATTTCCTCTACCCTGTACGCCTGGGTTACCGCAGATGCGGCTGATGAGCACGGAGTCGCATGTATTTTCAAGGTTTGCAACGTCCTGCGTACTCTTGGCTTTATGGAAGTCGCTCTCTACCTCTTCATGTACGAGAATTTCCACAAGATATGCATCGCGACCCGAGAGAAGGAGATGAACGATGCCGGTCTCGCAAAGGGCATGAATTTCTCGCACCGAGCGGTCAAGAAGAACTTCATTGACTACATCATGGTCCCACTCGTGGCTCCCTTGTATGGCGCCATCCCATGTGCGCAAGCACAGATATGTCACTTCTGGACGTTAGACCTGGTGTATACGGTCAGCAAGAAGGTCACTCGACAACGAGCAAAGTCGATAAGCATCGAAGAAATGGCATGACAGAGTGCCTCCTCGCGGGCTTAGTTGTGCTTTTCCTTCCCCAACACCCTGTTTATAACTTTCGTTTCTAAATCCGGATGCGACCCCACGACTCGACGCCGAGATCCGTGGAGTCATCTACCGCAACCATTTTTCGTTTGATTCTCCGAAACCCACCCTTGAAGACGAAACCAGACATGCCGTCCTGTACTGTTTTTACAGGCCTTTTATTTTCTACTATTGGCAAGGCAACGGCTTTGCGAGGCTCCCATGTTTGAATAGACAGGGTATGATGTTGATATGCATGACAGGGCATCGGCATTGGGCATTTAGATACCGGGGTTCGACCGTTTTGGTGCTGTTTCGGTGTTCAATGGAGTTTGGGGAGTAAGAGGGACCATACTGCAGGGGCGAATCATGGGTCGATACCCCTGCTTACCCGCGTCATTCGCTTAGAAGGAAACTATATCGGAACCAGCGAGATGAGGGCCTGGAGAGGAGCAGCCCTTGGCAAGGACCAGGGGGGCCTGGCAAGACTTTCGAGGTTAATGATGTTGGGAGGGTGGATTTGTCCTCGTCCGTCAGGGAGAAGGACTAACAGGGGAAGAAAGGGTTTCTCGACGAGACGGCGAAGCCCGGATCTCTAATAACCATTAACCTCTAATACTTAATATTTTCTGTACCTAGACGAGAAAGGCAATACGGGAGAAGCTGTCGTTGTGGCGGGGGCACTGAAGGCAGGCTGGCCAGGAGTTGTACCTCGTCTACCTACCCGTGAAGAGCCGGAGGAGGGTGGTTGATATCTGCAGCTCTGGTCACATGTCGGAAGGATAACTCGGACTGCCTCCCACTTCTTTTGCGCGGAGCAGCACCAACATGCCTAGAGTCTAGACAGTCAATGCAGAGAAAGTATCAAAGGCCGTGTGAAGCATCAAGAAGTACATAGGCCCATTTTCTCCGGAGTCGCAACCACGTTTCGATTTAGTGCAGGAACGCGTAATTGTCATGCCAGGCCAGGGGCGAGGCTGACGTATACCCGCCATGTCTTACTTACTTAGCTTTTGGGTCGGGAACCAGTGCCGAGTTGGCCCGGAACCTTCCTTTCGGGCAAGGTCTTTGCCGCCCCTGCCACGCGGGTAACCGCCGAGACACTTCGGAGCTTGAAGATACTTCAGCCAATCAGGGCTGGTCCTGTGAAGACCCACAACTTGCCATTGTCCGACATTCACTCAGCAGGATCCGGGGTTCCGATTGAAGGTCGGAGACATCTCGATGTTGGGAGGGTAAACAGGACGGGAAAGGACATAGATTTCTGTACTTATATATATAGACGGCCGCCTCTGTGTTCTACATGCTGTCATTAGAAAATACAAGTTTACCACAAATTCACCAGTCTATCTGCATCCAAAGCCCTCACCTACCTAGTCGTCCACGAGAATAGCGTCCCGATCGCAAAGGCCACTAGATGACCTCCGTCTCCTCAACTTCCATCCAGAATGACCGCCGCTGCCGCCAGTGACCGCCCCACCGTCCGCATCGGCGTGTTCCTGCCGTCGGGGGCCCAACTGCTGGACACGGCGTGCGTGGACCTGTTCGACATGATGAGCCACGAGTACCTATCGGCGCTGGAGAAGCTACCCCGAGCGGCGGCCGACATCGCGCCACACGTCTGGATAGCCTACGTGGGCACCGTGGCGGCGGGAGGGCCGATCCAGCTGACCGGGGGCATGTCGGTCACGTGCACGCACCACCTGTCCGACCCGGAGGTGGGCGCCGGCCGGTTGGATGTCGTGCTGGTGCCCGGCCCGGATCCCAGGCTGAGGTGGGATGGCGAGGTGCTGGGTTGGCTGAGGGGCCATGCGAATAGGGTGCGGGATACGGATATCCTGAGCGTGTGTACGGGAATCTATATCTGCGGGGAGGCGGGGCTGCTCAGGGGTAGGAGGGCGTGCGGCCCGAGGGGGCTGCAGAAGGAGATTGGGGAGAGGTTCGAGGGGGTCACGCTGCTGGGGGACGAGCTGAGGTGGGTGAGTGATGGGAACCTTTGGTCCAGCGGTAGGTGGTCGTGTCTTTCCTCTCGTCTCCCACACACTTTACTTTCTGCCAGTTGGCTGGCTGGCTGACCATCAAATTAATCACGTGTAGGCGGCGTCACGAATGGAAACGACCTCGTCGCGGCGTACGCCAGAGAGAGCCGGCACTTTCCTGGGCCGCTCGTCGATATTGCCACCAAACTAGCGGATGCGGGGGAGCGGCCGCAGAAGTATGGCGCGAGCCAGACTGGCTTCAGGATTGGGTTTGCGTGGGCGCTTCTGAGGGCCTGGTTCATGGGATTTGGGAGGAAGTCGAAGAGTAACTAGGCGGGTGACGAACGATCGAAATCGGATGGGGGCACGCTCTCCCCTCTTTGCGCGCTGTATAGGAGAAAACATTTAGTTCGCATCCACGATGCCTGCACTATTGTAATTAGGTGTTAATGGAGGCTACTGGGTCAAGGCTATTGCCTGGCATCATTATTCAAACAAAGTAGGCACAGGGAGCCTGGAGCCCCCTTGCAACTTGACGTCTAGAAGAGCACTTAACATGCAAGCAAAAAAAACCAAGACTCCAAGACCAAGAGATAATATCCTGTTAAATAGTTGTAGATGTGTTGCAATGTTGAGTCGTTAAGCAATTAGGAGCGGAGCCGTTACGCCAAACGAACATTCCACGGGAAGAGGCCGATGCTGCGAGTCATTGTCGCAGCTAGTCAGAGGCAGTACCTTCCATTGGTACCTAGGCATCTCATTTTTACCGACTTGTATTTATATCCTCGCAGCAGACTACAAATACCCTCGAAGTCGATGGAAGATCCGAAGGGACTGTTTTGTCTCGGGGAGTTGCGGTGAGACATCCCAGTAAGCCAGCAGCCTCAATATCAAAGTGCAGGAAAGTGGCAGGGACTCCGCTGGTTGGCCGGGAGAAGGCGCTACTAGGATAAGACTGTTATCGGTGGCGCTAGTGCAAGTGCGGTGGGGTCGCAAGGCCCCAAGGCTCAGGTGAAGAAAAAAAAAATTCGGAGCTTGCTATGAAGCTGATTGCTACTGAACTTTTTTCCCAGCAATTCATTCAAAGTAGAAATTTCAACCGTTCTACTCTCTTTCGCTACAAATCTGCGATCGGATATCATAACTTTCCGTGTCAGTTAATCATCCAATCTTGCCTACCAATCGAAAGACGATTCTCTAGATCCTCTATCTTAAGTTCAAACGTCAATCGCAATGTCGCCGCTGCTGCCCGTCGCCGTCTACGGGCTCGAGGTCCCGCCCGGCGAGGTCATGGTTCCTGTCCACGCCGAGTTCCCTGCGACGGTATGTGGCATCCTTATTACTTCCCTCTAATCTCCCCAGCTCGTTGCCCCCCTTAGCATCGACTGGCGCCTTCTTGATTGCCGGCCCATTCCATGTCCATGGCTTCCACTCACTGACGTCTTCTAGATCCGCATCACCATGGCCGCTATTGACCCAACTGAGGAACCCGAGGCGGACGAAGACGGAAACCTCCCATCTGTCCCCCGTTCCACTTTGAAGGTCATCAAGACCCGCCTGGGCGGCCCTGATGACGATGATGAGGACGAGGATGAGTACCTCCAGAGACTGTTGGGTGGTGGGGAGGATGACGATGAGGAGGACTCTGATGATGATGACGACGAGCCCAATGGCGGCCCCAGTGACCCTGCCAAGACCAAGAAGGCTCGCCAAGAAGCTGCCCTCAGGAAGCTCGTCGAGGCCGCCCAGGAGGAAGCCTCGGACGAGGAGATGGAGGAGGCTGACGCTACTCCTAACGGCACCAAGAGCAAGAAGGGCAAGGAGAAGGCCATCGAGTCGGATGACGAGGAGTCGGATGATGACAGCGACCTCGAGGAGGGTCTTGGCCTCGAGCAGTATGTTGTCTGCACCCTTGACACCGAACGCGTAAGTCACTCCCCCACCCGTTTGCCCCTCTCCAGCCCACCGCCTTTCATACTGACGAACTCTGCAGAACTACCAGCAGCCGCTCGATATTACCATCGGTGATGACGAGAGGGTGTTCTTCATCGTCTCTGGTACTCACACCATTCATCTGACTGGCAACTATGTCGTCGACGAGGATGCGAGCGACGACGAGGATGATGATGATGAGTACGACATGCCTCCTGGCCTTGAGGACCTCATGGGCGAAGAGGAGGACGATATGAGCGATGACCTCGATGACATTGACCACCTCGACCGTGTCAAGGAGATCGATAGCGACGAGGAGGCACCCAAGCTGGTCGCCGCTGCTTCCAAGAAGGGCAAGAACAAGCGTCCTGCCGAGGAGGCCCCCGAGAACCTTGATGATATGATCACCAAGGGGAACAAGGAGGAGACCAAGCTCAGCAAGAAGCAGCTCAAGAAGTTGAAGAATAACAAGGGTGAGGCTGTCGTTGCTGAAGAGGTCAAGAAGGAGACGCCAACCAAGGCCGACAAGAAGGTTCAGTTTGCCAAGAACCTCGAGCAAGGCCCCACCGGCTCGGCCGAGAAGGCCAAACAGTCGGACAAGAAGGCCGCCCCGGGTGTCAAGGTGATCCAAGGCGTCACCATCGACGACCGTAAGGTCGGCACCGGCCGCACCGTCAAGAATGGCGACAAGGTTGGCATGCGGTATATTGGCAAGCTCCAGAGCAACGGGAAGGTCTTTGACTGTAAGCAACCCCTGGATTCTAACGTGAAATGCAATCATTGTCGGTCTCCTTACTAACAAATGTCAATCACAGCCAACAAGAAGGGTGCGCCGTTCAGCTTCAAGATCGGGAAGGGTGAGGTCATCAAGGGATGGGACATTGGCATCGTAGGCATGGCCGTCGGCGGTGAGCGCCGCCTCACCATCCCTCCCAGCCATGCCTACGGCAGCCGATCCATGCCCGAGATCCCCGGCAACAGCACCCTCGTCTTCGACGTTAAGCTCCTAGAGATCAAGTAAGAGTTGCTGCTCTTGTCTTTGACCGCTCAGGACGGCATCGTCGGTCGAGGTGGCCACCTGTATTTCTACCGTGTCCTCGTCGTTTTTTTCTTCTCCTTCAGAATATGGGGGATCTCTATTGCCACGGACTCTTACGGTCTCTGGCTCTCCTCGATGGTTTCCCCCCACCTCTCTCCCTCTGTCTTGCGCTACGATGTGGAGTCTTCTGACCTGCGCGCGATCTGCGAGGATCCGGGTAATCCCAGCCAGGAACACGGGGAAGCAGACCGCTGTTAGACGGGATGACGATGGTCTGCATTGCATATTGTATGGCGTACCAAAAAGAGTTGTTTCTTTTCGAGGGGTCGGTGTTTTTCGTCCTCTGATCTCCCTGATCTCCTCGCGGCATGCTGATTTCCTCTCTGTGTCTCTCTGTCTCCTTATTTTGCTACTCTCGTCGGGCCTTTGTAGGTAGTACTGATGCTCCACACAATGTCGATGATTATCACTATCTGCTCGGTCCAATCTCTGCCCCAGGTGTATCGTGGATTGCTATTGTGATATGAGCGGAAGACTTGAAGAGATCTAGGGGTGCAGCGGTCTCACCAGGTCCCTTGCCTATCAACCTTCCAGCGTATCCGAAACCCCAGCAGGCGGCCAAGAGAGCAACGGAAACAGTAGCTGCCATACATCTGCTCCGCCTAGACTGGTATTCTCAACTTTATGCATTCCTCACTACCTAGTTCTATGACTCCGCAAGCTAGGAGGTACTGGACGTTGCCATGTCCAAGCCTGGGTGTGTAAGCCGTGAATGGCCCAGGGGTATCAACCGTTAGGAAATGAAATGACCACTCCCTTCTCTTTCACCTAGTCCGAAGCAAAATGGCAATGATCTGGTATGAAAACTCCACCGTACCGAACCCATCCCAGCCCAGCGCCCTTGATTGCAATTTCCGTGTATGGTTAGTTATCTGCCCGCCTGGAGACAGTAAAATGCAGCGCAATGCAACGTAATGCAACGAACGCAACGAATGCTATCATCCTACCTCACCACCATTCCTGGCCCCAAGTCTCCCGCTGCATATCCCCTCCGCGTCCAAAACAGCAACCATCACGAAGGAACGCTTGGGGAAGCCCGCCTCTGCGTTGGGACGTCCCCCCCGCCGAACGACGGCTAGCTTCGCAGCCTAGAAGATCATAAGGTCCTCCTCGGGCGAGCTCCGCGCGAGGTCGTACATGAGGATGGTGTGGTCTATGTAGTGGAGGACAAGCCTGTACCTCACGGGCCCCCCGCCGCCGGGCCGCGCCAGCGCCAGTGACCCCGCGCGGTGGTCGTGGACGGGCGACACGGCGACGCCGTGCAGCGCGGCCGTGGGCCTTAGGGAGTCCTCGGGGCCGGCGCGTGGGAGGACGCACTCGACGCGGAAGGCGCGCCGGACGCGGACGCCGGCGGTGCCGGCGGCGGGCCCGCCGCCGTGGTGGTGGCGCGAGGGCGGCTTCGTCAGGGAGAGGAGGGCGACGCGGCCGCAGAGGGAGCCGAGGACGACGAGGTTCAGTGCGGGGACGTGCTGGTGCATGCTGATGCGCTCCGACATGCGCTGCGTCAGGTCCCACGGCAGGACGTTGTTGGGGCGGCGGTTGTGCGGCACGATGACGTCCTTGCAGAAGACGCCGGCCGAGCGCGGGTCGAGCGACTGCAGCTCCACGTCCGAGTCGGTGGTCCGGAGGAGGGAGAAGTTCCGCGACAGGTGCGAAGGCAGGCGGGTCTTGAACCAGTCGACCGTGTGGGTCAGGCCCTTGCGCATCAGGTTGTTGCCCATGAAGTCAAGGAACTCGCTGAAGCCGAACAGTGGTGGGGTCTGCCCAAGGGTCGGGACGATCGTCCGGGCGAGGCGGAAGCCCCGCAGCTCCTCCTCGGATAGGTCGATGCCCGATCCTTTCGGCCCCGGGGCTTTGCTGAGCGCCAGCCAGCGGCTCTCGGCATCCAGGTCGGAGATCTGCTGGTAAGCGTCGTATGGCTCTGGAGCGTCGCTGTCATCGCTCTCGTCGAGGAAATCAGACTCTTCAGAATGATCTTGCTCTCCTTCGGTGGGCAATGGCTGCTGATGCACATTTGTCGCCTGACTCCGAAGCTGAGGGAGAAAGTACCTAGGACCGTATCGTTGCCTGAGGAACACTCTGGAGTCGACGGCATTGTCCTTGATGTAATGGAGGCTACAGGTTATATCCAGCCACAACTCTGTCTTGTCCCTGTCTCCGGGAGACCGGTTAGGTCCTAGGATATCCTTCGGCGGCAGACCCATCGCCGCGCGGTTACTTGATGTCAATTTGAAGCTGCTGTCCGGTAATACCATGATTCCCCAACCGGTGTACCTGTCCGAACGAAAAATGTTAGCTCAGCTCCCGCGGACAATCCATGGCGGGTATAATAATGTACCGTTGGTGATCTGCGCCCCTATTCGTATTAGGAAGGTAAACAGCGGGAAAGCCGCCAATCTGCCAGATGTTGAGCATCCAGGTGTTGCCTGCGATATCAACAGCAACGACCCTTTCGGCGTTTCCGTCCTCGTCGTCGACGAACGCGATGCTCGGGATATTACTGCCCGCCGGCCCGAGTGGGAGCACGATCCTCCATGTCCTCGTTCGAGACCGGAAATGCCTCTCGAGCTCCAAGGCAGTCTGACCCGACCAGAGTTTCGGAGAGTCCTGGCTGCTCGACGATGCTTCGGGCTCCGAATCTAGCTGCCCCGCATCCCCCGACTTCGTTGCAAACGCAAAGACAGTAACGTCATGCTTGTTACAGCTGACGGCCAGCAGCCGAGATCTCCTATGGATTGCCAGCCCCCAAGCCGAGAGCCCAACATTCTCGTGGAAAAATGGCTTTGGCGTTACTATGCGGCAGGCGGGCGCAACGTGACACGCGCCCTGGGATGCGCCGCCATGCTCGACGGCATGGGCGATCAGGTGCGTATAGTACGCAATGACGTCGCCGTCGTCGTAGCACATCAGGAGAACCTCGAGGTTTCCCAGCTCCCCGGTGACGATGTAATTAACCTGGTGGCCAAAGTTCCTGTCTATGTAACCCCCGATAAGCTTTCCTGCCCGGCTACGTGGAGGGCGCAAGATGAGCGACGGCGGCGGGAGAATCTGGGGCGCCTTCTGGGGCTGGAAGACATGTATCTGGCCTTGGTATGCCGCGAAGTAGAGCTGCGGCGGTAGGGATTAGCCTCACGCGCGGTCATCCTATCGGGCAGCCCAGCGACTCACGTTGTACTGTTGGGAGAGCGCCGTCAAGTTCGCCCTGCAGCGAGCAAGCCTGGGAAAGCCGTGGTGTTCATCGTCCTCGTCTGGGTGGCTCGCCGCGGTTTCGTCTGTAAAATGCTGCCAACCATCGAAGATACCGTCCGGCTCGAGCCCGTCGTCCATATCATCGTCTTCGAGGTCGTCGTCGTCATCGTCGTCGTCGTCGTCGAGATCCACCTCATTAGTAACGCCATGGCCTTCGTTGACGAAGGTCTTAATATCGTCCAAGACGTGGGAGCCAAACTAGAACAAGAGAAAGCCATATGTCAGCCCGGACATTCCTACAAATATGCTCGTGAGGGCGGGGCAGAAAAAGGGGCGGGAGGCCGGCGGGCAATGGAGGTCGGCCAGTCCGGGTGTGCGACGTTTCACCCAACCAGGCGGGCGGACTCGGAGACAGTCGGCGAACCCGACGCCACCGGGTCAAAAATGACTGGCGATCGGACGGTGCAGCTTGTGGTTCGGATACATACCCGTTTATCGGCGGTTTGGACATGGCATGTGGGTCCAACATAGATGGCACCGGAGCGTGGCACTTCCATCATGACGCGGAGTGGCAGCTGGAGGAAGGTGGATCAGACATGGCATCTATCTGTTTGAAACGGCCCTGATGAGGTCCAAGATGGGCGGTAATGCTAGACTGATACTTCACGACTCAAATGGAAGAGGGAAAGGATATTTCAGACGGTTTGATAGAAGGTTTGGGAGGAGGGGTTGACGTTTGGAGCTTCTGGAGCTTGAGCACCCAAGTTGCGATACGATGGTGGGGCAAGAGGTAGCTGTGTGCCTGAGATGAAATTACTGTGCATAATAACCGCTATGCCGCTCTTATCGATAAACTCTAATCGCATGTCAGGCAAAGCTCGCAGGTATGTAGCTTGTAGCGTAACTTCGCATTTATCACAGGACATGCCAGGGAAGGGAAGCCGAATTGACACGAAGGAATTAATTTCAATTAGGAATAAACATCCCCAAGGATCGTAATAGACGCTGGCAATTGCCTGAAATTTAGGAATAAACATCCCCAAGGATCGTAATAGACGCTGGCAATTGCCTGAAATCCATACTCGATTGCAGATACCAATTCCCCGGTTTCAACCAGTCCATGTCCATCCATGACTCCTGTCTCGTCATCCCATGTGCCATCTCGCTGTTCGGCGAAGCCGTGTCGTGAAATAGTCCAAGTCTAGGCAATACACGCTGAAGCAATGATTGACCATCGATATCATAACCCAAACACCCTCCCAAAAAAGAAAGAAAGAAGGATATAAGATCCCAGACGCCAATTACTCCCATCCGCCGGCTCCTTTTCCTCCCTGCTCGGGGTAAGACGCGGAAGCCGGTTCCCCTTAGTCTTTTGTTGACCAACCCGGGGTATATCCACCCAGATGCCGGGCCGGACCCATAGTGCACTATAATCTCATGAGCTCCACCATGTCCTTCATCCGGTAGTCCAGGACGGGCGTGACCCAGTCGTCCTCCACCAGCGAGTACGACTCCTCCTCGTTGTTTTTCGGCTTGCGCGGGTTGACGGCCCAGTAGCCAAAGTCGGCATCGACGGCCTCGAGGAACCTCATCAGGTTCCGCCAGTAGTTTGCGTCGCCCTTGCCCGGGTGTCGCGGCGCCCCGAACTCGCCGACCCACACGGGCGCCAGGTTTTCCTCCACCAGGTACGCCCAGTTCTTCCGCATCGACTGGGCGAAGGACGGGTAGCTGCGCGTCGCGTACCGGCCGCCGAGGCTGCCCCACCCGGACCACGAGTAGACGTGCGCCGAGTAGACGACCCGGTGGTCGACGTCGAGCCGCACCGGCCGTTCCGCCACCCCGGACAGGTCGTTGGACGACTCGGTGCCACCCACGACGATTAGCCAGTCCGGGTTCATGGCCAGGAGCCTGTTACCCGCCCTCTCTGCCGCGGCGGCCCACCGGTCCCAGGTCATGGTGCCCCAGACGCCGCGGACCTCGTTCCGGAGGTCGGCGCCGATGACGAGCGGGTCGTCGACGAACCGCGACATGACCGTCTCCCAGTTGGCGATCCAGCCCTCCTCGGTCTGCGAGACGCGGCACAGCGGGCCGAGGTGGTCGTTTGCCCAGCCGGCGTCGCACGGGTCCGCGCCGCAGCACCACGTCGCGCTCGTGATGTGGTCGTTGACGACGACGGCGACGCCGGCGCCGGTGAGGGCGCGCGCCACGGCCTCGAACACGTCCAGCGCGCGCAGCCCCGCGAGGTCCGGGTTCGCGGCCACCAGGTGCGGCGGGATGACCGGGTTCGCCACGACCATCTCGTCGCTGTAGGGCAGGCGCACGCTGTTGAAGCCGAGGTCGCGGATCGTCCGGGCGATGGCGTCGCGGTGCCGCACGTCGAGCCCGCCCGGCACGAAGAGCTCGTCGCTGGCTCCGTACCAGTTGACCGACGCGAGCTTGAATCTGCGGCCCGTCTGGTCGACAATGTCCCGGCCCCGCGTGCGGAGCGGCAGCGTGTAATTGTCTGGTAAGAAGCAGTCTTCCGCCGGCAGCTGCAGGGGCCGTTCGCTAAACAGAATTGAGCCCCGATCGGGGACCCAGGGTTCAGACAGGCCGGCCTCCCTCCTCCAGAGGTAGTGCACCAAGCTGCCGAGCACGAGTACGGTAATGAGGATGATCATCCTGGCGATGTTGCTCGGCGGGAGGAGGCGGGGGCGGTGGCGGCCTGAGGAGAAGGTGGTGGTGATGCGTTGTCGAGCGTTAAAGTTCGGCATGGTTCCTGGCTAGCTAGGTATTTCTGCCGCAAATTTAAAATCCTACTAGGAACCGGCACAGGGCCACACTCAATCCAAACTCCTGGGATTGAGTCCGCGGCCGCGGGCGGCTCTTATATAAACCAGGTAAGCTAAATAAAACGCGCCTTGTCCCCTTGGGACGGATGTCTCGGTATTGTGAACATGTCTTGGTGCCTAGGGAGCTGTCGACCCTTGTCACTCTGGTACCTCTTTCCTTGGCAGTTCGCCCTGTTGCCTAGAGGTATGGTTGTTCATACAGCACATGCCTCACAATACCCAAAATGCCACCTCTACCGCAGTAAACCTGGGGAAAAAAGGTAGATGTATAGCTCCTTGCTCTTTCTTATATGACAGGTATTATTTACAAGGAAAGCGAGCGAATTCGCCAAGTTAGGCCCTTCCATGGGCCTCGTCCCCTCGTCCCAGAGCTCTCTCGCTGGGCTTATCTCTCCCGCCGATCGCACCTTCTGAAAGATCCGATGTCCGTTTCCGTCCAGTCATTCGCATCAAATACACATCAGTCATCCCCACAACCGGCATGCTCGGAAGCTTGCCCCACCCCGCCGCTGCAAGGCTGGGCTTTCAGCTAATCCGAGAGACACGAGGACACTTTCTCCTTCCGTCGTTCCCGACCCCCCTCCAATCCGCATCGCCTAACCTGGATTAGCTTTGTGCATAAGTAGCACCTCAGATCCAAAAATCCCGACCCTGAAGGGAGAGCCTTAAATGATGCCATCGCTGGCCAAGTCTCCCGTGGCTCCCCCGAGAGTCCTGTCTAAATTCCTCTTTTTTGTTTATTTTTGTTTCAATAACCACAAAGAATTCCCCAGGACGCCTCGCTCCAACCCAAAGTCTGCTCTGCTCGGTCCGCTCCGAGTCAAGAACATAGTAGACATATAAAGCTTGCTCTCGTCTTGGCGTATGGGATGGTGTCTATTGCCGATAACCTCACTCGGGTGAAACAATGGAGACAGCATCTCTCATATTATCGGAAACGCTGGAGCAGCTGACAGGATACGTGAGAGGGCCTTGTACCGAAGTGTTTTCGTACTTTTCGTCGTAAAAGCTGACTTGGCGTCTCTCGCGATTTCTTTCTCCTCGTTTTCTCGGATTCGAGGTTTGTTTCTCCGTCATATCTGGTTCATCCCAAGGGGATTCACGTAATCGCGGTTCTCCGGGCTGCCGTACCTCTCTGGCTGGGCATATGTTTCCCGCGAGTCCCAGGTGACCGTCTGAGGTGGCCGTGGGCTCGAGAAGGATCGGGCAGGCGTGTGGTACCGTACCGTGTTGCCGAAATAGTCCGGCGTCCGACGGCCCTCTTTACCGTCGCCGTTATAGTGGAAGGGCAAGTCATTGCTAGCCGGTGGGCTCGCCATGTATGCCCTAGCCAAGGGGGAGATGGGTGTCCCTACGGAGGGTGTTACTACGTCGTCCAGAGTCTTCCCGGAGTCCCGGGATAGCATTTCGTACGAACGTGTGTCTCTCTTCATGTCGTCGAGCCGCGCATCGGCCGACACGAACTCCTTCTTCTCCCGGTTCACAAACTTGCCGAAGAAATCGGCCCATCCAGTGAACATGGAAAAGCGCCCGAGCAGGAAGAGCAGCCATATGCCGTTCATCTGTATCCAGTGTTAGGGGACGAGTCGGGTTTGGTTTGGCGATGGAATAACTTACACCCAGGAGGACCAACACTGCGCCAATGGTTGGCATATTGACAACCAGCTTGCTGGCCTCATCCAAGCACTTTGTCTTATCACCCGCATTGAGCATCAAGCAACCCACCCACTCGGTCACCTTGCTTGGATCCGTCTTTACAGACTCAACCGTGTTATCTTGGAAGACGAAGATTACCGAGAAGAAGATGACGTCGGTGATGATGATCAACACGATGGCGATGCCTCGCCACTGGAGCTGAATCACTCTTCGCACTCGCCGGTAGGCTTGTCGGGGCGTCATGGTCCGGATGCTGTTTGTGTACGAAGGCAGATTCGAGCCCTCGGTCGACGCGCTGTTATCGGCAAGTGATGCGAGATAGACCTTAATGCAGTACCCGAACGTGGCGAACTGGATGATGATAGTCAATCCAGCAAAGACGAGCAGGGGGATCCAGAGGTCCGCGAGGCTGTTCGTGTGGTTGATGTGGCACGTCGGGCCAAAGCGGAACGACACGCCGCTGAAGACGAGGGCGACGGTGATGCCGACGGCGGGGATGCCCCAGCCGGCGGCTTGAGAAAGCCACATGAAGTTCCTCCCAACGACAACCTGCCAGCAGATCTGCAGATGCAGCGACAGCGATCGCAGAAACACCCACATGACTCCGGCCCAACCACCGACGATCAGGAATGCGCCTGACGCTGCACACACTTGGCTTGTCTGCATAGAATGTGGTGTAATGGCGTCGTAACATTGTTCCGGTTGCGCTGCCAAGGGAATTATGAATCCAAGCTGGTGCAAGTTAGTATCAGTTTGCACCCCGTCATGTCCCCTAGAAACACATCGTTGTGAGAACTCACGTTCATGAGCACAACTGCGACTGTGAGACAGATGCTCAAATAGTGGCGATGCGTCTTTTCCACGGGAAGGAAGGTCCAAGACAAGAGTAGGAAGGCGCAGCACGCGGTGCTGACGACCGAGATCCAGTCTGCTGCTAAGCTCATCGTCTGGAAGCTGTCGGGATAGGTAAAGTCGGTCAACGGGCATGGTAGGCAGCAGGTGATCCCCCCGCCCAACGATTGACATAACCTTCCCTCGACGACTGAAATATGCGTCAGTAACCCCGTCAAGCCAGAAGATTCGAATTTACTTACATCCTCCGTCGGTGAATACAGTGTCTTGGAAGAAAGGGGCGGGGCAGATGCCCCTGTTGACGCTTGAATTCGACATGTTCGTGACTGGTATCCTTCCGCGGACTTCCTAACAGCGTTTGCACTTATAATAACTTTTACAGTCGACCCTGGTAAGGCGGAAACAGGGTCGACAGTCGATGTTGAGATCCTCCAGTTCCAAACCGCGAGGGGAAATCCAACTGAAGCGTTTGGGTCGGCCGTGGCGGGTGGTTGCAACGGGTAGTTGATAACTTGATCAAGCCGGGCTGGTCATGGGCACAGTAACCTCGCGAATCACCGAATCATAATATCATTAGACTTCTCTGGTATGGCGTGTCGGAGAGCTCGATATCGGTCCTCGAGGTGGTAAGAGTACAGTAGTATCAAGGAATATAAAACACAGAATATAAGAGATTGTAATAGAAAGCCGGGGTTGTGAGTCTATTAGAAGCTGGATATGGCCCAATGAGTGAAGAGCGTTATATCGGGATGAGGCTGGTCTCAAACAAGGAGAGACGTCAAGCTGCCCATCACGATATCATGGGCATCAAGGAGCTCAAACGAAGAGATGCGAAAAGGAGATGGGCGTTCAAGAGGTGGGTGTGGGACGCATACATAAGGTAGCTACCGACGCGCCGCCCACTTACAGAAAAGTCCAGGACAAGGAAATCTGACCCTACGTCCATCAGGCAGGTGTACCGGGCCTATCATGCCATCGAGCTAACCAAAGACGGCCCCCTCGAAGCTCCCATAACTGGGTGCCGAGGGTGTCTGATTGGAAGAGACGACTATCCCCCTCGGCGAGGGAGCGGGGGTGGACAGGACCCAGTCACGATGGAGGGCTGCGCCCGGGGGTAAGATTTGTGTACACGACCAGGGATCCATGTGAGAGGCGGCGTCCCGATGGGCCCCCCCTGGTTCGAGAATTCGGATGCGAGCAAGGGTACCACGGCCTCCTGGTCCTCGGCCCCGCTTGGCCCCACTTGGCGCTCCGAAGCGATCATTCCCATTATTGACTTAGGTTCCAGTCCGTAATGCAGATTGCAGGTGGGGCGTCAGATGGAAGTACCGCTACTTGCACATAGTATGGCATGTTACGGAGGAGTCCTTTGGTTGAACGTTTAGGTTGGTTAGGGCAGGTGGCCTTGGCAGAGGTTGGTTTTATTTCCTACTCTTTTTTTTTTTTGGATCCCATCCACCCCCTCCATCAGAAAGAGACCGTCTGTTTTGTTAGCGGAGGTGTGAGACGGCAGTAGCCGGCGGTGTTGGGGCGTGCAGATTCAGAGCCGAGACATGCTATCATGTGGCCTGTGATGCGACGACCTTTTTTTCTTTCTTTTCGGTTTGACTCAGATCGAGGCAACCCATTCGAGCGGCATCCCCTTGACCAGCTTTGCAGGTGGCCACTGAGATGTTCAACAGTGGCGATCGCAGCGTACGGCCTGTCTCACCCACTGCATTGCCGGGGGGGCCGCCATGTAACCATTCGGCAGCTTCTATGCATTTCGATTCTGATCGTTTCGTGTGTCTCTCTGCCAGGGCTGCAGGCGCAGAGCTAGACAGTGGACAACAGTTGGACAGCGAGAGGACGGACATCCGTCTCAGTGCGGCTCAGCTACGCTACTGGACCATTTACAGAGGCCACCAGGCCACCTGCTCAGCCCGCCAGCTGCGTATTTGTGGCGGGGTTGCTTTCATCGACATCTTGGTTAAACTGGCGGCCCAATGGCCGTGCGCCATTGATGGCTCGTTGGCCTTCAACCTCGAGAGAAATAATCAAATTCAATATCCTAAATTTGCGCGACCCCCCTTTTTTGATCTGCTGCCGTAAGGGCGGAGATGAGGTTGAGGGCTAAGAATCAGTTCACTGTTACTGCCGTCGTCAATATCGATTTCGTCGCGACCTCGCCAATGAGGATCAGCAAGCCAATGTGGACTTGAGTTAGCATCATGACCAATATGTTAAATACTTTACGGCATGTCACCCAGATGGCTGTACCTGTACCTGCCAAGAATCCCAAACAAGACAACTCCATAAAGGGGGACCACACCCGCTGCGACCCACCACCAACACTACACTAACTTGTTTCCCCTGCATCTCTAAATGACCGACACAACGACCGTTTTTTGACCGGGGCCACAATTCATCGTTCCATGGATAGTGGACCCTCCAATGACCATCGCGCTCACCGGCCATTACACAGTCTCAGTGTCGTGTGTACGGATTGTCGGTCTTCGCAAAGAGAAACATGAGAGCAGATGCCATTCCTCGAGTCTCCGCAGAAGCGGGGGGATATCAAGTGACTTACTTGACTTTTAGCGATTGGCGAGGGTGGGTGTTTTATTTTGCTTCTTTCCCCCCGCCTCTGACCAGTGATCACTGACGGATGAGGCGCTGTGGCTCCATCACAACCCCTGTCAAGTGGATGCGGCGCTGGGACTGGTCGCCCGGTGAAAAACCGACGAACCTCTCACAGCGTGAAAACCCATGTCAGCGCTCTCACTGGCCTGGGAGCCCCGGTCGCCCGCACGCAACCGCCGCCCCTGCCCTGGGTCTGGGTCTGGGTGCGGATCGACTTCTGGGCAATTGTGTGCAGCATCTCAGCATCTCCCCTCTGGCAGTGGAAGTTCGGAAGTCGGAAAGTGACCTCAAACTCAGCTTGTCTCACCGTCAACTCACAATTCGTTACCAACTGTCTTGTCAGGTCATGGGACTATAGTAGGTATCCCACTTTCATAATGGTTATCCCAACCTTGGTGTCGCTCCTTGGTAGGCCGCCCGCCAGCGGCCGCAGCCTGGTCAAGCGGCTCCGTGGCCTATTAAGACTGCCAGCAACGCTACCCGGTGATCAGAGGGCGCTGTTCGCCACCACCCTCGCCCGCCTCTATCACCAACAGCTTGCCTCGCCGCGGTTATTCGCCAGTTCCTGTTTACGATTGCAAAACCCCCCTTCTTGCGAATATCGGATCTCGTGCCTCTCAATCATGCCCGGTTTCAAAGTCCGCAGTGAGCACACAAGACATTGTAGAGCCAGAATGCCCAGAGTCCGTTTCAAACTTGTCCCACAGCCGTGGGTTTTGTTGAACATCTTGGCCATGTAATCGGTCCGGGCTCCCGGAATCTCTCGATAAGAGATGGCTGGAGCGGTCCCTGTGCTCAAAAGAGTTTCCGCCAACCTCCTGGCACCTTCATGGCAGTTCATGCTAGTGTTCCTGGTACGCCCTAGGGCATGGCGCGATGTGTCAACAATTCCTGGAACAAACTAGTGGACGGACGGATCTGTAGCCAGTTCCTCTGTGAAACAGATCCATATCTAGCAGTAGTTCGTTCCAACCACGGAGGAACTGAACCGGCACCATCTGTTAACTTCGAGGGCCCGGGTTTTGTAGCTGCTCAAGCGCCTGGGAAATCCCGATCACCTGGTCAGTGCAGCCTTGTAGGGGACCGAGAATTTCTAGCCGACGGGATTTCCATTTCCATTGATTGATCACAGACACAGCAATCGAATGGTGAATATTTGCAATGCCACTTTCTGAAACATGGAAGCTCGTCCGGTACAACATCCGCCTGTAATTAAGGTGGTAGTGGGCTCAACAATGGAACGGTTTGGAGAACCCAGAGACCTGACAAGCAGGCCTAACTTAATCCGCAGAACTGGCGGGCTAGTGGCGCTCTGAGTGGGCTTCTCGAAGACCCATCGAACGTTAGGTCCCAAAAACGCGGCTCGGAACACCTTCGGCACGGCCCAGCTCACCAGGCCTCTCCTCGGTGGCAAGAGGCTATTTTTACAGTTGATATCTGAGACGCCGCTCCTCATTCCTTTGCACTTTTAAACAACGGCCCGTTGATGAATTGCATTGCTTGCCCGGTTACGCGCATCTTTGCATGTATGTGCCGGGAAATGGAGGGTACCTAGGCATTTTGGCTAAACGTCCCCTTTCCCGGTCTGCTCAAATCTGTTGCGCATTATAACCGCCCCAAGCTGCACACTCTTCGTTTCCGGGAGGCGCATGGCTGCGCAAATATGAAGTCTGATGATTGCGTCGCAAAACATCCAATTGGGGCTGGAACAGAGGGGACATGTTTGTTTGCATTATCTGGAGTCTTTTCTGTTCAATGGTTCACACACCCACACCTTTCAGCACTGACGATAATACGTCCGTGTGTTCGACAAATCCAATCTCAGATGCTTTTATTTTGGGTGCCGTTGTTACTGCGTAATAACCTTCTCCCAACCAACCCCTGGACCCCAGGCATGGACGAATTCGTCAGACCCAGGAACCCATCCAGCCGATAATGGCACATTATCTCTACGCATGTATGTATAGTACGACTTGAACGATGCGAAGACCATCTCCCGGGGCCAGTGAAGTCCATAATCATCACCTCGCGGTCTCGCCCGCGAATTTGCGCTATGCCAATACACTACCATGTGTGAAAAAATCGCTAACCGTATTGGGATTATTCCCCGAACGGCCCCGCAACGGTCTCGCTTGCCAGGACAAGTTAGTTAATCCGAGGATCCCTCTCATCGAGCCAAAGACTCGGCATCGCTGGTCGGCCCTCCATCCTCACCTCCAGGGGCTGGCTCACAGACAGTTGCGGTCGTGCGCTGCGCTGGGCCTGCCGTCAGTTCTTTCTAGCCACGTTACAGTAGGATCAATGGGATTGCAAATCCCTCTTGTGAATGGACGAATGCGCGGTAATCCAGCTTTACACAGCCTTGCAGGGCTAGCCATCTCATATTTCGCTCAGTCATCCATGCCCATATTGGTCGCTGATAGTTATATTGCGTAGAAGTCGTCGGGCAGCGCATTCGCCATCTTGGCCTGTTGCTCTTATCGAACTTGGCTTGTCGCCGTCGCGTGGACCTCTTACCGCGCTATTGACCTTGGCTAGAATAAGAGTCAAAGCGCCTGTCAATTGGGGACTCCATCGCGACGCCATTCTAGATTGCTAGCCTGATTGTCTCGACAAGCGAAAGTGACAGCGGAGCGATGCTGGCGGCGCAATTCCCCAGACAAGCATCCATCCCCCGTCGTTCGGCACGCGCCCTGACAGTGTCGCATGAAGCCACGAACACATGTTTCCTGGGCGAACCGTCCAGGGCGTCCAAGGTCCACTATGCCATCATCTCCCTATCCATCGGATTTGCAGCCTCTTGTCTGTCGATCAAACCACTATACACTAGGTCGAGGTCGATCACAGTTTCCTCCGTGGTGTGGTCTACACCACTCAGTGCGTGTACAACTACACGTGTACAGTACGTGTAGAGACCATGCTTGGCCCCGTGGCATACCCTGGCTAGCGCATTAGGTCTGGTAAAATGATCGCGGAGATGGCAGGCGTTGGCAGGCGTTGGCAGTCGTTGGGAATCTGGGGAAGTTTTGATGCCAAGGCTGCGCTTGCATTCGGAATTGGGTAGGCAGTCCTGGGCCACAATGAGGTCGGCTTCACGTGTAGGTATTTACCTACCAGACCGACAGGCTACGTTAACATGGCATTAGCGTCGGTTATGTTTGTTGCCTATCTGGGTCGGCCTTGCAGGCGACGTTGAAGTTGGAGGTGTGGAGAACAGAACAAGCCATCCCCAACATTGGTATGAAAAATATACCTACGATAAGTTGCGCAAGTCAGTCAAATAGGTAGGTAGATAGGCAGGTAGGTAGCTTTCCCATCGCCTGCTTGCCTCGGCACACAAACAGTTTCCAACTTTTCCCCTTCGCGAGGCGTTGATCGACAACTCATTTCCTTGTCACCATTTCCATCGTATATCCGGCCCGGATCGAACAGGGCGGAATCATTTCCGGTTCCAAATGGGGGTATCCCAGCAAGCTTCCCTTCCCCGGGGGGGACTTTCCGCATGGGCCGCAGCGGTCTGCTAGGGGGGTGGTGGGCCGGGGCACCGGAGGGGGAGGTCGGCGATGGACGACTGCGGGTCTCCGGCTTGTCATATATCGGTCGGTCTGGGAATCGATCCGGGACGGGCCTCTGGGCAAGCCTAGGGCAGAAGGGAGAGACTTCCAGGGAATGAATTGATTTAGACTAGGATGTGCGGCCCTGCTACCACTACAAGCAAGAAGTTCCTGAAGCAGTAACTGGAAGGGTCCGAGAGAGAGTCACTTTCTGTTGTCACCATCCCACCATCCCAGCATACCGACAGTCACTCCTCCTGGAATTGGCAGACTCCCTGCTTGAACCCCGTCTCGACAAAATCTGACACGAGTATCAGCCCACCAGGTCCAGCGCCAAGGAATCATCAATTCGATGACGCCATGGACGACCCTCCTTCCCGGTGGTTTATTGCCCCCGTCAACACCCTCACTCGCTGCCCTCGAGCTATCGTGCTGCTGCCACGGCCTTGGCTCAACTCCTCAGATGCACAGGAAATTCTGATAGCCGAGAGGGGCAAGGCTTGGGAGCTACGATGGCTATCACCTGGTCGCCTGCTCAGCAGTCGGAGGCCGAGGCAAATGAGGAGGTGGTCTTGCGGAACTTTGCGTTCTTGGCCGCTGTCTCCTCGGCGATGCGCCAGGTCGCCTTGCCTTCTGATCGTTGCCTTGTGAACCAACGCTGTTGGTAATATGAGGAATCTTAGGTAGATAGGATGTGACTTCAAAATTATACAGGAGTCATAAGTTCCTGTAACCATCAATCTAGGGCAGCATTTCCACAGCCTTCCACCTCACACTGGAAGATATTTGATCTGTTAAACTATAGCGTCAGAAAAAGGAGGCCTTGCAACGAATGCCAGCCCTCCCTACACAGTCAGCTCCGGGGAGGACTTTAGGGCCTGTCTTCTGAGTTGTGATTTGAATGCGGAGGCCATTGAGTTGACAATGACTCTATGATCTAGTAGTCACCAAACTGACTGTAGACATGAGGGATGACTAGAAGGGAGTTGAACATTTATCGATGCCGCTGGTCAAAATCAGTCAATCTTGACAGCCCAGAGAAGACCTACGACCTAATACGGCTAGTAAAGCAGTTGCCACTTGTTAACTCAGCCTAGACTGCTTGCTCGCACCTAGATAGCCAGCTTCTGGGGGAATGAGCGGAGCTTCCCAGAGGAGTCATGCCTGAGACAGGGTGAGGCAGAAACAATAGAAACACCTGGCACTTTGGAAACTAACAGGGCTAGGAACTTCTGATGGAATATGAAGTGCTTATGACATTGGTCCAATGTCCTAGACTCATAACCCCTGACCTTCCCAGAGCATACTCTCTGTGGAGCTTGTCGACTCTCCAGCTTGGTATTGGCTATCGAGGCCTGTCTTTGGTGTCATTGAAGCGGTGAGTGGCGCCACCGATTCTAAGGACTAAGTGAAGGTAGCCTTGGCCTTGATAGAGCCTAGCTGTGATAGGAAGATGACTGTGAGGAGCGGGTGGCCTTGATCTGGTCTCCTGGGGATGGTTAGGCTAGATTTCGCATATAGAGGAGCAAGTGAGCTTGAAATCAGACAGACATGATTACAAAAGGCAAACTTCAACAAGAACGCCTCAACTGTGTCAGTTCCATCACCACCATCTCAGACAGGCCAACCACACAACTCTTAATACCGCACCTAAAAGTGACTGTTTCGTAAGGGCAGTAGGGCAACCGAGAAGCGAAAGATCGACCACAAAGGCGTGTAATAATTAATGACCGCATGCACAGAAACTTCAGATTGTACCCAAGCCAAGATATTCAGATATGGGGAGGATGGGACGTCCCAGTTCATTTGCTGCCCTAAACCTAGCTCCTTATCTCCCACATCCTGATTTTCCCCGTGTCATTACCCACCGTCAATAGATCGCTCCCGTTCCCAAAAGCCACAGCTGTGACACGGCCAAGCGGCGTCTGATCGGTGGGCCAGTTCCGGTACACGGTACAACTGGGCAGATGTACCAGGCGCAGCGCGTCTTTCTTCTTGTTGCTGGCAAAGGCCAGGAGCTGGCCGTCCGGGGCGAAGGTGACCACGGAGATTGGGGTCGTCAGATGGTCGAGGCTCTTGGTCGGCTCAGGCAACGCTTTGATTTCCAACTTGCCCTCCGCCGACCGGGTCACCAAGCTGTTGCGGTCGTAGATATTCAGGATGCCGCTGTTGCACCCCAGTGCAACCCAGCGGTCGCCCCCCAGCTCGGACGGTCCGTTGCTCCCCCCCAGAGCCATGACCGTGCCGCGGATGGAGCCCGAGTCTCGCCAGGTCCCGACGGTCCTTCTCATCAGCATGCTCCACTCGGCAACACCCCCGTCCATCCCTAGGATCGTGATGCCGTCGCCGTTGCTCCACCACGCGAAGTCGCCAATGCCGCCGCGGCCATCTATGCGAGCCTGCGCTGCCCACTGCATGGTATTGACGTTGATGATGTTGAGCATGCCGCCGCCCTTGCGGTCCGTCGCGATGAGCGCCATGTACCGTCCGCACGGGCTCGTCCTGAATCGCTCCGAAGTCTTCTGTTCCTGCCTGTGGCCCTGTAGATGCGTCATCTTCTTGACCACCCCCGAGGAGAGATTCCAGCTGTGGAAGAATTTTCGCCGTCCAGCAAAGATGATCTCATCGCCATTGGGACTGAGGAACTCGGACCTCCTGATCGGAGTGCCCTTGAGCTGGACCGATGTAAGAGATGGGTTTGGCGTGGGATATGCAGTCGGGGCAATGTGGTGGAGGTGAAGGATCGAAGATAGGCTGGACGATAGGAGGATGGGATAGTGGGGATGGAATGACAAAGAAGCCACAGCTTGGCGGTGGGCATCCGGGATATCTCGCGTCCTCTGGATATCAATGGTCTCGGGCCGTAATTTCCTCTTCTTGCGGCCGTCTTGCACGGTTAATGAGTTGGCGTCTCGGAGGAACTTGTCCAGGGGTAGTGGTGAGGCATCGCCTTCTTCGGCGTCGCTCCCCTCGGACGCGGACGAGGAAAAGGAAGAAGCCGATGAACGCCGCCGCCTCTTTGTGAGACGGCCTTCTGCTTCCTGGGCCCATGCAGGGTGTGGATATAGCCGCAGATATTGTTGGCGCAATCGTCGCGCGTACTCCGTCCCGTTCACAACATCCTCTGCCTCGGAGATTCTCAGCTTGCGTAGCTGGGAGACACCGGCGAGAGATATGGATAGGCGCTCATCGTCGCTGTCTTCCCATGCCGGAGCATCTTGTCCTGGGGTAGCATCACTTGCAAGGCCCTTGGACACCACTAATTGCTTGTCGGCGGTCGCTGCCGGGGCATCGATGAAAAAGAGGGCCGAATCGTCGATGTCCTCGAGACCAGTCGTCTGCGTGAGTTGGCCGGCGTCCAGTCCAGTTGCCGGTAGCAGTGCCGATCCAAAGTCGTCTTTGAATAGTTGCTCACGGAAGTTCGCCTTGCCGCCGAGTACGAGCCGCTCGAGCTCTTCTTCCTCCGAATCCTTGTCAGCGATTGCGGCGGCTGCGCTCTTCTTCACCTCCTCGTCACTGGAGAGGACCTCTTCCTCGAAACCCGAGGATGAATCATCCGACAGGTCATCTTGGTGTTTTAGAGACATGTTTTAATAGTTTCGGTCTCCTGACGAAATCTAATCCTGCACCCGGTCTGTCTAGGTTGCCGCAGGAAACTTTTTTTTTCTTCCCAGTAAAACTTCTCAGCCTTGCAGATTGTGGGCCTTCAAGTGGGGGTATCTCAGCACTGCTCAGGTAGCCTTGTCGCTTGGTCCTCACGTGGCTCACGTGGCTTTCCCGGAAAGTTACCTAAGCATAATAAATATGAAGACGGCCCGGGCTTGGCAGGAACTCCAAATTGAGGGACAAACAGTGCAAAATGGCCAAGCCATGGGAGACATCTCGTATTAAGCTTGAGTATGCCTTCTATCAACAGAACTACACTCCTGGTAGCAGACCAAAGGGAACGTTGAAGCACTTGATATCACTATCCCGCCCTCTCGCCAGTCTCTATCGTCCTGTCTTGTCAATTCCACTCAACATCAGGTAGGTATTTACTGTCTTCAAGCTTATCTTGCCTTCCTGTCTTTTTCAACAGCAAGCCACTGTACGAAATCTGACATGCCTTCCTGCACATTTACAACCTCAGCTTGCAGGCTTAGTTATCACTTGGCGCTCGGCTCCCCAAGGGAGGCCTTCACTGTGCAATAATGCCGCCGATATGGATAGCGAGAACGGAGCTGTGAAGCCCATGTTCCAGCATTTCGTTGCCCGCCGACTAACACCGCCCTTGCGGTTGCGGAATGGGTTGAGACCAGATTTCCGCTCCGCGGAGACTTCGTACTGGCCAGATCAGGAGAAAGAATTGGCGCGTGATTGAGCCAATGGCAATATTAGAAGCCCACTGCCACCACACATTGGATTCTCTGAGGGATTCTCTGAGGAGGCACGACCACAAGATCCGGAATTTGCCGGTGCGGTAATGGCGGCACCAGTCCAGCGCACCCCTCATTATCTACTGCAGCCAGCTTGACATCGCATATTTCGCACCGGACATCTCTGGGAAGCGTCATGGAGGGTGCCTTCCTAATCGCAGGGTGGAGAAGGCGACGACACACTCGGAGTTGAGGATGCGATCATCGCCATGTGAATCTTGGCGTGGGAAATACATATCGGGTGCCGCAGCCGAGAGAATCTTTTTGGAAAGCAGCATTAAGATACCCGACGAAACGATCACAAGGAGTTGATGTCATCGGCCACGAAAGAAACTGAGCTGCGTCGGGACGTTGGGGGTAATAACCTCCATTAGGTCCGAGGTCGCACACGAGAATTCTGTTCCTGATAAGAGACAGCATCGGGGCTGACGTCGTAGAAATAAACCCCTGCTAGCTAATCTGGCTTGGCAGGGCTTGAGCCGCGCTGACTGTTGGTTTGAAAAATCGTGGGCGCTCTGATTGGCTCGATTTTCTGTAGAGATAAGGTCGCTATCTCTTGGTCACTTGTCAACGATTTTCTTATCTCTCCTACTACTGTCTCAAATAAAGCTTTAGTCAAGATCTAGAGTCAGGCTTTGAAAAGCTTGGAATCTCTGGGGTACAGCTTGCCCCATGGCGGGAATTGTCGGAGGCAGCCCCTTATCCATACTTCGCCCCATCTGTTTTCGTCCATTGGGGCGGCGCGACCGTCTTTGGGTTGCAAGCGCAAACAATCGCGATGTTCCACTTGGTGTCTTAGCCCATCTGCTCTGGATTCCATTCCTCTCGGCGTGGCAGAGTTAAAGCCGAGGTACTCCAAGTGAGGCCTGGAGGATGCACAGGAGGATCACCTCAAGCTTCCTCGATGAAGGCTCGAGCTGGCGTGTCAGTGGTATGGAGGATTTACTAAAGGGAACACTAAGGTGATCGAGTGAGGATTTCCCGCGTCTACATTGTATAGCCCTGTCGATGATGGGGTACAATGATCTAGCCTCTGTGCGTCAATTTTTTTTTGGGGCGTGAGCGTGGCGGAGATTGTCAGCCTCTTTACGTACTCTGCCATAGCTTTATCAGTGCAGAGATATACTGCATAGCACCAATCTAACCATATCCCCACGCCAACTGGCCTCCTCCCTGCCGGCTTCGCTCGATCTTCCATGCCATCCGCTAAGCAGCCCACTTTAGTTGTGCTGATGATAGGATGGACGACAGGGAACAGCCGGACAACACAGCTGAGGTTGTCTGGGTACGTCCCTGGCTCTCTGCATAGCATGTACACCGTAGAGTGGGAGAAAGGCCGTGGACGGCGACTAGGATCCCGAGTCTATGTGACTGACAAACACCCTTGAGCCCACCCTGATGCTAAACTGCGGGACCCTCTTTCACGAGTTACCCTACTAGAGGTATTGCCTATGTACGGCGACTATCCCTGGATCCCGTTCCCGGAAGCTTCTCGTGTGCCGGATAAGTTATATACTCGTCGGTGCCCACAGCTACCTACCTCCGGGCCACTGACACGAGACTCCCTGCCGTATCCCGTCACACTTGACCGCGAACTTTTCGAGTCTTTCCATGCCTTTACAACCCTTGGATATCCCTTCTTCTTCGATCCTGCGTTCTCTAAGCACCTGAGATATCTGGCACACGACCAACGACACCCGTACCGCCATGTCGTATTCATGGGTCGGGGCTCCTACCCCGTTCAATGGTACCGACGAGCATACCGGCGGCGATTCCGGTAAGCCTTTCTGCGTCCAACATCTCTTACAAGTTCAGGAGATTAATAAGGGGGGGTTGGATAGCCGTCGAGAATCTAAACCAGTGGTACCAATCCGGCGACCAGGCGTTCATCATCATTGCTTCGTGCATGGTGTTACTCATGATCCCCGGCATCTCATTCCTCTACTCCGGACTCGCTCGAAGAAAGTCGGCCCTGTCCCTCATCTGGGTCTGCATGATGTCCTTCAGCGTCATCGTGTTCCAATGGTACTTCTGGGGGTACTCTCTAGCCTTCAGTAGCACTGGTACCAGCGGCTTTATTGGGAACCTGAAGCACTTCGGCCTCATGAACACACTCGGCAAGCCATCTCCGGGCTCCCCCCTGATTCCCGAACTCCTATACTCTTTCTATCAGGTCAGGACGATCCCACCGCCCCTTTTTTTTCTATATACCTTCAGGTAGGGGACACTGATGCTGACCCTGTGAGCAGATGCAATTCTGCGCCGTCACTTGCGCCCTCGTCGTGGGAGCCACAGCCGAGCGTGGCCGTGTTATTCCGGTGATGGTGTTTGCGTTCTTTTGGGCGACCCTGGTCTACTGCCCCGTCGCCTGCTGGGTGTGGAATGTCAACGGCTGGGCATTCAAATATGGCGTTCTCGACTACGCCGGCGGCGGCCCCGTCGAAATCGTCTCGGGTATGTCGGCATTGGCCTACTCCTGGGTCCTGGGCCGCCGGAACGAAAAGATGATGCTCAACTTCCGTCCTCACAACATCTCCCTCATCACCCTCGGCACTATCCTCCTGTGGTTCGGTTGGCTCGGCTTCAACGGCGGCTCTGCCTTCGGTGCCAACCTCCGTGCCACGATGGCTTGCTGGAACTCCTGCCTGACTGCCATGTTTGGGGCCATGACCTGGTGTATCCTTGACTACCGGTTGGCCAGAAAGTGGTCACTTGTCGGCTGGTGTTCCGGCACCATTTCCGGCCTTGTTGCTGCCACTCCGGCCTCCGGCTTTATCCCACCGTGGGCTTCTATCCTTCTAGGTATCGTTACCGGCATCTGCTGCAACTTTGCAACCAAAGTCAAGTTCGTTGTACGCATTGACGATTCCCTCGACGTCTTCGCCGAACACGCTGTTGGCGGCATGGTTGGCCTCATCTTCAACGCCCTCTTTGCCGCCGACTACATTATCGGTCTCGACGGCGTGAACACGGGCGCCATTGGCGGCTTCATTAACCACAACTTCAAATTGCTCTATATCCAGATTGCGTATATACTTGCGTGCACCGTCTATTCCTTTGTCGTTTCCGCCATCATCGCGAAGATAATCGACCTGGTTCCCGGTCTCCATCTCCGCGCCAGCGAGGAGGCCGAGCTTCTCGGCATGGACGATGACCAGCACGGCGAGTTCGCCTACGACTACGTCGAGGTAAGTCTATTATGTCTCCGCTCACAGGCCGACTACCCAGTTTGCTAACGACTCCCAGGTCCGCCGTGACTACCTAGCCTGGACGCCGGCCGGCAGAGACCAGAAAGACGATGGCGTTGAAATGATCCCGCAACACGGCATCGAGGCACACCAGAACATGATGAATACCCCGACACATCGCCCGATACAACAACGCCCGGTATCTCTCCCTCCTGCTATGGAGGCGTGCGAGGAGAAGGAGAAGCCCACCTCATCCTCCGCGTCGACGAGCAAACAAGACTGAGGAAGGAAAAAGGGAAAAAAGGCATTTGCAGGGTTGTATTTGAACTTGGTGATTTAAGCACAGCGGAAAGACAAAATGACTTGTTTGAGTTCTTACGGTCATCAGGGCATCATCGCTTGGGATTTTGGGACTTTGGGATTTGGTTGTTTCTCATGATTTTCTTCATTTTGCTTTGGCCTAGCATGTTTGCTGTACTAATACCCAATTGCTTACGAACTGTTTGATATCAACGATCTGGACATATACCTACTAGACTCTCTACTGGATTGAGAGCGTCAATAGAAGCAGCTTCACCTTATTTCCAAATCCGGGGACTGTGAAACAAGAATACCCAACCTCAAATATGGCACACAGCGCTCCAACATTGTCGCAGGGTCCGACTTTTGACGTCACCGCGTAGCCGCCAAGATTCTGTCTGACTACGCGTACAAGAGGCAAAAGTCCTGCAAAATATTGATTCAGTGCTAAAGAGCGATTCTCAATCAAATCCACTTCGGCTTCTGCGAAAGTGGATGGCCTCCTACATGTCAACGAAGGGAGAGGGAATTTTCGCCCGGGAGGAAACGGGAGCCCCTGATAAGGCGTCGCCCAAACGAGCCTAGCACTTGGCCCACGCTTGCTAATCAACTCCACGGGAACTGTGAAATTCAGGTGAGGCTCTCGGTGCCAAGCCCTATTCTGCAGGGGATGCCGAGAATAGCGCTTTTAGTGGTGTGGGGGCGCCGGGAATCAGCAAGCCAAGGCGGGACTTTATAGGGGTTCTCGAACGTCTGGAGTGGGCCTTGCATCGTTTATCTTTTGAATACCAGGTATGTACCAAATCTACCTCGGTACCTGGATAACTGGATGACTAGGTTGACAACAGAGCTCCCATCAGGCATGACTCGCTGGTTTGAGACGCTTGTTGTTCAATAAAGGGAAGTAGTGTCGGGTCGCGCTCACTTCAGACCAGTCGGTCCGTTAGGAACCTTATCAGCTGGAGTCAGATATCCTCTCCATCTCAGGGAGACTTGACTCGACGTGTGCCAGTTGACTTCCATTCCACCTCAACCTCACTCATCAGGATGGCGCCTTCCTTACAAGCCATGATCACCCCTTGGTTGCCCAATTGGGAAGTAGAAATCTGCAGTTACTTCCTTCTCAGAGTTCCCTTTCCATCAGGCTTCTTCCACGCTTCCATGATGCATGTTCGAACTCATCTGCCTGCAGACCTGCGCAGCTTCGATCTAAAAGCCATTAACAGCAGTTTGGCATCTGTCGGATTATAGTATGCTTCTGTCCAGTTAAAGTGTCCCGAGGCTTTCGCAGAATCCTCGAAATTGCCCCCCACTCCTCTTTGTACGGTTTACTTGGCTCTCTTGAGCGACCCCAAGCACCCCAGACACTTTCAGACAAGCATCGAGAAGTGTTTTCGACTACCTACGGAGAATGGACTCACCGCCCTCCCCGGTTCCTCTCGCCAGAGGCAAATCCCCGATGGCAGCTAAAGGACGTACTCTCGCCGCGACTGCCGCCACCTTGTCGCAGAATGCTGACCCGGAGTGGTGGAAGAGGTCAATCTCGAGACAGCAGGCGCAAGTATTGAGGGAGGCGGCCGGATTCGTGTTGAGAGATGCCATACGGTTTTACGAATCTGGAAAGGCCGCCCAAGAAGGGATTCCGTGTCTGCAACGAGATATCGGCACCGCGAGAGAGGCCATAGACGCCCTTCAACAGGACGGGATGAGGAATAAGGAACAATTGAAGAACATCCTTTGCGATTTCGATAGGAGATATGATTTGCAGCAGGCCTTTCATGTCAGCGTACTGCGTGACGTTGCCAGTGCCAGAGGGCAGTTCGACAGACTCTCCGAAAAACACGCGTCATTGGAGAGGGACCTTGCTGCATTGCCTGACCTACAGTATGAAATTGGGCGGCTGCGTAGCCAAGTCGAATCCCTCAATGCCGAGTTGGGGCTTCTGAAAGAGGACTATTCCATGCTTAGTGAGAAGTCCGATGCGAAAGAGAGAGCCGAGTGCGCTGGTAAAGGACTTGATGAGGTTGAACTGAGACGAACCGTGGCCGTGAGAGGGCCGGAATTGTCACGTAAGTGGTATTGTCTACCGTTTGAGGACGGTGAGATATTTCTGACGTGGACTTCAACAACAGCTCAGCCCGCAGATTGTATCACGGTTCAGAGCCGACGGCTAGACCCTGAGCGGCATTTGGACCTGGTGAATTTCGAAGACCATATGGTGCATTCCGTACCTCAGAATGCGACTACGGCTGGGCACAGCGAAGGAAGTGTCCCCGTAGATCAAGATAAGCAAGTCACGGCTCTTTTGAAGGAAGCCGAGAGGGAATATCTCCAGAAAAGCCCCAAGTCAGACACTAGCTTCATTTGGTCCTTTCTTGACAGGGTTGAGGACGACAATCTGTGCAAGCATATCCAGACCAGCCTGACAACCCTGGTGGATGAGAAACTGGTCAAGGAGGCGAGGCCTCGCAGGGGCAAGGACAAACGCCGCGTCGTGAATATCTCGCCGAAGTTGACTTGGCACCAATTCACCCATGCCATGAGGAAGATACGCATGACTCCTGAGGCTTAGTGGCGGACTCGGCTGCTACGAAAAATGGCCAATCGGGAGGAAGATATGTGAAGAAGTTGTCCTTTGCATTTGCTGCGGCGTTGTCAGTTTCTTGTCATCTGTCCTGAGGAGAATGAGCCGGGATTGTGAGTGCAAATTGCCATGATCGACTTTAGCTATGTGCTCTGATATCCAAAGCTACTTGTGAAGACTAAGTAGGTAGCTTAAGACTGCCCCTGGGTCTTTAAAGGGAGAGAGGGTATCTCTCGACCGGGTTCATTAGATCGAGTATGAAATTGACAGTCATTTCAAAATTTTATGTTCCAAGGCCAAGTACGACCACGCTTGGTCTCATTCTCGAAACGACGCCTTCGCAACGAGGGTTCCCACAAGCCTAACCGCTGTGTGCCTAGTGCCGCTGTAATCCCGTGATCCTGATCCAAGCCTAATTCCTGATCTCCAACGCCCTGCCAGGGGTTTTGTCTTCTGCGTCCGACTTGTCGATCCCAGTGTACTTGTTGATCCACGCCAGCACCTCGCGATGCCAGACCAGGGAGTTCTCCGGGTGTAGGACCCACTGGCGAAGTTGGTCAGTAACAGCTCCTTCTCCTTCCTCATCCATCATCTTCTCGTCACTTTTCTCTCTCTCCCAGCTTGGAGCTGCGATACGCACTGGAATCCAGGATTAGGGTTTGGGGGGCAGGGGGGAGGATATGTCTCACATGGTTTTCGTCAGGGAACGTCAACAACCGGCTCGGGACACTCCTTGACTGCAGGACGTTGAACGCCGCGAGGCCCTCTGTGACGGGCAGGCGGTAGTCCAGGTCACTGTGGATGATCTGTTATAAAGAGAGGAGAATGTGGTCAGCCAACGAACAGCGCGACAGGCGTGTTTGTGATATAGGTAGGGTATGCGTGTGTGCGGTGGGAAGTCGAGAATACACTGACCAGTTCCGGAGTCGCCCACTCGCCCGCAAACCTCGCGGGATCCCACTTCTCATAGCCCTCGCGGTTTTCCCAGATGGTGCCCTCAAAATCGTGGATGGGGAAGAAGAGCTCCTCCGTACACCACATGTTCATCGTCGTGAACACGCCGTCGTGGCACACGAGAGCCTTGAATTTGCGCCCTAGAGGGTGCCCCTGGATCCAGTCTGTTGAAGTCAAAAGTCAGCGACACTAACGAATCTCAAAACGGCGAGGGAACGGAAACGGAGGGGAGTCGGGGTCTTACTGATCATGTAACCTCCGTAGCTAGCCCCCAAAGCTACCGCATTGCTGGTGTCGACGTAGGGCATATTGTCCGCGATGTGGTCGAAGCAGTTCACGAGGTCTTCGTACGGCCTGCCGCCCCATTGGCCCTTGATCCCGTCCTGCAGCGCCATGCCGTAGCCGGTGCTCCCGGTCGGGTTCGGGCTGACGACAACGTAGCCCTGCTCGGCGAACACGGCCGGGTTCCACCTAGTGCTCCACGAGTCCCCCCACGCGCCCTGCGGCCCGCCGTGGATGAGCAGCGCGAGCGGGTACTTCTTGGACTTGTCAAAGTCTGACGGCTTCAAGACCAGCGCGTGCACGTCGTAGTCCCCCGCGCCCCTGAACCAGAAATCGTCGAACTGCGTCGTCTTGGACAGACCAAACGTCTTGCCGTGCCTGGAGCTCGACGACACCGTCTCCAACACCCCCGACGCCGGGTCGAGGATGCCGTAGCAGCTGTTGTCCACCAACGACGAGCTCGTGATGAACAGCTTGTCGGAGCCCTCGGCCAGCAGGCCAAAAGAGGAGACACTCCCCTCGCTCGTCAGCGCCACCGGCAAACCCTCGCTCCCTGCGCGCGGCTCCGCGTCCAGCTTCCACACCTTCGAGCGACCGTGCTCCTCCGCCGTGACGAACAGCTCCGCATCGCCAGCGCCCCAGACGACCTCCTCCGGCCGCGCGTCCCACCCGCCCTTCCCGTCCTCCGTCTCGTAGAACTCTCGCGCCTCGCCCTCCTCGCCCTCGCCTCCGATGTCGTCGACAACCAGCAGCCGCGGCTTGTCCGACTCGTACTGGTCTCCGCGCATGCGCGTGAACGCCACCCTATCGCCGCGGCGCGAGAACGCCGGCGAGGCGCAGTACCCGCGGAGGTCGCCCGTGCCGACTGCCCTCGGCGAGGCGGCGCCGGCGGCCTTCCCACTGTCAGCGAAGCTCGCCACCGGCAGGAAGTACAGGTCCGTCTTTGTGTGGCTGGCCGGGCACAGGCGCGGGTCCTTGGCCACGAAGACGATGCCCCGCGGGCCGACGTCGAAGTCACCCGTCCCGCCGAACGGCGGCACCGGCGAGGACAGGCCGGTCCCGGCCAGGGCGTTGACCAGGCCCGTCTGCGGGAGTAGCGCGTATCCGGCGCCGTCCTCTCCTTCTCCCCGCCTCCGCCGCAGGCAGCCGTACCAGATCGCGTCGGCGGTGTCGCCGACCCACGAGTCCCAGTGCCGCACAAAGAGGCTGTCGTGCACGCGGGCCGACGAGTGCGGCGTCGACCCCCGCTTCTTGTCGCCGCCCGGCCGCGCCATGTCGCCGTCGCGGGTGGCCGGGGCCGAGCACGCGAGGGCGAAGCCCCCCTCGCCGCCGTCGTCGTCCGGCAGCAGGGCCCTGACCTTGAGGTTGGACACGGCGCCGGGGAACCGGGCGATGACGGCGGGCCGCGAGCCCGGCTGCGAGGCGCGCACGAGCAAGAGGGAGGTGCCGCCGCCGCCGTCGCCTTTCTCGGCGGCCTCGAGGAGGACGAATTCGTCCTCGGTGAGCCACGTCGGCTCGCTGTACTTGGGGCCCTCGTACAGGAGGGTCGACTGCCCCGTCCCGATGTCGAGGACCCGGACCTGCGACGTCCGCTCGTGCTGCTCGAACGAGTAGGTGGAGACCTGTTGGGGATGGTTAGCCACGGCGTGTAAGTGCCTCCCGGGGAAGGGGAAGAGGTGTTATGCCCCCCCATCTGGTTTGGCCTCGTCCCGTGGATGAGCCCGTCTAGTCGCGTGGGCGCTCAGCGGTTGTGCTTACGGTGAAGAGCACCTTCGTTCCCGTCCTGTTCGGCCGCCCCGCAGACCGGCGCGGGGCAGAGAGCAGGACTTCGGGAGTAAACTTGGTTGCGGTAAGCGTCATTTTCTCAGATGGGATGACGACTGCTCGGAGATCGTTCTTGGAGCAAAAGGATTGCAATTGTCTGTAACAATTGCTTTGGAAGGTTGGTTACTATCTATCGCTGCCCCTCTGTCAAGATCTCTCCTTCTCGGCGACGTTGAGTGTCACGAGTGTGTAACCCGCATGTAACCGCCGGCCATCCAGGTTCCTGCATTGGGCACGTGATCACTACAACACCTCTAATTGATCTTCGTCAACGATGTAGGTGGTCAAGCGGTGCTAGAAAAGGTGAATCAAATTCTTGAGATTTGGGAGTTTGTAAAGTGAGGACAGGCTTGGTTTTGTGCCGGAAGCGAAACCCACACAGCTCACGAAGAGGAAGCCCAAGGGGCCACTCTTTTCCAAGCCTAAGCCACGCGAGCCTCCAGCCCACGGTAAAGCACAAGATGGGTAGGTAGTTACCATGCCAGGTAGTCGTGGTGGATCTGTCAGTCTCGCGGTACAGGGTCCTCTCGGCCCTATCTAGTTGACATACTGGAAGAAGATTCCAACGTCGATCACGGAGGTTGAGAGCCTGTCAAGGCGGAGACTGGTTTTCCCTGGGGCTCGCCGAACGGAGTGGGCTGGGATGTACAGTAGCTCTTCGGAGGCAGAGTGGGTGGCACTGGTAACAACCACGAGATCGGCAAGAAAAGACGGCAGAGTAAACCGATCTACCATCCCGCGCGAGCAGGCATAAAATCTATATCTCCTTGCGCCAATGCCATCCATGATACTTAGTCGCCCCCCAAACACCTGGAGTTTGAACAAAGGTATTCCTCGGATTCCGGGCAGTCGATTTCATAAAAATCCGAAGACCCAAGACATAATATTTTAACCATGTCCTCCCCAACGCCAAAACCACATACGCCCAACCGTAACCGGCGACAAACCAAAAACCATCGATAGAGAGAACCAACAAACCGACGCGCGCCCACATCCATCCCTCTGATCCCTCCTCACCTACGAACCGCCCCAAAGTTCGTCCTCGCCTTCTTCGTATCTCGCGTGTCCGTCTCACTGTCCTCTGCCTCCGCGGCTGCGGCTGCGGCTGCTGCTGCTGCGGCGGCAGCGGCAGCAGCCTTCTTAGTCTTCTTCGGCGCGCCAGATTTCGTCGTCGTAGCCGAGCCCGGGCCAGGGCCCGTAGCTGAGGTCGGCGTCGGCGCTCCCGTGGAGTCCCGGCCGCCGCCCGTGAATGAGCCCGAAACCGGCGTCGGGGCCGCGGGGGTGGAGGTTGCTGAGGCCGGGGTCATCGCGTCCTGGAAGGGAGGGGCTGTGTGTCAGCGGCTTTTACCCTCTGAATCGCGAGGAAAAGAGGGGGGTGAGGTTAAGAGGCGCAGGTCGGGCAGCAGGTTCTTTTTTTCGGGGGAAAAATCTAGAGGCGGAATGGAACGGCACAGCGACTTACGCCGTTAGCATTGTACGAGATGGAGCTCCGCGAGAAGACGCGATTCGCGTCCGTGAGGCCTGTCTTCCGCCGCTGAGACGCCGCGCCGCCGGTGCCCTTGATGTAGTTGTCGAACCCGGTGATGATGTTGCCGAGCGGCGTGCTCTCGAGGTACTCCGTCTCTTTCTGGTAGATTGTGTTCTCCTGCGCCGCCTGTCGCGTCCGCGTTAGCCCCGTTGTCAAAAAGATCCCCTCACACCAGAGGGGGTGTGTAAGAGAGGGGTTGGATGGTCTCGCTCACGATCCTCGCGTCCAGCGCCTTTTTCTTGGCGATGAGCTCCTTGAGGTGCTGGCGCTGTTTTTCGTAGAATGGCACCCCCGCAGCTGAGTCGCCGCCGTTGACGACGCCCGCAGCTTTCGGGGTCGCGTTTTCCGCCATGTCGATGTCGGTGTCCCAGTCTGAGATGGTGCTGCTGGCCGAACGGTCCTTAAGGCGTGATTGGTAGTCGAATGTGTCGATGCCCGGAGTTCCGACCAGGGTGGTGGCGCAAGAGTATGATGGGTAGCTCCACTCCATTGTTCATGCTGCTGCGCGGCTAGTCCCGGTGGATCCACATGTGAACGGCAGCCAATCGCTGGGCAGAAGGCTTGAGCGTCTCCGATCTCCAGGTGCATCCTGATGAGTTGCAACTTGTAGATCTGTGAGTTCTACAGAGGAAAAAAAGGAGTTTTGGCTTTGGGATGGTGCCGTACTTTACATGGGCCTTATATACGGGTTGGCTTTGGGATTGTGCCTTCCTTCACATGGGCCGTATATACGGGTTGCAATGTGAGGCAACCACGCTGCACAGTATGCATTTATGGCTGAGGCAATCCCTAGCAGGTTCGGGCAGTAGAAGAGAGGATGATATCTAAAAGCACAGAGCCATGTCGTGGCTTCTACTTAGGTGCAACCGCGGTATCTCGGCGAGGTTAAACAACCGCCCCTTCCACGCCAGAATAAGAAACGCAATGCCGATATGAATTGACCGCGTCGGATTATCCCGAGTGGTCACTGCCCTCTGAATCTGATAGCACTAATGGCGCTGGTGATGCTACAAAAGCTTACAAAAGCTTCAACGACGGTTAGCCTCAACATTGCTAGGATCGCTCTTCGAGGATCTCATCTTCTTGATTCTTTCCCGCAGTTCTTTCTCTCGCAGTTCGTTGGCTTGTTGTTCGGTGGTCTTCGGCTGCCAGCCTGTCAGTTACTCCGAGCTACGTCCTCCTCCTGGGAAGGCCGACCAACCTGCCGAGCATCGGAAGCGGATGATCTATCGTGGGAAGATTGCGGTCTGTCTTCAATGCCGGAAACATCAGCTGAACCGTCGCGGGAATGTGAAACTTGAGAACTAGAAGAGATCTTGTTGACGAGCCGGTCATCTTCAGTGTCAGGCCGTCGAGCTTGACCACGCTCTCGTTCTCGATGGTGACCACGTCCCCCACTTTCACTTCTCGGCGTTGATGCGGCAGGGCTATTGACAGACGAAGGAGTTAGTGATCGTCGATCTCCGCCCCGGCGGCTACTGTAGCTGGTTGAAACACTCCTGCTCCCACGGCTAGTCCGTCCTGCTCGGCTACGTCTCGGAGAGCGAGAGCGTGAGAGTGGTCGCGAGTGCCGCGAATGCCTTGAGGAGCTCGACGATAACGACGAAGATCTCGACTTCTGCCGGCGATCTGGCGACCGACTTCGAGAAGAGGAGTATCTACGACGCTTAGGCGGCGGAGATGCACGGTCGGAGGACACAGACCGCGGCCGTCCTCGGCGCGAGGCTGGTGATGGAGATCTAGGTCTTGTACGGCGATCTCGAGCTGGAGATGGAGATGCGCGTCGTCGAGCTGGGCTCGGAGAACGGGCATGGTTAGATCGCCGGCTAACCGCGCTTGAGCTTCGAGAACGTGATCGCGATGACGCTGAGTCGATAGATCGGGACGGAGTCGCGGATCTTCGTCGTCTATTGTCCCGGAATCGGGTTTCATGCCGCCCACGTCTTAATGTCGGGCTTCCGCGCGGTACATAACTATCCCCACCGCCTCCTCGAGGAGGACCGCGATCTCCCTGGTTGCGATATCGGGGTGGGGAACGGGATCGACCTCTGCCACTGCCGAAGCTCCCTCGGCCGCGATTATCATAGTCTCGATCCCGATCGTCACGCGCGTCACGGCCGCCGCGCCAGGAGTCTCCTCGGCCGCCACGCTGTCCGCCCCCGCCCCCGCCCCGGCCGCGGTCTCGGCGCTCGAACTCATCACGTCGCTGTCGAGCTTCCTCGGCCGCCTTGTCGGCTTCGAGCTGCAGTAAGAGTTGGTCAGATAAAATCATCTCCAATTCGTGGTGTTGACCGGCAACATACCTTCTCTTGGATTAGTTCCAGTTTCTTCGCCTCGAGCAACTCCTTCGGTACACCTTGGGGACTGTTCTGAGCACTCAGAAGGAGCTTCCAGAGGTCCTTACAGAACGACGCCGTGTCCTTGTCAAGAAATCCAGTGAGCTGAATCTGGAGGGATTTGATATCGGGCTAAAAGGAACGTTTAAAAGTTAGCACAGTGGACAAGGGCAAGAGGCTCATCACAGGGTCGCGGGTTGACCTACGTGTCGAGGCCCTTCAATCAGATTGAAAACAAGCTCAATGACGACGTCATCTTCATTTCCGAGGATGTCAGTGACCTTGCCTGCTATCCATCTGTAGCGACGCGGATACAAGGTTAGCACTCCGAGATACCACTGCGAGGCGAGCAAGAACGCGTTGAATCTTACTTTTTCATGACCTGAAGATTGACCTTTTGCATGTCAACCTTCTGGTTGAACTCGGGAGGAAATTTGGTCGACTTGAGCAACCTTGCATCGACGCCTGTAGCCATGATTTCTGTGGAGGCCTAAAGCAGGGCGTCAGTGGTGGAGTGTTTGTCACGGCGAATAATAAAAGTATTTGGTCGAGGGTTGGGCGACGAGAATCCGAGCTTGGGAATGGGAACTTCCATGGGAATTGGGATCTATTTATGTGGGGTCGCCGCACAGACTATGGCGCATTACTATGTATACATCAACGCTGGAGTGGCTCGTTGATCGGACAGGTCTCTTTAACGGCTACTTGCAGGTCTCACACGTCTACAATCAGGAAGCACAACGGCTACCTACGTATCTGACAGAGCTGATTTCAGATAGCAATACCTATATATTGCGCTGGTCGATGCTGCCCTTCAGAGTTCCATGATCAAGTGCCGTCCAGCTTTGCTCCACAATTAACAGCCGCCTCGTCATCAAATCAGCTACGGGGGTACTTGTGGCTCATGGCTGCCCTGGAATAGATGGTATCCCAAGTCGATCATCAAGGAGGTGTGGGAATAATTTTATGTCCATGATTCATAACAATTGCCCTAGAAAAATTTGGGACAGCTACCTACCTACACGAGTCCGTATTCCTCAGCCCCACCCCAAAGAAGTTATACAGGAGCAAATTACCACGACAATAATCCACGCAGACAAAGGGGAATATAACCATAACCAGGAATCAATGTTTCCTAACGCCCCAATGCTTCCGTCCGTGTCTTGCTTAAACCATCTCAGCGCGAAACGCCTCCTTGTATTCCCATCAAAAAGACTTGCACTGTTTTGAACTCCCAACACCTTAAAGCCAAATCTTGAGGGCCACCATAACACCTGCACAATACCAACAATAAGGAGTAGGACCGCTGGTAGGATGGAATGAATAGTGGTGAAGACCATTTAGGGCGCCTTCGGGTAGGTGAAGCGTGTTTGGGAACTTTCGGAGGTTTCCCTCTTTTCAGGGGTATGTGCCATTTGTTGGTGCTGCCTAGCTTGGATGGCATTGATGCGCTCGCGAGCCCTGTTGAGACCCGTGGTGTCTTGCTGCCTCAGCTGGGCTCGAATCTCGTATAGCTGCATCAGCGAAGTAGCCCGGGCGACGTCGTCCTCGGCCTGTCCCATGAAATATTTCAGCATATATGTATCAGCAGTAACGGGGAGGGGATATAGTCTGACCTGAGATTCTCCGCGCGGGGTCGACGTCCCCGAGATAGGACCCATAGAGGAGTTAGATCGTGTCATCGGGGGAGTGAGTATGCGCCGACCGAATTTATCAAACTTTGCAGAGGATGATGTCCACGAGATGATTGCCGAAGCCGACGCAGGACGTTGGTGGTGCAGTTGATCTTGCTCTAGAGGCTTGGATGCATCGTGAGGGGGAGGTAGTGCCTTGTTCGCATTCACAAGGGCAAGTGCTGCCTCGGCCTCTTGCTGTAAGTGTGTGTCAGTTTGGAAGTGGTTAAGGTTTGCCTTGGTCATCGCCAGTCTGATGCGACAAGACCATTGCAAGCAGCCAAGCGTCCTAAGAAGAAACGGCGACTTACCGCAGCATTAAGATCACTAAGATCTGCCAGCATCTGCGCGAGCTGGATGCTCTCCATCGTTGGCGATGTGGTGGGTGCGGTAGATGATAACTGCTGGAATGGTGATCAAGGAGGAATGCGATGGCGACAGAGAGAGACAGGAGGCGGCTCGCTCAAGACTTAGAGTTCGGGAGGCAAGTTGTTCCTGTTCTAGGGTGGACGAAGGATTTCGCCTGTTTAGATATTAAAAGCGCTTCGCACGCAAGGGCGAGTGTCTCGCAGGATTAAGGCGGCGCAACGGGCAATGTCGGATGCGTAAAGAAGCAAGAGAAGGTCCTGTCAGAAGTGTCATTGAAAAGGATCAGATCGCCATGAGCGCCAAATAAAAACCGGTTGCGGAGGCGTCGCGTGAGAATGGCGAAGCGCTAAGGCTAAAAGGTGGCCCAAACGCACGGCTGCAGGGCATAAACCCCGCTATTTTAGCGCCGTGGGAGCACCCCACTTCCGCTTTTATCCCCACAGGTGGGGGGAGGGGCGTTGTGGCTTTCGCTCTCATGGGGAATCATCGGAATCCTCATCCCGCCCTAGTTTCAACGGATGGAACAAATTTCCATTGTTTCATCTGAATCTGATCTTCTCCGCTCCCCTGCTCATCCGTATAGCAGCGCTGTGATACACATTTCACAGCTGCAGGAAATATATGTAAGAGACCCGGTCAATCGACAGTTGACTAAATTGCCTCGACATGAATGAACCCCTATTTGACCGCGTTTGGCGCTGAGAAGCTGAGATGGGGAGGCTGAGTGATAGCCGGACTCCTGACCAAGTTGCCGTGATTGGCCAGAGCTCAGGCACTTCTCCTCTTCCCGACCAGGCCTTACAAACCCCTACGCAATACCCTCCTTCCCGGCGAAGATGTCTCTGCTACGGAGAGGATTCGCAACCATGGCCTCAATCAAGAAGCCAGGCAAAGTCGTGTGCATTGGCCGCAACTATGCGTGCGTATATCCTTTCTCCAAGCCACATTGGCAGAATAAGAGCCCTGAAGTAGTAGTGGCTTCGGCTCGGTATTGTGTTCGGGTCTGACTCGGCGCTCATCTAGGGACCATGTTGCCGAGTTGAACAACCAGAGGCCGAAGCAGCCATTTTTCTTTCTAAAGCCGCCATCCTCAATCCTGCTTCCAGGGGCAGGCCCTATCATCCGGCCCAAGGGAATTGACCTTCACTATGAAGTCGAGCTGGCTCTCATCATCGGCAAGCAGGTCAAAGACCTGAACGCCGAAGACGAGAGCTCCGCCTTTGCTGCCATCGAGAGTACGTCTGCCATTGCATCGCTCTCGTTCCTAGAGTGCCTTCTAAACCGCATCGCTCCCTAGGTTATGCCATCAGCATTGACATGACCGCCCGAAATGCCCAGAATGAGGCCAAGAAGAAGGGGCTCCCCTGGGACATTGCAAAGGGCTTCGACACGTTCCTCCCGATCAGCAAAGTCATTGAGAAGTTGGCTCTTCCGGATCCTCACAATGCCGAGATCTACCTGACAGTCAACAACGAGGTCCGTCAGCAGGATTCGACCGAGCTGATGCTCTTCAGGATCCCGAGGCTCCTGAGTGATATCTCCAAGGTCATGACTCTCGAGCCGGGCGACATCGTCCTGTCAGGGACGCCTAAGGGCGTTGGGGCGGTTGTCCCTGGCGACATCCTCCGTGCTGGCATTAGGGTCAATGGCAAAGAAATCGAGGAGGGCAAGATCGAGGTCGGGGTTGAGGAGTCTACGGGTGCTTATGAATACAGCGAGACATGAGTACGGCCCCTGTCCAGGTTCCTACGTCGGGCTGAGATGCTGGCCGCCAACTCAATTGTATGTTGCATAGAAAGTACATAGCTGTAGATATATAGACAAGATACACCAGCTCTTGCTTTGAGCTAGAATTACTGCTTGTTGGGGTCCTGAATGGATCCCGGCTTTGGACACCAGTCAGCCAACTCGCCACAGTTTTTACATGTTCGTTTCTCCTCGTCGGATTTGAAGTCTTCAACTGCTGCCTTGATTTGCGTGCCAAGGTCGGTGCAGTGGAAGGCAGCCTCGTGGACGACCTCTTTGCAATTTTGGCAGTACCATCTCATCCTGTCTACCGAGGCTTCCGGGCGTCTCTGCTCGAGGACAATGCCGACGGTGTCTGCAAAGCGCACTGGATTGTGTGGCGTGTTTCCGGGGAGCAGGAACATCTCGCCTTCCCCAATGATGATGTCTCTGAAGTTGCCCTCATCGACAACTTTCAGCATCATGGCCCCCTTGTACTGGTAGAACCACTCGGGAGTCTGGTTGATGTGGTAGTCTGTACGGGCGTTTGGCCCTCCCACGATCTAGAGAGCAATGCAGGTCAACACTGCTTGGAACGTCTCGAGTTCTTTGATTCTGGCGACGGAACTTACCATGACTGTAAAGTCTTCATTGTAGACACAATAGTTGTTGATTGGGGGCTTTAGGAGATGGGAATTCTCTTCCAGCCTAGGGCATGCCAGTTAGGAAGGCACTCGCCTCAGCTCAGAGGTTTGTCTGAATAGGTAGGTACCCACTCACCACTTGGGAAGGTTGACCGGACTCGAGAGCATCTTGGGAGTCAGGCTTCCGATCCAGCTCTTGCTGTGCTCTATGACTCTAAAATCGGGGACAACTCGAAGGACTAGGCACCTTGATGGATTAAATAGTTGTCCTAAATGCCTAGGTGCAAATCAAGTCTAACTCTCACATTCATCTGACGATTTCTTACTGCCCCTCATGATGACTCCGTTATCGCGCCCGCGGGGTAGTGAGAGAGCTATCTCCACGGGGGGCGTCTCTATAACGAGCCACCCCAAACTCCAGACAGGGGTTGCATTGACTCTTCCATCCCATCAGCCTTGCAGCACCGCGCATGTTTGAGGGCGTTTGTTCCGCACATTTCCGTCCAACCTCACCCCAACTCCTCCTTTGCCGTTCCAGTTGCCCCTTCCCCGAGCAGTCGACGATACCAATAACGCTCCCAAACCCAACGCCCCTCATTCGAAACTCGCCCTCGACGAATTGCGCCCTTGACTGACAGCTGAGCCATGGACCATTCGCATATGGATCATTCACGCATGGGTCACGGCGACATGGACCACGGCGGCGGCGGCCCCATGTGCAACATGAACGTGAGTGAGCCTTGGGCCCTTGATCCCTTTTCTATTTCCTTCTCTTCTGCGAGTGTTCCCAGGCTGAACCCATTCGTAGATGCTCTTCACCTGGAACACCAAGGATCTCTGCATTGTCTTTGAGTGGTGGCGCGTCAGCTCGACTCTGTCGCTGATCGTCTCCCTCATCACCGTCATCGCCGTTGTCGCCGGCTACGAGGCCCTCCGCGAGGGCATCCGGCGCTACGAGGCCTGGGTAAACAGGCGGGCCGAGACGGCTCCTCGTAAGTACTACTTCTAACTGCTCCCTCCTCTCCTCTGCATGGCCCCATCCCCCGCCCCCACCTTCCCTAGTATGCTCCCGTGCATGAACCCGCAGCTAAGGTCTTCTCCGCCCCCGAGCATCCGCGACCGTTACTGAATCAACACCGTTCCTCTGGGCAGGGCAAAATAGGGTTGGCGGAACGAGCAGGGCCCATGTCATTAAGGCGGTGCTCTATGGCATCCAGAACTTCTACGCTTTCATGATCATGTTAGTATTCCTCACCGGCTTATCCCTTTCCCTTCTTTCCACCCCCCTGGAAGGACGCTAACATCCGACGCCAATCTCCGAACAAAGGTTGATCTTCATGACTTATAATGGCTGGGTCATGATTGCCGTGTCGGTTGGAGCCGGAATTGGCTACCTGATCTTCGGCGCGAGGACTACCGCGACCAAGGACACCGCGTGCCACTGAGCCGCGAACGTGGGAGGGCAAGATGATGCCCCGCGATCCGTGTTATGTTGCGGCGAGGTCGAGGCCATGTGGAACCGCGAGTCTCTGTGATCAAATTTGAAGGCGCTGACCGAGTGATGAGAAGGTATGGCGGGTTGTGAAGATGAATCTGGGCTTGTGCCGATCTATTCTAGCGTATGTAGGACTGTCTGTCTATCCAGCCGATTATCTCGAGACACATACAAAATGCCAATGCCGCGCGTGAAGGACTGCTGAAGGACTGCTCCTCAGTCCCCATCCGGGCTTACATCTTAGCAGCCTCGCTAGCCTTCCTCATATCCTCACCCGTCAGCTCACTCCCAGCCTTCCTCTTCTCCCCAAGCCTACCGATCCTATCCAGGCCCTCGATCATGGCCTCATCGCCAAAGTGGCTGTTGTGCTCGAACTCGGGCTCCTCGCCGTACGCAACAGTGGCGGCGTCGACGATGATCCGCGCCGTCATGCCCCAGACCTTGAACCGGCCGACCGCGTCGTCGTTGTCCCCGGCTTGACTCTGGGCCCCGCCACCATCGCCGCCGCCGCCGCCGCCACCGTCCTCCCCCTCGTCGAGGGCCGCGAGTCCGCCCTCGCGCACCCTCGGCCGCGCCACCCGCTGCCGGTCGACGGGCACGTAGAAGTGGTGCAGCCGCCACGGCTGCTCGTGCCAGTGCACCCACGAGCCCTCGTACCAGCGGCCGGTCGCCGGCGCTGGTGGTGCCTGCTGCTGCTGCTGCGGGTCGGCTCCGTCACCGTTAACGTCGCCGTCGGGTTCGTCGTTGGCGCAAAGGAAGTTGTGAAAGGGCGCCGAGAAGACGGCCGCCACCTCTCTGGCGTCCAGGCGGGGGATCAGGCTCTCCTCCACGGTGGTGGTGGGCGCCGCCGACGACGACGACGGCGACGATGGCGATGACGCAGTGATAGATCCCGTGGGGACCGGCGGGCTAGTGGTGTGTAGGAGGGCCACGCAGGGGCGGACTACCAACTCCGTCTTGGCGAGGTTGAAGGGTAGGTAGCAGAGGTGCTCGATCCGGAAGGGCGCCGGGATCTTTGCGTCGTCCATCGGGAGGCCGATTTCCTCCCACGCCTCGCGCCGGGCGATCTGGTCTGCCAGGGTCTTGAGTACAGGGATAGGGGAAGAGGTTGGGAGGGGGTTTACGTACAGGGCGTCTCATCTAGAGTATCTGCTTTTCCGCCAGGTAGTGCCGCATGGCCTAGAGTTTGGGTTCCGTCCCTTGGTTAGTCCGGCTGGTTGGGATGGGATATTGCGTGTGATTAACGGGGGCAAACGGCGTACCGGAAAAGCTGCGCAGGCTCGCGGCACGCATGGTGATCACCACCCGCAGATCGCCCCTCCGGTCCGCGTAGAGTAGCATCAGCACGGCGGCTCTCCGGCTGACGGGGAGGCGGTCCCACAGGGGGAAGGGTGGCGGTTTGAAAGCGCGGAGCCGGGCGATGGCGGCCTTGGTTCTCATAAGCATATTATTTTAATTGCGGTTTAAGGCTGCATGAGCTTAGGCACCAAGTTTAAGGCGTATCATTTTCACTCCATCGGCCCAGTCTAATGCAACCGAATTATACAGGCAAGGGGGATTCAGTCTACTAACCGCCGAAGCTGGGTTGAGCGGAGCCATGGTCGACGCATCCCAGTAATACGATGCGTCGTCCTGTCCCTCCTCGTCAAGTTCCGAGAGCTGGGCTGGAGACTTATCGGCAGTGGTGACGGTGACGGGTGCAGACGAAACTTGTTGAATGGTCTGGACTATCTTCTTGACCTCGCGCTCATTGAGTGGAGAGTCGTCTGCCAGGCGCTTTCTTTCCTCTGCGGGGATGTCTGTGGGGTTGTTCATAGTCCCCGGAGTAAGCGGAAGGGCGAGGGAGGGAGGAGGGGGGATTGGCGGTGCTATTTCCAACAATAAATAGGTACACACGTAGGGACATGTAGGGACCTTGTTTGGAGGGGCAATTAGAGTGCCGCCAGAACCCGAGGTGCAGATGCAGGTCCAGTTGGGGTCGGATTCTGATCCCGGGGGTGGGGCTTTTCAGACCGGATTCCTCCGCAATCGCCTGCCTGCCCGTTTTCCACCTCCGCGGACAACCCTGAGTCTCCGGGTTGGGGACTGAGATAGTTAGGGACTGGGATAAGTCCGAATAAGCCCAGAAGTAGTATAAAGAAAAGAGAGTAAAGGGGCTTCTTAGCCTCCTATTCGTACACGATCGACAGCTAGCAGAAAAAGACACCTTACCAAGGTGTGTGCCCATCCACCCTTTTCAGCCGGAATCGCAGACCTGCGCCTGCATGTTCCCGCTTTGAAACCAGATATCAGACATGGCCAGTGCCAAAGGAGGCATGTGCGAATTGACATGCAGCAGCCACCAGACTTGTTGAGTGCCGTCTCGATATTTGGCAAGGTCATAATCCATCAAGCGACAGAGAAAATTCAATTGAGTCCAGTTGTTGTTTTCTCCTTTTGTCTAAGCATTTTACCATCTCATATCCTTCCATTCTCAGTTGTTGAGCGACCAGCGGCCTTCTTACTCGAGAATATGATTGATTGATTTCTGGACCTGCTTGCTCGGTAACATCCCCTATTCAGTCAGTAATCAGCATGGCAACCCTACGAGTGATGGAACCTGGTCAGTCTGTCACGAGACAGAAGGCAATCGAGGATGCTCGAAAGACTCAAGCCTCCGTTTTGGAAGAATGTGCTAGGACCAACAAGGATCCGCCGCTATACGTCCTCACGGAGCTCATTGGAAAAGGCAGCTTTGGGCGAGTGTACAAAGCGACCAGGACCGGTGGTGCTCCCAATCAGCTCGTTGCCGTCAAGATCATCAACATCGAGGAGAGCGATAGTGCCAGCCCTCGCCTGGCCGATACCTTCAACGAAATACTCAAGGAGGTCAACACCATCAAGATGCTCGGCCAGAGCGGTGCCAGGAACATCAACCACGTGCTTGACACCCAGCTCGTTGGCCAGTCCATGTGGATCGTCACCGAGTTCTGCGCTGGTGGCAGTGTCGCAACCTTGATGCGCCCAACTGAGGGCCTCACCGAGAAATGGATCATCCCCATCCTTCGGGAGACTGCCGAGGCCATTTACTGGGTCCATAAGCAAGGAATCATCCATCGGGACATCAAATGTGCCAACGTGCTCATCACTGATGATGGTGGGGTTCAGCTTTGCGACTTCGGAGTCGCGGGCGTCCTGGACACTAAGATTGACAAGAGAACCACTGTCACCGGGACCCTGCACTGGATGGCCCCCGAACTCTTTGACCCAGACCCCTCCTATGGTACCGAGATCGACATTTGGGCGTTTGGTTCTATGGTCTATGAAGTAGCCTCAGGATTTCCACCAAACGTCACTACCGCCATAGACATCTCAACATTCGGCTCTCAACTCAAGCAGCACTGTCCGCGACTCGAAGGCGACAAGTACTCTGCTCAGCTCAAGGATCTCGTCGCTTTTTGTATGGTGGAGGATCCGAAGCAACGCCCTTCTATTAGCGACATCCAGAAGCATCCCTACATCGCTGACACCGCCGGGCGCTTTCCGACCGCGTCTCTGTCACAACTTGTCAAGGCCTATAAACTATGGGAGTCTCAGGGTGGGATCAGAAACTCGCTCTTCTTCGCGGGCGGTGCTAGAAACCTCTCCGACGATCATCCATCGGCCTTGAGGGATGAGTGGAGGTTCGATACCAACATATTCAGCAATGGTCCCGATGATGCAGACCTTCAAGCAGTTTATGCTGCCTATGGGGCAACAGTCGGATTCCCAGCCGAAACTCTAAAACCAAAGCCGCGTCGCCGGATGCCGCCCCCTCAGATTAACCCTCTCAGAGGCCCGCTCGAAAAGATATTCGACCCCAACACCATAAGCAACTATGACGAAAACTCGCGGGCCTTCTATGGCAGGGAAAACCACAACCCCACCGCGGAACCGGTATCTGATCTGCCGCTCCGCAACAGCTCGCAAGGTGCGAATCTTCGAGAGTCCCTAATAGATCTGGACATGTCCCTTGACGGGAGCAGGCTTTCGCGGTTTGCAGATACTGGCGCCCCTCATCTGGCAATAGAACCAGTCACGGGACATCGTCGGTATAGCCGGCCCCTGTCTACCGACTCGCAAGATCTCGCAGACCCCAACCGCCGAACCCGGGACTGGACTTTCCCGATGATGTCGCCTTCTTCGGCCGACACCGAGAAGCCGCTCCCCGTTCCGGGCGATAGCGGGCAATCTCCCCGCCGCAAGGGGCTGACTATATCCCAGGACGAGCCGAAACGACTCTCGGCCGTGAGCCTCATCGACCTGGACGCGAGCGAGCCGGGGGGCTTCTCAGACTTTTCTCGACCGTCGACGGCGCACTCCAACTCGGCATCTAGCGTTGATTCGGGATCCTTCGACCTCGAGAGAAACACCTCGGGCGGGGCGGGGACGCCCCCGAACCCCAGGCAGCCGTCCCTCTACGCCCCGGACGGCCTCTCCCCCGATTTCGCGCCCGGGTACCAGCTGGGCGGGATTTCCCAGGAAGGCCCGGCCGGCGCGGTCCCGCGGAATCCTCGCAGCCTCCAGACCAAGCCGGGAGAGCCCGTCGAACTGCCGCTGGCGCCGGCCCCGCCGTCGACGCAGGTCATGCACGGGCTGGGCACCCGGGACGACGTCAAGGACGAGCTGCTGCGGTTGATATCGAGCATGGCCGATCACCTCCAGTATACTGATGCTGCGATCAAGAGCCACCCAGTTCGTCGCGCGGCCCGCCTGTCGAAGGGCCGCTTGCCTTCGTCTTCTTGATTGTCGAGCTTGCTCCTTTGGGTTGTTGAATTCCGGGGAGTGGGAACGACTCCAGCAGAGCTCTTAGAGCTAGATTGTCTGTTAGGCCATGGCGGAGAGCCGTTCTCTCAGACGAGGGTCACTCCTGTGTCATCCGGATTCCTCAGCTCTTGGGATGACGTTTCTGAACCTGGCATGACTATGCCGAGTAGCATCTGGGTATTCTCAGGTGTTGTCCATCAGCTACCTGATCGTTTGGGTCTGGACACAAACGTGGGATGCCTAGTAGATGCCTAGCCAAAGCCACCGACTCAGATCGGGTCGCATAAACACACGGTCTGGGGAGATCACTCAAGCAGGGGGCAATGAAAGCTACGGGGTGGAACCGTGCCGTCCACTCAAACCAGGCTTCCTTTGTCGGCCAAAGTTTCAGGGGCTACGATGCAAACACAGGTCATATCTCAACAAACACGATGAAACAGCCAGCTATGGGACAAACGATTTTCTCATATCCAGAAACCGAGAAGCCTATGATTCATTCAATCTCGTCTATCTAGGCTTTGTCCGCACAAGGCATAGTCCTGCCACCTCTCCCCCTGTTTTTGGACTATCTCTTACAATCTAAGATCCCGACACCATCAAACAGGCAGGAGGCGGGCGACTCATCGACCGCCTCCTTCACAGCCCCGTTTTCTTTGTCGACGAAAACCAAGGAAAAGGGGGTTGGGGGGTGGGTGGCGAGAACTGGACGGAGAAGACGACGCCAGCCAACCAGCCAGCCAGCCAGGCCGCTCTCAGTCAGAGCCGTCCAGGCCGCGCTCCCAGGCATCCGCGAGGGCACGCTTGTTGGCCCGGTAGGCCCGCAGGGCCTTAGAGCGAGACTTACCGTCGCGCCGGGGCGAGGAGCGCTGCGGCCCCTCGTGCTTGCCGGGCAGGTCGTCCGGGTCGTTGGCGCCGTGGGGGTCGTCGTTGCGGGTTGCGTGCTGGGGGGCGCTGGCTGCCGGGTGGGCGGGGTTGAGGCGGGGCATGCTTCTTTCTGGGTGGGAAGAGGGGAGGGGGGAGCTGGGGTGAGAGTTGAAAGGGGGTGTGTGGATGGTGGTTCGAGACTTAGGGGTCTCGGAGGCCTTCTGTCTGTGTTTGGAGATGTCTTCTATGTCCTCACCGTGTGTTTGCTCTAGAGCGGGAGTGTCGCAGGAGCGAGTTGGGTCTGGTTGGGTTGCTTGGAGGGATGATGCTAAGATGCACTGGATGCTTGGGAGATGAATGTGAAAGAAGGGGCGGACTTTCTCCCTTAAATAGCTCTCATCCTCCTATGACGAATGAAAATAATGTCGATTTCACTGGTCCTGAATTCGTTCAGCCTTTTAGTCCCCTAGTCTGAAGCCCCAGGACAACACTTGAGTAACAATACCGTCTCTTGGAATCCTGTATTCTAACAGGCTGACTGGGAACAACTTGCCAGTCTGTATGCCCGTGTGGACAAGGAGGGTGCCTAACCCACACACACATACGGTACGGATATGACTCCTCGATATCGAAACAATGTTATTGTAGATTTGAGAAACATTATTCCCCTTATTCAGACCATCTAATTCTGCATAAGTTGATCGTAGTCTGAGGTTTAGAATGCCTGCGAGACTAGAGGCGGCAGACGTTGCTCTTTACCGGCCTTCGCCGTGAGGCTCTGCCGATGGACAAAGAGCAACCCGGGCCTCTATTGCCGTATCTACCAGTATCACGTCCCGCGCAATTTAATTCTCTTCGACCTTGGTAGTTCATTCTAAAGATACTGGCTATTATGGTCGAGGCGAAAGGGGCGGAGGATGGACAGGGCCTCCCCCTTTTTGGCACTCAACCTTGATTACCTTGAGTAGGCGTCTGTCTCCTATGATTATTGTCTGTCAACGATGAGGGATACGCGGTATGGAAACTGGCTGCTAGATTATGAAGGAACTCTATAATAATATTTGGTATCCTCTAAAAAGAAAACTAGCAGCTCTCCCTGAGCTTGTGGTATCATCTGAAATGGCTATCTGCCCAAACACCTCTCTACCCAATTAAAGCAACTATTCCAAGCGACCACAACATCTAAGAAATTAAATATCTACAATTAGACACAAGATGGCGTGTTAGTACAAATGGTGCCGCACTGGGGGTATCATGTGCACAATGGTCTTCCTGCTCATAGAGCAAGAGCAAGAGCAATGCTGAGCAGGCAAATCCAGTGGGCCCCGCTGCGCCAGCTTAAGGTCCCAGCACCACCCAGTCCTTGACCAGGGCCCGCCTCAGGCTTGGAAGGTCCGAGGCCGTCTCCGCCAGAGCCCGAGTTGCCCGTCTGGATGACCGTCGAGTCGCCGGGAGCGAACATGACAGGGAGGTCGTTGGCACTTATGCTGACTTCCGCCGGCCTGAGTAGTGGGTTGTTTAGGGAGTCGCAGGATGGCCTGAGAAGATCGAACTCAATCTTATTGGTGACTGAGATAGGCAGGTCGAAGATGGTATAATGGTCCTCCCCATTCAGACGGAAGTTTTGGCGGATGGAAATCTGGATAATAGGGTTAGGACCAAAAAAAGAAAAAAAAACAAATCCGCACTTGAGAGGTCTCCTTACATTGTAGGAGCCGCGGGCGCTGTTCACGGTCGAAGGCTGGCCGTCTCCAACGAGGCAATCCGGCCACATCCACTTGACGTGCTTCACGGTGCTTCCTGGCTCCGAGAACATGATGTCGCCCAGGCTGGCATTGTTCGCAGTAGACGTGCCATTGGTGATGGTGAAGTTCTTGCCGGTATCGTAGCTGTAGAGGAAGATGGTGATATTGTGGATTTTGGTCGGGCTGTTGTTGGCGTACGGCGGCAACGGGAGTCTGCCATTAGTCGACACATCTAGTGCGACTTCGATGGTTTCTTTGGAGAGGCGTGTTAGCTACACACACGCGCAAACACCACAGAGACAATGACCTGGTAACAGGAAGAAACACTAACCTCCGCCTAAGGGAGTACCGGGTTGAGGAGCATCGACAATGGCCAACCCCGGGGTGAAGATTTGCCCTCCCGCTACGGTGAAGTTGAGAGCCAGAGCCCGCGCAACAAACAGCAGGAGTAGCACAGTGGTGGGGAAATTTGAGGACGCCATTTAGCCAAAATTCATGTCTCACCACGGTCGGGTCGTGAATCGAAGTTTGGGACTGAGAGGGAGGCAAGACTGCTTCCCGTGTGGGAGAGGGTCAACTATTTAGCCAGCACAGTCGGGACCGTCGTCATTGGGGGGGACTCCCGGAAACAGGGAAACGGCGGACGGCTCGCCTCTTGTAAGATAGATGCCTTTAATATTAACGAGCCGCACTAACGGTCGTAACCGGGGATTGGGGATCCCTTCGCTTTGTTGGCGAGCTTGGCGACGAGTGGCAAGCCTGAAGCCTGCCATGCACCCCTGCGAAGTTATGCGTTCTAGCGTCCGGATAACCGAATGGCCGATTTACCAGCCTGGCACCCTGGCAGGTGATGCCCTGAGGGACTCATTTGGATGATGGATCGCCGGGGGGCATGAAAAAGCATTGGCCTTTCTACCAAGATTGACGTCTGCAACCAGGGCCAGAGCCCATATCAGCCGTGTTAAGATGCTGTCATCGTTGGGAGGAAGTCCGCTTCAGACAGCGTTGATGCAGGCCCAGTTTCAGGTTAGCCCAAGTCCCCCATGTTGCCATCTGCGGCCATCCAGGATTTCAGGGTCGTCAACGGCCTCGCAGGCCGGTGATCCGATGAGCCAAGATAACCCAAAAAGGCAAGGTCGGGTCCCAGGGGACGGACCACATTTTAGCATCTCTAGAAGCCCATATTGGTGCTGTGGGTCACCAGTCACGTGAATTACATAGTAAGGACGACGAGCTATCGACCTGGCTGAAAATACATCTCCCTAGGCAATTGAGATCACTTTCCCAGGCACATAGCTAAATAAAGATCACAGGCATAAGATGCCTTGGCGATCTGTGTCTTTGTGCAAACATCTCACCTCGCTGAACCGGGCACGCCACCACCTCTCGTCGAGGCTAAATTGTGATCGGTCGAGCTTATGCTTTGCCGTTCAAACGCCCGCCAAAACAGCTTGCCGTGGCTATGGCGGCTCTGCTAAACAAGACGCGCCCGGCCTGGCTGGTCTGAGGGGGATCGTCCACGTTTCCGAAGAGGTCTTGGATGCTGTTGCCACCAACAGGCCGGTTGTCGCGCTAGAGTCCACCATCTATACCCACGGTGCCCTTGGTAACGATCTTGACCTCGAGGCCATCGTCAGGAGGCATGGAGCCGTGCCTGCCGTCTGCGGGATCCTCAATGGCGTCCCGACCGTGGGCCTGGCGCCGTCCGAAATAGAGCTCATGGTCCACGAAGGGGCTAAGAAAGCGTCAAGGAGAGACCTCGCATATCTGGTCGGCCTGGTGAGTAACATCGAACGAGTTTCATTGCGTGCATCATTGTTTTGTTTGTTCCAGAACCAGGCCGGCCATGATCGTCTCTCTAAACAAGTGTTGCTCCGCAGGGCCTGACCGGGCAGAAGATGCACGGCGGCACGACTATTTCCGGGACTATGATACTGGCTCGCCTAGCTGGCATTCGCGTATTTGGTACCGGTGGCCTCGGCGGAGTCCATCGTGGCGGCCAAGACTCGATGGACGTCTCGGCCGACCTGACAGAGCTAGGTAGGACCCGCGTTGCCGTTGTCAGCAGCGGCTGCAAGGGATTCTTAGACATTCCCCGAACACTCGAGTTTCTCGAGACCCAGGGTGTTGCGGTGTCCACCTTTGCTGATGGTCGGACGGGGAGCGTTGATTTCCCGGCCTTTTGGACTAGAGATAGCGGCGTAAAGAGCCCGTCTGTCGTTCAAGATGAGAGCCAGGCTGCGGCCATTATATTCGCGCAAGAACGGCTCGGAGTGGAATCCGGGCTTCTCTTTGCCAACCCCATCCCTCAAGAGCATGCCATCTCGAGGCCAGAGATGGAAGCTGCTATTAACCTTGCGGTTCGCGAAGCAGATGAGAAGGGCTTCTCGGGAAATGAGAACACTCCTTACGTCTTGAAGAGAATCAAGGAGCTCACCGAGGGTCGTAGCGTCCCCGCAAACAAGCATCTGGTGCAAGCGAACGTTGCTCGAGCGGCCAAGATTGCGGTCGAGCTCTCCAAGTTTCTGTCTCCTAGTCCAGCCGGCGGGAAGACCATGTAAGAGAGACGTAAATCCAAGATAAAACGCGCATCTCTCACACACAACGGGCACAGCTCGATTAGTCAAGCCAATTTAGGGGGGAAAGACGCCTATGAGGAGGAGGTTTCAGGGTCTAGTCCGCAGGTAATAATAGCTCCTCGTAACCTTTGCTGGTTGAACTCGACATTAAGATTCCTGCGCCCCCGACGCGATGATTGTTTTGTTCCCAAGCTAACTTGTTTAGCATGACCATTCCGCGGATATTCTGATGGCCGGTTCAGTCGCTATAGATTTAAGTTGTGATTACACCGGTAGCGGCTCAGGGGCAGATCCAAAATCACTGTCCCCGGCGTTGCACACCTCCAATCCTGCAACGATAACGCAGTCAGTCGGAGGCGTCGGCCACAATGTCGCATTGGCTGCACACCGGATCGGAGGAGACTCAAAGGTTAAACTCTGCAGCATGGTGGGCCGTGACATGTAAGTCAGACCCGCTCTACAACCCCCTCCCCCGACTCACCACCTCCCACAGCGCCGGTGCGACCATCCTCTCGACCATCCGTTCGTCCGGTCTCGACACATCCTGCATCCGCCAGCTAGGCGACGAGCACCCGGGTTCCCGAACAGCGCAATACGTCGCCGTCAACGGCGCCGACAAGGACCTCGTCCTCGCCATGGCCGACATGGGCATCTTCACCGCCGGCGCCCCGTCCGCAGCCCACCACTGGTCCCCCGCTGTAACCGCCGCCCGGCCCCGCTGGCTCGTCGTCGACGCCAATTGGTCCCCGCGCGACATCCGCGCCTGGATGGCCGCCGGCCGCGCCGCCGGGGCCCACGTGGCCTTCGAGCCCGTCTCCGCCGCCAAGTCGGAGCGCCTGTTCGCAACTACCACCACCGCCCATACCGGCGACACGGGGCCGGCGCCGGGACCACTGGGCATCTTCCCGCACCACACCCTCGACCTCACCACCCCCAACCAGCTCGAGCTGTCGGCCATGTACGCGGCCGCCCGCGCCGGCGAGCACCTGGATGACCCGTCGTGGTTCGCCGTCGTCGACGCCATGGGCCTCGGCGCCACGGGCGCGCGAGACGCCTTCGTGCGGCTCGCGGGCCGCGAGGCCGCCGACGCGGGGGTGCCCGCCCAGTCGGTGCAGCTGCTGCCGTTCGTGCCGATCGTCGTCGCCAAGATGGGCGGCCGCGGCGCGCTCCTCACGCAGCTGCTCCGCCCCGACGACCCGCGCCTGCGTGACCCGGCCGAGGCGAGGTTCGTGCTCGGGAGGGGGAGGGCGGGCCACCCGTGCGTGGGCGGCGTGTATATGCGGCTGTTCGCGGCGCCGGTGGTGGGTGGTGGTGATGCGGTGAGTGTTAATGGTGTGGGGGATACGTTTCTGGGAGCGCTGGTCGCGGGGCTTGCTAAGGGGGGGAGGGTTGAGAGGCTGGTGGATGTGGCGCAGAGGGCGGCGGTGATGACCCTCGGCAGTAGGGAGTCGGTTAGCAAAGACTTGGGGGCGCTGAGCGGGGAGCTGGAGAGGGCTGCTAAGGCGCATTTGTGAGCCGCTTCTCTCCTTCTGCTGTCGCGTCATGGTTGGGTATCGGCCAGTGTGTGGCCTTGATTTCCATTTGGGCTACCGAGACTTGGCCAAGACTACGAATACATAACATATGAAGATCTAACGTAATTTATATTATAATATGGCCCAAAATTCCTGGTAATACACCTACGGCGGAGCGCCGTCCATGACCTCCCCGTAAGACGGCATCTCGTAGTCGCCGTGACAGGCGTGGTCGTACCTTGCCACGGCCGGCATCTTCTCCTGGGCGCGGACGAAGGTACCGAACTCGCACCACCCGTCGAGGCGGCTGGCGTCGCAGTCCGGGATGCTCCAGCCCAGCGGCACGGTCCGCTGGTTCAGGACGAAGTGCACGTACCGCGTCTCCCCGCCCACCGGCAGGTACCCCGACCTGTCGGCGGCGAGGGGCCGCGGCGTGCGGATGATCTCGATGTCTAGGCGCGCGCCGAAGGGGGTCATCTGGGACACGGTGAAGTTGTGCGGGCCAGGATGGGTGGAGTTGGGGAGCAGCTGGGAGAACTGCTTCAGACCGAAGGCGGTTAGCACTCCGATCATGTTTGTGTCGTGCGAGAAGTCGAGGTAGAGGCTCTGGTTGAGCGGGAAGGTCTCGGTGTTGTTGTCGAGGGTGACATTGATCTGGGAGCCTGAGTAGCCCAGCGTGTGGTTCTTGAGCCGGGCCATTACTTCTTGCTGGTAGCCGATGCCCACGGCGCGCTGCAAATTTAAGTCAGTCAGGGTGTTGAAACTTGGAAGCTGATCGCCGTCGATGACTCACCCCAAAGGGGGACTGGAAGCCATCATTTCCGGCGAAATTGAGGTCAATGGAGTATTCGAACCCAACCCATTCTTCATACGTGAATAGATCGCAGAAACGACTGAAGCCGTAGGCAACCTATATAATACCTGTTAGTATTAAATGTCGCCGAGGAGCGCATGGCAGATAGAGGGACCAGCAATGACCGCAACCGACCGTCTCGTAAGGGCACATCATTTGAGCCGCGTAGGTGTCCTGGAGTTTCCAATCGAACCCATCAACGAGTTTTGAAAGCCGTGCAGTAGCTGTGACTGTGTCAATACATGTTATGTGCGGTATCGTTGAAGACAGAAAGGTGTCAGTGGTAAGCACCGTTTTGGAGGTAGATGTCGATCCATACGCCCGAGGCAGCAGAACCAAGCCTGAATTTGGAAGAATTGGGGCAATTCAATTCGCCGGCTAGAGAGTTGTTGAAGCTCTTCTCCTCTATGATGACCTCGATAGTGGCGTTGTTCGTCCTGCAAACTTAGTTAGCTCAATACCTCTAGACAGAGATCTGCTGCTTCCGCCTACCATGAGAGGCCAAAGAAGCCAGCGACAAAATTCTCGGCCGACTTTAGCATGCGATCTTGGGTCTATAATAACATGAAGAGAGCATTAGACATTTACACATCATCTCATAACTAGCAAGGCAGAGGGAGTCTAGAGATATCATCATACCGTCGTGCGCACTATAATCTTGCTGTTTGGGTTGTATAGCTGGGAGTACATGTATGAATGCAGAACGCCTAGCGAGAAGGTCAGCTCCGCGACGCTATACGAGCAAGCCACAGCAAAATCCTACCAGAGTCATACAGCTCTTGCCTGCCTATTAAAGATCGTCAGCCAACAGAGTCCGTCAATGCAGTTGAGCTACCTACCCTTTGGAACGAGTATCTCGGCACCTAGTTGGTACTTCCAGTCGTTGAGAAAAGCCAACGGGCCTTCGGCCTTGAACTTCCCGGCAGATTCTGCAATCTTCTTGCCGAAATCGTACACGTTGGATCCGCCCGTGGGATAGCGAGCCCCATGTCGGGACAGCATCTAGACCACGGTTAACTGGTGTACGACTACGACTAGAGTTTTTGCCACACACTTGGACCTGGATAATCTCAGCACCAGAAGGTAACGGGTACTCGTCCACTCCGAAACCAGAGGCCGGCGAGTACGGGGACAGGTAGCTACACGGAGAGCGGTGTAAGCATTTGAAATCATATGGCAACGTCAGGCACGAGAGACACACCCCATCAACTTGAAGATACTCTCGTCCTGGGAACCCATGCCCTCTATCGGCATCGCCATGCGCAGCGGCTCGTTGGGAACGTAGGTGGCCGCCGGGTCGAACGTGACTGTCTGGGCCAAGAACGGCGCCTTCCCCGTGGTCGTGGGACCGGCCCAGAGCTGTGGCGACGTCTGGAAGTACTGCGGGACGTCCGAGGGTCGACACGGGCAGTCCGAATCGGACATTGCCGAGCGGCCGAAGCGCTGGCCGAAGCCGGCAACAATCAAGCAGATCACCAGGCAGCCGGCCAGTGCACCTAGAAAGGTCCATAATGCACGTCGCCGCACAGGCTGCTTGTGATTCAGCGGGACTGGCGATCCCAAGTCGTATTCCTCATTGCTCACTGGCTGGTAAGCCGTTCCGGCTCCCAGAGGTACCTGCATCGTGTGCCAGATCTCAGAATACTTCTCGGGCGTGGAAATAAATCATACCACTCTATGTTTTGCTCTTTAAACGCTGCATCGCATGTGTCAATGGCAATTGCAACTTTGCAAGAGATAGTGATGAGAGTTAGAGCCAAGACAGGCACTCATTTCATTTTCATGGCTGACTATCAAGGTGTCAAGGATAGGTACCCACCGGGAAATCGTTAAGGGTGCACGTGACTCTGCAAATCCTACACCCACACCATCGATATTCATAAGGCCAACCCCCTATACCCACGTTCCTGTTCCTGTTCCTGTTCCTGTCCGAGACAGGTGCAAGTCTCCCTGAGATTTCAGAGGCCTAGAAGATGAATTCTTTTCTCAGGCTGTAATTTATTGTCTCAACCCATTACATACACACATGTGACAGCCCTCAGGTCAGAACATCTCATGCATCTCATGCATACCTGGCAGGCTGGGGGGCTCTGGTCGAAAAATCAAGGCGACATCATATATTCATTAACTATACATCTAACGCTATCATGCCCCAAACCCGCCTGACGCCGAACCGTACCCAAACCCATCACTATAAACCGAAACTGAGGACCCCAAAACCATTAAAAATATTAAATGCGCAATCTTTCTCCTAATGCCATGCCTAGCTGAAGTCGAAAATGCTCGGGTATCAAAATGGGAATGCACAGATAGAATCGTACAATTCCGAAGAGGGTGTATGGAGGGTCGTCGAGGACGGGAGAGTAGGCGACCATCTTGGTGGCGGCGGTCGCAGTTCCTCGAGCCTCAACAACGTCCACCGCAGTCGTCGAATCTCCTCCTCAGGAAGTACTCCATGGCACACTCATGTGGGCGTTTGGCGAGAGCCTCCTTCAAGAATCTGTCCAAGCTGCGGACATCATTCTCCGAACAGAAGACGCTTGCACGCCTCCAAGGGGTAAGTCCTCTCCGCAGAACCCTGAAATCGTCCCAGGTGCGGTAGATGGTGCAGGCTCGATTATGGCCGAAATAGAGGATGATTTCATACACCAGGGTGTAGTCTCCACGTTCGGTGTTGCGTAGAGTAGGCGATCTGACCCAGGTAACCGTCGGCAAGTGGCGCAAGCCATTATACGTATGATGGTGCTTTCGAGAGTGCAACTGGGGTTTGGTAGGAATGGGCCCATTTTGGATTGGCTTGACGTGCATTCTGTCTTGGTTGTCGTTGACTGCCAATGGGCCCTTCTAGGTTGGGGTGTGGCTCAAGATACGCCCGAGGAGTGGGCGATGAGTAGAGAAGGGGCTCGACAGAGCTAACCTTGAAAGCCAGAGAGAAGATATTAAACAGACGGGAGTGCTGTCTGGGGCGAGCCTCTCGAGTCACTCGACCGTGCGACTGGGACAAAGATAGATATACAAACGGCGGAGGCTCTCATGCAACGCCGAAGCGTGTGCAACAAGGGCGTTGGGAGATCCTTGCCTCACATCGAGCCCATCATTGGCATGAATAACGGTGAGGCGGCCCTTCTCAGGCGACTCGACAGCCGATGCATTGCATCATAAGGCTGTTTGTAGCCCAGATGTCTGAAAAATCCGGGGAATTAAGATTGCGACAGTCAGACCACCGTCAGCTTTGGTGGGCAATTGCGGTGAGGCAGGAGGGCTGCGAGGCACCTGAAACGAGCTAATACCGAGGGAGAAGCGGTGGGCAAACACTGTAAATGAACCAGTCAGAGAGCCCATGGCACGACTTGTGCGCATGAATCCATCAATTGAAGCAGGCGACCCACCGTTCAGAGGCGTGCGGTGTTGTGTGTAGACAAGGAGTAGTTTATGTACGGATCACCGGGCCTGGGGGTCATCCCGGAGATTTTGGCGAAACGATCAACAACGCGGAAGCACGCTGCAGAGAGTAAACTGGTTTTATTTACTCGAGGCAGGGAGATCCCACTTGTTGCTGGCTGCAAGATGCCACACACCAAAATTGAAACCGGGCTCTGACTTGACTTAGATACAGAGGGAGGCGTGAGCAACTACATAGCGACGCGTCGATGATATGGGTTGATATCTCTCCCTGGAGTTAGGACACGAGGATGTGAGACGCAGGGGATCCGTTTGCTACTGCATAGTACACTGCCACTCCAGCGCACACATAGCCGATCACAGACAGGCAGGCATGACTTTTCTGGGCACTCGCTGGACTGCCAGTGGCTGCACCATGGGAGAGTAAAAGGAGTAGGTAGAAAGGAGACAGAGACCAATGGCCAAAACGGGTAACGCGCAGAGAAGTTGATTTGGGTCTAGCGTGTTCTATGAAACGCGCATCCTTGTAACGCCTGAAACGCGAACCTGGCTCGTGAGGGGCTAACTTGGCTTGCTGAAGGTGGGAAAGCTGAGAGATTGCAGGCTTGATTTGTGACAAGTGTCAACTTGACAACCAGCATGGAATTCGAGGTTCCTTGTCCCAAAGAAGGATCAGCTCTCCAAACTCACATATACCCATGGGTGGTGTATAAGAGGAGAGGCTATTTATTCCCCAGTCAACACTCTTGGTCGATGGCAATGGCCACCGGCCTAAGGCTTCTAGCGGGCTTCGATGAGAGAGATCCGCGGCCGAGAAAGCGATCTCCGATTCGATCGATCGTTTTTGATGCACGGGGCAACAACATTGACAACACAGATAACCAAGTTGATATGGCCTTGGGTTCTGGAGAAGACACGTCGCAGCTTCCATACCCTTCCATGCTTGGATCTGTAATGTTGTTTGTGCCGCGGTTATGGCCTTCAAGGTTGTTCTCCTGGGCAATCTGCAAAAAGAAGTACTTTCTTTCTGGGCTGCAGGTCCAACTCCCAATCGAAGTGTCTGGCCTGTGAAGGAATGGAGTTGGAGGACCGTTGGGCACGCTAGCCCAGACCTGCACAGCACTAATGCTCGTCTTGGTGGTGCGGGAACAAGGATCAACCAGGGCGGAACGCGTGGAAAGCAGTTCCTCTGAAAGTAAAGTGGGGGAAGGGGCGAAGCAGGAGAAGCAGGAGGGGGAACGAAAGTCCAGAACGGGTAAACATGAAAGTGGTGTCAAACCCCTACCCTGTGCGCATCCCCTTGCAGGCTGTTTTGGTTGTTGTTGTCTTGACTGCAAGTGTCAACAGGGCCTCCCTTCCTTTCTCGATTTTCTTTCCCCCCCTTCACACACGCTTTTCTCGCGACATTCCTTTGTCTCCTCGCCCTGACGAAACACGTAATCAAGCAAGTTGTAAACAACCTACCTTCTGGTCTCGAAATCTTGATCTAGCAGACCGTCACTCCTTCCCCTCTCCCTACTCAGAGAGCTACTTGTTGTTGTTGTTGTGGTAGCAAATACAGAAGAGGAAGAAATAGTAATCAACAATGGCACTCCAAGCTGCGTATAGGCAGTTTCTTGCTGCGCCCAACTCATCTGCGTTGGCAGCAGACGCATCGCTGCACTACATCACCACGACCACCAGTTTCCATGGCCCAACCGAAATCATCAAGCATCTGAGCTCGCTGCGCAACCAGGTCAAGAAGCCGAAGGAAGATCTGCTGCAGGTTGTCGAAGGCCGAAATGCTATCGCCGTCGAGACCGAGACCTCTTTGGAATTCGTTAGCAGCGGAGGGGTATACCTCCCCGGCTTGGATGACAATTTCGTGGCCGATCACATCGTTTTTCTCGCAATTGTAAGCCACCCACCCCCCTTACCATACCCCACACCCGTGCACTGGCCGCAACATGCTAATCTCGACCATCTCCAGCTCCATATCGTGACGTTCGATGGCGACGGCAAAATCTCGCAGATTCGGCAAACATGGGACCAAGGAGCGCTTCTGAAGCAGCTCGACGTGATTGGCAGGACGGGTCGCAACTGGCCCATTCGCGACAGCAAGGAACAGCTCAAGCTAATTGCAAGCTCAGTCAGGGCTGCTGGAGGTGCAAGCAAGCCTCCCTCTGGCTCGGAGCTGGTCAATCGTTCTCGCGGAAACTCGACCAACATCTTGAGAGACCCACACGCCTCGCTTGCCCTGTTTGCGCCGCGTGAGGATGTCGGAAATGTCCCCGAATCTGTAGTATCTCCGTATGCCGGCTCTCGACCGCGTCAGCGATCCTTCACCGAGATATTGGGGGATGAGCCCGTCGAGGCCCCCGCCACTCCAAGCAACGATCGCGGGAGATCGCAGTCCCCGAGCAAGGCCATCGCGCCCAAGGGCGGTGCTAGCAAGAACTTCCAGCCGATCCGTCTCTTTGACACTGACGAGGGCGTCGAGGAGGGCCCCGCCACGACAAGCAACGATCGCGGGAGACCGCAGTCCCCGAGCAAGGCCATCGCGCCCAAGGGCGGTGCTAGCAAGAACTTCCAGCCGATCCGTCTCTTTGACCCTGACGAGGGCGTCGAATCTGGATCGGACACCCGGGATAAGAGCAGGTCTCCCGAACGCCGCTATCGCCCGAACCCCACGAAGTACCAGCACTTCGACTTCGCCGACGGGTCTGACCCGCAAGATGCTCCCAAGCCAGGCGTTGCCTTTGACAAGACAACCAAGTCAAGGCACGATAGCAACTGGTCCTTCGAGGACTTCGTGACGCCGCAGAAGGCTGGCGCCAACAAGGGGGGGTCTCATCGGCCGCAGGACATGCGGCACTGGGGCACCGAGAACGACCAAGTCGCCGAGAGCCCCGAGAAGAGGGTGCAACAGATCAAGCCGCGCCGAGACGCCGAGAAACACTTTGAGTTCCGGGATGATGGGTTGCCTTCTAACGAGCAGCGCCTGATCGGGCGCCCGCGGGGTGCCGGACACAATACGGGCCTCGGCCTGTACCAGAACAATGTCTACCGCGAGGACGGCAGCGCACCAACCCCAGGCCCGGACGCTCGCGCGCTCGGCAACATCACCAATGTCAAGGATCGCCGAAAGGACTTCGATGCCCACTTCGCCTTCTCGGATGCATCGCCGCACAATGGCAATGGGAACTCCCAACCCAAGGATGCTGATGTCGCGAAAGTCAGCGATGACCGCAAGAAGGCCGTCAAGATGATGGAGAGCAATTGGGCTGGCTACGATGAGTCGCCGGTATCTCAGAAGGAGAACAGCAACCCCAGCCGGCCCCCCCGAGCCGAAACGGATGCTCAGCACACTATAGCCACCGCTGGTGACGGAATGGGAGGAAGGAAGGGTGCCGGGCGCGGTTGGGGTATTGGTGACGAGAGTGACAATGAAGGGCACGTACGAGCCGTCCCTGGCAAGCAGCAAGGTTCGCAAAAGTCGCACACCGCCTGGGACTTTTAAAGGGCTCAAGCCCGAAGCTTCCTATTGCTGCGCGGCTGGAACTGAAAACGGAATACGGTCGGAGGAATAACGCCGATAATGTCTCTTCTCGCTTTTCTCTCTTCTTCTTTTTGTTACGATTACGTGTCGCTATGCTCATGATTCATGGACAACACAAAAAAAGATTGTCGATACCTTGTATGTGAATCGTGCAGGATTCGCCCGATACCCCATCTTGTTTCGATTATTCAGCCCGACGATACTTTCCGTATGTTTATCACAACCCCCAGACTGGCCTTCTCAACTCCCATGTACTATTTGTCATTGATTTATGTACCGATTGCACTCTTGAGGCTTTCATTGGTGTTGTCTTGATCAGCAAACAGAACAGAGGTACTAGGCGGGAACAGGGAACCCCTTGCAGAAGTGTATTCAGGACTTTGATCTTGGGAATGTTCCAAAAAATGTCGCGATATTCTCGCCAGTGCATGCATGTATGATGTAGTCTTCTGCCCCGAGACCACTTTTGGTTCCCCTGATCATGGGCCGCCCCACGAGGAACTATCCCCTCTCGTGCCTGTCATTGTGATATACACTGGCTATTACACCCTTCCAGCTGCCGCTAGGCACGGCGTCACCCGAGAAGCGGATTCTGAGCTGCTTCACCATTCCCTCTTCGGGATCCTACCTTCTTCAAGCCCCAGCCCAGTCATCATCCTCGTCCTCTTCCTCATCCTCTTCCTCATCCTCTTCCTCATCCTCTTCCTCATCCTCTTCCTCATCCTCTTCCTCATCACCCCCCTCATCCTCCTCAGAACCCCAAGCCATCCCCATCCCCATCCCCATCCCCGCCGCCGCATCACCAAGCGGGCCCCCAACCCACCACGACTCGCCCCCCGCCGGCGGTGTTGTCCCGAACCCAACCGCCTCGCCGCCCCACAGCTTGACCGAGACGCCGACCCCGAGCGCGCGCAGCGCGTCCAGCAGGGCCGCGGGCACGGCGACGACGACGTCGTCCGCGTCGACGCCGACGGACTCCACCACCGTCGGCCCGCCCACCTCTAGCGCGAGGGCACGCCAGGCCCGGAGGATGGGTCGCGTGTTTATGGACCCGGGTGCTGAGGCGGAGGAGGGGGAGGAGACGGCCTCTGTGAGGTCTAGGAGTCGGGATGTCATGCCGTGGGACTGTGGGCGGCCGTTCCAGTTGAAGAGGGTGAGGGTTTCGAGGTTAGGGGGGAGGAGGTCGGCTGGGGAGGGGAAGGAGGAGGAGATTTCTGGGCCTCGGTTCAAAGGCCACGCGCGTGTTTGGGCTACGGGGATGCGTAGCGCTGTCATGGCTTTGAATTTTCCCAGGTAGAGGAGGGGGTGGGGACCGTCATCGGATGAGGAGGAGGGGGCGGCGATCGCGAGCTCGAGGCGACGGAGGGTGTGGAACAGGGGCTCGAGGCTGTCTGTCGGGTCGCCGGGGTCGGGGCCCAAGCCGAGGGTAGGTGCGTGGAGGGCCAGGGAATCGAGCTGGCGGGGCAGAGCGAGGATGCGGGCTAGGGGGGCGCCGGAGGGGACCCGGATGAGGCGGAGAGCCTTGAGGTTGGTGGTGCCGCGCAGGGCGTCGAGGTCGAGGTCGTCCGGGAAGGGGCCCTGCGGCTGGTTGTCGGGCGGGTCGTCCAGGGGGAACTCGATGGATAGGTGCTCCAGCGTCGGGTGCGTAAGGAGGATCCAGGACTTGCGGATGTTGTCCGTGGCTAAGCAGCAGCTCAGGAATTTCAGAGAGCCTTGGATCGGTCCTGGTTAGCATGACTACCCCGAACACGCTCTCAAGGGGTAGGGAGGGTTGAACGCACAAAAGTTCAACGACCGAAGGTGTGGTAAGTTTAGAGGCAAGCCTAGTAAGCCTTGCCAATGGGTCCATCCGTACTGGAGGCTAAGATGCGTCAAGTCGGATAGAGTAGAAACGAGTCCTTCTTGGAGGTGGATATGTTCTGACCTTCCCCGATATTCCTCGTCTTTATCCCTAATGACCAGCTTTTTAACATAGAGGGCCAGTCTTGGGTTGGCCTGCAGCAGATTATTCCTTCGGTAGTACTGAGATTTAGTGCTAATCACGATAGAAGAGTATATGAAAGGTGCAATGCATGCATGGAGCTGCCGCGACGTGTTGCATAGGCTTATTCTGCCACGCTTCTTTAGGCCTTTGCAGATCTCCAGGATCAATTCTTTGGGCAGCGAGGTCAGCGTCGCTGGCTCCTTCCCCTGCTTCGAGATGTGTGAATCTTGTTGGTTTGACGGGACGGGGCCTGAGCCCCCGTCAGGAGACTTCGAAGGAGACATGTCAACCAACTTTCTCCATGCTTGTGTGTGTTGGACTCCTCGGAAAAGACTCCGGGAGAGGAGGACAAGGACTGAGGATTAAATACTGGCCTAGGGGAGAGGTGGAGGGTCGAGAAGGGACTCATACAGGATTACGTATGGGCAGGAGGAACCCGAGTGATTCATTTCGTACCCCCGTGGCAGGTGCTCTGCTGGATATATTATGAGTTGTGAATCGGTCGAGGCACCGACGGGCGCTCTTGCCCTCGCCATCGCTCGGACGGACAAGAGGGTGGGGCCATTACACAGAGTCTATGAATAAACTGCCATACGGAACGTCAAGTGTTGAGCGTTTGAATCAGGGGGGACATGGGAGGACTCACTTTTGGTCACTACACAGCCATCGCCGTCACTGACAGCAAACGATTCAGACTGGCCGCAATAGGATGGCCTATATATAGTGTATCTTTCTCCTGACATGACAAACCCCAATAAGATCATTCCTGTTGACCCAGACAACGTTCTCCTACTAGGGTGTATTGGGCACATAGTGAGATAATCATGCAGGTCCCCGAGCGGGCTTGAGCAGCGGGCATACGCAGGGCGTGTCTCGGCAGCTCTGGCCAGACGATAATAGTAAATCAGTGTCACGACTTGTGTTCGTTGGACCTTCAATAATATGGAGCCTCTCGAGGTCTTGAGAGGGAGTAAGATAAACCAACCCTGGATCTTTTGCAAACCTAGTAGCATCAAGGATAGAGGAGAGATATCCTTACTTTTGTGTGGTGCGTGTTGGATGCAATGGTGGCAAGCCACCGACCATCCTGGTTACACTGGTCAGCTTCACGCAACGCAATATGTGTCAAACAAAATATCAATAATTGTGGATTCCCAGGCCTATATAGGACAGCACGCCCTTTCCACCATAGACGAGATAGACCTGGTTAGGGGGCTTTACCAGATCCAAGCACTGGCTACCCAGAGTCTGTTTCTCCCTACTAGTGTTGCTCACCTCCGAGCTGAGCAAGGTTTGGATCGTTGGGTGATGGGCAGCAGACTTCCATGGATTCCAATGGCGCTGAACATTGCTGCTTTGCATTTGCTATCTAACTGGGGTATCTCCATGTGGAAGGGCACCAACCGACCAGCCCAAGCTCCATTTCTCGACTTCGGCCATCTCCTAAGCGTCCCCAACGCGCCCCTCGACAACCACGACAGGCAGTTCCCGTACGTCAACATGCTCCTGCGAACCCAGATCGATGACTCGCACCGCCTCAACCCCGACGATCCCCTCGCGAAGGGCAAGGAACCTCAGCTCAACAACAGCACACGCATTCGGCGCCAAGGGCCCGACACGCACATCTGCCGAGAGACACACCACGTCCGTGCCATCGACCAGGCTGCTCTTCTGCATCGCGTGGACCACATTCTCATCCAGCACCGCGTCGGCGATTAGTGGGTCGTGCTTGGACGCCAACCCCGCCGGGCTAGCCATCGACGGCGGGCGCACGACGCGGGGGTGGTCGTTCCGCCGCCGACGGGGGATCGCTACGAGGGCAAGCTTGCGGGCGGCGACGGTGGCGGGGGCTGCGGCGGCCCCGGGAGGCCCCGCCTCGGGCTTGGTGCGGTTGACCACGAAGACGGTCCAGGAAAACTCGTCGCCTGCGTGGACGGAGCGGTCGGGCCCGGTGAAGGTCATGGTGATGCCGAAGTTGGGGATCGGGACCTCGGTGCTGCGCGCCGTGGCGGCTTCTAGGGCCGGGAGGGCATCTGGCCGGCTGACCGAGGGAGAGATGAGGGACTGCGCGTCGGCGCCGCCCCCGATGGAGAGTTGGCTGGGGCGGTGCGAGCGCTGGATCGGCTGCGTCATGGGCTGCCCAAACCCGGGGTTAACGGGGAGGGAGAAGTCCAGGGTCGTCGTCCATCCCAATGACAGCCGTGGGGTGCAAATATCCGGCCCATCCGGCTTCACCAAAGCCATCACTTCGATGGTGATATCGAGATTACGGATGGAGCTTTTGTTCGCACTGTCGAGTTGCTCTGGGGCTAGGCGGTAGAGGAATGTGATATGATCGTGCGCGACACACCGAAGGGGCAGTCTCATACCATCTTGTGTGTTAAGGTCTTCGACGACGCCGTCGCTAACCGTGAGAGAGATCTTGTCAAGAACAGCTTCGCAATCGAAGAACGGGCTGAAATCCACTTCCAGGAGGGCGATCAACGCCGGGCTAGGAGGTGATGCGTTGGGCCGGGCGAAGCGCACCCGTGTATGCACGGCTGGGAAGATTTTCAGGCTGAGGTTCTGCAAGCCTTTGATGGGGCGCAGTTGCTCCGCGGATTGGGTAACCGGCGCGACCCTTGACACCCTCAAGGCTGATAGTCTTGGTTTAACTCCCCCGAGCGCTGGGTCTCCGCTGAACGACTCGAGGAGATTCATGCCCAGAGGCACTCGACTCTGCAGGTAGCCAGATCTCAGGGGCCCAGACAACTCAGCGTCCGCGGGGCGGAGACTGGCCGCCGCTGAGAATACAACTGAGGGACTCTGCAGGCGTATCCTTGGACGGGCCAAGAAGACTGGCTGCTTCCACACAATATATGTATACCGCTCATCATCGCCGTCCCTGCCATCTTCCTCCTCATCCGTAACAATAACCGGCTCTTGGGTAGCCTCAACAACCCCGCTGTATATCACTTCGCTGGCGGGTGCGCCGTCTCGGTCAGGGGTATGGCTATTCACAATCTGGGCGTCCAGGGAGACCGAGATCCTGCCGAGGCAAGACCGTAACTCTTTCTCCTCGGCGTACCGAGTTCGCAAAACCAGGTATATTTCAATGGTCTCATCTGGAGTCTACGCATAAGCAATGTGGGACAACGGCATGGGAGCACTACTCCAACCTCATACCGAAGAAGAGCCATTCGCGTCGGTCAATGGCGTCAAAGAGGGCCTGGTATTGATCCGCTGTGTCCCCAAGGGCCTTCTCAAGCCTGAAATTCGTTGTGGACGGTACAATGTATGTCAGATATGAGCGGTCCAGAAAGTCCTGGCCCGCATCACGGGTATCATAATCTCCGGAAACGGCCATGCTATGACATGTATAATCGTTTGTTCAGGGGGCCATGGTATGTATTCGTTTGAGAAGATTGAAGAATTAGCAAGAACGATGGGTCAGCTCCTGAATTGAGAGGAGAGAGTCTCTTCGGTATATGTAAGGGGATAATCCCGTTGTTTGCAAACCCCAATACACCAAGACTTGTCGCCGCTTGGAGCTTGGAGGTGGAGTTGAAGTTGTACTGCACATAAGCTTACAGTGGCCTGTGCACTGTCTGTGCGTTACTCCGCAGGTCTCAGCCTCGTCTTCTCCAGCCGCCAATTCCAAATTTTGTGACTTGCTCCAACCAAGCCACTAAGCCAAAGTCAACAGTGCAAATATTGTCGCGTCAGTGCTACAATCCGCGACTCCGATTATCTCGGCTGTTGTCTTGCATCCATCAACTTCAATTCGCTCAACCCTCCTTGGAGTCCCGTATTTATCTCCGGCTTCCAGCCCATGAACCTGCCCAGCTGATCGACCTCAACCAAAGCCACGATGAACGGCTTAGGTAGCCACTTCCCTCCAGGCGTGGCCTGGCAGGAGCATCGCACTCCCGATGGTCGCATCTATTATTACAATTCTGCTACCAAAGTGACACAATGGACCAAGCCAGAGGATCTGATGTCGCATGCAGAGGTGAGTCTACCCATTCTCGGTATTTCTCATTCTGAGGACGCGTACTGACAGCTTTGTAGCGCGCCCTTGCCAACCAACCATGGAAGGAATACACCGCTGAAGGTGGCAGGAAGTATTGGTACAACACTGAGACGAAGCAGAGCTCGTGGGAAATGCCAGAGGCCTACAAGAAGGCACTTGGGGACAGTGGAACGCCAACCTCTCCTGTGTAAGCAATATGAGCATATTCCATGATAATCTCATTGTACTAACTAGTCACAGCACTCCGGCTACTCCTTTCCAGCCTCCCTCAGGCCCCCATCAAGCGAATTACGGCGGTGGTGGAGGTGGCTATGGAGAGAGGTCCCATGATCACTACCGTGACCACCGAGAACCTCTAGGAGAGCACCGCCAGCTCACCTTTGGGAATAATGTTCAGGCACAGGCCTTTGTACCTGCAACAAATGAACCAGAATATGCGACACCCGAGGAAGCAGAGGCTGCCTTCGTCAAGCTTCTCCGCCGCAGTGGTGTTCAGCCAGATTGGACATGGGAGCAAGCTTTGCGAGCCATCGTGAAAGACCCACAATATCGCGCTGTCAAAGATCCCAAGGATAGAAAGGCAGCATTCGAAAAGTACTGCTATGATGTCCTCATTCAGGATAAGGAGCGCGCAAAGGAGAGGCTCACCAAACTACGCGCTGGCTTCACTACAATGCTGAAGAGCCACCCGGAGATCAAGCACTACACTCGCTGGAAGACGGCCCGGCCAATCATTGAAGGAGAGACCATCTTCCGCTCCACCAATGATGAGGCAGAACGTCGCCAGTTGTTTGAAGATTACATGGTGAATCTCAGAAAGACACATCGAGAGCATCAAACCTCGGTGCGCAAGAGTGCCATGGACGGCTTGATTGAGCTCTTGCCAAAGCTGAACTTGGAGCCTTACACCCGCTGGTCAGAGGCTCAAGATGTCATCCAGACCTCCCCACCTTTCAAGAACGAGGAGAAGTACAAGTCACTCACCAAGTATGATATCCTGACTGTCTTCCAAAACCACGTCAAGTCATTGGAGCGCACTTTCAATGACCTCAGACAGGAGGAGAAGAACAAGAAGTATCGGAAGGAGCGCCAAGCTCGCGATGGGTTCCTGGCCCTTCTTGCCGAACTGCGGAGCGAGGGTAAAATCAAGGCCGGCACCAAATGGAGCCAGGTTTACCCTCTGATCGGAAGCGATGACCGTTACAAGGCCATGTCCGGCCAGCCCGGATCCACCCCCATGGACTTGTTCTGGGATGTGGTGGAGGAAGAAGAACGCGCCTTACGTGGCCCTCGAAACGATATTCTGGATGTGGTTGATGTGAGCCTTTTCCAGTGCCCCTTCCAGCGCTATCCCGCTGCTGCTGCTCTTGCAATGATACTGATGCTATACAGGATAAACACTTCGAGGTCACCCCCAAGACAACCTTCCAAGAGTTCCAGTCGCTACTTAAAGATGATCCTCGCACTGCTAACATTGAACGTGACACCGTCGAGTTCATTTTCGAAAAGGTGCGTCATTGATCCTATAGTTCTAATTTTGAGATGCACGCTAACCCGCTGAGCCAGCTTCGAGAGAAGAAGGCCAAGAGGTCAGACGATGACAAGCTGGTCGAGCGCCAGCAGCGGCGTGCCCTTGATGACCTGCGTTCCTTCATGAAGCGCCTCGATCCTCCAATCTTGCCTCACGACACCTACGAGAGGGTCAAGGCCCGGCTGAGTAGGAGTGACAAGTTCCAGGCTGTCCTTTCGGAGGAAGCACGCCGTGGAGCCTTTGAAAAGCACGTTCGCCGCCTCAGAGAGAAGGAGGAGGAGGCCGACCGGGACCGCCGGCGCCGTGATCGCGGGGATAGCTATCGGGATAGAGGTGAGAGATCTCATCGAGGAAGTATGCGCCCCGCTAGGTCCAGCCGCAGTCCCGCCGAGCACGACCCTTATGAGGCCGATCGTCGCAAGGCCATTGCCGAGCGAGAGCGCAACTACCGGAAATCGAGCATGGCGGAGAGCCTGTTGTCCGATCGTAGATCTCACGACTCAGCCAGGGACCGTGACCGTGACCAAGATCGCGTGCCAAGGGACCGCGAGCGCGAGCGAGATCGAGATCGAGATCGTGATCATGACCGCCGCTCTCGTCGGGATGACGAACTCAATCTCTACGACCGAGAGAGACGCACTAGAGAGGAAGACCGGGAGAGGGTCTATCGCAGGCGAGTGGACCGCGACGTCAGCGAACTTCCCTACGGTGATGAGAGACCTAGTTCATCTCGTCGTCGCCGGGCTGACGACGACGAGATCGATCGCCGAGATTCGAGGGATGCAAAAGTAAGCTTCCTTTCCAACACTCCGACGACCAGAGATCATTTTGCTGACTATCAACGCACAGAGATTGAAGCCAGACTATTCCCGTGAGCGTACCCCTCAACGTGATGCCCGTCCCAAAGCTAGGACCCCACAGCCCGCAAAGGAGAAATCGCCTGGCGTTCGAGCGGGTAGTGAAGAGGGCGAAATCGAGGAGGATTAGTCGGCAACGTCGACATCCCCTCCCTAACTGGCGACCGAAGAATGTCGCCGTTACAACCTGCGTCTCCATTCTAGTACCTCGAAGGTCTTCTATAGAAAGACCAAGAAAGGACCGAATCATTTCGAGGCGTCATGGTTGCCTGTCACGTGGAGCATCGTTTCACCAAGTACGTATCGGATTATCATACTCAGCATGTCAGATTCGCAGAGATGACCGCACAGAAGCAGAGATGTCTCGCTAGATCATCATCACCCTTCGATGCGGCACTCCCACTATCGTCGTCCTAATTCCTCGCCATGGCGGCTCGACGCTACACCCCACCCCTCCCCGAGGTCCCTTTTGCTTCTGGACTCGGCGGATTGCAGTCTCATGCGCACTTAACGGGGGAAATTGCGTAACAAGATCCTGGGCTGTACGTATTCCTTCTCTTCTTCGCTACAGTCAAAAAGTCTGGTATTATATCCAGCAGTAGATAGTAATTGATTTGTGTATGTGTAATCCCCTGGTGTCCAACCATTATATCTCTGGTGCAGCTTGAAACGTGGATCCGTGGACCTACCTCACAGCATTGCATGTTGATGGGAGCATCTCGGATCTTTCTTCTAGGCGGTACTACAACGTCTTCAATTTTTTGGTTCTCGAACAAAGCGAGGTCAGATATATATTGGCTAGCCACCTAGCTAGTTGTGCCATTTTCATTGTTCGATGGTCTCGCAGCCGATAATTCCGAAACTGCGAGGCTGACGGCAGTCACCCTCTTGGCCCATTGCCCCTCAATCTACGAAGAATGGTCTGCCCTTTCTTCCCAACCCCCAAATGCGCGCACTTGATACATAAATAAATAAAAACGAAGCAAGACTCGAAAGAGTGGGTTGCTCAAAAGGCGTTAGTCCGCGAAAAACGAGTGTGGGCATGCAAAAAATATGCAGAAACGGGAAGCAGAAGCAGAAGCAGGATTTCCGATCCAAGCAATGGGGAAATGGCAAAACAAAGACCACCGGGGGAAGACCTCGACTCCTCCCTTCTTCGTAGGACCAGGCAACAGGGGATAGACTGCCGTCGCCGTTGTTAGGCGTCCGGATCGTTGTCGTCGGACACGCCGCCCTCCTCCTCTAAAGCGATATCATGCAGACCGCGAGCGACGCCGGCTCGGATTTTGCCACCGTTTTGAACGCCTGCAACGCCGGGACCGGATGCTTCATGCCAACATGGGGGAGGAAAATTACGACGACGACGATGGCGGCGGCGGCGGCGGTGGTGATGATGGTTGCTCTCGTCGTTCTTCTTTGGGACGCCCTCTTCAACTCGATTTCTGCTCTAGATCTTCCAGGAAGAACTGCAGGTAGAATCGTCAGTAAACAAATGCCACCACGCTTTATCCACCTTGGGGCGAGGAAGGAGGGAAAGAGTTTGTAAACTTACATAGTTGCCGCCTAGTTTCTGTTCTCGGTCGAGCTGCGAGTTGGCCTTGTTGATACGCGGGCGGAAGTTGGTAGGGTCACGGCGGAAGGTGACATCCAGGTTCTTCAAGAAGGTGTTGCAGCCGGTAAGCAGCGACTGGGGCTTGTTGGCGTGCGCGTCAATACCCGGCTGGCCGTCGAAGACGATAACGCGGTCGGCGAGGTACGTGGCCATGATGAAGTCGTGCTCGACGATGAAGGCGGTCTTCTTGGCGTGCATGATGAAGCGCTTGATGACACGCGCGACAATGATACGCTGCTCCGAGTCGAGGTAGGCAGACGGCTCGTCGATCAGGTAGATATCGGCAGGCATGCCGAGGGCCAGGACGATGGCGACTCGCTGCAATTCACCACCCGACAGATTCTTTACTTCCTGGTCGATGAAGTCGTCAAGCTTGAGCGGCTTGACAACATCCGTCTGGAACTGGGGAGAAAGGAAGGCGGCCTTGATCTTCTTGAAGAACAGCATTCGAACAGTGCCCTCAAACTTGGGGGTGATGGTCTGCGGCTTCATGCTGATTCTCATCTCCGGGACCTTTTGGTCTCCGTCGGGCTTCAGGGCGCCAGCGAGGAGACGGCAGAAAGTGGTCTTTCCGGTGCCATTCTCGCCCATCATGACAATGATCTCCGAATCGGTGAAGTCGCCAGAATCAATGCTCAGCTTGAAACCACCGAGAGTCTTTTGCATCTTGGGATAACGGAATGCGCGAGACTTATCCGCCAGGTAGTCCTCAGTACCCTCTGAAATCTTGAAGGTGAGAGATTCCTCTCGGAATCGCAAGTTCTCGGTCGGGATATGACCATCGAGGAAGATGTTGATGCCTTCACGGACCGAGTGGGGGAGGGTGACGACACCATAAACCGCTGGCTGGCCGTAGAGAACGCAGATGAAATCGGACAGATAGTCAAGCACAGACAAATCATGCTCAACGACGATGACGTAGTCATCGGCGCGGAGAAGAGATCGAATGATGCGAGCAGCACTCAATCTTTGCTTGACGTCGAGGTACGAAGAGGGCTCGTCGAACATGTAGCTGCACGGCCTGTTAATGGGCTATCCCTACATTCCACCACGTGGAAAGGGACAAACTTACACATCGGCTTGCTGAACACAGACGGTTCCGATGGCAAAACGTTGGAGCTCACCACCAGAGAGCAGGTTTACATCTCGGTCATAGATGTGGCGCAGCTCTGAATCAAGTTAGTCGAGAAGGCCAGGCTGGGTAAGCAGGCAGCATTGCTAGGGGCTTACCGAGGACATCAAGAACCTCGTCGAGGTTGTCCATGGAAGCCCGACCCTCGATCAGGCCCTTCACAGACTTTACAGGGCCTCGAACAGCCCTGGGGATCTGGTCAACATACTGCGGCTTGACAACAGCCTTCAGGTCATCTTCCAGCAATTTGGTGAAGTAGTCTGCCGACCTAGTCAGCCCTCAACAAGTCTCTCTCATCTCTGCGCCAAGGGGACATACTCTGGAGCTCAGAGCCACGGAAATACTTGATAACATCCTCCCAGTCCGGGGGGTTGTCAAATTTTCCCAGATTCGGCTTCAACTTGCCGCTGAGAATCTTCAGGGCAGTACTCTTGCCAATACCGTTTGTTCCCACAAGACCAAGCACCATTCCGGGTCTTGGCATGGGCAGCCGGTGGAGCTTGAAGCTGTTCGCTGAGTACCGATGGGTGACCTGACTCTCGAGGTTTGTCGGGAGGTTGATGATAGTGATCGCATCGAAGGGGCACTTCTTGGGGCAGATACCACAACCGATGCAAAGACTCTCCGAGATGAAGGCGAGTCGAGATTCCGGGGTGACCTCGATGCACAGCTTGCCGCTTCGCACGACGGGGCAGGATTTCTTGCACTCTTGGCGGCATTTCTAGGCAGTGTCAGTTTCGGCAACCTGGAGTGTCGTCTTTGTTGGTTTGATATTGGCGTACCTTTGGCTTGCACTGTTGTCGTAAAGCAGCAGAAGTCAGCTTCAGTCATGCAAAGTGTGATGGTGGGGTAGTGGGGTTCGAGATGGTTTAACAGACCTTGTCGCTATTGATAATAGCAATGCTAGATGGGATGATGTGAGCACGAGAGAGAAAAGCTTGCAAACAAGATATGTAATTCCTGTTGAGCACCTACCGAGTGAGTTTGTCGGACATGTTTGCTGATGTTGTGGACCGGTGGCCCAACTGACTTGGCAGTAGGATCGATAGCAGATCCGAGAGGTATGATGCGACAAGAGTCGCTCTTGCTTGCTTAGCTTCTTTGCCTTGGTCGCAATATCAGGAAAGGCCCTGGTGTGGAACAAGAATTAGGACTGCTTCCCAAACTTTAAAACCCGGTCGGCAGCAAAGCCCAAGAGGAATCCTGTTGGCAATGGGAAACGATTTGGAGGTTGCCAGATTTTGTGGCGGGGCCAGGGCAATTGTGCGCCGTGCCAGAGTGGCGGGGCTGATTCTACAGTCTTTGACGGCTGTAATCGGGAATTGGCTGGATCTGATAGGCGAGGATGTTTGTGGCTTGACACTTTCTCCGAAGTCACAGGATCTACACTAAATAACAGACACCAAGGCATCCTGTCTGTTTTCAACCACCTCAACACCATGTCCTTTGAGTTAAAAACTTAAAAATTTCACCTACGAACCTAACTTCACTTACCTAATAGGTAGGTACCGGGTCGCGTTGCATTGTGCCATGTTTCGGTCTCCCCCTCCCCTTTGTTAAAACCTAAAACGTATAGTCTAGAGGTATATATTGGAGTCCAGTTACAAAACGGAGTTCGAGGTTGTAAGTCCGAGAGTCATCGTCAACCAGTGATCAACGGGGAGCGGGGAATCAGTGAGGTGGTAGAGAATGTCATTCTTGGGATTAGAAGCACCTTTTCTGGACTTGAGGAGTGCCTGGGGGATGATCAAAGTATTGAAGCCTCGACTACTGTGTATGCCTGTCGTAGTTGTAATTGACTCCTCTCATGGCTTTGCCTGTTTGAGATCCATGGCATTGGGCCTTTGGCCGTTGGATGGACTCGAAAAATACGCAGTAGATACGGACCCGAACGCTCTATTGTCAGCCTCGTCGCCGAGCATACTTTTCGCCTTAGGCATTCACTGACCCCCGTGTATCGGAAAGTCTGGGAGCACAGGCCAACCTCCCCACCCAGCCTTGAACTTCCCTGTAAGGCCCGACTCACCGTGCTTTTTCCAGTTCTCTCCTTCCACTCCACCACACTGCAATTTGATATTCCGATACACACCCGCCAGTTATCAGGTCTTCTAACCTGCACCACCTCCGCCACAATAATCCTTGACATCGATTAGGAAACAAGTAGTGTTTTTGTTTGCCGCCTGGAGGCCGTTTGTTCATGACTTGTAAGTTCTGTTGCCCTTTGTCTGCTTCTATCGCTCCTGTTCGAATTCTCGGCCGCCTTCCATCGCCGCATCCGCCATCAAATCTAGCCACATGCCGGCGGAGGACGGCCTCTTGTCCTCCATTTCTGGCCATCGGACCCCTGGAGATTGATGGAAATGATGCCTCTCGATGCATTCCAGCCGTGGTTAACCCCCCACAACTGCCCCTTCATCCACCGAGTCCCCAATGGCTGTTCATCACACTTCAGCCTCGCCTTCATCGCCGATCCATCCTGGATGCGACAAGCATCATTAATACATACTCCTCACCCAATATCCGGTGTTCCTTGATAATTTTGAGTCGCCTGATACACCTACGTTAACCCATTCCATCGGTGAAACCTTAAATGGCAGAAAACCCTCACTGACATCGTCGTCTTATAGCAGGCAGGCACCGCCTCCAATATCAGCATGTCTTCGCCATCGGAAGCTAGTCCTGTCAATGGGCATGCTTCTCCTTTGGCGGACGACAGGACCGAGAATATAGCCAATGGCTACCAGAGTGACAGCGACCTCTCCGATGCCCAACCCGTTAGCCGCGACACTCTATCTTCCGATTCCCCAGATGTACTGGGTTCGACTGCCGTCAAGCCCGAATTGTCCTTCCAAGAAGCCTCCGAGTCCAGCGACAATGATGCCTCTGGTGACGCGGACTTTGATATGGAAGCCAGTCCCCAATCTGTTCAGAGCGACGTTGAAAATAGCAGGCCGACTTCGTCAAATGGTTCTCGCCGTGCTCTTAAGCGCAAGAGCGCCCAAGTTACAGAGGATGACTTCATGAGGGACAACCCTGAGCTCTATGGATTAAGACGAAGCGTACGTTCCCTCGTTACCACGTACTGCGAGAAGGCTGACATCCATCCCCAGTCGCGTCCTACTCAACGCCGCCAAATCGTAAGTTCCCCTGACGTAGGCCTCATCATAGACCCTGACACTTACTCCGTGTTCCAGGTCGAGTCCGGTGACGAGAATGATGATGTTGATGATGATAATGATGATGATGATGACTCTGATGTCGCTGTTAATCGGAAAGTCGCCAAGAGAAGAAAAATCGAGCGTTCACAGCCTTGTATGCCTTCGCTCCCTGGTCGTCCATCCATCATCAATGTCCACAAACTAACCTAACCACTTCCCAGCCTCCAAGCGTGAGACGCCCGCCCGTCAGACTTCAGCAGCCGACTCCGACTCCGATAACTACGGCGGTGCGAAAGCCCGAAGCTTCCAAAAGAAGGCGCGCCGGCGTCAGGAATTACAGCCCGCACAAGCCCTTGCCGAAAAGAGGTGGTCCAGCCGCAGGGCCGCGCAAGTCTCTGCTGGGGCTTATCAAGAAAGCGACGGAGATGAAGAATTCGAATCCAGCACTCCCAACCATTGGGCTGGCGGCGTGGAGGATAACTCCCCTTACATCGAGAAAATCATCCGCCATCGTCCGAGAGATGGCGTTGAATTGACCCCCGATGCTACGCGACATGACTTTGAGTATTACATCAAATGGCAAGGCAAGTCGCATCTTCACGATACCTGGGAGACAACCGAGACAGTCGCCGGGTTCCGCGGCTTTCGCCGACTGGAAAATTACTACAAGAAGATCGTCGAATATGACATGGACATGAAGTTTGGCGGTGATGAGATAAGCCCCGAACAACGGGAGCAATGGCTTCTTGATCGCGAAAGGGAAGAAGAGGCCCACCAGGACTACACCAAAGTCGAGCGCGTCGTTGCTGTCCGTGATGGTGAGGAAGGCGATGAATACTTCATCAAGTGGAAAGGTCTCCAGTATGATGAATGCACCTGGGAGGCAGCCTCGCTCATTAGCTCCCACGCGCAAGACAAGATCGACCAGTTCCTGGACCGATCTTCTCGCTCCTGGCAGTCGGATCGGAAGGAGGCCAACGCCGAGACCAGGTCCAGGATGACAAAGATCGACAAGCAGCCATCCTACATTGAGGGAGGGGAGCTCCGAGAGTTCCAGCTGAAGGGTCTCAACTTCCTGGCCCTCAATTGGACGCGTGGGAACAACGTCATTCTCGCTGATGAAATGGGCCTTGGGAAAACTGTTCAGTCTGTCTCATTCCTTAGCTGGCTCCGGAACCAGCGCAACCAGGAAGGGCCGTTCCTGGTCGTGGCACCGCTCAGTGTCATACCTGCTTGGTGCGATACCTTCAACCTTTGGACCCCTGACCTCAACTACGTCGTCTATCTCGGCCCTGAAGCAGCGCGATCAAACATCCGCGAGCATGAGCTGTTAGTCAACGGCAATCCGAAGAAGCCAAAGTTCAACGTCTTGTTGACGTCGTACGATTACATCCTCCTAGACTGGGAGTTCCTTCGGGGCATCAAGTGGCAGGTCCTTGCCGTGGATGAGGCACACCGACTGAAGAACCGCGAGTCTCAGCTCTACAGCAAGCTAGTGAGCTTCAACGTCCCATGCAAGGTTCTCATCACGGGAACTCCGATCCAGAACAATCTGGCAGAACTCGCGGCACTTCTGGATTTCCTCAACCCCGGCAAGGTATTGATCGATGAAGAGCTAGAGCTGCTATCCTCGTCGGACAGCAAGGAACCTGCAGACGAGGAGAAGGACGAGGCGAAGCGGCTTGAGACCCAAGCAAAGTTGCATGAGCTCCACGCCGCGATCGCCCCATTCATCCTCCGACGCACCAAGGAGAAGGTGGAATCTGACCTCCCTCCCAAAACGGAGAAGATCATTCGTGTGGAACTTTCGGATGTTCAGCTCGATTACTACAAGAACATCCTTACCCGCAACTATGCCGCGTTGAGTGATGCAAGCAATGGTCACAAGCAATCGTTGCTGAACGTCATGATGGAGCTGAAGAAGGTCAGCAATCACCCATACATGTTCGCAGGCGCCGAAGACCGAGTTCTGGCAGGCAGCACCCGCAGAGAAGACCAGATCAAGGGCCTCATCACCAGCAGCGGCAAGATGATGCTTCTCGACCAACTCCTCACGAAGCTCAAGAAGGACAACCATCGGGTCCTGATCTTCAGTCAGATGGTGAAGATGTTGGATATCCTCGGCGACTACCTCCGTGTCCGTGGCTACCAGTTCCAGCGACTGGATGGTACCATCCCGGCCGCGCCTCGACGCATGGCAATCAACCACTTCAACGCGGAAGGCAGCGACGACTTCTGCTTCCTCTTGTCGACCCGCGCTGGTGGTCTTGGCATCAATCTCATGACTGCTGACACCGTGATCATCTATGACTCGGACTGGAATCCTCAGGCGGATCTGCAAGCAATGGCGAGAGCGCATCGAATTGGCCAGAAGAAACCCGTCAACGTTTATCGTCTTGTCGCAAAGCAGACCATTGAAGAGGAGGTTATCAAGCGTGCGAGGAACAAGCTCTTCCTCGAATACCTCACCATCCAGGCGGGCGTCACTGACGAGGGCAAGGAACTGCGTGAACAGTTCAAGGAACGAGGTCTGAAGATTGACGAGGCAAAGACGACCGAGGACATCCAGCTTATCTTGAAGATGCGGTCGCAAAACTTGTTCGAGCAGTCTGGCAATCAAGAAAAGCTTGAGCAGCTGGATATTGATGCCATCCTGGAGAACGCTGAGGTCACCAAGACCAACGTTGACGACAAGATCAACCTCAGCAGTGGCGGCATCGACTGGGACAACTGGATGCAAGTAACCGACGTTAAAGTTGACGAGCTTGCGCTCGACTGGGACCAGATCATCCCCGCCGAACAGCTTGCCGTCATCAAGGCCGAAGAGGATAATAAGAAGCATGAGGAGTACTTGGCTAAGACTGTGGAGGAGAATGCCCCTCGGAAAGCTGCATTGAAAGGGTCCAAGAAGAGCGCCGAGTCTGACCGTGCCGAGCGGCTTGCCAAGAAGAGGCAGCGGGAGAGGGAAGAGCAAGACGAGCGCGAGGAGCAGCGCGCATTGATGTCTGATCCGCGGCGTCCGCTTAGCGAGAAAGAAACCCGAAACTTGATCCGCGCTTTCTTCCGATACGGATCTCTGGATGACCGCGAGGAGGAAGTCATACAGGACGCGCGCCTAACTGATAGAGATCGTGACTTTATACGGACCATCATCGATGATCTCGTTGTTGCCAGCCGCCAAGCCGTTGACGTCAACAACGACAGGGTTCGGGAGGAAGAGGACAAGGCTGGCAAGCCCCTGGCCAAGAAAGACAAGAAGGCCGTGCTTGTCGACTTCGGCGAAGTTCGCAAAGTCAATGCCGAGACCGTCGTCGAACGGCCGCCGCAACTGAAGCTGCTGCGCCAGATTCTGCGGGATCATGGCGACAATCGGACCTTCCGACTGCCTGAGGCAACAAAGTCGGCGCATTACTCGTGCGAGTGGGGGGCTCGCGAAGACGGCATGCTCCTCGTCGGCATCAACAAATACGGGTTTGGAGCATGGACTCAGATCCGGGACGACGCCGATCTGGATATGCAAGACAAATTCTTCCTTGAGGAGCATCGGGTTGACAAGAAGGAGGAGCGGAAGAAGGGGGATGATAAGGGCATCCAGTCACCAGGAGCGGTACACCTGGTCAGGCGCTCCGAATATCTCCTCTCCGTCCTTCTGGCGAAGCACTCGAATGATGCTGCGGCAAAGAAGGCTGTGGAGAACCACCATCGCAGCAAGAAGCATCTCATCAACGGACATCGGCGTGGCGAGCTGGCGGGATCTGTGTCCACCTCGCCTGCCCCACAGATGACCAAGAAGCCGAGCCAGGGCCGCGACCGCGACCGTTACGGTGACCATCGCAGGTCCCATAGCAATGCCAACAATGAACGAGGCACGCCCCGCCCAGACCATAAGCGGAAGTATACAGACGACCACGAGGAGAGGGGTCACAAGCATCGCCGGGTGGAGGAGAGGGGTCATACGGACGACCGGCGCGCGTCGGACTCCAAACATGGCAAGAAGCCCCAAGACAAGGAGAAGGCGAAGGTTGATCCCGAAGCTCTCGAGCGGCTTAAGCGGTCCCGAGAGAAAGCAGTCAGCCGCTTCATCGAGCTCTCCAAGGTTGGGAATAATCAGATTGACGTCTCCGACAACCAACAAGTGGTGTGGTCTTTCCTCAAGCCCCTCCAGTCCACCATCGAGGAAATTGTGTATTCAAAAGAAAGGTTCCCGGCGGCTAAAGAACGAGCCAAGATTTTGGGCGAGGAAATCCGGAGGTTTGGAAAGTACATCGAGGATCTCAGAAAGGGTAGGGATAGTGAACAACTAGAGAAGATAGCGAGCTTGGAGCCGCAGTTCTGGTAAATACCGGCCCCCCTACGATGGCAAGTTTTAACCCTCTTTGCTAACACAGACTTGCTAGGGAGTTCTTGTCTTCGATTTGGCCGCTTGGAGACTACCAGGTGTCGGGAAAGAGACTGCAGCGGATGTTCGGAAACCTCCTAGAGCAGGATAAGAAGAAAGCGGAGAAGGCCAACGAGTCTCCACGACCGAGAAAGGCTGAGAGGAACCCGGATCTTGAGGATGGCGAGATCGCCAGTGACCGGGAAGAGAGGCGGGCTCGAGATCCATACCGCGATGACCGGCGAGACTATCGGCGGGAGGAACGCCAAGAGCCAAAGCGGCCCAACTACTACGAGAATGGGGATCGCCTGAACTTCCACCGTCATCGGAGAGAAGGTGATCGCGTGGCCTCCCGCCCGTCGTGGCAGGGACGCAGCCCACCGGCTCGAAACAGCTCCTACTGAGCCGGCCCTCCTCCCAAAGAGAGACGGCGACACGGCAACTCTACTAAAAATATGATCGATAAACATCAACTTTTTGCATTAGTCTGGCGCCCCGGCATTTGGCATCTGGGATTTTCGACGAGGATCCATAAACTACATACCCGGTAACTGCATGGTACAGGGAAGGATTCGTGATTTGGAGTTTGTTCACGCGCGATGTCGGCATAAAGTAATTTTTACTTGTGCTTTTTCAGCTGGCTGGCGGACAAGACCGGCCAACCAGCTGTGTTTCTAGACTGTGTCTCGGGTGGAAAGGGGGGAGATGCTAGAGTTGCTAGGTTGCTTTTGTCGCTGACGACTTCGAGACTTTTTGGTGTCCATATAGGGGTTGGTTTCTCGACGAGTAGACCACGATGACTACATCGGACATGTGCATCGTCACAAAAAGTTACATGGGGTTGGTTATATGGAGGAGGATCGACCTTGATAGCGCCGGGCTGTAAGGTAGTTCAGGTTATTTGGGATGCGGAGGAAATCAGCGACTTTGTAGCCGAAGCTGCCTGTAGATTAGACAGGTGGATATGTACAGTAAAAAAAAAGAATGGCACGCTATCGAGTGTTGGCTGCCCGAGGAAAGAACGTCCCTAGAGAAGGAAAAAAGCATCTGATACCTAGTACTCCACACTTGCCTCGCCCGTACTTGTGATGTGTACATGATACTTAATTTATGGATTATTCTCCCGTTGAGGTTCCCTCGACTTGATGCATACTGCCATAGCTAGCAAGGTCAGAACTAGAAATGCAAGATTCTCAGGTTCCGGACAGACACGATGGTCTAAATTCGAGTTACGATATCAGGATATCTCCATCTTATTTCTCCATTGGGCTCTCTCTCACACCCCCACGGCGAGACCGGGGAGGCCCAAACAAGCTATGGTGATATGGTAATGCTACTAGTTGGGCACGAGGCTCGCTATGTTCATCCCCGGAAGGGAGGAGGGTTTGCTCACACGCTTTCTGCTTCTTCTTCATCATCATCCCTCACTCCTTCTCCGTCGCCCCCGGCCACCAGGCGGAGAACAACATGAACTGCAGCCAGGGGGGAATATCAACGGAAACAAAGGCCAAAAAATAAATAAAAAGGTATGTAGGTGAACTGGTCTCACCCGGCTCCGGCACGGGTTGAGATGCGTTAGAAACATTGAGCACAAAGGCCTCCCTATCCATTTCCAAGAGCAGCGAAGTTGGTTGGCGGAAACCATGCCGCCTTCCCCAACAGCAGCGAGATATCTCCGTTTTATACAGTCGGCTTGGCTGGAATGTACAAAATGGCCCTGCTTCCCAAGGCAGGCCGATGAATAATAGTAAAAAAGGTGGGGGGGTGGTCGCTAGGGGGTGAACCACCGCTATTAAATCACAATCGGCAGATAGATCGTTTTCACAGCGACGGATCATCAGTCGATCAGAAGCGCCATACTACGGGGTTTCGACGTTGGAGAGATGGTCTCCGCCGCTGAAATTCGACGATGCTGGTTGGAAGGCGTGACCGGGCGGCCTTCGAGGCTGTTGTACAGGGCGGGGTTGTCGGGGTTGTCGGGGTTGTTGGCGTTGTCGAGGTTGTCGGCGGGGGTTTTCGTCCACTTGAAATAGTTGGCCAGCGGCCACCGTACCTTGATTTTGGGCCGCAAAGACGGCAGCCTAGACTTGTTGCCGTCGTCGACGGACTCCCCTAGCGAGGACAGCTCCGAAATATAGGGGTCGGCCACGATCTCTTCCTTGGCCTCCTGTTTTATCTCGGGAGCAGAGACATATTTGGTCGCCCTGAAGGCTTGGTTGAGACCGTTGTTCGGCCTGGCCGTGTCCTTCTTAATCTGCCGCATCTGCCGCGGCTTTCTGGCGTTGGTGACTTTCTGGGGGGTCGTGACGTTACTGCTCGTGGCACCAGAGCCGCCAAACAAGAGCCTGCTCTGCTTCGTCTTGGGCGGCTTCTTGCTTGGTAACTGGTTTCGAGGCTTGGGGCTTGCCCTGGGCGTCAAGATTCCGCCTTGAATCTTCTCAACGACCTTCGACCTACCCTCGGCTGGCAACTCCGAAGGCTCACCAGGGATGGTAATAGGACCCGACTCGGAAATCCGTGGCTTCTTTTCGAGGAGAATGTCGATTCTATCGCGACTCAGGGCAGCTTTGCACTGCCTCTCCTTCTTCTCGTCGCCCGTTACCATGTAGGTTTCGCGAACTCCGATGTCCTGCTCATCCCAGCGTGGCAGGTTGGCGAGCTGCGCAATGTCGTCACATTTCCCCTTCACAATAAGATCCCAACAGTCCTTGAACTCGGCCCCCTGTGGCTCTGGATCGATGTTGACCCACGCGGTGAAACCATCCCTTCTGCTCCTGGTGACCTGGCACAATTCCTTCACAAGTCGTCGCACGCCCGGGATCTTGAGACTGGTCCCGACCACGATAACGGCGTCTGGGACCTTGCGTAGGTCCGCCTGTGACACGTTCCCAATAGCTTCCTCATCAGGGTTGTACTCGTTGTAGAGGACGATTCTCGGGCGCATACGGCCGATGCCGTGACTTCGCTTTCCCGCGAAAGTAGTGCGCACCTCGTCCTGTTCCTGGCAGCTAGTACAAGGTGGGGGCTGAGGGCCCTCGAATAAAGAACCATTGAAGGCCTCTAGGTGGCCACACTTGGAGCACACCATCTTCTCGAGACCTCCGTGGAGCTGGATAGTAGTCGGCCAGGGGCCCTTCAGGTTTAGGGGTACATTAGTGGCGAGTGGTGGGATCTGAGTGTCGATACAGTCGACGTTCTGGCTGTAGAGGCGCATGAGGCGGCCCTCCTCGGCAATTGATGCCAGCATGTGGTGGAAGACGGAAGGCTTGGCCTCCGAGGTCATGTGCGCCAGCTCGCGCACCATGGTATGGAATGACGTCGTCGAAGAGTCATGTTTGTATACAGATGCATCGAACAGGTGTTTCCCTGAGGCCTTGATCTTGTGCTGGCCGCGCAGGGTGCTGAAGAGGCCCGTTGAGGACCGGAAGTCGGGAACTAGATAAGAGTCAGAAGGAATGGTTCGGAAGACATGCATGCGGACAGGGGAGGGATCGCGGATTTGTACATACTTCCGGCTGACACAGAGATGCCGGCGCCCGCAATGACGACGATCTTCTTCTTCTTCCGCAGCGCCGACAACAGTCGGTCTAATTGGGCCTCGTCCTCTTCGCCCAGGCTCTCCAGGTCGACGTACTCGGTAGTCCTCGGCTTGGCCGGCGAGATCTTGCGGCGCTTGGCTGGCGGCGGACCATCGGTCCTCACGCATATCTCGTTCTCGTCCGACTGCTTCATTGGAGAAGCGCTGCCGGAGGGGATCGTGCTCGAAATTGGCGACGGATACCTGCGGGACGCATCCAGGATTATCGGCGGAGATGACGGCAATGAAGGCGAGTTGGACAGGACGGAGAGGGGGGAGGAGGGTAGTGACGACGGCTCGTGTTTTACTGCGCGATCCATGGTTGCCGTGCGGTTGTCGCCAGAGATGGTGGTTAAAAGGAGAGGAAAGAGGGAAAACAAGGTTCAGAGAGAGCCCAAGCGGCGAAAGGGAACAAGGGAAGGGTTTTTAATCTCGCGTGCGTTTACAACATGGCTGAGAGAGGTTGGGTGGAAGACGGGTGAAAAGAAGAGTTTCAGTTGTTGTTCTCATCAGTGAATGGACATCCAGTGAGTTGTATCCTGAGCAATTGTGGCTGGTGGGAATTGTCTATTGTGCTTGAGAGTTATTGTTGAAGTTGGGACAACTGACGTCCTCGAGTTCTATTGGTGCGGGATGTACAGTGACCGAACCGATCTACACACACCCCAAGGTGGAAGGGACCTAGGCCAGGACTACAAACAATGCAGATTGCAAAGTAAAGACTTGCTAGCCAAAATAAAAACTCGCCTCGGTTTTGAGTTAAGTCGGTAGAGTTGACTTCTACTATTATGATTTTGCCCAGAATTCGAACTCGTTGCTCGATAGGTACTGCGCGGAGCGAACGAGCACATGTACCTTCCGTACTCCGTACGGGGAATCACCACAGGCCGGTTGCTCGTCGCAACAACCTGACGCCCGGCAACCCAAGCGGCAAGAGCCCCACTTCCCCGTCCCCTAGCTCAAGTCGCGGTGCCAGTTACCTAATCAGCCAGCAAATCACCAGGTCTCATGATAGGTAGCTGAGCGGGCTGTTTTGTGGCTTGAAGCTTGAGGCTTGAGGCTTGTTCTAACGAACCTATTCGTACAGAGCTGAGGCCTTGCACCTGCTCTGTCACTACCTACCTACCTTACCTAGATAACCTTTAAGGACTTGACCTAACTTCAGGATCCAACGTCGCTTCATATCGTCTCTTGACCACCGGTGTCAGCCAATATTGGATAAGAATGCCTATAATGCTACCTGGGGGCTCATGAAGCGTCTTTCCTTCCGAGCCTCCCCCAACCTGCGGCCATAGAATCAAGTCGCATTCAAGCTCCAACACTCTGCTTTTGAAGCAACCAATGCACCCATGGCTTCCGCCGAGATCCCGCTCATGCTCGATGCAGCAATGGACGTTGACATGGATGTCAACGTTGACAACGCCCTAGACGCCATGGGCCACCCAATGCCGGCGAACTTCGACCTGTTTGGGGACCCCCTGCGGCCATCTATTGCAAGCAAACGGCTCCTCCAACGGCTGGATGAGTTAAGAACACGCGGCTGCTGCCAGTATGCCTCCGCCCTTTGCCCGCGCCGCTTGCTCACGTTATTAACCTCCTTCACAGGGGCATTGCCTGGTCCAGGCAGGGGACAATTGCGTCGATCTCCAAGGATGGCCGGTCCATCGACCTACGGTTTCTACGCTGCCGTCCAGAGACCGGTACCTGGGGCTTGAGTGAACCTACCCTCTGCTCTGTCTTTTCAAGTGCCATCCCAGGCTGCCCGGTCACCCACCTGGCCTGGGCATCCACCTCAAGTCCCGAGCTGGCCGTCATCGATTCTGTTGGCCGGGTCACCATACTAAGCTTCTCCATCAGCCTCAACCGCCCTTATCTGCTTCGCAGATGGGATGCGGACTTGGTAGACGACCTTCACGCTGTCGTTGGCTGTTACTGGCTACCCCTGGGGCCTCAAGGCAGACAGGTAACTTCGACTCATCGTGCGTCATGCTGCTTCCCTTATTCTTTCTGACCTCTTGACCAGTACCATATAATGTATGGCCCAGCCGTCTACGAAGCCAGCAATTACAAATACGAGACTTCTATAGTTCCTGCTTTCGGCCCTTGGCATCCAAACCCGACCAAGAGCTCCTTGCTCTGTGTCACCACCAATGGCCTCCTGAAACTCTTCTTCTCTCAGAATAACAGCAAGATAGAGGAGACAACCCTAGATCTAGAGAGTGTCACATCACCGGACGATCTGATCACCCATGCATCGCTATGTTCTGACCGGGGTGAGTTTCTCCTAGGAACGGGCAGGGCAGGTCGAATAGGATGCTGATCAAAGTCGCAGGCACGGTTATTATTGCGGTTGCCACGTCCTCAAAGCAGCTCAAAGTTGTTCGTGCAACAATTCAGTGGGGGTTGCCGCAGTCAGACAAGCAGGTGCCTCACGGGAGTGTACCACTCAACCCAACTCTCAGGCAGAAGCGGATCGCTGTCACGAGCTGGTTTCAACATGGACCAAGCCAATCCCATCTCGACACTTCCATGGCACAGCTTTCTCACATGGAGGTTCTACCATCGGCTTTAGAAGGTGCCCCAGTTGGTAGCGCCCCGTCACTCTCCTCTCCGCTCCTCCTTACTGTGCGGTCTCATGCGGCTGCCGAACACTCCCCCTACAATCAAGACCAACAGAGCATTGTCGATCGCTGGGAGATCCTCAATGAGCAGCCGCAGAGCCTCCATTCTGCACTTGAACAACTCGGCTCACGTGCTACATCGGGATCAAACCTTCCAGTGAGTTCCCCGCAACGTTTCTCCCCCGACAACACTGACGCTGGCCCACAGAAGATGTCCCGCCTACGCAAACTCGATTCTATCGTGATACCCAAAATTATCATCTCCATACACCCAATGCAACTTGGGCAAGTCATTTGCTTTGCCTTCAGCGACGGAACGGTTCAATACCGGCACCGCCTTACGATGAACGAGATATATAATGAACCAAATATCCACAAGATCATGACTCTTGGTCAAGTTGGGTTTCAGTTTGCAGAAGAGTCTCCTTGTATGTTGTAATAACTGCGGCGCGTGGTCCTTGACTTTTGAGCTAACCTTCATCCCCACAAGGCCTCCAGGTAGCCTTCTCGCCCACGAACAGTTCTTTCGTGCAGATATGCGAAGACAACAAGATCAAATGGAATAGCATGAAGTACGCCTCCGAGGATTTTGACTCCTCGATGAAGGATATTAGTCAGTATACGGCTTTTCTTTTCTCCAAGGGGGGCTGGGCTGGGCTGGGCTGACTTGTGTTCCAGGTCAATACGCTGCTGTTGTGGCAGCTCTGAGCGTTGCAACATCGTCCGCCGCGATACAGCAGATGAATTATGACGACATCTTGGCCATTTCTAGGCCGTTTGCCAAGAATCCCCGTACGTGTTGCGCACTCACGCTGCAGGGTTGTTCCCATCTAACCAAACCCCTTTTCCCAACAGGTTTCTCGTACGATTGGATCATGGAGATAGTTAGGATGCTTAAAATCGCCGTCGACTACTCGGAGGAAGCTCACCATGACCAACTCGTAAGAAACAACAACCTGCAGCTGTGCCTTAGCATTCTCAACCATCTTGGCTTCCAAGGAGAATTACAGCCCCGTTCCTTCGGCGGCAAGTTCGCCATGCTCGCCTTGAACGTCCGGAATATTGTCATCCTCATCAGCATAGCTAGTAATACCCCGCCGCAAATGAAGGATAAGCTCAACCCGCTGGACGAACCCGGTAAGCCCCATCGCTGGTCGACGGGTGGCCTTGTGTCTGTACAGAACTGACGGACGGCATGACTCTAGAGGTGGTTGATGCACTTGCAGGATGCGCCAAATGGGCACTAGACCTCCTGGCTTGGCTAGCCGATTGCCTCTTCAATCTTCTCGGAGACGAGAGATTCATGGCCATCCTGAGGAACCAGAAGAGGTTCTTCGAGATGACAGCCTATTTGCAATCCCAGAACGATGTCTCCCTGCATCTGCTCCTCTGCTCGTCGACGCGCGGCTTCCTGTCGGCCGCCTGTCGCCGCCTAATCCATCTTGATAGCCTCAGTCAGCGCGCAATCACATACTACGAGAACAAAGCGGCCGCGCAAAGTGTCACCGACCCAGACGGTACGCCGCCTCGCACACCGTGGCCGCTGTATCATGCGTACCAGAAGGTGCAGCGCTTCACCTCCGGCAGCCTCGTCAAGGTCGCCGAGTTCGACAAGCTCCTCAGCACGCTTAGCCAGGAGATCCGGTCTGCATACCAAAACAGCCTCCCGGGTCTCTCTACGCAGGGTAGGCCGCAGAACCCGCCGCAGGGCCCTCAGACGGGTGGCACCAATGACCCGGCGGTTAAGCGCGCCCAGGTACACTGCGAGCTCGGCATGCTCCTCGCCGCGAGCCCGCCGCCAAGCTTCCAGGGGGTCCTGGTCAACTTCTTCGACAACTCCCTCAAGACCTTTCGTGCCAAGACTGATCCGGCCGAGCTGTTCTTTGCGAACTACGATCTCCTGGAGGTCGATGATAACCGGAAGATGCTGGCGGCGAAGAAGGCCAGCGGTCGATACGTCGACGTATTCAAGCGCTTCGAGCTAGTGGCCGACGCAAGAATCGGCAGGGGGGCGGGTGGCTCGCTGACCGCCGGCGAGGGGACCGCGGCGGAGGACGTGGACTTGCAGTGGCGGAGGTGCGTCCGCTGCGCATCGGTCATGGAGAATGTCTACGGCCAGAGACCAGGCTTCACCTTTGTCCTGGCCCAGCAGCGGAAGTGCTCGTGCGGCGGCAGCTGGGGGATATTGCCCAAGGGTTCACTGGTTAATTAGCCCAGGGTTCTGATGGTCGCCCTCGAATGTACTATGTATGATACTACAACGCGAATTAGGTCTTATCGTGGTCCCGATTTTTTACCTACCCAACATCCTCATATCGTCACGATTTCAAGTGATCCGTGCGGACCAGACGTACCCACGTGCCCCTTACCATCAATATCTGGCCGGGCACAAGTTTGACCAGAGTCACGCTCTCTCCCTAAATTACTTACAAACTCAAACTCCCATGCAGGAGACACAGCCCCTTTCCTCGTTTCCGATATCGGTAACTGGATGGATGCCTTCGATTCTCTAGTTCTCGGATGTCGCATCGAATCGGGAGGCGATGGCATGATCCGGGAGTACTACTAGCATCTCTTTAAGAGAATAAGCTGGGTGCCTCAGAATAGTCATCTCTCAGATAACCATGGTTAAGTTCCGAGGAATACTCGACGATGCTCGGACCATTGCCATATCAAGCTTCGGGCAGTGGCGTGCCTGCGCATCTTGCCTCGCGCAGGGCAGGCTTTTAAGCCTCCGGTGTGGCTTGATATGCCGACTGATTAAGTTCGTCGATCACCGTGCTGACCCAGCTCGGGGACTCCGCGAAGACATTTGACTCGTTAGAACTCTGTGGCTTGGACCATAGGTACCTAAATCTTGGGACATTTAGAACGAGTGAAACAAAACGCCTACCCCTTGGAGAGAAAGACGAGGACAAGCGGCCCCAGATGGACGGCGAGTTCATGAGCGAATACGGCGCAGCAGACCCCTTCGCCCTGTGGCTGTACTTCCAGCAGGGCGGCAAGGAAGTACAGGGCGACGAGAACAACTCGACCAAGAAGACCCCGCGGCCCGACCAGCTCCGGCTCCAGCTCGCGCCGGCGCCGGCGACCCGCTGCATGAAGGCCGTGTGGGCGGCGCACGCGAGCCCGGACGACCCCCTGGCGGCGCTCAGGTGCGACATCGTCCCCGTGCCGGCCCTGCCTGTACCCATGCCCATGGGCGGCAGCAGCGCCGGTCGGTGGGTCCGGGTCCGCGTGACAAGGACGTCGCTCAACCGGCGCGACGTCGCGGCGCTGCGGGGGCACGCCGGCGTCGGCGCGTTCCCTGTCGGGCTCGGCTGCGAGGCCGTCGGCAGGCTCGAGGACGGGGCCGAGGTCCTGGTCTACCCGGTCATAAGCGACGCCGCGGCGGTGGCAGCAGCGGCGGTGGCGGCGGCGGCGGCGGCGGCGAGGGAGACGGTAACGTCGACGGCAACGGCATCGGCGGCGACCTCCTTCTGCGACGATGATGACGACGATGACGGTGAGGGTGGTGGTGGCGGTGGCGGGCACAACGGCGTGACGACGGGCACGCGGCGGCTGCACGTCTTGGGCAGGCACATGCACGGCCTGATGGCCGAGTATGCGGTCGTACCGGCGGCGAACCTGGTGCCGAAGCCGCTGTGCATGCCGGTCAACACGGCGGCGGTGCTCGGGTGCGCGTGGCTGGTCGCGTACCGGATGCTGTTCACGCTGTCGGGCCTGCCGGGGACATTTGGGGGGCGGGTGGTGCGGAGGCGGGAGCGGGAGGAGCAGGGTCAGGCTCAGGCTCAGGCTCAGGCTCAGGGCGGACGGCGGATGCTGGTGCAGGGGTCCAGCGGCGGGGTGGCGACGGCGCTGGTGCAGATGGGCGCGGCGGCGGGGATGCAGGTGTGGGCGACGGGGCGGACGGAGGAGAAGAGGGCGCTGGCGCTGCGGCTCGGGGCCGAGCGGGCCTTCGCGCCGGACGAGGAGATCCCGCTGAGGGCGCACGCCGTGTTCAGCCTGTGCGGGGCGGCGACGTGGGCGCAGGCGGTGGACTCGGTCGAGGACGGAGGCGCCATCGTCCTGTGCGGCGACCACGGGGGCGGGCGCGCGGAGATGGACTTGGCCGGGCTGATCTCCAGGGGAGTCGCCGTCCGGGGGGCCGGCATGGCCACGATGGAGGAGTTCAGGGAGCTGGTGGGCTTCGTGGCAGAGCACAGGATACGTCCGCTCATCGACAGCGTCGTCCCGTTAGATAGTGGCGTGAGACAGGGGCTTGAGAGGTTCATGGCGGGAAAGGTCAGGGGGAAGCTTGTCGTCTCCCTGTGAATTGGGGCCGACGTTTCCTCCTCATGACTCGCTTCTAGCTTCTAGGCTCGCTCACAGTCGAACATCCTCGCTTACGCCGGGCGGCATTTGGGAGGGTCCCATGGCCTCGGCTTTGGATGTTTCGAAGATCAAACAATCACAAGAGCCGGCCACCAGACCTTCTTTCCCTCTGTGCCCCCAAACCCAGGTCTGTCCGTCTGATTGTCCATAGTGCAACGCAATGCAGCGTCCCGAACACATGGGCATCGAGTAAATCATTATGATCATTATGCCGTCTTACATGAGGAGCTATTTTTGACATCGGTTTGGGCGGCTACATAACCCCCTGTTTACGAAGTAGCAATTCATACTAGGTATTGTCTTCTCACGAGGGATGAGGTCGTTCGGGAACCAGTCGATGAGTGGACCATATCGGGAAATGAACCAAGCAATTATTGGTAATTATTTGTATTACCTTCGGGCTCGGGCGCTTCGAGCCATCCTTGTTCGCGCGTAACGCCCAGGCAGGAGGAGGCTGTTGCCCGAGCGAGCTGTTAAGATTCTCTCATGGAAACCAGGCAGCGAACAACACCGCCGCTGGGAACGCCACCCAGAAATGGTGCAGAAGCAAATGTACCGCCCATGCATGCTACTTATGCAGTATCGTCAACTTGAGGAAAGTGGCAGCCAGAATATCTGCAAGCAAGGAAGGGGAGCGAGTGTACGGATGTACTGCGTAGATTACAGAGTTGCAGGCTGCCTATCCATCACGCCCTGGCCACCCTCCATCTCCACACGCTACTGCAATATATTGTGCAATACAATCCTGTACATGCAGTTTCCTGCAAGGTACCAAACACGCCAACCCCCAAATAGGAACGCTAGCTAACAAAAGCGCCGGGTGCCCCTGAGTTCCCTGACCGTATCGTTATGCGTGTGCCTGTATGGAGAAAAAGCAGCAAAAAGGGCAGGCAAGTCATTGGGACTCCTGCAGGAAAGCAGGCGCATCAAAGACTCCACAAGTGCCACACCGCTGAAAACAAAGCCACCTATTGGCTCACACTAGCCCATCCTAGTCCATCCAAGCCCGTTCCCTTGCAACCTCAGGAGAGCCCCTTTCGATGCCATGTACTGATTGGTACCTGGCTGGCAAGGATCGACAGGGCAATCGTCCACTACGAATGTGCTTTTTCACCCTCCTTCTCTCCGATGTCCTTTGTGACCTTTAATTGCCCTCGTTAATGTATCATTGCGCTGTCGTTCTTTTACCAATTTGGCCATCAAGCCTTGAGGGCATACCGAGTACCTACTGCGGTAGTCTAACCCCCCACGACAGAGAGCAGTCACTCTTAAGCATCCATGGCCACTCTCGAGCCTCCTGAGAGTGGCGCCGACCCCTCCTTTTCCGACACAAGAACTGCTTCATCTGATCCCCGAGAACCCACTGAGCTCGAAAGATCTGCCCAAGCGGACGTATTCCCTTTGTCAAACCCACTGCCGAGTCCAAGAAACCTGCGGTCCCAGAGTCTGGCCCTTGGTGCTCCGTCAGCGATCGCGAAGAAGGCTCCCATCAAACGCAAGCCGTTGTCCTCTACCGTCTCGCCATTGGCTGCCAAATACTCATCCCAAGACTATCTCGAGATTGCACCACACCACATCGTCAAGCCCGAGCAGCGATTCTCCCGGCCCTTCTCGGTTGACAGCCCTACTCTCTACGAGTTTCCCGACCGCTATTCCCTCCCCGTTGGCCCCTCGGATTCGGTGGCACCGTCGGCCAGCCTGCCACTCAGCCAACCGTAAGTCGTGATGCTCACTCTCATTTCCCATGGCTAAAATGGCAAATATGATGAACTGGCCAATACTGATTTTCTTTTCCCGCAAGCAGATCCTCTCCCGTCTTCCTGCCGTCGCACTCGAAGCCGCTAGAATTCCCGGTTGCCAGCGCGGGAGAATCAGAAAGTCGAAACATTCGGGAGACCAACCCTGCAGCAGCTCAAACAGCTGAGGTCCGGTCACAACATGAGGTCTTGACCGCGGATACGAACCGTCTGACCACTCAGAAACAAGGCCTTGACCTTGCCCCATCCGCCGGTCTAGAACCGCTGGATATCGATAATTCTAATACTAATACCATGTCGCTCTCGGTCTCCGTACGCAAGCACGTTCCTCCACACCTCAGTCTCCGCGAATTCGATACTGGCGTACAGGCTACGCTCAATGCGACTACAACAAGTCTAGACAAGTCCGCCAATATAAATAAACCACTCCCGAAATCGCCAGCCTCATCCAAGTTGGGAACTCTCTTTGGTTGGGTCTCACCGTCGTCAACCGAGTTTTCGGACAAAGGCTATTCACCCCTTCCCTCACCTTTCTCACCCAAGCCACGGACAGACTCTATCGACTCAGATGCTACTCCGACGTCAAAGGGACCTCATTCTGGACATGCCAATGCTGCAGCTGACGAAAGCCCCCTTGACTACTGTGAAGCATACCTACAGACGCCACCGGCCACCACTTCAACACCACCACTTGAAATCGAAGAGATGGAAGACGAGCTGAAGGCCATAGGCGCCGAATTGGCAGCGTCCATTCGGCGCGAAATGGATTTAGAAGACCTTGTCGACAGGCTTCAAGAGCAGATAAACAACCCCCAAGCACCCGGGAAGAGGACTAGCGACTACTACTCCGACTCAGGTTATAGCTCGGCTAAGTTCAGCGAGTATGATCAGGCGAAGGAGGAGATCTCGCAGGTCCAGCGCAGGGCAGAGCAGGAAAAGGCCCAACTCCGGCTCGAGCTCACCAGCAAGCTCCAGGACGAGCGATCTAGACGCAAAGTGCTAGATCAACAAATAAAGGAGTTGTCCAGAAGGGCGTCACAAATCGACTTTGCCCAAATCCAGAGCAAGGATACGAGTGGACGGGTCAAGGAACTCGAGAACACCTGCGAGGATCTGCGTCGCAGGCTGAGCGAGGAGCGCCAAGTCAAGGAGAACTTTGAGGATCTCCTATCGGCGCTCAAGGGCGAGCTACGCAATGCGACAAATGAACGTGACAACCTCCGCGACGAGATCGTCCCTCAGCTGCGCGCTCGTGTGGAAGGTCTCGAGGCCGAAGCCGCCGAGAATGCGAAGACGGCCTACGACACCACAAAGATGCAACAGGAGCTCCAGTCCTTGAAGGATGAGAACTCGGAACTGAAGATGACGGCCCCGCGCATGTCCGTGTCAGGGGGCCTCTCGAGGTCTGCTTCCGTGGCCGGCCAGTCGTCGTACAAAAAGAGCCGGCCTCCCTCTCTTGCCCGCTCCAACACAGCCAAGCAGCTGGAATCGCGCGAGGCGTTGGCGGAACGACTCAAGGACGTCGAGGCTCAGCGAGATGCCCTGCACAGCGCTCTCAAGAGCCTCCTCGAGCGGCAGGAGTTGCAAAACCGCGATTACCAGAAGAGGATCGTGACTCTCGAGGTCGAGCGGGAGCGCCTGTTGTCAGCATCACCCAAAAAGGCAGGCTACGAAAGGGACGTGTCAAATCTCCGCGATGAGATCAGTGTTCTCCGTCGCCGTGCCGAAGATGCTATTGAGCAGAAGTGGCAGGTCGAGAAGGGCCTGAGCGGGCTGAAGATGGACCTCGACCGGGCCGAGGGAGAGATTGCGTCTCTGCGAGAACTGCTCGATGAGAAGGACATACTCATCCCTGAATCGCTCGCTCGCTCAAGCGGCAGCTCCGATGGAGCTTCGGCGGTGCCAGTGACCTCCGCTTCCCTCGACAAGGCATACAAGGACCTCCAGGCGGCCTATGCGGATGCGCTAAGACGCATCAAGAACCTCGAGGCCGGAACCACCCCCAGCGACGAGAAGACGAAGCTTGCCATCCAGCGTCTCGAGCAGTCGCTGACGACAGCCGTCTCGGAGCGAGATCTCGCAAGGCGGGAGGCGGACTCATACCGCACGCAGCTGGATGCATACCAGTCGTCCGAGAAAGAGCACCTCGCTTCGGAGAAGGATCTCGCAGACCAGCTCCAGGAATCCGCGCGGCGGGTCGAGGAGCTCGCGCAGCAAGTCAGCAACCAGCTCGCGGCCAACGCATCGCTGCGCACGCGGCTCACCGAGGCCGTGGCGCGCGGCGAGGCCGACCAGATCGCCAACAAGGAGCGCATCGCCGGCGTGCAGTCGCGGCTCCGCACCCTGGAGGAGCAGCTGGTGGCGGCGCAGACGGCCAACGAGGAGCGCATCGGGCGCCACGAGGACGAGATCGCCACGCTCAAGGACGCCCACAGCGCGCAGCTGCAGCGGCTCCGCGACGCGTCGGGCGGCCTGCGCTCGCCGCGCCTCTTCCCGCCCAAGTCGGCGCCGTCGCCGCTGCTCAGCCCCGGCGGCAGCGCGAGCGGCGGTAGGTCGCCGCGGCTACTGTTCTCGCCGACGCGGCCGACCATACGGCGGACGAGCACGGCGCCGTCGGACGTGGGCGACGCGGCCGAGGTGGAGACGCTCAAGACGCGCGTCAGGGAGCTGGAGGCGGCACTGGCGGCGGCGGACACGGACATGCAGGACGTGGTCGGGCGCATGAGTGCCGCGCAGATCGAGGTGCTCGAGCTGCAGGAGGCGCGCGAGGAGGCGGTCCGGCAGACGCGCCGGATCCAGCGCCAGCTCGAGGAGGAGACGGTCAGGGCCTTTGAGGGGAAGTTCAAGACCCTTACTTCGGAGGTTAGGTAACGACGTTTGAGAAAATCGGGGGCGGCAGCTTGCATTGCTTATTTTGCATCTCAAAGCGTTTTCGCGCATCGGGTTTTTTATTGTATAACCCCCCCTCGCAGTCTCGAGGCATTTACATGGATGGGGCATCCTGTTTTGGACAAAGGCGCATGGCCAGGGTATTTTCTGATCTTTGTGGAGTTTTGGACATGACAAAGTTTGCGAACGTCCCTTCGGAAGAAGGCGTACGCTGCGAACGACTTGGAAAACTTTGACAACAGCATGCAAGGGCATACCCAACATCTTCGGCTGTTTGATGTTTTGGTTGCTAATTTTCATCGGACTATTGTCTCTTGTCTAATACCTGTAACGCTATATAGCAGTTGGGAAGACTGTTGTAAACAGCCTAGATAGTGTACTATATCATACCGGTCAGTTAGAAGAGTCGCAGAGTCGTCTACTGTCAAAAAGTCATCACATTTGCAGTACATTTTCGCAGATTTCTGCTCTCCTGATGTCAAAGTACCTATGCAAAGGTGCAAAAAATAACTGGTCAATAAGAGGCTTGAACTCTTGACCTTGGCATCACACAGTTTCCTATTAGTGCCACGCGCTAACCAACTGCGCCAATCGACCTTGGAGTAATTATCGCCGCCAACAGCGATGAAGACGAGAGAACGGATGAGGCTGAGGGAGCGATGCACTCGCTGTTACCCCCACACACAAGTTTCTTCTGGCCAATGAAGACCCCTCAGAAGCTTATCTCTAACCACCCTCTGAACCTTATCTTTACATGGTTCTTTTTATTTAAGGGATTCAGCTCGGAAACAACGGCAGAGATATGCTCATTTCACGTTCACTCTACTATAGTACTTCCCTCGAGTCTCCCATGCGACGTCACCGCAGAACCTAGGCCCCCGACCCAGGACCACCGTTGTTCTTCTTGCCCTGATATGATATCGTGGTTAAGCTGTTCATGAGCATCACACTGTTGGAAAGCTACTAATTATGCATTATTCGATAAGGGGATGCTTTGCTTTTCCATGGGCTAAAGGTCATCGATATCCTGGGGCCCTGAGCCGAATCATGCATCCGGGTGCATGCATGTTTTCCCAAGAGAGGCAGTGCCTCCAACTTACAACTTACTGGAATTAGAAGAAAATAAGTGAGTAGATGTAGTTGTCACAAGGATCATCATGACCCATCCAAGTGGCATAGGTTGTCCCTCCGCTCGCAGATAGGGGTTCTTAAGATTACATGCTATGCGGAGACCGCCCGCACACCTGGACGATCAACACGTCCTGCCGTGGCTGCGTGGGTTGATACTGATAGCAAGCCTGAGGCACGGCTCGCACGATTGGTAGAACACGAATTGCTTCTTCCGTGTCAGACATCCCTGCCCCTGAGCTAGCTGCTATCTCATCCTCCTGTCCATTTGCTATCTAAGTGTTTTGTCCTGTATCTCCATCGTTATCATGCTCGCCCCCACCTCCATCAACCTCAGCCTCGACTGGGCGAGCACTTCACCACTATACCTAGCTGTGTACCCTCTTCCATTGCGACACTAGACCAGTGGCTACTTCGTCCCTGCATATTGTTCTGCACTGACAGCTTGATTTGCCCAACATGGCCGTTCCTGAGGACGTCGATCTCGATGCGCTCAACTATGTCGTCAAGGTGCCATACAACGGCACTGGTGCGACGGGCGGCGATCCGATGACTGAGAACTTGAACATGTGGTACGAGGTGAGCCAGAGATTCTGTGCCTCCTGAATACGCTGGGCCCTGACGCCAGAATCCTCAAGACCGGCGACATCGCCTGGATGATAACCGCAACCGCCCTCGTGCTGCTGATGATCCCCGGAGTGGGGTAAGTGCAGCCCGAGTCCAGGCATACCGGATGTCTTCACACACGAAACCTTCCTTAACCGTATCTCGTGTGTTCCAGCTTCTTTTATTCGGGTCTTGCCCGGAGAAAGTCGGCCCTATCGCTGATCTGGCTGTCGGTGATGGCCACGGCCGTGACGACGTTCCAGTGGTTCTTCTGGGGCTATTCGCTGACCTTCTCGCGCACGGGCGGCCCCTTTATCGGGGACCTCTCCAACTTCGGCTTCAGGAACGTCCTCGCACAGCCGTCGGTCGGCTCCAGCCGGATCCCCGACCTTCTCTTCGCCGTCTACCAGGGCATGTTCTCGGCCATCACCGTGGCGCTCGTGACCGGCGCCGTCGCGGAGCGCGGCAGGCTGCTGCCCTGCGTCGTCTTCATGTTCGTCTGGGCGACGCTCGTCTACGACCCGATCGCCTGCTGGACCTGGAACCCGCACGGGTGGTCCAACAGGATGGGCAGCCTCGACTTCGCCGGCGGCACGCCCGTGCACGTCACCTCGGGGGCGGCGGCGCTGGCGTACTCGATGGTGCTGGGTAGGCGCCGCGGCCACGGCACCCACGAGCTCAACTACCGCCCCCACAACGTCGCCCACATCGTCGTCGGCACCGTCTTCCTCTGGGTCGGCTGGTTCGGCTTCAACGCCGGCTCCGCCCTCTCGGCGAACCTGCGCGCCGTCGTCGCCGCCGTCGTCACGAACCTCGCCGCCTGCGTCGGCGGCATCACCTGGTGCGTCCTGGACTACAGGCTCGAGCGCAAGTGGTCCACCGTGGGTTTCTGCTCCGGCGTCGTGGCGGGCCTAGTGGCCATCACCCCCGGTTCCGGTAAGCCCTGTTATCCACTTTCTCCCTCGTCCAACCCCCCTGAGAGCTGACAAAAGCCCACCCCCTTCCCCCAGGCTACGTCCCCGTCTGGGCAGCCATACCCTACGGGATCCTCGGCGCCGGCCTCGCCAACTACGCGACCAAGCTGAAGTTCGTCCTGGGCATCGACGACGCCCTCGACATCTTCGCCGTGCACGGCGTCGGCGGCCTCGTCGGCACCGTGTGCACGGGCGTCTTCGCGAGCGCCCGGGTCGCCCGCCTCGACGGCGCAGGGGGCGGCGGCGTCGTGGGGGGATGGCTCGACCGCAACTGGGCCCAGCTGGGCTACCAGCTCGCCGCGTCCGTGTCCGGGCTGGGGTACTCGTTCGTCGCCACGGCGGCCATCCTGCTCGTCGTGGGCCGCGTGCCGGGCCTGAGGCTGCGCGCGGCCGAGGAGGACGAGATCGCCGGGATAGACGACGCCGAGGTGGGCGAGTTTGCGTACGACTATGTCGAGCTGGAGCGCGAGGTCGGCGCGGATGGGGGCGTGGTGGAGGCGGTGAGTGTGTTGTCCTCGCGCGATGGTGGGAGGTCTGGTGGGTTCGGGGACCCGCTGGCGGGCGGGGAGGAGAAGATATGCCATCATTCTGCTCTGTCGAGGTTTGTATGACGATGTGCACGTGTGTGATATGGAAGCTAGGGGTCGGCGGTTTTGAAATGGCCATGCACGTGTTTGGATGTCAGGGGAAATGGGGGGGGCTGTAAGTCGAGGAGCGGATCAAGGGTTGATAAAGAAGTCAAGCTGCTACTGGGCCTTTTGTATTGTGCTGACATGTTCATTGGGGTGTTTTTATACTGTTTGTTTCGAGACGCAAGTGATATACAAGCTGTCCAGTATCCCAATGGCACACAACCCCATGCGTTGAACCTGGTCCTCCAACGCCTCGAATGCGAATGTGCGGCAACCCAATGCAACGCTCCATATAAGCAAACCGCAACCCATGCAAGAGAGAAGAAGAACAATAGGTATGGCAAAAAAAGGGGGCGGTTGGGTAAACAACGCATCAACACCACCTCTCCCACGGCTCCCGCCACTTGACACCCAGTATCTCAAAGATCCTCCTCTCGTCACGCCCTTCCACCAGCTCCCCCTCAGCGACCTTGACCCTCCTGGGCCCCCTCATGACCTCCCTGTACAGGCCCCGCTGGTTCAGTCGCATGCCCTTCCTCGAGGCCAGGAGGCGCATGCTGCGGTTGAAGATGTCGTTACCCGTGAAGTAGATCAGCGCAGCGCCGTACTCGGTCTCGGGAACGAGCAGGAAGTCGATCCTGCGCCAGACGGGCTTGTAAGCCCCCGAATTTTCGCCCTCGGGACGCGGCAGCACGCAGCAGCCGTGCCACTTGCTGCCGCCACCGCCACCGCCACCGTTGGTAGATGGCCGGCGGCCGTGCAGGGACGCGAGGGTCGCGACGAGGATGCCGCGGCGGGTCAGGACGGCCAGCAGTTCGTCGAGGAAGGGGACGAGGTCCGCAGCGGAGGAGGTGCCCCGGCGGGTAACGACGAGGTCGACGTCGCCTGAGGAGTCGGCGCCACGGCGGTAGCTGCCGCCGACGAGGAGCTCGACGCGCGGGTCGATCTCGACGGCGGCGGCGCGGACGTGACCGGCCAGGGCGTCCACCTCGGCGCGGGGAATGCGCGTGTTGAGATCGTCGTAGCGCTCGAGCCCCAGCCGCTGGTTGGGGGTCAGGTCGGCACGCTGCCGGAGGTCGTCCAGCGTCCGGAAGCCCTGGGCGACCCACTTGCTCGCGCGGCTGACGCCAACGTCGTAGATGCCGAGGAATAGCTCGAGGACCCGGTCAAGGGGCTCGCCCTGCGCGTACTCGAGCCGACGCAGCCGGTTTGTCTGGACGATCTCCTCGATCTTCTGGGCCAGGCGCCGGCCGATGGCCGGGAGCCGGTAGGCCTCCTCCTCGGTGGCGATCTTGACCGTCTGGCGGCGCAGGGTGGAGATGGCCTTGCGGTAGGCCGTCGTGCGCCAGTGGTCGTTGATGCGCGTGTAGTAGTCGCACATGGACTGCAGAACCTCGATGGTGCGGGCATTGGGTTTGGCCGACGCTTCTGACCCGTCCTTTGTGCCGCCCCGGTTGCAAGCGAAGTGCTCTGCAAACGGGATCGACTTCTCCGCGGTCGTAGTGCTCTTGTGGGCACGGGGTTTGCGCGAGCTTGAATACGCGGGCTTCGAGCTCGAGCTCGAGTCCGAGTCCGAGGCGGAACCGTTAGTATCCTGTAAGGATTGGACCTCATCGTTATCTTCGTCCAAGGGAAGATCCTTGTACTGTTGGATGAGAGATATGTACTCGGTCAATTCATCGTTGACGCTATCCTTCGCCATACGTCCGCCCTCAACCGGCTTTTGGAACTCAGCTGATTCTGGGTCTTGGGGGGGTTCGTCACCAGAGGAGCCGCCGGGTTGCTTGCTGCCGCTAGAAAGGGTCGCCAGCCCTTCTGACGGCTTGCCACCCAGCAGTTCTTTCTCAACCCCCCCGAGAGATGATTGTCCACTCCGTGGTGGTGTTCCACCGAGTGCTGCGTCACGGTCCCTTTTAGGGTTCCTCTGTACATCTTTCAAGGGCAGCGACCCCCCTGAGTCTTCCAATGGCTGTTGAACTTCAGCCGGACTCGAGGCTGGCGCTGCTGTCAAAAGGGGACAGCCAGTCACTCTGTACCGGTGCTGACAAGGGTTCAAGAGGGTTCGAAAAGAGATACTGTCAATGGGATAATCCTCGTTGACGATAACCAAAGAGCTTGCGGTGGACTCCAGGATCTTCTCGACATCTTTGTAGGTGAGGTTCTTGTCGACGACGGCATGTGTCGCGCCGTCCAAGGTCCTGATCCATTGTGCGCCGTATTCTTGTGCTTTTGCTATCCGTATCTTCCTGGCCGGCGCGACATCGTTGTTGGGGATATAATAGAAAGAGAGGTCGCGGAAAATCTTGTCAGATTCCGGAACAGACTTGGCCGAGGCTGAAGAGTTACGTTTACGCTTACGCATAGTTGGATTTGAAGACGGTGAGTTCTCAGGATGGGTTGAGTGTGTTGGTAGCGGATTGGTTGAGCTTCGGTGGAGTGCCGGGTGAACCGTCTTTGATGAATCTGGGATCGGTGTCTCTTCAATGAATGAGGCACCGGTGCCTCTGTTACGGGACTGCCCAGAGTTCCCAAGGATTGGCGTACCCTCGATGACCTTGGCTTGAGTAGCCGCTATACCCAGAGCCGGGCTTGCTTGGGTCCGGCTTGCCGAAGGAGTTTCCCTTTCTTTGGGCATCCCTGGGCGTGGAAACGGACTGCTGGCCTTCCTCCGGGGCTTAAAAAAGGCCCGGCATCTCTTTCTATGCCACTCCTCCACATCATTGCTATCATCTTCGCCATCTGTGTCGGGTTCACTCAGAGCATCTAGTTGGTTGAAGAATTGCACTTTCTCCGTCAAGGAATGGGAGCTCATCTTTATGTGTCTCGAGTTGGTCGCGGGGCTTGACAGGTAAATCAAGTCAAGGGAGTTGTGGTTTGGGTAGTCTGCAGTTTATCTACTATGTAGTAAGTACCACCGCGAGACCGCAGCCATCTCAGATGCCTGGAGCTGGAGTTAGGAGTGACGCTGCTGCTAGGTGGATATTCAATTATGGAGGTACAGCCCAGGCAGAGCGGCAAGGATCACGACCGTTTCATTCGGCCGATATGGCATGCATTAGTGGATATTGCTTTACTCATGTCATTGGTTGACGTCTGGTACACCCTGCCCGTCCAATGCAGGGTAGGATAACCAGCTCAAACTGGTTTAGCGTAGCCACACGCTCTCCAGTCTTAACTTCAACGTCTTTAATGCTTTTGGGTTGGGCATAGTACGTACAAGTGGTGATAACTACCAGCAACCTTCACACAAACTATCAACTAGACGCTCGATCTTGAAGCTGCTGCTCTATTGCCCACCTACTGGGCAGCAGTTTCCTCTTGTTTTCCCTTTCCATTCGTTATCCAAGCCTTGGAAGTCGTGTTATTGTCCTCACCATTGGTGTCCAACGATCATGTCGAATCTTTTCTCAGGAATGTAAGTTTACAAGGAGTTCGAAAGCATTGCAGTTATTCATTCCAGGTTATATCTGACCTGTCACACATTTGTTGTGTTGGTTCTACACGGCTGCATCAACCTGAACTTGATGCAATACCGGTGTATACCCGAGAAAACTTCCGTCGAAAACAGCCCTTGGATACTGGATGAACTCTAAACTCTTGCAAGTGCAACTTGGTCTTTCAATTCTAGGGCCTCGCTGTCGGAACAATGACCTTCCCTGTTGGGTATCTCTCTGGGGACAGACCTGTACACTGCACTTGTTGCTCACTTTTCCCCAAAGGCACTGATCACTAGCTCTATTATGGTGCAAAGTCTCGTTGCTACTACGCTGTCGCTCGCACTACTCATTGGACGACTGAACATAAGGTTGCGATGCTGACTTAGTCATAGCAATGCCCGGCTGAGAGGGACTTCGAACCGTCCTTCGGGTGGATCCAGGAGCCCTACTTCTCCCGCTGAAGATGGCCTCCAAATATCCACTACGAGCCTATCCCAGGGAAACCAATCGTCAACAAGCCTTGCCTCAAAACTGCCCCCCCTCCCCGCCTCCCCGTCTCTTTCACAGTCCATTGGGATGGTTGGAAGTGGGGAAGATGCCATTAACCTGTACCACCTGCCAAGTCCCTTGCCTCTGTGGCTCAACCCTGCCTATGCGAGGCACATTGTGAAAGGCAACTTCATGACACTCAGTGCGAGGCCAAAGACCGTTGAGCAAGGTGAATGGGTGGCTCACCAAGGTATTCCAGCATCCAGAAGAATGTCCGCACCCGGAGCTAATGGTCTCGGCAGTGGTGGAGCATTATCGAAACCTTTGGAACTTTGTCCGAGTCATCTACGAGAAGGAAGAGGGCGGTACCACCATTTGTAACTCGACCACCTGTCCTCGGATGTCTGCTGGAGGGTATGTATTTGCCTTACTGCGGGTGTCGTCTATGCCAAACTAACCCGGGCCTTAGAAACCACTCATACACCTGGCTCAATAGCCGTTTCGAGCCCATAGAGCTTCCGGCGTTCGAGTACATCACATTGATGCAGCGTTGGATTTCGGGAAAGATCGACGATGACAATATCTTCCCTACAGATGCCGCTGGCGTGTCGTACGCACATAACCCTCAGATCACGACCACGGCCCTCCTTACCGGTCCTGACGAGTGGGTTGGCAAGCGGAGCGGCTTTCCTAAGGACTTCTTCAGCATCTGCCAGACCATATTCCTCCAGATGTTCCGAGTCTATGCGCATTTGTACTGGGCTCACTTCGTCGACCCCTTTTATCACCTCAACCTGGAGAAGCAGCTCAACAGCTGTTTCAGCCATTTCGTCTTGACGGCAACTGCACTCGACTTGCTCAAGCCTCACGAGCTTGAGCCCATGCAGCCGCTAATCGACATGTGGGCTGCTAACGGAACCTTCCCGCCTGAGTCTAAGGCGTATGAGTATGCCAACCTCAAGGCAGGCCAGCGGCTTCTGCAGCTCGGAGGTATGGCATAAGAAAGGAGGTCTGGGTCGTTTGGATATCGACACTCAACCTGCCATACACACCCTTGGCCTGGTATGCGCCAAATTCACAGGAGCGAATCGTTGATGGTACGGGTAAGCATTTGGATGAATAGAGATATGATAAAGAGCAACGGACAGGTTTTGTTGCGGTGAGGATAGAGATCATTTTGATTTAAATGCATTGCCTGCGTCTCCCCCCTGCCTGCCCTTCTTATCAAATACCTACCTAGGTAGCAACCACATTCTCTATTCGAGTACCTTGATGATGGTGGGGCATCTGTGAAAGTTGGGCACAGATGGTTGAGGAAGCCAGCAGGATCTGTGGCCGCTAAATCGAGGCGCATGGGCTGGTACTGTACCTACCCGGTAAATGCATTTAGCCCACAAAATCTGGCTGACCGCCTTTGTCAAAATTCAATTATGCCGTCCAAACCTTATTGCCTTGGGCAATTTTTTTGCGCATTCCTGACTCGCCGGCTACGAGGCTTCAAGAAAAGCCAACCTCCTGCACTTGCCTTCTCCTCCACCATTGCTCTTTCCTTTGACAGTTTTGCATATCTGTTTCGGAACAATTTCAACATGGCTGGAAACGAGATGGACATCGAGAGCGCTGAGCTGAGGCTCAAGACTATGGATCACTCTGAACAGCACTACTTCAACAGGTCAGTTTTTCTCTCATTGACACCTTGGGACCCTTCCAGAGTGACGCTGACACTTGTCTTCCCAGTTACAATCACCATGGTTAGTTTACATGCTCACGGGCTTTTGCCGGTAATTTTGCCAGGGAATTGGCTAACACAGACGCCCATTAAGGAATCCACGAGGAAATGTTGGTATGTACTTGAGGAACCAGCCAATGTCCCATAAAAGTATGATTATGCTGATATTCTTACTTTGCAGAAAGACGAGGTTCGGACGAGGTCCTACATGAATGCCATTCTCCAGAACAAGCACCTCTTCAAAGACAAGGTGGTTCTCGATGTTGGCTGCGGAACCGCCATTCTCTCCATGTACGTATCCTTGGAACCGCCTCATACGGGCATGCCGGCTCATATATCCGCCCCTCTACAGGTTCGCCGTCAAGGCAGGCGCAAAACATGTTATCGGTGTCGATATGTCTACCATCATCTTCAAGGCGCGTGAGATCGTCGAGGTCAACGGCATGTCCGACAAGATTACCCTGATCCAAGGAAAGATGGAGGAGATTGAAATGCCGTTCCCGAAGGTCGACATCATCATCTCTGAGTGGATGGGTTACTTCCTCCTGTACGAGAGCATGCTTGACACCGTGCTCTACGCAAGGGATAAGTTCTTGGTCAAGGACGGCTTGATCTTCCCTGACAAGGCAACCATCTTCGTCGCTGGCATCGAGGACGGGGATTACAAGGAGGAAAAGATCGGATGTGAGTCCAATACTCTGGCCCGAGTACCTCCTAGCCACCCTAACGCGTCGCAGTCTGGGACAATGTTTACGGGTTCAACTACTCCCCCTTGAAGGCGACGGCTCTTTCCGAGCCCCTTGTCGATACCGTCGAAGTGAAGGCCGTCGTCACGGACCCCACAAGCGTCCTGACACTTGACCTGTACGAGTGCAAAACGTCGGATCTGGCCTTCAGCTGCCCCTTCGACCTGACCTGCCGCCGCGATGACTTCATCCACGCCCTGGTCGCCTGGTTCGACATCGAATTTACGGCGTGCCACAAACCGATCCGCTTCTCCACTGGTCCCCACACCAAATACACCCACTGGAAGCAGACGGTGTTCTACCTGAAGGACGTCCTCACGGTCCAGCAGGGCGAGAAGGTCGAGTGCTCGCTCCACAACCGACCCAATGAGAAGAACAAGCGTGATCTCGACATCAAGATTGAGTATAGGCTCGAGACTCAGGACCCCACGCGCTTCGCGGAGGGGCACAGTCTCTACAAGATGTGCTAGTAACATCGAACCTTACCTATCAGGCTAGAAAGAAGACATAACGAGCCTCAAGAAGGCCGAAACAATTGGGTTCCTGGGGTGGGTTTGTGCACTGCATTGGTGGCCCCCTTTTTATAGCTGGTCATTGGCGTTTTTCGCACATATTCTGTCGCCGGGCAGGACATGCATATCATGATGGTTTTGATGACGGAACAACGGGAACCCCCCAAAAAATCCTGGGATGATAGACGGCCGCCACAGAGGCGGCGAGGCTTCGGTTTTCCCCTCGCCTTACATGCGTGGTGTGTGAGGCATGGCATAGGTGTGGCGTACGGTCGGTACGGGCTATAGCATGGTGTTTCGAGAATTGATACCATGGACTTCGGTCTTACTTCAATCACCAACCTATATCAAATAACCTGTCACCGCGACATGCTTGCCCCCGAAGGACAAACCGGTTCGAATGGACTCGGCGATTTTATTGCGTGGGAAAGGGGGCAAATTTGCTTTTATTTAAGAAAAACTGCATCCGCACCATACCACATCACTATCTCCAAACCCCCCTTTTCTTGTTCCGATAATGGCTTTCCTCTGGAGGGTAAGACAATTGAACTGGAAAGAGCAGCAAGATAGATAGGGTCCGGTCCGCCTCGAACTTTTCTTTTGACTAAAAAGCAGGGTTGCTCATCTATCCTCGCCGTGCTCCCTCCCTCCAAAAACCCCTTGGTCATAAAAGGGGGAAAAAAGAAAAAGGTCATGTCTCGTTAGTCTTCGGCGAACTGGACCAAGGAAGAGTCCCAGGCACGGGCAAACCGCTTTTTTCCCTCCGGTACCGAAAACAACCCCCTTCCCTTCCGTGTCGCCTCCTTTAAATGGCAATCTGACTGCTAGCGCCCCTGCTCACTCCCAGTATCCCGGCGGCGGCGGCGGCGCTGACCCCCGGCGCCCAAGGGACAGCTGGCTGCTGTACTGGTTGTATTGGTCGTGGTGGCTCTGCTGCTGCTGCTGCTGCGTGGCCGGCATCCCTCCCTACTTGGAGCCGAACTGCTGCACGATGCGGGCGACGCGGTCGGCCAGCTCGCCGGCCTCGCTGCGGGTGGCGGCCTCGGCGTAGACGCGGCAGGCGTTCTCGGTGCCGCTGGCGCGGGCGAAGGCGCGGGCGCGCTTGTACTTGCGCACCTCGGCGTCGATGGCGTCCTGGGCGCCCTCGGGGTGGCTGAGGCGGCGCTCGGCGTCGGTGGTGCGGAAGACGTTCTTGTCGGCGACCTCGACGCGCACGAGGCGGTTCGGCAGGTCCTCGTACGTCATGGCCCAGTCGCGCAGCGTCCAGCCCTTGTGCGCCAGGATCACCTCCACCATCAGCATGTCCGAGAGCGCGTCGCCGACCGTCTGGTTGATCAGCTCCGCGAGCGCCGACAGCGTGTCCAGTGCGTCCTTCTGCGCGGGTGACTGCGGCTGCTTCTCCCTGAAGGCGCGGATCGCGTCGGGCGAGAAGAGCACCGTGCCGTGGCCGTTGGCCTCGAAGTACACGCCGATGTCGAAGCCCTGCGCCACGTGGTGGAGGTGCTTGACGCCGGTCGGGGTGCAGATTACTGGCAGCCCCAGGTGCTCGGTGATGTAGGTCGTGCTGGCCCCGTTGGCATAGGCAGTCTGGACCACGCCTATGCGGATGTCAGCGAGGCCCGCACTCTGGACAAGGTCGCCGATAAAGGAGGCGGCGAGAGAGGAGATGCGGTCTCCGTCAAGCATGGAAAAGCCGGATTCGGGGTCGTGCCAGTAGTAGATTAGCCGGTCGGCATCTCCGTCGAATGAGCAACATCTGGCACCTGGCACAGGTTTCGGCGATGGCGGAGCCCGTTGTCTGGTCTTGACGAAGTCGGCACCGCACTGGACGAGGTGTTAACGGGGCTGTTTAGTCGTGGCGCAGGAATGAGTTAGCCACAGGGGAGGAGTAAGAACTTACGTCCAAGTTGAGGACTTCGGGACGGAGCACATCGTCGTTCACAACCTTCACGTTAATCTGGACCTTGTCTTTGGGGATATATTTTAGGAATTCGGATAGCTTCGGGCCGCCGACTCCGTTGGCACAATCCACCGTCAATATTCCCTCGATTTTCCTGTTCTTCGTTGCCTTGATAAAGGCCTCGGCAAGCTTCTCGTAGTATCCGGCCTCGCTCACCTTGCCGTACGACAGGGGAGTGCCTTCGGTGTTGGTGGCTCGGGTCAGATAGTGTAGCTGGGGAGTCGTCAGGATCTTGTAGTCGACGTATTGCGTGTCCGTGGCCGTGAGGGCGTCGGCAAGGGCAGTGACGAGCTTGTGGCCCGAGGGGCGGGTATCCCGGCCGTAGATAACCTTGGCGGGGACTCTCAAGTCGATCCTCAAGCTGCTTGCAATCTTGTTGTACCGCTCGACCAGCTCCTCGTCACTGGGGCTGTTGACAAGGTCGGTTGCGAGCTTCTCCCAGTCCTGCTCGAGCATCTCGCCCATCGGATCCACGATCTTGACTCCATTGTCGACAGCTGGGTTGTGGCTCGCCGTTATCATGACACCAATGGTCTGCCCATTCTGTTTCCGGCTACGGAGCGAGGAGAGTAGACCGACGCGGAAGGAAATCCCCTCAAGCAAGTCGGCCTTCATCCGGAACCCCGCAGTGCCATAGTTATAGGCTTGGCCCGCGCCAAGAGGCACGATCGGGTGCTTCTTGGAGGCGGCAGTGATGTTCTCGTCGTGTGTCATGGCTATCGCGGAGGAGAAGATGAGTTAGGTGGAAAGAGAGGGGAAACGGAGGGAGTTGCTTCGTAGGTTATCAGGGCAAGATAGGACCCAGAGGTGGTAACAGGAGGGTTCCGTAGGTGAATGATGGGTCGGTTGCCCCGCTACGGTGCCTGGTGGGGCAAGGTGGGACAAGGGGGAAACGTTTAGCTAGCTCGGTAGCTAACCGGATACGGTTAAGCCTGACCGAACCCCTGGGATGCACGTGACCTGGCGATCTGATTCTCAATGATCTGCGGAACTCGACGCGTCTACCTATCCATCACGCGTGAAGTCTCCCCGAGCAGCGGTAACGGCATGGAAAACGCGATATTCCAGGTCCAACTGGCTTCAGTATTGCTCATCTGGTCATCCCCTTGCTCCAACCGTTCCTTTTTCTGTCTCCAGCAAGGAGGTTCCGTCTTCGGCAAGGATACAAGCCATGTCGCAGAGTGATTGCGCAAACCCACAGTTACTCGAATGGGTCAAAGAATGGTATGATACCGCTCGGGAGCGGAGTTCCAAGGGTATCACGACATATAAGCATGCCTACGACTCATTGAAGGCATGTCCTATTGAGTTCGAACACCCATCTCAACTGCAACAACTCAAAGGTTTTGGGCCGAAGCTCTGCGACCGACTCACCCAGCAGTTGAGGAAATACCGTGCCGAGAATGGCCTTCCCATGCCTGAGCATCCTAGTCTCAAAAAGAGGCCAGGCATTAGCAGCCAAGATCCAGAAGGTGACGAATCTGGTCCCCGGCCTGCAAAGAAACCGAAAACCGTCAAGGCCTATGTACCGGCATACCGATCCGGGCCATATGCCTTGTTGTTAACTCTGTCGACTCACGACAAGGATGCCTCTATTGGAATGACAAAAGTGGATCTGATAGAAGAGGCTCAGCAGCATTGTGATGCCTCTTTCACCGCGCCCGCTGATACGACAAAGTTTTACACGGCGTGGAACTCGATGAAGACCTTGCTCCAGAAAGAGCTCGTCTACGAGAGAGGGCGGCCCCTGAAGAGGTATGCCCTCACGGAAGAGGGGTTGGCAGTGGCAAAACGGATCAAGCAAACTGCTCAGAGCAATGGGACGGTAGACGGACATCGTGAAGGGCCCTCGACGACAGGCTTTGCCCGTAACGTGGACAGGGCGGCCACAGACTCGCAAAGTAGAGGAATAATTTTAGATGACGAGGATGACCCACCTGCAAACCAGCAACAATTCAGGGACGTCATCGCACAAGACACGAACTTTTCCGAGTCTTCAGCTCTCCCGGCCTTTACCTCTTTCAGGCTCGAGCCTGGGTCTTTCTCTGTTCAGCTGGTGCTAGATGTTCGAGAAGTGAGAGCCAAGACCGACCGGGACTATATGCAGAACGAGCTCGCGAAGAAAGGGGTCAAGCCGATAATGCGAAGTCTCGACCTGGGCGATGCCATGTGGGTGGCTAAATGCAACGACCCCAACCTTCTTAATCGCCAGGGCGCAGAAGGAGACGAGGTGGTTCTGGACTATATCGTCGAGAGAAAGCGGCTCGACGACCTGATTACAAGCATCAAAGACGGGCGCTTCCACGAGCAGAAATTCCGGCTACGACGGTCTGGGATACGGAACGTAATCTACCTTGTCGAGGAAATGGCGCTGGACTCGCTCCACTTCCAGAAATACGAGGAGGCCGTCCAGTCTGCCATTGCTTCGACGCAAGTAGTTAATGGCTACTTCTTAAAGAAGACGCAGACGATGGACGATTCGATTCGGTACCTGACCAGGATGACGTTGTTGCTCAAGAGGCTCCACGAGAACAAGCCTCTTGATGTGATTCCCACCAAAGTCATTACAGCCCAGAACTATTTGCCCCTGCTCAGCCACATCAGAGAGGAAAACCCCTCGGCATCTTACCACGTCAGCTATCCGGCATTTGCGTCTCTTGCGTCCAAGTCGGACACCATGACCTTGCGCGACATCTACCTCAAGATGCTCATGTGTACCAAGGGAGTCACTGGCGAGAAAGCGGTCGAAATCCAGAAGCGGTGGAGGACGCCTTACGACTTCGTCCACGCCTTTGAACAGTGCGGCGCGGGCGAGGAAGGAAAGATACGGAAGAGAGAAATGGTATTCAAGGAGATGGCCAATCTTGTGGGGCGGAAGAAGATCGGCAAAGCAGTCAGCCAGAAGATTGCTGAGGTATGGGGCGATGCCTGATATTGCCTGGTCCATGGCTCATCAGCGAGGTTGGGGGCTGGGTGAAGGGGAAAGGGGGGAGCCGCGGTTTCAGTATCTTTCCGACAGTCCGCGATGAAGACATAGAGGGGTGGCGCAAGCCTAGTGAAAGATCCATATCTAGCACTCACTTTTCATACCTACACAATGATTCTCGCTACGCTGCCTTGTCGCCAGACCTCCGAGCCACGACCTTCTCCACGATCTTCTCCAGCAGCGGGATACCTCCAGCACCGCCGTCCAGACCGGTCAGATAGCCGGTCAGCGTCTTCTCGGCATACTTGGCCATCATGTCCACCTCGATGTTGACCGTGTCGCCGACCTTCTTCCCCGCCAGGACGACGCGCTCCTGGGTGTAGGCGATCAGCATGACCTCGAGCCAGCCCTCGTTGTCGTCGACGGCAGTGATGGTCAGGCTGGTGCCGTCGAGCGCGACGAAGCCCTTGTAGACGATGTATCGCATGACGGCGCGGTCGCGGGGCGCGAGCCGCACGGTGAGTGCGTCCCCGTCGGGGGCGAGGCGCGCGACGGTCGCGACGGTGTCGACGTGGCCCTGCACAAAGTGCCCGCCCATGCGCGTGTCGGCGCGCACCGCTCGCTCCAGGTTGACGTGCGACCCGGCCGTGAGGGCGCCCAGGTCGGTCAGCCGGAGGGTCTCGGGGGCGATGGTCGTCGTGAAGGCGGCGGGCGAGGAGGAGGGCGAGGCGCTGAAGGCGGTGACGGTCAGGCAGACACCATTGACGGCGATGCTGTCGCCCTCGTGGGCGTCGGAGAGGAGCTGGGACTGCGGCGGAAGGTGGATGATCAGGGTCGTGCCGCCAGTCGGGCCCGGGAGGGTGGTGAGCTCGGCGACGACTGGGAAGTTGGAGATTGAGTAAGCGAGATGAATCGAAAGGCTATCGTTGGTGTTAGGGACATACCGCCGATCTCCTCGACGATCCCTGTGAACATGTCTTCAAATAGGTACCTGGTATAAATATTCCGTCGACTAGATATCTAATGCCTTATTCGTTGTCGTCCGCCTAGGTTTGCAGTCAACCAAATCCCTTCGAGGCTGAGTCCTCCAGAATGAGGTGAGGGGCACATATTTCTTAAATCGCACCATGGTGGGGTCGCCCTGACCCATGTCCTGTAGGTACATAGGTACTTCGTAAGCCGGATAGTCCCAGATGGATGATTACTCGCTTCCTCATTTTTTGAACTAGATAATCGTGAGTTTGCTCTTTGACAGGCCGACTCGACCTATGCATGCTTACTCTTCTTATAGCTTTTATTCAAGAAGTTATCACTATTTTATCAGCCCGGGACTTTGACCAGACAATCAATTGTCGATGAATGAGTTGCAGCTTAGGCTGACCCACATTCATCACCTCGTAGATGTGAGCCTTGCTCCAGTTTGGGATTTCTTCTCACATAAGCTACATAAACAACTTACCTCCCTAAGCTCATTTGGTAGTTCGTAAGGTATCACCCTCCATCTCTACAAAGTAGACTTCAAGTTGGGTCCTTCCATAGTATGGCGTCGCCGTGGTCGTGCATGACCTAGCGTTCGCTCCAACGTAAGCTTGAAGGACGAGGAGACCCAAGGGCGCGCGGCTATGTAGTGTCTCATTACCGCCTTAGCCGATTCGGAGGTAGCCGTAGCGCACGGATATTAACGTTTGTACCGGTGAGGTCTTGGTCGAGAACCGGCCGCCGATGTGGCTCAAGACTGCTTCCGTCTTCGCAATACTCTTTTCTGCCGTCCGCTCTCTCTGGGGTAGAGGAGTCTTTGACATCTACCATGAGCTCGAGTACCCGCCTGACTTCAACCCGCCCCGGCCCTAGGACCGCGAGGATCTGCAGCGTGACGCCGTGTTTACCCAGGTTTTCTCGCGCACGTCGATGAATGCCGAGAGGTTCCGCGACCGCGGCCGCATCACCGACCGTGTTAGGAACGGCAAGAACCTCTGGGACCGGGCGGGGGAGGAGTATGATATGATCGACAGCAGCGTCGATGTGCCGCGGCTCCTATTTGACAAACCGGATAGATTTCGATACCTCCTAGATTGGGATGGGGAGAGCGCTGGGTTTGCGGATTATCGCCCCTGAGCCAACACCCTCTCATGTACGTACAGTATTTTAGTGCCTAGATCATACAGTAATACATCGCGCCAATTGACAGTTCCTAGGATCAGTCAAGCCACAAACTGCTACACACCGTCACATCGCCTGTCTGAAAGCGCGACAGGCTACTATTCTGCTCAGTGGGGGAGTGGCAGTGTACCCTCGTTGCCTCGAAGGAATGAAACTCGAAGGAATGAAAGCTGAGCACATCCCTGCGTCCCCGCAAGTGCTCAAAAAAGATCGGGAGCGTCGGAGATTCAATGGCAATTGGGGACGGAGTCGGTGAGATTTATGTCCGATTTCGAGCCAGGTTGGAATATGCGGCCAGGTCCGCGCTAGAGCGATATTACTCGGCAAGGTTGACAAATACTAGGTAGGTACATTGTGAGCTCGTTGCGCGGGCAAGCTTCAGCTTCTATTCATCCTCTGGGTAGTAAATTTTTGTGTTTTTCTGCTCCGGGCGATTGGTACTAGCATGGAAATGAACTAGATTCCTATAAACTTATTTAAGATTATCAGCATAGAGTTCAGCCATGGGCGCCAATATGCAGGTACCGCAGCATGCGAAGGCTATTTTGGTCCCAGTTCCATGGTGGCTGGTGGACGATGAAGGGTTGAATGCTTGGCGACGTAGCGTCCCAATCCACTCATTGCGTCATCGTTCCAGGGTCGTACCTGATAGCCGTTAGGTTCCAGTGGGTTAGGTAGAAAAGGTACCTACTCCGGTACATAGGCCCCTAAATTGAGGTGATAGTGAAAGCCGTATAAAATGAGAACGAACGAGAGACAGAGAGAGGGAGAGCAAAATGTCTGATCCCCCAAGGCCATGATTAGGGACTAAGCAAGCACCATGCAATCTGCAAGTGGCTGAACCATGCAGAAACGTGAAATGACAAGCGAGTGAAGTTTGGTCCAGCGTTTCGACTATGCTGGGCGGGCCAAGAAATCCCAAGCAGGGGGCTCATCCAAAATAGTATCTCTCGAGCGGCTGATAACATCGAGCTTGCCTGCCCAACTTTCCGCGTGGCGTGGTCTTTCTTTGCTCAAGCTGTTCCTGGTCTTCTCGTTTTATTCAAGTGATCGTTCGCTACCTTTTTTTAGGCCCATAAACCCCCATTTCGCCTTGCCCTCAGCATCGATCGACATTGTGGAGAGCCACAGGACGATCCGAGGCGAGACTGTCCGAGACTGTCCGGTTCATCAGTTCCCTGTTCCACAGTTCCACAAGTCTCGACTTAAACGTCACCTTTTTTTTAGACATCCCGCGCCGGCCGGCCATAACTACGCAGTAGCTGGTGCTAACGCGTAACTGCCCCGGTTTTTGTCCAGTGTTGAAGGACGTACCATATCTTGGCCGTATCGACGAGCCTGGCACCGCCCGCCATCTTGTGCCGGGTTTTCTGCCTCGAAAGGACAAGATGATGTCGAGTAAGTCCTCGCGGGTTCGACATCGCAAGAGTATCCTCTCTCTTGCTCTGCCGTCTCTTCGCCCGGAGACGCCCTCGGTTCCGGAAGCTATGGATCCAGAGCCAGATACCCCACGCTCGGAGACAAGCTCCGGGACGGCAGATCTCCCATGTGTCACTGGTCAAGAAAAGAAGGCCAAGAGACGGAAGTCCAGGCTGGGACTTTTTACTTCGTTCCTACCGTCACTCACCTCCAAATCTGCAGATCATGTTCCTTCGGTGCAACGAAAGCCGCTGCCGCCGACCTACCACAACTCTCCCGGTCAGCCCAACCCGACGCTGTACGACGAACGAACCTTGCAGCTCATGACCACCGACGACCAACCCCCTCCCAATTACGTCGACCCTCCCCTCGCAGCCCCTCCCATACCTCCCCTTCTCGATCATCACGTAGATTCCGAACCAGATGCCCACACGGCACATTTGCCCACCATGTTGAAGAAGGTCCGGAAGACTCATCCCGTCCAACAGGAGCAACAGCTGCCTCCTGTACCACCACAGCAACATGCACCGCAGATTCCACCTGTTCCCTCTGTCACTGAGACAGAGGCATCGCCTCCCCGGCTGAGGAAATCGAGAGCACGGGCAAGCACAAACTCGGTCGAGATGCTCTCATCCGATCATCGTCAGCCTGATCATCGTCAGCAAACCGAACATCGTCAGCAAACGAACCGGCTTCAGCCACGCCGCACCTCTCCATTCCCAGAACCTAGGGGACGCAGCAGTTCCGCCCAACCGCCGACTAATCGAAATAACCAGCTCGGCTCGCCGCGGGTCATCTCGAACCCTGGTGAGTTGCGGCCCGAGTCTCGCCAATCTAGCAATGGCAGCCCCCCGCGCGGCTCGGACCGGGGGAAGTTGAGGAGGAGCTGGCTTCCCGGCGGGCGCTCAAGGTCCAACTCTCAGGACTTGGGCCGCGGTCCTACCGCCCCGGCATGGATAATGTCGACCGACAGCAGCGCTGAATATAATACTTCGTTTCTGATCAACGGGGAGAAGGTGGCGTACCGGTCCGGTAACCCCCAGGCAACAATAACATTTAACTAACCGAGTTAGGTGCCCGAGATTTGGGACGAGAACGGCAATATATACATCTTCCTTTGCGCTCCGGGCGGCGGGCTAGGTCCATCTTTCAAGGTGCCGGCCTTTATCCTCGGCAGTTCGAGGGTCTTCGGTGACATGATACAGGCCGACATGGCTGCGGGTGCCATGGGGAGGGACAGGAGCTTCAACGGCCGAGATAATCTCTCTGTGCATGATGCCCGACGACAAATCACGCCTCCGGCCTCAGCCGCCTCAGGAGCAGAAGGGCCGGGCGAGGCGAACGTCTACCTCCCTTTCATCCAACCCTCGGGCGCCCACGATCTCCAGCGGCTAATTGCGGTGCGCAACTTGTTAGCCTTCCTGACCGGTCAACCGCTCGTGGGCACGAAGGAGCATAGCACGGTTTTCGCGGCCTTTCTGCAGATAGCAGCCCTTCTCAGAGAATTCGAATTCGGTAATTACGATGGCTCGAGCTTTGGGGAGCCGGTCGACCTCGCCTTTGGCTTTTATATGGGCCACCTCGCCCTCGCCGACGTTCGGCACAGCCGGGAGAAGACCATCGAGGCCCTGATCTTGGGCGAGCAGATGAAATCGCCCGAGCTGTACAACGAAGCTTTCGCCCATGCAGTTGGGAAGTACACGGCGATCCTCGACGTCAAGTCGCCCCTCTTCCAGAACGTGTCCGTTAGCACTCGCAACCGGCTCGAACGGGCGCACATAGACTTGCTGAACCGCCAGTCCAACGTCAATAATCGCCTCGAAGCCTTCGATTTCCCTGCTCTTTTCGCCGGCATTGCCAGCTCAACATCTCACGAGGAGTACAAGAACGTCAGGTTCAAGGAATGGAGAATCTCGTTTGGGAAGATGAGGAGCTTCGTCCTGGGCTACTACAAGAATCTCTTTGGGAACTGGCCGCCAAAGGCCCGGAGCAAGAAGAATCAGTTTTCCGAGAGTGGGCTGAACAGGCAGTGTTTGAAGATCTTGTACTCGGATCTCTGCGCGCTCTACGACTTGCTCGTGGATCGCGAGTCCCTCACGCCGCGCGTCATCGACCAAGCCCCTGACGACATTCTCGAGGCGTCGGTAGAACCCAGGATCTCGGTCCTCCGCAGGATGCTCACCGAGTACGACCAATCCTCGCCCCCGGTGCTACCGCCGATTCCCTACGACGTCCCCAAGTTCCCAAGCATGACGGCCATCCGCGAAGACTACAATGAGCTACCCGCCGCGCGGCAGGCGAGATTCGACAAATCCATCCAGCCACACGAGTACCTCCTCATCATGCTGAAGTCTCGCAACATCGACATCGACCAGCTGGACATCCAGTTCCTCGCCGCATTCAAGGAATTCGAGGAGAAGGAGACGAAGGGCTGCAGCCCTCAGGACCTGGTGGACCAGCGGATCGGATGCTGGCTCTTCCTGTATGCAGTCCTACAGTGCCTACCGATGCTCGTGGTCGATGCCCCGGGGTTGAAATTCACCGAGGGCGTCGAGTACTTCCTCTGCGAGCCGCCGCAAGGTAACCACCCCTGGATGGACGACGCCGGGGAAGTCCGCAAGGTGTGGTACGAGGTCTCGGGCGGACAGAACATTGTCGAGCTCTCGGCCGACGTGGTCATGTTCAGCGTCGAGGCAACCTATCACCGCAGCCACTGTTGGCAAGCGGCCAAGCTGTGGGAGGCCTCGGGGCCGACCGCGATGCCCCCCTCCCAGGAGATGGGCATGTCACCCCTCGAGCCACCGCGCCCGGGTTTCCAAGACCCCGACGCGTCCGCGCCCTCGCCTCGGATGACCGCCGAAGGGCCGGCGTCGTCCCCCGGCTCGCCCGCGCTGCTCCCGTACCACCCGCCCAGGAACGCCTCCCTCGGAGGCCCCGGCTCCCCGGCCCTGACCCCGCATCACCACCCCCCGCGCAACTCCTCCTTCGGGACTGCGGCCGCCGCCGCGACCGCCGGACCCGCCACCGGCAGGCAGGGCGGCCACTCCTACCGCTCCAGCGTCGTCATGGGCCTCGAACCCCTGCAATTACCCGAGTGGGGCGCCCAGGGGGAGGAGCGGTTCTCGCGCCAGGGCGGCGGCGGCGGCGGCGGCTCGAGACCCGTCAGCGGCGCCGTGGGGCCGCCACACCACCACCAGCAACACCACCACCACCACCACGGTGGCGTCGTGCCCAGGAGCGTCTCGGCCAGCAACCTCGTGCAGCTGGCGGCCGCCCAGGACGCGGGACCGGGGCCCAAATCGGGGCTCAATCCGGGCCACGGCGGCGGAGGCGGCGGGAGGAAGGCGAGCGGGAGTACGTTTGACGACATCCTCAAGGGCATGGGGGAGAAGGACAAGGGGGGAAAGAAGAAGAGGTTTCCGTTTTGAGCTCCTTTGTCTTCTTCTTTTTCTTTTCTTCTCTGCCCGCCCGCTCCCCATCATGGATTCCCCCCACCTTTTGCCGTTTGTGTTCGTTCCTGTCTCTGTTGTTTCTTGTCGAGCATATAATTAGATAGCCAGGCATATGACGATGTTACGAGTATAATTCAAATACACTTCCTAAAACGGAACAAATTAATGGTTTTATCGGAGACTTTGCGTGCTCGGGTGAAACGTGTGAGGTTGACGTAGGCATCTTGGGGACTCCCTTCTTCCTTAATTCTTACTTATTTTCGGCCTGTCCTATTATAACGTTCTCTTCTTGTGATAATCGGTGGTAGTCGTAATTACCAGACATCTTGAAAGGGAAGCAGGCATTCGGCAGACATACCTCGCTCAGCATGAAAACAGGGGGGCTGCAAGTGTGGATGGAGCTATTAGAGCTAAGAAACTACGCCCATGTATACCTCTATATTATACCTAGCTATCGTCTCGAACTACCTAGGCAGAAGCTAGACCGGGTAAAGTCAACGCAGTATCGAGCAATGGCGACTATGTATGGATGGATTGGACGGATGGATGGAATGATGTCTTAACTACTATATAGGTAGTATATGCCATGCTAAGCAAATAAACTCCCATCCCGTCAATAGACCCAGCCCGCGTCATGCATGCAATTGCAGCCTTTATCAACCGTCCCAAGATCATTCGCTCCGTCAATGCTAAACGTTAGAGACGCGCCTCGTAGGATTTCGTCAAAAGTCGTCATCGTCATCGTCCCAACCAAGTGTCTGATATATCGTAAGCTGCTGCTTCGCGTCCGCCGCCGGCTTGCCACCGCCGGCGAGACGCAGGGGTCTGACGGGCTCGGGTGTCTCGGCCAGAGCCCCGACGTCGTCATCGCCGCTGCGGCCGCCTCCCATGGCTGATCTCGGCTTTAGCGGCGTCTCAAAGAGGCCGCCCGCTGGTCGGGGGGAGGGCGATGCGGCGCCGACATGGCTGCGGGCCACGAAGAGGTGGTGTTGTTGTTGGTTGTGGTGGACCCCCGCCACGGCCGCCTTCCTGGTCAGGATGGGCGACGACGGCGGGATGACCGGGCTGCCGCCGCTCGGGACCCGTAGCAGGGGAGCCGAAATCGGCGGCAAGCAGGCCGCCGGCGTCGCCTGAATCTTGCCCGCCGTCGGCGTCGTGGTGATGGTGATGGCGGGGGAGTCGAGGATGTTCATCATGACCCTTTTGGGGGCTGTCGAGGATGGCACCACTGACGAACTTGATGGGATGGCATCCATTTCGTCTGAGATGATCTCGGGAAGAGAAAGACCTGGCACCCGCGGTTCATGCGCCGGCATTGCATCCCTGAATCGGTTGTTTGCGGGAGTGGCCTTCACCTGCACTGTTGGTACAGATGAGATCCGGGTCGGCTTTCTCGCCTTTTTGAGTTGGGACAAGCTGCTTGACGTGCGCTTCTCGGCGTCCTCGACGATGGCCTTGCCCGCGAGCGCCCTATTCGGTTTCTTAAGCGCGGATATGGCGTCCTTCAGCTCTGCCTCGAGACTGGCCTTCTTCTTCGCCTTCTCATCTTCGACGCTGCTCTGGCTGGCGGCTCGGGAAAACAAATTGGACGACCTCTCCTTGACGGGCGCTGGTTGCTTCTTCGGCACCATCCCCAATAGCGTCTCGCTTGTCTCTCTCTTCAGCCCGGGTATCGTCGTGGCGCTTGCAGATCGCATGAGCGCGATGGCATCAGTCGGGCCGCGCGACAAGCTGCGCCTCATCCTCTCGTTGGAGAGGACCCGCTCCAGCGTCTTCTCCCTGCCCTTTCTCGATGAAGTCGACTTCTTCGCGGGTGCGCCGGGTTTCGGCTTCGACTGGCTTGCCGGCTTCGCACTGGCAGGCGCCTTGATGACCGGTCCTCCAAGCTTGCGGCTGATAGAGTCACATAGATCTGGCAGACGGGCAGAGAAGCTGAGGAAGGCAGGTGCAATTAGCATACATAAGCCGAAGATCGCGAAGAGGGACGGACTTACAAGGGAAGAATTATGTCGACGCAGAAGTCCTTCAGGGGGTCGGAATTCGGCCTGTCCGTCCTCTCTGTCTGCTGACCATGGTTCGTGACCTGAGACTCTGCAAGGGCCTTTACCTCGTCTAAAGTCGTAGACTGCCAGATACAGAGTCTGTCCGCATGCACATCCAAAAGCACAGGGAAGTTGTGCTTGTTTCTCCTCTTCACCGGGGCTTCCGCTGTAGCACCTTGTGGGGTGACTTGAGATCCCATCCCTGGAAGCTGGCTCTCCTCGGTTGCATCGGTCGGGCGACGGAGGGGTTCTAACGCCAGAATCTCAAGGATGACGATCATCTGGAGCTGAGTCTCCCTCTTTCGCAAGCAGGAAATATGATATTTGACTTCCTCGGGGGTCACCGACTGTTCACTCGCCTTGTTCAAATTCCACCAACGCCTGATATGGTTCTCTTCCAATGGATAGAGCCCGTCTTTTCCAATCTTCATCTTCTTCGGCTTTCTTTTCTTCGACTTTGGGCCCCCGTTGTCAGACTCCTCCACTAGGGTCTTCATTTTGGACGTGATTTCCGGCACCGTTTCGCGGTATTTCTTGTCAATAAGCACCGTGTTCATCACAAGACTCTGCAGGAAACCGATCAGGTCATTCATTTCCAAGCTTGCGTCACAGTCCAGATGAAAAGCGGCGCGGGCACGAGACAATGGCCCCTTTGCAAAGTACGCCAACGATCCCTAACCCAGTCGTCAGCACAGGAGAAGGGGGATTTACGAAGTGGGCTAAACGCACCATGGAGTGATACAAGGCTTCCAGGTATTGATTCCTAATATTGTTGAAAATGCCTTCGGCTGTGGTTTGTGACAAGGACTCGTCGGTGGGATCCGACGCAGGGAAAGCTTGCGAATGGGATTCTTGGGGTTGAGCATTGGCTGCGAGAACCGGACTCTCAGAGAGCTGACTTTCAGCCGTTGGACCGTTGGTGCGACCGTCGACCGGCGTTGCGTTATGGACTGGATCTTGGGAAGCCGCGGTTGCCACCGACTGCGATCTCGGGCGCTTCTTGACCATTGACTGGATTTCTTCAATGGCAAGCCTCCTCCTCTTATTATCCTTGTGCAATTGGGGGGTGGTCAGCGGCAGCGGCGTGTCGTTGGCTTTAGGGACGGCTGAATATGACCGTAGGCGTTGGCCACAGGCCACCGTCGCGAATTGAACAAGGCTTCCCACATCTACCCAGGGGCCCAGTTTGCAAAGCACATATAGACCATCTCCCTGCCGTTCAATGGCGTAGACAATGCGGTTAGTCTCTGATCGGGCAACCAAGAGATTTGAGCCCAGGCGACCCTCAAGATCCAAAATCTTAATGCGAGACTCGTAGAAGCGGCAGGCGGAGAAGTCGCCATGAGGCATAGACAGATCGAGGCTAGACAATGGCAGGTGTTCTCGAGGGAGGAGCATCATGGGGTGGAGGATGCGGGGTTTTGCGTGGAGACTAGACGGATGAGGCTGTTTTGTTTAAAATATGTCAGATGCCAACTAGATAGCTGGTAAGAGAGTTTGGGGTGGCCGAGGTACCTTCACGACAATAGTTGGCTTCAGCAGGTCCTCCATTGGGAGTCCAGAAACACCTCGCTTGCGCTTCCTGGAGTCAGACGAGGAGACATGGTCGCTAGCTATTCTATTCAGTGAACCGTCCGAGGTTGGGGTAAGGATACCAGACATCGGACGCGACGCTTCTGATGTCGGGCAGACGAGAGAGGGCATGTTCAGAGGAGATTAACGACTAGCCATATATTGCATTGGCTGTGAGAAAATACCAAAAAGAAGCATCATATCAATCCCATCCTACGCGCCGAGCCGGGCAGAAAGGTACGGAGCGGGAGGGCGGTTTGAAGACGGACGTCCCACGAGGACAAAGCCCGCCACACACGCGTTGGTTCGCCATCGCGCGGTTGGGGGGTGTGGAGCTCGACACTGGGTGGAAGCTCGGACCACTAACCCTGGCAATACTGAAACTTGAAACGTGAGCTGGCAGGTAGCTTGTGATCCTTCAATCGCGGGGGCGCACAGTATAGTTGTGATGGACGGGATGTTAGGAAGACAAGACGTATTTGAAGCCCAATCGCCTTCCCAGAAGTATACATGCCAAGATTGAGACTCACCTGTCTGTAACGGACTACGGAATACAAGTGCATCTTTAATATATTCCCCGAGCACGTACCCCTAGGTAATATCCATTTACTAGCTTACGACTGAGGCAAGTCCTCCGACTCATGACTTCCCAAAGCAGTTCCACAAAGTCGCACCGTCTCCCAGCGCCCCCCCCCCCCCCGCCAAAGTGCCGCGAGTCCAGGCCAGAACGCGGGAAAAGTGCCCTATAGCCAGTGAGCTCGCCCGCCTGCGAATGGGCCCATCAACGAACGTCCTGTCCTGGGGCAAAAAGTAATCAAAATTTCAACCTCGTCTTTTCCCCATCGCCGGGCCAGCGCAACAGCTGCCGATGTACTTTTTCCTCCCTTGTTTTTCTCCTTTTACTGAATCAGTGCCCTACATGGATGAACTCGTGACAAATTGAGAACAGTATCCTCGCATCCGTCATTGGCTCTGAACCGGCGTAGAGCTAGCTTCATTGACTGTACGCTTGGCTGCTCATCATGGCAAGCGAATCTTCGCCTCTCTCTTTGCGCTTCTCTCTCGAGGATGATGAGCAGCTTCGACAAGCAGAAATGGCCTTGGCCAATAGTGGCCATCGGCCCCCGCCAGTCGGCTTCGAGTCGGAGAACCCGGGAGCGTCTGGAGAACCGCACGTCGATACCACCACGTTTGAAAGACACGACGAGATTGCATCCCTAACCCGATACGCCGAGACACCTAGTCACTCGGGCTCGATATCCTCGCTGAGCGCTCTATCCAACGGTTCAACTGCCCGTCATCGCGGCGGCAGCGGAGATACAACTGCATCCTACACCAACGGGAGCACGCCGAGACCACAGCGCCCGACCGGTCCTGTGCGGACACCATCGAACACTTACCAACCCTACACACAGAGGCGACCTGCCCAGCAAACCCAGTCTTCATTTGTTGCCGGCTCGGCCCCTACTACACGCGACGGCTCGAGGCCGCCGCCGCGACAGGTGGGCACTGCCGCGTTCCGCGCGCAGGAGAAGGAGTACGTCCGCAGGCTTCGACAACAAGACTATACCACCGAGTATTTCGATTCTCAGACCCCCGGTGACCATTTCGACTCGGATTCTGAAGGCGACACCCCGTCGTCCGAAGCTCCATTTGATGGTCACGACCAGGAGACGAACCTCTTTAGCAACAGCGAGGACCTGCAACCCACTGAAGAAGATCTGAAGGACCCCCAGAACCGGGAAAGGCTGGAGTGGCATGGCATGCTCGAGGCGGTTCTTACCGGAGACGTCGTCAGGCAAGAGAAGAAGCGCCTTATCGGATCCTCGGAGGAGAAGATAGGAAAGACGGCCCAGAAAGCAGAACTATGGCTGGGTATACGCTCCAAGGTCTGCGGGAGGCATCTTCCCGTCCAGCGGAGGATGGTCGAGGATGCTCGACGAAACGTGGATCGCATACTCAGCGAGATCATCAACTTCTCCGTCGCCGGTGAGAGCGAGGCAGGAAAGCCACCCATCGAGCAAGTTCAGGATGTAGTGGCCGAAATCGAGAGAATCGAAAGCCTATACCCGTCAAGAGCGGCGTTCGTGAGCCACCACAGGTCTGCCGAGTCGGATGCTTACCGAGAGGCCTGCGAGGCGGTCACGGCGTGGCACAATATAAACCAGATGATCAACACCGAACTGACAATCTTGAAAAAGTGGGTTGGCAACGACGAGCTCGATTTCAAACAGAATAAAGAGACCGCCTCCAACGCCAACGGCCTCAACGACGACCCACTGTTCCTGGATCGCCTCATGAAGGAAGAGGGCCTGAAGTCTCTTCATGACGATCCCGAAGGCGACGGCAGGGAGTTGCGCAAGAGGAGCATGCTCTACGGGATCTCGAGGGTCATTATGAAGGCAAAGGAGACGCTCATCCACAACGCCGAGGCTTTCGCAAAGCGTCATCTCCCCCCCTACATCGAGGAGCTGCTCACTCTCATCAGCTTTCCGTCCCGCCTCATCGAGGAGATTATCAGGGTCCGGCTGCTATATGCCAAAAAAATGAAGGACTCGGCCCAGCAGAATCCGATGATGCAAGACCAGATGATCTCCCAGTTTCAGGTGCTCCTCAACCTGACCATCAAGATCAAGCAGGAGCATCTCATGATCATTCAGACCGAGCCTGGCTGGGATCTGCCTCCGTGCATTGACGAGGCTTTCGACCAAGTCGTCCTTGACGCGCTGAAGTACTATTTTAAGATGCTGAACTGGAAGCTCAGTGGGAATAAGAACACCTTCAAGGAGGCCGAACTCCTGTTTCAGGAATGGGACTTCGCCAACGAGGTCGGGCGATATCTATCGCACGGCGATGTCGAGGTAGCCGAGCAGTTCAGCTCGCTGACTTACAAGGCATTAAACCGTCTAAGCCAGACATTCGAAAGGGAACTGCCAAGGAAGCCCAAGGAGAGCGTCGCGGACATGACGAAACGGTACAAGCAGATCCTTGACTCGGTCCGGGTGAGGCAGAGGATGCTGCAGCGGTTCTCGAGGATGTTGAGCGACAACTACGAGAACGCGTGCGATTTTACCATCGCATTCGCACCCCCTAGGCTCCAAGAGCTCTACGACCGGCTTATCGAGTCAAATCACTTTCAGGTCTATGCTAGCCATCTCGACCAGGAAGGCGTCATCCTTTTTGCCTCGTCGTCGTTACGCAACCGGCTTGAGGATATCCAGTCGCTCTTGGGCACCTTTTCGTATGAGACCGAGGAGGAGGACCCCACAGATCCCTACGTCCTCATGGTGCGAGCCGAGGAGGGCCCCCATTGGTTTGGAGAACAGATATCGTTGACAATCCGGGAGGAACCTCTCGATCTCAGGGTCGGCCACATGAGACTGATCGCTGGCGGCTCCCGGGCGCGACTAGTGAACGCCCGCAAAGCCTTCTTAGATTCGGTCGAAATGCAGATCGATCTCGTCGTGGAGCAGAGGTCGACGCTCCATAAAGTCAATCAGAGGTTGATGGAGAACCGGAAGGTGGCCTACAAACTGTCCAACGCTTTCATGGAGAGCGTCGAGACCATCCGACGGCAAACTCGAGGACTCGACTGCCAGGATCTCATCCAGACATGCTTCATCTTCGCCACCGACTTCGGCCAGCGCTCGCTGCTGTACATGGACAGTAACAGACGGCAGATGAACAACCTGAAGCTCACGAAGCTGGCCCTGGATTGGGTGAGCTTCATCTGCGATGACTGCGTCTCCTCCGACCGGAAGACTTTCCGCTGGGCTGTCTTGGCTCTCGAGTTCGCCATGGGGATGACCCGCGGCAGGCACATCCTGGCTCTCGGAGACGACGAGTACGCGAGACTGCGGGCCAAGGTGGCCGGTTGCATGGCGCTCCTGATCTCCCACTTCGACATCATGGGCGCTAGGTCCAGCGTTGCCGCGCAGGCAGAGAAGCTGCGCATGGAGGCTCTCATGAGTCAGCTGAAGCGGCTGAACAAGGGCCAGATCATGGACGACAGCCAAGCCGCCCAATATGTCACGGAGCACCGTCTCGAGGAGCTCTCCAAGCTGGACGAGTTCAGGAAAGAGATCCTCCTCGAGCGCTCGGCCCTGGGGCGGGTGTTGGAGGTTACGAACGAGGTGGATCGCTCGCTAGCCTGGCTATCGTCTACGGCGAACAACTTCACTCTGAGGTGGCAGCAGGGCCACTTCGTGGGCGGCGGGACTTTCGGCAACGTCTACGCAGCCATGAACCTCGACACGGGCCACCTGATGGCCGTGAAAGAGATCCGCTTGCAGGACCCCAAGATGATCCCCGGCATCGCAGGGCAGATCCGAGACGAGATGCGTGTATTGGAGTCCGTCGACCACCCCAACGTCGTGTCGTACTACGGCATCGAGGTTCACCGGGACCGAGTCTACATCTTCATGGAGTTCTGCTCCGGTGGATCGTTGGCAAGTCTACTGGAACACGGCCGCATCGAGGACGAGCAGGTCATCATGGTCTACGCGCTACAGCTTCTCGAGGGTCTAACTTACCTCCACGATCTAAAGATTACACATCGCGACATCAAACCCGAGAGTAAGTTTTGTCTTTGATCGGGGAAAGGGAAGGTGTACCGCACTGTTCCTGGCTAACACGATTTTAGATATCTTGTTTGACCACAATGGCATCATTAAGTACGTTGACTTTGGTGCCGCCAAGGTCATCGCCCGTCACGGTCGTACGATTGTCCATGATGGCGCCGCCACTCAGCCGAACAAGTCCATGACCGGCACTCCCATGTACATGTCCCCTGAAGTGATCAAAGGCGAGAACCCGGGCCACTTCGGCGCCGTCGACATCTGGTCCCTTGGCTGCGTCATCCTCGAGATGGCCACGGGCCGGCGACCGTGGGCCAACCTCGACAATGAATGGGCCATCATGTACAATATCGCCCAGGGCAACCCGCCGCAGCTGCCGACGCCGGACCAGCTGAGTCCCCAGGGCGTTGACTTCCTGAAGCGATGCTTCATCCGGGACTCCAAGAAGAGGGCCACCGCGATCGAGCTGCTGCAGCATGAATGGATCATGACGATACGAAACAGGGTCGTCGAGCCGTCAACCCCAAGTGACGCTGGTTCTTCGTCCCATTCCGGCATGAATATGTCGTCCCCGATCTAGCTGAAGCAGTATGCCAGCTTTAGGTTGGCCGCTGGTTCCTACACGATCAGCGGCTCCGTAACAACAACCAACCCCACCTCCCCCTCCCCCTTTTGCCCTCCGGAATATTATTCAAATCTACCCAGAACGACATAGTTTTCTTCCGGAGCTGTACGTGTCTCGATATCTTTTTTTCTAGTTGAGAATAATACCCCTTGTTCGCGGATCCTCCGTGGGATGCGTCTTATTTTTTTTTTTTATTGGAGAGGTACATATTTAACATGCGCGCTGGGACGACTGGGGAGGGCCGAGGCTGGAAAGAGCAGCGACAGATTGCTTGGGCGCCGAGTTTCAGAGGTATCTACGGGTTCGGGGGAAATAAACGGTTGGTCGACCAGGGGGGTTGAAGCTATCTAGTCCTCGATGTCGCAGTAAACTCTACTGCGTAATATCTGGAATACGAATCTTGGGCCTCTGGCCGTGGGATGCTAGCCCGGGAAATCTCCATATCTAGGTACCTTTCAAGTATCATTGAGCGTGGTGAAAATGGTGGAAACGGACCCCGCCGTTTGCATCGAGGAACCGCCTACCTAAGTATCTTGCGAAAGCCGAGAAACATGCCGTCCATCACAACGCTTGCTTGACCTCGAAGCCCTTCCCTTCCGGCTTCCATTCCTGGTGGTCGGAAACGTCCCCCCACAAAACAGGCGTTGACGCAATGACGCTAGAGCTCTTAGCTAGTCGCGGGGAAGAATCGGAAGCAGGTGATTTGCCCGGGTCATCATCGGCACAACCCGTGGGATCTGGGGTTTCTTCAAGATATAGCTGGCATCTCCTGCAGATTCCCCAACGACCTAGAAAGAACCCCTCCTCTGGACGTTGCTCCGTTCAGCCAGAGCTTGCAGCTTGCTTCTCAAGCATGTCGAGGGCACGAAGTCAGCTGAAAGACAGCGAGGAGGATCTCGGGAAGTTGGTGGGGGGGGGGCACCACCCCTTCGTGCCCGGTCGATAGCTGTCAGCAACAGCATCTGCCTCTAACGACCGATACAGGCACCCTACTCTGTGCCATGGCCGGTGCCTCCTCCCGGCTATATCAACACATGCACCTTAGTTCATCTGTCGGTAGCGTCCGGCAACCAATAACACAACCCCGTCCAAATTGTCATCTCTTTAACCGGGCGCTCAGATCGCAAACCGGGTTTCCGGTGCCTCGTCGAGATTAACGGCCACATCCATTTATATTTTTGCAATGCTTGATAACCACACGAAGGCGAGTGGAAGCGATGAATAAAGGTACAGTACATATATATGTGCTTGCTCCCCCACCACACACCGCTTCAGGAATAATTCTCTTTCCCCTGGCCCCTTCTTCGCCTATCTTTTGAGAAATGGGAAAGAAGAAAAAGTGAGGAGACAGAGGGAGAGGAGGAAAAGTTAAAGACGGAAGAGAGAAGCAAAGAAAAGGAAGAAGACCCAAACCCCATCCCCTGTCCATCCGTATGTATATATCCAAAGGTGAGCCAACCCCTTCCCCGATTCCTATCCAAATCTCGGACACCTGTTTACCACCTTCCAACGAAAATGCTAACGCCGCTGACAGAAAAACATGCAAAAGAGACAGCCCAATACGGGGATGAGAAAGGAGGGCAATGCTCCGTTTCATCAGGCTCAATCCCAGCCAGGATAACCATCATCCATGTTGTATAGCATTCGACCAAGCCGAGACATGATCCAACCCGTAACAGCCCATCTGTATCTCCCCGGGGGGTATCCGATCAACACATCCCATTAAAGCCAACTCTCAAATACTTCATTAACTCTCTATATCATTACGTCCGCTGAGTAATGCTTTTCAGGCATCCTAAACGCCGTATGTCGGTAATAGTGCAGTGGTGTAAGCACCAATAGCAGCATGCTAAAAGAGACGCAAAGCCAAATAAATCGTTTGGTACACGACACCTCGAGCCGAGATGTGTTCGGAAGTGGGAGCGACAGGGTGAGGGTTCCCTATCATCTCTCGAGGTTGAAGTCCTGGGGCGTGACGTTCTGGGCGAACTGGATTTTCGACTTGGGTTGCCCAGGTGACGACATTGTCGAACCCCCAGGGAATGAGTCGGGGAAGTTGTACTCAACATTCGACGGCCCACGCCCAGGGAAACCGTAGGTCGGGCCAAAGTTCATCGGCAACGACGGAGTAACGGGTTGGCTCGCCACGTATCCAGGCAGTGGTTGCCCCATCGGGTACTCGAGCTCCGACCCAGCAAAGCTACATAGGCTAGGGGTCTGGACGGCTTCATCATGTGCCAGACCGGTCCCGGGCTGATCCATCTGGGAGCAGAACACATTGTGGTGAAAATCCAATTGCAACCCCGATGGCAGCCCCGATGGCAACCCCGCTGGCAGCCCCGGAGTTCGAGGCGGCGTGTTGATGGCCTGTTCGTTGTGGAGGGAGGAAACCGCCCAGCGACCAAGGGCCCACCCTTGCTCTTCGTCCGAGACATTCGCCGGAGCCAGGTTCTCCAGGGCGTTCAATTCGTTCGGTGATGGTGGCGAGACTGCGTAGTTCAGAGGACCCCGAATCGGAGAGCCAGAGCGCCGTATGCTGTTGAGCAAAGATGTGCTGCGGTCTAGACTGAACGATGATCTTGGCCCCGGCCCGGCTTTCTGTACTCTACCAGTCAAGCTAGCAGAAGTGATGCGCGGCCTCGGGCTGGCGCAATCGGTACGACGGGAAACATCGACACAAGTCTTGGGTCCGTGCGAGTGCGAAAGGCTCCGGAGCGAACTAGGGCCCAACGACGGGGGGCGACGAAGATTCCTTCGCGCGGCGATATTGGTGGGTGGCGGCGGGTATCTGAACTTTACATTGGTTGGGGGAGGCGGGGATTGAGACGCCGAGACGGGTGACGGATGCTCGAAATGGTCAACGGGCTCAGTGCCTCCCATGACGTCGGCGCTCAGGTCGTCGAACATCATTTCCGTTGGGAACGAAGGGCCCATTGAAGGACCCAACGGGACTGAAAAGTACGCTGAATCTTCCAAAGTCTCAAGGGGAGGCATGTCTGTCATGAGATCTTGTTGCGGCGAGGCAAGATCGTCGGGGCGACATGTGTATGTGGCTGTGCTCAGGTAGCCCTGTTGGACGCCAGTCGCGTCGAAGCTCGCCGAGGCAACAGCGGTGCCAATGTCGGGGATATCGCGAGCGGTGACCGAGGGGGGCGACGCATATCGCGTCTGAAGAAACCCGTCGCTCTTGGAATCATCGTACGAGTAGGATCCAAGCGAACGAGGCGCGCCCTCAGCACCGTCTGACTCGTCGGCTTCGTTCATCATGGATTGATGACTCTCGGACTTGAAGTTGATCTCCTCGTCCTCCTTTTTATCTACCTCGTCCTCCTCTTCCTCTTCTCCTTCGTCTTCCTCATCTTCCTCCATCTCGTCTTCCTCTTGTTCCTCCACCCCTTCCTCCTCGCCGATAGCGGCGCTGGAGGGGCCTACTGGTTGGTGGATGTTGTCCATGAGATAAAACTCGCTAACAACACCAGAGTCTTGGCCCTCGGGGGATTCGGATTCCTTGGTGGTTCTCTCGCCTGCCTGCTGTGCCTCGAACTCACGGGTTTTCTTGATCTGCTTCTCCTTGGCGCGCCGATTTTGGAACCAGTTCTACAAGATGAAGGTCAGCTAGGTATCCGAATGGCAGACGAGAGAGGCCGAGGGGGTGACAAACGTTGATCCTTGCGGGTTCAACCCGCATCCGCCCGGCGAGGTCTCTCTTGGTGCTAGTAGTCGGCTTCGGATTCTTCGCGAATTCGCTCTCAAGCAACTCCACCTCATCCTTGGCCAACCGTGGCTTAGGCTCGGTCTGCTTGGTGCTGTGCATGCCTCCTTGGCTGATCATGACTACGCGCTGCTGCTGCTGCTGCTGCTGCTGCTGGGGGAAAAAGCCGGGCCATGGTGCGTTCCAGCATTGATATTCCATATGTCCTTCCTGCGGAGGAGGAGGCGGACGCTGAGACTGGGGCTGGGGCTGGCCACTGAACGACTGCATATTGACGGCGGCGTATTGCCTCTTCCAGAAGTCCATCATCTTTGTGTCCATTGTGCGGGTTTGATGAGGTGTTAAAGGCGGGAAATGCGCCCAAGAATAAGGTCGAACAAGGTTGGAACCAGGCGCAACGAACGAGCGCGGGTGCTGGATGTGGCGGGTGGGAGAGTTCCTGAGTGGAGATGACGGCGAGCAGATTCGACACGGAGCGACTGGTGGCCTGAGAGACGAGGAGCAGTCCCTTGATTCAAGTATGGAGGATGAGAAGAAGAGTGTTTTAGTAGGAATCAAACGACGGGCTGGCAAGGTTGACCAATGGCACTAGCCAGGGGGGGTGACGGGTTGTCGTCCCTTCTTAAAGAGACAGAGTTCTGTTTAGACTTTGAATGATAACCTGGGGAGGGCGACAGCCTGGAAGTATAGCCGGGCCCAACTTTCCACCTCCTTCACATGACCCTTGTAGAAGTCAATGCAAGAGAAAAACGAGAGACAAGAGGGAGAGAGGGAGAGGCAAAACGGGTGTGATGTGTGGTCTGCCTTCGCTTTCGGGAGGCGTGATGCGCCTGGGATGAGCGGATGGGAACCGAGGGGCGGCGTCGACGAGGGCAACCAGGGTGCCTGACAAGGATCTGGCCAACAAGTACTGACTTTGTCCGGGAGTACCTCCTGGTACATCTAACCCTCCCCTGCAAGTGACCCCTAGGACGATGCCGCTGGGGCCGACCCAGCTTTACGGGGCAATTGGGATGAGGGGCTTGCCCAAGAGATCCACAGCGCCTGGCCATGGGTTTTTTGCATGGGTGTGACCACCAGCTCAGTCAAGACTGCAAAATGTGGGATTGTCCCTACACAGTATTCCTATTCTCTTTTCCCCAAGCAGATGCTACATAGAGAGGCCTTCAATTCAATGACGCACAACTCTATTAGGTTCAAAGTGCAGCTTATTCAATAGACTCCTCTCTGCTAATCGTCCAGGTTCTTTACATTTTAAACATGGCTGTTTAGGTGTGTAGTTGTCAAACTGTAGATTTCTGCAAGGATCCCCTGCTCGAGGCCTAGAAGCTACAAATTTTTTGTGAAAGTACAGTATACCTCCGCTGGGGTTTCTGACACTAGCTTGACATGGGTAGGGTACACAATCGGTAGCAAATTCTGTATGGACTCATAAGGTAGCATATTCTATTTACGTAGTATTTGGAGCCTCTTATAGAAGTACTGCACAAATAGTAATACTGTACGTACTGTGCGGAAGTCGTGGAATTGTGGTTTTCCTCCCGCCTACAAAGAGTAATAATACCTTGATCGACTAACAGTTTTCGCCCAGCGATTAGTATTAGCAGTGATGGCTCTGTCTCTTACTACAAACAAGTCTCTGAACAGAGTCTGCCGGCATAAAATAGCGGTCGGAGAATGCTTTGCAATCGCAAGTGGCGCCGTATTAGGGATCTCATCCTGCGTGACGGTAAGACAGGCCGTGATGGCCCAATGCAAGGCACGGCGAATCGAGATTACTCGATCCCTTTCGAGTTTCCCATATTCGCTGCTTTCTTACACTCCCTAGTGTACACGGTAGTTGTGCAAGGGAGGATTGCTCGGCGGATCGCCATCAACTTGGTTTACCCACCTTACTTAGTATTAGGTACGAGCATAGGCATACTCCTGTCTACGCAGTGTAGTTGACTTGGGCTTCTGGGAGCCCGGCAGGGAGGATACTCTCCCCACCCAATGCGTGTGCTGAAGTCAAGCAGCAACCTACGGACGTATGCAGCATGCATAGGAACTTGCCAGGCCGAACGGTACCGACCCATTTCCCCATGCGCCAGCGAGATGCATTCGGGATTATCACATTGATCACTGATCAATGGCGACATGACTGGTCAGACCGTCGGACAGCAAGATTATCCTTCCCATAGTTCCTCTTCCCATGCTTCTCCTTGTTTCTTCATCTCATCGCCTTCCTGACGTCAGGATCGTCGGGGCGAGATCGGCAGCGGCTGACCCAAGAAGATCCAACTTCTTTCTCCCTCCTACCTTCAGCTTCTTGGTTCCCATCCAAGAATGTGCTATAATTACCAACGAGCATCTAGATCGGGCTTTCTCTGTCATTGTTGGGTTCTCTCCCCATACCGTGGTACTTCAGCGGTCCTGCTCAGAGGAGACAAGGCGGGATGCCAGAGAAACCAGGGGTGGTGGTTTAGGTCGCCGACCTCCCCGTCACCTCGTGGTCCGCCATGGGAACTTCCCGTCATTTTACCGGCACCCTGCCCTGCTCCACCATGGGAGCTGTTCTAGGTGGGCCTCTTCGCTTACCACAGCATCTGATTCGTATACGGCGTTTTTCAACCTGCAACCAGCCGCTATGGCCCCATCATCAGCCCCAGAGCCAGCTGGCAGCCGCTGGCAAGCACCTTACAGGGCACTGACACCACGCCCTAAGCCCCCCCTTCCTGCCTTCACCGTCGATGCCGGGGTCGCTTTTAGCAAGCAATTGCAAAGCTTCCGCGTTGCCGCAATCGGATACCTATGATCTCGACCTCTATTTTGCGAGGTGGTGAGCCTTGTTGGCTTGGGGACCCTGTGTGCATCCAGACCCAAAGTTGCGAAGACTCAGCAACCCAGCTCAGCGACTGGCTGGAACAGTTTGCCATTCAAGCTCAAGCCAGAAGTCACCTGCGACCGTGATATCCGACAACTCACAAACCACACAAAACTACATAGCCAGTTACCTTAGGTAGGTAGGCACGTTAAATGGGAGCGCAGTCCCGTATATATTCTGTAATGGGTTTTGATTAGAATTTTGTATCCCAGCCCCTCAAACCAGAGTTCTCTCGAGTATCAGACCTGCGCTTCTTCGAGAAGCAGCTTTGAAGTCTGAACTGCCGATTTTCCTCTTGGGACATCCACTTGGCGAGGGGTTGACTCAGTTTGGTGGCACACAGCGGCGCAACGCAATGCCGCAGCGTTGCACGGCACCTGGCACCTGCATGACGAGCGGTTCTATTTATGGCGACCAGCAAATTTACACATCTGTGTGTCCCATCATCTGTCCCATCATCCCATGTCAAATGGCCTCGAATCATTGGTGGGGGGAGGTTGGCTGTCGAGAATGCGACAGGGTAGTATCGGGTTCCGTCCGCCACAGGCGGGCGCCACCACCACGGTGGAGGAACAGGGGTGCAGCAGGGCATGAGGGGATGGGAACTGCTTGCGCACGAAAGAATGGAGACCTGGACCGTATAAGGGTGCCGAATCCTGATACCTACATGCGTACTGCGGCGCGCTGAAATTTGAACATCCATGGTCGAATTTGAAAGTCTCCCAAGTCACGAATTCGCACTCGCGCGTACACGTAGGAGCGGAGTGGGTGCCCTGCATGTCTTCAAGGTTGGAATCGAAGGATCCTGCCTTGTCGCAAACAGCCCTGAACACCGAGACAATGTGCGTGGGACAGCCGCAACCAAGAGACATTCCATTCCCAGAGTCCCAGAAGTCTCTGCCGTTACAGCGCTAAATTTCCAGGCAGGCCAAAGTCGGCACTCCTCACTTGCCAGCGCAGAGGACTTAGTAGCCTTTTACGAAATACGCAATATACGTAGGGAAACGCAGTTTTGCCTGCCCAATCGGGCAAAGACGGCAGGCCGGGCACTGTGGACAGGGGGATTCGGCAACCCCTCTCCTCGGACCTGTTCCGTGCAGCGAGTCCCGCCTTGGTTGAGACACTACTGTGTACGGAATACTCTGGCACACAGTACAGATTATTTTCACCCCAAATTATTACAACAGCAGATATATGTAGATTCTGCTCTACGAGGAGCTGAGGTGCGGCTGGGATAGGGCTCAAAAGATCGTCGCTGACTTCGTATCATTTATGAGCCTCCATTGTGTTCCAGACTACAACCAAGGAGGTAGGTATCGGTTTCCTGAGTGATGACCAACGAATCCCTAATAGCCACCATCCATGCTAGCTGAATTGTTTTCTTTTGTTTGTTTTGGTTTGTTCTTTACCTCATTTTATTTTCGGGAACAGTTTGCGGCCTTTAAGTTCCATGGGAGGAAGGAGGAGCAAACAGCTGGCATCCACCTTGACAGCTGCAGGCCGACAACCCGGTCCAGAAATCCTATCCACCTACGGATCCGTACGCATGTAGGTCTCTATGCGTAGCGACAGAACGGGTTGGCGCGGAAAAAACCTGCAGCACTCTGGCTCGCTTTTGGGAACCGAATTCGGCCTGGAATCAGTCGACGATCCTGGAACCCACGCGCTTGAATGCTTTCGGCTAGAGCATGGCTCCCAAGGGGCTGGTGCAGCCAAGTGCGAATAAGCACGACGAGGGGGAACCTCAACGGTGGCCAAAGACCCGGGCCAGGCCTGAAGCTGAAGACTCCGCCAGTATCGTCAAGAATCAACAGGTGTATCATGTGCTGCTCCTGAAGCCAATCGCAACTTCTGACAAGCCCAGATGTTAGTAACAAGCGAATCGCTCAGGCAACCTATCTTACCGCAGTAATCCGTACACACTCCCTCCCCTATGTCTTCTTGCGAATACGCATACCAAGCCCCCACAGCAAATCTCCACCCTTCCCCAGGCCTTGGCTAGTTCTGCGCACTTGATTGGAGAATGAACGACGATGTGCCAATTCCATGAGTCTCCCTCTCTTTGTTGTGAGCTTCAAGCTTCAACCCAGCATGACCCCACCACGTTGTCTAGTGCACTGCGTTGACTAGTGCGGTGTCCGTATGCCAGCAAGCATCCATGAAGCCACGAGGTTCCAAATCCGACTACGGCGCACTCCGTTGCTTCAAAAAGTGCACTAAAACAGCAGGCCCACGCAGTTGGAATGCCCAGGCACAAACGGTGCCTGTTGTCATGTTCAAAACAAAATGATTGAAAGCCTCCCCAGGCTCGCAGCCATATCTTTACGAAAGATTTACGCATGCCGTTGCTTTGACGGGCCCTTGTGGTCTCTTGAAACTGGGGCTCAGCACTGGTCTCGCTTCCAAAGCGCTCTTCCCGCCCTGCATGATGATGACTTGACTACGTGCATCCCGGGTGGCCGCGGCGTCTCGCCCGCGAGTCGAAAGAAACTGAGATCTCATTTACTGTGCACGCTACAACGTTGGGTAGTATGCACCGAGGTACATCAGCGGGCCCGGGTACCTCGAGATACAACATACCTCTGAACGCTTGCATTTTTCGTGGCGCCTAATTGAATTAGCACGGCCGTGTGGAACGGACCTTAGGTTGGCTTTAGTCTGTAATCCTGGACTTGGTGGGGAGAAAAATTAAGGTACCCTGCGGACGTGCTTTCCAGGGATGGGAGATTAAACAAATCATCATTTTCCAGGCAACCCCTGGCCCCTGCGCACAACTTCAGCGCCCCGCTATGGCACGTGATTTCATCCACAACGCATCTACTGGAGTGGGAATGGAAATTGAGACCCGGAGAGAGGAGTCCAATCGGATATTGTTGAGCAGCGCACCAGTTCAACTGTGCCACGCCGTATCAAAACAGATACCGTCCACTAAAGGGAGCACTGGGACGCCCTTATTCTGTGGGTTTTTCTTTTATCTGGGCCTTTTTCGTTTCGTGTCGGGCGGGCCCATGTCCACCTACCTCTCGCCCTGACATACAATGCGCTCATTGCCCCCCCATCTTTGTGGACTTAGTAGCTCCATTTCCCGGTTCCCCGCCTCTATATAGAAGCAAGTAATCAACTTGGCAGCGCTGGGACGGCTCGGACGCCTTCTGTTGGCACGTCAAATTTGTGCAAGTAAATTTGCCGTCAAGTGTCGCTGTCGACTTGTGTACAGCGCCACGGATATTCCGTCATGGAAAGCACACCCTTGTGCTCTCCGTACGGCCAGTGCCGGGGAATATGGCGATCTCCCGCCCAGGGGTTGGCCAGTGGCGCCGAATCTCGTTGGCCCAACTGTGGTGATCTTATTGTGTTGCTACACCAGTCCCCGCTGATCGGCATGTTTGTTTTCCACGGGGGCTTTTTGTGGTGCCGAAGGACACAGGGCAGGAACCAGCATAGTGACGTTATTTCTTGGCGATCAGCACGGCAAACTTGGTGGAGTTTGTACGTCGATCGTCAAGGTCGTATTATATCTCGTTTTTTTTTTGGCCGGCTTTTGGTCGATCGAAGGGGAAATTGGCACCAGCAGACACCCTTCAACGCCCGCTTTTACTGACGAACGGCAATTCATGTACATGGGAAGGAGAGGACGCAGGTTACACGCAGAAATGTCTGTATCCGTGGGCTCTTCGGGACCTTACAGAATGCTTACCCGAACATCTTGTTGAACTGATGACGGTATGATCATCCCCGAGCCTCCATGTCGGGAGGGCATGCAGAATGTCGCCACGCCCATGGAGCTGGGAGGGACTCGATCAATACGTGCCTTCCTCCCGCTCAGGTCCCCGAGCTTGACGGCGAGAGGCCTTTTGTGCAACATTCGGTGCGAGGAACTCGTCTGCTGTGAGGTGGCGGATGGGTCAGGGATCGCACCCTTGGTCCCAGCTGCCAAGAAGATCTCGGAGTAGGAGATATGATTACGAAGTCCCTCCCTTCAATCAATCACGAGGTCCCTCATTTTTATCCGTCCACCTGCTGCGACGCAACGTCACGACCGGCCTGCAAGAGGCCGCTGGACCCTGAAGGCGATCCGAGTTAGTGTCCGCCGTCATGCGATTGCGGACTGACACTGCCATCGAAGATCAGCAATGATTACCGCCGGGGTCGAAATCCCACCAGCCGCGAAAAAATCTTACATGCATGCCGTTCCAATACCACTCCATCGCTACGGTTTGTATGCACGTTTTCTATGATAGAAGGCATATGTACCCAGGATTGTCGAGGGCACCTGCATATCGTCTATGCACCACTGCAAAATTGCCAACGAGCTTGGCACACAACTAGACCAGAAGTCGCCATTGGTCTCGAAGGGAGGCTCTGATCACTCGGGAAAATGGCTGTTGGGTTCCAGGCTCCTGACCAGTTTGGCCCGCCCCAGTTCAATGTGCGCAAGACCATTCTACTCGGACCTCGTCTGGCTGCGTCACACGGGAGTCCGACCGGAGATGAGGCCCATCTCTGTCTCACGATGCCTGAAAACCTGGCATTTGATCTACGTGTGCAAAGGGGATAATAATGACAATGGCAGAACGATCCAGAAAGACGGGCCAAGTGTTTGCCATCGTGTAGGACTAAACGACTCTCTCTTGGAGGGTCGAATTGCATCAGCGGTCTACTATATGAAGAATGATCTGCATCGTCTGTTGACGAGACGAGTGGGATATCTCAGACATCTCTCGTCATGGGGGGGAAAGGTCTCGGACAAAGTAATCGCTCCCCGTTGGAGAAATCTCCGGCTTCCAGTCCGGTTTGAGGGGTCTCCGATCCCTTGTAGGGCTGCAATTTCATCATGTCTTAGACAAGCCTCCCCTCAAGCCATAACCGAGTAAAGGGGGTGTCTCAGGGCTCAGAGGAGATTTTCCTTTCCATAGCTGGAAACCATGTCTATCCCTGTCTATCTCTACTGTCTTAATCCTAAACGACGTCATCTATCTCAAGAGAAGCCGTCAACCCATCCCAGGCCTCCCTCCCTGTCTTCTACCCCTAGACACTTCCGGCACCCCACTCACGCGGTCCTCTTCACGAACGCATCCCGAATCTCCAACGTCACGGCCGCCCTTTCACCAGGCACGACACTCACGCTCTCCAGATCGCGGACCACCCAGTCCGGCCCCGCGACCAGCACCTGCTCCAGCGTATGGCTCGTGACGAGCCCAATCACAGCACACCCAGCGTCCTTCCCGGCCCTGATTCCCGCGGGGCTATCCTCCAGCACGAGGACTCTCCTGCCGTCGCCGCCGGCCAGGCCGAGCCGCTCCCGCCCGAGACGATAGCACGCCGGGTCGGGCTTTCCGACGGCGACGGACTCGGCCGTGATGAGCAGGTCCGGCGGCGGCGACGGCAGGCCAAGCACGCCCAGCCAGCCGTTGACGAGCGGCTCCGTGCCCGAGGTCACGATCGCCCAGGGGGCGCGCCGGGCGATCAGGTCGGCTAGGAGGGCGCGGGCGCCGGGGATCTCGACTGCGGAGTCGCCGTGGAGGCGCGGGAGGAGGGCTTCCATTTGACGGACGTCTGTTTTGGGGGGTTGGGGGGGCAGGGTTGGTTGGTTAGATAGGTTGTTGGGTTTTGAACGAACTGTTGGGGGAGGGAGAGGAGGGTGTGTGTGAGAGGGCTCGGTTGATATTAACGGCCAGCGGGAAAGATATGTGGGTAGGCAAGGAAGGGGGGGGGGGGGGGGGGGGGGTGTGTTCAGGGTGCACGTTGGAGTAGAGAGGAGCGGTAAGGTCTCCATGATATGTCACCCCTTCCCCTTAACCCTTTTCTAAAGTGAAGAATCACTCCGACCGACCTCCAATTTGAAAACCAGGACATCCTCGTTGTGCTCAGTGTTTACTTACATTCCCAATTTGCCTTCTCAGGCGCCAAGATCTTGAGGATATCTATGCTCCTCCGGCCGTGGGATGTCTGGAGGATGACATTTGGATCTACCCCTATTTCTTCACCCACTCTTTGGAAGGGGCACACCATTTTAGCCTCTGACGGTGGAACTGGACAGGGAGACATGTCCGAATTTCGGTTTCTTATTTTGCTCGTTCGCTTACGTGTGCCAATGCTTGATTACTGCGTCTGTCGAGTCAATGATGGTGCCGTCCATGTCGAAGAGCAAGCCGTCGAAGGAGACCCGCTCCGGCGCCGCCGTGAAGTCTCCCGTGTCTGCACTTCCCATTTTTTCCGGATGAGTGGTGTCGAACGTCCGGGTTGCGGTCTTTGGCAAATGCTCCTCCTGGGCGAGAGATACTCTTTAGTTCGCGCAAGTCGAATAGACAACAAATACCTCTGGGCTGAGGAATTGGGAAAAGAGTCGATGTGGTTAGTTTTCCTCCAGAGAAAGTCACGGTATGGAAAGAGGCAAATTTCACTGAAGGTCCGGTCTTTGCGCCGGGCTTTTGCGGTCAAACGGCCCGACTTCGGGGCAAAGACACACATCACATGGCTCACTAGACATGGTTGCCAGCAAACCGACACTATAAGGCTTGGACGCTGGGGTTATGGTTATCGTTGCGGATCGTGGGAATAGCCGGAAGCATGTTTGATCAGATCTCAATGTGCCATTTATCAAGGTGGCTTCTATCCCACTCAAATGGTTGCTTGTCCGCCGCAGTCCAAGATGCCATTTTGGCTACCTTCATCAAGTAGTTTAGCAGGCAATATATATCTATCAGGTAACATACAACAGAGTTTTCAAGCGTATAAAAGAAGGGGAAAACTATGCCAGGGAGCAATTTGTTGCATCCCCTATATGCATGCTCCTTCACAGTAAAGAAATGCAAATATCTCCGCTTGGGGCAGAAGCCGTGGCACTTGCAGGCTACGTGTGAGCCAAGAGGACCCAAACGTAGTAGACTAGGTAGGTAGGCAAGCAAATAGATAACACCATATGTAAAGCTCTGCTTCTCTTGGTGGTTGAGGTCGTCATCGGCCTTCCCAAATATATGCCCGTTGGCACTTGCCCCGTTCACCTGCCCCGTTACACCTGCCCCGTTGCACCTGCTCCGCGCTGTAGGACCTAACATGGAACATGGGCGGTAATAACATCGGATTTTAGGTACCTGAGTATCGGTCGGCAATGGGGTGCCAGACCTCATTGTCATTGTTATTGGCGTCGATGCCCTCAGAACCCGGGCCCAGAATTTGGTCAAGTACCGTAGGAAACTTGGGCACCCTGTAACGGCAAGCACCTGCGCTAAGCCATTGTTGCTGACAGGTATTTCGAGCAAAGACGTTGTGTCGCTTTTTCGAGATGGATCAATACCCTAGTCCCGAGATTCAATGAGTTGCGGGGTCGCAATGGTGGGGTTCTCTCAACTGTGTGGCTCAAGTAAGCGGTGAGGGATGGCATAACATCTTTTTTGCCATGCCCACCGCTTATTTTTTCTGAGCCAAATTCGAGCTTTTCTGTAGGAGCACCTGCATCCTAGCCACGTCTACAAGCGCAGTCTCAGGCACCATGGGAGGAATCAACAAGCCGGGGAGTGAGTCTTACTCGTTTTCTCTCCGTACCTGTTTCACTGGTCCTGTTTGGCTAACCTCGAACCTCGTAGAACCCAAGTCTAAGAGGACACCCGTCCGCCTGCGCCACAAGATCGAGAAGGCCTCGGCCGCAAAGCAGCGCAAGTCTCGGAAGCTCGCCAAGAAGAACCCCCAATGGGTGTCCAAGTTGAAGAAGGACCCGGGCATCCCCAATCTCTTCCCTTACAAGGACAAGCTGTTGCAGCAGATCGAGGATGACCGTACTAGGAGAAAGGAGGAGTCCCAGCGGCGGAAAGAGGTCGCTCGCGCTGCCAAGACCGGCGTCCAAGAGCGTACCGAGGATGCTGCCGTTGAGGACGATGGAGAATTCGAAAATATCGAGGATGGCGAGGCCATGGACGAGGATGACAGCGAAGTGGACGATGATTCGAATCCCATGGCGGCGCTACTCGCCAGTGCGAGGAGAGCTGCCAAGAAGTATGACCGTGAATTGCAGAGCGGGGACGATATAGATGAGGATGAGGACTCCGAGAGCGACTCGGATGAGAGCGTGGTAGGCGTGGTAGAGGTAACGGGAGGGGCGACGTCGCGGAAGGCCTACGACAAGGTCTTCAAGCAGGTGGTGGATCAGGCCGACGTTGTCCTGTACGTCCTCGACGCCCGAGACCCGGAGGGGACTCGCTCTCGCGAAGTCGAGCGCTCCGTGATGGCGGCTGCGGGCGGCGGCAAGCGACTGATACTCGTCCTGAACAAGGTCGATCTGGTCCCTCCCCCCGTCCTGCGCGGCTGGCTCAATCATCTGCGGCGCTCCTTCCCGACCCTACCTCTCCGAGCCTCCGGGCCGGCCCCGAACGCCCAGACCTTTAACCACCGGGAGATGACCGTCCAGAGCACCAGCTCGGCGCTGTTCCGCGCCCTCAAGTCATTCGCCGCCAGCCGTAACCTCAAGCGGGCCATCTCCGTTGGTGTGATCGGGTATCCCAACGTCGGCAAATCATCCGTCATCAACGCGCTGATGTCCCGCCTGGGCGGCTCACGTAACCAGCACAACGCCTGCCCCGCCGGTGCGGAAGCGGGCGTCACGACGGCCATCCGCTCCGTCAAGATCGATAGCAAGCTGACGCTGCTCGACTCGCCTGGAATCGTCTTCCCCTCCACGCCGGCCAGCGGCAGCGGCGCCTCCGCGGTCGGTGTGGGTGGCTTCGTGCCTAAGAACCAGACCGAGGCGCACGCCCATCTCGTCCTCCTCAACGCCATCCCGCCCAAGCAGATCGACGACCCCATTCCCGCCGTGACCCTCCTCCTCAAGCGCCTGTCGACGCGGCCCGAGCTGATGGACCACCTCGCCGCCGTGTACGACCTGCCGCCGCTAATGCCCGGCAAGCGCGGCGACCCGACGACCGACTTCCTCGTCCAGGTCGCCCGCCGGCGCGGCCGGCTCGGCCGCGGCGGCATCCCCAACATCAACGCCGCCGCCATGACCGTCGTGACAGACTGGCGCGATGGCAGGATCCAGGGCTGGGCCGACGCGCCGCCGCCGCCGCCCGAGGCAGGTGCCGAGGGGTCGGAGGCCGCGCCTGATCAGAAGGAGATTGTCACGGAGTGGGCCAAGGAGTTCAAGATCGAGGGGCTGTTTGGGGATGACGAGGGCGAGGCTGAGGTCAAGGATGTGGAGATGCAGTGAACGCCTCAGGGTTGATTGTTCCTTTTTTTTCTTAGATGTGGCCCCCAATGATGATTGGTCTCCCCCCTGGGTTGCCTCCCTGCCTGTTGTTAGGTAGGCATTGTTGGCAGGGGAATTAGCAAACGAACGAACGAACGGCCTAGATCTAACTCGGGGGTTTGGCGTTCGGGCGTCGAAAAATTGAAATACGTGGCTCTCCTGTCGGTCACGTCCGTCTGTATATAGGACAATTGCAATCAAGGGATCTTTTACACGCAGCTCTGCTACTTGTCAATCATTTCGGTGTTCGGTTCCTTCACTGACCTGCGCCCAAGTCAATCAGTCCTCGGGGGGGTAGGAGGATAGGAGGCCAGGCTCTCGAGAGCAAAGCAGGTTCAGCCTGGCTGATGGAAGGATGTGGTGTTTCAAGGATGATCCAGGCCTTACGAGAATTCTATAAACCTTCCCACAAGGCGTTACCTGACTTTTCTCAACATCTAGGCCCCTTATCCCGGTGGGTCGAGTGGTTCTTTTGCACAGCCCGTTCTAAAATCGTATATCCTCCAACAGAGCCACCTTTCTGTCTGCTTTAATCTGCATTATTCTTCCTACTTGCATGTAGATGGAACCAAACAACATTTACCCCAGCCCTGAATTTCACAGACAGACCTAAAATACTCCCTGTCTAAATAGGAGTGAATCAGGGGCGCCCAGCACTCTCGTCGCCCACCACGGTTCAACACACCCTGGGACCTCCCCCAGACCCAAAAAGGGCAAAAATAAACGTACAACACCGGGGATTCGCTGGTCGTCACCGACCCAACTACTGATCCGGCCCTCACTGGCTTATCTAAGGGAGAGCGGACGGGATCCCGAGTTTTCCAGTGGGTATGGTCGTACGTGGAAGAAAAGGTCGTGAATAGGGCTTATGAATGGGCTATGGCGGCACCTGTTCTGCTTGGCAAGCTCGACAGGAAAGCCAGGAACTCATCATTGGTTGTGAATCCAATATATGCAAGACTGCATAATCAGGGGTCAGATTTGGCTCGATCTGCTTTGACGTAGGGCATCCTGTGAGAGCACGATTTCTATCCCAATAAGCTACACCAGAGAGTATGGAATAGAGTGTTGTTGCCGTATTATCGACTACTTCCAAGGCCTCTCAATCAGACGACGGCCGTAGACAGAGAGAGATGAGATGGGATAGGTATCTCAATCTTCCACCCCCTATCACAGGTTCCCTTTGGTTATGTACTCGTTTACATCGTCAGCCTTGGCCAGGCTCAATCCGCCTTGACTAGCTCCATCTTGACGCCCCTCTTCCCCGTCTTCTCCTCCTTCTGGTCCGTGATCCTAACAACGACCTTCTGGAACAGCTCGACCCTGACCTCTCTGCTCCCCGACGTCGCGAGCGCGTACCTCTCGGCATCGAACTCGGCCGCCGGCTCCGGGTCCGCGAGGTCGCGGAGCCGGATCAGGCCCTCGATGCCGAAGCGCGGCACCAGCACGACGAAGCCGTTGCTGAAGATCTTGATCACGAAAGCCTCCTCCTCGGCCACCCGGCCGCGCAGCGCCTGCCCGACGTAGTAGGCGATGCTCGCCCGCCCGGCCAGCTGCGCGTTGCGGTGCCGCACGTTGATGTTGCGGCACACGGACTCGAGGCGGCCCCGGCTGCGCACCGACGGGTCCACGGCCTCGTACTCGATCGCCGCCGCCAGCTGGCGGTGCGCCATCAGGTCCGCGTACCGGCGGATCGGCGACGTGAAGTGCGTGTAGATCTCCGACGCGAGCCCGTAGTGGCGGAACTCGGGGTACGACTGCGTGCCGGAGCAGAAGTACTCGGCGCTCATCATGCACCGCGTGGCCATGATGCGGATGAGCGTGTTGAAGAAGGGCTCCGAGGGGTCGACGCACGCATCGAGGCTGTCCGCGAGGGCGCGCGACGACTCGACGTTGATCTCTATGTTGCGCTTGACCTTGAGCTGGTCGGCAAGCTCGTCAAAATTCGTCTTGGGAGGAGCCGCGTGTCTGCGGAGGATGGCCGTCTGGGGGAAGGCTTCGTAGATCTTGCGGCCGACGCTGACGTTGGCGAGAAGCATAAACTCCTCCACGAGGGAGTTAGTGTCGAGGAGCTCCTTGGTCTTGACATCGATCGGGTCCGAAGTCTCCGACTCCATCTGCACCTTCACTTCAGGGGATGATAGGCTGAGAGCACCGGCGTCCATGCGTTTCTGCTTGAGCTTCTTCGACAGCATGAGGAGCGCCCGGATACTCGTCGTGAGTTCGTCTTGTTGGGAGGCGTCGTCGATTCGGAGTTGCGCTTGTTCGTAGCTGAATGCCTCGCGCGACTTGATTACCGACTTCGTGAATCGCACGTTTACGATGTCCGCCGAGGGCGTCAACTCCCAGATAACCGAGAAGGCGTAGCGCTCCACATACGGCTTTAGCGAGCAAAGGTCTGTACCCAGCAGCATCGGCAGCATGTCGATGCGTTTGTCCACTAGGTATACAGTCGTGCCTCGAATACTTGCTTCGGAATCCATGGCAGTACTGGGCTTGACGAAGTGGGATACATCGGCGATGTGGACACCAACCTCGAAGTTGCCGTTCGGGAGCGGCCGGGAGTGGAGAGCGTCGTCGATATCTTGGCAGCCGATAGGGTCGATGCTGCAGATGAGCAGTCCACGCAGGTCTTCTCGGTCCCTCCACCCTGGATCATCCGTGCTGGCTGGGACTTTCCAATCATGGCCCTCCTTTGGCAAGCAGTCCAAGACCGTCTTTGGGAAAGGGCGGTACTGGACGTCGTATTCCAACAGGAGCGCCTCCGTCTCGGCAGCCTTCGTCTCCAACTCGCCCAACGACCGGACCAGGTGGCCGGAGGGATGGCGCGAGTCACGGTCCCAAGCGTCTATGGTAACTAGGATGCGCTTCCCGAGCAGCTCCGCCACCTGTCTTGTCCGCAGACGAATCTTGGGTATTTTCTTATCCATAGGGATCATGAACACCGTGTCCTGTCTCCTTCCCTGCTGGGCAGATTGGCTAACAGATGACTGGTCGATATGGCCGACGTACTGGCGCCAGTTCCGTTTCACCACGCCGACGACCTTCGCGGTCGGCTGTGCCTGAGCCTCTGATGTCTTGCTATGTGTCCGCTTGACTTCGTCTTGGAGTGCCTTCCTTTCCTTTTCTGAGATAAGGTCCTCGCCCTCCTCGGCGTCGGGGTTCTCGTTCTTGGTGAGTGTCTCCTCTTCGATGACCCGCGTCGAGGGTTCTTTCCACTGATCCTTTGGGAGCACCTCAACAACCACCAAATCTCCATCCACGGCCCGATTGATGTTCTCCCTGCCGAGAATGAGAAGCGCCTTTGGGAAGGCAGGCACTCGTATTGAGCCCTCCAGATAGTTGTAAGGCGAGACATTGAATATTCCCTGGTGGAGAAGCCCGCTCTTGACTCCCGTCATCAACTTGGATAGGGTGAAGTATTCCGGGTAGAGATGCTGTCCAGGCTGCTTTTCCCTGGCGACTTCGCGATCCTGTGTTTCTGGGATCAGGTCGAGCAAGCGGTCGCCGTCTTTAAGCTGCCCAACATACTCGGCCAGAGAGCAGGCATGTAGACCCTCTTCCCTTGCCTTCTGCAGGTTTTGTCGATCGTTGCTCAACATAACAAGCGCGGGCAGCTTGGCCGGCCTGCTCTTCGCCAGGTGGTCGGCGTACCACCTCACAGCCTTTCTGACGGCGCGGTCATTGCGGTCATTAATCGACTCGCCCTCTTCGCGGGTGACGTACGTCTCGAGGCGGAACTCGTTGAAGAAAACGTAGAATCGTTTCTCCTCGCTCTTGATCAAACTGATGAGGCGGTTGTAGAGCGGGAGGGATCGGCCGCGCAGCTCCTCTAGGACAACCTGGAGGACCACAACGTCGTAGAATGCAGAACTCTGCTCGAACAGATCCATCGCATTCAGGAAAGCATTGGTGTCGGGAACGAGGTAATGACCTTGCGGGAACTTCTTGGTCCCCGCAGGGCTGTCCGAGAGGACAAAGGGTGTAGCTGCAAAAAGGTCAGGATGGATTCCAGCCTGTCAGTAAAGCGTGGGGATATATCTTACATCTCCCGGCGGCATCTCGGGGTGCCGTCTTCAGGCAGGCTTGACATAGCTTCGAGGAGCAAGGGATATCTTGGCGCAGATAGACCTCTCGGACTATCTTCTGAACCTTGCCACTCTTGGTTGATCTGACATAGACCTTGCTTGATATATTTGAAGCGAACGGGTCAAACTCCAATGATCGTTTTAGGCTCGCCATTTCTTCAATCCCTAGTCTCTTACGGTGCGACTAGACTAGATGAAGCTTGCTGTGTTCTGAACTTTGAAGTTTTACAAAAAGGGTCGAAACTCGCGCTTCGGCCAGCAAATCGGAGGCGCCCGTGCGCTTGCTTATCTTATCAACAGACGCCTACTGTGGTACATACTGTACGCTACCTAGTCACAGCGCATGGGATTGGTAGGTCATCGTACTTCTGTAATCTCCACAAAACCTTGGGCCCATCCCATGGCTTTGAGGAGGGTGTCGGTCCCAGTCACCAGGTGAGATCGTCGAAGGAGACACAAAGTTTAATTAATACCTTAAACCAGCCTTGCAGCTGCATTCATCGTGATGGTTGTTACCTGATTTGTCCATCTCTGACTTCAGCCGAAAAGCCCCTCTGCCGTGAGCGGCTTACAAGAAAACCACCTACTTTGCAGTATATGTTCTGACGTGGGGTCAACTCCGAAGATGAGAAGCGACAATACGTAATAGTTGGTACAGGTTACAGAACGGATACTCGCCAACGACATCTCCGTCGGGGAATGTGTATGGCGCTGGAGGCCCGGGTCGCCTCTGGAGACTCGTCCGTCATCAAATCTCGGTGGCCGAAACATTGAAATTCTACGACGGCTCAAAGTCTTTCTCCAGCCAGAATCTCTGCTCTTAAAAGCCCGTAAGCGGCATCCTGGGAAAGGCAGGAAGCTGTGGGGAATAATGCGGACTAATAACCCAGCCCGGATCATATGATCTGCGCCAGATTCAACCGGCGCATTTTACCAGATTGTCAGACATGCCCCTCTCCCTGTTTGCTTACCTGGGATCCCTGGCTTGCTTGGGGGTGTTGGGTTGAAAGTGATCCAGAGCTGCTTGATTTTTAAAGGATCGAGCGCCATGGCCGCCAAAAATAGCAACGCCCAGTTACATCTACATACATACATACTGTAGGTACCCAAGATACCGTGCGTGATAAGATAAGATGCCGAAATGGTACGTACATACCGTAGGTCGTCGTTCTGGGAAATCGGCGGGTGCCTGAACCTGATCAAGCGTTTATTGTATAGGTATGTAACAGTATCCGTAATCACATCGATCCTCCCAAAGTGGAACGAAACAGGCGGTTCGTAGCGTCTGACTCATAAAAATCCCAAGCATAGAAAGCGCCGATTAAAATGTGACATTGCCATGTGGTAAGAGGCCACTTCGCGTTGCTGCTGAAGCGCGATGTTAAACCACGAGTAGGTGCCCGTTGGGAGAAGGGGAAAAGAAACGAGGAAGCTCGTGAGTCAAGAATACAGGGTTCTTTTTCTGTCCTAAGGTGACTATTGACACCGCGACACTTCTCCCAAGGCTGCGTAGATGTTCTGTGGGGTTCTTCGGCAAGATGACACCACTTCGATTCGCAAGCAGCGGATGACTTACATGGAGCTAAGATGGGGTGGAGCAAATGCACTGCGAGGAAGGCATCCTGGCCTGGTAGGACGCGAGGAGCAGCATCGATAAAAATGCAAGGGCGGGTAACAGGGGTTAAAGGCTGCAAAAAACGGATGCAAAAGGAACAAGCAGTCAGCCTGCAAAGCTGGCGAATGGTGGATTGGGCCTCGACGGGTCATGGAGGAGCTGTGGGCGTGGAAGGAGCATGGCGGCAAGTGCTTCCCGCCCTTGGTGGATGCTGCATTTGGCTGTTGGCTGCCCCCCAAGTCTTCGGAAGATGGAGGGGTGTGAGGGGCGTATCCGTCCAGACTACGGAATCTGCACACTAGTTCTGAAGGCGCCCGTCGACGGGAGCCCGCGGCAACCACCCAAGTCGTGGGGTTGATGGGCCAAGTTGGCTCTGGTTTTCATCCGGACTTGCGAAACGACATCATTCGGAAGAATGACCAGAAGGGGGCACACCTGCATTTCGACGCTCTTGTCTCTGACTGGGTCATATTCTTGGCAACGAGGGCAAAGCCGCAAAGGTAGTCGGTAGGCATGAGGCAGTGTTTTACCCCACTACCTACTGCTGAATTTGGATCCAGGCGAGACAAGAGACTTGAGAGCCTGAGATGAGGGGAGGTCGAAGAGAGGGGGCTTGGCCAGAGTCCGCAATGATCTGCGGTCATGGTCTGTGTGTCAGCTGGCTTGCCGCTGTTGCATGAGATAGACCAATGGGAGCCTCGAGATCTTACTGCCAAGCCCAATCGCAGCTATGTCGCTTGCACCCCGCTCCACACCACTCTCAAGACCCTGGTCATTCCTTTGAACCCTGTCACCCGGCCCACCCTCCTCTTGGAGGTTCAAGCTGCATCCACACCATCTCCAGTCCGTTTCCTGGAGTGGGTGCGCTCCCCAGACTTTTGTTCTCCACTACGACGCATTGATTGCGTGTAGTTATTCTAGTTATTAATGGTCTCTAGACTCTCTGAAACATACAGGTCACCTGCTCGACGGCGACTTCCAACCAGCCACTGACAATGAACTCAAACGTCATGGGCAAGACCGTTGCCAAGAGTGGTGAGAAGGCTGGAGGTAGGTTCCGCTTGATTGGACTGGGGAGGGGGTGAGGGGCAGGAGCTTGCATTACGGAAAAAGGAAGGGAAGGAAGCCCAAGCCGGACAGACTAGGCTTCTTTCTGCCCAGAGTCATCCTGGACTTTATCGATGGCTGACGGCTCCGCTCTTCAGAGTCGAGTATCCTAGGCGGCAAGGGTGAAACGGTTAATACCCTCGCATCTGAGTCCTGGCTGCTCCTTGATGAGGACAGTTATCCTTGATTTGGGAAGAACGCATCAGCCCATATGATTTGCTGGCTTTCGAGATTGCTGAACGGCAAGCGCCAATTGGTGCCTCTTTGATGCCTGTTCACAGTGTTCAAGGCGTGGCCCGTATTCCTCACTTGGCCTGGCTAGCACATCGGAGGACCACGATTCAGCTGTGGCGTAATCCCACATCTTACGCTTGCTAGGGTTCCTTTTCCGTGGAGGCCAATCAGATGGCTGTCTAAGAAGCTACGCCTGGAGCTGGACGGATCTAGACGACTTTATCAAACTTTGTGTGAGTCTCTCGGAGAGGAGATATGAGGCCGGCTGGGTAGCCCGGCTCATCGCGTCTCGTGGCAGTTCCGGAGATCGCATCTGCGCGTGTAACTTTCCGCAGACAGATACGTGACGGAATGCTAGTTTTCCTTATATACGTCGCCTGTGCAGGCGGTTTATTCGGACGAGACCGGTCAGGAGTGGAAGCGTGGGTGGAAATGGGACATCCTGCACCTGCACGGAAAGGCATCCTGCTGTTGGACTTCGGCTGCAGGGTGCTCCTTGTGAGTGGCCCAGTTTCTGTGTTACCTTCCGTAGTTTGTCAGCCAACAACAGGCAACATTGTAACTCCTCGGGCAAGGTCCCTACTATGCAAGCAAAAATAGCGCCAAGTACTTGAGGCACCGCGCTATCAGGGCAGCCAGAGCATGTCGCGGTACGAGGGACGAGGTGTAGTACGCGGTAAGACAGTGCTAAATATCGTGGGGTGAAAATCGCGACAAATAACTGGATAGTAGTACCTAGGTACCTAGCTCGATAGATGCACGACTCAGGCGTTCTCTATCGTTGGAAGCTTAGCTCGGTTTAACGTGGTGTTCAACAGCATGCGCTGGCCCCGAATTCCGACCGCGGCGTGCAGGGCGCATGCAGCTATCCGGCGGAGCAGATGCATATGAATGTCGATGAAGAAGCGGATGCTTCAGAAGCCCAGTCAGCCTTCAATATTCATATCCGTCTCTGACATGCAGCGAGGAGTGATCCTCTAGATCTCCCTTACGTGGTTTGGGCTATGGGTAAAGTCTTGTATGGCATGTCGCGCGAGCGCGGTGAGTGTAGAGTTGAGCACGGGCCTGAATTCGTCCTTCATGATCAGGAGATGGGCCCGCCTCCGTCGGTAGTCAAACGGCTAAGCCGGACGGAGCACCGGTTGACTCCTTGTATTCGTAATCGTGATTTGGATTTTGTCGAATATATAGTTGACACACCTCCGGGGCGCATGCCGCATGAGGCACCGCATCGCGTATGTCGCGACGGCCACTACATCTAGTAGATCTCCTCCTCCTGGTGGTGTCAATGGTGTGTGTCAAGGCTGGAAAGCGACTGGGGAACGGCGCGGCTACGAATTGGAGGATCCATGTATGTACCTACCTACCCATGTCCCGCCTGTTCGGCAGAGTGGGGAACTTCCAAGTTGATACGCATGGGCCACCAACCAGTCCCCCTCCCTCTGGAAGATGTACAGATGGATGTATCACCCTCACGCCGTTCGCTACATATATGTGCGCCGTAGGTAGCTAATATCGCTCGCTCGCTCCAGCCAGGGTAGTCGGAATGATGCAATGCGAAGATAGAGCATGGGCTAGGGGCGTTTGCTCCTCAACTCCGCTTCTTCTCCTCTGGGCTTGTAGTTGTGACACACGGACCTATAGAGATCATGAGATTGAGAGAGGCAGGCTTCGAGTGAACCACAAACGTTACTTGCCCAGTTGGAAAGGAACGGAGAAGTGGCGCAGAGCCCAGTAAGCTGGCGGCCTGTCCTCGGAAGAAAGCAAGGTAACGCGACAAACCCAGGCAAGTTCATTGAGGCAGGTAGATTGAAATATGCTCTCTGGTGCGACCTCGCCCCGCATCGCTGCTTTCCTGAGCAACGAGCGTTGGGAAGTCTGTCACAATTCAGATGCAGCAATCAATGTGTGCCGCAGACAGCACTTGATTCCAACATAAAATCAGTCAGTAAACATAATACGAAAAGGTGAAAGGATATACGAAGACCATTTCACAATCTCCCATCGCACGGCCCGCAACCCTTGCAACTTGCACGGATGGACTTCGGCCTTGTCGCAATCCGCCCAAGCTTGTTTAACTACCCACAAGGTCTACCTAGGTAGGCGCGAGAGGTATGTACCTCGGTACCTACTGGCAACTGCAGTTAGATGTACTGTACATCAATATAATGCACGTATTGTACAATTTACAGTATGTATTCCGTAATACACGGTGGAGGCTCCCTATCACCAGCCTCCACTTGAGCCCTTGCCTGGCGCAACGAGATTTGACTTGGCCCGATTTCAACTCGACAATCAGCATTCGATCTTGGACACAAGAGACACGAACAAACTTGGGGTGGAGAGCACCAAACATAGGCGGGGCCTGGAACATAGCGCCGCGTATTCCTGAAGCTAATCCCTGTCACCAGCCACAGCATGACCACATCCGCCAAGCCTGGACCACATGCCATCCCCTTCCTCCGCTTTTCATTCGCCGGCCTCCAGTTATTCTTGCCACATCAAATGTTATGAGAATGAGATATATATGGATGGAGCTAAACTACAAAGGGCTTCCTCTTCCAAGCTTCTACCCATGAATATGTACCAGGCAATGCGTTTGTCACGGACCACTTGCGACAGGGTATAATCTACGGACGGCTTGATGTAAAACCAAGGCCCAAGCGCGGGGTTCGATGGTCATCTCAATCTCAGTCGAGATGTACGTTAAATAGTTGGTAACCTATGTATATTTCCAATCAGTGTAGCGTATTGGACCCCAAGGATGGCGTTGCAGTTGCAGGTATGTACTGCATAGGTAGTGCATAACATACCTGTGCACCTACGTGGTAGCCGATATACCTTTAAGCATGGATTTCAGCTCGTGGTTTGCTACCTTAGTGCAGCAGAACAGCAGCAAGATCAGATTGCGCCGCTCGGCTGGAACGAGAAGCGTCAGCAGAGACAGCAAGAGAAACAGCAGCCTGGAAAAGTCCCGCCAGTTCCTCAGATCCTGATTATGACAAACCGTCGGCTTCATCAGTCGCTGAGACGGACCAACCATCTCTCCTTGAGTTCTACCCCACTTTCTCAGCTGCTTCCCCAAAAAGGGAAAGGAGGTACTTAGCTACCTGATAATAATAGGTGAATAAAATGACAAAATGCGCCGTGGACAAGCCAGCCCCTCCCCTCCCCGTCCAGAACCATAATCGACATATCCGTACCTCCTACCTCGTCACCTTCCCACGACGTACTTCCCAGGTTCCTAACCGAGAGACCCCGCCGCATTGCGCAAAACAGTCCACAAATCCCCCGTCACAGAAAGGCGACTGCTTTCCCATTTCTTTTTTAAACTTTTACTTTTCATTTGACACCCTCGTCGGGACCAGTCTTGGATTTGCGCCAACCATATGCACGAACCTTCTTGCCTGCATCGTTCAGTTCCCGCATTCCAGATCCAAGCTTTGAACCCTTTCCTGGCCTGTCCCCTCCTCCACGTCGGCCAACCCACCAGGCCAGCCCAACTATATCAAGACACGTCGTTTCGCAGGTCCGTTGACCACGTCAACGCCTGCTGCACCCATGTACTCCGCACAGCCAAACGGCGCTGATAGTGCGACAATCAATCCAGCTGCTCTCGCATCACCAGGTGTGTGGCCCTCTCTTTTTTATCTCTGATCCTTCCCGGCCATTCCGTGCGCATATGTGGTGTGCGCGCGACTCTCTGTCGCTGCCATCGCGTTGCCTTCCTTGGAGCTTGTCGCTGTGTTCGCCATGCTCCAGGACTCTGCCTGACTGTTGCTGCCTTGTTGCGCGACCACTACGCGTTGCAACTGTCACGCGCCCCTCGCAGAGAACATGCGCTCACCCATATCCTTATTCGCCACCGTCTTTAGTTGCTGATCATCTTTCTTTGTCTCGGCTAGAAGTACTAAATCCGGGCTCCCGGGGAACGAAACGGAGCCGGTCTCCAGACACCTATCAGGACCCGGCCCAGCCTGGGTCCGCCGGTGATGACGGTACGTCGCGTTTTAATCACTGTGTAGCTGGGACACGGTCCGCCCTATATATATCCCTCTCGCGTTACATGGACGGGTCGTGCGACCGGCCACATGAGATACGTGCTAATGGTGTTGCTACGCAACAGGTGATAAGCCTAGGAAACGAGGAAGACCGATGAAGTCGCGAGCCGGTGGGAGCGTGTCCGAGGCCCCCGGCCAAGGTCCAGTGGCGCCTCTCTCTCAGACCCTGCCGCCGCAGACCCCCCAAAGCCACAATGCTGCTCTCCCGTCACAGACGCCATCCTATGCGGCCCCGCAGGCGTCGCCTCCGAAGACCACCCCGAAGTCGACCTTAAAGGCGCTCCCCACCGTACGCGACCACACGACCGACCAACTGGGTCCTGGCGGGGACGAATACCTCCCGAGGGAGATCGACGAGGCGGGAGAGAAGAAGGTGATGCCGAACGGCCAGCTTCTGGGGGGTCGCGAATACCGATGTCGAACCTTTCTGGTGCCAAACCGTGGGGATAAGCTTTTTATGCTCGCCACCGAGTGCGCTCGCGTCCTGGGTTACCGCGACTCGTATCTGCTCTTCAACAAGAACAGGTCCCTTTTCAAGATCATTGCCAACCAAGTGGAAAAGGACGATCTTGTGCAGCAGGAAATCCTTCCCTTCTCCTACAGGTCGAGACAAATCGCCATTGTGACTGCCCGGAGTATGTTTCGCCAGTTCGGCAGCCGCGTCATCGTAAACGGCCGCAGAGTCCGCGACGACTACTGGGAAACCAAAGCCCGCAAGCAGGGGTTTACCGAGGCCGATCTCGCCGGCGAGAAGCGACCAGGCGCATCCAAGGCCCGGGAAGCCGCTGCCGAGGTGAGCCAACACGCCGCTCTGCTCGGGGGTCCGCACGGGGAGATCGTCTACAGCAATACTCCGGCTCAGTTCGGTGGTGCTCCGCAACCCCAGCTCGTCCAACCAGGTATGCTTGGAGCGCCAGCCGGAAGCTCGACAAGAATGCCCATGATAACACTTGGACCAGATTACAGTGACAACCGTAGTCGGGACTACTCCAACATCCTCAAGGCGGGCCCGCGCCAGGAGATCACTGGTCCGCCATACCAGGACAGGACGCAGCCAGCCCCCATCGCCGAATTGAACACGCAGGCCCACCATGCGGCCGAGTTCAATCGCACCGTCAATCAGCAGCGTGAGATGCGCAACGACTATATGCAGACTCTTTGGCGACGCCCGCACGAGCAGCCGCAGTCAGCGGCTCCGGTGAACCAACCAACCGGCACCGCGGATTCCACGGTCCCGAGCACCACCCGCCCGGGCCAGTCGCCCCATGCCCCGTCAAGCGGAATGTCGCAGCCCGGCATAGTTCCGAATCAGAGCCCGCAAATGATGATGACTGCAGCGCCATATTCGCAGTCCATCCATGCTCACAACCAAGGCAGTCAGCCTTCGATGAGAGGTATGGCCCAAGCTCCGCACCATAACAACCCAAAACCAACCGAGATTCTATCAGGGTCCAGCGGAAGCATTCCTCAGGGTGCACAGAGCTACACTTACCCGCCGAATCAGATGTGGCCACCCACACCGCAAACACCGCAGCATGGCTACTCGGCATACACCACCCAGTCTCAGCCGTCTCCCCACCCGCAGCAGCAGTCCGCCGCTCCCCAGCTGCGACACTCGGGTGCGGGAAATCAGGTTCAGCCTGGGGGCATGCCCTACTCCGGAATGCCCGGCATGAGCCAAGGATACGGAGCTCCTCCTCAGGGAATGTATCCCACCGAGCAAACCCCACGCCAATACATGCATCAAAGCGCCGCTGGTGCCCCGGCCGTCACCCAGGCATGGTCTCAGCAGAATCCTGCCCAGTGGTGGACGAATCAGCAGCCACAATAGGAATCTGGCTCGCTGGGTTCTACGCCGCTTATCCGGGGCGAGAGAGGCTCTATCCATTTCTAAGGCTGGACTTCCAGTGTTGCGGCATTTGGTCTAGATGGCTTGGGATACGCAGGGGTTTGGTGAAGGTACAATCGTACGCTCCGGTGCAGCAACTCGATGTCCAGCAGCCTAATCCCGCCCGGTGTTCTGCCTCTTAATCGTACGATCTGACGACTTTACGACGGCCGTAGCTAACGACGTTATGGTCCTCCGATCGCCTTTCTGCCTTCATTTCCATCCCCAGTGGCTCGTCCCACATGTGTTCCGTCGAGCATTTTGTTATCTGCCGGCAATATACAGACTTGATACCACTTCGCTTCTTGCATTTCGTTTCTCAACAAACCATCTTTTCCACCCTGGATCTTGCGGCCGCAGTCACTTTCGACCTCCCACCCCAATTACGCCGTAAGTTCGATCATCATCACTTCCGAATCCCACGATCCACCACGATCGTTCATCCTACTTGCCGCTCTCTTACGACCTGGATCTCCAATTGCATCCACTGGACTCTGTCCGAATACCGGCCCTTTCCGAAGCCGAAGGAAATGCGGTCACCATTGTGCGCATATACGGCGTCATTTGCGGCTGCTATTTTTAAGCTATGCTCATCGTCCCAAGGCGGCAACTTCGGGCTTTGTTTACTACTAGGGGCTTGGGCGGTAGATCGTCTTCCTCCCCCTCACCACGCTGTTTGTGCGTTCTCTAATACACATGGGCTTTTTCTTTTCTGGCAAATGGTTTTTGGGGACAGGTTGGCTGGCACATTGGCCTAGGGGATACATATACCTTGGTTTGAGGAGGTGCAGTCTATATTGGATTCTCCCCGGGTTTTATACGTTTCTTCTCCCTTTCTATTCTCCCCCCTTGCGGATTTATTCTTGAGCTTCCTTTGTTTCTTTTTTCACCTTTCGGAGGAATGTTTTGACTTTTCGATTCCAGTGCTTGTCGTTACCTACATTGTTACCTGCCGAAATCTTTGGCTCTCCAGACCTTGTCCGGCCTTACCCCATTTGGCCATTTGCACCGCGGAGGCAGCATTGGCGGGAGTTCATTCTGTATTGATCCAATCGGTAGGCTTCTGTGAAGACATTCTCACTGAGTGAGGCTGGTCGCGTTGATTTCATGGGCTTTTTCATGGTCCTCGGCTTTCTATGCCGTTCGACCCACGTTGTCTCCTCTGCATACGACCGAATTGGACGGGCGGGGGGGGGGTTCTTTTTCTCCCGGGTAGGGTCTTCGTGCTGAATACCTCTTCTCTTTATTTTATTGTTGTACTCGGTTGGCATTGGGCTGTCTAGGTAGGAGAGGGGGCCATCGTCCCCGCGGAAATTGGGAATAATAAACACTTCTCTCAATCTCTTCCTGGCTGCATGTGTGGTTTGCTACTCCTTCGTATTCGTTTCTGGAGGGCGGTATCCAAGGGGCCAGCTGATTCTCGCCAGCCCTAGCAAGCGGTTTCATCCGCTCTAGACTTGGCTTGACAGAGCCGTCACGTCACCTCCTTGATCGTGTAGCAGTGAAAGCAGATTCTGGGAGACGTCCGCATCTAAATCGAGCCCCATCCTGGTGACTTCGACTTTCAAGACCAAGGGGGGCAACACTCGACCATAGATAACCCCTATTGTCCTGCGGGCGCCGAGGACCATACTCGACCGACTACCTAGTCGATACTCTGGCTTTCCAAGCCCTTGCTGGACGGTGTGGTCTACAAGGATGGAAGCCACACCACTTGTATATACCCTGTGCTAGATCAACCCAAGTCTAGAGGCGGTTGAGCCCCAAAATACGGCAAACCTCCCCCTTCCAATTATAGGATGTTTTCCCTAGGGATTCGCTTCAGTGCCACGAGGTAGCTTGTCGTGGAGCCAAAGAAAGACAGACCAGTCCCCCGAATCCAAACCAAACACGAAAGCAAAATACGTTCTCGGGACTTTTAAACGGAAGGGAGTAGTAGCCACCAGATATAACTCGCGAGACTAGGTAGGCAGGCTCGCTCCACCGGTCGACCGGGTTTTGGTTCCAGCTGCTAGCTTCTAATCAGCGACAAAGCTAGATGGCTGTCCCGAAAGCATGCCCATCTCTTTGCTCACCCAACCCCCGCTCTCGTCTCGATTTTCGTCTCGATTTCAGGCACCGAGAACCGACAGTAATGGGAGCCGGGGGAGGGGGAAACAGCCGCGCAGACGTCGCCCTCTACTCGCTATCCCCATCGTCAAGGGCCTCATCCCCACTTTCCTTCGCCACTCTCTCCTCCAACTCGTCCCTATCCTCCCCACTCCGCCCTCCTGCATCGTCATCATCATCATCATCATCATCATCATCCTCATCCTCTTCATCCTCCTCCTCATCTTCCTCCTCCTCATCCTCCTCCTCGTCCTCCTCCTCGTCCGCCACAGACTCCGCATCAGACGGCACCCCCTCGATGGCGGCCCGCGAGGGGTCGACCCTCGCCTTCTTGGCCGCCGGGGGCGCCGTCGACGGTGCCGCACCCGGCTCATCCCCCGGGACACCCCTTGCCGCCGTCGCCGTCGCGGCTGGTTTGGCCTTCGGGCTCGGGCCAGGGCCCGCCGCGTCCGTGGCCGAGGCGCTACCACCGCCGAGCACCGACGAGTCGGCCGCGCCGTCGCCGGTCACGGATTTCTTGGCCGCGGCGACTTTCTTGCGGTAGCTGGAGCGTTTGGAGGTCTGGATTTCGTTGAATTCTGATGGGGGCTATGAGTCTTTCTTCATTTGTGATATGGTAACGGATGGGTTTAGGGGCACTGTTGGGAAGAATGTTTGTGGAGAGGGAGGGATGGAGGACAGGCGTCTGGTGATTTGGAAACTTCAAAACAGAAGAGGGCAAAGGAAGAACGCCGGGGCCGGTGGGGAGGGAGAGTAACTGACTAGCAAACTCGGCCTCAAGCCTCTCGCGCATAAACCCGCATTCCACCTCGTCGAGGGCGCTAAATACGTCGGCCGGCATGATAGTCTTCTTGTTCGAGGCCAGCGTGAACTCGTTCGACCTATCTCGACGTAGTGTGCTTAGCTCCTGCGCCTCTTAGGATAAGGGTAGGTAGGATAGGTGTAAAAGGGGTAGGCGTACGCCGAGGCCAGGTGGCTAATAAACACCGTGGCGCTCTTGCTGAGAGCTAGTATGGCATTGGCCTGGATTTGCGTGTTAGGGGGCAGTACCCCCTTGGCTAGACGGGTGATGATAGACTTGGGTAGATTCAGGTCCTGCGCATCATCAGTCATCAGTCATCAGCTCCATAGCATTTTTCTTTCCCAATGTGTCCCCCTTCTCTCTTATATGGCAGGCAACTCACCTCAATAGTCAGCGAGTCTTTGTCTTTGCTTTCCCTGTCCCTGTCTCTGTCTTTCTCCTTGTCCCTCTTCTCGAGGGATGTTTGTCGTAGCGTGGCGGGAGGGAGCGCTGACGCGCCTGTGGGCGGTTCCGATGATGTCGGGGCTGGCGCCTCTTGTGCAAGCGTATCTTGCGTCATGGGGGTGTCTTCGTCTGTCAGCAGTATCCCCGAGACGGAGATATCGCTCTTTCGTGAAGGCATTTCGCCTCTATTCCTGCTAGTGGGAATGAGGTTGGCGGGTGTCGCCGTCTTCTCAGACAGACGCACTGCTGATGGAGGTTTGTATTTGGCGATAGGAATCTATTTCCCAGTGTAATTGTCTGGGCTGACTCGGAATTGTTCAAATATTGCGTATGGTGTTTGCCTGGGATGCTCATTAAGACCCAATGGGTAGTCGTCAAAGATGTGCTCTACTTGAGTGCGGTGTGGGGCAGCAGATTATTTGACTAATGCGCGTCGCGCCTGCTCATCAAAAGCGCGTTAAGTGGCTTGGGAATCACCGTGATTTTAGGATCAGCCTCGTCCTGACCTCGCAACTTACAGATTCCTCTATTTCTGCTCTACAAGCTGCTGTCCAGCAACAGACCATCAATCCAACTTGGCCCCCATTTGATGTCATTGCCCATTTGCTTTCATTTGCCCTGCATTATTCTTGCATTATCCTGCCTAGCACTGACCTTCCGGGCCCAAGGCCCGCCTGCCGTCATGTTTCTTCAAGCCCCTCTCACCACCCCATCCCCTGTCCCTGGAATGAAACAAGATGCGTGGTAGTGTGGATGGATGTTTAGGTATGCCTTCCCTGCTGTGGCTCGCTCACGGCGGGAACAAAGAAATAAACCTCGGAGGAATACACATAGTGAAACACCGCTTAGCCGCAGAGACTCGGACAAGGTAAACGATATATGCCGCATCCGCTTTATTCCCCTCGTCAATCACTGCTTTGTTTGTGGCTTGGCTCGTCGTTCCCTCATTGTTTCGATAGTTTTCTATGTCTCAGCCGGGTGAGACGGTCAACTGATTCACCGTTGTGCCGGCTCTGAAAGTGCGTCATTGGCTGTTACTTCGGTTTGCGTTTCCTCTTGGTATCTCTCGCCGATATCTAGAAACGCCGCTTTGGGCATTCCCTTCTTGGTTGGGAGGACCCGAGGTACACAGGTGTTGATACATAAGAAACCCGCTGATGGAGAGGAGTATCCTCCACCGAAACTAGGAGCGAGCTAGGTATTGAGCCAGATGTGCCAGATACCCATCCAGCGCGCCCCCCCGCCCCCCCTCCCCAACTCTCGAAATGAGTAATACAAAGGTGAATTCTCATGGTTGAGAAGAATCCAGCCCTGCATGCAGGCAACTAGATCCCAAAGCCTTCCATGATAGCCGTCCTGGCCTCTCTCAGTGGGCACACCGAATGGGGTATATCCTCCGCTTCCTTCCTTATCTTCTTCTCTGGCTCGTAGTCTCATGGCGCGGCTTAGCGTGCACACGAATGCCTTGATGGCGAACCATGTCTACATGGTGATGCTCATCCAGATCGCTAACCCAAGAAGTCGGCGATCCTGGAGCCAGCTCCTCTGGTGTCGACAAATGAAACAAGAGAAGCAGAGGCCAGCGGTCCGATAAGCTCAAGACAGGATCCTTGAGACAAAGTGTGATAGGATCCGGCAATAGCAGCCATAAGTTGACCGCGAGCTGGAATGCCCCAGGTTCCTGCAAATTTTTGCATGTAAGGCGAGGACGGGTTGGGTTTGCTGAGGCGTGTGGTTCGTGAGAGACCGGGACCGATAATTGACAGGGTCAGGGGTCGGTCTCCGTCCCGCTCCGTTTACCCACCTCCGCGCCCAAGGAAGAACCCCGTCCCACCTCGTGAAACAGATAACCCACCCCGCATTCCAGAGGGGTGGAAGGTCGAGGATGAAACATCAAAAGAAGCGGGGGGTGCCGCTGCCAAGTGTTGAGGTAAAATGCGAATTTGTCCGACCTCATCCGATTGCCCGCCCGATCTCGTGGGCTCGGAACAGCGGCCGCGGCGATAGCCCTCCAAAGGCTCCCTCGTCGCCCAAAGATGACCGTGGCGGGATTGACGACGACGAGTAGACTCGTGAGCTGCTTTGGCGCTGAGCATGGAGCCACTCTTGTGATCCCCGCGGCGACAGCTCCATTTCTGACGCAGTGTAGTACCCGTCTTCGCCAAAGCTGCGAGTGCTACTCCGTGAACTCCGAGTCCTTACGTGGGTGCGGATGCTTCGTGGCGAGGTCACTGGTGGTACCTTAGACAGACGGGATGCGTGCCGCTTGGGGCCCGGCAGGAAGGGGTCGTCACCAGGAATTGCCTCGTCCGTCAGGCCGGCGCGGGCATTAGGTGCCACCGCCTGAACGGGAGTCTTCGGGAGATCCTTATCAAGGCTCGTCCTGCCGTAAGCCCCACAGATGTTGTGTATGGACCTAGGCGAGCCTTCTCCGGAGCGTCGGGCGACTTGCTGACTATGGCGATGTGGGTAAATAATCACACTCGGTGGCTTCTTGACAGAGCTGGTCGAGGGATGTTTGGCATGGCCGGCGGTCGGTGGCGAGACTGCAGCTACAGCGACCAAACCGGCCTTCTCGCTCCGAGCCATCTTCCATGTCTCGATCTCATCGTCGTCAATCGGTGAGATACCCCTGGTGAAGCAGGACAACCGCCTCCTCCGGTACTTCAAGCAGATCAGCAGGGCTCCGACTATCAACAGAGCCCCCACCACCGAAAGCACGGTGCTCAGAGTGATTACCAGGGTTCGGTTGCTGCCGATGCCGGATGCCTCCTGGCTCGAAGGTGTGGGCGCGACGCTGCCTGTGACGGTAGAAGTGAAAGTAGTTGGCATATTCGTGACTCTATCGGTTGCCAGGGTCTCCCGAGGGGACTCAAACTGGTAGCTCGAGGTGACGGAATCAACAGGTACGCTCGACGCAACTGACTCAACAGGCACGCTTGACGTGGCGGGCTCAACGGATACAGCAGGCGGAGTAGAAGTGGGAAGCAACGTAAAAAACGGCGGTGGCGTTGATGTGGAAACGGAGACCACCACTGTTGTTGTCGTCACAGACGGTGGACGGCTCCAGGGGCCTGTACGGATAGGGAAAGGTGGTCCTCGGTCAATGCCTTGAAAAAGTAGGTGTTAGCAATGCTGCCGTTAGGACGGAGCCAAATGAGCGTGACGCGTGTGCCATATACCATTCACACCTATCTCACCATCACCGTCGTCGCGAGCGGGCAGCACGGCAGACCGAGCCGCAGATGGCCATGCGACCAATAATGCTGCCGCCACCGCCAATATCTTGAAAGACATCGCTCTCGAATTGCGAGACGGTCGAGCAGGCTCCGGCTGGAAGGGACTTGAAGGGAGGGGTTGGAGGAAAGATGGTTGCAAAGCCTCAATGAGCCATTGGATAGGTTCGGGCTTGTAAATGCACCTCTCCAAGGCACGGTATTCAACTGCACTCGCTGGATGGGGGAAGACAGGCAAACAGAGAGGAGAAAACGCAAGGGGAAGACCAACAATTCCTGAGGGATCAAGTCAAGACGGGCCAGGAGAGGACGACTCGACGAGCTGGGAGACGTCGGTCCAGAGGCTACAAGCCTTCGAGCGGAGCGGCTAGAAGCCAAAAGAGGGAAGGTAGGAGAGGTAGAGTTGGGAGCTCCCACCTCTATATAGAGCCGGCATGCAGACGGGATGCAGAGGACCACGGGAATGTCGAGCTGCCTACGCAGTACTGCGGTACGGATTCCATGGGCAGCTTAATGGGCGAGCCGGCAGATATAACCGTGCGGTCAAGCGCTCCGTACGCTAGACAATCACATCCACACCGCAGAGTGGGCGGGCAGGGGGGTGGGGAGGGGGGGGGGGGTGTGCTGGTGCACCACGAGGCGGTTTGGGAAGACAGCGGCATCTTGGACTTGGGTTTGTCTGTGGGTAAGGTATTTGGATGGGTGACCATGGTTGTGCTGGCGGTGGAGATGGCTAGCAATACCTCCTGTCATGGGCAGTGTGTAATTCGTACGCGGGTGTGTGTGGTTGTCCATGTAGGTGAAGGTAGACCCAAGGTAGAGGAAGTATATATGTTCAATACAAAAGGTACCTGCGGAGTAACCTGGCTGGGGCCGATGTTTTCAAACAGGCCCATCCACATTTTCTCCGTACCTTGTACAGTAGGTACCGTAGCCCGTTGTGGTGGTTTAAAAAACCTGCTGCTGCGACGATGGTTGGATGACAAAACGATCGTCGCTGTGCGATCGGACATGAATGACAAAACCATAAACCGACCAGGTCAGGGGTGCCTAACTAGCGCAGTGGAGTACGGTTCGGGTGGTGTGGGGAAGCTGGGAAGCAGGCAGGGAGCTCTCATAATGAGGCTTGGCCAGAATGGCAGCCCAGACGGAAATGGAAGGAGAGGTTCCCTGCTTGCTGCTGACAGGGGCATCTTACCCCCAAGGCCAAGACATCCAGAGCTCCAGCCAATCCCGACCCCAAGCCGGCCAAAGAAGTTCGAGAGGCACATTCTTCCTTTCCACGGCTTTCAGGTACAGGAGCCGAGTGACTGGGTGCAAGGCCTGGACGGTGCCAGCACTGCCAGCAGGGTGCAAATGCAGGTGCAGGTGCGTCTGACATGCTGCGAAGCTCGCCCAAGGGAAAATGCCGCTTCCACAGGTGAATGGATAGCCACCTTAGTAGTTCGGGCCAGTCCCTGGCAGCCGCCAACGTTCTACCGCAGTAGCGGGGTGCGTTTGATTGATTTCTAAATAATGCTTGCACAACTTGAAACGCATCATTGTTGACCAACACTAATTTTCGGTCCTCATAATTGGCCAGCCAGCCAGTCTTATTATACTGGGCAGTAAGCAAAGATGGCAGACATATATTGTTTTTATTCACGCTCCCTACAGAGTTTCTTAACAATCGTGTCAATATTTATCATGACTAGGTAGAGCCTTGCAATTTTGGGCTGCCAATGATGGCGTTCTGAAGTGCATCCATGAATTTGTACCTGGGTAAGACACACTAATGGCATCGCAGTGCAACGCCTCGCTCCTGGCTGCCAAATGCGGTGGGCGGTGGATCAGGCTGCACACTACGCCGCCTTGCCTGAACTGGTCGTCCATTCAAAAGATCGGCCGCCAGTACGCACATTACAGACAATCTCAAATAATAGTTGGCAGCTGGCCATGTTGAAACCATCGCCTGCGTCGGATCCTGCAGTCAATTGTGGACTCGGCCATAAACCCCTCTTCGACCTTTGACCAAACTTGCTCCATCAACGAGATATGGCATATACTACGGTTACTACCTCGTTGTCGGGCGATGGGTATGAAATGCCACCAAGCAATTTCTTCGCGTTATCACATGAGGGGCTGGTGCAACCCACCAGAGACAAGAGTCTTTTCTCCCGACGTCGACGACGCCACTTTATGTAGGTACCAGGGCAGCGAAAAGACCTACGGTAGTTGGCATTGCAGCCATTAGCTGGAGGCATTCCTATATTGGAAATACCGACCACACCCCAATTAGAACTGACGATAGTTGTGGCCGAACTTGCGAAAAGTTCACGAGGCACGAGAGGGGTCGACTCGATTGGGTCCAACACCCTGGCAGGGGCTATGGAGCGTTTTACCCCATCCGGATCCGCGCTAGCCGACTAGTTAGGCCTAGCGGGAAGCCAGGGTCGTCCCGCAGGTGGCCCGTTCTCAGGAACCGCTGGCGTAGTCGCCGATCGCTGGACAAGGAAATGCCTGCGAAACCGAAGATCTCGAGCGGGCTTCAGCGGAAGAGGCCCAGATCAGTGTTCGGAGCTTTTTTGGCCTTTAGCTTCCATCTTATGGCGTACCCATCTCAGATTGTCACCTGGACGGAGAATTATGAAATGATATCGCTGCTCGGGTTACTCTTCCCCGGAGATTCCAATATTCTCTTGTCAGTCTATCCCAATGAAGCCGGATGGATAATCCCGCGCTAGCAGAGAGTCAAAAAGCTCTCACCGACGTTTAACCCCCCGGTCCAGCTGGACAATAATGGCGAAGAAGTACACTAGCAAGCAGTAGTGCTCCCATTTTGTCTCAAAATCTCCTCTCCTCTGCTAGCTGCTGGATGCCACACCAAGATCAGGCAGCTGTACGAATAAGAGGTTGTGTGGCAGGTGGTGGATGCTTGCGCAGCACTGTCAATGTACAGTACATGCAACCCCTCTAAGCCCTCATCCCGGAATGGCAACCACCAGTGTCGGGCGGAAATGAGTGGCTTTGGCCTTGGCCTCGATCGTGGGTGGTAATCAGCTCTGATGGGTCAATACATACATATTCTCCTCGCGATCCTGATTCTGCTGTGCAACCACCCCCGCACGGCTGATACAAGGGAGGATCCGCCGACAACTTCTCCTGACAGCGCCCAGGTGACTCGAGAGGCGTTCATGAGGACAGACACAATTGGGCGCTTTTTGAACCTTGCCTGTCTTTTGGGATGGGACGCGTACACTGCCACGCCACAAATCAAACCTGATCGACAGCAGGTTCTTGATATATTTGCAGCTCTTCGATCTCGGCCGATCTGATCCGTAGAGGAGTACGGAATACACTTGCTACCTCTCTCACACGCTATCAGGGGAATAATTAGAAACAGGGCCTCCGTGCTCTGCAGCATAGGCGCTTCCATGACGCACTCGCTCGCAGGAGGGTTGCGAAGGTACCACTCGCGCTTAAGTAATGCAACCTCGGACACCTCAGAAGCGATGGACAGCTGCAAAGCAATCTACTACGCAGTACATACATTGCATCAGAAGCCGTCTGTTACAAGCGCCAACGGCACGATGGCATCATGATGCCCTCCCGTGAGCAGGAGGAGGCTGGTAAGAGGGGGATAAGAATAACCAACGGAGGATTACGAATTGCGCACATACGCAGGAGAGGAATGAAAGGGCCTCGACCTGCTCACCGCTAGTTATTGAACGTGGGTTGGTGTGGTCTCCATGGTCCCCTGAAGGCGCTAGAATCAGATTGTCTTAGTGTCTCGCCATCCGTTAGCTCTGATTTACCCCGCTTCCAGGACGATATACCAAACATAGCATGATATCGATTTGTCCGCTCGTTCCTGCATTGGTGTGTCTCTGGCGTAAAGCATGCGTACACAAATGCAATGGTGAACACTGGCTTGCCTTGCCTTAGGTAGGTACCTACATACCTAGGTTGGCCTCTTCCATTCCATTTTCCACAGTCCACGGTAGCTGGTGTAATACGAGGAGCACGGGCACACACGCTGCCAGCTGTCAGGGCCACTAACATTGGATTCATGCCGTGCCGAATTGAGGCTGTTATTGTCCCGCATGCTTAAATGGCCCGCATGCGGGTGCGCAGACGAGTCAGCGAGCATGAACTGTCGCAGACGGGCGGGAAGCAACCAAGATCGAGGGCTCAAAGCTAAACTGTCAGCATTGGGGGACTTGGCCACCTGTCGTGATACCCGGAGATCGACAACCACGACCTCCCACGACGGCCAACGCATAAATCTGGGGGTCTCTTCGCCACACCTTACTTCCAACCCGATAGGAAAATCCGGGGTTTCCTCGCCATCAAGCATAACTCAACCACCAAACCCCCAAAATTGGAGGGTGGTTTACCGGGCGTGCTTTTTGCGGTGCCCTAGCCACCTTACCCAAAACACCCATGCGCTGTGAGCCGAATCGGCTTCCCAGGCCATTCCGCACCAAGCTCCCCTCCCTTACCCCCGAGAGATTGGCTTACCATCGCGTAACATACCTACTTAGCCGCGCTGCGTGGGTGTAACTACCCCTCCAGCTAAATCCCAGATAGGTTGTATGGCTATACCAGAGGCTAGTAGTGTATATTGGGGCGGGCCGCTTGGAGCCCCAGTCAAGGAGAGCGAAGCCATCGAGAAACGTCAAGGGCGAATCTTGGTGGACGGATCGCCATGTTACCAGGTAGTATAGTTTATGCTCAAATCATTAGCGTGTTGGTGTGGATGACAATTCTCAGTGGTCCTCCGCAACAGGTCGCGACGACACACCATCACGATGGTGAGGAGCGCTAGGACGCGTTCGCGTTTCAATGCGCAAAACGCGACCACGGGGGGCTACTGGGGAGAGGGGACTGATGATCTACCGCGATGCTCTTTTGAGGTTTCAGTGATCGCCGCGGGGAATCCGCTGGCATTTCCAAGCAATGAGAGCAAAAAGTTGTCGAGGCGATACCGCCCGTGCCACTCGCGGAAGAAAGCGAGGGTTTTATTTGTTTTGTTTTGATCATGTCTCTCTCTCAAACATGAGAGACAATCGTTGACTCGTCGAGACCTCGCACAAATGGTCACAGGGTCATCTCAGTGTGACTTGAATCGCGAGGTTTCAGCCATGTCTGTAGGTCATCATACTGGTGCCACGATGTCGGGTTGACTCTCGTGTTGCTCGCAGTCAGGGCGCTTCGAATGGCCCCCACTCGGTAGTACATAGTGCGTTGGGTATCACTCTGCAAGGGAGACAAGGCCAGCAAGTTACAGCATGACGGGGTGGGCTGCAGAATTCGAGGCTGAGTGGCGTCCAGTATAAGCGGCTGATCGGGCCCGACGTTGATGCTCACATCCGGCAGAGCATCTTTGAATCGAGTAGCCAATGGCGGACACTAGTCGACAAGAACTAAAATTCCTCTGTTGCCCGATGGCGAATCATGATGAGAAACAGCAGTGTCAGGGCCCAGAGCTCTAAGACCCCTGGGGACAGCTTCCGCAACCAACAATGCTCGTCACCTCCTGTCCACTTATCGAGTTATCACAGCGTTGGAGGTTGCGTCCGAGGCCACAGCAGTTCCTCGACGACGTGGCTGTCTCCTGGGGTCTGCTGGAAGGTTCAGGCGGACCAATGATATTTGGAATCTGCGTCCTCAGCATTCCAGGACCATGTTTGGCTGATGCGGGATGCAGCCCTTTGTGTGCTGACTCCCTCACTGTCTGGATGGAACTCACAACAATGCCAAACCCAACGGCCTTCACGCGCTGCTGCTGCACGCTTGGCCGATCCGTCGCGAACAACCTTGGCGATGGAACACAAGAAAACGAGGGCCCGTGCCGCAGCAAAAGAAAATCGCGCATCGGGGGCTCATCGATAGGGCTTGGAAGGACGGACATTTCACGTGTTGATGCTGGAAGGGATTTTTAGAACCAGTCGGGTCCACCCATGTCCAGCTCCTTTCCTCCTTGTCTATCTGCAACCACCATCGACCTTCGCTTGTTTCCGAATGCCGCGTGTGTGCCTCTCGGAGGCTAGGATGCCTCCCAGCCGTTGGCCAGGATGGCACGTAACATGTGCCGCTACTTACATCCCAAACCCGCAAATGAATGAGGAGGTTGGAACTCGGAATGTTGGCCACTCCTCCACAGGAGCCGGACCAGTCATCATTTACGGACAAGCCCAGCTAGGTTGACAGCCGTTATTCGGTACCGGGGCCCTTGTCGGTGGGGGTTTGGCAGACCTGTCAGAGCGTTGCTCTCGCCCTGGAGAATGTTCCAATTGCAACCCTCGTCATCCGCACTAGAGGTGGGGGCCAGCCATCCTCGCTCCGCTTTGGTGGTTCGTGCTAACGCAGCATGCGCAATGGTTATTAGGCAAATACTAACGGAAAACACCTATTCTCATCTGGTATAATGTTCTTCTCGTTAGGATGGTTGTCCGACGGAAAGCTCGGCGTTTCTGAGTGAGATTGTTACCATGGGGGGCCTGGACTTTGCTTACTGAACAATACTACCCTGGATAGCTTCGGGGATTCTATGATGCCTCCCAAGGGACAGACAAGGAACAAGGATCCGGATTCCAGATTGTTCTTTGGGCCTTTGCCGCTCCCCGTTCTGGACAATCTCACACGTGGCACAACCAGCGTGTTCCCATGATAGGTACTTTGACCAACCTTTCTTTGGTCTGTCTCGTTCCTAAGCTCCAAGGAGGTCACCCCTTTTCCTTTTATTCGACGGGAAGCATCCGGCCGTCGCCGGAGTTGATATGTGATATGAATACAGAGTTGCAACGCTTCTTGCCGTCAAAGCGCCGGTCTGTTGCACCCTCACTGATATACAAGTCTGCGCACATCACATGATATGGGCAGCATGTCTTCCACCAGTGTGGCACCGCGCTGAATGCCCTGTCGTGGCTCGGCAGTCAGCATTGCTTGGTTGATATGGAAGTAGCGGATTGACTTGGATGCTCCCTAGGCGAAGTGCTGAGAAGGAGGGGAAACTTGTGTTGGCTGTTCGGATACTATGGTATAGCTATGGTTGGGCCTGGCAGCACCGTGTGCCTGCTCCTGCTAGCAGTAGGCAGATGATTGTAAGCTGTGGTACCCTTAATTTCGAATGCTCTTGATTATCTGGAAGTGCAAGTCTAGCAAGCAGTTGGGTCTTCTGAGGCTTGGTGTCTCTCTAGGTATTTACCTAAATCCAGAGTCATATGACGCCGTCCACTTTGATGTTTTCGAAGTACTAGCTCTTCATAGCGAGGTTCGAGTCGAAGTGCTTCCTGGGTCTTCTAATTAGCTGGTAAGACTACTTTATCTCCATGACATACCTGCCTAGAGAGTAATAAGTGTTCTGGGAGAACTTCAGCACAGAGTCCCCTTTTCTCTCTCTGCACGTTGCTGGCGGCTTATTAAGCTGGTCGTTGATTTGGCTGCTTGGAACTTGGGATTCCGCCTAGGATAGTGCGTTAACTGTCAGAACAGAGTAACCATTGCCTATCGCAAGCCTGGCCATTTTTGTGAGTCAGGCCGTTGCCCGATACCGTTGTTTGTCACTGACCAGAGACAATGCAGTGGATCCCGTTGATTCGTTCGATCATACCAAGCGAGTGCTTCTAGTATCGCCTCGTCCAAACAATCGGATGAGAGTGGGATGAATATAAAAACCTTCGGTTGCTCACAGGGTCAGAATAAGAATGCAGTAGATCAGTGGTTCAGTGGATGATGTAAATAGGGTATGGCTCTTTCCCGCGACATCCAACGAGCTTCGATCGTTTGAATTGTAGCAGCTTTTTTTTGCCCATCGGTTGGCACAGTTTGCCTGATGCCTTGCCTACCTACCTACCTACCACCTTCCATACTTTGGTTTTTGGTTGCAAAACTTGCACTTTCCACAATTGGAAAGGGTTAGGAACATCAGCCCCAAACTACAATCCCTTCGTCTTGAAAACTTCTCGGCTTTTTTCACTCATTCTCTCTTTTTCCCCTTCGCCGCTGCAAGATATCATGGGTGGTTCAGCCTTCTCGTCCGGGGAGAACCCGCTCTTCACACCTCGCATGGCCCCAACCGTGTACCGTGAAGTTCGGGATCGGTGCCAAGCCATCCTCAGAGAGATTTTCCTCTGCGTCGCCTCGCCCATCGAGGGCCCCGCAAAGGAGGACTATGGCGACGTCGACATCCTCGTGTCGCTGCAGAAGCACCTCATCTTCCCGACGACCCCCGCCGACCGGGTCGAATGCGAAGGGCGAGACATTCTGGCCGTGGTTCAGAAAATGCTCGGCGCGGAGCACATGATTATCGAGCGCGGAGGGAACGCGGCCAATCTGGCAATCCCGTGGCCGGCGGACCTCATCACAACCACCGACAACCCCGAGGCGACCAGGACCAACGCCACGCTCAACACCGACCAGGACCAGGAACAGCAAGAGTCACAGGTTCAAGCCGACCAGCAGAATAAGAAGCGGCACATCCAGGTCGACGTGCAGATCTGCGCCTCCCCAAGCCAGCTGCAGTGGGAGCTCTTCAAGCACGCGCACGGTGACCTCTGGAACCTGGTCGGCAGTACCATCCGGCCCCTGGGCCTGACGGTCGATGAGGAGGCCCTCTGGATCCGCATACCTGAGATCGAGGCATTCCACCGGAGCCGGTCCAAGGTGCGCCTGACGGACGACCCGGCCGCCGTCCTGAGCTTCCTGGGCCTGAGGGCTGACGGATCGTTCTGGGAGGCCCCATTTGGTAGTTTGACCGAGTTGTTTGAGTACATCGCCAGCTGTCGGTGGTTCTGGGTTGCCCCTGAGAAGGCTGGGGTTGAGGAAGATGGCTCGGGCTGTAAGTGATCTTTTTTCCTTGTTCTCGTTTTTCCTTTGCTTCACTTTAGGGCTTCCTTTTGGTGTTTGGAAGACACAAGCATAGGGATAGTGAGAGTCCTCGGCTATGCCTGGCCAAATCGTAATGCTCCTGTGTCAGAAAGAAACCATGAGAATAATTCGAGCTAAGCAAGACACTTTCGCTGACACACCACCCCCTGAAATAGCCACAGGAGCCGACAGCACCGTGGACAAGAAGAAGTACAAAGCCAACGACCGCCGACGCATGAAGTTCCGCCCAATCTACCGAATCTGGGTAGAGGAATTCCTCCCCCGCTGCCGAGCCAAGGGCCTCTTCCGCCCACCCCTTCCGCCCTCGCCCGCGGAGCCCGACGCCGCCACCACCTCCACCACCACCACCTCAGAACACGCGCGCCTCCTCGTTCGCGACGAAGCCTTCGCCCGCTTCCCCGGCGCCGGAGCCGAGTACGCCGTCCGCCTCCACGAGTGGCGCGCCGAGCGCCAGCGCGACGAGATCCTCCGCTCCGTCATCAAGGGCGAGATCCCTTCCTCGTCGGCCTCGGACCCGGCCTACCGCGCCTGCCTCGTGCGGGCCCTGCGCGAGATCCTCCTGCCCGGAGAACAGCAGCAGGGGCAGAGCCGGAAGCAGCACGCCAGCCTCGGCCCAGAGGCCGTCGCAGCGCTGGCGCCCGCGAGGCCTATCAGGGGTGCCGACGGCCTGTACGATGTTGATGCTGCGCGGGAGTTTGTGCGGGACCGCTGGGAGGAGGTTGGGAAGGTTGCTTGGGAGGCGCAGCTTGCTAGGGCTAGTGGCCAGCCTTGGGGTGTCAAGCTTGAGGTGGAGGATATCCTGGAAGAGAAGGTGGAGGATAAGCTGGAAGAGAAGGTGGAGGAGAAGGGGGGTGAGAAAGTGGGGGAGAAAGTGGGCGAGAAGGAGGGAGAAGAGTGATTTCCTTTCTGCGGGACGGCGGCATACGGCGGCGTATTTGCTTGCTTGGGTTGGGCTTCTTACTTTAGGCGCTCAGGGTAGAGGGATCAAAGTTTCTTCTGAGGCATGGATTTTTTGTATGATCTTCTTGCTCGTTGGGTTTGGTTGGCATTTAGAGACCCGGATACCCCCGATAACTGAGGTGGTCAATTATTTCATGGACCGCTCCTAATACTAGATAATTCCACCCTAATCATCCAGCGTCTTTCGCCACTGAAGCCATATACACTGGTTCAACAACTCTGATGTCCGCAGATAGCATTCCTTGCACAGCAACGCCTTGCAAACCGGCCACCCCTGTAAGCAATAATACCCAGCCCAGCAAGTAGCAAAGAAAACCGCCGTCATAACACGTCGCGAACGTCTAAATCGATACAAAGCGTACAGAATAGCTCACGTCCAAAAGTCAAGTTGTCGGTCGACAGCCACAGAGTGTGTTGATGCCGCGGGGAGGGGTATATTCATGCTCAGTTCCAACTCCGCCCTTGTAACAATCAGTACGCCCCGGCAAAGAGGGGGACATGACTTTCCCAGCGCCTCCGGCTCCGATACAGTCCACCTTCCCCGACTTTCTTCCAGCACAAAAAGCCTTTTTCTCGACGTCAAAGTCGCAGCAGGTACACCAGAATGTCAGCAATCGGAACCACTCAGGCCGCAAACAGGTTCATCACCGGGAGACCTTCTCGTCCCCGCTCATGCTCTCCTCATCGCCGGCATCGTAGCCCATCTCTCTCATCGCGTCGGCCTTCTCCTTCGCGGCCGCGGCCGCCCTCCAGGCCTCGTGCTTGGCCTTATCCTCGGGCCGCTCGACCGCCGGCTTGATGAGCCCTCGTTTCATCAAGCGTCTCCTATGCTGCCTCCTCTGGTCCCAGTTGAAATTGGAGGTGTCGGCCCTGGTGAAGTCGGTGCCGGTAATCGCGTCCCACAAGTCTGCCCTCCAGTCGGCTATGTCCAGGCCCCACCGACTCGCGAGGGTTCTGCCCCTGCCTCCGGTCGTCCACTGGTCGAGTTTGACCGGGATGGAGTAGCCCCAGAACGGGTCGTCGTGGGACCAGTCGCAGGGCTGGCCAGGGTAGCAGGAGTCGGGCTTGCAGTAGAAGAAGCACATCGTTGACTCGGCGACATACCAGAGGGAGAGAAGGAAGATGACGAGTCCAAGCAAGGTGAATTTGAATCTTGGTTGCCGGCGCCACAGGCGGGGAAGCGGAAGATGAACGTATGCGACCATGTTGTTGGAGGAAGGAGGTTGGGCAAGGCAGACGGGACAGTTATCGTGGGCTGCGTGGGCTGCATGAGCGCTGCGTGTCTCTTCTGATTTGATCTCTTCTGATTTCGGCCTGGTCTCGGCATGCGAAACCTTGTCTTCAAGTCGTTCGATCCCTCGCTTCGCTGTTCGTATGTCGTGGAGGCCAGACTTCAACGCCTTGCTCATTCTGGCATATCTTTCAAGCTCTTTATCCCGGCTCAAGATCTCTTCTAAGACGCTCTCGTCTATCTTGACACTTTCTTCTGGTTTCAACTCTTCCTCTGCCTGGGGTAAAGTGGCCACTTGCCCAGCAAACAGTTCGCTGAAGTCATCCAAGGTTGAGTCCTCGATCTGGTGCGCTCGGTGAATCTCCAGCAAGTCATCTTTGACGGTTGGCGGTCGAGCCGAATTCATCAGCGGTGATTGGGCTCTTGGGACAGACCTGGAACGGCGGCCTGTGGGTAGTGACGTTGGCCGGGTCGTTTCTCTACCGCCTTTAGCAGATCGAGACTGCATCAGCCTACGAGTTGATGGTTCTGCCGTCCGGCCTCGGCTTAGGGAGTATATTCCCGATGTGGCCTTGGCCTGTTCGGGCTCGACAATCTGAGGTAGCGGAACATCCTCAACCCTCTCAGCCTTGATGGTTACTGGTGTCTCAACGTATGCACCGGTAACTTTGGGGGTGGGTAATGTCAACGGATCAGGCCTAGCAGGCCTTGGTGTTTCTTCGAGACACTCATCCTCTAGATCGGGAGAAGGTGCGCGTAATGACCCCCTCTCTGAGTGATTCTCCGCCGGCGCAAATAATTGCAATTCCCTTTCTATCCGTTCTGTAGGGTCGATATCGGAAAGCGAGAGACTCGACCGCTTGTCTGAGGTCGACTCGATTGACGGCTCTCTTCGCAACCCGGCGAACCCGACTCTCGGCTTTGGGTCATCTGCTGTCCTGTCGAGTCTTCTTTCCTTTCCTGAATCACCAGAGTCACTTTTCTCCAGACCAGTAACGGCTCGCTGAGCGTCGTCCTTGGCATCACCCTCCAGCGCCGCCTGCTGTTCTGACGCTGGACTATTGCTTGCGGCGCGTGCCAACAGGCGTAACAGGTCGTGCGAGTCGTTACGGGGAGCTGGCCTTTCCCAACTCGATGACGCGCGCCGAGTTGCTCCCTCGCCGGCATTTGCAGCGGGGACAGATCCAGTTTTTTTGAATACCGTAATCGGAGTGTTCGGAATTTGCTCTCCATCGTCCTCCGGTTTTGAATCACCGTCCTTCCCCTGGATGCCATCACCTGAAGTAGCGTGTTTTGCTGGCAACTCCGGGCCTGGTTTCCGAGTAAGTTCTGGCGATGAAGATCGTGACCGTGATCGAAATTCCGCATTTAGTTCCCGGATCTCATCTAATCTCGCTGTCGCAAGAGCTCTTCTGGACAGAGTTTCGATTTCCCGGGCTCTAATTTCGTCAATTTTGGTGTTCGTCCGACCAATGTGACGAGCTTGACGCGAGCAATCCTCATCCTCGAAGCGTTTCTCCTGGATCTCGTCCTTTTCGTCGCTGCGCCCCCGAGTTTCATCTGGAAACTTCAAGGCTGCCTCTATTTCGAGGGCACGTATCTCGTCGAGCTTAGTATTCCGTGATTTTGATCGATTGCTCGCGAATGCTCGTTCATGCCCGTCGGACTCTGTAGCTTTGATCTCATCAAGCTGGTTATTGCTCAACCCGGCCTTAACGGGAGGGCTTTCCGAGGCCTGGAGGTCTCCAGCGGTGAAATCTTCATCGGCTTGCCACGCAAAACTCCTATTCGGGTTGTGGGTATCTGGAAAAGCATTGGAAGTCGGCGTTGGAGGCGGAGATTGTTTTCCAAGAACGCCCGATGGGCTTGAGGCACGCCGACCGGTTTGCATGTCTCGGCCGACAGGTGGTTGCCCTCCAGACTCCTGGTTACCATCACTCGTATCGGGTGAAGCCATCATGCGCTTGAGCCATCCACGACTGGACGTGGCTTTAACACCCCAGGGCTGGTAACCCCTCGACGGCGAGGCCCTGTCGAGGCTGCTATTGCTGGCCTTTTTGGACAGCTGAGCGCCAGTCTCAGAAACCTTCGGTCCCAGTTTCTGAGTTGAGAAGAGGGTGTTTTTGCCTTCAGTTTGCCCTCGGCGCAGCTGATCCTTCTCGAACTGCTTTAATTTTTGGTCGATATCGCTTTCCGACACCTCACTGTGCTGTGATACAGATTCGAAACTCTCTACGGAGCTCATCCCGTCATCTCGCCCAAATTGTTCGGTCGTGGATCGCGTGCCTCTTCGTCTCCACCCCAGCTTCGGCGACCCTTTACTGGGCGATTTTTGAAACTTCTTCTCTCCTGGTGTTGTCCTTGACCGCCATAACCTCGGGGCCGGGCTAGGCGAGCCTTGAGCAACGTCTTCTTCTTCTTCTTGGGTGGCCATTCTATAGGCATCCTTCAAAGAAAACGGCTTCCGTGCGCTCGAAACCGACTGCTGTGCAGGACGCGGTATCTTGGTGGTACGGGGCGACGACGACCCGCGACTAGATGAAGAGGCGGAGCTTAAGGGCCTGGCCACAGGAACGGTCCCAGCATTCTCGGCAGCACGACCGTCCTCGGAGTCGAGGCCGGTAAACAGGCTCCTCCTCGGGCCGTTTCTGTTGATAACAAGTGGTGCTGTAGATCTGCCGTTCGGACGTGTCGCGAGAATCTGGGCGGGCTCTTTTAGTTTGTCGCGCTCCATCGTCTGGTATGGTCGTCGCAAAGCGTTGGTGAGAGGAGGGTCAAGTGGCGGGGAGATGCATAGCTCGAGGAAGCTGCTCTGTTGCCGTCGCGTGGAGTCATGCCAGGTAGAAACGGAAATTCGCGAGGAGGGTTGAGAGGCGGCAACTGCCCGGTATGTACAGTCAACACCTCGACAGCGATTTGGAATTCATGTTTGTATCCCGGTCCAAGTTGAACAACCGCGACTTCCATCCATAACATCACCACCGAAACCTCGTGCACGGGCCACAGACGGCAGAATAACAAACTAGTCTATATATGGCTAGTAGGGCATGGATTAGCTGGTGTTTAAAGGCCAATAATGACAATCTTCAGCTCTAAGATCACGATTAGCCGAAGATTGTCCGTCAAAAAGCTCCAACCTCTGAATAGCCAGCCCTTCAAGCTCACTGTTGAGTAAAATTTCTGGGCCTATCATTTGACAACAAGCGACTGCTGGCCTCGAACCCGTTTCCATGGCCGCTCCGTTAATACTCAGCAGGTCCCCGACATGCCTGAGCTGTCTGCGTCGGCTCGCGAGCCCAATTGCTAGCAGCAGCAGCAGCAGCAGCAGCAGCAGCAGCAGCGGCAGATGGGGTCCCCTGACGGCTGCTACCCACGCCCAAGTCCAAGTCCGGGGCAAGAAGAAGTCCGCCCGTCGCCAGGACCAGGTCGGCATTGTCGTGCGACTGCTTGAGGATATTCCCAAGTTCGGCCGCAAAGGTGAGCCCTACTTCCACCACTTGCGTCTCTTCCTCTTGCCTGCGTTTTCGCTGACCGAGGCAAAAACCCTCCCTAACCCAGATGCCATCTTCCCAGTCGAGCGCGGCCGGATGCGCAACCAGTGGTTCCCAGGCGGGAAGGCCGAGTACATGACGGAGGCGCGGTTCCGCGAGCTGGGGCTGACCCGCGACGACGTGGGCGAGCGCGACAACCTGTTCGGCAGCTCCGCCCCCGTGCCGGACGAACTCGAAGTGGTCGAGGAGACCCCGGCGCCTGGGATTGAGGTCCACGGTCTTTCTGTGAGCTTCTTCTCTTTGCCCCCTTTCCCTTTTCTCTAGCTTCTGAAGACGGAAAGAGAGAAGACAACAACCAATTGCCTTAAAACAACCCCGTTTCAAAGGTGCCAGAGAAACCGGCTAACGCGTTGAACTCTCTAGCCCGAGCGCGCCCACGCCCTCCTCTCCTTCCTCGTCCCCGAGACCCTAACCTTCACGCGGAAGCCCATCCACGCCACCGCCACCTCCCCCGAACAGCAGCAACAACGACAGCAACCAGAGCAACCACGCTCCCCGCTCCTCGCCTCCAACGCCACCGTCTCGACTACTACCCCCTCGGCGCCGGCACAACCCGACTCTCCCGCCGCCGCCTCTCCGGATCCGGCGGCAGCGCCATCCCCGCTCGCCATCTTCGGCTCCGTCTCCCTGACCGACGTCGTCGCCGCCGTCAGGAACCTGCTGATCACGGACCCCGAGGCCAGCCGGATCGTCCTCGGGCCCGAGCACGTCCGCTTCGTGGGGCTCGGCGAGGGCGTCGACCGCGTCAAGAGTCTCGGGCGGTGGGAGGTCGAGATTTACCTCGCCGCTGTCGGGGCCGCTGGCCGGGACTCCGGCGTCGAGCCTGTCAGGAAGGTTGTCGAGGTTCTGGCTGGGGAGTGAGTTGGTTTGGGTTGAGTTGAGTTGAGGTGGGATGTTGAAGGGAAGCGAGCTTGGGGGGGCTTGTATCTGTATGATCAAGAGTGTCTGGTATGGTATAGGTATACTTTGTAGAAATAGGTCACCTTCCCGTTATTATTAACCAACCAATCGTGAATACACTTGGAACTCTATGTGTCACTTGCTGGGCCCCTTCTTTAATCACTCTTACGGCCCAGCAAAACTCCACCCACCGCAACAAAACGCCAGGCTAAGTTTAAAGGCACTTCTCTCACAGGACAAGGCCCTTAGAAGAAGGATCCTACTCAATCTCTAGGACCTACCGACCGGCTTTCCCGTACCAATGTCATGGGCAAGCAAGCCTTGAGCAAAACGCTGCACCTTGGCTCCCCTCACCAAAGCTCCTCACCGTCCAACAACAGCCAACAACAATCGATAACTTCTCACTTTGCCTTCCGGCTGCTCTCGTAGCTGACGTCGAGGTTCCAGAGCGAGTCCCAAACAACCGACTTCTTCGACGGGCTGTCCACAGACGACACGGCGCTTTGCTTGCGTTGTTGCAGCGGCGTCCGGCGGTGAGCGTGGTGGGCGTGGCGGGCCTAGCAGATACCCCAAATAAATAAAAATAATCAGCGGACCTACGTCTGCGAAAGCGTTTTGGTGGGATGAGTAGGTAGGTAAGAAAGGTAGGTAGGTGTAGGTGGTAGTGAAGATCAGGGCCCGAGAAGGGAATCGATTGCATTGCGCACCTCGGGGGATCGCTGCCCGGCCTGCCCGCCGTGATGGCCCTCGGCGGGCGGCGAGGCTCCACTTTCACCGTTTGTCCCGGCACCCTGCTCGACCGGGGTCGCGGTCGGGGCTAGAGGCGTCTGTGGCCGCGCCTGGTGCTGGGCCGACGAGGTCAACTGCCCGTGCGGCTGGGACGGGCTCGTGGCCACGGGAGTCTCCGCCGGCGCAGCCCGGACCGAGTTCGTCTCGCTGGCCAGAGCGCTGTCCCGACCTCGGCCGCCGACGCCGATGGCGAATGGCAGGGCTTTCCTAGAGCCCGTGCTGGAGCGGCGGCTCTCGAGGCTCTTGGACAGGGTCTTACTAACACCCTCAATGCCCGACGGGCCCCCTGCACGACTGCCCAGGACACTCCCCTTAGAAGTCGACCTGCCGTGCGTGTGCATGTCCGCCATGGCCTCGACGTTGTTGGCGGCCACCGTGCTCTTACCGAGCCCCGGCGTGGACGGAGCCCCAGGCTTGTCTTCGTGCGCGTCAATCAGGTACCACCGCAGGCCGTCAGACAGGTCGAAGGGATTGTCATTCTCCTCGTCATTGATGGAATCCGTCTCGTTGCCCGCACCGTTCTGTCCGTCCTTGCTGGCCCCAGTCGCTCCCTGGTGCAGGCTCTTGGACAGATCGACGACCCGCTCCTGGATCTTTGAGATGCGCGCCACGAGCCATTCGCGATTCCGCAACCTGTGCGACTCGTGCTCACGCAGGAAGTAGTGTGGAAACCCGACGTTGAAGGCCGCCCAGGCCCCCGTCGTCTGGTTTCGTGTCGGGAGAAACAGGGCCAGGTCTCCCTCCTTGAAGTGTTTGAAGGCGATCTTGTCGTGGGCGTCCTTCTGGAGAGCGTGGGCCTTCTCTCGGTATGCCCTGGCATCTCGCTGTAACTTCCGCGCCGTGTGTTCAATGTCCTTGACTCGCCGGTAGACAGCGTCAGAGAGAGCGTCCGTGTCAAAGTTGCCTATGGCGGACAGGAAGGCACGGTACTGCTCGGACTCGCCAGCCGAATCCGGGGCATTCATCCAATACAGTAACTCCAGGTCAGAGCTGTCGGACAGGACGCGGTTGTTCAAGGTTGATGACTTGCGGAGAGACGAGGAGCCCGGATCCGACGAATCGTTCGGGTTGGGATTCTGCGTTAGGCGCTCCGACCGGGGCACTTTCTGGATGACCATAGACTCGCCCTGGCGGGTAACGGAGAATCCCAGTCGTTCGAGCAGCCGGCACAAGCGATCGTTTTGCGAGTATAGACGCTGTGTCAGATCCTTCGTTCGCTCAGCCCGCGAATCGAAGCGAGAAGTGAGATCGGCCAGCCTCGACTGCGAATCTTGCAATTTCTCCTTAAACATCCGCAATTCTTCTTCTAGGCTGCCAACTTGGGATTGTCGCGAAGCGAGTGCCTCTGTGAGGGAGGTGATTTGCTCCTCCTCCTCTTCTAACCTCCTTCGAAGAGACTCAGAGCCTGTCTCACCATCGGCCATCTTGACACGCAGCTGGTTCAATTGATCGCGACCTTCTACCACTTCACTTTCGACTGCTGCTACTTTGGCCTTCTCTGCCACGAGGGCTTCGTGGAGGTGCATCTTTTCACTCTCTCCCTCTGAGAGTTTCTCTTTCGCACTCGCCAGTTCGGAGCGGACATCCCTAACGGTGGTCTGAGCCGCGTCCAAGTCGGATTTCAGGAGGGACATGTCCCCTTCAATCGTCTGAACCCTGGCGAGGAGATCGCCCGACCGGCCAAGAACTGCCTCGACGAGGTCATTTAAGTCGTCAGGGACGGCGTCGCTGGGTGAGAGTTGTTCATGAAGGTCCCTCAGCGCCCGGAGCTGGGTCTCGCCCTCTTCTTGCGAAACCTCTAATTTCTTGTCCAGTCGTTTCGCTTCGTCCTGTGTGGTTTGAACCTGTTTCTCCAGCGTCTCTATGCGCTCCCTTTGTAGACGGGCTTCCTTGCGGAGAAACTCGACCTGGCCTTCCGCTTTTAGGGCCGCATCATGCTTCTCCTTCGTCAGCCTCTCGACCTCCAGCTCGAGTTCGCTGACCCTTTCGTCGTACGAGGCCTTCTCGTTTTCCCTCGATTCGCCAAAATGCTCAATCTCGTCCTCCGTGTCTTCCAGCCGTGCCTGGAGTCGCTTGATCTCATCTTCAAGCGACTTCCTCTCTTCCATGAACTCCCTCTTTAGAGCCTCCATGTTGCCAAGAAGGTCTTTCTTGATCGACTTGGCTTCTTCCATCTCGTCCTTTATATCGTTGTTTCGAGCCGCCGTCGTCGTCAGATCCTTTTCAAAGACTGCGGATCGCTCCCTCTCCGCATTGAGCTCACCCTCGAGCTGCTGGACGCGCTGCACGAGCGAGTCTGGTCCTTCAGAGGACCTCCTGCGGTCCTCCGAGGTGCGAGACGGCCTGACGGATATCGTCGAGTCATTGCGCTCCGAGAGCTGCTGGCTGGGTGTTTGGAAAAGAGCGCCCAGGTTGGGCCGAGAAGTCTGGCTCTGGCGGTGAAGGAGGTCCTCAAGTCGCCTGACACGGCTCTCGGCCGTCTTTAGCTTACTCTCCAGCTTGGACCTGTCGTCCTGGAGGCTCCTCAGGAGATCGTCGTCACCTCTAATCAACAATCCGCTTCTTCCCAGCGCCGCCTCGTGGATGCTGCCATTCTTGAATGCCTTCAGCCGCTTCGATTGCTGTTTCGTAGGGCTGTCGATTTCGCTGATCAGCTTGGCAACGTCGGCAATGATTTCAGAGTCAGCCTTCTGTCTCCGCAAGGCTTCATAGACCTCCTCGAGGTCCTGTCTGGTCATGACGGGCCACTGCCCATCCTCTCCATGCAGATTGATCTCAAGACCAGGAACGTTTCCGTCCACGTTTGGCGTCTCGGGCCCGTACGTGTTTCCAACCGACTTGGCCCAGCGCCGTCGCCTCTTGATCTCCTCGTCCTGGAAAAGGGCCATCTCGTTGGCCAAGGTGGAGGAATCCTGCTTGGCCTTGTCGAACCACTCACGGCGCTGGATGGCCTCGGCTACGAAGGATACATACATGCACGGGACCTGATAGATCAACCGCAGATAGTCGAAGGTTGCGAACTCGTCTTGGTTTACCGAGTTCACCTGGGACTTGACGCTGTGGCTCAGAGACGTGATGCTGGTAATATTTTGCATGAATTCGACTGACTCGGCGGCCAATGCGTTCCGTGACTCGGTGGCGAGCCGTAGCATCTCGTCCATCTCGAGGGCCCTGTTCCTGATGCTGGGCAGCAACCTCTCCGTGTGGTTCGACGCTATCTTGGACGCCTGGAGGATATCCCGACTCGTGTTTGAGAAATCTAGAATGGTCTGGAAGTCGGTATCGATCTTCTTAGCTACCGCCTCGATGTCCTGCAGCAATTGCAGAGACTCCCCGTCATGGGAAAGAGCGGAACGGGCCACCGTCCGCTCAAACTCCTGGGACAGGTCATCCGCATCCTGAAAGAGCCTTGTCGCGACCTTGTCCAAGTCCGCGATACGCCCGTTAAACTTTCTCAATGCAGCAGGCGCCAAGCGGCCGGCCTTCCGCGCTGTTTCCAGGTCGACCAGGTCTTCCAAGGTTGCCTGGCGCTGCGGCCTTCCTTTCCCACCGCTCATATCACGTCCTGTCATAAATTGAACCATGGCAGGCGATACGGGGATGCTTCTTGCGAGGGACAAGTATTGCTCCCATCCCGTTGTAAGTGCAGAATAGTCCGCCTGAGCAGCAGGAAGCCACTTCTGTAGCTCGGCGTATTTTGGTTCGAGACTCTTGACGACCGCGTCAAGGTTTGTCGCGGCAGCGTCCAGACAGCGTATCATGACATCCATCTCGCCATAGCGCTCCTGCGTGGCTTTCGCCATGTGGCCGCAGTCCCCCACCACCTGCAAGGCCCAAGCTCGGCGCGCCTTGAATAGCTCCTGCCATGTCTGAATGGACCGAGTGTTGTCGATAGCGTTGGGCGGGTTCGAGGCGTTGTATCGCTTGGGCAGGGGGATCTCGGACTTTGGCAACGGCGAGGTCCCTTGGGAGGAGGGCTGGGTTAATCTGTTGTCATATACGTATATCTCCTTCTGAGTCAGGGTTGTCAGTGGCTGTATGCTTTTTCAAAAGCCAACCACCGGAGGGAGTATATTGATGCTGCTGACCTCGGTCTGGATGGTCTGGAGCTTCAGTGGTCGCCCCTGGGGAGTAAGGGTGATGAGACATTGGATGGGGATGCCGCTCTGACGAGCTACCGAAGCCTTGAAATCATCTAGTCTTTTTTTTTTGGGCCGGAGGAGTCAGCTCCAAAGACATTTCTAGTTGCCGGCGGGATAGACTCACGACAGGAGCTGAGAGGTGTCTAGTTGTAGGCGCTGGCCCGTGTGGGCGATCAACACCTGCGATGCCATTTCCCTGCATCTCCCGGCGGGAAAGGAGGAGTAGGGCAAGCTTGACAGGACGGAGATGATGTGCTAGCTCATAGCGGGAGGGCCGTCGCCTTACAATCTAAGGCTCTCCTACGTGCGACACCAGAACGGAAAGAGCGGTGTCACCGGCCTAATAAAGGGGAAGCAGAGGGTTCTTTACCAGAGGTAGGCAGCTCCAGGGTGTTGAAGTATGGGCGCCCCGTGCACGGGGCAGCGTGATGTTAGCTCGTGACCCACAATTGGCCTGTCGGGTTGCAGCTTAATAACATGGAACCTGCCTACCTTCCATACCAGGAGAGCTGGTGTTTAATGGCGATAACAGGGCTCAGGAGTAGGTTCTACTAAAGTTCCCTCCCTATCCATTTAACATGAGTCAACAAGATTCGCAAATGCGGCATGTTGAAGATGCTGACGCGGACGCGTCTGACGCGATGGCGCTGCCCTCACTACTCTCCGAGAAAGAAAGACGCGTTCTGGAGCTTTATGATCGGCTCCAGGAGCTCGGTCTGGAGTCTGCCTTGCTTGCGGCTCGAGGCCCACACACAGCAAGTAAAGTCAACTCAATCTACCATGGCTGGGAGTCGCTGGTGGAAGTTAATTTTCTAATAACACGAAGATGGACCCCATCCAGTCACGGAAGAGGATCTCAGGACCGCCCAGGAGCGTTTTCTAGAGTCAAGAGCATCCTATATGTTGCGCAACGATGTCGTCGACAGCGTCATGATGGTCAATCCCATCATCAAAGCAGTGCACAGAGGAACCGATGCCTCGCCCATTGAGCGGTATGCGAGGCCAAGCTCCGGTTTTCACCGTTTTATTCATTCATTTAAACTTTGCTAATCCGGCCGTACGCAGAGACTTGTTGCCGCATATCGAGCAACGGGATGCGGTGTCGGGTGCCATCGCAAAACAAGATTCCGAGTTGCGGGGAATCAACGATGAACTTTCGGAGATACAGGCCGAGAGTATCCGGATCAGTCGTCGCAACGTGGCTCTGGCTTCAGAGGTTCTGAAACTGGCAGAGGCTGCCAGTCAGAACACCAGTGACTTTACAGACAACCCGGAGGTCAAGAGGGAAATCTCCACGCTCGAAAGGGAGGTGAAAGCAAGCCGGCAAAAGTGGAAAGTCATGAAAGGCACAGCAAGTGCTGTCGTGGTTGGAAGTGGAATCGACTGGGCCGCAAACCCAGAGTTGAGGGACATGGTTCTTGATCCCGATTGATGAGATTCGACTCTAGAGAGATCAAAACACGACAGACAAACGCCTGGCGAGTGATTATTTCCTGCAACTAGGAGTCCCGAGTCGAGATTCGGTCCAGCCGTGATCTGGTTATCTTTCTCGCAGAATACCTAGGCACCTCGCCGACCGGAGATTGGATATTAGTGGCTGGGCGAAAGGAGCGCCTGGAGATGCTAAGAATCGGATCAACTTGCACATAGGACCCAATAGGCTGGACGAAGCCAGGCAGACCAATCCCAGTGCAGCCGCGTCGTCGTCTCTTGGCTGGTTTGCGAGTTGGGCCCGGGAGACGATGCTTGCACTTGTGAAGCCGACAAACGACCCCGGCAGCGGCCTCTGCGATGCGGGCCCTCGCCCGGGTGGGCAAGTTTGAGAAGCTGCCCTCATCTCTAATCCAGCTACTCACTGTCGTGTTTTTGGCGATTCCAGTTCACGCCGGCCGGATAGGATTGTTGCTTGTCTAGGTATACCTTGGCATGGCTCAATGGTTGATCATGTGCAGCATTATAGTAGCCCAAATCGAAGTAGAGAATCGCCCAAAAAAAATCAACTTCAATCCCGCCGTACCACCACATGTTGCTGAGGCGACTGACCTCCATGGGGGTGGTCACGTGCACTCAGAGAACTGTCAGTTCGACGCAAGGTTGATAGATGCTTCCCTTGCAGCGTTTGCGTCATCCATCGTCAGTGGTGATACGCGGATCCTCACCCACTAGGGTCGCCCGGTCCCGTCGATGATTTGCGCCAAATTATCCCTGTCACCGCAATGAACAAACACTGTCTGAGGTGAACTAATGTTCCCATGGCCAATGTACACAATTTCTGACATGATATGCGGGCTGCACCCAACGCCTCTCCCTGCCGGCTCTAGCGCTGCCACCTTCGACATCCAACTACTAGCCCAAAACGACGCACGCGAAAGGGCCGATCCTCCAATCCTCCATCTCTTGATCCCTAGCCTGCTCAACAAGATATAGCGCAGTCGTAGGGGCCATGATTAGGAATCTTCCTTCAGATCGACTGACTTTTGTTAGCAATGCGTGATCCCCAACGTCCCTGAAGACTAAAGACGCGCCCATTGGCTCTCCATGCCTCCGTCTACGACCCCGATCTCCAATTCAATTGTGACGAGACTAGGTGACGAAGTCCAGATCCCACTCCTCTGACCGCGGTCTTGACTTAAGTACCTAGCGATCCAGAGGCAAAGACCTGCCGGCCTAGTTCTTATCTCGCAACGGGATGCTAGCAGTAGGCAGGCAGCTGGAGCACCCGTCCCGGAGGCCGTCAGGAGTCAGCTAGGATATAGTCTAATAAGAGGCCTCATCACTTCGTCTATGGTCTCCGTGTCCTCGAGCTCTCTCCTTAATAATAGAATACGTGGCCCTTGTTTCCGGGGAACTGATCATGTTAGGCTCGAAGAGTCGAATACAACTGCCAGAACACGCGCGGCAGCAAACGCTGGCGGCAGACATGGCACACAGCCGCGGTGGGTCGTGAAACAAGATCGAAGTGGTAGCCACCGAATGGGGATGGGGGGGTTGGGGGAGTATATTTATGCCAAGCTTCTAGCTCGATCACCAGGCAGAGAGCGAGCTGTAGGGTAATTTGAGCGGGCAAATAAAACGCTTCAGCTTTGAGGTAGCCCTTTGCTTCCTTTTCCGTCTTCCCAATTTTGATAGCTTGTCTGACCACCGATCCCGTCGAGCTGTTGCTGCTTTGTAAGCACACCTATTTCTTTCGGCAGTAGGGGGTGGAGAAGGGGCCATTCGCGTTTTGAAAACGGCGCGTACAGTATAAATTTCTCCCCAAACAGCCAGTCAGATGTAACTGTGCCCTACTGTAACGCACCGTGTCTGAGACTCAACGCTAAAAACGCGATTCACACGTCATGTCATAGCTTCTTATTATGAGGGCCGGAAAGGGTGCCGCCCATAGAACACCTGCTTTTCTATGGTTGTATGGCCACTCTTAAGCCGGAAAAAAAAACACTAATTAGACACAGATCCAGCCATGACTGGAAATGAGTATGGAGGTAGCTCGCATCTGCAAATCTGACCGTGAAAGGGAAAGGATTTGAGGAGAAAGGAATGGTCTGGTCTCAGAGAGGAACTAGAGAATGATGGGGATCCCACTCTGATCCAACCTCCCTCCCCTAGGAGGTACGGTAGGTAGGTACCGAGTAAAATGTGTGAAAGGGTGCAAGTACGAACTACCAAGGTAGATGGGACTGCAGTGGGTGGCGTGGTACATCTGGTGGATGTATCGGTACGAGCGAAAGGAGCAGGGAAGTACATAGTAGCTGTGCATAAATGAAGTACATTTCCGGTCACGGAGTCTCCAAACTCGAGACGGGGCTACTGTGTAGGAAGCGTGTCTGGACGAAGTAGCATAACAGGTGCTTGGCCAGGCTGCTATTATTAGGCAGGGAGCGAGAAGATATGGTCCTCGATCCTCGAGTGACGAGCTTGAGCTTGCTTTTGGAAGAGATAAAAAGGATTTGATATCTGGTTGCGCGTGTCGGCTTCATAGGAAATTGCTTGCCATAAGCCAGGCCCGCTAAGAGGTATTCCACCTGGTGAAAGAGACTGCTGCGAGTTAAGAGGGTGGAGGAGGGCGAGGTTTGAAAGGGAAAATGGGAGTTCCTCCATAGGGTGGGCAGAAAGGAGTTGATGTTGGCCGGGCGGAAACCTGGGGCTGGTCTTTTTGGGAAGGGGGGAGACGGGTAAGTACACAGTAGCAGCCCACAGCGTGGCGTGGTACAATAAGCCCATGTTACTGTACCTTGCGCTGCTGTGTGGGTGTTGCTGTCGCTTCCCAAATCACATACAATCCAATCAGCCGGCCACTTTTTTGGTGCAGGAGCCCCGGAGGCTGGACCATTTTTTTTGTTATGGCACAGAGAGGGTACGTGCCAAAAGAGCGAGGCAGGTGCAAGCACTGGTAGCCCCTCAATCAGCCGGCCCATAGTAAAAAGGGCAGTCTGGTCCTCCCCCCATACAGTTTTCCTCCGCCTCTCTCTCTTCTGCCTCCCATACAAAATCTCCCAGCCAAACCATCCTCCCATACAAATCGGCGGCGCTCACAACTCGCAATACACACACAAACACATAACTCCTTCACAACAGTGAGTACCTCCCTTCTGCTGCGCATCACTGCAAAACCCAAGTCACTCGCACTTGACCGTATTTTCCCCAATCCATTGAGAGAGCAAGTGCTTTTTTTTCCCTCCTTGGGTCGCGTCGTACTTTGGGTTTCTGGGCGCCCTCCCGTACGACTGGCCAGCACCTGGTCGCCCAAGCTTCCTTACCACGGCTACCGCATCACCTCCATCCACCGCATCTTGGAGCTTGCGCGATATTTAATATCATCACCATTTACGCCTGCACAACAGCACGCATCCAACACAGCAACCACAACATCCACACCACCACTCTCAACTCGCGTCCAATTCCCCCAAATGTATGCATCATGACTTGCTAGACCAGATTTCGAGCTTCAATCGCGTGCGGAAGCGCGTTATCGGTTTCAATTGCTTTTGCGACCGTTCGCACCAGCTCTTGGCAACCAAGCTCTCACAACACTGCTTCCCGCGCGCGACAGCTTGATCCAATCCTGCACTCTTGATGCCAATTAGCCCAATTTCCACCACCACCCCTTCTTTGCTTCTTTGCCTTTCTCCGATCATCTCCAACTCACCTCATTTCGAGCATCAGCTAACAGCACAACCATTAAGACCAATCAACATGCCTAAGGCCGCCTCTAAGGGAAAGACCGGTAAGGTCGAGAAGCGCCGCGCCAAGAAGGGTAAGCATGTCCTTGAGTTTGCCTCCGTTTCTCACTCCCCCCGTTGCATTTGTTGGGTAGATGTGCGCTTGGCAGCCCAAATCGGCAGGGTTACCGGTCAGGCTAGCCGCCATCAGAGCCACCAAAGCTCTGTTGTCGAAGCGCATTCTTTTTTGTCAATCGATCGCATACCTTTGATCTTGCCTGCTAATACTCTATACTCTAGACCCCAATGCCCCCAAGCGTGGTCTCTCTGCCTACATGTTCTTCGCCAACGAGCAGCGCGACAATGTCCGTGAGGAGAACCCTGGTGTCTCCTTTGGTAAGTTCATGTTTTGATGGAGAATCCCTAATCCTCCCGGACCTTATTTTAACAGTTCCCCAGGCCAAGTCGGCAAGATCCTCGGTGAGCGCTGGAAGGCTCTGAGCGAGAAGCAGCGTGCCCCGTATGAGGCCAAGGCTGCCACCGACAAGAAGAGATACGAAGACGAGAAGCAAGCCTACAACGTAAGCAACCCTGCTATTGTACCCGCTCGAGCTGCTCGGCCTAAAGCTAAGCAGCCCGCATAGGCCGACGGCGACGAGGAGGAGTCTTCTTGAATGCACTCTTTTCTCGGCGACTCGTTGTCCTGGCGAGCATCTAGTCGTGAATATGATGATCTGATCTCAAAATCAGCTCACACTTGGCAACTAGCAGAGACGCGCTCTGCTACTTGCATCCTGGGACGGTCGGTGTTGGAGGCATGGCAATGGCATCAGTATTTCTCTTTTTTCGTCGGTTTTCTGCCATGGTTTGCACAGGGTTTTGCTTCAATTTGGCTGGAGGCAAAGGGGTCCTTCGGTATGGCTGATGACTGGCCAGGTTGTCGATGGAGGCAACCACGCCGCATTTCTATCTGACGATAGTAAAGTTGCCGGTGGCGACGGCAGACGTGTACAACAGCACTAGCCTTCCTATTAAGCAACGTCTCTGAAAACGTGCACATTTCCCGTATTGGTGAGTGGTGAAGTACTAACGTCTGAAGGTTTGGAAAACCTTGCACCACATTCTCCCACGGCTGATGAGGACCAGACTCGGGGCCTGCTCGTCCACGAGCAGTTTTTGTTTGTTTGTTTACCTGGCGCACAGACACTCTGTTCATTTCGGAATGTTTCAGATCAAGGAAGCTTGGACACCCGACCTGAACCCCGCCAGAGTGGGGTAGCCCTATCGGGCTCTCACTTCCTCTCCCGTCCCGCCCCTCCCGATCATCCTAGGAGTCTAACCTTCGAATCCGAGAGCAAGAGGTTTCATTCAGTGAACTACCTACCAACCGTGTCGAGGAATACTGCGCCATTCGAGTAGCAGGCTCTGGCAAGACTGGGCAAAGATACTGGGAATAGCATCGATTACCCCGTTCGGCTTGCCCCAAAACTCTTACGATTAAGGCCACCTACCTGACCAGCATGTGAACTGTGAACGGCCAAGGAGGCTCGACGACATGGTTTCATGACAAGCAGCTGCCATAAATATTGAGGGCGAAGCTGCATGCTCGGAGGCGGGAAGCCAGGCGATGGCTTGACATGTGAATGATGAGTTCGAGGGCGTGCCCCCAGGTAGGAGGACGGTAAGGCCAGGACAAGACACCTTGTTGCGGCTACCACTTGGGCTTCTGGGCCGTAGCCTTTTGATATGCAGCCGCATTAAAGGCAGGTATCGTCCTTGGCCAAGCAACGTTGGGAGCATATGCAGCTTCTTCCAGGAGGCCATGTTTAGGTTAGAACCTAAACAGTGCTTCCAAGTGGGCGGGTGAAGCGTCTTATATCTCTTACTCTTCTCAGCTCCGAGAACTAACTGTACCAGTGTGGATGATATCATGATATCAAGATCTGTTCCCACGGGATAAGGAGCTGGAGCTGAAGCTCTAGCCCTTTGGGACAAAATTCTTTCAAATCCCAGAAACCACCAATTGAAAATCTCCAACTTCTTCCAGTCCATGCACTTTTCATGTTTTCGTCTCCGTTTGCCCAATCCGAGGACCTCCTCCAGGCCCTCCGAACGGAGTACATTTCGGTAGCCAAATATGGTGCAAAATGGCGCCTGGGATTGGCTCGAGAAGCTCAAGCTCTCTTACCTACCTAATGCAGTCTTTATGCAGCTGAGCAGGCCAGGCTTCGTGGCAGTCGCTGACTCCCCAGATTAGTGCATCACTTCATCCGGTGCCACCGGTATGTGGCATTTTCATTCGCTTCGGAATCCGCTGCTCTTTCTCCACGGCGGTATCAGCAGCCCATTTAACGATGCTGCATGAGTGCATGAGGGAAACCAAATGAGAGGGAAAAAGACACCGCATCTCCCCGCTCCAGGTTTGGAGGTTAGGAATCTGGTTGACGCATGCCTCTGCAGTGCTCCAGTGCTCCAGTGCCCAATTTCATACCGGACGACAGCATGGAGTCTCCTGATGCCGTTTTGCGGGGGTGGTTAAAACAAGACAGGAGTTGCACGTCGTCAAGCCAAACCACGCGATATGGCCAAGCGTTTTTCGTGGACAGAGCGCAATTCCTGACCCCTAACCGATCTGCTACTCCATCACGGGTTGGGATGAGGCTCGTGGCGTGCTGTTGTGCGGACAACTAGACCCCCTTGTCCATCCGGACATCCCTCATTTGCTTGGCTCAACAATTAGGCTTATGCAAATACATTTGCCCACCAGGAGTCCCTTTTTCTTCCCTCTCCTCTACCTTTGCTCTCCTGTTTGGCTCTCCATAACCCCACCAGTTTGCCGTTTTCTTTACGACTTCTCCCCCCTTTCGACTGAAGACAAGTCGGAGGGTATCTTTAAGAACCATCGTCTTTTCATTGCGTCAACTTCCCGCCCCCGTCCTATCGAGGGGTGTAAACTTGGTGCTGCGGGACGTGGAAGGGGAGGTCATCGAGATGAGGCATTTGGCATTCTGAGCAAGCTCATCCAGCACTACACCACAGACAGGAAGTTATTCTTCTGACAGCCGCTATAATGCGTCCCTAAATCACCCGGCCTGCGAAGCACTTCATCCCCCAATCCCTTCCGCCATAACATCGCTTAATTCTACGCACCCTCCACCAAGAATCAGACTCCCCTCTTTGTACCGTCAATATGGATTACGCAGCGAACCCCAATATCCCTCTGGAGGCCCATCTCCTGCTCGGCTGCTGGCGCGAGGCCGAGAGGGCAGACCTAGTGGCTCTGAGTCTGGACGGGCTCCGCGGCGTGCTCGCCGAGACGTTCCACGGGCACATGATCGCCGTGTCCGAGGAGATCCGGTCCTGCGGCCGCCTGCTCCGCGAGCTAACGGACCGCTTCCAGGTCCACCCTGACAGGGCTCCGTTCGTCTTGAGCTACCTCCAGGTCATCCTCCCTTGCCTGGGCCGGAGCCTGGGCGATATCACCTCGTACTATGAGGATAAGACGATCTCGAGGGAGATCAGATGGCGCAAGATGTACAACAAGATGACGGAGGAGGCAGGTGGCTTGCAGCTGCCGCAGCGATTCGTGCTTTACAACCACTTTTTGACGTTGCTGAAGCAGTTGTTGACGAGGTACTGGCTGCCTGCGCTTTTTATGTTTTCACCAAAGTTTGGCTGACGAGTCTGTCTTAAGGTCCAAAGATTTCGATCTGAACACCCTTGACCTCTTGAAATCTCGGATATTGGCACTACGGGAGAGGAGGGGCATCGGTATGTGCACCTGGCACGCCGCATCTCATATGTGAGAGACTTGGTGACTTGGTTAGACTGACGTGTGGTTTCCAGCGCCTCCACCTCTTCAAGTTGGGCCTCCCGTGCGCCAGGATCTGATATTGATGGCTCACACCCAGGCCCCCGTAAGTCATCGGCTCTGGCCTAGCATTGCGAGCCGCACACTGATAGCCTCCAGAATGTGCACTGGGCAGAACTAATATTCAGTCTCCCATTACCCTCTCGGACAGCTCTGAAGCACTTAGGGCCGTATGATACCCATCAACCACCCCCCGCGGTGTTGGATAGCCGTCTGAACGATTCTGACTATGACTAGGTCGAAAGGCTACGGCCCGCATTTCCCGCCGGGCACCTTCAACCTACCTGCTGATTGCAAGATTCTCTTCCGGAGGTTGGTAGATTCACTGGCACAACTAGACGACTGAGTTGGGCCAGGGACAAGGGCACCTTGAAACTAACCCGTCTATTTCGCACCAGGCCATTCAACGACGATCGTGTTTCAGTGACGGCGTTCATCAATCCCGCCAACCAATCGCCCTACCTACTTGTCCGCAATTTCCACATGGGGAACTCCCTGCTCTCCCTCCGTGGAGCCCACGAGCTCTGCATCAGTCGCGAGGGTAGCGCGTTGCAACTGAAACGGTGGAGTCAGTCGGAGCGGTGCAGCAAGCTCTGGGCCGCCTTGTTCTTTCTCACCTGGGAAGGTATGCCGAAATCCAGCGCCTCCCTCAGCCCCGTCCAATGACCGTAGGCCGCCCGGCATCTGCGGGCGACATGGTTGGAGTCGGATCTGACCAAATGGCAGAAATGGTTCTCTTCTACTGCACCTTCTTGTCACTCAAGGCGCGCAATACCTTGACTGTCCAGATCCACCCGGACGAATACAAGCTGAGCCGAGAGAAGCGATTGTTCCAAGCGTACGTGCCTCCAAGACGTCAACTTCTCTGGCCCTGTACCTGTAGACTGACAGCAGTTCATTCACAGTCAAATCATCGACGACGGCTACAAACACTCGTTGATAGTGTACGAGGAGGTACAGACCCGTGGCCTTCGCCTCCACGCGGCTGTCTGGGAAGGCGAGCTAAGGCAATGCCCCGTGTGGACGGCCTTCGGTAGGTATCTCCTTACTTTTGGGCCACCCTAAACCCCGCCGGTCCTGATCTTGGCCTGGTGTGTGTGTGTGTGTGTGTGTGTGTGTGTGTGTGTGTGTGCTCACCTGCTCCCTCCAGTCACCCACCAATCCCAGTCGCCGACCTGGCTGAGCCGCCGATCCAAACACCGCGTCTGGCTCAAGGACGTCCAGCTCTACGTCTTCTGCCAGCGCTACCGGCACGAGAACATGCGCCAGAACAAGTCAGGCGCATTCGAGATTTACTTTGTCAGCGAAGAGGGTACGAACCCCCTTTTCTCTCTCTCCCCTTCCCTTCCATCCCTTTATGTCTCTCTCTGTGTGTGTGTGTGCGTGTTTGTGTGCTTTCAGACTACGTGATATGCCCGGCCCAGACGCACATCCTAACCTTATTTCCACCAAACAAAACAGGGGCGACACGGTTCAAGGACGTCTTTGCGGCCGCCTGCACCCCAGAGCCATCAGAGGCCAACGAACCGTCGACCGGCCCAAAGTAAGCAAGGCTGCAAGGGATGTCCTTCCCGGCCAAGCGAGGCCCTCAAAATGGGAGCAAAACGGCCGGTAATGATTCCACTACGACGATGACATTCCACGACGACGACGACGACGACGACGACGACGACGACGACGACGATGATGATGATAACGGAGACGAAAGCCTCTCTTTTTTTTTCATTTCCCCTGTTTTCTTTTTTCTTGATTCTACTTACTCCCTCATGTACTGGGAACCGGAGAGAGAAAAAGAAGATTGTATGATAACGCTTAGATTGGCATCGTCGGCTTCCTGTTTCTGTGATCCTTGACTTCTCTCTTCCCCCTTCCTCTTATTTCCTGCCCCCCTGGTATTTCTCCGGCGGTTCGGTTGGAATCACCGGTATAGGGGCAAGGAGAGGGGGGAAGAAAGGGGTATAATGCATATTTGGCCCCCATGTGGGCAAGGCTAGTAGTATGTGCAGTGATGGGGCCGAATCCAGCGCACGAAGGGGACGATGGAAAAGATTGCTTATTGAAGCATGGTTCAAACTGTCAGGAGGGCATATTGGTATGATCAGGTCCAGGTTGTCAAATAATAAGAAATACCTAACAAAATTCAAAACTCTGCTAGGCTCTTCCTGACGTCTGATTATGCTGCAAATTCCATTATGTCTGGCTCCATCCAACCCCCACAAGTCTTCCACGCTCTGTCTTCCACGCTCTCATTACCCGACCCCGCATCCGCCCTCGGCTGGAAACACACAGAACATCCTGACCGCCGGTCTGCCAGCGGCCAAGTCACGCTCGCCTATGTCTTGACGTCGGGCTCGTCGCGGCCGACGAACTCCTTGAACTTGAGCAGGCCGGTGGCGAACTTGATCTCGGGCCCGAGGAAGTCCTGGGCGTCCATGTCGTGCGTGGCCGGGTCGTCACTGTGCTGCTCAATGTACAGCCGCACCGTCGCACCCGAGGAGCCAGTGCCCGACAGCCGGACGATGACCCGGCTGCCCGACGAGAAGCACGCATACAGGCCCTGATTGCTCGAAACAGAGCCGTCCAGGTCCGTGTACGAGAAGTTGCCAGCGTCCGTAACTGTGCGGTCTATTTTGGGTTGCGGATATAGTAGTCAGTTGTCTGTGTATTTCACAGAAAGGGGGCTTGTTATAAGGGTCTGCACCACTTACCTCCAATCTTGCTGCCGACAAAGTTCTTGTCGGCGACCAAGTCCTGCAGCACGCCAACTATCTTGTTCGCCCCCTCCGAGTCGACATCCTCGTAGTCGTGGCGGGTGAAGAAGGTCCTGCCATACTCCTTCCAGAAGTCCTTTTGGATCTGCTTGATGCTCGGCGCGATGTCCGGGTGCTCAAGGCCGAGCCCAGCGATGATGTTGAGCCACGCAACGATGGCCCACAGGCCGTCCTTCTCGCGGATGTGGTTGCTGCCGGTGCCGAAGGACTCCTCGCCACAGATGGACAGCTTGTCCGCGTCGAACAGCGCGCAGAAGAATTTCCACCCAGTCGGGACCTCGTAGCAGTTGAGGCCTTGCTTCTTTGCAACCAGATCGACTGCCCCAGAAGTCGGCATGCTGCGCGCCAGGCCGTAGACGCCATTCTTCTTGAAGTAGGGGATAAGGCGGGCATGATGCGCGATGATGGCAAGGCTATCTCCCGGTGACACGAAAGCGCCGGCGCCGTAGATCATGTTGCGATCTCCGTCGCCGTCAGAGGCCGCGCCGAAGGGGATGCTCTTCTTCTCGACCGACTCGACCAGGCTGTGGGCGTAGGTCAGGTTCGGGTCGGGATGGCCGCCGTTGAAATCGGGCGACGGCTCGCAGTTCTGTGTCGATTCCGGACCGAGACCCAGTTCCTTCTGGAAGATGGCGACGCCGTACGGGCCGGTGACGCCCGACAGGCCGTCGAATAGGACCTTGAAGTCGGGATGGGTCTGGAAGAACTTCCGGATCAGATCAAAGTCGAAGATCTCCTTCAGCATGTCTACGTAGTCGGCCGTGCTATCGATGATCTCCACTTCGAGGTTTCCATATGTCTTGGTGCCAACAGTGGAAATGTCGACATCGGGTATATCAGCCAACTTATAGGACGTCAGAGATTTTGACGTCTCGTAGATTTTGTTGGTGACGGATTCGGGTGCTGGTCCGCCATGGGAAAGGTTGTACTTGATGCCAAAATCGTTCTTGGGGCCTGTTGGCACCTGGAAATCAGCAATTGACTCGACAGGAGCGAGGATAGGGGGCTCAAGCAAGACGTACCACCGGGGTTGTGACTTGCGGTCAGGAGGATACCGCCCGTCGCCTTGCGTTTCCGAATAACATGGCTCGCAGCAGGGGTTGAGAGAATGCCATCGCGGCCAATCACAAGCTTCTTGACGCCATACGCGGCGCTGATTTTCGCAATCAGCTGGATGACCTCGGGGTTCCAATATCGGCCATCACCGGCGACAACGAGCGATGCACCTGGATGGAGAGGTCAATGGACAGGCCAGGCAGGAGCAGATCAGCGACGCGGAGACACGCACCCTCGGCACCCTCTGGGATGGAAAGCAAGATGCTTGCGACGAAAGACTCGCTATAGTGCGGTTGCTGGAAGACGGTAACCTTCTTGCGCAGACCAGAGCTGGGAAGAGGGCGAGCAAACTTTGCGTCAGCGAGCTTTGCGTCAATTGATGGCAATCATGGCGGGGTAGTTTAAAGCTGCAACGATTGCGGGAGTTACGTACGTTCCAGGCTTCTGGTCAGTGAAGGGCTTGAACTCCACGGTCTTGACGCTCATTTTGGCTTAACTGTTTGATTTCCTGATAGCAGAGTTTGAGCAAGGGAGGCCGATAAGCTAGAATCGATTCTTCCCAGGACAAAAACAAACATGAATGTGTTGAGGAAGGAGCGTGGCGGGAAGATGACCTCATGGTAAATCGATTGGTCATAGCATGCAGCTAGAGATGATTTTGGTGTGCCCCTCCCTGTATGCAGCCCAAATCGCCCAACGCCATTCCGGGGAATCGATTCGGGGTCTGTCCTTTGGTTCGTTCTCAGAGTCTCATCCAAGGCACACACAGGCTGCTTGCTGCAAGGAGAATTTCAAATAGCTCACCTCCACGCCCACTTTCCCACCCCTCCTAGAGAAAAGCGAGTGTAAATAGCGCAAATGATGGTCGTAAACTTGTAGGTTGGGATGTAGGTATGTAGCCCGCCCTTTAATACGACCGCTGGAGAGGAGTTTACTTGCGGTCCTCGTCCGCGCCCGACTTCCCCACGGCCATGTATATCTCCCGATAGTAATACTCGGCCTCCCTTATACTCTCCAGGATATCCTGCCGCGCCTCATGCCGCTCCTCCTTGACTGGGGCGCCGGCCACGATATCGGGCCGCCACCGCCGTGCCGCCTCCTTGAGGGTGCTCACGTCGAAGATGCGGTAGTGCAGGTGGTCGACGACCTTCCTGTAAGGCCCCTTGGCCAGGAACGCGCGGTCCATGTGAACGCTGTTCCCCGCGAGCAGCGCCACCCGGGGTTCCGGGATGTGCTTCTGGATGTAGGCCAGCAGGTCCTCGGCCGCCGTCTCGGCCGTCACCTTGGACTCGATCACGGCAGCGGTGAGCCCGCTCGCGCCGTGGACCCTGGTGCACCACTCGTCCATCTGGTCCATGCGCTCCTTCGGCTGGTGCACTACCGCGCCCCAGCCCGCCTCGTGGGCCAGGTTCAGGCGGCCGTCGGTGATGAGGCAGAATATCTCGATGATTTCATCCTGGTCCGGGTCCAGGCCCGTCATCTAGCGGTTTTTTCATTTTCCGTCAGCACGTCGAGGCTGGCAACCTAGAGGGACAACGCTAATAATACCTCGCAGTCTATCCAGACTAACGGGTTTTCATGGCTTGTCATGGCAGCAGTATCTTTCCGGCAGACGGGCTTTCCACACGGGATGAGAGTGATGAACGTTTTTGTAGATCCTCTTTGGGCGAAGAAATCAAGTGGTGGAAAGAATCAGAGGGCCACAAGCTACCCCACTTTTTAACAAGCCTACGTCACTCCTTAACAATATTATCAAGGTAATGTAGGGACAAATTATTAGCGGCTACCTTGTTGATGTTTGTAAATTGGGTAGCTTGTGGCCCTCTGATTCTTTCCACCACTTGGAAATATACAAATAGGTACCTCCGTACCTACAGTCCCGATCCGTACTTCCCAGGCAGCTGCCAATGCCTGGCGATCGGTGTGGGGGAACGTTTATCAATTCCCACCACTCAGCAGCTAACAATTACAAAGTATGCACGGAGGCGTCCCGTCGGGTAGGGATCCATCCGGACCGGTCTGACGGGGAGGGGTTCCTCCGTACCTGTGTTACGGGGAGAGTATACCTAATTTGCGGGCGGCAGGCAACAGGTTCAGCATCTATGCCTCGAAAGGCAGCTGCATTTAGACCCGAGAGAGGGGGGTCACAAGCAGTTAAATAGTACACCTAAGCCCACAGCACCTCGATCCTTCCCCCCTCCCCCGTTTTCGACCCAACAGTATCATGTCTTCCCTCAAGAAACTCATCTTCCCCACCACGGCCGAGGGCGACCAAAAGCCAAGCGCGCCCTCCCCGGCCGCCAAGCCCGCCACCTCGGGGGACGACGCCACCATCGAGCCCCCGCCCCGGCCGGCCATGTCGGCCTCGCCACCCCGCGTCCTCGTCATCGGCGCCGGCTCCCGCGGCTGCGCCTACGCCGACGCCATCGAGTCGAGCTGCAACGGCGTCGTCGTCGCCGTGGCCGAGCCCGACCCCTACAAGCGCGACCGCTTCGGCCGCTCCCGCATCTGGGGGGCCACCGGTTCGCCCGGGGAGGGCGCCCAGTTCGACGGCTGGAGGGACTACGTCTCCTACGAGAAGCGGCGCCGCGAGCGCGCCGCCGCCAGAGAGGAGGGTGTGCCCCCCGGTGTCGATGCCGTATTCGTCTGCGTGCTGGACGAGATGCACCGCGAGGTCGTCGTCGCTCTGTCAGAGCTAGGCGGGCTGCATATCATGTGCGAGAAGCCGCTGGCAACGAGCCTGGACGACTGCGTCGACATGTACGCATCGCTGCGAACGTCCGAAGGCACCGTGTTCTCCGTCGGCCACGTTCTGCGCTATAGCCCGCACAACATGATGCTCCGTAAGCTACTCCTTGAGGACCGCGCCATTGGCGATGTCCTGTCCGTCATCCACACCGAACCCGTCGGCTGGTGGCATTTCACCCACAGCTACGTCCGGGGCAACTGGCGTCGGGAGAGCACCACGGCCCCGAGTTTGCTGACCAAGAGTTGCCACGACATCGACGTCCTACTCTGGCTGCTCTGCTCTCCCCCTTCTTGCACCGACCCCAATTCGGCCCCCCACTTACCCTCCACCGTGTCCAGCTCGGGCGCTTTGCAGTACTTCAAGAAGAGTAGGAAGCCGGCAGCTGCGGGGAGTGCCACAAATTGCCTCTCATGCCCCATCGAGGAGTCTTGCAAATACTCGGCAAAGAGGGTCTACGTGGGCGGCGAGCTGAGGGGCCTCGGCGCGTGTAACAGCGGCTGGCCAGTCAAGATTGTTGTTCCGGACATAGAAGACTACGACAGCGGAGGGGAAGCCCGGGAGGCGCTCCTGGCCAAGTTAAAGGAGGACTACGACCGCAGCAGCATGCCGGACTCGGAAATCGCCAAGCGCCCCTGGTTCGGGCGGTGTGTCTACGAGTCCGACAACGACGTATGCGACGAGCAGATTGTCACAATAACGTGGGATGAAGACCCGTTACCGGCTTCGCCCTCCAAACCCCCTGGCTCGGCTCCCTCCCCGACCGCTGACCCGATGGGTGGTCGAGGAGCCAAGACGGCAACGTTCCATATGGTCGCGCAGACCAAGAAGATCTGTGAGCGGTACACCCACCTCTACGGCGTCGACGGCGAGATGTACGCCGATTCCCGCACCATCACGGTCGAGGACTTTCGGACTGGCGAGACCAGGACGTACACCCCTCGACTGGAGAGCCTCGGGCATGGAGGCGGAGACGTCGGTTTGGCAAGGCAGTTCATCCTCGCCGTCGATAAGGTCAAGAATCACGGGTGGGATGCGGACAAGGCCCAGAGGGAGTTCATCGGCTGCACTGTCGAGGAGGTGATCCGAAGCCATGCCCTGGTGTTCTGCGCAGAGGAGGCCAGGACAGGAAAGAAGGTTGTCGACTGGAACGAATGGTGGGCGGACAAGGTCAGGGGCCTTTGAAGAAGTGAAGTAGGGAATGTCTGTAGTCGCGCAATGCTGTTTGAGATGACCTTTTTCGATACTCCCGCAGTCTTCACTCCTTCGTGGTCAAATGGTCACATCCCGAGTGCCTCAGCTCCAGCCCGCCCTCCCATCGGGGACCCAATGGCTGCCGATATATGAGACAAACCGCTGCGCTCATCAGTATCGTCGCCACTGTCACCGTTTCATCACCGATATGATAGTGTGGCGGCCGGTACGTTCCTATGGGTGAAGGTGCTGAGCAACACCTCCACGCTCTCCCGGTTTAGTAATCGCAGCAGAGCTTCAGAATTGAGCGTAGATATGCAGAAAAGCAGGGTCAGAAGAACTTGGGTCGACACTCGTTTATTCATTGGACAAGGAAAATCTGAAGAGCCCAATTTCTGGCAATGGCGCAGCCTGCAGGGCTTCACCTGCGCAAGGTACATACATACATGCAACATACATTGGGTGAAGGCGGTGCAGCCAATGACGCACCCCTGCATCACCGAGAATGGACAGTACCAGCATGTCGGTTCGGGTCGCCATCTTAGACATATCTTGCCGCTCCAGGAGGGGCCGTCTCCCTTCTCTGCGTCGGAGCATCCCTTCACCTCAACCTAGATATTTTTTTCTTCCGAGTGCGCTAAGAGGAAGGTATTAGCCCACTTTGGATTGTTTGTTAGGAGCTGTTGTATCCCCTGTGCACTCGCTCGCAGATATTGGGAAGAAACGCCTTTCCGGCTTGACCCCAACCTTTCTGACGATTCCTACCCTATCTAGGGTAAAATGTCTGACAACCATAGCGTTGACGCGAAAGGCATTCGCAAATTCCTCGAGCCGTTCGAGGAGGATGTGTTTGAGAAATACTTTGACACCAAGCGGTATTATAACGAGGATCCGTCCCCGTCACACACAGACGATTCCGAGACGTCGGCTCTCTTTACCGAGGGCGGCGCCACTTCAGTGACGGCGCCAACAAGCATCGGGTCTCCTCCCGAAGGTCCGAGTGCGCCGCAGTGGGCTCGGGACGAGGACGTACAGCTTCCAAACGCAACTCACGTAGGGGATAATCACGCCCACTACCTCATCCTTCCCACATTTGAGTCAGCCACAGAAATCCCCAGGCCGCCGACTTTGATGTCCTTCGCCCCAAACACTCCAGCAATAGCAACCCCGGGACCTCGGCCATGGGATCTATTCCTCCCGCCCCGGCCCACTCGGAACCTCAGGGACCCGGAGGAGACCGCCAGGATCCGGGAGCTGACCTCTTGTCGCCGCTGCAAGATCCTCAAGACCGCAGTAGGTTTGACAACCTAGTTTGGACGGGTGTTGCTGATACTAAACTTGAAAGCGCAGTGCCAGTCGCAGGATATTTGCGACCCCTGTAAGAGATGGGACGACAAAAATCATGAGCGCCTCTGTATCCGGAAGACCCTTGAGTCTACCCTAATGGGCGCGAGTATCCAGAGTGAGTTCGTCTTGTCCCGCAACTAACTGTATACGCTTAACATCTTGACAGGACGGTGGCTCAGTGCCTGGTTGGGGCATCCTCGTCTCGGTGGCGCCGATCCAGAACCGAGTGACCAGCTGTACATCGATGTGATATTCTCAGAAGCGGATCCAAAGCCGCTTCGCGTGTACGTATGCCCTTATGTTCTCGGCCAGGGACAGTGTGTCTTAGGGGTTGCACCAAATCGCTCTCCGTCTGCAGAAGAGCTCCATGAATGGGCTGCATTCCAGCTCAAGAGGAGAGCTGAGGACGACTTTCGAGGCGTCATTGATTCGTTCCTCGTCCTCTATGCGAGGTCCGGATATCCAGAGAAGGTAATAGTACCACGTGGGCCTTCTCCAATTCCCCAACGTCGTGCCATGGAGCTGATTAATCCGGGGTAGAACCCCTTAGTTGAGAATGTCGCCAAGAATGTCGTGAAGATGAGTGCTATGTGGCATATCTTGAATGCCAAGATGCTGTATTGCCGCCACGACCTGTTTCCCCCGAGGGTCATTATAGCCCCTGAGGCCGTCCAGGTTCATATCCAACGACTTGCGCAGCAGATGATGACTTCTCTTGAGCACAAAATTTTGAGGAACATTGACGATCTCGTCCCGGACACAGCCAAGAACTTCGCAGACAGGCCGGTAATTTGGAGCATATTATGGGGTGTGATCTTAATCTACCGCCAGTCCTTGGACGAATGCCAACGAGCTAAGGACAAGCCCAGCAGCTGTACGTGAATACTTCTTTCAACACTTGATCTCGCAGGCGTCTAGAGACGCTGACTGGGCGTAGGGGAGACCTCGGAAGCTTGTCAGGACCGGGAAGACTTTATAAATGTCACGAGCCAGCTGTTGGATTCCCTTATCGTCACATACTCGTCGCGTTTCAGGACCAGAGGTGTTCAAGACACCCTCAATTCGTCGGACAAGACTTTCCCGCACCAGTTTGCAGTGCGAGAGGCGTTCGAAGCGGCCCGTAAAGTCAAGTCTCAATTTTGTAGGTTTCTTCGCGGATGGACAAGATGCCAGGTTGAGGCTGGTTCTGTCTCAATGCAAATGACCAAGCTAACCATGCAGCAGACGACCAAGTTAGCAAACGGGAGCAGGATCATGACAACCTCATTATGAAACATGTCATTGAGCCTGAAAGGCAGGTCATGAAGAGAGGGTATCGCAGAGCGAAGCCCCGATAGACGCTATAAATGGTGTTGTGATGGGGTGATGAGAGGGGCGAGGGATGGATGATGAGACGAACATACTTTTTTTTCCATATTTTCTTCGGGGTATTCCTTCCTCTTTTCTCTGTTTCTTCTCGCCATCTGGGTTCATTGCATATGCCTCGAGCCAGAGAGATTGGATATTCGCTGGCGTTAGAGACCACTGGCAACAGAAAGCTTTGGCGGCTCACCTCGTGCGCAGAGCAGTAATTTCATTCTCCTACGAGTTCTGAGAGGCTTGGGCTTCTCTGGATTTCCCCTTTAAGGTACGAGTCGATAGATTATATCCCGTGGCATGGCGTCGCGAGAGCCATCTTCTAGAATCATACCCTCGGCACCTCCTTGATTTGGATAACGGCGCTTTTACCGTTCTTCTTCTCGAGCTTTTGGGGCTTGCTTATGTTCTTGAACAAGCCCTCCAAGCCATTGAGGTCCATCCCTTTGACCGCTTTGGAGCTGACAAAGACCACAAGGCGAATCCTTGATTTCTTGCCGTCTTCATCTACAGTCACACGGAACCTGTACCTATGGCGTCAGCAAGGGATGGCCGAGAACAGATGGTGGCATTTCTTGGAAGGGCAGAGCCATAACTAACTTGATTGCGTCTCTGATCCTCTGGGTAGTCCTCGGCCAGGTAGGGACCACGGTCGCCATAACGGCAGCAACAGCCCCGATATACTCGATCCAGAAGTTCGCATCCTCGTCTGCGCCATTGACAAGTTGCCGTAAGCTTCTGCGCATCTGCTGATCAATCGGTGCCAGATTGGTGCCCCAACGTGCGCACAGGGTGAGCCCAAGCACGGCTCGTGCCAGGTGTGTCAGGCCGGGACAACTAGGGTCACGCGTGACTAGATTGTGAAGGCAGGCAGAGGCGTTGGCATCCCCGTCCTCACCGGCACCAGCCCAAATCTGCCTGGCGAACAGAAGTTCGAGGCCGAGGGTGAAGATGCTGAGCGCTTCTGTAGCCGGAACAGCTGCCTGAAGTGTAGAGACAACCGCCTGCAACGCCTCTTGATCTTCGGCATGCATGATTGGGCTTGTTGCCAATGGCATGCTCATAAGACTGAGAGGGTTGCCCTCGCGTATCTCCCGCGGCAGCTTCATCATCAGAGCACCCTCTCGATTGCCCCCTTTGCAGAAAGTGACGGAGCGAATGCTCGGCACAGCTTGGATGAGGGCTTCGACGACGGTGACGATTGCGGGAAACTGGGCACGGCGGCGCTTCGACATGCCGAAGATTTTCCCATCGTATTCCTTGTTTAACTTGAGCATCTTCTTTGTCTGCCCGAACAAGCTGCCGGGGACAGTATATGTCCCGATGGAGGGCACTGGGTACGGTTGGATGGGATCGTTGTGCATCAGCATGCTGCCATAACCCCTGAAACCGCCCCCGCAGAGGTAAATATCGATACCGTCACGCTGCTTCGTAGACTCTGGCGAAATGCTCTGGTTCAGACTGGGGAACGTCGCCCGCAGCCTCTGCAATGCTTCCATCATGCCAAGCTGCAACTTCGACTTCTCGGCAGCCTGAACCTCAGCATCGTCGTTCTCGAGTATCCTGATGAGCCGCGCGGCGCCAAAGGGCAGACTTTGGCCGGCCTGCGCCGCAGCCAGCTCGTATGGCGGCATGTCCGCTGTTTGTGTTCCAGCGAGATATGTGTTCATATAGGTCATTTGGACGGACCCGCCACCGAGGTCGAGGAACAGACCCTTGACATTAACAAAGCCGGATCGAGCCCCCATGGACCCGAAGAGGGTTTCAACTTCGGGAGCCAGAATCTGCACCCTCAAGCCTTGTGCCTCTGTGCTGATGGCTTCCAGCATGGCAACGGCATTCCGGGCGCGGCGCATGGCCTCGGTAGCAAAGACCGTGACATGCTCGGCGAGTACGCCATAGTCGTCCACCGCGATGGAACGGAACCGTGCTAAAGTCTGGGAGACGAGGCGGATTGTCTCTGGTGGAAAGGTCAACGGGTCGCTTGCCGAGCTGGAAGAGGATGGCGAATTGAGAGCATCGAAGAGAGAGATGGCGGCTCGCTCGCGGTAGAGGCACTTGAGCAGCCGGGAATTAGGAGGTGACAGGTCTGAAATGGAGAAGCGGATGCCATTACTTGTCGGGTGGAAGGGCTAGATGTTAGAATAGGTATCATCAGGAAAGGGTGACCTGGAAGTAGGGCTCGATTGAGCGCACTTGGCCGCACTTGCTGGCTCACGCAAAGACACACCTTCCCATATCGACTAGAGCATAGAGATAGTCCGGGCCGACGGTGGGGGGCATCTTAGACTCGAGGTTATCGAGAGTTATGATGTCAACGGTAGACGCCATTTTTATTTTAGATTTATCTTGTCTTGTCTTGGGTGTCGAGGTGTCGTTGAGGAAAGCTCATCAAAGGACCGCCGCCAGGATCTGCTCCGACATTGGGTGGGGGCCTGATTTCCTACACCCACCACGTGTTAGGGCGGATTCCAGGGCAACCTCCCTGCAAATTAAAATATGGGTTCATCAGCCGGAAATCGGATTGACTCGTTTTACGAATGATAGGAGAGAGGAATATTTGGATCCGACAGACTGACAGTTTTGCTCGTGGGTGAAGCGTTAGGCATCCACGCTGTCCACTGGTTTCCCTGGTGGCACCTAAGTGGCTCAATACCAAACCCAACTCGCTCGTTCAAGGTGATAACATCGCTTTGCTTCCCCGTGTGTCTCATGAAGTGAGATAGGCTGACTTCATCCTCTGTTACAACCTCACGTTTTTAAGTGTCCAACTTTTCATAGGTCAGCCTATCACATCTTATTCTTTTCACTTTCAGCACCAATTTTGTCCCAAGGTCTTATGGTGCTCATCAGACACTCCGCTTAGCCGCTCTTTGAGGTCCCCATGGGGTCAGGCTTCATTTCATCTTCCAATGATCGCAGGGAGGTGCATGACTACGCAAGGAATATCTCATGCTAGCTTCACTGCGGGTCCAGGACAGCCGTATAAACCCCATTTGGCTTCTAGTAAAAATCTGACTGTTTGACCGTTTGACATTGCCATGGTGAGAAGTCTCGTCATCTGCTTTGGAAGATCTTACAAACGACCAAGAATCGACATCAAACGAGTGCTGCAAACATCCCTCACATCCGTCTTGACCTCCATTGCAAGAGCCCTTCCAACTACCTACCTCTCACTTCTCAGTTGCTCACGATTGCCCCACACGCCAGTTTCAACCGATACCGCCACACTCTCGCCTGACTCGGGTCCATTCTATAACTCCAAGGCATGGAAGCAAAACGGACTTAGCATGACCCTATGGCCGAAGTCTACTCTAGACTCACCACCCCCGGCGTTTGTTGCTCTGCGGCAGCCTATGACTTGGCCGGGAATCTAGCAACACTGAATGCAGACTGGCGCCATAGTACACGACTGGACGAGGTATCTGACGGCGAGTGGCTGTGCTCAACAGTTGAAATGCATATCGGGGGATACTACAATTCCGATTGCTCCTGGAATAAAATTAACGCCAATTCGCGAGGCTCCCAGTCACGTTCGAATTCCTCAGGGAAGCCTTAGTCCGCAGGCCAATTATTGGACGGGGCCCTAGGAATCACAATCGCGAGATGGAAAGCCTATCCTCGATCATGCCCATCCAACTGATCGTCTCAGATCATACTGCCGACAACGAGATGATAGTTCTGAGCACGATGGCTATTATATTGCTGGATCCTCATGCCCTATGCAGGTCACAGTCTTGACCTGCTTGGCACAACCGCGTCGAATGTCCCTGTCAATGAGGATCAACTTTTGGTCTTGCCTGCAGCGTACGTAAGCTCTCAAAATGTGAAATCAAGCATGGCAATATCTGTCGTGGAAACGTCATCCTCATGCGACCTGAATGGACAGCTTCCAAAGCTGCAAGACTGTTCCTGATAGATATAGGGGGTGTCGCCCCTGGCTACGAAAACGATGTGGCTGCACTGGGAAGTTTGTTTTATTGGTGCTTAGAACACTCAACTGGGTCAAAAGATAAAGCTGGGGCAAAGAAGACAGTAATAATTGCAGCGGAATTGCTAAAAGGAGGGTGATTTGGACCTCCCCATTGGCGTGTTGCTACTGAGTAACACAAAGAGTACCTTCAAAGGTCACTTCCTCGATATGAAGATGCCAAGAGAAGGCGACTTTGAGGCCAAAGGTATTATACAGGCAATCCACAAGAGAATAAAGTACCAGAAAGACTGTATATATTTATATACCTACCTATATATATATTTAAAGTAAATAATGAAGTAAAGGGGAAGAGGAGATAAGTCACGAATCTCGACAAATGACTGCCTGCAGCCAAAAGTCATTCCGTAATCAGGGTATACATAGTAAGGTTCGGGCCATTGCAAGGGGTCCATGTCTGGGAAAGGCCCGGCCCATGACCTGGCCTGACCTGCGTATCTTGCCACCGCGAACTCACATTCATGACAGTCTATTTAAGTACACCACTCCTTCAGGAGGCTACAACACGGGTGATAGAGTGTTGGCAAGCCCTATATCAACTACAGCAGCCGTCACTAGTCTTCTCAGAAGCTTGTAGTCCATTGATAGGTTACTAGAAAAGTATTCTTGCTCGGAGTGGTGATTGAGGTTTGTTTACCGTGCTCCCAACTGATGATTACACTAGGAGCACGGAGTTCGGAGTACCGTACCGTTTGTGCATAGTGGAGAGGTAGGTCTAAAGGGACCGTGCTTTTTCCAACAGCGCGGGCTGGCTGGATAAGTGCATGAACCCAGTGGACGGGGATTCCCGCCGCCCCACGCCGTCTACGTCATGCAATCGGTCAGCCCACTGCGCTGTCTCGAGCGTCCTGCAGATGCGCATGTTATGAGGCTGGGGGGAACGGCCGAGGTGCTGGCCATGAGGTATCGCATGTTTTATTATCGTGAGATCAATTGACAGCGGCCGGAAGTGACATATAACTAATACATTACCCTTTCCTGCTCATCCCTACCCGTCCCTACTTGCAGCCCTGATTACCTTTGTCCAAAAAATGAAGATCATTCTCTCAGTCAATGCTGGCTCCTCCTCGGTTAAGATCTCTGTTTATTCCGCCTCGCGGAACCAGAATCCCACCCAGATCGCCGAGCTGCAGGTCAGCGGGCTGACAGCCGCGCCGCCGACGCTCGACTACTCGCGCGGCGGCACGACAGTCATCAAGCACCGCGAGGTGAAGGACAAGATCGACAGCCAGGACGATGCGTTTGAGCTGCTCCTCAGGACCCTAACCGATGACAAGGAGCTCGCCGAGATCTCGCGCAAGGAAGACATTAGCATCGTGAGCCACCGCATCGTGCACGGTGGCGACTTCGCCCGCTTGGAGGTAATCAGCCATGAAACGTATAACAAGCTGGAGGCGCTCAACGACTTGGCGCCACTGCACAACGCCAGTGGTCTCGAGATCGTCAAGAGCTGCATGCGCGTGCTCCCCGGCGCCACCAATGTCGCCTGCTTCGACACCCAGTTCCACGCCAGCATCCCCGAGCACATTCGCACCTACCCGATCAACCAGGACATCGCGAGGAGCAACAAACTGCGCAAGTACGGCTTCCACGGCATCAGCTACGCCTTCATCACCAGGTCCGTAGCCCAGTTCCTGGGCAAGAGCGTCGATGACACCAGCATCATCGCCTTGCACCTCGGCTCCGGGGCCAGCGCCTGCGCCATCAAGGGCGGCAAGAGCTGGGACACCAGCATGGGCCTCACTCCGCTGGCAGGCTTGCCGGGCGCAACGAGGAGCGGGAGTGTCGATCCGAGGTGAGTTGTTTCTGGTCCTTGCATATAACAAACGTCCCAAGTCCTCCCCCCCTCCCCCAAATCCCGGCAAGACTAACACGAAAACCCCCCAACAGCCTCGTCTTCCACTACGCCTCAGACGTAGGCAAGTTATCCCCCTCATCAACCAAGGAACTCCACATCTCGCGGGCCGAGGAGATCCTCAACAAAGAATCCGGTTGGAAGGCCCTAGCCGGCACGACCGACTTTTCCGCCATCGCCGCCGCCGCCTCCTCCTCACCCACCGATGACAACGACGACGACGACGACGACGACACGGCCCGCCGCCGCCTCGCCTTCGACCTCTTCGTCGACCGCGTCCTCTCCTTCGTCGGCACCTACTACGTCTCCCTCCGCGGCTCCGTCGACGCCCTCGTCTTCGCCGGCGGCATCGGCGAGCGCAGCGCCCCGCTCCGCGCCGCCGTCGTCGACGGCGTCGCGTGCCTCGGCTTCGACGGCATCGACTCAACGAAAAACGAGGCCGGCGGCGACGGCAGCGTTGTATGGGACGTCGGGGCGGCCGGAGACGGCGGCAAGGAACACAGGGTCCTGGTCTGTCGGACTGATGAGCAGTTTGAGATGGCGAGGTCTTGCGCGCATGACGGGGAGTTATGGTGAAAAGGGGTTAGGTTCCTTCAGCTGGAGGTCGAACGTAGACCGGGACCCAGGGATACGTACTAATAGATATTCCAAACCTTTCCTGGGATTTTCCGCGCAGGAAAATGTAATCTACTTTACAATGCCATACGCTGAATTAAACTGGATGTAATATAATTCACCCGTAAAGATAAGGTGACCCAAGAGTCACCATTTCTACAAGCGGAATAGCATCACAAAGTGTTCACGAGTATATCACCAGCAGGTTTTAGCAAAAATCTTATAAAAACCTTATTCAGGTTCCGTGTTTGGCGCGAATAGGCCGTCAGTTCCAGGTTTTATATCCCCTATCTGTCCGCCTCGTTTTTCGGGGGAGAATTCCTTCAGAGTATCAGGTATCCAATTGCCGTTCTGAGGTGGTAGGAAACAAAAAATTGAAGTGAAGAGACCGGTATTGGTATTGATAGATGATGGTTGCGCTCGCCGACCCGCCCAAACCCAATTTGCACCTATCAGGTACCGCCCAAACCCCCCTTAAAAGGGGGACCGACTGCGAAGCCCGAAGCCGCTTGTAATCGTAGAAGACGACCTTGCTCCAAGCCCGAATTCGCTTGTCCAGAAAGCTCTCGTCCTCCGTCTATGCAACTCTGTCTGTATCTGGACTCCCGTAGCAGAATTGTCTTCTGCCCAAAACACCAACACGTTCATGTACACTGTCTCCGAACTTGAACAAATCCTCGCCGAAGAAGGGGGAGGTAGATGGACCCCAAGGAGTAATTAAGGGGAGTGGAGGAAGGAGTGAGCCGTAAAAAAAGGCCGAGGGAACCATTACGTTGGTGTTCCCAGAGATGATGTACTGTAAGAAACCCAAAACGCCATTGCTCCGCGAAACCTCGAGACGCCATTTTGTTCATGATACTCACCTCGAAGTCCGGTCGTGTATCAGATCCAGGACCACGCCGTATACGGGCGATTTATTGTGTAATCGCATTTAAACCCCCCCCCCCCCCCCCCCAAAAAAAAAAAAAAAAAAAAAAAAAAAAAAAAAAAAAAACCTCCCATGACATGTTCTTGGTCGTGATGTGAGACCAATTTATGACTGAATTGGCGAAAAGCTGCAGATAGGGAGAGAATGAGCGGGGCGTCATCGCGTGTGCTGATAGTTGCCGCTGAGCCTGGGAGGACCGGGGTTGAGCAGCACTGGAATTTGAACTCGTTGGGCAATATGTCAAGCTCCCTCCTGGCATGCAACAGCCATAGCCAGGGCATCCAGGCCGCTGCTCGGCGTGCTCGACACGCTCTGCCGTGAACCTAAGAGCGGGATATTCAGGCCGCGCATATCCCAAGCATCTCCCGGAGATGGGAGCGGGGGGTTTTGTTGGGCATGGGCGGCGGCGGCAGCAGCCTTGCGGCTCGAGGATGAAGACTTTCCAGATGCCGAGGAGCGTCGCTCGGAGGAAGAAAGCGAGGACCGCGAAGAAGATGAACGCGCCTTGTCCTTGTAGTGCGTCTCCAGGTGCTGCTTCATGTTATCGGCGCGAGTGAACTTCTTGGTGCATCCTGGATGGGTGCACGGCACAGCCTTCTCGGCCGTGTGGATCTTGGAATGGCGCGACGCGTGGCCCGAGGTGGTGAAGGTCTTCTCACAGCCATGAGTGTCACGATACCGACACGGGTAACGTTTCCCAGAGCGCTCCGATGTCGCTTTCGCGGCGGATGGGTTGAGTCCTGTGTCGTCTTCGTAGGATGAAGATCGGCTGTTGCTGAGAGCGCTGGGGCGCCTGGCACCTGCTGCTGCGTAAGAGGATGGGTCGACCATGTACTCCTCAAACGGCGAGTGGGCATCCTGTCCTGCGGCATACATCATGGTGTAGTCGTAGATGGGGGTGAGGGGCGTTATTGACTCATTGCTCATCTGAGAGTCGTATGAGTCTGACCGGAGCAGTTGCGGAGTATTTGGCGACGAGGAAGAGCTTTTTGTTGAAATTGGGGGATATGGCTGTGAGATGATATGGCTTGCGGCGCGGTAGGATATCCGCCGGGGCATCGACTCATGTTGCGAGTCGTCGTTCAGAAGGGAGACTCGGCGTCCCGAGGCGTCGCGGGCGTGCATGATGTCTTAGTCGCGGCGTGGTTTCAGCGCTAAGGGCCAGTTCCAGAAGAGAAGAGAAGCGTGTATCACGATTGAACGCTGGTGGTCGCCCAACGCCTCAAAACGAATGATAACAAGGCGGTGCGGAGGGGAGATGAGGCAGGGCGGGCCACATTCAAGTATATAACAGTACGTGGCAGCGGCTTGTCTCTCACAAGTATCCCAGTCGAGAGCTGCGATGCTGCTATAGGAGCAACGGAGCTTGCAGAACAAGACAAGGGGAGCACAGATCGACAGGCCAGCAGGGCTGGGGGCTGTCTCAAAAAAAAAAAAAGACTACTCTGTACGAAGAAGCGTAGGATATCGTGAGCTCGCCCGTCAATCTTTCTTTGAGACGGGGTGTATTATCTGTTTCCCCTGCATCGCTCGAGCTTCAAGCTCTCGTGTGCTGCATGCCCCTGTTAGCTTGGTTCTCCATGATGCTTGCAGAACCAAGACGTCGTCGGCGGGTCGAGCTGGCCAGATGGGAATGGTTGAGTGAGGTAGGTGAAAAACTTACACGGCAGAAGCAGAATGATGAGGAGAGAGCTGGGAGAGGAACCAAAAACGACAAAAAGCATAAAAGTGAGGGCCAGGAGGCGTCCAAGGTCGGGGATCAAGCGTTAATAACTCGAGCAAGCATATGAAATCCGTAACTAATGGGGATCTCAACACCACCGCACCTCCACCACAGGGTGTTGGCAGGGATTAGAGCCCACACCCCTTGGCAGAAGGAACCGTACTCTTGGCAGGAGCCCTGGGCCTGCAAGCCCAGAAAACGGATCTAGTCGAAGTAGATGATAGGTACCTTGCTCAAGGGGAATCAAGTCCTCAAAAGTATGGTAAGCAGCATATCACGTAGTGTTTTTCCAGGTGGGCTGAAACAGGATTGGCCTAACCCTCTACATTATGTAGACGTTGCATTGGCAAGTCAACAAGGAATATTTTTGATTGGGGATCCCCCAGCTAGATTTTCTAGAATACCTCTGGGTACCTAGTGTCTACCGCCTGTAAGTGGGCGAGGACCCATGTCAATACCTAGGATATTCTTATGGCCCGCCCAATGACGTATGTGGCGCGTGCCTCCGCTTCCAGAGGTGCCGGAAAGGGGTCCAGACCAGATGGACCCCTTGGAAGAAGCTCTTGTTTGGGGCAAGTGCAATGATGATGACGAGATCAGGATTCCATCTAATCCCAGCTATCCTTGTCCCTGCCACAGCCAGCGTACGCCGTTGAATTTCCTACGATAAGGTCAAAGTTTTGCAAAGTAAGCGCATCTGCACATATTGAAGTCAGTTTCCGGCTTGCATGACAGCTATCGTGCGCAACGATTTTCTGCATCTTTTGGCCAGGCCTGATGCGCCCGCAACTAGGCACCTAGAGTGAGAGGGGTTCCTGGGCCCTGGGGGATTCCACCTTGGCGGGTCAAACCTGCCGCCGCCCTTTCTCCTACCTAGGCACAGATAGAACTACTACATATGTAGAGTAGTGTGGCATAAGCCTTTCGCTATTCCAAGGGCTGTTCTCCACTCCGGGCCAGTTGGTCTCCACACCACACAAACCCCAAAGCAGAGGCAAGCAGCAGATTGAGATGAAGGCAGTCAAGGGGTCCGCTGCCCCTCCAGAAGTCCCCTCACCAGCCGCCCTATAAGTCCGAGAATCCCACCCAATCAATCACCATGATCTTAGGACCCCAGTCAGGTGCCTTGGATCGTCGCCCATCCGCATGTCAAGATCAAGAAGTTCCACCATGGCCTTATGTACCAGCTTTGTGCCTATCGCCTTCCCGCCTGCCGGTAGCGTCGGTCATTTCTATTCCCGGCACCACTGGTAGGCAGATTCCCTCCTCGCACGTGTACATACATATACAACTGCAGGTTGCAACCTACCTAGGTACAGCTTTCAAAGGTTAGGCAGGAGTTTGCGATCTCGGAAGGTGCCAACTCAGAATGCTTCGCTCTCTCAAAAACTCTTTTTTTTTTTTAAAAAAAAAAAAAAAAAAAAACCGCCGTTGTGGGTCCATTCAAATCTGCTGCCCTGAAAAACATGCAGTTTTCCTGCATGCCCCCCGCTAAGTTGTCAAGTGTCTGTAAAAAAGTCAATTTCCATAAAGGAAACCCCATCTTTCTGGCTAGTTCACTCATGGGATTCCTCGCAACTTGTTTTCGGGCCATTTTGCCATGCTTCTCAATTCAAGCTTCCTTGGATTGGAACAAAAGAAATTAGAATGGCTGGGCTGGCATATGGCGGGGAAAGCCATCCGCATGGAGGCCGAGACAACGGCTTGGTGTCAACTGCGGCGTCATGATAAGTGAGCTAGATCGAGATTTTGGAGCGAGATCGAAACTTTGACAGGCTGGAGTCCTGGACCATGGGATGTGGGGCAGGGGACATGGCGGGACAAGCCCCAATCAGAGGAGAGTAGGGGGTGCCTATTCGGGCTGTCTTACAACGTACACAGCAAGAAGTTTACCGTTGTACTGTACCTTGAAGGACCTTATGTTCCGCCGCTAATCCACACCCTAAACCTCCACTACTCCCATGTCCCTGAAAGCTGGTACCTTAGGTCGGGTTCGGAATCCCATCAAGTCAAGAGTTCGGATCAAAAAGCCCATATTTTAAACTTCGTCGCGCCATGTCAACGCCCCGAGGCGAGCCGGATGCGGAGCACAACATTAGGACGGACCCTTGATCCTATCCCGACACCCTGAACGATGAAAGCATCGCCACTTATGCGTACGTTGCACAGTAGGTGCGCTCCGGTACGCTCGTATACGCAGTAGGAGAGGGGTTTACGCGTCCACGAGATATATATTCTCATCGATTCTTAGCATATCCCCAGTCCTAGTCTTAATCTCGTGATTTTGGCCGCCTAGAGGTTGAAAACTAAAACAGCCCCCTCCCTTTTTTGCTGCCTTGTTTAGTTTTCATGCAGCTTCACTACAGCGAGGGCAAAGACCTGATTCATAATTCTGTAACGAGCGTTCATACTTGGCACCCCAATGCCTTCCTGGCTGGGAGGCTTGCAGAAGGCTCACTCATATCCAGAGTTGTTTACTCGGCCATTCGAAATTAGACCACAGTCTAGATCATAGCCGGTTGTTCTCACCGAGAAATGCTGACATACACAGTAAACGAACCAATTAACGCTAGGTATATACCTAGTACCTACATTGGTACCTGAGGGCTGTTTGAACACGAGGTCGTCGCCGACCATGCCGGATCCGATGGGTCCCAAACTTGATGTCAGAAAGGCCGCGTGGCTCACCCCCCTCTCTTAGCCAGAACAAGTCGCAATCGGCGAGGAAGACCACCTGAAATTGAGCGCTGCTCATTACAATTTACAAGTGCTTGAAATTCATCATGTCCGAGTGAGCGAAAAGTGCCGAATGCCGAGCTACCTAGGACCCCTGCCACATTCATCCAACACACCCACCCGCTCCCCTCCAAAGCGAGAGCTCCCTTGTGTTAGGGTGCTGCGCCAAGACATTGCTCTTTAAGAGACCCTGGATTTGGCGGCCTTGGCATTCTCGCCTGGCCCATCAGTGGCTGATCCATGGCATTCTCAGAATGCCATAATTTTACACATGCATATTCGATTCGGGATTCGAAATGGGGCATTGGTAGAGGAAGGGAAGGGGCTCATGGGGTCCCCTGTGTTTGTCTGTCCAGTCCAGCGCACACCAGGGGTCGGGGACCAGGGACCCCGTGTGTGTGGTGTGGGTGTGTCGGTTGCGCTCCTCCCCGCCCTGTGCTACCTCCAGAACGCCGCCTCCCGCCGCATCTCTCTCACAACCTGCCAACTTATCTGCGTTGTGGTAACCGAGGAACAATCTTCCAGCCGGAGCGTCTCCCCCGCCTCAAGCCACGCTGTCAGTGAAAGAGGGGGATGCAGGATATTTGGGACAGGATAGGTATTTAGATGTGAGCGCGCAGTCCGACCCTTCCCGGTTGTCCAATGTCACCTGTCCCTCGCACATCGTATTCCCCGGCATGGCCACGAGACTCACTCGATCGATCAAGCCGATCTGCCGCAGGAGCCCAACCCCCTTACCTCATGCACGTACCATGCAGATGGGTAAGGACGACGACGATCGCCGGATTGCAGGTATAACAGATTCCACCCAGGGGACGGACTCGTATAAATCTTATCTGTCCTTTTGATGGGTCAACACTGCGCAAAATGGTATCGCCGTCGATATGATTCATACTGCTCAAAGGCTCAACACCCTCTAAATAACTCCCTTGGTGTATGATATGCCGTGTCGAGGCTTCAGCAATGTACTGTACAAACGGGTCAACCCTAGCTGAAATGGCCTTTTCAATCCCTCCCACTCCTAGACGCCTTGTAGAATGCAATAATCCTTTCCGCGGCATCCGTAGCCACCTGTGCCTGTGCCGCCATCACTGCCGGGAAAGCTCCCAACGTAGCCAACCGCTAGGCTATGTGCCTAGTTGGACCCCTTCGTTGCCCCCGTATCGACACGCTTCGCCGGCGGCAAGTTGGGCTTTTTGAAGGCAGCACCGTTCGCGGAACCCCCGGACGAGGAAGCAGCCCCCGAGACCTGGGTGAAGGTGCCGCCCTTGAACCAGCGGTCCTCGTCGGCCTTGCGCTTGCGGCTCATCTCGGCCTGGACCTTTGGGTCGACGAGCTCGAGACCCTGCAGCGGCGTAAAGGCCAGCGACGAGACTGTCCCCGCCGTCGAGCCCACCGTGCTCCCGACGCCCGACGTCCGCAGGCCCTTGCCCTGAAGGCTGATGTTCCCTGCCCCTCTGGCCCCGAGGCCTCCCTTGAGCGACGACACGCCGCCACCCGTGTTCAGGCTTGTTGCGCCGCCCCAGCCCTTGCTCTTGGCGCTCAGCTTTGCCCGCGTGCGGTTGTCGATCTGCGTGGCCCGCAGCCGGCCGTCCCCCTGCTGGCCGATCATGCCCATGCCGGCGGTCTGGTCGCCTGTGCCGTAGCCGACCTCCTTCTCCTCCTTCCCAAATGCCATCCGGTTCTGGGCTTTCCGGAGATCCGTCATCGCCGTGGCCTCCTTGGCCTTGCGCGCGCGCCGCCCACCTCGCTTCCGGCTGGGCTTGTCGTCGGGCACCGGGAGGGCTCGGGCGCCCTTGCCTAGCGGTTTCTGGCTGATCTTTTCGAGCCGCTCCAGACACTCATCCTTGAGCCTCTCACCCTCGGATCCATCGCGGAACTGGTGGAAGCAGTCGCTTCGCGCACACAGGACGATCTTGTTAGCGAACATGCGTATCGCTTGCTTCTTTTGGTCGGTGGCGACGGTGCGGATAACGGGGGAGTTGAAGATGTAGCCCTGCTGACGGATTCCAATGTTCGTCGCCAGGGCGCTGTTTGCCCTCTTCTTGGATCCCCACGCTGCGAGATTGCATGCCGGAGCCTTGGAAAGGCCGGTCAGACCACCCGCGGCGTTGAGCAGTTGCGCCGCCGTTAGTGAGCCGATCAGGGCGGTAAGATTCGGCGCAAAGACACTCATGCGCGACTGCACGTATTCCGTGAGGGTCCTCTTTGCCTTGTCCAGGGAAATGACCATCTCGCAAGCCCTGATGACTCGATCTAGCTCGTCTTGTGACAACTCCCGTCCTTTCGAGATCGTCGCTTCGACAGTAACGATCATAAGGGATGGCCCGTCTAGAACCGATTTCAGTGTCACGCCTAGCGGGTTGTCCGTTGAGTTTTGCTTGAGTTTGATGTTTTCTGCGTCCAAGGGCCCGTTTCCCAATATGGCGACGACCTTTGCGAATTCCACGGGATTGGTGATTAGGGATTCGAGGGCTGGAAAACGTGTTCCGTAATGGTCTCTAATAAATTTATGGACCAGAACTATCTCGTTATCGATGGACGTAGACAGGGTATTTGACTGCGTCAAGAGGCGGTACTCGGGATGATCCTCGATGTTTCCAATGTCGGCGGACTGCGGCGGCTGGGCCTGATAGAATGCGATTTTCTGCAACGTTGGTTCCAAAGTGTCAGGGCTATTGTTCGTAGATAAAAATGTAAACGTTTTGTCATGGTTGTTGACGCGATTCAACTGGGTGATGGTAGCACTAACCTCGAGCACTGGCTCCAGCGTCTTCATGAGACCCGCGACGGTGCGAACGTCGCGGACACCACCAAGCTGCATCTTCTCAATCTTTGCCTTTGTCTCTTCGGGGTCATCAGTTGTGTCAATCACGCCGCCCTCCACGTCCCCCATCTTCTCGTCTTCATCTCCATCCTCCATGTCAACGTCGCGATCGCCATTTTCAACTGCGCCGGTGCCTAATCCATCAAGGAAGCCATCGTCTTGCTGGTCATCTCCGGCCTCAGAGCCCGAGTCTTCGAAATCTTGAAGGAGTTCATCAGCAAGAGTCGACATGTTGCCTGGTGATCGTAATCTTGATCGTGGCGACGAGAGTTTGGAGTCGCTCAAGAGCTGCGAAATCCTGAACAGCTCTGGGCCAAAAGTTACGCGACGCCAAGAACTGAGGCCCGTGAATGTGGCGTTGCCTCGTTAGCAACTTAGATATCCGTAGTCTTGCTTGGAAAGCCTGCTAGTTCTTGCTGACTGCGCCGAGAGAAGAAAGGTAATTAGGTGACTTGAAAATGGCTCTACCTGAATGAAGAAGACTGACGTGAAAAATGTCGTCCTTTGCTCGGGGAAAGGAAGGAGTCATCCAGTTGCCACTATGTTGAAAGCTTGCCTGCGCCACAGTTTGCCTTTGGAAGGCTCGGCGGTCACGTGTACCAAAAAGTTTCGAAGAAGGGACTATCCGTCTGCGAAGCCAGTTCACTTTTAAGTAAAGATCGCGCCCTCCAAAACCACAGAAGATCAAATCGAAGCGGGCGACAAGGACATTTCCGCCAGGATGGAATCCTCCCGCGGGCCCCCCCGGGTCAAGAACAAGGCGGCGGCGCCCGTCCAGATTTCCGCCGAGCAGCTTCTGCGCGAGGCCGTCGACCGGCAGGAGGTGGCCCTCCAGGCGCCGACGCAGCGGTTCGCCGACCTCGAGGAGCTGCACGAGTTCCAGGGCCGCAAGAGGCGCGGGTTTGAGGACTACGTCCGCCGCAACCGCGTGAGGCTCGATAACTGGCTGAGCTACGCGCAATGGGAGCTAGAGCAGAAGGAGTTTGCGCGCGCGCGCTCCGTCTTCGAGCGCGCCCTCGACGTGCACCCGAATAATGTCCAGCTGTGGATCAGATACGTCGAGTCCGAGATCAAGAACCGCAACATCAACCATGCCCGCAACCTCCTGGACCGGGCCGTCACCCGGCTCCCCAGGATCGACAAGCTCTGGTACAAATACCTGTACGTGGAGGAGATGCTGGGCAACATCCCCGGCACGAGGCAGGTTTTCGATCGGTGGATGAAGTGGGAGCCAAATGAGCAGGCTTGGAGCGCGTACATCCGCCTGGAGAAGAGGTATGGCGAGTTCGACCGGGCTAGAGACATCTTCAGGGCCTTCACCATGGTCCATCCGGAGCCGAGGAACTGGATCAAGTGGGCCAAGTTTGAGGAAGAGTTCGGAACCAGCGACTTGGTGAGGGAGGTCTTCCAGACCGCCATCGAATCGCTGGGAGATGAGTTCGTCGACGAAAGACTCTTCATCGCCTACGCGAGATACGAGGCGAAGCTCAAGGACTATGAGCGGGCTCGGGCGATCTACAAGTTTGGCCTTGATAACCTCCCGCGGTCCAAGTCGATGCTCCTGCACAAAGAATACACCACCTTTGAGAAGCAATTCGGCGATAAGGAAGGGGTCGAGGACGTCATCCTCTCGAAGCGACGGCGTCAGTACGAGGAGCAGGTAAAGGAGAATCCCAAGAGCTACGACATGTGGTTCGACTATGCCCGCTTGGAGGAGACATCTGGGGACGTGGACCGCATCCGGGACACGTACGAAAAAGCTGTGGCGCAGGTGCCACCAACCCAAGAGAAGCGGCATTGGAGGCGGTATATCTACCTGTGGATATTCTACGCCGTATGGGAGGAAATGGAAGCCAAGAACGTCGAGAGGGCACGCCAGATCTACGACACCTGCCTCGGACTCATCCCGCACAAGAAGTTTACCTTCGCCAAGGTCTGGCTCCACAAGGCCTACTTCGAGATCCGCCAGGCTGAGTTAACCGCGGCCCGCAAGACGCTCGGGCGGGCGATAGGCATGTGCCCCAAGGACAAGATCTTCAAGGGATATATCGAACTCGAGCAGAAGCTGTACGAGTTCGAGAGATGCCGGACACTGTACGAGAAGCATATCACGTATAACCCATCAAATTGCCAAACCTGGATCAAGTGGGCCGAATTGGAGAGAGGTCTGGACGACCTCGACCGGACCCGCGGCATCTTCGAGCTGGGCATCAGCCAGCCGGTCCTCGACATGCCCGAGGTCGTATGGAAAGCCTACATCGACTTCGAGGAGGAGGAAGGTGAGTACGACAAGACGAGGTCCCTGTACGAGCGCCTTCTGGAGAGGGCCGACCACCCCAAGGTCTGGATCAGCTACGCGCAGTTCGAGATCAACATTCCCGAGGCCGAAGCGGAAGGGGCCGAGGGCGCGGAGGAGGAAGACGAGGAGGAGCGGCCGGTCAGCGAGGAGGCCAAGGCGCGGGCTCGGAAGATCTTCGAGCGCGCGCACCAGAGCATGAAGGACCGCGAGCTCAAGGCAGAGCGGGTGTCGCTGCTCAACGCCTGGCTAGCCTTCGAGCGCACACACGGCTCGGCCGAGGACATCGGCAAGCTCGAGGCGCAGATGCCGCGCCGGACCAAGAAGAAGCGCAGGCTCGAGGACGACTCGTGGGAGGAGTACGTCGACTACGTCTTCCCGGCCGACGACCAGCAGACCAAGAATCTGTCCAACCTCCTGGCCATTGCGCAGGCCTGGAAGCAGACGGGGGGGAACATTGCTGGGGATGCTTAGTCGCGACCAAATGGCTTTTTCTTTCTTTTCTTTTTCTTTTTTTAGACGTCGTTCCTATCATTGCAAGCCCCGTGGTTCAGGCGATGACTACTGCTCCTGGCTGGGGGCATTGGTTCATGATGGATGATGCGGCTGGGAAAGCTCATCGTTAGGTGAGAATGCACCTTACTGTAATCTACCTTGTGTTTTATTTTTTTGAAAAAGCCAATGCCGTGCAGCCGGGATCCCAGGAATTACCGGAGTATCTTCACCTAGCTTTCATGATTGGTAGGCTGTACGGTTGGATTTCGCAATGTCTCACGCAAAACGCGGAATTGACTTAACTGGCAAACCATTGCTTCGACCTGTGATTCTGAGAAAGCGAGGCGGATGGTGGGGTTTTTGGATGTTCCGGGCGCCTTTGGCATTTGCCAAGCAAGCTCTTCCCGCCACCCGTTTTGCGGGAGATCCCATCGGACGGGTCCGCAGATTATCGATGGGCTGTTTGTCTTGGCATCGCCGACCTCATGTCTTCCCGGGCGATGGCGTCTTCTCGGGGAAGCGCGGCGGGGCGCAGATCTCTCCAACACATAGCAGACAAAACCGCACTGCTGGGCCCTCGCAATTGTAAAAGTGCGTCAGACATTCGCCGGAATGGCCCCGTTCATTACTGGAGAACTGGCCGAAGGCGAAATGTATGAATTGTCCAGAAGAAAAAAACTACTTGTGTTTTGTGTCTCGACTAAAACAACCACAGGTCGAGCCATAGCCGCCTTCTGAACGCTCTCATAACGACGGGGAATCGGTTTTACATCCGACCCATATTAAGGTCACAAATGCTGGGAGAGAGCTGGCTGTGAGGGAAGGAACGTGGAGGAAGAGAGGGACGGGAACCAAGGCAACGCGCCAGTCCGCATAACCGTTACGTAAATTTGCAGCTATGAACGGCCGTAGAACTCATGAGTACGTAGGTAGGTGAGTAGGTGGGTAGGTAGTAGGTAGTAGGTAGATACCTGGTAGTTTAAGAAAATGTAAGCAATGGAGGAGACAGAGAGGGAAGGATTAAAACGAAAAGCCGAAACCCGAAAGTCATGATCGTCACTTCTTGGAAAAGATTGTACCTAAAATGAACCAACGAAAAAAAGAAGAAAAGAAAAGGCAAAAAGGACCTATGTAAGTAGACGTAAAAACACCGACCTCCCCTTTTTCAACCAACTTCAATCTCGCTTTCCCATCCTCCCACTATTCCAGTCGGGCAGCAATAACCCATCCAGATCGATTCTCGAATCTCGCTTCGGGTCGTTGGTCGTTGGTCGTTCGTCGTTCGTCATACCTATTTCCTGTTTCGGCGGTCGAGTCGGCCTCGCAGCAGCCCCGCCCTGTGGCCCCAAACATTTCCGACCATAGTTACACCTGCATTGCATGCTCCGGATAATCGCCCCTCACCTCCCTCTTCCGTCCCGCTTATTGGAAACACACAAAATGATTCCCCGGGTCAAAAGAAAGGAGCAGGTTGCCGATCAATGGGAGGGCACGGATTGCTTTTGTATAACGTAACGCCCGACGGACTTAGTGGCGGCGTCGATCATCTGTCACACGCAGGGGAGAGGGCTCCATTAGTGCTTGTTCAAGTAATAATAAAAGTCAAAAACCTGGATTGTTCTTGGAGAGAGGGAAGTGCACAACCAGCCTGCTGGTGCTTCTATCTGCAAAAGACAGGTGTATGTGTATGTTGCATGTGTGGTTCATGGGAAGGGGAGTAGAGGAGTGCGGGCCAAGGCAAAGGAGGGCCCATCAATGTCATAGCCAAAGCAGGTGAAGCGCAGTAGAGAGTGCCGCCATCCAAAAAGGCCGGCCAGAGGGAGAGAAGGCCGCGCTCCTCCATCCTCGAAATGCCGCTCCAGATATGAGTTCAAACAGTTGTTTCATCCTGTCATAACAGTCGTGAACCGTGAATGAGTTTGCCGGTTCGTGACATGGTCGCAGCTTGATGACGATACAACAGGCTTGGTGGAGAGGGATGAAGTGATTTGTGAAAGGCAGCACCATACATGGCATGGAGTGGGGGTTCCAATCTCCTCTGTTACCTCCTATCGGAGTATCCGACAGGAGGGGCGGGAAGGGCCGAGTATGGGTTCCCGTCCGAGTAACGGGGCCCATCATCGTACCGATCCGCCCTCGGAGGAGCTACGGAAGACCAGTCGTCAGCCCTGCGTCTGCCACGGCCGCTGCTGCTGTTGCTGCCATCATCATGGCTGTCACGGCTCGTCAGGCGCTTCTGGCGTTCGAGCCGCCTCTGGTGGCGGATGGCCCTCTCTTCTTGCCACTCACGCCACTCGTGGCTCTTCTCGCGGACCTCCTTGAGCTCCGAGACGGCACTCTTGATGCCCAGTGCTGCGATGCCCACCGAGGCCGCATCCTGCAGCAGCGCCTTGGACTTGAGCTTCTTCGCTGCCTCGGGGCTAAGCCTCCCCTCCTTGACCGCCTTCTGCCGCGCACTCCGCTTCTCCATGCTCTGGTAGACATTGTGGGCCGCGTGTATGGTCGCCACCGCCGCCAGGCCAGTGGTAAGGATCTGCTTACCTCTTATCTTCTTCGCTCGCTTCTGGTCCTCGTCCGAATCTCCGAGATCCGATTCCGACATGGAGCCCCTCGAGGCGTCCCGTCTTCCGCCTCCACGCTGCCGGGAGCGGCTGCGGTCACGCCCGCCACGGGACCGGTCGTCGTCGTGGCCGTCCCGACCTCCCCGGTCACGGCCGTGGCCTCGGGAGTGGTCGTCATACTCATCATCCGAATCATGCCGGCGGTGTCGGCGCGAGCCACGCGGTTCGTCGAAGTCATCTTGATGTTTCCGGTCGTGGCGGCGGTCGCGGTCGTCGTCATCATCATCAGGCCCATTGCCGATGCCGAACTTGGCCAGGCTCCGTCTTGCCGTATCGACCACGCTGCGGCTGCGACTGCGGTGGCGGCGCCTATCGGGGGATGAACCGCGGCTGTCGTGCGAATCAGCACTAGGGCGGCGCGAGCGGGATCTCTCGCGGTTGTCCATGAGCTTCTTGGCGCCAAAGGCACCGAGTCCGGCAGTTGCTAGGGCCGCCAGGCCGGTGGCACCGCCGCCGCCGCCGTCTGACTTGGCGCGAGAGCGAGATCGGCTGCGGCCCGTCTTCTTGTCTTCTTCGATATTCCTCTTGGAGCCGTTGATGACGCGGTTGCCAACAAGCCCACCAATGACGGACTCGGCAAGAGCAAGCTTGTTTGACTTTTCGGGATTCTGAGCTGCGTCGATGGTGGCGGCACCAGCAGCCGCGGTGAGAATGCGCTTGGCCTTCTCGCCCTTCCACCCGCCGGGCTCCTTGGAGACGCGGAAGGCTTCGGTGGCTCCGGCGATGAGGGATGCCATGGCAGCCTTCTGCACCTTGTTAGCACCCTCCCCTCGGCCCTTGGGGGATGCGGAGCCATGGCGGCTTCGAGTGTCGGACTTCTTGTCATCGTGACTGCTGCCGCCAGTTAGCGCCTTGACGGCGCCGCCGAGACCGGCAGCGGCAAGGGCGCCTTCCAGAAAATTCTTGTGTCCCTTCTTATCCTTGGAGTCGTCGGCATCGTCGGAGTAATATCCGTCGCGGCCTTTATGAGCGCTAGGGTCCAACTTCTTCTGGTGCTTGTTGTAGAACTCGGTTCCTTGATAACCAGCAAAGGCTCCGGCCGCGCCCAGGGCGGCGGAAGCCAAGACATTCCGCTGGACGTCAACGCCCTCCTGCTTGGCCCCACGGCGGTCGAAGAGCTCCTTGCCTCCGATTGCGACGGCGGCGCCAGCAAGGGCAGCGATGATCTGCTCTTGTTTGCCGAGCATGCGGGCTCGCTTCTTCTCCTCGTCATCGCGGTGGTGGCTGTCACCCTTCTTGGACCGGCGGTCATAATCGCGGTCATAATCGCGGTCACGGTCATCGCGAGAATAGTGAGAACGACGATCGTCGTAGTCGTCGAAGGGCCCGGCTGAGCGGGCTCGGCGGATGTCCCTAGTATAGCCCGGCGGCGGGAAATCTCGATGAACCTCCTCCACCGAGAGGTCGCTATCCTCTCGTGGGCGGGGAATCAAGTCTCGCGAGTGGGTACTCAGGTAGCTATCTCTAGCGTCTCTAGGGTCGGCGTATCGCGGGTCCCGGTCGTCACGGCGGTCCTCGCGATAGTAAGTGCGGCGCGACGAGCGGTCCCGAGCGGGAGCCTCGTCCGGGTAGTAGGCAGACATGGGGGAGAGGAGTCGGTGGCTATCGCGCAAGCCAGGGGAGAGAGCAGGCAACGAAAACAGGAGCCTCGGCGACGGGCGACAGGGAGGTGATGGATTTATTGGTTAGGCACGCGCTGGCAGATGTTGGAAGATGTGCGTATGTTAAATAAAATGTTATTTTTGAGGGGTGTTAAGTATTCTCAAGTGAGGAGGGGGGGGAAAGGTCGAACGGTGGGCAGTCGGTGGAGGCTTGCAGGAGAAAGAGGGCTAAGTAGATATGTAATAAAGCCGCGCAGATAATGCCATGGACAAGTCAGATGCAGGGCGATGGGGCAGTGATGCACTACCAGCCAGGCCGCTGCCGTCGCTCAAACGTTGCGGTTGTACTGTACATACAGCTGACGATATGATGTGCTTGGAGCTGAATTGGACGCTGTACGATGCACCAAAATTCGAGGGAAAGAATGAAAGACGACAAGACTGAAACGAGGGACCTTCCTTGAAGCGCACGGAATAACAGGGCAACTTGGTGGTGAGACCAGGCAGGACCTCCAGTAGCCCTCCAGGTGGTTTGTTGATTTCAGCTTCTGGTGGTGGGTTGAAAAGTGGGTGGCGGCCGCCGGGCCCACAATCATCAATTCTAGGCGCCGAGGAGGAAGGGGAGAAGGGTCCGAGACACGAAGCAGGCCGCCCAAGCTGGCCAACAATTTTCCCTCTTGCACACGATTCACTCCATCTCTTTGGCCGCCCGGGTTGTGAGAGCGCGTCTTTTACCCAGGTCATCCATCCACTCATCTCAGGCACCGGTGCTCCCGTCACTTGACGCTGGGCACCAAAGAACCAGCGACGGAGCATGGTGGGGGCCACACTTCTGTTATAGATTTACATTCCTCCTCGGACCTCCCCTAGTTGCCGTTGCCTGAAGACGATGATTTTTATTTTTAGCAACATCAAACTTCCATATCAACGGTGAACAACGCACCGCGGTACGCGCAATCCGATATTTCGAATATCTAATTCCAGGTATGCCTTGGGTTGCTCCGGCATATTGTCGTACACGGGGCCTTATGTATGTATCTGGGTACCTAACCGGCCATTCAGTTAACCTCCCGGGCGCTGCGGGCAGCCCCTCCTTGCAGGGATTCCCGCCCCTGTTCCCGCCACATGACGTACCCTCAAAGTGGCGCAGCAGGATCAGGGTCCGGGCCGGGGAGTTTTGATAGCGAGAGCAAGAGCGATAGACAGTGACGGCAACAGCAACAGACAGTGACGGCAACAGCAACAGACAGTGACGGCAACAGCAACAGACAGTGACGGCTATAGCGATAGACAGCGACAGCAATAGCGATAGACAACAACGGCAATAGCAACAGACAGTGACAGGATACTGCCACTTGCTAAACTCTTGCGGCCCAGTCGCACCTGGGCCCACAGGGAACTGCTGCGCCAGCACGCGCAGCAACGGCCGATAGCCTGCCTCCGAACAACTTCGTGTGGACCGCAAGTTCCTGCGAGTCCGCGAAGACCTCGGAGAGGTATTGCTCAGCAGCCTCCTGGAGCGCCTGGAGTGCCCCCGCCTGGAACCGCATGCCGAAGCGACGATCCTGGGTCACCTCTCGCACCTTTACATCCTGTCAGAAAGGACCACATCATGGGCAGAGGAACGCGGAACACTGACGAGGCAAAGCCGATCGCTGCGGGAGCACTAAGCCGATAGACTCTTGTCCTAACAACTTCAGAGCGGATGGGACGACTCTTGCCAGCTTTCTCTCTCGGCTTTGACTGTTTTATTTATAGCACCGGGAAGCAGGTATTTACAACCCCAGTACAAGGTTTAAGCACGGTAAATGCCCGAGCGGTCTTGCCGTTGACCGAAAGGTTGTTATTCGCCATTCTGTCATCCAGCGTCGAGTATTCGGCTTCCTCAACCTTTTTGAACTCGAGGTGAGCATAACCTCCCGAGTGCGTGGTCCAATAAACCCACAGCACAGAGGATTGAATGGATATTTCTCGGTCGTAATTATCGCGCAAATGGTAACTCTAAGTCTAATGTTTCCCGTATCTCGGTCGTCGTTTCCCATTGATAGTTCTAGCAACTCGGCGTTCACGGGCTTTCTCGAAGACTAATTGTAGCCATCTGGATGAGGTGACTGCAACCCTAAACCTTCGATAGCTATTGATTTGTATAAATATATGGTCTTTCTGCCTCCCCTCTCCTTGGGATTTCATCTTCATCAAGTGTCAGTCGAACCATTCCATTCTATTCCACTCTCACCATCTCAAACTTGCCCCGGGGACTCCCACTCTCTCGACGCTTCCTTGAGCATTGCCTTGAGGATACCAAGACACAATGCAGTTTCTACAGGCTCTTCTTGCCGCATTCTTTGCTTTGGCCGTCATGGCCCGGCCAGGCCAGCCCGACAACGGGTACGGGTAAGCCTGCAAAACCCCCCCCCCCCCCCCCCAAAAAAAAAAAAGCTCCGCCAGCCAACCCCCCTTTCTCTGTCTAACCACAAACCACAACAGCTCCGTCGTCGCGTCGGATACCTGCTATGGCAGCCCCAGCACCACCTCCTCCCCTCCCAGCGGCGAATCCCCGCATTATTACTCCTCGAAGCTTCCTCCTGCCCCCAGCAGTAGCAGCGTCGGTGGCGGTTACGGTGGTGGTGAAGTTCCTCCTGCGCCTCCTACTAGCAGCAGCGTTGGCGGCGGCTACGGTTACGGTCCTCACTCCTCAAAAGTTCCCCCTGCGCCCCCAACCAGCAACACCGTCGGAGGTGGCTATGGTGCTCCCCAGTCCTCGGAGGTTTGCACCACCTCGAGTCCCAGCGCCGGCTACGGCTACCACTCCGAGACCCCCAAGGCCCCCGTCTACCCGTCCCCCAGCAGCAGCGGACCGGCCTTCTACGGCGGCGGTGGCGGTGGCGGTGGCGGTCAGCCCTACCACTACTCGACCGAGACGAGCCACCCGCCTGAGGAGTCCAAGACGGCGCCGCCCGCGTACGCGCCGCCCGCGGCCCTCCCGACCGGCTACTCGCCCTCGGGCCTGACGCCCAGCTACGCCACGCCCCCGGCCGCCAGCAACACACCCACCCCGAGCTCCCCCGGCGGCGGTTACGGCGAACAGTCCAGCTCCAAGACCAAGTCTCCCACTTCTGGCGCGGCGGCCGCCCCAAGTCATGCTACTGTTGCAGGAGCCGTGGCGCTGATGTTCAGTGTTTTGGTCTTGGCTCTTTAGGGCATGGTTCTGGTTCTTTGGGTGGCGGCCTGTTGTCTCTTTTGGGTGGTCGTTACGGCCGTGGTTTCTGTTGGCGTTGGTTCGGCGTGATGTTGGTAGTCGGGTTGAACTTCCGTCTGTGGTGTCTTTATGGGTCTTGCGAGTCTTCCAATGAGACTTATGAGTCTTGGGGAGCCTTGCGACTCTCATGAGTGTGCGAGTGTTTGGGAATGTTCGCGCGTGTTTCGAGTGTTTCGAGTGTTATGACTAGAGAGACAGATAGTTCATAACCTATTTCATACCCAAAATGAGTTTCACTTTGCAGAAGATAACCTCCCCCTCGAGGGGCAAAAGCTCCCATTGAGTCGTGGACATATTAGTGGCTGTATCTTGCTTCTTGGCTCGCCCACCGACCATGCCTCCGAATAGGTTCTTTTGTACGTAGGCTTGGGAGCTCTTCCGGTCTTGGGAGTTGTCCACAAATGAAGCGCTACTAGCCACTTCTAGGCCATCACCACTTCCCAGCCGTAAAGCCAGGCCCTGATGATATTTCAGGGACGACAATACCAAGTCCGTGGCCACGTGGTGGGGAAGCGTTACAGCCGGGGAACTGTGAAAGGGCGGGCGTACTGAAGCCGTACGAAGGCCGGGCGACTCCTCCTTCGGTAAATCGGTATCAGAAGAAAATCGAGTCGTACTGCACGCAGCAGTAATCGTCCAAGTTGACGCCCATAGGCGTTTTATATCGCTGGGTTGATGACGGTTCTGGAGAATATCACATGCGGTATTATTTAGCCTCTCCCATGGTGCAAAAATTAGTTGTCTTTTGTCTTTAATTTTTCCTATTTGTACATTTACAAGCCAAGGCAAGCCATAATTTTGTTTTGTCTTCCGTGCGAAACAAGGGATGCGGAAGAGGCGACGAGGTCTCTCCAGGTTGGGGGTGTTGGGGGGTCCAAAGTCTAAAACAATTCATGAAAAATTACCGACACCTCCCTTTCCCTTTTGCCCTGAATGCAGTTGTTTGGTTTCCCGGCCGTCGACAATGCAAGATTCCTTCTGATGGGAATAGAACTGAGTAAGAAGAAGAAGAAGGAAAAATTGACGACCCGAACTTTTCCCCTTCAAACGGGGGGCTGTGTCCCCCCATGTCTAGCAAAAATGGAAAAGCATTGCTCCTCTGCCAGCCCTACCAGCCCTGGACAAAGGCAAGACTTGCCATTTGCTGTGTCTGACCAAAGGGGCTTCGCGACCCAAAACGAATGCAAAAACATCAACGCTGTCGTGGTGCTAGAGTGGGAAGAAAAGCCGAGGGCCCCCAACGTCTCTCTCCAGGGACGACACTCTGAGGATTAGGCCACAGGGTGTTCCGCCGGCGGCTCGGGGGAGTGACCAGGTCTTCCTCTGAAGCAATTACCACTCGCTCACGCCATCGGCATGAAACTGACACCACACGAGATACAGTCGTCATCTCCTGAAGACCAGGATACCCTTGATCAGTCCGGAAGAGGCAAAGAGGCGAGCCCATGCTTCACAATTGTGCGGCTCAGTCCGATAGCATGGCGTAGACGGTGCGAAGTGGACCAGTTCCAACCATCAACACTTCCTCGCAGATTGGACGTCGAGCCGAGACTTTGGTTGGCAATGGGCAGCACCCATGGGGATTTCGAACCCTAAGAGAATGTTGTGCCCATCTGTGCCGGTTGAGCCTGAAAAAAAAAGAGTACGAAAAGGAGAGATTGTCGACCTGTGGTTTTTTTTGTTGTTGTATGGCATCAGATAGGAAGTCGAGGCGCCCACATGGTCCTGTACCGATGTAACAGGTGACAAGTGCACCAGATCTCTCAACTATAGTTGGTAGTGACAAGAGATCGAGCCAACTCCAAAAAAAACCTCCGAAACGAAAGGTAGGTAGGTGCTTTTCCTGGGTACCACTATCAATGCTCCCAAGAAAGAGGCCACCGTGCGAGAATTCCAAAAGAGGTAGGAATCTGTGGCCGCCAGCAGACCAATCCTCAGACCCCGACATCACCATTGGTGCTCAAGTTGGGGTCGAGCATCAGGGCTCCCTGGTAATGGAGGGTGAAGATCTCAGGGATGGGTCGGTCACTCCCCCAGGGCTTTGGGGCGTCGCGGGAGAAGAGCTCCTTGTAGTAATGGACAAGACACCTGAGGCCGTCCTTGCTTGGGCTCTCCTTGGACGCGTCTTCGATAGCGCAGATGCGGAACTCCTCGTACATTTTGGCGTTGAATCCGCCAATGAGGAAGTGGGACCAGAACTCATAGAGATTCTTCATGGCCCGTGGTGTCTCGCCCGACTTGGCAAACTGTCGTTGCTCGAGGGCCTTCTTTCGGAATACAGGATAAGGCTCTTCCTCTGGCTCGGAAACTTCAGCCTTCTGCTGCTTGGCCCAGATGACATTCCGGTGGGAATTAGTGGGCGATCGAGGCTCGGTTGCGTCACCTTGTTGGGCAGGGTGGCTAGGAGGGACAACATTAGCACTTATGACAGCAGTCTCTTCCTGCGAGAGGAACATACATACCTAGACACATCTGCGGGAAGGGGTGAGACGCTACCGCCATTTACTTGAGCATGATCCGCAGTATCCACAGCGCCATTAACAGCGGGGTGTGCTTGGCTATCTAGGTTGGGTGCGTCCTTTTTGTTGTTGTAGCCGACGAGCACCTTTAAGTCCTCGACCTGCTTGTCAGAGAAGGTCGTCACACTCTCAAGGGTGAAAGGGCCAGGTCCACTGGGTGAGAACTCGGGGACTGTGGCGGACAGTTGGGAGTCCATTGCATAACGGTGGCCATTGGTCTCTCCACCATTTACGCCTGGCTCGTAGTGGCCACCATTCATGTAGGCCGCGGGCTGGTACATCTGGTCTTCGGCCGGGAAATTGGAAGGATATATGGTTGGGGAAGTGGCCATATAGGGGGCAGTCGGCATCATGGGCGCCGAATAAGAAGCCCGGCTGTGCTTCGACTTGAAAACCCAGTTGACAGGGCCGTCATTGCGTGCATCTTCCTCGCGCTCCTCCAGGTTGAGAACGAACCTGTCCCATCTTTCACGCAGCCTCAACCGCTCCACATTATCGTCTCCAACAATGTAGTCGATCTTGTCCGACTGTTCGCACGCGGCTCGGATGGCTTCGATGTCTGGGGCGAGGTCCCGCATCCTGTTGAAGTTGGAAATAACAGTCAATGGCACGAACCCCTTGGAATCCATCCGCTTGCGGATGAAGAAGTCCTTGCACAGGTTGTCCACCGAGAGGTAATATTCCACTTGCAGCATCAACAGCTGGATGGTGCTTGGGTCGTAGAAAGTCGGAGGGTATTGGTAGCCTCCATATGGGTGCATGGGGTAATCCATCGCCCCAATGTTGGTGTTGACGTGGGGTAGCCTCGAGGCCGGACCACCCCCGTTTGTAGGACCACGAGAGAAGCCAGTCGATCCAGAGTTTGCCCGCCCATTGCCACGGACGCCACCTCTGGCAGGTGCAGAGCCAAAGCTATTCCCAAATGCGTTCTGGTGAGGCGGCGGGCTGTACGGACCATGTTGTGGTCCAGGAAGATTCTGGACAGCATATTGGGCACTCGGGGGGTAGCCACTCAGTGGAGGATGGCCACCGACTGAATTGTTGTGACCCCCACGCCCGCGGAATCCACCCCGGCTCCGTTCGCCCCGTCCCTCTCCTCGCTCCCGGGGAGGGTAGGCTTGGTCCTTGGCGGCCGACGGTCCTCCCTCTTTGAACCCGTCAAATCCTTTCCCGGCTGGGTCAACTCGCCGGTCGGTAAAACTGGGCCGAGCCGAGTACTGCGGCGGCTCACCGTTGCCCTGCACAAATTCGGAGCGACTTGATCGGGTGTTCTCTCCTTTCCCACTCCCAGACTGTATGATAGCATATTAGTATATGAGTTCAAAATATGCATGGGCACATGTATGGCACATGTATGGCTGACCTGACTTACCGCTGAAGGGTCAATGGTCGAGTCTCTCGTCCTCTCGGCACCAGTTGGTGCTGAAGGCTTGCGGAGTTCCCGCGTGTAGGTAGAATCCGTAGATGCGCGCTTGGACGCATTGGGAGGCAGAGAAGTCGCTCGAGTCGGGCCACTGCTTTCCCGTGGACGGCCCTCCTTGGCCACCGTGGCACCGGCTGCTGCCGGGGCCTTATCAGTGGCAGGGCTGGTGGCCGAAGCATTACCAGCAGTCACAGCAGAGCTATGTCCTCCTCTCCCGCCTGCGTCACGTCCGCCTCGGGCACCACCCCGAGGCTTGGAGCCCCGCTGGGGAATGGGAGTCTGGAAGTTGACCGTCGGCACGTAAGGGATAGACACCCACTTCTCCTTTTGGCGCTTGCCCGGGCCGGTCTCATCCTGGCCTTCCTTCTCTTTGTCTAACCGCTCGACCTTGTCTAGGGGCTTTCGCTTCCCTTCCTCGGACGTGGCAGCAGACTTGGGGTCGGGCCATGAAGCCGAATCTGAAACAGATGGTACCGACTCGCCGGTACGAGCACCCCGAGGCCCACTTCTTCGGGGCACTTGTTCAGCAGCACGGGAGAAATCGGCAGACTTCCTCTGGGATTTCTCTCCATTCGCGCCATTCTGCGGCGCTCCTAGGGTATCGATGCCTTCCACGGTGCTGCGTCTCTTTGGCTCTTCACTCGAAATGATGGTGGCTACTGCAGCCGCTGAGCTGCTGGTGACCGGGCCTGGCTTGCCCTTGGCCGCTAGGGCTTCTCTCCGCTTCTGCCAGATGTTGACCGCGGGTATCGGAGCTTCAGAGAGCAGGACTAGTTTCGCTGGCTCCATCTCCTTCTCTTCCTCTTGATCCTTATCGGCATCAGTGTCCTTGTCGGAATTCTTAGATTTCTTGCTCTTCCGGACTTTCCTGGCATCGACGTCCGAAGCTGACCGTGAAGTTTGGCTAGCGGATCGAGGCAGGTCTTGTACCAACTCGATCGGGGCTGTCTCCCCATTGGCGAGAGCGGGTGATGGCTGCTCAATGGGGGGATTCGGCTCAGCATGTGCAGAATCTCCGGTGATGGGAGCAATGTCCGAGGACTGCTTCGTGAGGGTGGATTCTCCTTCAGATTGGGTGAGTTTTCCAGTATCACGAACATCCGAATCATTGGATGTGATGGATGGCGCCGTCACCGAATTTGTGGCGGTGGTCGCATCGTCCCTCCCTTGCGAACTTGTCGAAGGCGGTGCTGGACTGAGAGTGGGCTGTGGGCTCGACTGGATGACGGTGTGTCCTTTCGCAGCTTGCGCATATGAAAACGTGGTGTTCGACATCTTCGTGACAGACTTGGATGTCATGGGAGCCAATGAGAAGGCGTAACAAGGTGTGCGTGCAACTGAGACGAAGTTGCCGCGTACCTAAAAAGAAATCGGGGTGAGTGTGGCTCCTCCACCAGGTGCCGAGACCGAGGTTGAGCCAGAAGCCTCCCCAATCAGGCCTTGTCCGGAGAGGTCAGGAAAAACCTCTCCGCACGACGGTTGACTGTTCGTTCGTTTGCCCTTAAAAGGCTCGTGGGGGCGTACAGAGAGACCGGGCCTCCGGACAGTACTGGAAGACCAAGTCGACTTTCAGTGCCGAGGCAAATGCTCAGTAGAAGTCGAAAGACGGGTTCGCACGACGCTGCGAGGCAAGGTGAAATTTGCCTTTGCGGGAACGCGGTCGGGGGAGCGGCTGGAGAGGGGGGAGGAAAAAATAGTCGATGGCGTGGGACCTTTTTTTTTGCAGGACGAGGGCGATCGAGAAGCCGGTGAGGGTTGATGGACGAAGTAAATGGAGAAAGAAACACGAAGTCGGCAAAAGAACCAAAGGGGAAAATATCAAAATCGAAGAGCCTTAAACGGTTTGCCGGCAGCTGGTCAATGTTTGGGAAGGAGCGAGAAGGGCCCGGATGAGATGAGCACAGATGCCAGCACAACGCAACAGCCTGTACCTTGGGTAGGTAGTGTGACCTGCTCTGCTCGCCCAAAACCGACGAAGCTCAGGTTCGGATGTCGGCTTGTTGTCGAGGCAAGATCCCGTCGGCAGACTCACTCGAAGGAGCTCTAGAAGGCAGAGAACCAGGCGGCGAGTCGGCAGAGGGGGGTTTTGAGGAATTGGTGGACGGCGTGTCGTGGGAAGAGAATGGGAGGAAGTTTCTACACCAGAAAGAGGGTGAAGAGATTTGTGTGTGGAATAAATTTTTTTCGGGATTTTTTTTTCTTCTTCCCTAGGAGCGATTGCTGTGGAGATGGTTGTTCCGCAAGGTCGGCACTAATAACCTTACTAGTAGTTATGTACCTCGAGAAAGAGCACCGTTATGTTTTGGGGGGGCGTGGACGTGAACACCCGCTTGAGGAAGATGCCACGGCTACAGTGGAGGGCGTTCAGTTTGTGCGAAGATTACTAGGTTACTCGCCCAGTTTTCATACCGTATAGAAGCAGTTAGTCGTTCACTGCTGAGGCTTATGCCACCTCTAGGCATTTTGCTCAACCACTTTTGGCATGTATGTACATATTCATGACTAACGCCGGGAAGGTTACAGGAGCAGGTGCCACATAAGGAGACATGACATGACTGTATCGACTCTGGCTCCTACTAATCCCGCGAGCTCTTATTCCATTTCTTCGTCCTTTGAAGTGGAACTTCCCTACCTACATAAACTCCCTACGTACCTCCCATCAACCGACCTGGGAGAGATGGATGAGGCCAGCTCTCTGTTCCTGGTACAGCAGTCACAACCGGCAAGAGCGACCCGATCTCTACCTATCTGTAAAGTAACCTACTTTACGGATTACATAAGGTAGGTAGGTACTCTCGCGCCGGCCCGGCTTCACCTGGAAAATATCTGGCCACTTTGGGGTTGTCTTGGTGGGGGGGAGGGGAACCTTGTCCCCCAACCGCGGTTTGCCGGAAGAAGAAATAAGAAATAAGAAGGGCTAGAAAAGCAACAAGAAATATAAAGGCCCATTTCCCATGGCCTGCCAGTTGCAACCCTTCCACGGCCATGCAGCCAGCGGTGAGGTGGAGAGACCATTTTCGAGTAAATTCCCTCGTTCCGTGGACGACTTATTCTACCTCCCGTCCTCAGAAGGTTGTATTGTATTCAAGGTCCCGCCCAGAGTCGAGGACTGTGAGCGCCTTCAGGCAACCAAAGTAAAGCCCCATCCCGTGGCTGGGTACCAAGAAGCTTTGGGAAGGTACCAATAATGAGGATAGGTTGCTCAGCTTGGCAGCTGGGATGTACGTTCCATGATTTCCATGATACGAAGGTACAATACAGTACCCCTCTCGTATGAAGTCCCCCCCCGAATACCAATGACATGATGTCAGGATCGTGGCGCGCAGGAGATCAGGATGCTACAGAACGGGAGGGAGAGGGAGCGGGGAAGCTAGGTAGGTAAGTAGCCATTACCTCCCGCCTCTCTTCCCCGGAAGTCGGCGATGGAGCCTGACGATGTGGCTGCTCACTCATTCCAAATTGCTTCGCCGTAACTGCAAGGGAGGCACAGTCGACTCTCGCAGCACTTGCAGCAGTTGGGCATAAAGCCCTTTTGAACATTCTCACCCCTGCCAACGAGTGGGGTTTGCATCTACCCGCAACCATCGCCGCCTGTCTTGTTCTTTCTTATACATACCCAACTGTTACATAAGGCAATCGGATTCGATACCCCGGCCACGCTCGCTTCATGGTTTCCCAAGATGAAGACGTGCATACCCCCCTCCTTTTCCAAGCTCGGTCCCAGGAGATGCATCAGTTCGGCCAGGTCTGGCATGAGCGGCAGTAAGGACCAGCCTGTTGGCCACGCGAGCAGCCCTGCGGTCAACCTCTCTCCTTCGTACCCAAGTATGCACGTATGGGAACAGCCGCATGGATCGACCGAGGGAAGGGTCAGTGACCGCAACCTGTTTACGCGGCCGGCCTTGGATGCATCTTATGTAAGTGATAAGTAGTGGCTGATATGCCGGATTGGCCTGCACGCGGCGGTTATGGCGGGAAAAGCCTGTCGAGCCAAGTATCTTGGCAGTTGGCACACTATCTTGAGATTCTTGCCCATTACCCTTCGCAGCTCCAATGCGAGTGCTCTTGTTGGTTATCCTTGGCAACGGCGTGTTCTATAGCAATGTCGGCATCCTGCAACACCGCTCACTCCAAACTGTCCCAGCTCTCGATTGTGAAACAGTTGCGGGCGGGAAGAAGGTGTCACTTCGACGGCCCGTCTCAGGACGTCACAGCATCTTTTGCCCAATCTCTCACATCGGCTTCCCAAGCTGAAGCTCCAACCGCTCGCTGCCCAGCCCAGCCCAGCCCAGCCCCCAGCAGTCGTGAATTTGTTCTCCTCGGTTAATCCACCGCCGGGTTTTTTTTTGGAGCATCCGTGATGAGATGGGGCCGCTGGCAATGCTATAGGCGACAGCCATATATTCGCTGACCATGGTGCCATTTCATTGCTGTGCATTGTATGTAAGTATGTTCAGACTTCAGACGACCAGAGACACAGGGCCGGGCCTCCCAAAGAGAGCGTCGCGCTATCCGTTAAGACTACATCCACATAACGTACACGTTACTACATGTTCGACTCTCACTTACAAACCGGGGCCCCGAAGCCCTCCAACGGGGCTGATCCAAGTTGCGCCTAGACAAGAGTAAGAGGAGATCCAAGCTTCGCCTTGCCACCCACGGATGCGCCTCTCTATCCTGTCATCCAGGCTGCGGCCCTGCGCGCCCCAAATGAGCCTGCGAGCCTCAACCCACTCGATCCCATTGGAAAATAGCTGATGAGATACCACGCAAGGCACGCCAGCTGGATGATGGCACATAGTAGAGTCAAAATAGTGCTCCGGAGCTATGGTTGGGTTAACTTGCTGCCACCCTGAAAAGCCATGCGCTTCGGTCTGGCTTGGTACGAAGGGGCAGTTTGACTCACCCCGATGGCAAAGTAGAGGGTCATGCCGATAGACCCAAAGTAGGCGGCTGTGAAGGGCAGCCTCGGCGTTGATAGCAGGTGTAGGGCGTAAGTCAAGGGGCCCATCATCGCCGCGAAGGAGCACAGAAACAAGGTCGAGCCGAGAGTCCATCTGCATGACGAAGGTGAGTCAACAACTGCTAGAGAGAAACGTCTTTGACAATCCGCCGGACAGGCGATGACGACACAGGAAACTCTGGTGGTCTACAAGGAGGTCACCCTCACCAAGTCACCAGAGAGATATGAACCAGGAGCCGTCATGCGGGTTCCCCGCAATGCACACCACGGTTAGGTGCAGGGAGACATGTTCCAACGCAAGGGCAAGGGACTGTCACTGCTTTTGGTGGGAGGGGGTGCAGGGGCCTGCTGTCACGCCCGCTCGACAGTGGCGCAGGAGACGCACATGGGAGGAAGGCAGGGACAGGGGAGGGAGAGAGGACGGTGGACGGAGGACGGAGGAAAGAGGCTGTACTCACAAAATGACAAACTTGCGCGGGTTGATAGTCAAGAGAGCGAAGGAAAGGACGAAGCAGGCCAAGGCGCCCAGGTTGCAGGCGCCGAAGATTAGAAGCCGGTCCCATCTACTCACTATTCCAGCAGCGCAGCAACATATGGCCGTATGGTCAGCGCTTGGCCAATGATATACAGGAATATTTCAGGAATGGGTAGGGCGAGAAGGGGGTGGTGTGTGAACCACATGTTCATGTGCGCCGGACTGAGACATGGGCGCGCAAATGCGGCACATGTTCTGCAGTGGCGGGAAGGCTGCAGGGGAAACGAGATGGCAATATGGCAAGCAAGATGGAGCAGATGGGGTTGAGGGAGGGACTTGAATATAATTCACTCACGGGCAAACCAGCCTTCCTCCTCTTCACGCCTACTTGGTGCCGGTAGTGGTGCCCCGGAGCCCTCGGTAGTCGGTAGTTGGACATAGCCGCGCTCTCCGAAGGGGTTCAGAGACTTGATCGACGAGAGCAAGCCGCTCTGTTGGGAGGTGTTGACGGGGACATCTTGATCACGGCGGGTCCAGCCCAGCGAGTTGATCGAGTCCCGGAACGACGCTGATGCCATTACTTCCCCCGATCACTACTATCGTCTTGCGGGTCTCGTTCTGTTGTTGAGGTTGTAGTGGTTCGCGTATTGCGCCAGCGTCTGGGCCGAACAGTTCGCGGCAGGAGCAGGTCCGGGAACAGCGTGGGGAAAGGCGTGTCCAGTGACCCACCAGCGAAGGGACAGTCGCGATTAAAGAAGAGCGGGCTCGACTTGTGATTTATTGAGGTCGGCAGGGCGTGTGTAGGGAATCAAGCGCGCGGTGCTATTGGATGCGTCGTCAAGGGTGGGAGGGTAGTGTGGGAGGGCCTTGAAGAGCCGCCAAGGAATGCAGGCAGGTCAAACGGGTACTATCGATCAGAAATAACTACGTCAGAGCTCGTGTCGGTGTCAGGGTCTATGTTTTTTAGGGATGCTTGGAGGGGGGTATCAGGGCTATCATGTGAGCGGGAGTTGGGACCTACATATGGCTGGCTGACTTCGCTGAAGGGGCTTCGCAGGCTAGCTTGGCTGGGACGGAGAGGCGGCGTATTTCATCGGGGTACTATTATGGTGTGTCGCGTTGGTATTCGCGCGTACTTCGGCGAAGTCGGCCAAGGTGTGGATGGCAGAGAAGAGGTGGGTGTGTTGGAGGTTGGTGTCTGTAGTCGTTGCTTCCCAGCAGGTTGATTCGGTGTCGGGTTGGCACCTACAGGAGCTTGACGATCGGAGGTCTCCAGCCAAATTGATCCGGGCCATGTGATTGGCTTCGCCAGCTGGCGGTGCTAGTACAGCGTCAAAAGTCGGTCCCTAAAAGTGACCATGTACCTCCGTTTAGGTACTCGCATCACTGCATGGGCCTTTCAACTTGTGGAGGTGGAGGCAGGGACGCGGAGGTGATATGCCACTGCAGCGTTGATCATGGAACGCTGCGGCAGACATGGGGGTGATCTGGATGATCTCGCAACTACCGCGACGACCGTGGGAGTGGGATGACATCCTTCATGTTCAGCGTTTCCGGCCGCTGAGAGCGCTCAAATACCCATCCTGGCTCATCGAGGTGTCTGCATTTCCCGCCCTGTGGATCAGCGATCGACAGCTGCGTTTGCAAGTAGATAGTTTACAGAGGTCATCGAACATGAACGGGCGGTGCCTCCCGGAAGTGCATCCATGTCCTGATCAGCCTGCAAGAACAACTTGGTATCCAACCAGTTCGACCTTTGCTGCATATTGGCTCCAGCGCCCACCTCCTCGGCTGCTATCTTGAAATGCGGAGGTCAAGCTCGCCAAAAAAAAAAAAACATCAACCTAACATGCTAGGACAGCCACCCAGTTCCCGCTTTGGCCGCTTGCGATGTACGGAGAAAGAAGAAACAAGATGGGCATCTCCGTCGGTCTGCACATTCCTCGGAGCTCTGGGAGTCCTGGACATCCAGATTGCCTGCTGCATTACGTATGCCTTCCTGGCTGGCCTCCTTGTCAAATTTGTTTTGGTGTGCCTTACTGTCTCACTCTGGCGAGTCACATTGCTGGGTGTGCTGCCCCCCATGTTTGCCCACCTTGACCTTTCCAAGCATGCCCGTCCAGCTTGAAAAGGCCCCCTGGTGCGGTGAGGACGGAAGGCATCCAAGAAAGCATGGATAAGCAGAAGTGGGCGATGTTACAGACTTTCCAAGTCCCAGATCCCATTCTGCTATCAACACACCCACTTTGACCGACATGATAGTCAGAAGACGGACGGTGGGCAAGTTCATGACCTGGTCGGCCAGGTAGATCTCGTAGATAGGCAGTAGGGAGAGTACGGTCAAAGGTACTGCATAATAGACGAATTATTTTTAGGGCCACCATATAAAAGGGGCCCCCATCCTCGATATGCCTCTTCGAGACGCGCAGGCTGACCACTCCCCCATACCTATTCGCTGTTGTTCCTAAATTGTCTGCACAGCTGCACCGCTGCATCCGAAATCCGATCTCACGTAACGCGAGCCTAATACCAGGTTACCTTTACAGGTTACCTGCTTTGCTTTCATCCCCAAGATCCTGGATAGGGCGCAGCCAACTCGAAGGCGGGGTTAATAAACGAGAAGCGGGGGACGGAGACTCGATCTACAAAGCTTACACGGTACAGAATGCCGTTGATTTGACGAGAAGCAGCAGCTTGAAAGACTGATCGACTCCATCCAGAAATCGTCGCGGGATCTCCATCTCCAGCCGCGCAAGCCAAAGACCAACCCAACTCGTCCAGGCCTGAGTCATACTTCAGAGTTCAGAGCCCCGAAAACTCCCAGCCTGGGTTCCACCGAGGTCGTCGAGACAACAGGTTGCACAAACAGCCCCGGCTGTCAACAGGCCGGCCAAGAGGTTCCACAGGCGTCACAAGCAGACCGAAGCAAGGATCGAAAAGCCTTGACCGATTGAGCAAAGCGCAACCATCCTGGCTTACATAACACACGCGTGGATATTCCTTGGCGTGCTTGGCGTACTTGGCATTTCCCCAACCCGGCCAGCGCCACCAGTGTCGGAGCAGCGCAAATCTTACTGGTCGCAGACAGGCCGTGCCAGGTTTCCCCTAATATACGAGCAATCCACGCAATCCACCCTCTAAAGTAGGCACCTACTCCCACGTCTCAGCAACTGCCTACCTCGGAAGACCTCAGCTATTAAAAGCAACATCGCGAGAGCCCGAATAGGAAATCCCCGCCTGCCCTCACCAGTGCGGAATACAACCAAGGAAGCAAGCCAAGCCAAGGCAACCCAAGCCAAGCCAAGGGTATCTTTGTCGATTTGTCGTCCGAGGAATAAGAAAGGCGGGCTGCGACACAAGGGATCCATCCCGCTTCGCCCAATCGGCCATCCAAGACCGTGTGCAAGGGGTTTGAGAGGGCCTGTCAACCAACATATATCCATCCGATCCGTACAAGGAGGACAACTGCTGCTGCAGGCCCCGATATCAAACTCTTGATACCCAGGTACCCAGCAAGCACTTGAACCGCAATATCATCAATATCTCCGACCGACCGAGTGCCCCTGCTCTCGTCCCTACTTAGTACCTAGTGCATCTCCCCTGCTGCGGCTGCGACTCGTCCAGCGCATTACCTAAGGCAGTTAGTTTGTCGCTAATTCATCACCGCCCGATCCTGCCCAGTCTTTTACCACCAACTGGCACGCCGCTTCTCCAATCGAGTCACAGCAACCGCAGCCAGAAAAAAAAAGAAGCAAAAAAAGGTTTTAAGGGCGTCCCTCGAACTCTCCTTCCCGAGATTCCATCTTTTGAGGCAACTGCGACTCGACGAGCCGCCTTCAAGGAACCTGGAAGATTTGCGTGTGCCTCACGCCCGTTTCAATAAATACTTCGCTCCCGGCCTCCCTCGAAGCAACCCCTCGCCATCTCTTCGACTCCCCACACTCCGCCCTATGGCGCGCTGACCGCTGTCACCGACAATCTTTGTGAACACTCTTGTCAATCAAGGTATGTTGGTAGCCTTTTTATTTTTATTTAATTCTTGACTCGACCCTCTGGCGACCAAACACACAATATATCTGGGCAAGGTGTGCACCCTGAAGACTCGACTTCGCCGACGTTCAACACTCCGGCTTGTCCGCGATTTCTGTCGCCCGCCGCTTCGTCGCCACTTTTGGCCAACACATATCCAATCCACCCATGCATTATCCTGCACAAACCCACGAATAATAGTGGCGGTGCTGTCCCGTTGGTTAACCTCTACGATTCCCGCAGGTTCTGGTGGTCTCGAAAACACCTTCGCCGCCTAGTCGACAGAACCCCCGATTACACACACTTGAACTGGGGCAACCCTCAGTACTACCGCAGAAGATGGCGCAGCACGGCTTTCAGATTGGAGGAGGCCACGGTGCAAGCAGCATCGACCCGAACGACTTGACCATGTCAGGCAACTACCCATCACCGTACCAGAGCAATTTCAACTCAAATCACAGCAACCCATCGAACGGGTTCTCCAGTGGATCAGCACTGTTTGGCGATGACGAGCTGCTCGATGGACTTCCTAGCCCGACAGAAGCGCAATCGGGCATGCAGGGCCATGGTCAGGAGTTTGGTGGAATGAACGATATCAACATAGGATATGCCCAGGGCATCTACAACTCACACCACAGCCTGCCGGTCGAACAATCCCACATCAACGGATACTCCAACACGCCTGACGGAGATCCCATCCAGAGCCCGTTCGTACACAGCGGCTTCGGCCCATACCGGCCGATGCCTCAATCATTCGGAGGTTCGCTACAGTCGCCCATCTCCTACGGCGGCTCCCCTTTGGCAAACTCGGAGCTGAACAACGACGGCGGCGACCCGAACTACCTGAAAGCCCGCGCAAGGATGTCCCAGACCATGCAGCGCAAGCCGCCGACTGCCCGGAGCCCACTGACTCCCAAGGCCGCTGCCATGGCTGGGTTGTCAATGAACTCGCCGGATTCCTACGGCGCCCAACCCATCCGGACAGGTGGCCAACATCACGAGAAGTCTCATTCGGGCCAGTGGGTACAGACGCCGAACAGCCTCTCGTCATTCCCCGGCTCCGGCTTCTCGTCACCACTGGCAGCTGGACTGCACAGCGCGCAAATCAACGACATCATGATCAAGGGCGGCACGTCCATGCCCGCTAAGTTGGGTGCGACTTCAAGTGCAGTGTCGTCTCAGGAGGCCAAGAGAAAGAGGAGGAGAGAATCTCACAACATGGTAGAGCGTCGCCGTCGAGACAACATCAACGAACGCATCCAAGACCTGAGCAAGCTGGTACCTGCACACCGTCTCGAAGACGAAAAGGTCCGCAAAGCAATCCAGAACGGCACTCCTCTGTCGCCAACGTTACAGGGTGTCGCGAATCCTTCTCAGGCGACATCCGGCCTTGCCGGGCCCGGCGCGCGACGGGCAACGAGTGGGGCGGCCGGCAATATCACCACGGGCCTGCCCATCGACGACAAGGACAAGGGCCCCAACAAGGGCGATATTCTCAACGGCGCCGTGAGCTGGACGCGTGATCTGATGTGGATGCTCCATCTCAAGATCCAGCAGCAGGAAGAGCTGCTCAACTGCATCGTCGAGCTAGGTGGACATGTGCCCTTGGAGCTGACCGACGACGAGCGGCGGATGCAGACCGAGCTGTTGGAGGCAATAACCAAGAACGAAGAGAATACCAAGGCCGACACGTTCTCGTACTCGCGGACGGCTGGGTCAGGCCTGAGGGTGCCCCATCACACCAACTACAAGGGTGAGCCCCTCAACGGCAGCAACAACGGCATCGACCATGTCTCGGGGAGTCCCGACGACGATGTAGCCGGTGCTGTCGGCTCCGACATGCTCGATTCAGGAGAGTTTCTGGACTACGATGACGATGGAAGCGGGGATATGAACTTCAAGGAGGAGGACGAGTATGGCATGGATCTCAACTGATTGCGGGGGATAGCAATCCCCTCCGTTTTTCATCTGACGCCGCATTACACGCCCTCCTCCTGGTCTGAGATTCTTACCCATTTATTTACACGCGTGGCGAGGAATTTCTGCATTTGATTTTGTTTACCTATCGACCAGTTTATTACCCCCTTGAGTATTCTTTTTTTGCTGCCGGGAACTTTTATTCCCCTTTCGTTTGCTTTGTTAGGTCTCTCCGATTTCCAAGAGCATGTATCCCGGTGGTAATCCGATTTCCTTTTTCCTTTTTTTTTTTTTTTTTTTTTTTTTTTTTTTTTTTTTTTTGCATTCGAGGTCGTTTAGGAGTGGTTGGTTGGGCACAGTGGCGTACGAGGCAGGCCGGGTTCTTTTTTCTCGTCTTTTTTTATTTTTTATTTTTTATTTCAGGCGGAGGATGAGTCCTCCCCTGCTGGGAACATACAAGAGAGCGTGGTCGACGGAGTTTTCCAGATTCGTTTCGTCTCCTCGTGGCTGTTTTCCCTGGAGATGATCGATGTACCGGAGTGTGTAAGGGGATGGAGGGGGCGGCTATGGGACAGTTTGCTTGCTCTCGCTTTGTGTTTTGTTGCCACTGGGTGCATTGTTCTATAGCTATTTTAATTATACAACTATCCTCCGAAATGGCAGTCTTCGCTTCGGCGAGGACCTCGTTCACAACTTCAAATCTCGATCATGTGTACAACACCACCACCTAGGTACCTACCTACCTAGCGCGAGTAAGATTCTAACGTGAAGCTTTAAAACACAACGACAGAGATCTCAGAAGCCTCAGGCCGCTACCAGTGCCTCACGCACAGCAGGTACTCACTCATAGCCGTCAGCAGGTTCCACACGTCCTTCCGCTTCATGTCCTCCTGCAGCGCGACGCGCTCCAGCGCCGACCGCCCGTTGAAGTACTTCCAGAACCGCGGCCACGCAGCGGCGACCCCCTCGTCACAGTCCCTCCCGTCCCTGACGATGCCGTCCCTGGCCAGCCTGCTGGGGGTGCTGGGCGCGCCCTTGGCCGAGCCAGCCCGCTTCTCTCCGTCCTCCGAGACCTTCCTGTCGCCCTTGTTGTTATTGTTGGTGTTGTTGTTGTTGTTGTTGTTGTTGTTGTTGTTGTCCCCTCCGTCCGCGGCCGCCGCCTCGCCCTTGCTGCTCCCATCCTGCCCCTCGCCTCCCTCCGCGTTCCCGTTCCCATTCCCGTTCCCGTCGGTCCTCCTCCTCCCCACCGCCGAAGCCCCTACCCTCCCCGCAGTGAGCAGCCGCCGCCCGATGGCGTCGAGGTAGAGGCTCTCGCGGCCGGTGGCCTTCTTGGCGTCGAGGATGATGTGGGGCGACAGGGCGGCGAGGTGGGGCGCGTCGTTGACGCTGGGGTGGGCGGTCTGCCGCGGGGCGGCCTTGCGCGCGTGCGCTGTCGCCCGGTCGGCGAGGTCGCGCGCTGCCTTGTCGGCTATGCGCTCCAGCCGCGCCTTCTCGGCCACCTGCTCCGCTGGCGTCGGCTGCGTGCGCTGGCGGCGGCGGTGGCGGGGTGGTGCTTGGTTGTTGTTGTTATTGTTATTGTTATTGTTATTGTTCTCGTTGTCGTCCCCGCTATCATCGACGTCATTGTCGACATCGTCGACATCGTCCTCGCTGGGCCCTTGCTGGCGGCCAGGACGGAGCGGGGAACGAGGCGATGGCGAAGAGGCCTCCGAGCCGGGAGACTGCTGCTCGGTTGCGCCGGGGATGTTGACGTGGGTTGACGACAGAGAGGGGCCACGCAGCGTCGCCGTGGATGAGACCAGGTCCGTCGAGGCGTCGAGACTCCGTTCCGCGCTGCTGGCGCCGTGGGTCGGGCTCATGGACGCCGATAGGGAGGCTCCTTCACCGCCTCCCGTGGAGGAGCTGCTGATTGTATTTGTGCTCTCGATACTCGCGGGTTCGGCGCCTTGCCCCTGCGTGCGTTTCGCCTTCGCTATGGCCTGTGCCTCAAGCGCATACTCGACCTCGTAGATAATCTCAGGCCACACGACAACGTACCCAAACGTGCAGAGCTGCGTCACCCATCCGCCGCGCATCAGCCACGCCAGCATCGCCATGTATAACGGGCGGTGCGGCTTGGCCGGGCAATGCATCTTGTAGGGCCGGGGCGCCACGCTGAGGTCTGCCAAGAAGTTCGGCAGTGCCGGAGCGAGGGGGAATTGCCGTGCCCACTGCGCCGCTGCTTGCGGCAGCCTGGACATGTTGCAGTTCGGCGACAGTATGTAAATGTCGCGCGCGTGCAGCGGCGGGATGGCGATGGCGCGCCGCCAGAAAATGACGTGCTGCGCATACTTTCGCACTTGGGCTGGAGTCAGGATGCTGCTGGCCTGCTGTGCGACTTGATAAAGCCTGTGCAGAATAGAAGTCAGGACCTAGTTACGTAGGTTATCAACAAATAGGCGATCTGAGCCACTTACGAGAGCGTTGCTTTGCAATGCCGAACAAATTCAATCATGGAGAGAGTCGTCTCGTCCGGACTAGTTTGCAGCTCTGCGATAATCTTCTTCTCGTCGTCCATCAGGAGCAGGGCAAAGTTCTTGTCCAAGTAACCTGATCCGTCGGCGGCGTCTTCGCTTAGGAATGTATTCGCCGTTGTTATCCACAGGCCTTGGCCTTGCGGGTCGACGTCGTTGTCTTGCGGGAGGTCGGATATGCAGAAGGGTATGGGTATCTGCACCGAATGGGTAACTGTTCCCTCGGCTGTTTCCAGCTGAAGAGCCGCGATCCTGTTCTGGGACACGGCGTCATATATATCCTGCATCGACGCGGCCAGCGACGATGTCGACAGGATTTCATGCCACAAGGAACTCATCTTCATCTCTGCAAGTTGCTTAGCCGTATGCTCGAGCGGCATCGCTTCCAACCACGGAGCTACTTACTATCTTCCCGGCCCTTTTCCTTGAGGGCTAGAATTCGTTTTGACTCCTTCCATACAAAGTCACTCCTCTGCTGGCAATATTTCAAAGCCTTGTTGACTTTCTTGATGATATGGACAAACATGATGTCGACTAGATCCTTGACCTCGTGCTTCTTGGGCCGCAGAATAAAGACGAGGTTGAACATGGTCATGGAACTCTTTTTGTCCGTGGGCCCCTCACCGCTGGCTGCAGGCTTGGCCATGTCCCTGGCCTCGGCCTGGTCCGACTCGGACGCCCTTGTGTCGCCGGCTGGAGTGGCGCCATCTGTACCCGCAGGGACGACTTCGTCCTCGTCCCCTTTGGTCGGCTTCGATTTCTTGCCCTTCTTCGTCTTCCTCTTCCATATCCCACTCTCCGGGACGTAGATAGGGTACGAGACGCAGTAAAGCGGATCCAGAGACAGCTGGAACAGCCTCTTATGATAGGCGCGTGCGGGAGTCAGGATCCTCCCGAGGTCTTTCGTCGGGAAGCCAGCGACGTGCTCCCAGGGCACAATCTGGGTGCCGCTCTCGGTGACCAAGTGGTCATCTTGATTCCATTGCAAGAACTCGGCTGGGTTTGGCAGGGATGGGCCAGCTCCCTCGAGGCCTGAGAGTTGAGCAGCGCGCCCAAGCCAGGTGTCATCCTCGTCGTCGAGATCGTCATCATCGTCTGACTTCCCGTACCTGCCTTGGGTTGGTAGCACATGAGGGGGGTAGTGAAAGACAACCCTTGGCCCCTCGCGCGATCGATTGATGACGAGCGCAACGGCTAGGAAGTTGGAGGGATTGGGAAGAACGGGAAGCGTCATGGTTGATTTCCATCAATTGTCCTCAAGACTCGGACAGACTCGGGACAATCTGCCTCGCGGTCGCCATATCACAGTTCACACATTGGGAGTTATCTCTGGGAGGCGTGCTTCAAGACTGTTTGAAACATTGGCTCCTCATTAGGGTTCCTCGTCTCGCCAATACAGTGTATCATGTGGAGCGTCACAAGGGGATCAAGTTCAACGATACCTTAGGTAGGTAGGTAACCAAGGCAGGTAGGTGGGTAGGTAGGCAATGGAGCCACAGTGCCGCACATACCTACTACGTAGTAGGTATTCTAATAGCGAGCCAAAGTGGTGGCTAATTTCTATCGTTCTACTGGTTTATGTTAATCCTGGGGAGTGGGGACTGACTCGGGGAAGAGCAGGGGCTGAACGTCCACTGCAGTACCTTATGTACCATCGGGTACCTACCTACCTGTAGGAATATCATATGTTTTTCCGAATCCAATCAGCAAGTCCGGGTACGTACCCACGATGGTGTCGAAGACTCTACCAACCTAGAAATTGGTAGCTTAGTATGAACTCGAGAAAGGCAATTGATCACGCGAGCGAGCACCTCTGAGCCTCCTCATTTTCGTCCGCCTCATCCAGTCCCTCTCGATTTGTTTGCTTCGAACTTGCCTTGTGAGCTACAAAAACCAGCTCTTTCCAGCTGCCGACTCTCTCTTGCATGCATTGTGGTGTCCTTTGCCCACCTGCGCCGTCCCTCCTTTCCACGAAACTCAAATCTCCCTCTTTAACATGACGATTTCGAGCACATAAAATCACCAAACAGCCGTCATTCCTTGAGCATTGCTTGGAAATCATGGCTACCCCACCTAACCCTCTACCCCCCCAGGACTGCTCAACACCCCAGATCCGCTTCATCCCACTCTCCTACTCGGCTGAGGACAGCCATGTGTCTGCCCTCCGACTGATCGCCCAGCTGCGCCCCGACTGGCAAGAAGGCAATTCCGAGGTGTCCTTCGTGCGGTTCACCGACGGTATCACCAATACTCTGTTAAAGGCCACCTGCCGCCTGCCGGGTACGGAACCGAGCGCTGAGGCCGCCGATGCCGACGCTATCCTCCTACGCGCCTACGGCAACGGCACCGATGTCATTATCGACCGGCACCGCGAGGCACAGAACCATGAGCTGCTTGGCAGGTTTGGGCTGGCACCAGAGCTGCTGGCGCGCTTCGAGAACGGCATGCTGTATCGCTTCATCCGCGGAACCGTCACCCAGCCAGACGACCTGAGGCGACCCGAGGTATACTGCGCCGTCGCCCGCCGCCTTGCGCAGTGGCACGCCACCGTTCCCTGCCTACGGGGACCCGTGAGCAAGAGCGGCGAAACCGAGGCTGCCGAGCTCCAGAGGGCGATCGACCGCGTAGCGGCTCCCAAGCCTAGCCCGAACGTGTGGACCGTCATGCAGAAGTGGATCTTTGCGCTGCCGACAAAAACAGAGGAGCAGAAGGCGAGACAGGAGACCCTACAAACAGAGCTGAAGTGGCTCGTGCGCGAGCTGAGCCAGAGGGAAGGGCTGGGTAAAGACGGACTGGTGTTTGCGCACTGCGACCTGCTCAGCGGCAACATCATTCTGCTGCCGAAGCCGGTCAGCAATGGTGTTAACGGCAGCGGCGCCCATGCATATGGCCCCAACACCGAGTCGGTAGCTTTCATTGACTACGAGTACGCGACACCCTCGCCGGCAGCGTTCGACATCGCCAACCACTTTGCCGAGTGGGGCGGCTTTGACTGCGACTATTCCGTCCTGCCGACGCGCTCGCAGCGACGGACATTCATCCGCCATTACATCCGCTCCTACTTCGAGTTGCTGCCCGACCAGCGCCGGGTCGGTGCGACCGCCACTACAACCGAGCAGCTGCAGTCCGAGGCGGACAAACTGTTCGAGGAGGTCGACCTCTTCCGCGGCGTGCCTGGCTTCTACTGGGGAATCTGGGCGCTAATACAGGCGACCATCTCCGAGATCGACTTTGACTACGCCTCGTACGCCGAGACGCGTCTTGGGGAGTACTGGGCCTGGAGAGAGGAGGCGGGAGGGACTCGCAAGGCAAAGGGGTTGGAAATGCCGTTGCGCGAAAGAAGATGGGCGCAGGAGTAGGATGGCCGCCTCGTCGAGCATCGATGGCGCGCCCCGGATGACCATTTCACACTGCGTCTGTTTCGGTGGGGCCGATTGTTTTCGCCGTGCCAAAACGGATGTGACCCTATTTCTTTTGCATTAACCCTTCTTACAATTTTTTTTGGTGAGCGTATCTGATATAAACGCGAGGCATCAGGGCTAGCATTCACCATGAGGCCAGACAAGGGGCGTGCTTGGAGTTCTATCTCTGGTTTCTTGCATTAGGTAGGATACCCAGGGCGAGCATTCAACATGGGCTCGGAAGTGGCATTAGCTGCCAGACTTCTTCGTTCGGTATGAAGTACCTATCCATAGAAAACGGTGCTATTGTTTTCCTTGTTTTGCCCGTCCCGGTCAGGCTCTTGGTGATGCCCGCGCCCACCCACAATAAACAGAGGGGCTAATAATAAGAGAAGGAAGACAAGAAGCTACTAATACAAAGGAGGAAGGCTGCGCGATGTGCGTGCCTACACCCCTCTAGGGAAGGGCTTGGCCAACTCAGCAGGTGCTCCCAAGCGATACAATCACTGCCTAGATCACACAGCAACCGAGTTCGCCAGACTCCCACCCCTTGCTAGCAGTCCTCTCAGAGCCTATCCCGCCAAACTGGTCCCCGACACCGACAAGCAGTGACGAGGGGACATCCAGGTGCTGGAAGCCCGGGGTGTAATCCTCGTCTGTCCCGTCCGACCAACACGTCGCCGTCGACCCCTTCCGCCCGTCGACGGAGCTCGTGGCCGGAGTCAGGTGCGGGCAGGGGATCGGTGAGGGAGATAGAAGTCTTGCCGTACGAGGTCTGTCGACAAGGTGGGCCGCCTCGGGGAAATCTGCCCGGATCTGCGTGTGCTCGGATGTGCCTGGTAAGGGGGTCTTAGAAGACGGGCTGGCGCTGGCGTCCACGTTTTGCCCGTGGGTTCTGGCTGTGTCTTGTGTGTGGGGTAAGGCTGTCAGCCTTCTGGCGAAGGAAAAGGGAGGGAGAGGGGGAGGATTGGATAGCCTACCTCTGTGATGGCTTTCATGCCTTGTCATGGTTGTGACCAAGATGACGAGAAGGGTGGACGCCACGATAAGGCAGGCAATGCCAATGAGGAGGCTTCGGTTCGTGGGTATGTAGGGCAACGACTCGAATAAACCGTGAACAGGCATGGCGTGTACTTGGAATAGGTTTCGTGGGACAAAATCTTGATTGCGGCTACTATACGATCTGAAGATACAAAGAGTGTATAGGGGATCGTTGATCTCAGGTATTCTCGTTGACAGACTCGCAACTTATATTAAGTGCTCCGCGTACCAGTTGCCTGTCACACACACACTTCGGGGTCACCGTAGGTACCCTGCAAGACGGCCGGTATAAGGACACACCATCCTACCCTGACCTTCTGCCGTGGGATAGCAAGCCGCTGTGGCCAGCACACCAACCCTCAACACACTAAATTTTCTTCTCTCTTTCTGACTGGCCCGAGGAGAAACTTTGAGCAATCTCAACGGATAATCCCTCGACGGGCCAGTCCGCGCATCATGAAAAAGGTGGCAACCGAATCCAGGACGCTCCACTAGGCAGATAAGGCTCCTAAGGTTGAAGACACCTGCTCACCCTCCTCCAAGTCGCGTACACCCTGGCTTCCAGCCTGGAATCCCATTGGCTACGCAGGCCGGTAACAAGTCTTGAGGCCCGACGACAAAATACCCTCACGTCACAGAAAGCAGCGAGGTGGGGCAAGTAGCAGAAAGAGGTAGCCGTGGAGGGCGCCGGGTCTTGAGCTGTGGGCGGTTAGGCGGAATGAGGCGGTGAAGCTGAGGGACAAGGCGGGGCTGCTAGACCGAATCCGGATCGCTGAGGTCGCCTTGCCCGGCTGGTCAGCTGAGAGGAGGAGACCTGCTTAGGTGCAGTAGAAAAACGCTGGAGGAGCGGATGGGGCAGCCTGTGAGCTTAGGTTGGTTGGGGGGGGTGCGGGGAAGGGCGTTAAGAAGGTCGTTATGATGCAACCCTTCTGGCATGAAATGCCTCAGGCATGAGTTGGAGAACAAGCCCTTGTCAGCCAATGGTTGGAGCAGCCATGGATCATGCAGGACAAGGAAGCTCTGGTGAGCTTCTTCGAGGAGGGCCAGGAAGGTTGGCGATTCGACGAGGGGTGTTTCTCAGGAGGGGGACTGTGCGTGGGTGAAGAGAGAGGTTTGAGGCGGAGCTGAACCGCCCAAATGCCGAATGATTGGAGGCCGTTATTGTGTGATACTAGCGGTATCTTGAGCCACCCTTCTCTCAGAGTATGTATCCGAACTGTGAAGCCTTTTTGCGTTTTGGCCCTTCTTTTCCTAACTGAGCCCTGGAGACTGTGTCTGGTAACATCGAGGAAGATAGACATATATCTGTCTGTCCGCCTGTTTGAACTGTGCGGAATATAGGTATCAGCTAGCTGCTCAAGTAATTTTTCAGGGGAGGGAGGCTTAGACCCCGGAATGATCGGGTTGTTCGGCCTCAAGGCCCAAGATTAAGCACTGCAACGCGGCCTAAATTCGACAGATGGGGCCAAGTGGGCAAAGACATCTGCTTCTGTTGACAGTGCTGAGCATCTACCACAGTATATGTATTGAGCGTACTTCCGTAATTGAGGGGCAATCAGGATGGCCCGGACCCAAAGCCGTTTTTTCCAAGATTCGCGTTCTTGCTACTGTCACACCCTAAATTCCCCAGACCGGCCCCTAGACCAGAAACCGATCTCGGCTTGTAATTAGGTAATGGCGAACCTTCACCGACCCTCACCTGCTCTTGTATCCAAATCGAAGGGGGAATTGGCTTTGGGCAATTGAAAGAATTTGGTCGCATTTCGATACGGTTTCTCAAGCTGGCTAATATGCCTAGTGTGCTACCATTCATGTACTTTAAAGCGCGCATATCGAGACAGGGTCGTCGGTAGACGTGCAGCTAGTCATCGCATCTCGAAAGTTGTGCCTCCCCAGTTGGGTGCTACCTGTCAGGCCTGCGCCAGAGCGAATCAGCTGACGAGTGAGGGCCTGGGGGGTGGTTGCCCTTCCAGACTAGGTGCGGTCTCCGACTACACGCACTAGTTATTTCCGCGGGCGAGCAGCTCATTACCGTATTTGTCCCCCTTCCCTTGCACGTTGCATAGCACAGGTGGTAGTAGGTAGGTAGAGTATCTACCTGATGAAGCCCCACGGTAGTCGCCTGTGATTAACTGATTATCCCGAAGGCATTGACTCAGTCCCTCGCCATCAAGGGAGGCCATCCGTAGAACAAGTACTGTACATACGCCTGCACGATTGTACAGGTAAGCGTGTGAGGGGACGGCTGATGCAAGGTTGCGGCAAAGGAAGCTCCCTTGCCCATTATCTCAGCGATCGATATTGGATGCAGACCCCGGGTTAAATCTGCCGCTGCTCAAACGGTCCCGTCTCGGGCTCCCCAGCCCCACATCCTGACTGCCACTGGCTGCCACCGCCCGCCCTATTAGTCACTTTCCTAATCTGCACAGTGCACTAATTTTCTCCAAAGAGCGACGAGGCCGCACTTGCTCTCCAAACGAAAGCTTCCAATCCGACGTCAACTTTTTGAGCGTCCAAAAAAAATCCCATTGCCGCTGCTGGTGCAACTGCACTATCTTCTTTGCGCATGGGAGCATGGTCTTGTGATGCATCCGAGCCGCCGCAGATCCTCACTCGGTCGCTTGCCGTTATCATGTTGCGCATACCAGTTGCCCCGATTTGTTGATGCACCCAGCCACGCGGACACCGTCGGACCAAGTCGACGGGGTGAGAGACCAGCCAGCAGCCCCGGAAGGCTTGGCTTGGCAGAGCTGACCTGAGCTCCATGAGCTGAGTTGAGCCGAGCGCTGAGAGAGGGGCCACCCCCAAAAAAAAGTTCGTCGCAAACCCGGACGCCTACACGCTCAGCTTTCCCACCCTCTCTACCCACCGCTTCCGCTCCGTCCAAGCCCGTCGCCGTCTCCGCCATGGCGGCCGAGAACCATGGGCTGGCGGCAGCGCAGCGCCCGGAACGCAACAACCCTCCGCCAGCCCTCATTCCGCCTCCGTATGATCCGGCCTTAGACCCCAGAGTCAGAAACTTGCTAGACCAGCAGGCCGAGATCCAGGCCAAACTCGCTGCTCTGCTACCGCGGAAGTATGGCCCCAACATAAAGCTCGAACTTGACATGTTGCGCCATAAACTCCAGGTCTTGGAGGCATACGCCAACGACAATCGTAAGCTGCTCTCTCGCTCTCTTATGCTAGTCCTCAACAGTGTTTTCTTTTTTTTTTTGGGGGGGGGGGTGAAGCCATTTGCCACCTAATGTGTTATTCGGTCCCAATTGTATCATCTCAACATACTTAACTGCCTTTCATTCCCCTTCCGAGTCGCACGCATTACAAGAGATATGGGCCTGATATGTGTTGTGACTAGACCTCTCCAATAAGATCCCAAACTTGTCGGAGATCGAAGAGGCCAGGGCACTCCAGTACCGGTGTGAGTGCATTGAGAGCGCGTGTATGGAGCAAGGTAGGTTTTCAGCCTCCCCCCAGCTTGAGTTGTCCAGGACGTCGTCTAAAATGGTTCGCCTTGTCCCCCCACCCCAGGCGTGGATCTCCAAGATCCCAGGTTCATCGATGCCTTGAGGCATTCATTCCGCGATCAAGCACCGGATGGCTATGCTGCCTGGCTTGACAGGAATCTCGCTCATTACGACCCAGTTTTCCGCAGTTGGCGTCTAAGAGACAGCCTGCCCTTGAGCTCCCGCTCCCAGCATTCGTTCAAATGTTGGGATGATAGATGTATGCATTACATCTACGGCTATCCCTACCAGGATGATCGTGACCAGCACGCCAGAGAACATGTTGCACCCGTAAAGAGAGACTCGGGACTCTCAGTTGGCGATACGCCGACTCTGTTATTCCCGAGCCAGCCCAGCAGCAGCCGTGGTTACAGCGGCGATTACTCCAAGCAGACCTCACCACTCTATCTGCCTCGACCCGGCGCCCATTTACAGCTCGCCCCGTTATCAACGGGGAGTCATCCCAAGGATCACCGCGACTCCTTGAGATCCTACTCGTTCGTGTCCGAGTATCCCGAAGGACACCGGGGTTCTATCGACTCGGAAGTCGATCCCTTGCTCCCGCCTTTGAAACGCAGCCGTGTCGGGCAGTCCAGACTGGAGTCAATAGAAGAACTCAAGTTACTTAGGGATAGAGGACCTTGCTTACGATGCAAGGTCTCGGACGAAAGCGTGAGGGAGATTGATTGCACGTATCTATTCACCAGCAGCTGACTGACGTCTATAGTGCGATTCGAACGATCCCTGCTCCTTCTGTCTTGACTATACCGGTCCTCAAGATGCCGGGTTCTGGAGATTCCTCGGGTGCCCTCGCGGGCCACTCGCTAATCTTGCCGAGATCATGCTCCCAGGTACGACTAGACCTTAACTGCCTGTAACCTTCCATCTACCTTTCTTTCTAACAGGGATTCAGCCTCCATATCTCCACGGCAAACCCAGACGCCCATGACATCCCCGCTTGCGGTACGTCGCAACATGAATGACTATCTGGAAAGGGCCTACCCTTTGCACCCTGACGTTGCAAGAATGGTCAAGGGACATCTCGATTTCGACGACGGTTTCTGGTGGACGGAAGATCTTGCCAGCTTCCCGCCTGCCAATCCGACATTACCGTCGTTTTCTAGGGAGCCCGTCGACAGATCGCCCCCTGTTCTCAACGTCTTGGCCTCCAGCTGGAACATGGCGCCAAACTCGACTGTTTACAACTTTTGGCAGCTATTGAGGCTGAGCGGTCTCGTAGCAGGAAGCAGAGAGGCCGAAGTCGCAGCCTATCCCGCCCTATACCGAGCTAAATTGCTGCTCAGGGAAACCATCTTCTATGACCTTCAACAACCGGAACCGGTAATCCATGCAGAGAACAGAAATTCCAACCACCCCATAATATTCGACGACGTTGATTCATACGGACGACACCAGTTACTATTCAACTGCATGACCCAGTTCCTCCAGTCATTTGAAAGCCTGACTTCACGAAGGGGAATGCTGGACCCCAAGAATTGGCTGGCGTTAGTGTTCTCATTATGCATCTTCAGCGTTGTGAGAACGATATTATTGGACAGGGTCTGCCAGTCTCATCCGAGCCCTGGTTCATCGAGTCCACCCGCGGGTATGCATAGCGTCTACAAGGCTCTCGTGAGTCTCTTTGCCTGGTCCTCACCGATGCTACTCGACAGACCACCCGACAGCCCAATGGGCAATGAAGATGCAGAACTGGTGGAGTCCGTCTCGGCGCTATTAGGGAGAACGTCGTGGCCCGAACGTGGTTTCTCTTCAACCAAGGATTTCCTCTTGTCTCTGGGGATCGGCGACCTCGATGCTCCGTCATTTGATGGCTTCGTCCGTCAGAGATCGTCATTTCGACTTGGCTCTTTTTCCTTCTCTCTGCCTCCATTAGCCAAATCTGGCGATGAGCACCGGAAACCCCTGCCCGAGACGCGGCCTCACGGCAATCCATGGGCGCCAAGTTCCTCGGGTCTCTCAGAACGAGAGTCGTTCGTTTTCAAGGGCGAACCGGATCGCTTCCTCACGTCCCCCCACACAATCGAACAGGGGCGGAGACACACGGTTGGGGAAAGCCCGACATTCTCACGCGGCGGAGCAGGCCGAGGGCTAACCTCGCCGATCTCCGCCGCGAGGATACGACCATCCTACCAACGACCACCTCTGCGCAGGGTTTACTGCACCAAATGCAACGAACATCCGGAAGGCTTCCGTGGAGAGCATGAGCTGCGCAGGCACAACGATGCCAAACATGCCGCTCTCGTCAAAAGATGGGTTTGCACGGAACCGCACAATCTTGGCCCGAGCTCGCCCCAACCCGTGATACCCCTTTCCAAATGCAAGGCTTGTGTCACCCAAAAGCGATACGGTGCATATTACAACGCCGCAGCCCACCTACGAAGAGCGCACTTCAATCCCCATCGGGGAGGTAAAGCTAGCGGGGATTGGCCTCCAATGTCCATCCTGAAGGACTGGATGCGGGAGGTGCGGCAGTCAGTCGATGTTCAGGACCAATATGATGCGTCAAGCGGAGACGAGGAACAAGACTACAAGCCAGCGCCCGAGTTCATTTCCCCGCCTCGGCGCCGTTCCCCAACCCTCGACATCCCTCGGCTCGCCCCCGCTCTTCCCGGACCTTCAATGCTACCTCGCGTGCCATCGCTGCTGGCACCCTCCATCGAGCTTCCGATGCCGGGCCCCGCTCCTATTATCATACAGAGTGGCCCGAGCAGCTTCAACGCTCCATCCATCAAGAATGACGAACCCCAAGCCTCGAACCGCAATCGATGTCCCCATCCGGAATGCGGACGTGTCTTCAAAGATCTGGGTGCCCACATGCTGACACACATGGAGGAAAGGCCGGAAAAATGCCCCATCGAGACATGCGAATACCACACCAAGGGGTTTGCTCGGAAGTACGATAAGAACCGGCATGCGCTCACCCATTACAAGGGAACAATGGTGTGCCCGTTCTGTCCAGGAGCAGGGTCCGCATACGAGAAGGCGTTCAACCGAGCAGACGTATTCAAGCGCCACCTCACAGCCGTCCACAACGTTGAGCAGACGCCACCCAACAGCCGCAAACTCGTCCTCAGCGCCGGGTCTGGTCGCTCGGAAGGCGGGTCTGAAAAGGCGGGCGCAAGGTGCTCAATCTGCCACAGTCAGTTCCAAAGCGCCCAGGAGTTCTACGAACACTTGGACGATTGTGTGCTGAACGTCATTGTCCCACCCACTCCGAGGACAGGGGGTAGCGGCAGTGGCAATAGCAGCATCCACAAGGCCTCTTCCGCCAAGACCCCAACGACAGCGAGCACCGAGAAAGGGGCAGAATTCGACCTGGGAGGAGACCGGTCGCGGGAGTTTGGAACGGAAGGTCCGTCTGACCAACTCTCCACGAGAAGCAGGGACATGGAGCCCGAAAGCGACCAGAGGCACAGGACAGGGCCGGAACCCGAGCCCGACAGGGACCGGCAACTCGGAAGAGAGCGAGAAGAGGCATTCAAGGAAGGCGAAGGACGAGAGCCTGGCTGGGAAGTGATTCGGCATGAGAAGGATCATGTGCCGGCAGAAGATCGGGAGGCAGAAGTTGGCCATAATGGTGCTTCCGAACCCGAGAACCGGTCTGACATGATGGGGATCGAGTTGGCGGAGCACCAAGAGCAGCGAGGGCCGCGGCGTGGAGGTTTCGAGCTCACCTTGGGCTCTCCGGCGTCGTCGGACAAGATGGAAACGGATCCGCAGTAAGTTGTGGTTACGAAGCGTGAGACGCAGCTTCTTGCTTCTACCGTGTCTTATTCTATATATATATATATACATATATCCACTTGTACATGGTGTGCGAACTTGGGTCTGGGTTAACAATTCTTTTTCTTTTTTCCCCCTCCCCTCGGTGGTCGGTCGGATAGGTTCAGCAGGCGAGGCGAGACGAGGCGAAGCGACAGCGCTATCGAGACATGGGACCAAGGGGTTCCACGTCGTTTGCTGTTTGTGTCTCTCAGGTATGAAAAGGGGCAGCCGGTTGGAGGTTTCCTGGGCCATCCCCGACAGTGTCTCATCAAATCATTCCCTCTTCTGGGGGTTTCCTATACCGTGTATCACTACCTCTACCTAGGCAAGGAGACTTAGTGCACATTGCTTTTCTCTGCTTAGGGTTTGGCTCGCTTTGAAAGGAGTGTGATAGCTTCTACCAACTAATTTCGAGATGTTCTAAATTAAATGGAGACCGTTAAAAAGCCAGCAACGACGCTCGACATTTGAGTGACAATCTGGCCAAGAAGGGCGTTGCAACAAAGGGTATATCTTCTAGCGTATTGCCGAACCTTGGAAACAAAGGAAACAATATTGAAAAGGACGTAGAGTAGTGGTAGGGGAGATGATAGTAATTAGGAGAGAGATGGTGCACACCAGGTAGGTAGTAGATGTATACCGAATCAACCGAACCAACCCCCTATGTGACAACACCTCTACGGAGCCACTCTATACAATAGTCTCGTAACCAACACCCAGTCTGATCCCAAGCACAAACCCCCTCCAACCCAGTCATCACTCAAATCTCCGCATCCAGCATCATGCTGATCACCCCCATCCCCTCCGGCCCGGCCCTCTGCTTGCGCGCGTAGCCCCTGAGCATCCTGAACGCGGCGCCGACGCGGCGCCCCTCCTCAATGACGCCGTGCACGGCGTCCGCGGCGATGAGACCCCCACTGCCCATCTCGCCGTCGCCCACGGACTCGCCGGCGAGGCGCAGCTCACCGGCGGCCCTCTCGGCGCCCGCGCGGAGGAGCCAGCGCTCCCACGCCCAGCTGGCCGCGAGGCCCGTCGCCGCGGCGGCGCCGTCGCCGCTGCCGCTCACCATGGCCTCGAGGTGCAGCGTGCGGACCGGGAGGCCCGTCTTGGGGTCTCGCGGGGAGGGCGGCGCACCAGACGAGGACGGGGCCGGGGTGGGCTTGGGACCCACGGGGAGGCAGACCCAGGCTCGGCGAACGCTCTCGAAGCCGGCGCGGCTGAGGCGGCCGAGGAAGAGGCGGCTCGGGGTGGGGTCGTAGCCGAGGGTCTTGAGGGCGAAGCCGAACTCGACGCTGCGGGCCAAGCCGCGCGGCCCCGCGTTGATGATGTCGCTGTCCAGCACGCTGAAGTCGAGATAGCCGCCCGGCTTGAGCACGCGCTCGCACTCGGCCAGACAGGCCTCCCACTCGTCCTCGCCGTTCTCGCCGGCGAACTTGAGGATCGAGTGCAGCTCGCGCGCCGACACGACCTCGAAATGGCCGTCGGCGAAGGGCAGCCGGGTCAGCCTCTCGACGGCCACCTGGCGGTGGTTAGGCGGGCCGCGGATGTTGCTGTTGCTGAGCTGCCGGATCGCCTTGGTCGTCACCGTGTACACCTTGGCGTTGGGGTACTTGAGCGCCGCGTGCCACGCCCAGTCGCAGGCGCCCTGCCCGCCGAGGTCGAGGATGCGGGCGCGGTCGCGCGGCCCGGCTGGCGTGTGCGACGACTGCCTCGCCAACCTCGCCAGGTGCTTGGCGACGGGCGCCGAGACGAGCTGGCCGCCGTTGAGGAGCTTCATGGCGGCGACGTGCCAGGTGGCCATGGCCATCTGGCCGAGGGCCTCGCGCTCCTTGTCGGCGCGCAGCTTCTCCGGGTCGTCGACCAGCACGTCGTCGCCGCGAGCAACGTTGGCCGACATGCGCTTCTTGGCAGACTCGGGGACGGCCGACAGCTGGTGCTTGCCCAGGAGCTGGTTGCGGTGCGCCTCGCCCAGGGAGACGCGCTGGGCCTGCAGAGCCTCGAAGCGCGGGAGCCGGTGGACGAAGGCGTCCTGCGGCCGGCTGCGGATGATGAAGTCCATGAAGGACCGGTAGTAGGCGGATTCCTGGCGGGCGAGCTTGGAGGGCAGCTGCTTGGGGTTGCCGGTGCTCTGGATGGCTTCGGAAAACCGGACAGTCTTCTTCTTCTGGGCAGTGGACGTCTCGGGCTCGGGTTCCTTAACTTCAACGTCCTTTAGGGGTACTGCCGGTACCTCCTCAAGGCCATCTTTGGCATCTTCTTTCTCGTGCTCCTCTCGGGGCCAGATGACGCCGTTGAGGTAGGCTCTTTGGGCCATTAGCCACAGCTCTGTCCGATCGAGATGGGAGAGGGTCATGTCCCGTTGCTGGCGAGCATATTCAGGGTCATGGTCAATGACGATCTCAGTGGCATCTACGGGAGAAGACGGTTGCCCAGGGGTTTCAGGCTCGTAAGGCCGGGCCGGAAAGGCTCTTGCGGAGTTTGGTGGGAAAGCAGGAGGGACTTTCCGGGCGGTGATCGGCTCAGGGGTTGGCTGGACGCGAAAGGCAGTCGGCAGGTCTTCGGATGGACCTTCTGGCATCTCGACAACCTGCTCAACGATAGTGGAGGTATGGCTGTTGTGCTCCATATGGAGCGACCGGGGTGGTGGCGGCGGTAATGGGTCGGTCTTGTTCCAAGGGGTCTTGTAGAACTGTTCAGCGGTTGTTGAGGTGGGCGGGCTAACGTCGTCCCCGGCCATGGCGGGGACATGCCAGGTGTTGCGGCTAGCAGAGGAGAGCTCAGAGAAGAAACCACCCGGGGACGGGATCTCGAGTTTTGTCAATCCAGCCAGGGATCGTTGCTGAACCGTGACCAGCGCCATGGAAGTTGGGCGGACGTTGGTGATCAGGCGCGCTGGTTGTTGGCGCATCTCCGACATCTCTTCCTGGGGCACTTCAATGACCTGATTCTCCTCCTCGTCCAAGACTTCGTCTCCTCTAGAGAGCGCCTGGAGAGTGGCGAGTGCGCCAGGCTGGAGCTGCACTCCAGCCCAGCCTTCAGCGTCGTCATCGTTGCCCCTTATTATCGGAGTCGGCGGGGCAGAAATGGCTGCCAGCTCTTCAGAGTTGAGACTCCCATCGAGAGACGGAGGTGCGGAGACTGTGGGGACTTCGGATGCTTGCTGCGCCTGCATGAATGCCAGCTGGACGGGCGGCAGCTCGACCTTGGAAGATGGTGTCGGTGCTACTGGTGATGCGATCTTCTTCCTCAGGGATGGGTCCCCAGACCAGGTCTCGGTTGTGGAGTCGCGCTTGGCTGGGATGACCAGCGGCGTCAAACCTTTTCGTGGCTCGATAGAGGCCTTAGAAACTCGCTGGGAGGTTCGCGAGTTCCGGGAGCTCCTAGACCCATGCTGCCGAGCAATACCATTCGCTCGCAACTGCTCCTTCCGAACCCTGTCATCATCCTCAAAGTCGGACAAGTCGTCGAAATCAGTAGCATCGGTCACGATGCTCTCCTGTTGGTTAGACATGCGCGAGGAGGGAATAGACGACGAGGTTTCAGAGCTGGTCTCCTCGGCGTCGCAGTCGTCAGAGACTGCCGACGGAGTCGAGGGCACGATCGGGGCGGGGAGAAAGTGGAAGCCTCGTGGCGTGGGGAAATGATCGCTCAGGGGTGAGAGCCATTGGTTGATCTTGACCGACTTCCTGTTCCTCCTCCGGTTGACAGAGGGATGGGCCATCCGTGAGTCTTCGGGGCCTTCTTCAATTATAGTATTAAGGGAATGTACCCCCCTCCGGCCCTGCGGGGGTTGGGGCGTGTAAGTAGTTGAAGGTAAAAGGATGAGGTCGGTCATTTTTGTTGATGTTGCAAATAGAAGATCAGGCAAGCGTAGTCATGGTAGGGCAAAAATAGACCAGATCCGTAGGACTGAAAGCGGGACGGCCTGCGTCTGGTGAATACTGAATAGTATCAGAAGGGAAGCGGTGATAACGATGGGCTGCTTCGGTCCACGAAGCGACTATTCTTGTAAGGGCGCAGGAGGCGTAGAGAAGGGAACAAAGAAACAGAGAATACTAAGCCTTGCGGACCTAGGAAAGAATATATTATATCGGTCAAGAAGAGGGTGGCATGGCAGGTAAACCCACCCATCCACACCCACACCCACACCCACACACATAACCAGGTCTTGAACTCTTGAGCGCGGCTAACATGGACTGAGTGTGTGTGACCGGATTGGGGAGCACCGCAGCTCGCAGGGCGGAAGACCACTCTGTATGCTTCCTGTCTGGGTAACAGGCGGCATGCAGATGATGCAGGGAAGCCCAGCCTATGGTGGTGTACCTTAAACTATTGGGCAGACGACAATCTCACCCCCAAATACTCAAATATTGGCCGGCTACATGATCGATATGGTCGTCTGGAAGAAACAAGCAGCCAATGATGTTGCGAAGAAGTGTTGCTATTTTAATTCATCGGGCGAATCTCCGGCATGAGAATGCATGGCGCGCGCCAAGGGTGCCTTGATTGGGAAGCATGTGCAGAAAATGGCAGAGGATGGCAGCCAATGATATGCAAGTCCAGTTGGCCGGCGGCTGTCCATTGGGCTTCGACCACCTCTTGCTGAGGTTAAGATGAGACGGGCAAGGGCCAGGACAAGAACGACGTGACTTGGAAGAAAGTCATGGAATCGAGTCCTGGCATGGGCTCATGCCATAAACCCGGAAGCGAGGTCGAGATGATGCGCACTTGCCGATTCAAATCACCACGATCTGCACGATCCGACGATCCCGTTTGCCGGGGTTGGCCGATATGTTTTGGCAAATATGCCGGGCCTCTGTGAATTCTTGGAGCTGATAATTTGTGAGAGGCTTAACAATGCCGTCCAAAGGCAGCTAGCTGTAACATCTATGATGCCATTTGCTGCTTCTGCGGGACGATAAGCTGGTGGTCGACTCACTTGCCTTACGTTGCTCTCCCACTCGTGCGTCGAAAATATTGAATAAGACTAGCCCAGAGACCACGCCACAATCAAAATAATAGGCGATTGGTTTTTTTTTGGAACGGGCCCAGGGCGACACGCCGAGGGACAAGGGATGACGGCGGTTGAGGGAGAGTTCCATGTTAGGTTCCTTCATTGTGGGACGGAGCTTGCATTGGCCGATGCTCAGTGTGGGTACCTAGGTACCTACCTAGTGGGGAGTAGGTACGTAGGTATGTACATACACACGACAGCGCTTTCGCGACCCCGCAATCATCAAGAAGAGCTTCGAAAAACAAACAGCCAGACCTTCGAACCCCCATACAAGGCACGACCCATCAATACAGCCCTTGTAATTATCCCTAGTTGTTCTGCTTCCAATCTTTTATTGCCTTCACCTGCAGCTTCCTTATATTATGACCGATATCGAGTCCCCCGAAGTGTCCACTGAGCCTCAAGAACGGCACGTCATCTACTGTGGCGGTATGTACACTACCCCTCCTTGTTGAGCGCGTCCACGAGGGCTGACCGTTCCTCTTGTGTCCAGTGTGCACCTTGCCGCCCGAGGTAAGGTTTCAATAATCTCCCCTGTCTGCCCACTCCCAGCTATCCAGCGCAGTCCAGGCCCTCTAATATTGCCGCCCACCACCTCAGTACTGCGAATATGGCGGGACCGTCAGGAAGTGCCAGGAATGGCTGCAGAAGAACCAGCCTGAGATGTACAACAGGATATGGTCACCAGGTTAGCATCGCCCGCCCACCAGTACACCTATACATCCCGATATCTTTACATCCTTCCCGCATCGAGAATTGGCTCCCTCCCTGACCGCCTGGCCCCCCGGGGCCAACCCGCATAATTCAGAAGCCCTAGAAGCCGCAACCGCATCGCTCTCGGTCGACGCCCAGAAGCGAGCCGCCAAGGACGCGCAGAAGAAGGCCGCCAAGGCCGAGGCCGCCGAGCAGAAGCATGCCGATAAGCTTGCCCACAGCGTCATCACCATCCGGCGCATCGAGCGAAACAAGAGGAAGTACGTGACCGCCGTCTCGGGCCTCGAGGCCTTCGGCCTGGATCTTAAGAAGGTCAGTGCCACCTCCCGCCCCCGTCCTTTCTCTCTCTCGCTGCTCTTCCCCGGCTCCTTTTTTGCCTGCCCTCCCCAAGAGGGGACACAACTGCTGATTGGAGACCCTGCCCCGTCTCGCATCACCAGGTATCCAAGGATTTCGGCAAGAAGTTTGCTACTGGCTCGTCCGTCACAAAGGTGCCCAGCGGCGGCGAGGAGATCGTCGTGCAGGGCGACGTCAGCGACGAGATCGAGGAGTTTCTGTTGGAGAAGTACAAGGACATACCCGAAGACCACATCGAGTTTATAGACGAGAAGAAGAAGAAGGCTGCGGCTGCGGCCGCGGCTGGCTAGAAGAGGAACCGTGTCACGCGGATTCAGTTTAGAAAATGGAGAAAAGCCTGCCTTGCAACAATCCTTCCCTAATGTGTTCGTTTGTTTTGTTTGTGTGACCGATTAATGTCCCTGACGCCATACCCAAACCATGAATGATCATGTAACATACCCCCACGGGGGCAACCAGCTAGACAGGGAATCCCATTTCTCTACAAGAGAAATCAGGTTCGTTTCCTAAGGACCCTCCCTGTGCCCGCCGCAGGAGCAGCAGCAGCCGCCGCCGTCCTCGCCGCGGGGGCCTTCCTCGTCGTCCCGGCCGTGACGCCCTTCCTGATGGTACCCATGACCGTGCGCTTCGCGGCCGGTGCCGGTGCCGGTGCCGGTGCCGCCGTCTTGGGCGCCGCGGCGCCCGTCCTCCTCTTCACCACCGTCGCGGTGCTCCCGTCGCTGGACTCGCTGACGCCGCTGGCCCTCCGCGTCGTCCGCGACGACGCGGGCGCCCTGCCCGCCGCCGCAGCGGCGCCTCTCCGGGCCCGCGTGGCCGGCGGCGGTGCGGGCCCCCCGTTGGTGGACGAGCTCGTGGTCGAGGACATGGTGGTCTTCCGGGTCGCCGCGGCGGCGCGCGTGGACCGCGCCTTCTCGACCATGTTGCTCAGGATGTTGGAGGAGGACCCGGTCTTGGTGGGCGACACGGGCCTCGCGATGAGCGACTTGCCCGGCGAGGCGGCGGCGCGGTCCCGGGGCGGCGCCACCATGCGGGAGTTAGACGTGGTGGGCGAGAGCACCTGGCTGGGGTTGTTGTTGTTGCCCCTCATGGCTGCTGCGGCTGCTGCCCCGCCGCGCACCTTCTTCTTCGGGTTGTCTATCTTGTCGGTCTCGTTCTCTTTGTCACCGCCTGATATTTCATCGCTAATTGGGCGTGTTAGGCTAGATTCGGGTCTTTATGGAAGGGGCTGGGTACACGAACCTAAGACGCTTGAGTGGGCGGCTCGGGGACGCGAGCGGAGCGCTGGAGGTGGGCACTCGATGGAGGCCAGCACGCCCAGCGGGATATATGTCCTTCTCAGGAACGGGCGGGTTTCTGACTGCTGTCGGAGCAGCGCCCGGTTTCTGTTGCTGTTCTGAGTATTTCATCAAGAGATCCCCCATCCTCGCCTTACGCAGTGCTAGAGGGATGCGGTTAACACGGATCTCTATGCGAGTTCGCAGGCTCTGGGCGTGTATATTGTAATGTGCTCGAAGCTTCCGAGCACGCTCGGTAACTACGTCAAGACGGTCAGCCTCAGGGCATATTTAACACCCCGTAACACATAAAAACACGCGTATCGAAAACCTACTTTCGAGTTGCAAGTTGTCGATCAAGGCCTGTTTCTGCGTGATGGTGATACCAACCTTCCTCCTCTTCCTTGGGCTCTCCTCCGACGGACCCTCATCGGTCTTGGTGGCAACCATCTGGGTCCTCGTCTGCGCGCCCTGGTCGTCAGACGACGTCGTGGACTGGCCCGATTTTCTCTTTCTGCCTCGTGGAGCCGGCATGATGTTGGGGTTAGATGGCACGAGGGTGGTATCAAATTTTGACAGACTAGAATCAATAATACGCGTATCTGGAGCAGTTGACGATATGAGGAACGGTGCGAGATGTCCTAGACGTCGTAGAATGGGGTTTTGTTGGAGTCTGGGACAGCTGTGACGTGAATGGTCGGGTGGACACAAAGTAAACAAAGCCAATGAGCACCTTGGCTATTACCACTACTAGGGGTGGCAGCAGCAGATTTCACGGGCAGGAACAACAAAGCACCTGTACCTTGTAGTCTGTGCGTTTTTCAATCAGCTTTCTCAGGTCTGGTAAGTTTTAGGTACTCCACTATTACGGGTCCGTGCCAGCAGTCCACCGTTGTCCGTTAGCGGCCAGGCTGAACTGCCTTACGCAGGACATAGCCTGGAGCTTTACTGCTTTCAAGCTTCCGCTGACCATCGCCAAGTTCGCTCTTCCCGACCAAGCAGTTGCCCAAACGCATATCCATACAAAATATTGTCGTCTTCTCAGAAGGCCTGTTTTGACGGATCTTCGTCAATCCTTTTTTCCCAACATCAAACTCTCCTCCTCGCCACCGACATCTTCGACTCCGCCCAAGATGCCTCTCGAGGCGGTAATGATCGTTGTGGACAATAGCGAGAGCAGTCGGAACGGCGACTACGCGCCCACGCGCTTCGAAGCCCAGGCCGATGCGGTCAACATCGTCTTCCAGAACGTCGTGCAGGGCAACCCGGAGTCGTCGGTCGGGCTGATGAGCATGGGTGGCAAGGGCCCCGAGGTGCTGGTCACCCTCACGGCGGACCAGGGCAAGATCCTGGAGGGCCTGCACCGGACGAAGAAGAAGATTAGGGGCTCTTCTCATCTGGCGACGGGCATGCAGGTCGCAGGCGTACGTTCCAATCCCCCGTTTAGCCCGTTCGCTTCGGCCATTTGTCGTTTTGTCTTTCATCGTGGAGTGCTAACAGAGGTTGGGGAATATACAGTTGGCCCTGAAACACCGACAGAACAAGGCGCAGCGGCAACGAATCGTCGTGTTCATATGCTCGCCCGCCGCAGAGACCGAGGCGGAGCTGCTCAAGCTGGCCAGGAAGATGAAGAAGAACAACATCTCGGTCGACTTTGTGCTCTTCGGTGACGTGGACGACGACGAGAACGAGAAGAAGCTCCGGGCGTTTAACGAAGCGGTCAAGGGCGGCGAAGGCTCGCATCTCGTCATCATCCCGCCCAGCGGAAAGCTCCTCAGCGACCAGCTCATCGCGACGCCCATACTCCTCGGCGAGGGAGCCGCGGGCGCCGGTGCCGGGGCCGCCGCGGGCGATGCGGATGGCGCCGCCCCGGGCGGGTTCGGCGAGTTCGACTTCGACCCGTCGGTCGACCCCGAGCTGGCCCTGGCCCTGAGGATGAGCATGGAGGAGGAGAGGGCGCGGCAGGAGAAGAAGGCCAAGGAGGAGGCCGAGGCGGCGGGCAAGACGCCGCTGGACTCGGTGAAGGAGGAGGGCGAGTCGGAGCCGCTGCTCGGCGAGGATGGGCAGCCCTCTGGAAGTGGCTCAAAGGACGACGACGACAAGAAGGGCAAGGACGACAAGATGGATACCTCATAATTATATCCCCCCGGAAGCTTTATGCTTCCGGCGTGCCTGCATGGGTTTGTGAGGTCTGGCTATATGGATTTGTAGAATAGACAAACGGGACTTGGGGTAATAATAGCCTGCTCCAGGCATCCTTATCTCTTCAACTCCAGACGTCCCTTTTGCCGTGGTCCCTGATCCAGCCCAGTCAAGCGTCCTCGCTTGACATAACATAACGTGAACCTCCATCCCCCAATACCGCATAAGATTCACCAAACATAGCCTCCCGCCCACCCAAAGATGGCCCGCTACCTATTGTTGATCTCCCTGACATACGAGGCCAGCTTCCTGTCAAAGAGGTCGCACCGGACAGGCATCTCGAGCTGATAGAAGGGGTTCTTCATGACGTAGTCGGCGTACAGGTCGTACACCCTCCTAATGGTCGCGTCGACGTTGGTCTGCGTCGTGTCGGTGAAGAGCAGGAACTTGGTCCCCGTCATGGTCGTGAAGCACTGCAGCCGGAAGTTCTCCGACTCGAGCACCTCCAGCCCCGACGGCGGCTCCGGCCGCCCGGGCGCCGGCACTGCCCCGCCGCCGATGGTTGTCGCCGACGACGTCCGGCCCGGGGAGGCACCCTTGAGCGGGTTGAGCCGCGCCGTGATGGCGTGCACGCTTTCCGGGGGCTTTGTGTGAGCGGGGATGGCCACAATAAAATTTGGAGAGAGGAGACTGGCGTTGTGGTCCATATAAAAAGGGCCTGCTGCGTGCGTCCTTACTCACCCGTGAAATGTCCCGGCTAGGACGAGGAAGTCATTGGTGCTGATCTTCTTCAGTCCGGCCTCATGGAAGTTCTTATTGTATATCAAGCCGCCGGCCTTGTTGATGATGACTAGCGAGAAGACGGTCCTTATAAACTGTCAGTGGTCGAGTTCCGTATGCCAAATTTGTAACTCGCGTAACTAACATGCTGCCAATCTCATGAGGCTTGCCTAGGCAAGCCTCGAGTCGATTGTTGGAATTTCGACTGTTTCACGGGCTAACGGCGTGGGCTGAGGAGATTGGGCAAGATTCAAGAGTAGATAAATGACATCACACCCTGAGAATGGGTTGGAAATGAAAAAAGCAATGGATGGGTTGATGTTGAGAAGCTGGACTTATGTAAATCTAATCTTTGGGGATGGTGGCCAATGCGGTCTAGTGCCCGGTGAGCTCGGTTGTGGGCACATCCGAGAAGCTCACCGAGGTGAGGCTCAACATTTGTTGGAAACCTCACATCCAAACAGACCTGCAATCCCTCCAATTCTTCGGCAACACATGAGCTCGCGAATGGATGGCAAATCGATCTGATACTGGGTAGTCTGGCTTGAGTCTACCGAGAAAAGTCTTACTATACGAAAACTATACGAAATACAGGCTGCTTCCAAAAAAGGAGCTGCCTTACCGCTACAAGATAGAGAGTTCTAGATTACAACATTTACAATCCGGGCTCTACACCAGGACAGCTACCAAAACAGGCTACCCCTTCTAGTATGGAATACCGTTCGTCAGCAGCTGGAACTGGTCGTAAAGGCCCGTCGAGTAGCTGCCATAGCTCTTCCTGATGAGGTCCCTCATAAAGTCGGCGGCCTCGCGCTCGTTCTTCTCGGGCACGAACCGCTCCCTGAAGTGCTTGACGCTCTCGGGCTTGAAGCACGGCAGCCCGCTGTCCATCATGAGCAGCACGATCTGCGATAGTTTCTCCGTGTACTGGCGCGAGGCGAGGAAGGCCTTGATGCACATCTCCTCGAACCACTTGAACGACTGGTGGTCCGCGCTGCCGCCCATGACGGCGAGCATCTCCGACGTGAGCTTGAACGGCGCCCGCTCAAACTTGATGCCGCCGGGCGCGATGTCGAAGCAGAAGCCGAAGTCGATGTGCAGGATGTGGCCGGCGTCGTCGATCATGATGTTGCCGTTGTGGCGGTCCTTGAACTGCAGGAGGAAGGAGATGACCGAGTAGGCGGCCATGCTCTTGACGAAGTTGTTGCGGGCCTGTTGGTAGCGCAGCGAGTCCTGGTTCCCGTATTTGGAAATGAAATACTCGTGGAGCCCGTTCACGGCTTCGCGCCCGAGCATGTCTCGAGATATCGAATTCGGCAAGACGTCGATGACGCCGCATCCCGGTCCCGTGGCTGTCACGCGGTACGGGAAAACGAAGACATCCAATCCGACGTCGTGGAAGATGCCTCGGAATGCGGCTACCATCTGGAGAGCCAGCATGTCCTGGCGACAGTCGTCGCCGACCTTGAAGATGGCCGACTGCCAGGCTTCGACCATGTGCTCCTGCGGCAACTCGTTCTCCTTGTTGGTCTCGACCAGCATGTCGTCGGCTTCCTCGATGCCGCCCTTGTTCTTCCTGATGCGGAAGGTGGCCATGTACGGGGCTTTGGCATGGCTTTGAAGGGGCTTGCCGGACTTGCGGTCGATTCCGATGACCACGCCGTCGGGGTTGCTTGGCAGGTAGACTCCGACTTCGAGCTTGATGTTTCGTAGCTCCTCCTCGATCTTCTGTTTCTTCTCTGGTTTGGATTTCTTGATCAGCGGCTTCAGCTTTCCTGAAATCCCGGTGACCTCGTCAAAGAACTTGAACTCGCGTTCATAGAACTGCCGGTCGACCTGAGAGAAGCCCTCAACCATGCGACCCATTACATGGTCAAGGGTTGGTTTGATCGCATCGGGCTAGGAATGTCAGCGAGTTTCTGGCATATGGAAGGAAGGAGGCGTCAACGTACAACTTGGGCGTCGTCATCTTTGTACGAGTTTGCCTTCATATTCCAGACGATCTGGTGGGCGAAGAGCTGGGAGAACTGGGCTGTCTCTATGATGTAGCGCTCGACGTATCCTAGGGCATCGTAGCGAAGAGCCTGGACGATTTGGGGGACGTAGAAGAAAGTGACATCGACCGAGTGGCTCTCCAGAGCCCTCATCGCGTACTGGATAAGGGAAGGATGATTCTGATAAGGCGGGAGGAAGAGTGTGGTGGCAGTAACAGGGTTGACAGGAGCCCAATAAAGGAGGTGCTATCGACGTCAGCTGGAATGGAAAGTAAAGTATAGGACTGGGGTTAAAACACACCTTGAGTTGGAAGCTGACATCTGCAGGCAGCGAGTCGCCAAGGAGGACAAGCAGGGCCTCGGGTTCAGAGACTGCATTCGCGGGGAAATTAAGCAGCAGCCAACGAACCTCCTGATGGATTCGTGGGTACTGGAACCGCGACGTTAGCTGTATAGCTAGTGACGGGCTTTCGGCCCAAGCCGTCCGAACAAGTGGGACTAGAGCAGCCTCGAGGGGTATTAGTGCCAGCACGTATCTCTAACATTGGGGAGGGTTCACCTCGGTCATAGCTCTGTTTGGATGGTGAGCCGCTGTCTGGGATGTTGCGGGTTCGGCCAGGGGATGAACCCAGACCGACAGCCTCGCCTGCTCGTTCTCAAGCAGCAAGAGGAGAAGTTGTTCCCTGGGCTGAAGCGATTTCAGGTTGCCGACAGGACTCGCCCCGATAACGGCCACTGCTTTGAGAGCCGCTATAACATCTGACAGCAGCCGTATCTCGGTCTTGATTTGCAGTATGTTGCTACCAAAGGACCACCGTGGTGCCGCGCTAAACCAGCTGAGAGCAGCGGAAAGAATACTGTCCTTGAGACGCCACTGGACGACGGCTCCGATGGTGGCACTTGCCTTCAGGACCTTCAGGCCGAAGAGCACAATTTGGAACCTGATTTCCCTGGCCATCGGGTGCGTTGTGGCATGCTTCACCCCGTCCAAGGTGACATCGAGAAGACGCAAGAATATCTGTTGCGAATCTGGGTTGCCAAAAAGGGTCGCGTTATAATGGCTTGCCAAGAACTGCATGACCCTAGTGTGAGGAGCAAGGAGGTCATGAACATGCTGCCTATGCTTCGTAAGAGCAGGAATGTCACTTGGCGCAAACTCCCCCTTCAAGAAGAACGGATCGGGACTCCTGTTGCCGGCATTAGTTTATGCCCGGCAAGGAAGACACATATGACGACCTTGTGTACTCACGTAATTGAAGCATTGAACAGCCCGAGCCTCTTTTGCATGCTGAACTCCCATTGCTGGGCAACCTCGGTCAGGATACGGGGCTCTATCCTCTGGTTCTCGTGCATGACACCGAGCCAGAGCGAGACACCAAGCTTGATTGACTGTTTCGTAAACATGGCAAATGGGATGCTGACGAGGTAATGCACAACTGAGCATTCATCTTTGTCACTGCGGCACAGAAGAGCAGCTGCTCGGCGCAGGATGTCTCGAACATCGGCCAACGGGGTTGGCTTCTTGGACAGAATCCGCCGCTCAATGTGAGCCAGTGCAGTCACCGCATCAGCACTTTCATCGCCGGCAACCGGGAGGAAAGATGCTCGCCGGTTTGGGCGCATGAAATTGAGCCATTCCAAGCTGTGATCAGGCAAGGCCTCGGTGTAGCGGTATTCCTGGCGAGTGGTGTACTGCGCGATGAAATCCGAGGCAGTGTTGATATGGCAGTCCCCGACATTCCCGAGTGATTGCAGCCTCTGATCCGTCGACGGAATAGTAGAGCCGATGTCTACTGCGAAAGACCGACCCAGAGAGACGTGGCCGTAGGCACCGTCGTCGTCAAACTCGGACAGGTACGTCTGGAGGAGCCCCTTTACATCGGCAGGAGCGAGACTGACAGCGGTGGCAAGCCACGACTTTGCCTTTCTGTGCAGGTTTTGAAGAGTGAAGCGCCGGAAGGCGTAATCATCCGAGAGCTCAACACTGACATTGCTCCGTGCCGACTTGAAACTGGTCCTTGGCTCGTACAGATCTGTCTCTGCCTCCAGGCAGCTTGTCCAGAGCAGCGAGAGCAAGTCGAGCAGAGCGAACAACGACGACCTGTGGCACAGGGCCGAGGGAACGTCCCTGAGGATGCGGTCAGCGCAGGTAAAGGCTGCCTGCTGGACCCTTTCGATGCGGTGGCAGCAGTTGCAGAAGATGGTGGCAAGCTGGCTTGATGCATATTGGGCTGAAAATGTCGGGTTTGCCGTACTGATCGTCTTCTTCAGATACTTATCCATGACAGCGTTCATGACGCCCTCCATGGTGCGGCTGACTTCACTTCGGCGCATGCTGGGTTCCAGGAAATATGACAATGCTTTGGTGCAGTCCCCGGCGTCCGCTCGCAGGCCCTCGACCAGATAGACAGCTTGCAAAAAGATGAGCCTGCGGTAGCTCAGTCCCCTGATATCGTCCGTCCTCGAGGGGATCAGCTCGACCATTTGCTTCTTCAGCACGGCTTCGCGCTCGGAGCTCATGCCCCTGCGGAGGACAGTGTTCAGCTCGACATCACTTTCGTCTTGCTCTCCACGGTCTTCGAAGACCAGAGGCGGAGAGTGAATAGCCATGATGCGAAGCTCGTTGATGTACTTCTTGCCCCGTGGGGTAGACGGGGTGAAGCCGTGGATGACGATGGTAAACCACGCGTCGCGAAGCATCGCATGGGTATCATCATCAGTGCTGTCATCCGAGGCCAGATCGTTGGTTGACATGAAGATAGCAAGAGGCTGAAGAAGCTGAGCCATCTCTCGGGCAGCGAGCTCAACATCGGAATCCGTGTAGTGAGACTGATAGCTTTGAGCCTCGCCTTTGGAAATGATGCTGTCCAACATGTGCTCCCAGTAAATCTCGTACAAGGGAGAGTCTCGCCGGACATTGGCAGAGATGTGGTTTCTCGCTTTTAGGACCTACTGGGCATCAGCAAAAGAAACGAGAAAAACAATAGATAGCCCATGCAACAACAACTTACAGCTGCCAGAATACCATCCCTATTTTCCACCACGGCGAGGTGGGCCAGCCTGCCGTACATCTTCAGCAGGGAACGGAACTCGAGTTGGCCACCCCTCAGTGCCAAGGTGGCGGCTCCGGTGATAATTCGAGCATCCGCAGAACTCGTCACCTTGTCGATCTTCTGCAAGAGCATGGATTGGGCAAGGGCTGTGATCTTTTCATCATTGAAGACGCTTGCGATCTCACAGATGGCCTCTATCACATTGCCGTACACGATGACGGTCTCTTCGTCGCCGGAAATTCGCAACGAAATGGAGCTCCCCGTGGAATGCCTTCCCGGGTAGATTTGGGCCCCGGAGCCATCCGTCAATTCTGCATGTACACCGTTCGTGAGTGTCCGCTCGCCACCGGGGCTGAGGACATTGCCAAGGGTGTACAAGGTAGTGATGACCGCATCAGTCGAGAGCATCCGTAGGACGAAGGCTAAGCATTTGGAGGCGGCCACTACCGCTTGACGCCTGGCACCGCTTTGGACGATGAAACGCGGTAGGAGCCGGCTAACGCTGGCAGAGAAAGTCGGCGAGACCCTACAAAGCAGCGCCATTGACTTGAGAACTGTTGCACCCAAATCTTCGTCGGCCATGCTGGGAGGGTCAGAAAGCGTGTCCTCGAGCCACGACATGAGGAGGTCGGCATCGGCAGCGTCCTGGTTGAGCCTCGAGCAGTTCAGGTAGCTGATTAAAGCCGATGACTTCACGCTGCAGGCTAGTTTCTGTTGAGCAGAGGATCCAAGTCGAACAAAGTCCGCACTGGATTCAAGGTGATTCATCTGGTCAAGAACGATGGTAGCGTATATCTCGACAGATCGGAAGTCGGCATCTCCACTCTTGGCTGTGAGTGACCTTAATAGGCCTTCACCGGACATGAGGATGTCCAGGACGTTTGAGCGTCGTAGAGCATCGGCCTCTGCAACCAAAAGAGAGGTGGCAGCCACGAGCAGCCACGTGAAACTCTGCTGGAGCAGCATTGCGCCAAGAGGGCGCCCAATGGCCGAGTAATGACGCAGGTATCTCTTCCACTCCCTCACGTGGCGGTCGGCCGAGCGGGAGTTTCGGATCGTGGAGAAGGCTGTCTCAACAGCGACCAAGAATGGCTCGGAGAGAAGGTCTCTGAACCACTGGATCAGAGCCAGGCGGCCTCCGGCCCTCCAGAAATCCGCCTGGGCAGAAGCAGCGTCGAGGAAACCGAGCAGAGCAATGGTGATGGTTGCAGTGCTTATGGCATCATCCAAAGCTGCCGGTTCGTCCTCGCTGACCTGCGAGACGGCTGCTTCTGAAGCATGCGCGCAGGCATTGAGAAAGGCCCAGATGCTGTCAGACACAGTCTGATGCACGTCGTGATGGCGTATTCCAAGCGAAAGAAGAGCAGCGGTAATGTGGCGACTTAGAGATTCGGTCGGGGATGGTTGGATCTTTCGGAAAAAGGGCGACGGCAAGAAGACCTGGTTGTGCGACTCCAGCAGGTACGGTATAAGTTGTCTCGCGAGCTTCTCGGCACTCTGGACAGACTGTACGATCGGCGCAGCTTTGCAAAGGGCCAGTAGGACCTCGAATTCCCGAATTGTCTGCAGTCCGAGTAAGTCAATGGATCGAACTCTCTCGATGATGCGTTCAGGGACTGTCTTGGCTTACCATTGGGACACGTCCAACAGTGGGCATTTGGCTGGTACGGTAGCCGTTGGCCGTCTCATGGGACTTTCCATGGCTGGGGGCAGCTCTGCACAGTCTTCCCAGGTCGGACTTGTCAAAGGAGGTGGTTGTGCTGGTGGCAGAGAGGGCCGCGATCTTCTCGAGAGCCCTCTGGCGTATGTCTCGAGCCATGGCGAACGTATAGGGGGATCGAAGCGAAGGCTTCGGTTCGAAGGGGCGTTTCTTCTCCGCCAATGTGCAAAAGGAACAAGGAACAAGCCGTATCCGCGACGTGCTTCAAAGGCACATCAGACGAGGCCGGTATGTTCTTGGAACTTCCAAGCTCAATTCAATTTAACACAAAAGTAATCTATACTAGGTATGCGTCCACCGCGACGAGAGGATCCCTGCTCTGAATTGCCGCCTGCTGTGCTAATTGGCCAGCTCCCAAGCTCAGGTTGGTCTCCACTAGCTTAGTCACCCAGAGCTCCCTGTCTCAGCAAGGCTGCAAGGTTGACGCGCGCCTCCCAGCTCAATATTGAACTTCATCGAAACGACTGCCCCGGGCAATCTCAGCTTCACCTTCGGAACGAACTCCATCTCAACGCTAGACGGCCCTACCCTCCTGTGACCGTTTCGCCCATTCCCAGAGGAAGAAAGGAGCTCTGTTAGACGATTTCTGATTAGCGGAATTCGGCAACATGGCTGCAATGTTCAGCCAGAATCCCGTTATGAACGGACCCAACTACTCGTTCAACGATGCACCCAAAGTCAACGCACCAGAAGGTGCCCGGGAACACCGCTTCGACCCGTGAGGAGACACCGTTCCTTCCAGCCGCCCTAATCTCCCCGAAGTACGGACTCCCCAAGCTAACCCGGGGTCGTTACCACAGGTACACGGACAACGGCGGCTCGACGCTCGCCATCGCCGGCGCAGACTTCACCATCATGGCCGGCGACACGAGGCTGACATCGGGCTACAGCATCAACAGCCGGTACCACCCGAAGGTGTTCCGGATCGGCGGCTCGACGGCGGACCAGCACGACGCAACCATGGTCCTGTCGGTGGTAGGCTTCGCGGCCGACGGCGAGGCCCTCAAGGAGCGGCTCGACGCCGTCTGCAAGATGTACCGCTACCGGCACGGCAAGCCCATGAGCGTCAACGCCTGCGCCCAGCGGCTATCGACGATCCTCTACCAGAAGCGTTTCTTCCCCTACTACGCCTACGCCATCCTGGGCGGCCTGGACGAGGAGGGCAAGGGCGCCGTCTACTCGTACGACCCCGTCGGCAGCTACGAGCGCGAGCAGTCCCGCGCCGGCGGCGCCGCGGCGAGCCTGATCACGCCCTTCCTGGACAACCAGGTCAACTTCAAGAACCAGTACGTCCCCGGCAGCGGCGAGGGCCACGCGCTGCAGGAGCGGGGACGGCGCCCGCTGTCAAGGAGCGAGGTCGAGATCCTGGTCAAGGATGCGTTTGATGGCGCAGTGGAGCGCCATATCGAGGTCGGCGATGGCTTACAGATGCTGGTTGTCACGCAGGAGGGTATCGAGGAGATCTACCTACCGTTGAAGCAAGATTAAGCTTCAGGGAGGCGGCGCACTGCGAGGGGGAAGACGCCTTTGTATGTTCCGTTATGTACACTAAACAAACATTCCCCAAGCTTTGGGCACAGGTGGCATTTCATCATATCCCGGCTGCTCAGAAGGCCCGCTCAGGTCCAGGCAGTCTCAGCATGCAGGTACACAACTGATTGCCACTCCATTCCTGGCATTGAGGCAGCTTCTCCAATTTACAGTCAGCGAGGCTATTACAGGTGACGGTTCTACCTACTTATTTCTACTACCCCCTAACCCCGCTAGCTACTATTCCAAACGACGATAACCTCGAGGGCAGTGATATAAGTAAGGCTAGTCTCCACACACACTAACACACTCCCACACCACCCAACCATACGGTTACTGTTCGATACCTTGATGCAAGGCCGTTTTGCACCCGCTTCGAGGTGCAGGATATATGTCCGCGGCCGAATCAAGGTTTCCCTCTATGTATAGCCACACCCGGTCGCCACTGTGGCTGCCCATAATGCCACTCTGGGCCTGCCTAGAGCGCGAGGAGATATCTCCGGCCCTTACCCAGAAAACAAGCGAGTGGGGTAGCTGATTTCCTACAGGACCTGCTGCGTGCCCAACTTAGCGCAGAGTATCCTCGGCCAATCCAGGCACAAATGCGGCTTCCCACGCTGCATACTGTAAAGCCCAGGCCGTTCGACGCAATCAGAAACGGGACCAGTGGCAAATGGTATCGTTCCCAGTCAGAAATTGGCCGTGTTTTCCTTTGGTTTTGCCACCCGCACTGATTCCCTGTCCTTCAAGCATTGCTCGGGTCGTGGACTACCCGTATGCTACTGCATATGGCGGACTCTCACATTCGCCTTCAATATCAACCCTTGTCAAGATAACCTCTATACGTACACTATGTAAGGACTGTTTTGTCAGGAGTGCCGAGTCGCCGGCGACAAAGAGTTCCTATCAGCCACGAGGTCAAAGAATAAAAGTTTGGACATCCTCAGGTGTACGTTTTGTACACCATTGCAGAGCAAAATAGTCAACAATTACCGTAGTCCAGTCTAGAACCACTTGGCAACGCTTGATTTCGGGCCAGGCCGAAACCCTCCAACATAGCAAGATAGAGTCTGCACGTGTTCAGCTCTCATCAGCCTCATCAGTAAAACTCAATCGGCACCGATGAAGAGAAAACGTGAGGACTCTTGGGTACAACCAGTAAAGTGACGTCACTGAAGCAGTCGCGATTTACTGGTAAGCCTGAGGCTGGAAGGAAGACGGCTCGCGACTCAATTGGGAGACCCGTCCAAAGCTAAAAAAAAATACCGAATCTATGTATACATAGTATGCTACCAGCGCGGAAGAAAATGTCCGGTCTAGCTGTTTTAAGCCCCGCGGTTACGGGCTAATTGCTAGGATTGTAGCGAAGTGGTGGGACCAAAAGTTCGTGAGCGGGCCGTTCACATCTCAACTAGCACCAGATTGATCGGGAGAGGATGGACGCGTGGCGTTGACTCTACAGTTCAGTGCCATGGATACTTGTACTTTCATGTACTAGGATAGTGTGCATGTACTTCGTAAACACAGTATCTGGTGGGGCAGGCCTGTGGCCGGCTGGACGCCAGCTTTGATCTGAAGGTGAGGTGGCGAGAACCATGAGGCGACGGGAAAAGGGGTGAAGACCCCTGTGGGGCTGGGCCGATCTAAGTCGGGTTACAGCCGTCCCAACTACATGATAGGTACCTACCTACCTCTACGGACCTCTGACTTCTAGGGTGTTCTGGAAAATCGTTGTGGGCGGGGCCATTCCTTCCATTTAAGTTCCCTTCATTTCCTTGTGCTTCCTATTTATTCCCTTTTGCTTGGGGCCAGTATAGTATGTAAGTTATCACCAACTACTTCCAACCTACCGACCTAAAGTCATATAGAATACCAAAAGGTACCTTAGGTACCCTAGTGCATGTCCTGGATTGTATGTACATCCAAGATACATCTCAATTGCCCCCACCAGTTGATCCTGGTGCTGCCATCCACATTGCGAGCCGCCATGCCCTGCTTGCCAGCTTTATGACGTACACTGCACCAGGGCAGGACCTGGGGTTGCCATTCCACCACATTACTGGGCAGATACAAGCTCCAGGTCCCTGCATCGTTCTCTCATCGAACTTGTTCTTGCTTGTCTTAACAAGTTTCTCACTGCATCATTTACCACCATCTGTCTTCCTATATCTTGGCTAGCTATACCCTGAGCCTTCACAGAAGTTGGCGATCTCCCTCTTACTAGCAATAATCTGCTCAAAAAAAACAAGCCATAGATCTCCCCTGCCAGCAGAAACACACACGCTGGCACGAGTGCTAGGCTGCAAAACCTTTGTGTTTCCAAGCAGTCTCCGTCTGCCACGTTTTCCGGCACCGGTGCTTGTCCCAGCTCATCAGCACCATGCCCTCTACCTCCCTAGAACTATCGCTTGCACTGCCCTCCTCGTACTCCTCATAAGAGACTGTGCCGGACTTCCTTCTAAGGTGTAAGTTAGGTAGGTAGGAATCGGCACCTTTTTGGTTCCCCAGTGTCTTAGTGGCAAAGTACTTTTCAGGTACTCGTCTTAGCTACATAAATGGTCGGGGAAGGTCAAGGCCGGGTAGGTACGTCTCGGCGGAGAAGACCGGGGTACCTAGGTGATACGACCTGGAAGATCATAGATCGTGGGCTCGAACTTCGAAGGCTAGAACAATTGTGGCTCGGTGGCTTGGCCCGGCGTCTTGCCTCTGCATCCCATTTTACACTACTTCTCCTCCTACTACGTACCAGCTATCATCAACACAGGTACTAAGGACCCTTTAGCTACATTGGCCCCGTCCTCTGCGCCAACGCCTCTTGAAGATGGGTCAAATAAAAATCCCCATCTTCTTTCCCAGATCCCCATCCTCCCAGTGCAAAATGCAAAAACCTGTTGGCCCTGTCCCTGTCCAACCTGCCCATACGTACTCCAGCCCTCCTTGTGGTCCCGCTAGCTCTCGCCTACTCCTTTCCATGCTGCCCTCACCGTGCTCGTCATGCTCCCTAGTTATGGTCAGAAATGACCAATAACCTGGGCTCTTAGATCCGTCGTACTTATTCTACCCGTACCTTTGTTCATACCTGGTACCTACCTAAGGTACCTACCTACTTACCTTCCATGGTAGTCTCTCCTCGGACGCGTCAGAAGCCGTCACTATCCCTGCCGAGAGCTCCATACGCAGACGTCCACTACAGATCGAAGCGAGAATTGGGACGAAGATTGGCGCCGCCCCGCAGTAAGCCACTTCCCTCCCTTTGGTCTGTAAAGTCTGCCAAACCTCCGGGTCTGAAAGCAGAGAGCAGACTGGCCAATCTGCCGGGTAACCCCTCGGCTCTGCTTCCTCATCTGTGCCACAGCCACATCGGTTCCTACCTACATCATCGTGGCTTCCCCAGCCAAGGCCACGATTTGCTAGCACTGTTCAAAGAGAAGGACGACAGGCCGGGGACAGCAAGCGCCGGGGAGCCTGTCCTCCTTCCCTATCCCGTCCCTTTGCGTCCCCACTCGGCCCTGTGGCAAATCCAGCAGACGACCCGACCCTTGTCAACCATCCCAAGGGGATATACCAGATACCCTCTTCTGCCCAACAACCCTTGTATTGGGCTAGTATTGGCCTCCGGGTCCTTATTCTTCTTCGAGGTCCTCTCTGTTTTAGCATTGGGCCCGTAGTCAAGTCTGTCGCCCCCCAAGAACACACCCACAAAAGACCGAAGCCTCTCACACCTACATAGGACCTAGACAATCTAGATCTAGCTCATGGTGTCATAACCCGAAAAGACACCCCGTCAGAAACGTGCCCTTGCCCTGTGGCCGCGCCGTGTACAATATACATAACCCAACGGCACCTGCTCCATTCAAGGCCACTGGTTCCGGAGCAAATCCCGCACGACTGTGGTTGGATCCACAAGAGGCTTGCTGTGATTTTGCGTCGCACCTCGTGGACATTTTACCTCGCCTTCCCTACCCGTCTTAGCCAGCCAGACGCTGCTTCAACATCCAACATATTTTGGAATCCCGACTCCTGGTTGACCTCTACCGAGATTTTGTAGTCAGTATCCTCAGTCCCGGACCTTTGGCCGGCCGCTCGACCGCCTTTTGAAACCAGATGGGAGGCGCACCACCCGAAGCTGGCAACTCGAGGGAGACTGTAGTACAAGACGGCGCACCCAGCGCCTTTCAAGGGCAGAGCCCTGCACCCCAGCCACCCTATCCTCCAGGACAAATCGCGACGAACAACTGGTCGGTCCACCAACACTTTCCACAGCAATATTACGACGACCCCCGGTATAGCGTCTCGTCCCGGCGCGACATGGCGAAGCCTCACGGGCCTCCCCAAGGAGGGCCATACGACATGAGTTCCATGGCGAATGCTCTGCCCCAACCTAGCTATAGAGCTGAGCAATACCTTCAAGGACAGCAGCGGTTCAACCATCCTGTAGGACCGTCTCCCGCCATACCGAACCAGCTACCCGTCCAGCAGCCGTTTGAGAACCACCAGTACTATCTCCAACAGCATCCACACATGGCACAGTATTACCCAGCTCCGCTTTCGCCATCTCAGACATACGCGAATATGTCCCGGCCGACCATGGGTTTCTATCACAACCCCGTCATCATGAATCAGCCGGGTCAGGGACCGCCTTCCACTCCATACTACTATGATCAAGCGGGACATTACCCAGCACAAGCTCAGGCGCTCACAGGGCAGGTCTTTGCCGCACAATATCTGCCGTCAGGCACTCCGCAGTCGGACCCTAGGTTGTCGAAATCCCTACATTTCAACCAGACTGGTACCTCGACTCCATCGCAAGACCGCGCATCATGTAAGTCGCACCAGGCGGTATTGAGGACGCAGATGCACCATGCACCATGCACACAACTGACGCTCTGGTAGCTTCCGATTCTCGTCCGAGTGTTGTCCGAGGACCCCCTCGAAAGCCCAAACAAAGTGGTATGTGCCTCTCCCCCTTCGCACGCCTTGAGCTTTGCCCTAACATGCTCAAAAAGGCCACGCTATCTGGGTTGGAAACCTTCCTCCCCAGACCGATCTGATGAGTCTGGTACATCACGTGTGCAAGGAAACGAAGGGACTAGAATCACTATTTCTCATTTCGAAGAGTAATTGTGCGTTTGCCAATTTCAAGGACGAACAGAGCTGCGCCGCAGCCCAGCAGAAGCTTCACGATTCGAGATTCCAGACAGTACGGCTCGTCAGTCGGTTGCGGAAGAACACAGTCGAAGGTGCAGCCGGTACCAGCGCCCCGACCGGCCCCGCGGCCTCGACATCGCAGCCGGGGAGCCAGCCAGATGCGGCTTCTCCAGGGGGGGGTTCCGAGTCCGATAGAGCCACCCCGATGCTGGGCCCAGTCAGCGAAGGCAAAACCGCCCCGTCGGTCGACGGGCCGGGATCGCAGAAGGACAGGTTCTTTGTCCTGAAGAGCCTGACTGTCGAGGACTTGGAGTTGAGCGTGCGGACGGGGATCTGGGCGACTCAGTCCCACAACGAGGATAATCTTAATAAGGCTTTCGAGGTGAGTGGAGCGTGCGAGAGAGAGCGAGAGAGAGAGAGGGAGAGAGAGAAGGGGGGGCGGGGAGGGAGAGAGGGCATAGGCATGGGGACGGCTAGCCTAGCACAGAGAACGACATTTGCCAGACAGTTTCTGATTGCTAACGATCTGGCTTCACCTTGGCCAAAACCGCAGTCCGTAGACAATGTTTACCTTATCTTCTCCGCCAACAAGTCCGGAGAGTATTTCGGCTATGCACGAATGGTCTCCCCGATTGACAACGATCCGACGGCCGCGATCGAGTTCGCCCCCAAGGCCCAGTCTGCCACCGACCCCGACCTCCCCAAGGCCATCCCCACCGAAGCTACCGAGTTTGCGCCCAAGGGACGCATCATCGACGACTCTGCACGGGGCACAATATTCTGGGAGGCAGAGAGAGACGACAGTGGTCTGGAAAGCGTGGGGGGGCAATGTGACGGAGAGGAATCGGGGTCAGGAGCGGGCTCGGTCGTGGAGGATGAGAGCGGCGTGCCAGGCGGAGCTGACGGCGCAGAAGGAGAGAACAAGGCGTGGGGAAAGCCTTTCAAGCTCGAGTGGCTTTCCACGACGAGGTTGCCCTTCTACCGGACGCGGGGGCTGAGAAACCCCTGGAACTCCAACAGGGAGGTCAAGATCGCGAGGGACGGTACCGAGCTGGAGCCCTCGGTCGGTCGGCGCCTGATCGGGCTGTTCAACAAGTCGCAGAGCCCGGCGCCGGGCGTTCTGTCGGGCGTTTCCGGGGGTTTAAGGGGCGCTGTAACCATGATGACCGGATACCCGCCGATGCGACCTCATTACCAAATGTGAAGCAAGGACCAGAGGCAGCAATTGAGGTTTGCCCTTCAATATATTGTTTCTATGATGAGGCACAAGTGGTGGAATCATTTTATTTTATTTTTATTTTATATTTTCATATTTTTCTTTTGGTGGTTGGGGGGCTTTGTTTTTTGGTCAGTTTTTTTTGGCTTTCTATTTCTTTCTTTTGTATATGGAAGCGTGCACGGGTGAGCGACGGAATTTAATCTCGAGTTCCTTCTCTACGTTTGGTTCCGGGTTCCTGGTCCCTGGTATCTTCTCCTCCTGCTTCTCGTCCCCAGCGTGCCGGAATGGCCTGGGAAGCCGTGAAAGAAGGCCAGATGCGCCATTGGCGATGCTTTCTGTGCTACTTAGTTGTGATACAGTCCCCAAGACGGCGAACTACAATGCCCTTATCCTACGCGGATAAATTTGATTTAGGTGTGATACAAAGCCTCGGACACACAGCTCTGGACAGCATCTCGGCCAGTTTCCTGGGTTCAGGAACCTGCAATCCAGGCTTAGCTGGGAGGCTCGATAGCCTACATATCTGAAAGAGAAGGCCGGTGACAAGAACACGTGGTATGGCCGACATCAACTGCCGCTGAATCTCCAGTTGGCCGGGAGGAAACTTCGAAGTGGCAATCTTCAGCATCGACCCCTAATCCTCGCCACCTCCGACAGGTGACGTCAGGGGGCCTAGAGCTCGTCTCGTCCCTTCCCCCCAAAGCCGCATTTCGAACCCCACCAGCCTAATCCTTGCGAAAAGGGGACTTGGGAATACATTACTCTAATTCACACACAAAGCAGATAGGTATCTACCCAGCTAGGCACGCTAAGGAAATCTCGATTTCGAACACGCCATGTGCCACCGGACGCCGCACCGGCCTCGATGGCCGTTCGAGTCCCCTTTTCTGGGGATCAAAGCATTCAACGTCGATCGACAGAGGCGAACCTATTTTGTGGAGCCGAATGACGCCATCCGGCAATTGTGGCCCTGGTGACACTGACGATCATGGTCTGGGGGAAGCATCATGAAGACGTACATAACACCCAAGAAGGAAGTTCATAGGTAAGGTAAAGTAGGTACACCATGTATTTTGCAGCGTCGTTTTTATTAATAGAAAGCTGGGATCTTTTTATTATTACTATTTTGTTTCGCTAGAGAGTGGGATGTATCAGACCAAGGCTCAATGAGTGAAGTAAAGAAGGTCGTTCGTCGTGACAAAAGAAGCCATGCGCAGGAAAACGCCCGTGTCCATGGGATGTCCAGTGATCCATCAACCCTACTACTCCGTGCAAAGGCTGAGCTTCCGTAAAACTGCAAAACTCCTTCCCATGTTCGTATTCGTACAATGACCCCCAAAAGTGCAAACGGAACGATTGTTCAGGAAGGAGGTGTTAGCCGAAAGACGAGGCGACCTCAGTTGATAGCGATGCGGCGGGCCTCCTTCTTCTTGGCCTTCGGGATGGTGACGGATAGGACGCCGTTGTTGAGACCCGCGGTCACACCGTCGTGGTCGACCGGGGTCGGGAAGCTGAAGGTGCGGGAGAACTCGCCGACGGAGCGCTCCGACACCCAGAACTTTTCAGCGCGCTGGGCACCGCCGTTTCCGTTTCCGTTTCCGTTTGCGGTCCCCTCGGCGGCGCTTTTCTCCTTGGCAGGCGGGGTGGAGGTCTTCTCGCCCTCCTCGGTGATGGTGGCCTTCTTGCTGAGGTCCTCGATCAGGCCGGCGGGCGGGGTGCCGGCCGTGTAGCTGCGCTCAACGCGGCCGCTGACGACGATGGTCTGCGGCTCGGTGAACTCAATGTTCACGTTCTCACGGGCGATTCCAGGGAGCTCGCCGTGCAGTTCGTAGGCGCCCTCGACCTCGCGAACATCGAAGCGGGGACTGAAGGTGCGGGTGCGGGCCGAGCGCCGGCCGCCCTCCTGGGTGCCCTGGACCTCGCGGGAGTAGCTGTCGAAGTCATCCAGGAGCCGGAAGAGAGGGGTGAAGCTGGCGTCGGAGCCGTAGAATGATCGGGGGAAGAACGACATGTTGGCTGATGTGCTGCTGAGTGGTCTGCAGAGGTTGTTCGCGGTGATGATGTTTGAGCGTAGAGTTCGTGGGAGTCTTCTTGCGACTGGTCTGAGTGATTGCATCAAGTGTTTTGCTTGCTGTTGCTTGTTGTCTGAGTTGAGAGAGAAGACTTCAACTTTGGAGGGTTTGAGAAAGATTTATACTTGGGAGGGGACGGGCCTGCACCTTCCTCAACCTCGCGAGAAATGTACAGAAAGTATGAGCAGATTCTAGAATTATGCCAGAGCCAGTGTAACGCGCCTTCGTCAACGTCAAAGAAACCTACAGAAGGGGAGAGCCATGCCTCCAGTGCATCGCAACTTCCCCAAACTAAAGAAATCCGCGGAAGGTATCAGACGATCATAGAGGAGTGACGAACCTACCAGTGTATTCCGAATTGATCACAAGTGGGGAGACATTGTATGATTATGGCGTAATAACACGTAGCTGTGGTGAGCAGCGAAGCCATTCGCATCATCGAGAATGGCCTAGAAGCTTCTGTCGGGATACATAAGCCGTACATGCTAGAAACTGCAGAAATGGCCCGAGAAACACGCCCAATATCACGAGCCACGCCGGAAAAAGCTCCTATCAAGCCAGAATCAATGGAATAGCACGATTCTGCATATTACAATCACCAAAATACAAATGAGGATTTGCTTGTGGTGTCCGAATAAGGTGTGGTCGTTGCTCACAGTGGATGTCATTCAAAAGTGGAGATTTTCTGTTGGCCCATGCGGTTCTCATGAAGTCACGTGGTCTATTCCGCAGCTCCGGCATACCTACTGCGGTACCTAAAACAATCACACAAGTCATCAAATCGGAAAAACTAGCTTCTTTAAGTTAGTTGAACTGATCTATGGAGCTCCCCCCTGGCTACGGCCAACCACCTGGGACGGAAGCCGATGCCGATGTAGGAGGACTGATGAAGGAAGACCGTAAGCTGATGTAGGAGGACTGATAAGCAGCAGCTAGAATTATGTTGTTGCTCTGGCAAGTAACTCAAGTGGTTCAGTTACCTATTATCTTGTTGAACTCTTGCCCCTCCGTCTCTAGTAGATTTCCATCTCCACTCCCACGGCATGACGACGCCTCCCCACCACCTTCCAACGGCTGCTTCCGAAGGGTTCAAGGACGCTAGCGCGTACGATGCTTACCGACCATCGTACTCATCTGAAGCCGTGGACAGGTTTCTGGCACATCTCAAGATTGCCGACCGAGCCAATGTAAACGTTGTGGAAATTGCGTCCGGGACCGGAAAGTTCACCGAGCTGCTCGCTGAGAGGCACGAAAACTACAACGTCCTTGCCACTGAGCCTCTCGAGAGCATGAGAGGCCAATTGGTCGCAAAGAAGCTAAGAAACGTTACGGTCCTGGACGGCCATGCAGCGAAACTGCCCGTCGACGATGGATGGGGGGACGCATGCATCGCCGCCCAATCATTCCATTGGTAACAGAGAACACTGTCCCTGAGTCCGCCGAGGAAGTCGCGATGCTTACCAGTTAAGGGAAGGTTCGCCACCGGGGAGGCGCTCAGGGAGATACGCCGCGTCCTGAAGCCTAAGGCTGTATTTGGCATGATATGGAACATCGAGGACTGTGAGACTGCTTTACAACCAACTCCCCCGGCTGCTGAGGCCTGAGCCGCTCACACATACATGGTCGCAGACAACAAGCCGAAGTCGTGGAAGGCGACGACCTCGTGGGAAGCCAAGCTGAACGAATGGATCTGGTCCATAGCAACAGACGGCCTGCCCAGGTTCCGCGACGAGGCCTGGCAAAACGTGTTTGCCGACCAGCTCAAGTTCAACCCATTCCAGATCCTGAAAGATTCCTTGACTGACGGGCTGCCTAGGTTCTCGCTTCCGCTGGGCGAGGACTCGGTGAAATGGACGGTCTGGCTCTCGGAGGATGCTCTGTGGGCCCGCATCAACACCCTGAGCCAGGTTGCCATCCTCAAGGGGGGAAGGAGGGAGGAAGGCATTAGGACGTTCAAGCAGGCACTGCAGTCCGATGACGTGGAGAGAAACGAAAAAGGCCAGATTGCCCTTCACGGTGTGACATACTTCGCTTGGACAGATAGGATATGAAAAGGCTCTGCCTGGGTAGACTGTGGGAGTAGGCATGGCAAGGCCGAAGTAGCATTTCCGTGGGTAGGCAATAAATCGCGCGAACACCATGATCCGTACACAAACCCAGTGGCCACCAGTTTTACTCACTGCCGTAACCGTAAACTCTTTTATCCACCATAGTTCTTGGGCCATGGCGTTGGGAATATCCATCATGTGGATGAAAGCCTCCCCTGTCAGGGATTTGCGTAGGGGCCAAGCCTCCCTCCCAAGCCGACAACATCTGGCCATCCACCAAGGATAGTGAATCTTGGGTTGCCTGGAAAAGAAAACAAGAATAAATCTCGTCAGTCGGCAGAGACATACATGACTGATACCAACGGTTAGAGGTTCGTAAGATGCAGAGCGAATGAGGATGGATGCCGGCTTACCGTTGTTGCCCCTCACGAAGGCATCGCCATACGTTCTCCGCTTCGCGCCGTCGATGTATTCCTCGGCCTTCTCAAGGGCGATGTTCATGTATCCATCCACCGACTGTAGCTCGCCTACATATTTGATTCTGTCAGGTCAGGGATTCAGGCGTTCGTCCGGGGTGGGTTTCATTACCCTTGTACACAACACCAGAGTTCAGCTTGACGGTGACGGGGTTCCCGATAATCTGGCCGAGGAAGCTAGAGGGATCCTTCCCATCGCCCTGTGTTGCTGGTCCATTCTCCATGGTTGCGACTTTGATTCGATCTGCAAGGTGCTTTGCGGTGCGAGTAGGTGAAGCCGAAACAGTAGGTACCTACCGATGCTTGTCCAGGCCCTGCCATTTTTGGCAGATTAGACCCACAATTTTCAACAACCCCAATCACCCCTATAATTATATACATGCACCAAAAGAGGGTCTAGGGGTACGATACATGCATCTGCAGAGGACATACATAGCAATCAGCACGAAGCGGCAGTCGGTTTACTAATGAGTATGGTGACGATATCCCAAGATGGAGGGAAAGAACAAGATACTTTTTGTGTCTTATGTCGCCACCTGCTTCTAACCTGACCTCAGTCATCATCCCTATCTCGAGACACGGGGCTGAGATCCTCTTCCGTCAGAAGGTTGGAAGCAACCGCAACACAACAACTCTGACTCTCCATAGGTCCATGGTTTATGAGGTACTAGAAGAAGTCAATGACAGTTCCATCATTGTTCCTTGTTGCTAAGCCACAGGCACCATCTAGTAGCGCTTGACCCTCGTGCTATCAAAGCGGGAAGAAACACCAAAGAGTACATGGTCATATAGCCAGTAAAACGGCTGTACATGTGAACAATGTCCCCTGCCCTTGGGTCTGCCAAAACGGCAGACTCCACCTACTGCCAACTTGCAGATGTTCTATCTTCATTCATCTGATAGAATGATGGATTCTTGTCCACCTAGTATCCCAGCCTGCCTCTCCTCCGCCATGTCCTCAGCCATATGCTACTCATGAATCATGAGGCTCCTTCCGCTTCTGGCCAGGCTGCGCCTGCGTCAAGGCAAAACTTCCTGGTGACAAGAGTAGCAAAGTCGCCATGGAGCTCGGTAAAAATATCTGCGAAGACTAGTGATGGCATGTTGGCACACGCCTCAACGAGGCCGTCCAGACAAGGATCGCTCATGCCTGCATTCTTGCAGGTGTCGTAGGTGGTCTGTATGGCCACTACCCAACTCTTCACACTCTCGCGGGGTTGGCTGGAGTGCCAACGCTGCCAACCCATGGGTGATATGATTGAGGATATCTGTTTGAGAGCCTCCTCTACGACGCCAGATATCCTATGGCTCGAGAGCTTCTTTGCTGAGACGTAGAGGTCGACGACTTTCGTCAGTTTTTCCAAGGTACCCAAGCGGAATTTGAAGTCGGGGACGAAAAAGGAGCGGTATAGAATGTCAACGTAGAACTTGAATTGTTCACCGTTGAGGTCGACCTGGAACTCGAATTTCTCTATGTGGCCGTCCGCCGGGTGTTGGGCGTGGGCCGACTCCCAAATAGAATACTCTTGAACAAAACGAGACGAGTCTTCTAGCATGGTCTTGTGGACAAAGAACTGACCTCCGTCAGTTGTCTTAACAAGGACCACCTCGAGCGGTTCCCTGCAAATTGGGCGGTTAGCTTTTGAGGATCACTGGGGAAGCGAGTTGGCCGTATCCTACCAGGAAAGTCGCGGAGGCTGGGATTCCTTTCCACTTTTTTCATCGGCTGTGCTCGTTGGATTAGGAGCCACCGTCTCGGTGTTATGGCTCATTATGGGCGTAATAGCGTGGAGTGTGGGTTGTAGATGAGGTTGAGTTTCGATTTTCGAGGCGGCGAGTATGGAAGATACCCACGCCAGAGAGGCACTAGATACTCACGCCAGCCAAGGCTTGCCAGTCTAGGTAATAAGATGTGCCAGTCGTAGATTCCTATCTGGGGACCGACGATGAACTGACGAGGGAAGCTTCTGATGACGAGGGATGCTTCTGATTAGAAAGTGAACGCGGCAGATAGGCGGATGGGCAGGCGTCTCCCACCTATGACCACGGCTTGATTAGTTCCTCCTAGACTCCTCCTAATCTCCTCTCTGGAACGAGGTACCTAGGCTCAGATTTGATGGACCGGATAGAAATAGACCTGATAGTCGAAGTCAGAGAACCACCACATATATGTGTATCCTCTACCTATCCTCTTCAGGCATTCGGGTTTCTTCAGTTGTGGGCTTAGGATACAATGGCCTTTTCAATAGGCTTGTTTATGCCTACTTGTCTGTGTCAGGCAGCGCCTCATACCGAGGGATGGGATGAGCAGCTAACAGAGTCAGGCCGGTGAGCTCCATCAAGGCTCCCCCCAAACTACCAAGTCGGGCTATGTTTACCTGCTAGCACCAGCCAGATAGACGTCTTTTAGCAGTAGAGGTATCCATTGTTCACAAAAAAACGGTCTTCGTTGCCTCGTTGGTTTTGACTGAGTCCATACGACAACAGTCAAAACTTCGGTACAATGGTCACACCAGGCCTGTAGCAAACAAACAGACATGACCAGGAGCCAGTTCAATATTAAAGCCAGACGACTCAGATTCTTCGATTACTTTCATCCAATCCCCACCCTTGCCCTCACAAACAAGGAGATACAATTCTTCTGGGAAAAGTGAGTGAATATTCTCATCCTCAATTCACCTCTGCTTCTAACCTGCATCCAGGAGTGAATGAATCCCCCTGTTGATATGCCCATAAAAGGCGCCCTCCAGAAGGCCCACCGACAATACCAACCGACAACACCAACCGCAAGAATGTCGCACTCAAGCACCTCGAGCATAACCTCCCGGGTGAAGCGGAGAATAAAGAAGGCAGCCTTGTTTACGCCATCTGAGGGGTCAAGCAACCACAAAACCCAAGCCCTCCCTCCACCTCAGGCAAGTGGTGCCTATCCCCTGAGGCGTGGCAGCCCTTGCAATTTTCGGACACGACTGGGAGGGCTTCAGGTGCCGGACGAGGAGACAGATTTCGAGGAGGCACAGCCCCCACGTCTCCCCCTGGAGTATACCTTCGTGGCAGGACGGCAACTAAGCCTGATACCCGAGGAATCTGAGGAGTCAGATGAAGAACCCGCCGAAGGCCACGAGGATGACAACAAGCACGTCTTTGGCGGCTTTGACGACGATGACAGTATTTACGATAGCCTTATCCTGGCAACCCTGAGTGAGATTCTAGCCCTCGAGGACGGTCTGGATGAGAGGCTTCCGGCAAGTAGTGATGACACTCTACCAGCTGGTGATCCCAGACCTACTCCAACCCGGAAACCCCAGGAGTTCCCCTTGCCGACGTACTACATCAAAGACCCAAAGGAGGACCCTACCTGTGACCCAGGCGATGAGTTCTACCTCGACGTCCCCGACTCATGGTCTGTCGTCACCTCCATGTCCGGGGTCTCGACCTACATGCCAGGCTGTGTCATGGAACAGCCCCCGTCCCGGTTCCCTCGACTCACTGGCCTCATGAAGGGCTCATCCAGGGCTGCTAAGAAGAAATTCCGCAAGGTTGAGAGCACGTGTCGAGGCATGATGTTGCCCAGGAAGTTGTGTTCAAGTGGAGCACTGGAGTGTCTGGGGGTAGGTGCGTAACTTAGGCGCTGGGGAGGGTACTGGGAGAGAGGGACAGAGTTGTAGGAGTATAATCATGGGCAAGGAGGTGGTCATCAATTCGCTTGTTGGACGCCCTCACCGCATGAGCCCCAACCGTTTCCCGAAGGACTGCAAAAACAGTTATCCTCGATGTAGATATCAAAAACAGACAACCCCTAGAGGAGAACCCCTAGACCACAAGGCTACCCTACCTCGAACCTCCCCTCCTCGTTCCAGTCCCATTCGCCATGCCCTCAAGACAAACCACAACAGCATCCACGCCTCACCTCCCCATCCAACCCATAAATGCCATCCCGAAATCTCCCTCCTCGCAATCATGGCCATCCCCTCATCCTCCCACACCCCCCCTTGCCAGCCCCGACAGTAACCGCCCGGAGCGCCGCATATGATGCCGTCGAGGGAGTCTGGGCCCGACCGGGGGAGCCGCCGGGCGCCCGCCTGAGGGAGCTGAGGAGGGGGTATCAGGAGCGGCGGAGGGGAGCCTGCTGAGAGGTACTATTTTAAGGCATCGGGAGCCGGGGGCGGGGGAATTGGCGTGTGTGGTGGCGGTGATTTTAATGGCGGGTGGTGGTGAGGCAGAGACGGGGAAGTGGGTGTTCATCTGGGCTACTAAGGGGAACATGGGTAGATTACAGTACCGGAACAGTAGTCTCCGGAGAGCCTGTTCGAGAACCACTAGCCACCGGTTTGCATGCTAATTCTCGGAGGAGAGGTACATAGGGTGCTCACCTCCTGGTTCGTACTTGGGACGAAGACGACAAGCACATGGGCCTACATACTGATCATAGAGCAGCTGAATTATGAGAGACGGCGGCGTCGAGCAAGTCCAAATCAGATTTAGAGATAGTAAAGAACCAATGCAATGCAATTTTCTCATGCCCGTGCGTACATAGACCAGTTCACCGGGTCAAGTAAAAACCCCTATGTAGTATGTACAGCTTTTCTCATGCCCCTCGCCCCTGTCCCGCAACACTAGGAATCACCCATAGCCGACTGCCCATCCATCTGGACCACACCAGGTGGTTTACTCAAACACAAGATTACTTCACTACCCTCAGGCTAAACGGGCACCCGTCTCAAAGGGGTGGGTGGCCCGACACACTCTGAGGCAAGATAAGTCCCGAGATGTAAGGCAATAGCAGGTCCAGACAGACACCCACAGGGAAAGGATGCGATAGAGAAGAAAAAAAAGGAAAAACCTCCAGGAATATCAATCCTTGACACCCATGGCCAAGGACGCCGAGCGCCGTCGCAGTACGTTGAGTGTAGTGGCAACCGCCAACAATGAAAGCCGTCCACACAAGAAATTGAATGCCGTGTTGGGAACACTGGCAGGCGAGTTGAACTCTGCAACTCGCCGTCGACCCGTATCAGATACTGCTGTGAGGGGGGCAAAGGCATGTCTCGTGACGATGCGGAAGCTGTTGATGAGCGTGTCGTAAAATCTATAGTTTGATCATGGTTCGTCAAGGCGGCATCGATCCAACCACATATTATGCTGTGGTGTGTATCCTGAGTCAACAAGATCCTGATAGAAGTGGTGGCCGTCTATCCCGGTGCCGGGACGGAGAGATAAGACCACATCTCTATGAGATTTGGTCGAGGGAGAGGTGGGTATCAGCAATGCCGTAGATGTGGGCATTCTTCTTTGCCCAGTGGCGAGTCAGGATGGAGGCTGCGCATCAAACAAAGTCAGCCGAGGGTTGCGTGGGAAGGAGGAATCGACGAATCGACGAGAGAGCAGCATACCTTTGAGGAACTTCTTGCTCGCGTACTTCTTGAAGAAGGCCTCGTGGACAACGGGTCGAGCGAGGTAGTCAACCATGAGCTGGAAGACGGGCTCAATATCTTCCTCGGTGTATCCAGCGTAATACGAAAGAGTCTCGTCCTGTCGGGCTGTTAGTCTGTCTGTCTCTCCTACACTTTGCACATGCGTCGGGCTGTGAGTGCTTACCCAATCGCCCCGATCTAGGATCAAACGGGCCAAGTACATGGCCGCAGCAGCAACATGGCTTGAACGATAGGCCATGAAACGGTGGTCAAGCAAGCTGATCTCCGTAAGATACTTGCCAACAGTCCGGGTCTGGATATCGTAGTTGTCTGCCTTGGAGATGCGACGGAGGAAGTTCATGGGGTTCGGATAGCTCAAGTCATAGCTGAGAGTGTTGAGAATGAAACGCTCGGCGCTGAGGATTTCGGACTCGGTGAAGCCATCATCTGCAACGTGACGGAAGTTGGCGACATGCGGCGAGAGTACCTCCTCGTACTTGGACGCGATGAACATGGCAGTGATGCCGACAAGCTGCAGACGGTCGAGCTGGACAACCTTCTCCGAGAGGAAGCGATCGATGACATTGACGGCCAGGAAGAGGGTCTCGGGCAGGAGATGGAAACGGGTGTGCACCTCAATGAGCCAGTCAATAAGAATGCCTCTGGTCTTCCACTCGAGGTCGTCCTGGTGAGACATGTACTCAGGATTTGGGACCGAGTTGCATTCGAGATCGCGCAGGTATTCAAAGATTTCATTGGCGTATTCAGCAACCATCAACGGGTCTTCGAGGTCTTCGCTGTCGAGGTCTCTAACACCGGGCGGAAACTCGACCGCCGAGGGAGCCTCTGGAACAAACACGTTGCTTGCGATCTCCTCCGACTTAGAGGACCGTTTCTCGGGTTCTGCGGTGTGCACCTTCTTGCGACGAGGTTCACCCTCCTCAGGTGTCACTCCTTCCTTGGTGTTGGATGTGGATGCCAACACCTTTCTCTTCTGAACGGCCCCAATGGCACCCGAGCCAGATCCAGAGCGTTTTGGCTCGACCTTCTTGTTGATCTCCTTGGAACCCAGAGCTGTTCGGGTGGTGCTGGTTGTAGTAGTCTTCTTCTGGATACCACTGGGCTGGGCAGCCTTGGATACAAGCCCAGTCTTGCCGGCAACGACCTTCTTCGCATCCACATCAACCTTGGTAACATTGCTGACATCGCCAAGAGCAGCACGCCTGCGCTGTCCGGCTTGGGCATTGGCGTTGACGGTAGACTTCTTCGACTGCAGGGCCGCCTTGGACGGGAGCGAGAGCTCGTCAACATTGAGGGCGGCAGCCTTGGCCCGCGTGGCCCGCGTCACACGCGTCGAGCCGCTGTTCTCGTCATTCTCGTTAGAAACGAGGCGCTGCCTGGTAGTAGGGCGTCCCTGGATGGGCGGGTTAGAATCACTGTTTAGACGCGTATATACCGTGGTAGACGGAGAGGAAGCATTGCTACTTACGCCAGGCATTGTGCAAGAGATGCTGTTTTAATACAACCAACGAGGTCTCAAAATGTGCTGATGATACACGGTTAGCTGTCGTGTCTGAATCACTTGGCCATGAGCAGGCAATGAGCAGTTGTGTTGAAGGTCGTGGTGCTGTGATTGTGTAGGTCTGGTTGGGAGACGCGAGGTAATATCCGAATCCAATGGGCAGTGGGCAGGGAGAAAAGGCAGCTGGGAGGGAGAGGCTCGTACCTGATTCCAGTCACTGCAGACAAACAGTCATGCAGCTGGTGTACTATCTCTGTTATGGTTGAGATAGAGGTCGTAGGGCCCGATTATTATTATTCGAGGTCGAACGCGGGACCCAAGTCCTCCAACCGAGAGGATCACGATTTGGAGTGGTCGTCCAGGCACACGCGTTGACAGATAGGAGGAGGATGGAGAGGTCAAGGGCTGGAGGACTGATGAGGGCCCGGGAGGGGATGTTATGTGTAGGGAGTGTTCTTGTTTTTAAGAGGAGTTGGCGGAGGTGGAGGAGACGGGACTCTGCTATGGTAGGTTTGAGAGGAGGAGAGGTGTGTGGGACGAGGTACCAAAACCGACGTGCCAAGCGAGACAAAGTACCAGCCACTAGCACGGATCGCGACCTGGGTGACGCTGCAATTCTGGTTGCTAGGGTGCTTGTGCAGAACGACGCGTAGCGGCCAAAGTGCGGCGAGATAGGACTGCAAAACGCCAATGCAACTGAGAAAGATAAGATGATGCTCCTGCTTACTTCTTATGAATTGAGTTGCAGCAATGGTCAGGTCAGAGGGGCGTGTTGGAAACGCAGCAGGTATCTAAGCAGGTGGGAAAGGGAAGGAGAGTGGATGTTATGATGGCTGGAGGTACAAAGTACGGATGCCCTGGTACGCGACTGGGGTACGTACTGAACTTTTTGCTGACCTCCCTTGCATAAAGCCCACAGTCAACAGAGGCAACCGCGGGGCAACGGCTTGCTGATTCGCCCAAAACCTTCCCGCCAACCCAGCAACGGAAGGAACGCCAGGGGTATGCGACCCGCCATACCCCACCCGAGACTCTTCGCGCTCTGAGCTGTGGCTAGACGCGCTGCCCCACTACCGTTAAAGCCACACTGGGGGCTCCAGCGGGAGTTTAGTCTGATGTCGCCCGGTGTGGCTCAACTCATCGGATCGGCGCATAGTTGATCAACTTTTTTTCGACCTCGCCGAAGCTGTCTAACAACCGCCAACCAAAGCATTGGCGGATGGTCATTACGTCTGGAGATCAACTCATGCAGTTAAACGCAATTCCTCTCATGATTTCTTCGTTCAATTGAACCATATCAACCCTCCTCGAGCTCGGCTTGAGCTTCGATAGGCTCCCTTGGCAACAATGTTACAGCCTAGGCTTCGGCCACTGGCCAGGAGCAGTGTCTCATTCTGTCGCAGCAGTGTTGTTTTGCGCCTCACCAGAAGCTATGCAACACCTACACAGAGCAGCAATCGAGAGACCTCATCCTCTCAAGGCGCAGTTTCTAGCAGCTTTGCGGTTCCCACACCTCCTACCAGGTCCGAGAAGGAATCGGCTCTGATGCGAACATATAAGCCCCGAACCCCGGGAGTCCGACATCTCAAGCGTCCCATCAATGACCATCTTTGGAAAGGGCGGCCATACCTGCCGCTTACTTTCCCCAAAAAGGGCCAGTCGAAGGGTGGGAGAAACAACACCGGCGTTATAACGGTCAGGCATCGCGGTGGAGGCGTCAAGAGGAGAATACGTACCGTCGATTTCAAGAGATGGGCGCCGGGGCCACATCTCGTGGAGCGTATTGAGCACGACCCGGGACGAAGCGCACACATCGCTCTGCTGACCGATCAGGCGACCGGGAAGAAGAGCTACATTGTGGCGGCGGACGGAATGAGGGCTGGCGATGTTGTCCAGAGCTACCGATCGGGCATCCCACAAGACCTCCTCGACAGCATGGGCGGCGTCATTGATCCCGGTATCCTGGCTGCCAAGACGGCCTGGAGGGGGAACTGCCTCCCGATGCACATGATTCCCGTCGGCACGACGGTGTATAATGTCGGTTCTCGCCCCGACGGCGGGGCCGTGTTTTGTCGCAGCGCCGGCACCCATGCCGTCGTTGTATCCAAGGAGGAGGAAACTCGAGAAGATGGCACGAAAGTCATGACTGGCAAATACGTCAATGTCCGACTGCAGAGTGGCGAGGTCAGAAAAGTGAGCAAGGACGCATGTGCAACGATCGGAGTCGCCAGCAATACCCTCCATCACTATAGGCAGCTTGGCAAGGCAGGAAGGAGTAGATGGTTGAACATCAGGCCAACAGTGAGGGGTGTGGCAATGAATGCCTGTATGTCTCTCCTCTCTTGCCCCCAGTTTTCTTACCGAAGGCTTACACTGTCGCAGTTGAGCATCCCCACGGTGGTGGCCGTGGAAAGTCCAAGGGCAATCGTCACCCCGTCAGTCCTTGGGGACAGCTTGTGAGTCCTCGAAATGACTGTCCTAAATCGACTTACTCTTTGGCTAACCGACTGTGCAGGCGAAAGGTGGCTTCAAGACTCGGCGTACGCACAATGTCAACAAGTGGGTGGTTGTTCCTCGGGTTCGGAACATGGGAAGGCAGCGCGGCAAGGCATCCAAGAAATCCAAGGAGTAGATGTGTTGTAAAGATCATTGTGTACATTCCGGGGCCATTCACATATTGTACAATACGTTATATCGAAGACGAAGTATCCTTACCTTTTGTCTTGTCACAATTCGCAGCCTGACCTTCGCCTTATGGAGAGCTATCTTCTCTCTTCTGGTTGCAGACGGGGTCGGAAATGGTGTTGCTCTTGCGCGAAGCAGAGAAGGTAAGTATCTTGGCATAGCTCTCCAGTCTTCCATATGACTATTATTCTTTCTTTCACAGCTGCATGTGGGAGGGATGTTGCTGGTTTCATTCCCCAAGGGATATATTTCCTATATTTCCCACATGTCAAGGAAATAGTGGGCGTCTCTACAAACAAAGAGTATGGCACACCGCGAGGTACATGTGGCTGCACGCCGATACCCACAGAATCATGAGCTGAGCTACCGCAGCAATTGGCAGGCATCGCCAAGCGTGGCTGCGATCCTGAGATGGCAGTGCGGCTGGCCGAGCTAGTGAATATGGCGCTGTTGGCGGACGGATCAAGTGACTGGCCAATACAAAATTGGGCATTGCCCTGGCTGACGTTTGTTTGACTTGTGGAAATTCAATGTCAAGAAGGGATTGGATTCACCAATCTTTTTGTGCAACAAGGCTTGATATGGATACACCAGCTGCACGTATATTCAGATCTACAAAATTCAGGCGAAGATCATGATGGATGGAGAAGCACTGCCTCAGTTGGATCCGCCGAGCGCTGAGTTGGTGTGGGTTGCAAGGCTGGCAGGGGTCGTGTGCTACCATAGCGATAGCGGCTGGCAAGCAATTAGCGCTTACCTATCTAACATCAGCTGGGAGACCTCAGGTATACCAAGTGGTATATTGATTTCCCAGCGCATCCACCATAAGACTTGGAAGATGGAGTGAATAAAAAAGGAAGGGCGCCCTCGAGAGAGTTTACACGACACGTAGTTTATTTATTCTGGCGACTCGGTGTTCGACGGAACAAAGATCACCAAGCACAATCCACGTCTCCAAGTACCAACAGCCCAAGTCACCTGCAACCAGGTTGGCCCTTGCACCTGCAACACACGACCAACTTCCGCATACGTACCTTTGCACCCCCTGATATTCATATTTCAGTGACTGGCAGCTGAACCCCCGTCGACGCTCCTCCTCTGGTTTAATGTGGGAGGCGCGCTTCTGTCTTCCCTTTACCAATTCGCCTCCCTCGTACCCTCCGTCTCCGGGAGCCGGTGAAGGACAGACCAGATGCCCGACGACGGTCTTGCAACCCCCTTTATTCCGGCCAAATCTCCATACGTTCAAATACATGCACACCCGGGCCCGCACAGTTATTCCAGAATGAAGAGTCTCGACTCGGCGCGCCATGTGCCCGACAGGCGACACAAGAAAGGTGGCTGGGTGCTCGTAGCCTCGTACGTCTTCGACTGGATAATCTTGGTCGTCTTTGGCGTCGTCGGCCTGCTCCTTGGCCAGATGACCCCGAACAAGCGGCCCTTCTCTCTCGAAGACCCCAATATCTCGTGCGTTGCGACCTCCCCTACAGCCTAATGTGATACAAATATGTTCCCCCACCAGTGTCCTGACCGCGCCTTTCTAGATTCCCGTTTACAGTCGATGAAACGGTCCCTGCCTCCATCGCTTTCGTGGCCAACACCGCTGCTCCCATAGTCATTATCATCATCATCGCCCTCGTCTTTGTGCCGGGCGCAACGGTCCCTCGGGGCACCCCGAAGTCGCTCATATGGAGGCGCAAGCTCTGGGAGCTACACATTGGCCTGCTAGGCCTTGGGCTGTCCGTGATAGCCGCGTTCTTCATCACCAACGGCATGAAGAACATGTTCGGCAAGCCGCGCCCCGACTTGCTCTCGCGCTGCCAGCCGGACCTCGCCAATCTGAGCAAGTACATCGTTGGCGGCATCGCCAACGTGAGCAGCAACGGCCAGTTGGTGAGCGGCGATATTTGCAAGAACCCCGACAAGGCGTTTCTGGATGACGGGTTCAGGAGCTATCCCAGTGGGCATTCAAGCTCTTCAGCTGCGGGTCTCCTCTACCTCTCCCTTTTCATCGCCAGCAAGTTCGCCATAACACTCCCTTTCATCGCACCGCCGGGCTACTCCGACGCCTCCTTCGCTGCCTTCCCCTCGCGCCTCCCCCGCAACAACTCCTCCTTCCGCGGCGGCAACCGCAGCGACAGCGCGGGGGGGGAGTCGTATGAGCTCTCGGACCGCAGCGCAGTCCGCAACGAGAGGCTCGCCATTCCCGCGGACCCGTCCCTGCACACGCGCATGGCCATGCACACGACGGCCGTGGCCGCGGTGCGACGGCAGGCGGCCTCGCCGCCGCTGTACCTGCTGGGCCTCTGCGTGCTTCCGACCTTTGGCGCCGTCTTCATCGCGGGGTCGCGCTGGTTCGACTTCCGCCACCACGGCTTCGATATCCTTTTCGGCTTCCTCATCGGCACTGCCACCGCCATCTTCGCCTTCCGATACTACCACCTCCCCATCGCCCAGGGCGCCGGCTGGGCATGGGGCCCCCGCTCCCGCGACAAGGCCTTCTGGGCCGGCATCGGCAGCTTCAGCTACGCCACGGACCGGATGCGCCTCGAAGACGACGACGACGACGTCCACCTCGTGGCAGCTGCGGCCGTGCGGCCCGGCGACGAGGAGGAAGCCATAGAGAGCGTCGGGGGCGGCGGCGCCGGAACCGGCACAGGCTGGGGACCCGGCGAGGAGCGCCCAGTCGGCAGGAGGCCGTCGCCGCCCGCTGGACCGGGTGAGGTCGCTCCCGGCCGGCGGGAAGATGACCGGTTCGGGACGGCCCCAGGTCAGGATGACGGCCGGTTCGGGATGGCCCACGGCAGGGAAGAGAGCCGGTTTGCCACGGCCCCTGCCGAGGAGGAGGGCCGGTTCGGGACGGCGTACTAGGCCCGGACTCTGCACGGGTTTTCGGGTCTGTGGTGCCGATTCCGGGGGTGGGGGTTTGGATAAACTAAACTAGGACAAGGAGAGGAGTGTTCCGTCATCATAGAGCTGCAGGCAGGGCTGGATTTGGGGGGGGGGGGGGGGGCGTCTGCTGCATTTGCGGAGTTCAGTTCTTTCTCATGCCGTTGAGTACCAGACATTGCTGGGGCTAAAAGAAAAAGGGCGTTGACTTGTTTGATCCCGTTTATTTTACGCACTTTGCTGCCTTATCTTACACCCCTCTTTCCTTTCTGAAGTGGTTGTCGAGGATGGTGTGCAAGACACACAAAAGGTGTAATGGCTATCGAAGGCTGGCGTTTGGAGGGGCAATGGCTTGAGAGTTGATATGGATGCTGAACACGGGTTCGGCTAAATATAATAATAGGGGGTTTGTTGATGACGAGCATGTTCCGTTTCTAGGCAGTGACGCAATACCCTCTCCATTAGATTTGATTGTCCCACGGAGATGATGCGAGTTCGAAATATTCAGGTCAGGTCAGGCCAGGCTCCGAGTTCCGAGTCACGACGGCCATTCTTTTCCCTGCTTTGTAATGCCATTGCTATCTATGCCGGCCAGTACAGACTGCTCGATACTACCTATGTCATTATGCGTAAACAGCTAGCGACGTCCCGGCTTCCCTCCTCCAAACTTTGAACACCTCGTCGCCGCCTGCCATCCTCCAACGCCAGAGTCGTAAAGCGCAAAAGCCAAGTGTCCCCTAATATGTGGTATCCACGAAGCGAAAAACAATAATGTGGACGTTTGTGCGTCAAACCGGCCTCTGCAGGACAAGACCGACAGAAACGGGATCCCGCGAGGATGTGCTCGCTCAACAATGGGCTCCCGCCAAACCATGCGGAGGAGAGAGGGTGGGGTTGTTCTCTGCGAGATGGAAAGAGAGAACACCCATGATCAGAAAACCATTCTTGAAAACCAGGGGGGCCTAACGGACCACACAGCGGCGGTTCTCACGCGATGGTGCCGGCGTCGCCGAGACCAGACCGCTTCATGATCAGGTCCGCCACTCCCCCACCACCGCCGCCGGCGCCGGCAGCAACAGCACCCGCACCCGCACCCGCACCAGCGGCAGCGGCAGCAGCATCATCCATGACGAGCTCCCCATCCCCAACGTCTTCCTCCTCCTCCTCCTCCTCTTCCGCCTCCTCATCCTCCTCCCCGTCGCCGCCGTCGAGGTCCTCCCCCTCGCCCTCCCGGAACCCGCTCTCGACATCCAGCCGCCTAAGCCGACGCCTCATCTCGTCGCGGCGCGCGGCCTGCCAGCGGACGAGGGCGGCGGCGGCGTGGACGCGGAAGCCGTAGGCGCGCGGGACGTAGCGGGCGACCGATTTGGCCGGCATCAGGGCAGGGTAGACCTGGAAGATGATGTTGTGGAACGAGGTGCCGAAGTAGGCGCCGTCGATGGCCGCGTGCCGGGAGGACTTTGGGTTGTACACGTCCTCGCACCGCGCGCAGTACAGCTTCGCCGGCCGCAGGTTGGGCACGTCCGACAGGCCCATTGGGAGGAGAGGGTGGCTCTGGCACTGCACGCGGGGGCATTTGCCGAAGTCGGCCTTTTTGTACTTTTCGAGCTATGGATGGGGGTCAGCTTTCTTGTAGCAGTTTTATTTGGGGGGGGGGTGGGTGTTCTTGTGGGGGAAGAAGGACGATGGGGGGGGCCCTTACCATCTTTGCCAACCCTCGGGTCGTGACGATATAGCGCGCATGTACAAGGCCATAGAGATGGCGAGCCGACTTTTCTATCGTCTCGCGCATCTCATCGTCGCAGTCCAGATCGAAGACGTCGGTGACCAGGTCCAGGGCATACTGATAGTACTGAACCTCGACGTTCAGGCCGGTCAGGTTGAATCGGTCTGTCAGGTACTCTTCGTCGATCTCGCAGAAGTATTCGTTGCCCCGAGAGGATATAAACTAAGAAAGTGGCGATCGAGGCGCCCGCGTCAGAGAAATTGAACCGGAAGAGCGACGGCGGGGAGAAGAAGGGAAGGGGGGCTATATGTGTTGTTGTGGGAGCTTTTCTCAGCCTGCCCGAGTCCACAACTTACCCAATCGCGCCAGTAGCTGGTATAGTCGCTATCCGATTCGCTCACAAAGTCGTCCATGTCGTTGTAACTGAGGAAGGCACACACAGACAGGAAAGGAAAGGTTAATACTGAAGGTAAGGTTGCGTCCGACGCACGATTTATCGTCGGTCGGATCGTTGGTCGGATGGCTATGGCGGGGTTGAGATTGTGTGATGCAGTTGGTGAGGTTCGAGGTTGCTTTTTGGTGGGGGGCAATGCTCCTCGGTGGAGGCTCTTGTTGGTGGGAAGGCCAAAATTAATTTTGAGGCCCAGACTGGGGGCCGCTGGGTTGGCCTGAGGATCTACGAGTACTGTACATCCGAAGTGACCTTCAAGAAGTCGCAACATCGACAGAAGTACCAAACCAGACAGTAAAATGTTTGTTTACCTGTCTGTCCCGTTCTTTGGGCAAAGTTTAAAATTCCAACCCCAGTCTGCATAAATAGATTGTGAATCCAGTTTGATTCACATCAACAGCCGAATTATTGTGGTATTTTCCGTAAGAGCACCCTCGCATTCACTCCTGAACCCGCTAGCCCCTTGATATGATTGATTCAATACAGCATAACAACTAACAAAACCGAGAAACTTGTTGCAAACACTTGAAAAATAAATAAATACAGAGCTTGGGGTATCTATGTTTCCAACATTTACCAAACCCGTAAATATCACCTACCCCCTATTCCGCCTGCGACTGGCACCCCTGGATCAAGAGATCTAGTGTATCTCTATAAAGATTATTCGCGCTCATGGTATTCCGGACGTGGGCGTTCTCTTCTATCGCGTCGATCCACCGCTGCCATCGCGAATCCGGCGGTGCGGGGTACCACGCCCTGGAGGGCTGGAGGATGCGAGTCAGGCGGAGCGCGAACGGAGCGAAGTGTATATCGACGAGACACATGTGATCCCCCAGAAAGAACGGCCCCTTGGATGAGACCGTAAGAATAAGGACACTTCCGGGAAGGACGCATGTCCCAAATCTGACTTACCTCTTCGTCTGCGGCCTGGACAAGGGCAGTAATGTCTCGCTGTAGCTTCTCGATGGCTTTACTCTGTGGATCCGGATCTGTTGCGTTCAGAAGGCCGTAGAATGACGGGACTACCTTTGTATTGATCTGAAAAATGTGAATATTTGAATATTTGGCAAGTCACCAGGAGCATGCATGCTACTTACAAAGTCAATCCAGAGCCGGCAGTTTGCCTTCAACCTCGGGTCGGTGGGATGCAATAGGACTGTACTGTCCAGTTCCTCGAGCTGAGACAAAATTAGCTTGCGCTGTTCGGTATCGCGTCCAATACAACCGAGAGAAGCATGTACATACGTATTCAAGGATGACGGCGCTCTCGCCGCAAGCCCATTCCCCCTGGCGGATGGCAGGGACGAGCCCCCTCGGATTTGCCTCGAGAAGCTGAGTAGGCTTCGGTTTCCTGAAAGGATCCGTCTCGCAGTACTGATAAGGGAGCCCCTTTGCCTCTAACGCGATCCATACCCTCTGGGAGAAGGGGCTTGGGGAGATTTACCCGTCAGCAATCAACGCCTCAAAAAGGGGGCGAAATAGAACAAGAGCTCCAAAAACCCAAGAAGCCCGGCTAGAACTCACCAAAAGCACGAAGCATAAAGTTTGAGGTCCGACTCCTTAGCATGCCTCCTCGCCGTCGCCGCCGCGCTCCCCGTCGCCCTCCACCCGGGCGGCGCCCTCTGCTTGCCCTTCCTGGCGTCCCGTTCCCGGGCGGCCACCCACCTCTGCACGCTGCTCTTCTTGATCTCGTCGCTCTTGTCCAGGCTGTGCTGGTGCACCGCCAGCTTCCCGTCGCCGGCCCCGTTGGTCCCGTTCCCGTTGACCCTCTGGACGGTCCACAGCCGCCGCGCCGCGACGCCCCTCGTCAGCGCCTCGCGGACCGCCGGGGACGGGGAGGACGGGGAGGACGACGAGGAAGGGGAGCCGCCCAGGTCCGCGGCGCTGACGACCGCGCCGGGGAAGTACTCGGTGATCTTGATCTTGACGTCGCAGAGGTCGCGGGGCCGGGCCTGGCGCTTGCGCTTCTTCTTGTTTGGGTCGTCGCTCTTGGGTGTGCCCGGCGGCCGGCCCTTCATGCGGCAATCCCAGTAGTGCGTGACGAAGGGCTTGCGCTTGTAGCGCTGCGTCGAGCGGTGCGAGTAGACGTTGTCGACGTGCGGGAAGTACGTCTCGAACCTGGATTGAGGTTTTGGGATTTAGCATGGGTGTCCGGGTGGTTTGCGTGGTCAGGGAGGGTCAGGTAAACTTACTCCTCTTGGTCCAGAGCCACCATCTCCTCCAGATCGAAGAGCCTCTGTCTCCACCTAGCCAGATTCGGGGGGTCCAGGACGAACTTGGCGCCCGCTTGGCCATCTGTATTCGCGCCATCATCCTCGTCTCCACCACTAGGGTGCGACGCCATCTCCTCGACACGGGGTGTGAGAGAGCCCAACCCTTGCGCCTTGTCCTCCAAAGCTGGCCGGGGCGGGCCGTCCGGGATATCGTCCAATCCCTCCTGGGGGAGGACGGTACATTGCCTGTGGCTAGTGGCGTCGAGTACATTGCCGGCATGTTGCTCCAGCTGCTGTTGAGGCCCCGTTCGTTGCCGCCGTTGGTCGTTCTGGCTGGTGGCTTGTTGCTCGCGTGGAAGGTGTTTTCGGGATGACTGCAGCTGCTCTCCTTGGTGATTCCTCAGCCGAGGCAATGACTGCGATGGCTGGGCGAGGGCCGGCTCGGCATCATCGACCCCAAAGCCGCCGTTGACTGCCCCATTGGGCCCGGTAACAGAAGTAGCAGCAGCAGGAGCCGCAGGAGATGCCTGGCTGGCGGGGTTGTACGAGTGCTGGAAGGACTGTAGGTCGTGATGGAAGACTGTTTCCGTGTTTGCGACTTCCACGCCGGGCAGCCCTGGCAGGCTATTGCGCTGGAAGGACGATTCGTGATATTGGATTTGCCGATGTGCGTTGGGGTGTTGGGACAGGGGAAACGACGTATCCATGGCTCCCTTGCAAATCGGTTCTAGGTTGCTTGCTGCTTTACCGAGTGTCAAGCTCCCCTCCCCAGCTTTGCGCCTGGTGGAGCTTGATGAGGGGCAGGGACCGAAAAGAGGGGCGAGCGGGGCTGCTTGAAGGTACCTAGGTGCTCCTGCGTTACAGGATCCTCCTACGGCGGGCCATTCTCACATAGGTAGTACGAAATGGATTCACAGTAAATGTACTACGTATGTACCATTTGGCATGGATATCTTCAAAGGTGGATCTAGTCTTTCGTTCTCCAATGCCTCTCCTTTCCAATCAGGCCAAGCACCTCTCAGGCACTCCTGCCCTCAGAGCGGCCGCTCGAAACAACACTGCCGGTCTCGCTGTTCGACTGCCCTTCAGAGTCCGAGTCGGACGCGGCGCTCCTCCTTGACCCCGGACCCAGGGTGCTGCTGGATGGGGATCCATTGACGCTCCTCGACGGGACCTCGAGTCTGCCTGTGAAGAGCCCGTTTCCCAATTCGAGTCCAACGTCCTGCGTCGTCCTCACATTGACCATCTCGAGCGCCTCTCGCAGCGTATTCCCCGTCTCGTCGAGGGCGGCGAGGAAGCGCGCAAGCTCCTTGCACAGCTCCCAATCTTCCTCCCGCATCGCTCTGCTCAACAATCGCACGCTTTGTTCGCTTGCCGTGGCCAGCTCGTCAAAAGTGTGCAGGATAAGTAGGTACCCGCCGGCCGTCTTCAGGCTCCCGCGCTGGAGACTCTCCTCGAAGAGCTCCTGGGGCGGCGGAAGGTAGGCGAAGAGGGTGCGCCAAGATCGCACCTCGGTCTTGCGCGTACATTGGACCACAATGTCAAGGTATTCCTTGAAAGACGAAAGTAGAGAGAGAACCCGCGGGAGGATAGCTTCCTCAGGGGTTGGTGGTGGGTCGGCATCGACTTCTTGGTCTAACACCTGGTGCAAGAGGATCTCGAGGGCATGAGCGAAGTACTCGAGATCCTGATACTGCTGTGCTAGTTGCAGCGCTTCCAAGGCCTTGTTCTGTGTGAGATAGAAGCGCAATATTTCCGGGAGGAACAGATGCGTCTATATCTTGCGTGTTAGGAGCGGTTCAGGAGAGAAGTGTAAAATAGGGAACCAACCCTGATGGAGAATCGGAAGAAGGAAAAGCTGACATCGCGGCGCTGGACAAGGTCTGTCTCAACGCCTAGCACCGTTGCTTTCCCGAGAAGGCTAGAGAGTGGGTAAAAGTCGACGGGAATCGAGATGGTTGGTGGCAGCTCCCGAGTTGATTCTTCGGATATTGCCTTGAGAACAGCGCCCATGTCTGTCCACGCTTTCAACTCTACGCCGTCAAATATCCATAACGAGTTCTGCAAGGCCTGCTGCTCCGATCCGGGACCCCTGGGGCCCTGAAGCTTCGACGCGGGGCCGACGAAGGGCTGGTCTCTCATACTTACGTAGTATTCGACGTTCTGGGAGATGACGCGCATGTCGTACTTTAAGCCGCCCTCACCGTTGACGGACGGCTGAAGTAAGACTAGCTTACCGTCGACCAGGAACAGCACCGATGCAACAGCCACGTCCTGTGACGGGTCGCCGTCTGCAAGTTGGCTCTCCGGAAGTATCCAGCTTAAGCCCCGGACTCTAGCCGGTGATCGTACTATGCCATGGAAGGCTATCTGGCCAACCTGGACCAGCTTCAAGGACCCTGCCGCAGGGGCAAAGACGAAGTGGTATAGTAGGTTGTCATAGGTGTAGACAAGTAAAGAGTCCTCCCCAGAGGGCGTCACCAGCACGATTGGTGCCGGCATTGGCTGCACGTGTAGCACGGTGGCGGCATCAAGGGCAGCCTCTCTCGAGTACAGCCGGATCTCGTAGGCTCTGTTGGCTTCGACCGCTGCCACCAGAACATTCTGATACCAACACATCCCACCCCGCACTTGGAACTCGTTTTCCATGGCTCCGTTGCCGAATGTCTTCCACCGGCCACTATTGATACTGTAGTGCACTAGGCCACGCCGTCCAGCCACCGCGACATACCTACCGTCGGGGGAGATCGCCGTGCATCGTATGGGCCATTGGTTCAGCAGATAGTTCGCCGGAATCCTGGCAGTGTGCCACAGAAAAGGTTCGGCAGAGATGGAAGTCAGATCCGGTAGGTCGTAACCTCTGTATATCATCAGACTCGAGGTCGTCTGGAGAACGGTCCGGAAGAGGTTCGCAGAGCTGTAACAGCCGGTGACAGCACTGCGTGCCATCTCGAGGAGCCAGATGGCCTCGTGAGACCTGCTCACGAGCAGGAGTTCGCTGGCGCCGCCAACCCACGCGACGTCTACCACCCCGGAGATCCATTCTTCGCCGTTAGTAGAAGCGACAGCATTATCCGCGCTGAAGCTCGTACTGAGCGGTTTGCCATAGACGCTCCAAGTTGCCCAGCCTTTCTCGTAGCCTGCAAAGAGGCAGCAGCCGTCGGGAGTGTAGCTGACCGTCGAGAGGCTGCCCGATGTGGACCGGGATACCGTGAGTTTGTGGACATGGGAAGAAGGAATATTACCGGAATAATCCCTTGCCGAGTAGACGCGAATAGTGCCATCCTCGCAGCCTACGGCGATGAGCGAGAACCGCGCGTTGATGATGCACCGTACGGCATGCTCCTGAGGGTCCTGCGGGACATGGAAGCAGTACCCCTTGAACATTTTCTTGGGATCCGGCGCTTCATTGGCCTCGCCGGTTGGCTGTTCCGCAACGATTCTCTGGACAGCATACGCCTTGCCGTCGCTGGTGATCCACGTCAAGAGATTCATTGGCCGGTCGTGGGTCATTTCCTCTACAGTGACCTTCTTGTCCAACCAGGTCATGCGACTGAGGAGCTCGGTGCTTGTCTGGCTGCCAGAGCTGTCGGGTGTCCACCGGATGCACTGCACAGCTGCTGGTTTGCGTGTCGCCACAACTAGCTCGTTGTCTAGGGCCAAGGCACTCTCGATTCCAGCATCCACCTTGATCACCATCCGGAACCGCACGCTGATATCCCGGACCCCTGAGCCTTCCCCGGGACCCCAGAGTATCTGCTCGGGAGCGACCTGGCCTGGCCCGCCTATATGGGTCTGTCGTCTTCTCTGGACATTTGTATGGTTGAAAAAGTGCGGCTTGTAGACTTGGGAATCGGTGTCTGTGGCGAGAGAGTAGGTGATTAGGTAGCCCTGGCTTGTATGTACGACGAAGATAGCTGAATCGGGGCGTAGGAGGAGGTTGACATTGGTGCCGTACGACTGTAGAGATGACTCGGAACGCACAACAACTGCCAGTATTACTGCAGGCTTTCAAGGTTGTCAGTATAGATATGCATTGATGACGAGGCGCCGGGAGGTGGACCAGTCAGGGGAATGAAATACCTTGGTCTGCCATATGGTCATAGACGTCGCTGTGATGACGGCAAAGATGTGGCCGGGGCGGGCGACTCGAAGGGCGAGGATCGGCTCCTTTAGGGGAATGGTAGCTGTCGCAGTGGTGGAAGACACCTGGGGGCTCGGGCTCCTCTCATCGTGGTAGTCATGTTCGACAGATCTGATGTCCGGAGTCAGGGGAGTTGCCGGGGTCATCGGGGTGGTTGGCGTGGTTGGGAGACCCAGGGCATCGCGACCTGAGCCGGCATCGGGTGAAAGAAATGGTGACTTTTCGGATCTCGCATCTTGCTGTTCGCCTGGTGACTGGAGGCCGTCATGGGAGACGACCAGGTTGAGGTTGGAGTTGGAGCCAAGGTTAGTGCTCGTCGCATAGATTCGCGGAGTGCCAACGGGCCAGTACATGGCTCTTTGAAGCCGACACTTTCAAGGCGGCTTCAGTCGCATGGGCCGGAGGGAATCCCTGATGAATTCGGGCTCAATTCATGCTGTTGCCTCTTTGTCAGTTCTCCGAAGTCGAGTATCTTGGCCGAGATGCGATGGCGGAGCTGGAGGGCTGGAACATCATAGGTTAGGAGCTAAGGTATGGGTAGCAGCAGCCCACTGGACATCTCCCGCTGCAGGGGCACCTCACCTGGCTGGTGGGGCAGCTCAGTCCCAGGCCGGGACTTGCCGCACCTGGAAACTCGAACAATTGAGCCTCCAATAACTCCAAACCCCCCCCCACTCAGCTCTTTCTTTGTCTGTCTTGGTTTAACTTTTGGTTAGATTGTCTGCCCTTTTGTCTCCTCTATTTACCTACTACTCTACTCGACTTATATACGGAGTATAGGACACCCTTTCAGGCTGCACAAGAGAAACCACTGTTGCAAAGTCTTGACGCCACACTGTCTGGTGTCAGCCTTGCACTTGACACTTGAGATTGAGAGGAGAGAAGCAGTTGAGAACGGGGCGTCTGCCTCCCCATATTCGTGGAGATATATCGCGCCATTACTTCCATGGCACCCCTCCTGTTACGCCCTCGACAGAGCCTCTCGAAAGAGAGGTTCTCTGGCTATTTTGGATCCCTCAAACCCCAGCCCTACCATGATCCCAGCGCCTTGTCCAGGGGGGCGACTCCCAGCAGGTGAGGTGATTTAGTCTGAATAAACTGAGCTAGTTCGAGTTCGTCAACGCCTTCTAATGTCTAACATACTAATGTGTTGAGTCTTAGCATTCGATCAATAGCATGGAACCCTCTGGGTAATTTGATTGCCACTGGAGCTTCAGACAAGACCCTGCGTGTCTGTAGGTCCTCATATCTGATCCTCCCCTAGATAGGCATCCGGTTCATATCTAAAGGAAAAAGGAAAGCCCGATGCCAGGTCTGCCACTAATCACGTCCTCAATCGCATAGGGAACCCTGAGAAACCCAATGCCCGGTTCTCAACAGAACTCAAAGGCCACATGGCCTCAATACAGAAAGTCGCATTTAACCCTGTCAAGGACGCAGAGCTTTGCAGCGTCAGCGATGACGGGGTCGTCAAGTTCTGGGATGTCAGGACCAAGGCTTGTGTGAATGAGGTCAAGGGCCTGGGCGACGCTTTCACGTTGGTATGGGCGCCAGATGGCGAGTCATTAATCGTGGGGAATAAGAGCAACAACCTCTTCGTGCTCTCTCCAAACCAGTCAACTCCTCTCCCTTCTCATCAACAGGCGGTCCAAACGAACCAGGTAGCTTTCTGTTGGAGTGGAAAGAAAATATTTGTCACCACGGGCGAGGGGACGACGCGGATACTCTCATATCCGGACTTCGAACCAGTTTTGCGCCTAAACCACCCCATGGAAGAAGGCAAGTCGGATGAGTTCGTGCTAACTGGACACACCTCGTCCTGCGTTACGGCAGAGCTGCAACCAACGGGGCGCTATCTCGCTACTGGTGGAACCGACTCCATCATTGCTCTCTGGGACACCACGGACTGGCTCTGCCAGAGGACCGTTACCAGGATGCTTGGACCTGTGAGGAGCATCAGTAGGTTCTGTTCCGCAACCTCTTACACTCTACTCCCTCTGTGGATATACATGAGCAAGCTGATTAACCTGCCAGGCTTTACTTTCGATGGTAGCTTCGTAGTAGGGGGTAGCGACGAAGGTATCTCCCGCCACTTATACCCCTATCCTCTTGCCGATGCACAAGAGAAAAGGAGAGGTCGCTGACATTCATAATAGGTGCTGGACTGGAGGTCACTCATGCCGAAACCGGAGACCATGTTCACAGCTTTAAGACGGCTGGCCCATGTCCCGTCGTTGCGTGGGCACCTACAAGGTATTGCCTAGCATATAGTGATGTTGGAGGGTTACGCATCGTCGGTGTAGATGCGGGAGGGAAATACTGATGCATGGGTATTGGCACCTATTGTATTATCATACGACGGGATTTAGTGTATTTCATAGATAGCGGTCAACAACTACGACCCTCTTCGATAGGAGTGAAGCTGAAGTATGAAGGAGGTTGGGTGATACGTCTAATATTGGCAGCCGCCAGCCACCTGGTGTACACGCTGTCCACACAGTCATGCGATGTCATGAGCCGAGATCATCAGCACGGTGCAATTACACGCCGATCTTGGGGAGTGCGAGCTGCCGAGGCCGGGTCACAGACTCATGGAAGTGAGGCTGTGTACTGCGTAGGTATGTGCGCATTACCTGCCGTCTCCAAGAATGGAAGTTCGCCAGGAGCCGATGGCACGTCTAATAGTATAACCACTTCAGCGAATAAGAGTCGGTGACAAGCGAGAAACACAGACAGGCATGAAAAGCCAGGTGGTAGGAAAAGCACTGGAAGCCGTCTCGAGACCCTCGTTTCGGTTGGGTAGATACGAAAACAGTTGGTACCTCCAAGACTTCCATTGCATTCAGGTAAAGGTACGCATAGGGAGCAGAGATTAGGTACAGATGTGCACTCTCTGGAGATCAGATAAAAACGACTGATCCAGGTCGGTGGAAGCAGGCGGGTAAGGACACATGTTCTATTAATAATCCATTTTAATCCCGACAAGATGGGGTGCGTCACTGGTCATCCAATTGGCTTAACACGGCGGGTGACTGAAAAGTGGCGCCCGTAGGGCTAACATTGGCACCATACCACATCGAGGCTGGGCACTGTCGGGATCAGCGCCGTTTTGGCATTCTAGTTGGAGAGAATGCGATGACCGCAAAGAAGGATGAGCTTGAGATTTCGCTTGTGTACACAGTACGTAGCTTTTGGAGGGCGTTGCCTAAAAGGGGAAAGGGGTGGTAGTCTGCATGGTGAACCACGTTATCCCCAGTGCTGCCTCGTAACACAACCTTGTCCGCCATTGACTAATTCGAACATCAATCTTGCGCCTCGGCCTTATACTGCAACTTGGGATCCTGAACCTGAACCCCCCCATCTGAACTGATCTTCACCTGAGGATCTTGTGGGGCGCAACCTTACCTAGACATGCCCTTTTTTCTCACATGGCACCAACCAATTAACAATGACATTCTAGTGTAGATCCGAGCAGCTGAAAGGAAAATTGGGCGCTGCTCTTCGACGTCTAATCCACTTCGCTTACCCAACTATCGCGATCGAATTGACGACCAAGAGACATCGACGAGCAACTAGGACCATCATTGCACTGTTTGAGCAAGCCTGCTCTGCCTAGATATATCTCTACCTGTTACCCTGTCCGCAGCGCTGCCCGGCTCCAGGCCTCGCCCAAGCTCCCCCACCACCCACGTCGTTCTTCTTTCTTGCGCCCCCGATAGCCCGGCGCCGGGTCGGATTCGGGACCATCTGCCCGGTTCGATGTCGCGATCATCAGACGACGCCTCAGATACCATCATGGTCTCCGACCCCAACGCCCAAAGCCTGCCTGGCGGAGAGGCGGCACCAGCAGAGGGAGGCGGAGCGAACTCGAGCGTGCCGAAGCCGAAGCGCCTGGCGTGCGCGGTTTGTAGGAAGAGGAAGCTGAAGTGCGACGGCATCAGACCGAGTTGCAGCACTTGCTCGAGACTCGGACACAGCTGCTCATATGACGAGGTTCGGAAGAAGAGCGGCCCTAAGAGGGGATATGTGAAGGCGTTGGAGGAACGGCTGAGTATGCAAACCGCAGAAGCCCCCGTCAGTCGCCTTGTCAGGGCAACCCGCTAATACGATGCTTGTAGAGCAAGTCGAGACGCTCTTGAAGGGGCAGGATATCGGGGCGACGAGTCCCGACCCTTCTTCCAACTCGGCATCCATAGTCGCCGACGGGAAGGCGAAGCAGAACCAACATCCTGCCGCGACAGCAACTTTCACCGTCACGGATCCTTCGATTGGCATCGCCAGCGGAAGGGATATGGACCGGTGGCGCTTCAATGCCGACTCGCCCCAGAACGTACCGAGGGACGATTTCAACTTCAATGGTAACATGGCCATGAACATGAACGATATGGGCAGCAACTTCACTTGGGAGATGATCGGACTGGGTCTGGAAGAGCCCCTACCACCTCAAGAAACCATTGATGAGCTGTACGTTTTCTCTGATCTGGTGCCGGCCCGGACGATAATGAAGCTAACGACCGCCCTCAGCCACCAGATCTACTTTGAGAAGATACACGCGTCAGTGCCTATGATCCACAAATATAGGTATCTCACAGCCATGAACCTGTAAGTTTGCATATGACTTTTCTAGTGCTCGCTGCCTTTCCGCGCCAGTTCCGACTCTGACTGCAGTGGTAGGGCACCCGCTCAACGGCCGCCTGTCTGTCTGCGCTACGCCATGTGGACTTTGGCCTGCTCAGTCACCGACAAGTACCTTGACCTCAAGGACCTGTTTTATCAACGCGCTCGCAAGTATGTCGAGTCGGACTACATCAAGGGTTTTGGAGAGCAGATCATCTCCGTCGCCCACGCCCAGACGCACATCCTGCTCGCCTCGTACGAGTTCAAGATGATGTACTTTCCCCGCGCCTGGATGAGTACAGGTTCGGCGGTTCGGCTATCGCAGATGTAAGTAACCAACCTTACTCAATATGCGCTCCTGGGTTCTTGGTGGCCTCTTCCAGTCGCACCGTTTGGACCTTGTACTTATTTTCTTGCAGGATTGGTCTTCACCGGCTAGACAATGCCGGCCTTGACGTAAAACAGTGCCTGCCGGTGGCTCGGGACTGGACCGAGAGAGAAGAGCGGCGGCGAACTTTCTGGATGGCATTTTGCGAGGACCGATATGCGAGCATCGGCACCGGATGGGCTATGACGATCGATGAAAAGGACATACTGACGAACCTCCCCGTGTCCGATGAAGCCTTCGAGCTGAGTCGGCCGGAAGAGAACCAGTCTTTAGAGGAAGCCATGACTCACTCGGGAGCCGGGAAGCTGTCCTCATTTGGTAGTGTCGTACTTATGGCCTGTCTTTTCGGCCGGAATCTCATCCACTTGCACCGCCCAGACGCAGGGGACCGGGACCACGACCTCCAGGGCGAGTTCTGGAAGCGGCATCGGAACATGGATAACATCCTCCTCAACACGTCTCTGTGCCTTCCAGAGTCCCTCAAGGTCCCCGCCGGTCTTGGAGACCCCAACGCCATCTTCACCAACATGTGCATACACACGTCGACCATATGCCTACACCAAGCCGCCATCTTCAAGGCTGATAAGAACAAGTTGCCTGCCTCGGTGAGCGCCGAGAGCAAGATCCGCTGCATCAGTGCGGCGAACGAAATTGCGAGCGTGATGCGAATGATCTCACATGTGGACCTCGCAGCGGTGTGTACCCAAATCAAAAACCCCTTGGCTCGCCCAGGTTACACAGCTGACATGTTTTGCCTGCAGATGAATCCTTTTATTTCATTCTGCCTCTATGTTGCTGCTCGCGTTTTCGTTCAGTACCTCAAGAGCAGCCCCGACGACGGCCAGACCGCAGACTCCCTCCGATTCCTCCTATTAGCGATGAATGCGCTGAAGCGAAGGAATCCTCTTACCGAGTCTTTCCTTGTCCAGCTAGACGTCGATCTCGAAGCGCTCGGAACCCGCATACCCAAGCTCAAGTCTGCATTCCCTCGCAGCAGCGATAGCGTGAGTCATATATATAACATAAATATCTATCTATTATGATGGACCATCCATCAGAACGTAAGCTAACTAGACGAAGCCGAGCCCCAACCCGCATCCCGATCTGGCCCGAAAGGCGCCATGCGAAAATGTGCCGGGAGACTCTTCCCACGGGGTTAAGGGTATTATGGCTTTCCACAACGAACTCAATTTTGTGAAGAGATACGACGACGATAGCAATCCTGCCAACACGTCGGAGACGGCCGATGTCGGCCCTAGTCCCGGGGTCTCAAAGACCCCAAGCTCGAGCGGCTTGGGGTCGCAGACCTGGGCAACAGGCGACCAGGCGACGGCGTTGCCGACGGCCGACGGTGTAGGAGCCGGGCCGTACATGTCCATCCACAACCTGGTGCCCCTGAACGGCTTCGTCCAGGGTGACGTCGACAGCTCCAGCACCAACGACATGACGGGCGCCTCGCCGGACAAGGCCTCGAACCGCCCGACCCCCAACTCGAGCACGGCCTCGGAGCAGAGACACAGCCTGACGGCCGCCGCCGCTGCCCGCATGAACGGCTCCAGCCGGAACTCGTTCGAGGCGAGTCCCGTACCGTCGAACCAGAACCTCAACATGGCGGGTCCCGAGGTCGGGCAGCAACAGCAGCAGCAGGGTGTCAACGGGTTCTTCGGCGCGCCGCCGCCGGGTGGCCCCTTTGGCGGATTGCCGCCCGGAGTCGGCGCGGGGCTGGCGACGGACCACCAGCGCTTCTCGATGGCGGGGGAGGCGACCGTTGGCGGCGGTGGCGGCGGGTTCGTCGCCCCGCACGGCTGGGGCGACCTCTCCGGCCAGAGCGGCATGACCCCCGTCGCCGAGGGGGTCTTCCGGTCGATCATGACGATGGGGTCCATAGACACGATGGACTTGGGGTGGGAGACGAATCCCTGAAGCTTTACGGCATGAGAAATACTAGCTCTGCTCTTGTTCTACGTTTATGACTGGTGTTGGGTTGCTATATATGGTTCTGGGATATATGGGTATTTCTTGGATAAACGGTGGCAATTTCCGCCTACTCCTCTCCTCCCTTTCCCCTGTCATGAAGAGTTTTCTTCTCCCCCCCTCTTTTTGTTTGCATTTCCATGGTTGGAAATGAGGGTTCCTGGGAACATATTCTAATGGGAATATTCGTTTTCCTGTTTCATTTTTGGGGTTACAGAGCGGACTTGGGAGTTTCTCTTTATACAATCGGGGATGGACGTCCGCAGATGGTCTGCGAAGCATCTGAGGCTGCTGCCAAACAGTTGTATATACCTCCATTTCTTGGGACCGAAAAACGGCGGGCCATATGACGCTCTCACGGCAGTACAAGCAAATGGGGCTCAGGAATAACATCTAGGGTTGGGAAGGCTAGTCATGGTAGCTATGTCAGATGACGAATTCGATATAGATGCATTTATTTTACTGCAGCAACGGCAAACCTGCCGTATCTGTCTGTCGGTAAAGCTGCATCGCAATGGGGCGGGCAACCACGCAGAGAGAGACCAGCATATCAAAACCCACTGGTACCCTCCTCAGGAACAACTCATAACTCCCTAGATAGTCAGACATAGCTAGGCAGAGCCATCCCATGCATGCTTATGGTTGTGCCCCCTTTTCCAGACTGTTCATCCCTGGCATTATTACCCCTGGCACCCAAACGCCATAATTACCCCCTTTGACTATCAAACGGCTGACATGTCAACGCCGCTCCCTTTGGGGCCAAAGATTTTTTGACCCACCACAGCCTAGAAAGCCCTAGATAGGCATGCATGCCATCGTGGCAGCTGCGAAAAAGGAACAGGCAGATCCTCTCAAGGGGTGCAAATCCAATATACCTTCCCAACCCAATCCAGCCTTGCCAGGAACCTGAGGCGAACAGGCAGTGCCAATAGCACCCCCCTGTTCCGCGCCCAACAGAAATCCCCCCAAAAAATAACCAAAGCATTCACCCCCTTTTGTCACCATTGTCTCAAGGCCATATGGTCAGCTGCATAGCGGGACCCCGCTCCGACTCCCCAAAGATGGTCGAGTACCTATCCTTCCACTGGACGCTCAGGTTCGGCGGCGCAGGCTCGGGGTCGGCGGTGCGCCCGTAGGCGTTGCGCCTGCGCATGGCGAGGTTCCAGGCGAACGGCGACTGCGCCGTGCCCGTCATGAGGCCCGCGCGCAGCATGACCTCGTAGTCGACGAGGGCGCGCTGGTCGTAGGCGAGCTGGTCCAGTGCGGCCGCGTCGTTGGGGTCCGTCAGCAGGTCGAGCTTCGACACCGTCGTCACGTTGAACTCGCGCGCCCGCTCCGTGAACGCGGTGACATTCTCGGGCGAGGCTCCCGTCGCCAGGAACGCCACCGCCGCCCCCGACTTGACCACGTAGTCGAGGTAGTAGGCCGCCTGCGTCTCGTAGGGCGGGAAGTTGGACCCGGCGTCCTTCTCGGTGCGCAGGTGCACGCCGACGAAGCTGTCCGAGGCGCCCATGCCGTCGCGCGGGTCGAGGCGCAGCCCGAACCGCTTCTGCATGCCGAATAGCACGGCGGCGGCGAGGCGGCGCGCGTCGTGCCGGATGCGCAGGATCCGCCCAAAGTGCCGGGCGAAGTGCTCGCCGTCCGACACGGTCGGCCACACGAAGTAGGTTGCCGCCAGGTTGAACCGCACCGGGTGCTTCCGCTCCCGAGGTGGCGACAGAGTGTTCACGTAGCTTTGGAGATGGAAACCGACCTGGTGGGGCTCCGTGAGGATGCCGAGGTTGTCGATGCGGATGCCGACTTCTTGGATGGCGAGCTTCTGGGCGGTAAGCACGCTGGGGACCTCCCAGAGGTCGTTGAGCGACCTGTGTAGCTTCATCTGCGGGCAGTATGTCGCGAGAGAGTGGTTCAGGTGTTCGGCGTCGAAGAAATAGTCGAGCGAGACGCCTCGCTGCGGAGCCTTGGCGTGGGGGGTCACCTTGGATATGTCGTGCTCGCTGCGCTTGATGATGCCGGGGATGATGAGTTCGGCTAGTAAGGGGGAGGTCAGTCGGAAGCCCATGATGGAAGGAGGAATGGGACGGGAAGTAGGTATGTTAGAGGGAGGCGCTCCTACCTCCCAGCTCTATGGCAAAGCGGATGCAGTTAAGGTGGGCATTCTTGACATTGCCCACTCCGCCGGGGGGTGATTCACACGACAGGATCAGGTCCTTCGACCATTGCTTGCTCCTGCAGAGCTCTGAGATGCTGGAGCCGTCGAACTCGCCGTCAATCTCATGCTCGAGGAAGTCGGAGATGAAGAGTTTCTTCTCGTCCTGGAACTTGCGGATGACCTCGCTGTAAGCCGACGACGAGTTAATGAAGTAGGTGGAAAACCAGAAAATCGCAATAATCGGGATTGTGAATTTCAACCAGTTGAACAGGCGGGACGAGGCAAGCATTGTGGGTGTCGGTGACTGCTTCAGCAGCCCAGCATGGATGGTATTGAAGAGAGAATAAGCAAGCAACGGCAGATACGCAGAGGTAAAAATACGTTCTTGTTGGCAAATCGATCAGTGAAGACGTCTGCCCAAACACAAAGCTATGCTGGGAGGATCGAAGATGGGAAGGAAAATAGGGATACAGTCATCGCCAATAATGCCAGCCCATGGTGGTGTAGTAATGTGGTTCAAGGGAGAGAGGCCATCGGCAGAGCTGTTGCTCCGTGTTGGACTAGGGGGATAAGCCACTTTAGCGGAAATCCAGGTGGTGCTTCAGCCACTCTCGGAATGGTCTTGATCAACTATCCGTACCTACCTAACCTACCACCTACAATTGGCTTGAGCTTCAACAAGACGCCCATTGTGCGCAGCGATCGCGTTGTAAGGCTCAAGGAGGAAGTCTCGATGTGCAGGAGGATGGTTGGGAAAATATCCATGCAAAATGGCCTGGCTGAAGGTTGAGCTCCTCTTACCCGGCCATCGGTACCTCAAGCGAGTAGGGGAGGGAGTGTGACGTGGAGTGGCCAATTAGACCAATAGGGGCACTGCACCACAGTATTTCGGTATTTGCTCGGGCATCCGTAGACCATCTCGAATTCGGAAGTAGAAGCAGATGCATGAAGAAAATCCATGCTCACCGTCCTTTCATCACAGCTCCAAGATGAAGATGGCCGGCCTTATTACTACTAGACTAGCTAGCCAGATTAGGGCTGCCCCTGTGCTGGCTGGTCTTGGTATGGACTCTGGATTTTGTTGAGCGCTTTTCGGTGTCCATATAATCATACCTAGGCATCGCAAGGTGAAGGAAGCCAATACCTCCTTACAGATCCCTCTAGCAGATGCCTCTAGCAGACCCCTTCGGACAGATTCTCTTGGACAAATCCTCTGTGACGAGCTGTCGAAGATGCCCGTGGCATCTATATCACATCTCGTCTTCCGCATCTGAATGCCCAGGTCAGTAGCACATATCCCAAGGACGCACCCCAGAGACCCGCCGGTTCCGGTTGCTGCCCCACGATAAACTAGGTACAGTAGAGCTTCTGAGCCCTAATAATGATCCCTGTATCATATCTTCATGCTTCCAGGAAGGCCTGGAGAGAGTAATAAAGATCCTCGTCAAATGCGGAAACTACTTTTTAGTTCGCTAATTAGCGCGTCGTGTTGACGCGACATGGACACGTAAAAGCGCGTGTCGCCCTCTGAACATTAAGGATGCGACCACCCCTCTTCTTGAGTCAAGACTGCCAGGCTCCGAGGCATCCAAAGCTACCAAAATTGAGCAAGAAGAGGTATATGGGATCTGAGGGACATTGCCCAATTTCTCCCATTTCAATTCCTGCCAGCAACCTACGTCTTGATAACTGTTCACACTCTCTGTTCCCTCCTCGGAGTGGTCGCACGGTTTAACCATCCCACATCCCACATCCGACTTACCGCCAGTTCCGCCGCTTCCCAGCCTCCGCACTTTTTCCGCGACGAAGCGAATCCCAACCGATCGAATCAACCCAGCGCACGGCCGCGGCAGGACACATCTCTCTCCTCTATCTCTCTCGCACTCTACGCAAATCACTGTCGTATCCCTTAGACAAGCAGCTGCCCCCCCGCCTCGTCGACTCCACTTGAACTGGGAGAGCAAGGCCGCCAGAGCATCCTACTCGCGCTCTGCCCTGCGTCAAGCGTCGGGGCTATCTGCAGCTTGCATTTGAGAGCGCCGTTGGGCCAGAGGCTAAGGACCACATCCATCCACTACCATCGCCCTCCACAGGTCCAGAAAGTGCGCCGCCTCCGCCTCGATTCCGGGATCCAGCCTATCGCCCCTCGCCCCCTCCCAGACGCGTCGCTGGCCCAATCGACAAACGCTGCATGTGCATGCCAGACGTGTCGGCTACTGGTAGCCTGCAACGCCTGCAACACCACTGGGGAACTGCATATGAGCTTGCAGCCTCCAGAACCTGTCCACGATAGCCTGCAGCACCACTAGCAGTGGTTCGTAGCTTCATTGGGCCTCCAGGAACCAAACTCTGGAGCTTCATCAGGGTCCCCCTGCTGTGTTGAGCTGTTGTCGAGCAAGCACTACTGCTCCCCTCGTCACTACCACAGTAGCTCTTGGTGGGGTGCTTGACTGGTGGAGCCAATTGCACCTCGCTTCGAAGCCCGGCCCTCTTTAGCCATCACACCCTGTGCGCCTGTTTGCCTGTTCGCGCCACCTGTGCGCCGTTCCCTCCTCACCGGGTTTCCTCTGCTGTCGACTTGCTTCCCAGCCCAATTCACCTTACCTATTCCCTCATCTTCTTGCCCTACTACATAATTGTGCACCTCCTCATTTTCGCCAGAATTTCCCCAATTACCGAACCCAGTCATTCTTTTGCCCCATTCGCAGTTCGCTGTCGTCGCTCTCGGGCCTCGTGGTGGTTGTAGATCCGCCCTTACACTACTACTATCACGACTGGGAAGAGACGACGACGTGACGATTCTCTTTTTACGACCTCGACACACGACACACGACACGACGACCCTTCTTTCCCCCTTCCCATCACACCTTCTTGGACCGAATTAAGACATCACCGTACCATACCGTCTAACGGTTTTTTCCTTTTGGCTCAATTCACTTCTACCTTCCACCAGCAGTTATTCACCTTACTTTCTTCACTCACATACCGGTTCACCGTATCCAGCCATCCGACTTTTTGGACTCGTCAGGTGCTTCTCAGGACTTACAACGAAGATTCGAGAATAACCGACAAACTTCAAGGTTCCTTGGCCCCATCTTAGACATTGCATAACTAGCCTGCGCAGTTAATTGATGCACTGAATCACCCTGTGATCGTGATCGACACTGCGCAGCTTGCTGGTGGCGACCAAGCTTGCTACGGCTTCACCAACATCAATCAGCTGAGACCTCCAAGAGGGAAACCCGGCTTCACCCCTTGCTTCAATTGTCGCTGGGAATCTTCATGACGCGACAGCATTCCACACAACACGCTTCGCTGTCTGGTCAACATGAGTCAGCATTCCAGTTCGGCCACCCTTCCAAGGGGGTTCAGATTTGCTGCTGTAAAGACCCCCGAGCCCTTTGACAACAATGACGAGACTCAGATCCCATCTCCACCAAGGCCCCGCCTGAAATTGAAGCGGCGTCATGTCTCCCATCACCTCTCGGCCCCAACCCAGCAATTTCTAGCCTCCGTGGCCGCTGCCGACATTCCCATACCAAGCATTGAGGAACCCGAGACTAGACCTGGAGATTGCAACAAGGGCGAAATGCAACTCATCTCCACCATTGAGCCTGTTCAGGATGAGAACTACACTCATCTCCTTGCTCCCCGAGGACGAACATTCTCTCCGCCAAAGACTCCTGCCCCTCGCTTGGTGCCATCTCTTTCACCCCCGAGATATCCCAACTGGACCATCGACTCGGCCATCAGCAGCAGCAGCATCGAGTCAACTCCCGACTGCGAGTCGAGTAGGCCATCCACTTCGAGGTCTACCCAAACAAGCGGCTCCTTGTTCAGTCGCCTGTCTCATCTTTCCGACGACGACTGCGCGAGTCCCGAGTTCCACAGTGACGAGAAATTCGTCCTCCGGGATGAGCATGGCCGGTCTGGAGCCCCGTTCGTACCGAATACTAAGCCGAGGAAAGCGCCATGGACCAAGGCAATGAGCACTCATCTGTGGTCCACCTACGTCTTATATCTGCAAGACCCCAAGGTCACGCCTTTCCGCATTGGTACGAGTTGCATCCCGCCGCACGGTGTCCTTCTCCGCGTTGCTAGAGAAGCGAAGCGTAGTTGGAAAGGATCCAAGGCCCTGAAGAAGGCCGTCAACCCGGGCGATGGCAAGAAGAGCGGGAGTAGCACTCCGACTGCGGAGAGCTCGGGCGCGTATATGGAATGGCCACATACATGTGCTACCACTCGCGGCCATCTTCGCGAACTCTGCAAGATCAAGGCTGCCTCGGGGGCACGAAATCTTCGCTCCGTGTCCCGTAGCCCGGCTCCGTTTACCCAGGCCGCCGCACGGCATTGGAACAGACGGTCCACACCCGCCGCATGCTCTCCATCGCCGTTCGCGACTCAGGACATCTCCATGTCTCTTGCACTGAGCACATCCGAGACAATGCAACCGAACGGCCCTCTAGCCCAGCTCACAAGCTCATCTTCGGAACTTCCCACCGAGCCGCCATCGACTCTCCTGCCAGAAGTGGCCACCTCGTCTGACGCCGCGCCCGGGCTTTTGCTTGGTAACTTTGACGGAGAACCATCCTTCGCAGAGCGGCGACGACTAGGCTCTCCCTTTGGCGCGAAGAGTTATGGACCAAGCTCGTCTAGCTCCCTTTCGGCTGCTCTTGGCCTGAGCATGCCCCTGCCACGCAGACAGACCCACACAGTGGGCCCCAGGCGGACTCTCCAGTCCCCAGTTCGGCTGAGTCGGTCAAGCACTCAGAGGAGGAGAAATACCCAATCTGGCGTGCCGCGCAAGCGACCCAGCCTGGTATCGGACATCTGGCTGGATCCCAACGCCAACAACAGTGGCCCCCAAGTCGGAGGCGCGCCAGCGGCCGAACCGAACTTCCCAATGCCTTCCCGCCTGGACCTCGACGAGCTCTTCATTCCAAGGGCCGCTCCCAGCCAACCTTTCCTGGCATCTTCGGCCAGCATGCCGGATGTCGGGGCACAGCTAGCGCCGCCTCTCGGCCCCCCTCCGAGGCTAGGCTCTCCGTTTTCAGGTTCCAACTCGAGTTTCAGTTTCCCCCGCCGCATGCACCGGCACCATCCGGAGAGCGTGGATTTGGGTATGCTTGGCCGTCCTTTTGCGACGGTCCAGCATGCAACAGAGACCACCGCTGGCCCCGCACGGACGACCTTGACGGACCGCTTGGCGTACATTGACCAACGTCTGAAAGAATTCAGGAGTCGCGATGCCCGCCGTCGATCCGGGTCCCCGTTGTAATTTTATCACGATCACCACCTGTTCCTCATCAGGAAACAACCCTTCTCCTTGTATATGTCCATTGTTTTAGCACGACGCATTTACGACCTTCACGATGATTTTTCCCAGTTTCACCATTCGGCTGCTACCTTGATTTCGAAAGAGGATGGAAATACCCACCTGAACAGGATGGATATATAGACAGTCTGGAGGGAAGCTACTTTGATTTTGCATTCTCGATCCAGATTGTTCATTTCTCAGGGGGACGAAGTCTGTTGTTTGGAGGACATTTGACGGCGGGTTTCGAAGTAGGGACATGGGTAGGGGGTTATTCTCATTTGTCACGGCCGGTCTCTGGATGAAAAGGAAATTGACGACGCAATGAATATGAAACGGTTATGTTGGATCGATCCCGTTTGCTCTTTACACGGATCTGGTGTATGGGGAGTCTAGCTTGAGAAGCATCGGGCAGACTTTGCTTTCAAATGGCTCTGAAATAGAGGCGGGGAGTTTGGTCTCGAGGACAAAAGTCTAGGATCATTACGAGTCATGACATAGTACAGGGCCATTGAAGAGTACATACATAGTGTTTTATAGACTTGAATGGCAGAGAGGTGCGATCACACCAAAAAGGTTGTTCATTAATACGTGCTGCCCACCTCTCCAGGTTACTTGTATAAGATGTGCCGTTATTCCCCGATCGATCTGCAAGTTAGTGGCCAATCACATGCCATTTGGCAGCTGGGAACCAAGCTTGGCCAGTTGGCTAAACTTCGCGCCTCGAGTTCGTCGCGTGTGCCCATCAACGACACCTCGTCTCTGACTTCTATGCCTTTACCGTCACCATGTTGGCACGCTACGGGGGGAGCCGAGGACACCTCGTATCCCTTGTGACCTTGGCCCTCCTGTTGCTTCTTTTCAGCGGCCAGGTCCAGGCTTCAATTGGAGATCGGCTTCCGGAGTTCCGGAAATGTGTTCAGGTTTGTCATATCCTGTCTAGACGCAGTGCGACTATAGCACCTTGTTTCCGAAAACTGACCGCCATCGACTTCCTTTTAGATATGTGAGCAAGAGAACTGCGGCCCCGACGGGGAGCACACCACGCCCATCCGTAAGCCCGGCTCCTCCCCCCTAACCCAAACACTTCTTGCCCTGGCTCGACCTGTCGCTTGAGAGAACCAACCCCCCCGCCATACACCCGCCGCCCTCGTACAATGCTCACCGTCCCGCCTAGCTCTCCTCCACCGCCTCCTACTCTGGACCTGCCCAGCCGAGTGCGACTACACGTGCCAGCACATCATCACGGAGCGGCGGCTGGCGGCGGACCCGCCGGAGCCTGTGGTGCAGTTCCACGGCAAGTGGCCCTTCCACCGGTTCCTGGGCATGCAGGAGCCCTTCTCGGTCCTCTGCTCGGTGGGCAACCTGTGGGCCCATTACCACGGCCTCCACAAGCGGGTCCTGACCACGATGCCGGCCTCGTACCCGCTACGCCCCTACTACGTGGCCCTAGCGCGCATCGGCATGGCGAGCTGGTTCTTCAGCTCCGTCTTCCACACCCGCGACTTCCCGCTGACCGAGAAGCTCGACTACCTCGGCGCGGGCGCCTCCGTCATGTACGGCCTCTACTACACCGTCGTGCGCGTGTTCCGGCTGCACGACCGCCACGCCGCCGGCCGCCCCCGCCACCCGACCTCCTCCTCCTCCTCCTCCTCCTCCTCCTCCACCGCGTCCCGCCTCGCACTCCCGGCCTGGACGGCCCTCTGCCTGGCCCTATACGCCGCCCACGCCGGCTACCTCCTCCTCGTGCGCTGGGACTACGGCTACAACATGGCCGCCAACGTGGCCTGCGGCGTCGCGCAGCACGCCCTCTGGGCCCGCTTCAGCTGGCGCCGCTACCGCGACACCCGCCACGCCTGGGCCACCTGGCCCGCCGCCGTCGTCGCCTGGGTCGTCGCCGCCATGAGCCTCGAGCTGCTCGACTTCCCCCCGCTGTGGGGCATCTTCGACGCCCACGGCCTGTGGCACTTGGGCACCATCGCCCCGGCTGTGCTGTGGTATAAGTGGGTTTTCACCTTTTCTTCTCTCTTGTCTTCCTTTTTCCTTTCCCTTTGAGCGCGTCCCCCCCTTTTAATCGGCTGCTCTCTCCGCATGCAAGAAATACGTGGTGTAGCCGGACGGAGAGGCTTGAGGAGGAAGGGGTGGGTTGATGATGGATGTGCCCTTGACGGGGTGATTGATACGTAGCTCCTATCGGTTAATTAACCTAAAGCAATATCGGTCTGCAAACTAACAGTATGTTCAAAATAGTTTCCTTGTTAAAGATGCGCAGGAAGACATGGCGAACAGCGAGAGGCTGAAGGCTTGAAAGGGGTGTCGGTCGGGAAACACACAAGAGGGCGGCCGGGATCATACCTGGAGGTGGCATTGGCTGCATCTGCAGCTTATGTGCCCTGTTTTCGATGGCCGTGGTGGGAAAACCTAGCAATGGTAGTCATGTATAATATACAGGTAGAATCCTCTTGAGAACGGACGCAGCAGCCTGGCTGCTCAGGACGGATGTGGGAGGTCCCGGGTGAGAATAGAATATTATCACATCGGTAAGGAGAGGACCCTTTTTGAAGACGACACCTCGGCTTCCAGTATCCTAGGTCCTTCGTACTCGGAGTCTTATATATTGGTAGCCAGTATTATACCAACTGGACAACTCGACTCCATTTGCGGCCACGGAAGCAATCAAGACATCCGAAAGTCACAGAAACCGAGATACAGAAAGAGTTATGCATATCTGCTTGATTAACTAACTACACTGATGATACCTTGCCAAGCTCTTGTGACCAAACCGGTCACTTAGTACGCTATATCGTGTCATAAACTACCCGGCAAGAGCCTTCCTTGCTTTTCCAGACCCCCGTCAACGACGGCAAAGTGTAACTAGGAATTATCCACCAATGACCCAAAGCAAGCAGTCCTAAACACTGGCATTTTTATCGTGTGAACTTGGCCACTAACCCATCCTGGTGCCCCCCACGTGATGACATGCCATCACGTCGCAATAGAGCCTCTCAGACCCTCCCAAATCAACCCGGTATGGGGCCAATCAGTCATCGTCGCCGAGGCCCGAGACATTCGGACCGGTCCGCTCCAGGCTCGAGCGCAGGAGGGCAAGCATCCCCTGCCTCTTGGACCGCTTCTGCTGGACCGCCTTCCTCTCCTCCTCGCTGTACATGCTCATCTTCTTCCGCGGCGGCGTGGCCCGGGCTCCGCCGTACGACGACGGGAGCGAGCTGCGCATCGCCTCGGGCGAGAGCATCATCGACCTCCTCTGCGGCGTGACGAAGGGCGACCCTTCGCGGCTGCGGGGTCCCGGGCTGTTGCTATTATTGTTACCGAGCCCGACCGAGCCGAGGCGCAGTTTCCGCATCTGATTTTCCAGCACGTCGATGTCGCCGCTTCGCTTCTCCGCCATGCTCGTCATTTTGTTGATGGTGCGTATGACCGCCTCGACCGTCGGCACATTGGCCCTGCCAGCGGCACCGCTGGCGGAGGCGATCTTGGCTTTCAGCAGGGTGAGGTTCTGCTCCGCCTCGGAGAGCAGCTTCGAGAAGCTGGCGTACGCCCTGCGGAGCTCATTCTGCTGCGTTGCCTGCTCGGCGCTTAGGGGAAGCGACTTTGTGACGGCGATCTGGCCGGGATCGATGTGCGACATGATGAGCCTCCGCATATCTTCCTCCTTTGCCCGGAGCTTGGACAGGTCCCGAGAGATGGCTCGAATGGCCTCTTCTACCGCATCAACGTCCTGGACTCGGCCTTCCTCGAGTTCGCGGGCCAGTTCCCCTTCCACAAGCACGGCCAGATCCTCGGCTTCCACGATCACCCAATCGGCCGGGTCTTCCAGATCTTCCTTAGTACGGCCATGGTCCACTTCGCCACGGCTATGGCCTTTGATGAAGCCTTGGAGCGAGCGTGAGTTTAGGCCCAGATGATCAACCATGCGATTTATGTCGCGCCATAGCGACTCGCAGCCAGCCTCGATGTCTCCGCCCAAGCCCGACGGGAGGTGAGAATCGACGGCGACAAATTCATTCAGCTCAGTGGTCGGCTCGACCTTTGAATGCAGAATCTGCTGTATGCCCTCGTCTTCCGGATCCACCAGGACCTGGGCCGCTTCAGCGTCTCTCTTGGCTTGCAGTCTGCGCTGCTGCTCCACATTGGGATCCGCAGTCAGGCTCGACCCGCTGGCCCTACCGAACACGGATTGGCCCTGTTGCTGGGGTCCCTTCCTGCCCAGAATCTGCGAAGCTATACCGGGAGCACTGACAGAACGGGATTGCTCCGGTCTGAAGAGGCTTGGCGGTATGGCATTGCGAACCGGGCTCGGAGATCGGGGGCTAGGAGGCACAGGCTTTGGGAACAAGGGCGGTGCATTCCGACTTACCTCGCCAAAGAGAGGGCGAGGCACGTCCGGCTCAGCACGGGAAAACGATGAGAATGTGCTTCCTCCCATCCCAGCAAAGGAGCTCTGAGGAGTGAAGCCAGGTGTGTGAGCCCCGGGGCCATTGGTTGTGGGGCTGAAGTCCTTAGCAACGTCGACGCCGCTCCCTTCGCTTCCTACCTCAGTGCCCTGCTCCTCATCCTCCTCTCCCTCTCCCTCCTCCTCCTCTTCATCCTCTTCCTCATCTTCTTCGTCATTTTCCTCCGAGTCTGAACTCTCAGGGACAGCAGGGACGGGGGCTGGCGAATTGCGCGACGACAGGCGAGTCGGAACGAAGTCGGGTGGTAAAGGTGCTTCCTCTGGAACTTCCGGAACGTCTTCTGGCTTGGGAGGTTCGGCCTTCGCCTTGGAACGGCCGAGGGACGGGTCCGGAGGTAGGGGCGCGTCCTCGGCCACATTAACTTGCTCAGCGCGAATCTCCGACGCGGGAGGTTTGCTAACGAAGTCCGGAGGCAAGGGAGCATCGTCAACGACCTGGGGTAGTGTCTTGGAGACTGTTAACGGTGAGAATGCTGATCCTGTAGATGATGACGAGGAATCACCAAGTGGGTAAGCCGCCTTACTGGTTGTGTCAGGGGGCAGAGGAGCCTCAGGGATGTTGGCCAGGTTCTCCTTGTCCCCTTCCTCTTCCTCCTTGATTTTTGGGCTCTCAACCGGCGTCTGTAGCTTTGGAGACTCCGTTGCGGTGGGTTTTGCGGCGCCGAACAGTCCGCCAAATCCGCTAGTTGAAGCCTTGACGCCGAAGATACCAGAACCAGTGGACGGTCCCGCTGTCGGGAAACGGAATTTTTGCGGGGCAGGAGTGGTAGTTGGCGTCGTGGATTCGACGCTGAATATGGACTTCGGTTTCGCCTCCACGCGTGCAGGGGTAGTAGCAGCATCCATATCCTCGTCCTTCCTCTCGATGGAAGGGGCCGGCTTCGACGCATCGCCCAGTGATAGCCCAAAGCCATTTCCAAATAAGGATCCTCCGCCTCCAGGCTTAGGTCGCTCGTTATCATTAGCAGTCTTCGGGTCAGCTTTAAAAGTGGTGCCGAGAACGAAAGGGCTTGACCCAAAAGCAGATGCGCTTTCAGGTTTAGGGGCAGGGCGGAAAGCCGTGTCTGCATCCATGGAGACTTCAGGAGTAGAGGTGAACCCCCCAGACGGTTTCCCAAAAACACTCTGTGCATTGTTATTTGCTCCGATGGACGCGAACCCGGCCTTTTTCGCAAAGCCTGCGAAGCCTCCAGAGGCTTGTTGAGAGCCGGCGGAGGGAGTTCCGAATACTTTGCCGGTATTCGCATTGTTAGGTGAGGCAAATCCCGACTGACCGAATCCTGGGGTCACAGTGGCAGTTGAACCGGTTGCCCAAGGAGAAGGCCTCGTTCCCAAACCGCCGCCCATGCCCATGCCCATGGACGACGACTGGCCAAAGGCAGGGGCAGCAGGTTTGGTTCCAAATGTAGACAGCCCAAGCGATGGAGATCCGAACTTCGGGGCACTGGCAGCAGGGGTAGCACCAAATGTGCTCGAACCGAATGCCGACGTAGGGGTGCTCGCAGCCGGTTCAGCTGACCAGGGAGAAGACTTCGCTCCAAGAACAGAAGGCCCGCCAAAGGCTGAAGTGCGAGATGCAGGTGTGCCGAATGCCGCGGGCGCAGGGCTGGAAGATGCTGCAGGCTGCGAAGCTGCCGAACTCTCTACCGCAGTAAGCCCCGGATATGTTGTTCCTGAGCGGATTGACTCGTTATAAACAAGCCACCAGGATGCCAGCACACCTTCGTTGTTGAGAGCCCACAGTCCTGGGAGAGGACCTGGGGACTGTTCAATCTCGTCAGTCGGGATTGGCTTATAGACCCTATCCTTGCTTGACAAGTCCAGGGCAGCTCCGATGGCATAGGTGTCCATCAGATCCTCGCTCATAGGGAGCTGTGCCCGCCTTGAATCGTCGGCTAGTTCAGTAGTTGTGAAGACATTTGTGATCTTCTCCGCGGGCTTCCCAGGATCCAAGGGTGACTTTGACCGAGAGAACAAGCCGATGCTGTCCGTTGCGGTAGAAGATACGATCAGGAGATCGTCAAGATTAGGGGGAAACCCTCGCAACCTAAGGACGGAATGGTGAGGAAGCTTGTCGGAACCGAATGGCTCGACTGGATCTGCGAGCTTCTGGAAAACGAAGGAAGGTGGTGTTCCTCCAGCAGGTTGTTGTCTGGTGATTATATGATAGACCGAAGGTTCTTGCCCATTCGTTGCATTGTGGACCACAAGGAAAACGTTGTTCTCAAGCCATGTGACGGACGCAACATGGTAATCGCCCAAGCTTGGTGGCTTGGGAATATGGCCCTTCTCGGTGCCGTCTGGGGTCATCTGATAAACAGAACCGTCTGCGCCGCCTGCAACAAGTTGCTTGCCTTTGTTACTCCAGGCCGCGCAAGTAACTTGACTGCGGAGAGTCGCTCCGTTCGCTCCTGGAACAAGCGTCCGCTCTTGCAGACTTGCCATCATGAGATTCCCGTTATTCGTCACTACCGCGCAGAACCCCGATAGCTCTGGCATCGGGTTGGGGACAAGGTGCCGCAATGTTTCGCTATTCGTGCTAAGCTCGAATGCAGCCTGGGTTGAGCCCTGAGTCAGAGACTGTACGTCATAGACGGCAAGTCCACCACCAGTCTCGGCCGATAAGATGAGGTACTGTTCGTCGACAGTGAAAGCGAGTTGTGATATTCGGATCGGAAGAGGGAGCTTCGCTTGTGGCTCAAACGGCCGAACTTCGCTATCGCCATTCTTCTGAGCCTCGAAGGCCTTTCGGACAGATTCTGTAGTAGCAATGTGGACGGCATCTGGACCGGCAGCGGCGACAAGTCCCTTTCGAGAAGCTATGCTGAGGAGGGATGCGGTCACTGCAGGCGGAGGAGACCACTTTGTTGTCAACTGGACTTTGGCATCGCCAGAAATGGCGAGGAACCCGAGACGCTAGAAGCCCGAAGTTAAGCGGTTACAAATCAGTACAAGTAAAGATGTACTCAAGGCGTGGAGATGGTAGCTAGGAATTCAACCCACCTCGGTCTGAATAACTTCAAGGTCGGCACCTTGGTTAAGTCCTCCTGCCCCACCGGCGGCACCGCCGGTCATGGCGCTGGGAGTGTTTCCAAAGCTGTTGAAGGCCATGACTGACGCGAAGTAGCCGCCTTTGAGGAGAGGACCCGATGTTCACAAGGCAGCCTTTCGCATCGGTAGGTGCCTCGAGCTTGGAAAAGGAATTTGCTCAGCAGTGGTGGCTTTGGAGGCAAAACTCGGATCCGCAGGATGTCTCGTCAGAGGAATAGAGGTCAAGTTAGAGCTCTGAACAAATTCGAAATCTTGGGAAAGCTCGAAAGCTCTGGAGAAGTTACGATCGAATTCCTTTGTGGTCAGTTGGCAAGCTCAGAGAAGGCAGCTCGCGCAGGCAAACAGGTTGATGACTAAGGTATTTTTTCTAGTCCCATGCTCCAATTGGATGCCCTCATGTTGACACCCCTCAACGGTGCGTGGTCACGTGGCTGGAGACATTCACCATATCGCCAAGTCACATGTCATTCCAGGGCGGCTTCTCAACTCCATCCAATGTCTTGTTGGCGACAACGAGGCGTTCCGGCTCTTGTAATTATGGACCATAGCCTCATTCCTGCCCTCCATGAGCTCAAAGTGGCATTACGCAAGTAGATGGATTGGTGTATAAGTTAAAGGATGAGTATAAATGCTTATAGCGATATTGCCTAACTATTCGGACAAAAGTATACTATGCAGTAATCACGTATAGGAACTTGGGCCAAATTTCCCCTGGTCCAATTACAGGCATGAAGACCGGGTGCATTGCAGCCTTGCTTTAGCGCGTTCTTGCTTCAGCTAGGTAGCTACTGGCCTCCTGGAAGGCAGCTTTTAGCCTCGTCATCAGCTCTCCCAACCAACAGAAAGTGAACCAAACGATCCTACCGCCCAACTTCACCCGCAAGAGTTAATTATCACCGCAGCTGCATAGACTCACGATAATTGACAAGTTATTCCAAGATTTGATCGAGCACCCGGCTTCCCAACCATGCCGGGCTTCGACTTCTCAAACTACAACCGCAATGCGGCGCTTCACGCCCGCGGCGTGCCTCTGCCCAAGGCGACCAGCACAGGAACAACGATTGTGGGGTGTATATATGACGGCGGTGTCGTGGTATGTCGTTCCCCTGATACAGCCCTCGAAACCCCTCCCTTCTCTCTCCCCTTCTAACTCCTTACTCTCCCAGATTGCCGCCGACACCAGGGCAACGTCGGGCCCGATCGTGGCCGACAAGAACTGCGAGAAGCTCCACTACATCGCGCCCAACATCTGGTGCGCGGGCGCAGGCACTGCGGCGGACACGGAGTTCACCACGGCGCTCATCTCGTCGCAGCTGGAGCTGCACTCCCTCTCGGCGGGCCGCAAGCCGCGTGTCGTCACCTGCATGACCCTCCTGAAGCAGCACCTGTTCCGGTACCAGGGCCACATCGGTGCCTACCTCGTGGTGGCGGGCGTCGACCCGACCGGCACCCACCTCTTCACCGTACACGCCCACGGCTCGACCGACAAGCTGCCCTACGTGACCATGGGCTCCGGCTCGCTGGCCGCCATGTCCGTGTTCGAAACGCAGTGGAAGCCGCAGATGACGCGCGACGAGGCCGTCGCCCTGTGCTCCGAGGCCATCAAGTCGGGAATCTTCAACGACCTCGGCTCCGGCAGCAACGTCGACGTCGCCATCATCACGCCCGAAAAGACCTACCTGCGCCGCAACTACATCCGCCCCAACGAGAGGGCCCGCAAGCTCGGCAACTACGTCTTCCCCAAGGGCACCACCGCCGTCCTGAACGAGAAGATCATCCGCAAGGGCGACATCGGCAACTTTGTCAGCGTGCACGAGCTGCCTGCCACCGAGGTTGTTGGGGGCGATAAGATGGAGGTCGATACGTAGGTGGGGTGAGAGAAGAAAAGAAGACGAGGCCACCGGGGGAGGGGGGGAGGGAAGGATGGGGGGAGAGAGGAGTCTGATAGGGAAGACGGTTTTTGGAGCAATAACCCATGAGCCGCGCTGTAATAACACTGTCTGAAATTTCCCCCAAGCCATAAAGCCTCTCCTCCGCATGTCAGTCTGGAACCCTTTGAGGCATAAAACCATGCAGGTTATCCAGTGTTCTCTCTCCCTCATCGTTTCGACGAGGTCTATCAGTATAAATAACGCAAATGGCGTTGCTGCGGCCCTCTCACTGTGGACTACTCGGCCGCCATGCAATCACGAACGCCCGGGATATGTTAGCGCTGCCTCATTGTACCTAACAATCCTGCCTTTCCACGGTGATATCCTGTCTCCCTACAAATAAATTCAAACCTTCAGCAAGGTTGAGGTATCTAGGAGTGAAGAGGTCAAAAACGGGGTTGTTGGGCTATTGCTTGCTTGCTTGCTGCTTCAATGAATCACCTAGATACGTAATCTAAAGGGTTGACCAGCCCAGTATTAGACAGGCGCCGAGTCGTCTCGAATATTTACAGCGGAAAGGTTTGAAAATTCCAACACTGGTGGTGCCAGCAGCTTTGTGCATCGGTCCACCAACTCCCAACCTGATCACCAACATAATTAAACTGAAACGTCTCCAGTTCAGGTGCTGCCAATATATAGAATGGCTCTCGCGCGCCCGTGAACATCATTGCGATGCAAATGCGTAGATGCAAGGCCCATAGGCCGCCGAAGAGAGCATGACCGTGAAAAATCAACCGGCCCCGGCCCGTCCGGGCGTATGCTCGTGGATATTTTGTTGGTTCGTTTTTGATTTTGCAAAAGTCCCATCCCCATTAAACTCCTATACATGGATGAGTATGATCGGTGATGATCGTCATTATCGTCAGAATATGGTGCGCTGGAGCATATGGAGTCATTGGACGTGTGCGGCGGCGCTCTTCTAGGATGAACTTTTGAGGCCGAACATGTTCTTTCGCGACCTCGATTTGGACCGCGATTTCTTCGCCAACTTGGAAGACTGGCTGTCCTCGTCATTGTACTTGGACTTGTGAATCCTAGGTATGATTGTCAGATCCGGCATGTCCGACGACGCGAAACGGGCTCGACTTACCAGCTATTTCCGACCATGCTCATCCCCTTCGCCTCAGCTTGACGATAGAAACCTGCGCTCTTTTTCAAATTCTTCTTGCAGCCGATACCCTGAGCGTAGCAGAAGCCTGCTTCGGCGAGGGCATCCACGTCGCCCCAAGCTGCAAACCAGTTGTTAGCTAAACCCGACAGAAAATGCTCCGAAAGACGGGGTAATCTTACATCCGGCGATCTCAAAGCATCGCAAAGCCAACGCCTTGTCCTGCTCGATACCCCATCCGTTCATGTGGCTGACGCCCAGTTCGTAGATGCTCAGCGCGAACTGAGCCTTACGCGTCTTGCGTTCCACGAAATCGACTGTCTTGCCTTCTTTTACTTGGCCCTCGTCATCGGCGATCTCTACGCTTGCCGACTCTGCCGCTTTCCGGAGCCATTCAACTCCCTCTCGCTGGTTGGGTCGCATTCCCCAGCCGTGCCGGCATGCCAGGGCATACAGAAGCATGCCTGTCGGGTGACCCTTCTTAGCAGCATGCCGAAGATGATATGTCGACTCGTTGAGGGAACCGCTCTCATGCAGCGCGATGGCCTTCGCCACATGCTCTTCTCCCGTCATTTCAGACACGGACGACGCCGCCTGCGAAAACTGGGAGCGAGTAGCCTTTATCGTGCTAGCGGAATCACTAGTACTAGTAGACATAGGCGTTTTCCCTCTCGCGGCATCGTGAAGAGGCGAGGTCAATGGGCGACCTCTCGGAACATCTTCTGAAGCACGGCCGCCTTCTGTCGACGGCCGACTAGGATCTGGGGAGGGCTGTTGGCCGGAACGGACGACTTCGATGCTCAACTTGCTGCGCTCCATCGACGGCCGCGGAATGGGTTCTTCGAAGAATCTCGGTCCGGCAGAGCTCGAAGGTCTCGTCGGCGGTGATGGCGGAGGTTGGCCCCCTATAGGGAAAGTTTGGACGTTGCTGGGAGGCACAATGGGCGGCTGTTCCCAATGATATGCGGCGACTTGGTTCTCCGAGAACGAAGGTGACAATCGCTGGAGAGACTTGCCTCGCGGAAGAGAGAACTTGGAGTATATGTATGAAGGTGCCGCAGCCCTGCCATCCTCAGGCAGAGTATCCGGGAATCCTTCGCTACTCATGCTGACCGGGGTATTCGCCGAATCGTCAGCGAAGACAAAAGAAGCCTGGCTATCAGAAGAGGCTTGGCGTGCTGGTGACTCTAGGCCCGGCGTGCCCGACCGGGTCAAAGGCCTTGAGAAGTTGAAGGATGGTCGAGGAAACCCCGACGCCTCGGAGCTGATTGAAGGAGACCTCTGGAAGTGGCCAAGCCCTGGCGACATCATCCCGGGGCTACTTGATAGCTTGCCGGCTTGCTGAGAGTAGAAAGATGTGCTCATCGAATTAACGCCCTCCTCGCCAGTGGACTCGAGTGGCGCAGACATGATGCTTGACGAGCGTTTGGGGAACAGGGATCGAGGCGGGAAAAGCCCGGCTGAGTCGAAGGACTGTTTATTGAGAGCCTTGTCGGGTGACGATCCTAAAGAATGGCCGTGCCGTGGCGAAGCCTGGGAAAGCTGGGAATCCTGTGTGGCCGATCTCGACAAGGGGCCCGACCCCGTGTCGGATTCTGCAGATGTGGTGCGGCCCAAAGGTACCGGTGAAAGCTCCCTCCTCGCTCCGAAGAAGGTCTCTCCTTGGTCGACATCTCTCATTCGACGTCCTCGCAGCGCCTCTCCCGAAGGTCTCTGGGGCAGGGGGATCGATTCATCGGGGGTTGGCGGAATGCGGCTCATTCGAGGGTGCATCGACACGGGCCGGTTAACAGGTGAATCCTCCACCTCGGTCCTCAAGCCGAGGCCTGTATTCTGTAGTGCCGGGGGGTCCCCACAATCGGAGCCCGAGTCCTGTGACATGGACCGAAAATAATCGGACCTGCCCTGAACGATCAACGGGCTCTCGGTAGTAAGAGGTGGGAGGCGACTCATCCGTCGCCCGGCCTTGTTGCTCTCTTCCTCGAGTTTCTTCGCGAGCAGGCGACTTTGCATGGCGAACGCGTCCAGGGGAGAGAGCTCGGGCGGTGCCTCGCCGGCGACATGAAGGCGAGGGGAACGGAGAGGGCGAGATAAGGATGCTTGCGAGTTCGACCGCAAGTCGATGAAGTTGGGTCGAGTGTTCGACATGTTGACGTCCGGAGTAAACGTGGCCTAGATCCCCATGCGATACGGTCAAAGAGATATTTGGATTATCTCTTTCCTTGACACATGCAGCGGCTTCGGCGTCGGGTAGAGCTGGTTTGAATTATGGGCTTGTTGGCGGTTTATGGTTCGACAGAATACAGCCGCGTCCGAGTACGTCAAGACGCACTGGGAAAATCAACAGCGGCGAAAAGACAGTTGTGGCTCGATTTTTCGGTCGTACGCATAAAGTATGAGGTCAGGTCAAGCATGAAATCGGAAAAGAAGGGCGGGAGAATGCGATGAGAACAATGCGGAATCGCCGGTTGGGCAAGACTGGGCCTATCGACGGTCGGCGCGGATAAATCGACTCGAGTACTTGATACCCTGGCTCTTCTCGAGTATCTGACGTGGTGGCTGTATTAAGGAACGATGGTTGGCAGTATAGAGCTGGATTATCAACGAAATGGCAGCGTCAATGACGAGCGTGGTCGAGATAGGTCCTTGTGAGGTTGGAAGGCAAACAAACGAGCGCGCAAAAGGGGGGAAAGGACGATGGCGCAAGGTTGTTGGGCAAAGTGAGAGTCGAATCGAGGAAAAGTCAGTGAATGGACGCTGTCATGGCCTTCCAGGAGAGCCAGATGTCTCTCAGAAGAGGCGCAACTCGACGGCGGATTGTAGCCACTTCATGAAAAAGTGTTGACGTGGATTTGGCCTAATGATGGGATCGAGGTACATTACAATACAGTTGACGGGCAGTTCCCCAGGTTCTTGCAGTATGGCCGTTTTTCGGGGTGTCTCGGAGGTACCCAGGTACACTGTGTACTGTACCTCACAAGGAAGCGATCCATGCAACAGGCCAAAACAGGCTTAGACAGGCACCGAGTATATAATTGGAAAGCGCCACAGTGGCCACACGGTCATGAACCTAGGTACATAGTACTAAGCTGAGCCCCGAACACAGCAGCTAAGGCACAGCCAGTATGGGGTACATCAATTGGCTTACACCCTGTTCCACCGGCCGCCACCACTGCGTCCCCTTTTCCAGATCTTTTCTCCCGCCCCTCGGCTTCTTGATCACCATGATAAGCGTCTAGATTATCCCGTCTGAAAGTCACCCAAAATCTGCGAGGCACATGCAAGCAGCCGCTGCCCGTCATTTTCCACGTTGTCATTTCAGAGGCACCAATCCTCCAACCGCGCAAGTCGTGGCAGGAACCTGGAAGGCACATACCAAGGCGGGCAGGTTAGTGAGGTACCTTAGTCATGTGAACATGAAATATGTGGCCAAGCTTATAACAGAGAGTACAAGGTTGTCTGGTTGGGTACCTACCAATTTACCTACTGTGTGTTAGTTCGTAACGTTTTAAGCTTCCGATTCTGCTAGGTTTTAACTCTAGAGCTTCAAATACGACGGCTTCAGGTCTAGATCTCCTGTCTTCGCCAATAGTCCCAGTGTCTCCACAGGCTGGCAAACTAGGTAGGTCCCTAGGTAGATAAAACATGTTCATGTCCGTTGCAAGGCCCTGTTTGCGATCGTGTTCTCCCGTTTCCAGAGGAGGGGAACAGGTTTCAGGTGAGCAGCTATCAACTTGATGCAAATCAAACGATGACTGTCACTGGACAGCTGGTGGGTTAGTTTCCCAGTGTTTGGCCGGGCGTTATTTGTACATCAAGCCAATGAAGCAGGAAAACAGGGCCATTCCCGGCAGCTGAGTCGTGCAACAGTGCGCAACGTTTGTTCCCGCTATCGCATGCATTCTCATGGCACAGTATGACGGGCATCTCCAAGGTACTGTGGAGAGCAAGGGTCTCTCCTGTACATAAGTAGCTTCCATGTTGGAGCCTCCACAGTAATAAAACTCCTGGGTTGTTAAAAATGCAAGAAAATTCCCACGCATTGTAGGTATGTACGGATTACTCCGTCCATTATAGCAATGAAACCGCCTACCTATCTACACGGCACAACGAGCAATGGATTTGAAGAGCTCTTGCATCTACGACGTACACCTGCACCCTAGAAAAGCTAACGACAGGAGCTCTGCCCTTCCCACCACGGCGCTCAGTGTACTGTATACAACGTACAAATCAAAGTACTAGTAGGTGCAAGGTAAATCATGGACACATGATTGGATCCAGAGGCGGGGAAACGAAATTATTAAATGGGTGTCATGTCGGTGCAGTACCTTTCCTGTTGTACCACGGTCCAGTTTAAATGTCGGTTTTGGAAAGGCCCGCATATTATTGGACCCTCTCCTGTAACCTCGATGTGTCACTTGGGCGAACATGAGCAAACCGAATTCCTTTGGAAAATCAGGGCCAGTCTTCACAAAATTAAAAGCTGAAATCAGTTTATAGCCTAACCAAACAAGCAACTCCGCATCCCATGCATAATACAGAAACCGGGTAACTGCGAAAACGGAGGAAGCAAGCCGATAGGAAAACGTGCATGGTCCGCCGCTAGAGATCCTTGGACCGCAGCTTCTTCAACCTCATCCCGCCCTCGAACACGCCCCTGTCCACTGCCGCTGCCACGGTCAATGTGCCGCCGATGATGGCGCAGAGGCCAGCCAGGAAACCTGCAAACGTCTTCGCCCGCTCCTCCCGATTGATGACCTTCATTGGTGAGATGTCCTAACGGCACGGTTAGCAGGGACGCTCACACGCAACGCCATCCACCGCGAGCAGAGTCAAAACCTTACATAAGAGAAGAAGACGCCCGGGATGCCGCCCTTGGAATGGAGGCGCTCCTGATGGCCCTCTGACGCATCGCTACCTCCGGTAAGGCTGCGCTTGTGGACGGTAACCGAGTATTGATGCGTCTCGACGCTGCCATCTGCGGACTGCCCGAACGCCCCGAGCTCGCTGAGCTCGTCCTGGCGGGCAGCAACCTTCTTCTCCCAGCCAAGGGGGAGGTAGGAGGTGGGCACGATCTTGACAAAGTACATATAGTTGAAGTTGGGGTCGTTGGTCTCCTGGTGCGTGCCGTCAAGAGGGTTCAGGTGATGGTTCGTCCACGGCAGATCCCTGCTGCCCATTTTCTTATAGACATCGTCGGGAAGCTGGGGTCCAAAGCGCAGGTGGTGGATGGTGTGCGTGAAGGAGTGTGCAACACCGAGAGGCGCGTCCCAGTAGTTTTTGAGGTCGTGCACGTGCATATTGCCATTGCTGAAGCTTCGGCCAGGAGCCAGATGGAAGTTTCCAACCACCTTGTTGACTCGCAGACCGCCCTCGATACGGCAGCCCTCCCTCCGTTGTTCATCTAGCCGCTCGCCATAGTGCTCGCGCTGGCACTGTTCGACACCCTCCCCCTTTCCGAAGGCCCAAGATGCTTGCGCATACGCCTCCCTGACCTCGTCGCAGGTATTGCAGCAGCCGGGCTTCTGGGCGTTGGCTGGAGCTTCCGCGCCATAGCAAGGGCCGCAGTAGTTGGGGTCGAGGTGTGTCGCAGCCTCGTCTCTTGAGTGCCTCGTCTCAAAGGTCAGCCAATTCTCTCCTGACAGAAACACACCAACGGGTCTCAAACATACAACGACAGGTCCTTGACATCGATCACTGCTCCACCGTCGGCCTGCGGCCTGAGGCGCACCTTCTTCACGCCGTGCATGACGCCATGTTGCTGCTCTCCCGATACGTCCATCACGTCGAGAGTGAGTAGCTCGCAAGGAACTCGCGGGAAGGTGACGTTCAGGTGAATTTCCATTCTCTCGCCTATAATGGGAGCTATTGTCAGGTTTGAAGTCCACAACCCGCTTCAAGCTATTGGGGACACATACCTCGCCCCTTATCAACAACCAACTCCGGACGTATGTCTATCCTTCTGTAGTCGGCCCATTCTCCCCATGCGAGGTAGAAGACGACAATCAGGGACACGATGGTGACGATGCCACCGGACGTGGTCCGGATCCTCGCATCCTCAACCGTCTTGGTGAAGGCATCTAGCCTGGTGAACCTCGACTTGGGCGGCATTTCGTGTTTTCCAGAAGATCAGCCAACGAGCTATGTGTTAGTTCCCTAGCCCAGCCTGCCCTCGTGTCTCTCGAGTGCGGATCGGTTCCGGGAGAATGAACGATAGGTTACGCGAAGGGCGAGACAGCTTGAAATCAAAGGTCGCAACGGGGCGACATTAATTGGACCATGGGGACAGAGTGACACGCAGCCAAAACTTAAAGATTTTGTGAGAAGGGAGCGCCGAGATCGTTATCAGCCGCAATTGATCCCCCACAGTTTCGTAGAGGCCACATTCACCTTTTTGCTGACGTGCCAATGCAGGGATCCCGGGCGGAAACTCGGCGGGTATTATTCCGCCGGGCTGGCCTGGCCCGGGATCCACTGATCTGATGCCGCTGGCGTCTCTTTCTGAGAAGCTGCGCTTAATTGCTTGGCTGCTCAATTTTGTTTCTTGCGGTGGTACGGATAATGTTGTAGAGGTTTCTGCCTTTCTCCCTTTCTCTCTTTTTCCCCGAATTTTTAGGCAAGCTTTGGGGCAGACAGGATAACGTGTGCTTGCCCACACTCCATCAGGTCGGGTTAGTTCTCGGTTCAGGGCAAGGTTTGAGTCACGTGATCGTTTGTTTACTTCCCCTGACGACTGGAGGTCCAGTATCCAGGAGCAACGAGTAAGGACATACACTTCAGCCATCAGATGAAGAACTCTGCAAGTTACAACCCAGGCGCCCCCGCCGCGGGACAAGAATGGTTCTTGGCCATCGACGATGACGACCAGGACATCAGATACGACCAGAATGGACAGCACCACTCTTAGATGAGGAAGGTGAGTGAAACACTCTACCTGGGCGATGTAGAGCTACAGAATGCTGTCTCGAAAAAAGTGACCAACAGAGTAAGTAGCCTAACCGCTGCAAATTCAGGGCTAATACTCGCCTTGGTGAAGTGATGTCTCTTCGTGCAAATCCCCCCAGTGATATCCTATGGCTTTACGGAGCAGCTAGGACACTTCTCCTTGGGTTCGGGCGCATTCATTCGCTTTGTGAATCCCATGTCTCCCTTGATATTTGGATCGGCCTCCTGTACAACCCCATCCAGGTCGCTTACTACCGGGTTCTTATGATCCTGATTTGAATCATCTGGAGGTCTGGTTTCCTTCTCGACCTACTCGGCCGTCTTGTAAGTTGCGCCACTCTAGCAGCTGGGTTGAGGTGCTCACTGGGAGACTAGGAGCCGGGTGATTTGGCTGCTTATCCGACTCTTCGTTTGCATTCGGCATAGCGACGAGTAAAGCGTAAGAATCCTTGTGAACAGTCAGAATGCGCTCTCCGAAAGGAGCTGTCACACCTACCGCTGAGCCTTCTAGTAGGAAAGGCGATAAGAAGTCAAAAACTCGTTGCCTGAACTCGAGCGTGACGATTAGATCGCATGGGAACGTGTCTGGATAGGAGGATATGGTATATCGAGCCTTGCGTCAATCTGTCCGCATGGGTGGCCACAACGGCGACGACGGAGTGATAAGGTCCAAGCCTTTGCAAGCCACATTCCATCTCTATCCATCTACGGGCTCTTCTAATTATTTTCTCTTCATCAACTCTAATGTGACCCAATCGTCCTCTAGTTCAGGCCAGTGGAGAAAGGTATGGGTTACGCGCTGCGGTGGCCGCCTCGAGGGGGTTTTCCGCTCGTATCCATGATCAAAGACAACGACATCCCCAAAGGACCTTCCCTTAGCCCAGTATCCAACAACGTCAGCAAACCCTCTTGGATACTGCTTGTGGAACTGGTAAAACCAGTGGGAAAACGCAGCTAGGAGAGGGACATATGCATGGCAGGTCTTGCTGCTCTCTTCCTCTTGCAAGCTTTAGCCAGCCATAAGTGTGAAGCTTATGCTTCGGCCTTATCATCTATTTTAAATAGATAAGCACCAACTTAATAGCAGGCAATGACAACAAGCTTAACAAGTCGCAGATTGAACTCCCTAGAGATAGGATGGGCCTTTTGGAAGGTGACTAATACCTCGATATGTTGGAAGCATCGCAAAGTCAGCGCAAGTGTTAGTCAGAATGATGCTTTTGGGAATTCGTCTACATTTCCACTAAAGAGCAAGGTCGCGAGGTCGAAACAGGATCTAAACTTGCAAGCTTTCTCAAGGAATCCGTCGCAAAGTTCTGTATGCTTCGTTTTACAGACAGGGTAATTATAAACCAAGTCGCAGGAGTCAATAATAGACTGCTCTGTAGGGAGGCTGTCGAGGATCTAGGCATAGGTGAACTTGGCAAGCATAGTCGTGAGAATGTTCATTAGGGCTTGCTGAACTGTCTGAGCATATTCGTTATCAAGTACGTCCAGGCTGGCCATGCTGGCGGTTTCTTGGATGGAGGCCATTAGTGATTGATGCCTAAAAAGAATCGAAGCTGTCAGAGAGGTGGCGTTTGTTGATCAGGGATTTGGAAAGAGACAGAAAGAAAGGACCGCCTACCAAATTCAGCGGCAAATTTCCCTCCAACCTATACTTGCTATCGTGTAGAAACCCCCATCCTCAATTGATATTCACAATTCAACCACACGATTTGCCTACACAACATTACTTTCCTACCCCGTGCTGTTGATTCCTGCAACGTAGGTCGCCTTTCGCTGATAAATCCATGTGTTTTTCTGGGAAAAGCATTTGCTTGATCATTGCCAATAGCTGCCATCTTGCACTCAAAACCACCATAATCATGATACAAACGTGATGCGGCGCTTGAATCGGCTCTACCACAGTAAGGCTTGATAGTTTTCAGTTTCGAGTCATATTCCCAAATTGGGAGGTGCTACCACCATCAGCTTCGCTGGCTCTAATTGGACTGTGAGATGCGTCAAAAGTTGGTGACTTAGCATCGAGGCAAGGAAGTACGAATCCGTAGTGGGAGATCCTATTCCCCAAGTGCTGAGTGACTCACTCCTGTCATTGATCATATCCATCCAGTCAAGTGCATAAATCCCATTTTCCCTTTCTACCGAAGCAGAGCATGCGTTCTCACCGTTTCTCACCTTCATCCTAGCCAATTGCTCAGATTCGGCTTGAGTTCAAGCTCATCATCCATCCACAATGGCATCCATAACTGAGCCATCAACCAGGGTCCAGGCCCAAGCCCAAGAACAGCCAGACCTCAACCCCGCCGAAGCACAGTTCCCCACAATGGCACCTCCCATCCTCCACCTCGCCAAGTGCGTGCTACGCCCCTACCAACCCACAGACGCCGCCGCCATCGCGCTCGCAGCCAACCACCCCGACGTAGCGCGCTACATGCGCAACGCCTTCCCATCACCCTACACCCTCCACGACGCCGAGACCTGGCTAGCCACCGCCTCGCCCCTCAGCCTCGCCATCTTCGTCCCCTCCCCCGACGGCACCCCGACCCTCACCCTCGCCGGCGGCATCGGCCTCCGCCGCCTCGCCGACGTCGAGTCCAACACCATGGAGGTCGGCTACTGGCTGGGGCCGACGCACCAGGGCCGCGGCGTGGCCACCGACGCGCTGCGCGGCTTCGGCCGCTGGGCCTTCTCCGCCTCGGGGGTCCCCGGCCTGGTGCGCCTCGAGGCCGCCGTGTTCGGCCCCAACGCCCGCAGCGCTGCTGTGCTGGCGCGCGCGGGGTACGTCTACGAGGGGGCGCGGAGGTCCGCGGCGGTGCTCAGGGATGGGGGAGTCGTGGATGTGATGGTTTATGGACTGCTGAGGGAGGAGTGTCTTGCGCTGGAGCGTGGTGGTGATGGGGTTGTGGTTGCGTAGAGGGGATGGGACTGAAGGGGGAGTGAGGGGCATGCGAGGCAGGCTTGAGGGGGCTTGAATGAACTGACGAGCTTATGAGGACTGTATCACTTTTACATAAACTTATTATAATTATGTTCCACGCCAGTTATTTTTCCCTGAATGCAATACAATACCACTGTGAAATCCTCCCCAACGGTCATCATCGATTCATCAAGAGCACGAACGACCCAAATCTCAACGATTCCGAGTTCCATCACACCCTTATCGTGCAAATATGTCCATGACAATCCCGTCTGCGCCCCGTCTTCTCCCCTCGCCTCTCCCTCCTTATTTCCAGCTCGGAGGGGCCTCCCCTATCTCCCCTCCGCCCGGGCACCCCTCTTCCTGGCCTCCGCCTCCGCCTCCGCAGCCCTCCTGACGCTGCCGAACGTCTTCGTCCACGCCGCGTCCCTCGCGTCGAGCTCGACCGCCATCCTCTTCTTGCCCGGGCTGACGTGCGCGGCCTCGACGTCGCCGCAGTCGGGCCTCGTCAGGCTGTTGCCGAAGGTGTCGGCCGCCCAGAGGAGCACGCCGTTTGTCCAGCCGAAGCCCTCGACGACGGTGTACTCGCCGCCGCCGCCGGCGACGTTGGTCGCGTTGTCGGCGTACTTCTCGAACATTGTCCCCTTGGCCTCGGGGCCCAGGCCCGCCAGCTTGGGGGTCGCGCTGGTGGAGCCGCCCGTGGCGTACCAGGTGCAGAAGGTGGAGTCGAGGTACCGCTGGCCAAGGCGGAGGGCGAGGTCCTGGACGTCCTCGTAGGCCGGGTCGTCGGTGCCGAAGGTGGGCGGCGTGTTGAGCAGGCCCTGCATTAGCACGTGCATCAGCGGCGGCCACACGTTGGGCTGGTCCCACTGCTGGCCCGTCCGCAGGTTGGTCGCGGGGATGCCGCCCGCCCGACGGTCCAGCATCGACTCCACGCGCGCGTACGCCTGCTTCACCGCGAGCGGGTTGTTCTTCAGCGCCGCGGGGGCCGCCCCCGTCCAGAACGGGTACAGCTGTGCGACGTCGAAGAGCACCTGGTAGCCCTCCGGCGCCGTCGCTTTCTCCGCCGCGGTCGAGTCATCGTCGCCCGGCACGTAGATGTTTTGCGCGCCGCTCGTCAGGTTGTACTCGAAGTAGCTCCAGAGCGTCGAGTTCCACATCAGCGCGTACATGGCCTCGCTCCGCTTGGCGGCCAGGCCAGCCCACTGCGCTGCCGCCGTCGAGTTGCCCGTCTCGTTGAGGAAGGTGGCGATCGCGACTTCGTTCTGGTAGAGGATGGAGTTGAGGTCGACGGGGACCATGTTGCGGACGTTGAGCGAGCGCAGCGGGAAGTAGACGTCTTGGGCCGCGTCTTCTGGCTGGCGCAACCACCTGGAGCTGTAGTCCCAGCCCGACTCGGCGCCGCTGGCGAGATTGGAGTATAGCTCTGCCTTCTGGCTGTCGTTCAGCGGGGCAGTCTCGGGGTAGATAATCCCGGACGTAGCATAGTAGGATTGATTGTTGGCCGAGATGTAGTCTTCCCGGAACGACTCGGGCCTCGGCTGATTGTTCTCGACATGATACCTGTTGAGCGTATACGTCTTGTTATCAGGGCCAGTGATGTCGACAGTACGGTTATTCATCCAAAACTCGTGCTCCTTGATCAACAGCGGTACTGCGCGCTCCAGGATGCTCGTGTCGTTGGTATGCTCGATATAGATGCGCACCATCTGCGAAAGCAGGGGCGGCTGAGATCTGTTGAGATAGTAGATCCTGGCTCCATTGGGCACGAATCCGATCTGCTCGACCAGGTCCAGGAAGTTCTCAATGGTGTTCTTGGAGATCTGGGTGAAGGCGCCGCCGGTGCGGAGGAGGCCCTCGACGATCCAATACGAGTCCCAATAGTACGGCTCGCGGAACCGGCCACCGGCGACAACGAAGGTGCGGTTGACGGGAATGAAGCTGTTGGCGCAGGAGGAGCAGTTCCCAGGGCCGGCATACCTCCTCGTCAGGTCGGGCCAGATGTCGATAACTGCGCTGACAAACTCCTTGATGACGGTGTCGTTGAGTTTGTCGACGAACACGGGATCGGTTTCCAGCTCGTTGTCCGGGACTTCCTCGAGCTCGCCCCCGGCCTGGGCGAAATTGGCCGCCAAGAAGTCATTAAGCTCGGTATTGTTGCTTAGCGGCTTGCTAAGCTTATTGAAAGCGGCAATGACTTCCTCCAACGGTCTGATGGTGGGCCTAGTGGGTGGGAGGACCAAATTAGCCTGAGGATTTACTTTTGATTGAGAAGCAACATGGGTCATGGGAGACGGTTACGCCTCCCGAGGTTCAACGTACATGTCCACAAATGTCTTCGAGTCGGAAAAAGGGCTTGCAAGCTCGATTGCCTTGAGGATTTCGCCATGGCAGTACAGAGGCGAGTCACACGGCGCAGTGACGGAGCCATTGATGTAGAGGGCATTGGAGAGAGGGGCTAGAGCAGCCAAAGCTGCCGCCAACTTCTTAACGAGGGTCATTGCCACGGCTCATGAAGCTTGCACGAGGTTCACCGTCTCCGTAAAGCTGTACGAGGTCGGGGTGAAGGTCGGGGGGACGAAGATGAGAGGGCTGCTGTAGCTCACAGACCTCCGAGGGAAGGGGCGGCCATCGTTTATATAACGAGTCCCCGAGCGGCCAGGCAGACGCCCGGGCAAGAGAAAACCCTGGTCGCATTCTGGCTGCGGCTATCTACCAGGAGGAAAAAACCTTCTGCAGATCGGTTATGATAGCTCGCGGACGCCGATCACTGGGAGTGTGGCTCGCAATAAACTGCGCTCGCTGCCTTGGAAGCTTGCAATTGGTGCCAGCTTTCTGGCAACCAGGCTTCCCCAAATTCTACCCGTTGGAACCAACCGAGTGCGGAGAGAGGTATCAATGATGACCAGGTCTTCGTCAGGAACCTTCTTATTGTCATGTGCGCACTTTACCTTTAGTTAAGGTAGGTATCCAATGCATGTCTATCTATCTACACTACCCTGGATTCTACGTTAGAAAGTGTATTTCGATTGTCCCTCCTTCTCTCTCTAATTTCTTCTTCTGTCTTTTCTTTTCCTCTCATTTGGAGACGGGAGCCAGCCTTCTTCCCCGCATCCGAGCTGCCGAAATAGAGCCACTGCGGAAGGGCACCTACTGGGCCGGGGCACTCTGATTGGAGAGCCGGCGCTAGTAAGCTTGTGTGACGTCAGGCGGGAGTTGCACTTCAGGGCGGGGTAGCTCTAATTGGGAAGGCCCATGGGGGGACAGGGTCGAGAGGAGTCTGGTCGGCCTTGTTCGAAATTCAAGATGTCAGCGGCGCCATCCTGGGGGCTTGGTGCCGGCTTTTGATTTGCTATTCGGCCTTGGCCGAGCTTGACTTGACAGCAGAATACTGCCGACCTCTCCATCCCACCCACCCCCTCGGTTCTGAATGTGGCCTAGCTGAGATTGAGAAGGCATCTTGAAAATTTGAGGGCATTTTGTAGATGCAGATATCTGCACGATGTTTACGTACGTGTATAAGGGGAATGAGACCGAAGTGATCGGTCCGTCTCGGATGCTACATCGGTCGAATTGTCAATCGGCACTGGCTCGCTAGATTAATTCACAGCCCAACTGCAAGTCTGACCTGCACGTCTTTAGATGCCCGGTCACCTCCCTAGGATAGAGCCCTGTCTGGACCCTGGACATGTAATATTCGGCTCGATTTCAATTGACTGCACAGTGCTCACCGGGTGCTGTACTGCGAGGCTGGCCCTTGAGTTGTGGTGTTGGCACCCTTAGCACCACCATTTTTAGCCTTTTCCTCCAATATCGTCTTGAAAACCTGTTCCAGCCGCGGGATCACGTATTCTCGGTTCTGGTAGATCTGGTAATGGATCACCAGCCGATTCCCGAAGAGCTTCAAGCCAACTTCCTTCCCCAGCTCCGCAACCCTGTCAGACGAGCATCCGGCATCGTCCAGGTCTATCCACACCATATTGGTGTGCACCGGGTGGAGCAGCTTCCCCCCCAGGTCCGTCCACATCTCCGCGACCTCCTTGGCTAGCCCGTGAGACTCCCTCAGCAGGCCCCCCTCCCCCGTCGGCCCGCGCCCAAAGGTCTCGTCGACGGCGACCCTGGCCGCGGCGGTGACGACGCCCGACTGCCGCAAGCCCCCGCCGATGGACTTCCTAACCCAGCGGGCGTGGCGGAGCACGTCCGCAGGGCCGACCAGGACGCTCCCCACGGGAGCCCCAAGGCCCTTGGAGAAGCACAGGCTGACGGTGTCGAAGCACGCGGCGAAGTCGGCGAGGCTGCCGGCCCCGGCCGCGGCGGCCTCCCATAGGCGCGCCCCGTCGCAGTGCATCCGGACGCCGTGCTCCCTCGCGAACGCCGAGATCCGCCGGGCCTCCTCCAGCGGCATGACCATGCCGTTGAGGGTGTTCTCCAGGCTGATGACGCGCGTGGGGCAGGTGTGGACGTCCGAGTCGAGGCGGGCTTTCGCCTTGACGTCCTCGAGGGTTAGGTAGATGCCGTTGCTCGGGACGACAGGTGTGACCATGGCCCCGGTGAGGGACGATACGCTGCGATTTTAGTTTCAATCAGCCCGGCTTCCGCAGTACGTGTACGTCCTTGGGGATTTTTATTTAGGATCTAGAGGGACCACCTACCCTCCCGCCTCGTAATTGACAATGTGAGACCTCGAGTCACACAGTACTCCGTGAGGAGGTTGGGTCAAGAGGGATCTCAGTGCCAGCTGGTTCCCCATGGTCCCAGACAAGACAAACAGACCGGCTTCCTTCCCCGCAAGGCTGGCGCAGTGGGCCTCCAGGTCCGCCGTCGTCTGATCCTCCTGGAAGACGTCGTCTAGTAAAGTACACGACTGAATCGCCGCGAGCATGGACGCCGTTGGAGTGGTCATGGTGTCACCTACCGCGTCTTCAGCGTTGGATCCTCAGAGAAGGGAGGAAATAGAACGACTCACTTCTCAGATCGTGGCCGGCGGCTCCGGCGTGTCCAATCCAGGCATTGTGCCGGGCGCCGTCTCGCTGCGTCTCTGTGTACTCCATTGTCGAGGCAGAAGAAGTCGTGATGGGCCTGCTTGGGGAAGCGTGAAAGCGGCGGCTGGTGAAGTTGCAAAATCGTCTCCGGCTCCTAGATATGGGAACCTGCAGCGGGGTATGACCTGCAGGCGAGACGATCAGTCGCCTGTGACTCATTTGGTGTTTGTTTGAAATACAATCTGAGCCCGGCGCTGGTGGTGCTGAGCCGCCTTCCTCTTCTGTCTTGGCGTGACAGACTTTTTGGTACGTTTTGGTATCACCTTTCTGAATAATCCAACTATGTAGATAGGTAGTTAAGAACAGTAAGTTACCTTACATGCTATCTATACTTACCTAGGTTAAATAGTCCGCTGCCGTTGCGGCACTCGCGCCCGCTAGAAGTAGCCGGGGATGGTGGAGATAGATGTGCACCGTGTGCGAAATGGGGTTTAGGACACTGGGGTTCAATCGAAGTGATGAAGATCGTCTCAACGTCCAGACAGAAGCAATATGTCAACCCCTTTTATTGGTCTCATTGCAACGCCGACAGACGCCACCAGTAGCGACATAAAACGGGCTCATCTCTCTCTCCTCCTTACCTGGCAGCCTGCATCTACGTAACTACCAACCTCCCAGCACTCGGATGAGTCGGATTATCGACTCTTTATGATATCGGCTCAGGATGAGCAATCCAGTGTCTTGCGTCGAGTGCCAGCGCCGCAAACAAAAGGCAAGGAGCGATTCAGGCGGCTTTTTTCTGTATTTTTATGTTCTGGATGGGTGCTCTGCTGACTGTTGACCATCCAGTGCAGCCGAGTCTTCCCCTGCAATCACTGCTCGAAGAGGGGCGTGGCCCATCTTTGCCGTTTCGTGTCGGCCAGAGGAAACGACCAAGGGCATTCGTTTGAGAGTCAAGAAAAGTATGTGTTCGGCCTTATTTCCCGGTCCTAAGTGGTGCCCTTCCTGACACCGACGAGGCCCTCGCTGAAGCGGAAGAATGGTCCGATCGACGATGTTGTCGCAATAGATGACTCGGGCCCTTTCGATGCGGCTAACGAGCTCGCCGCCTTGGGCTATATGTCAGATAAGCTGTCCGTTGAAGCCGTTATCGAGCCCTGTGTACGCGTGTCTATCACCAAAAACCATGGCGCCGGCTGATGTCTGTGATCCAGACGACCGAGAAAGAGTCTGAAGATCTTCGAACAGCTCTGCAAGCGGTACCCCCGAAGCCTTATACAGGTAGTGTCTCTAGGCCTCCCGCCGTTCAACGTAGGCCATATACTCACAGCCCCCAGATTGCCTGGTCCACAACTTCCTCAACGGGGCCAACTATCAGTACTTTTCCATTTATCCACCGCAGTTCCTCGGCCAGTATGAAGACTGGTGGGCGAATAGATCCACTGGCAAGAGTGTCACCTGTGGTCTCACATGTCTCATTTTGAGAGTCTGTGCGTGCTCTGCGCAATGGATCATGTTCGACTCCGTCCGAAGAAGACTCGAGTCGGAGCTGGGGGTGAGCCTGCAGGCTCTCACCGAACGCCTACATACCTCCGCTACCAAGCTAAGTGCCAGTATCCCACCAGGACGGGGCGGCTTGACCCAGGTACAGCAGTTATTCCTCTCCGCCTTTTGGTTCAAGGCCGAGGAACAATGGATCGATTCGTGGCACTCGTTGAGCTCAGCCATCCGGGAGGCACAAGAAATTGGTATGAGAGAATCATAGCGCCTGTGCCACTAACATCACAGATTCTCAACTCTCGTCATGTAAAGCATATTTGGCTAATTCCCTTTCTAGGTCTGCACAGAGATGATCTCTCTCAAGGCGTCTCGGAGTTTGACCAGGAGACCAGAAGGAGGCTCTGGATTCTTCTCTTTACCTGGGACTGGTACGTTGGAAAAAGGCTGGTATCTGGTTGAGACATTGGTGTTGATAAAAAAATGTCTAGGCAAATGTCTGCGCTGCTGTCCCGCCCGCTCATGATCAACTACGCGGCTTGCTCCTTCACTCCTCCCAACCTGGGCCTAGAAGCCTCTGCCCGGGAGCCGGGATTACCTTCTCCGTACAGCCACATCGCCTATGAATTTAACCTCATCCAGGATCTTGCCGCCAAGTTCAGCATCGCGGCCAAGGAGCTCGGCGCCGAGAAAGCCGCCGCCATCCAGGCCGAGGTCGAGAAGTGGATGGATTCCCTCCCGGCTGTCTACCAGCGACGTTCCCCGGACACGCGGTGGGACGAAAAGCATTACTGGATCCGCTTCCAGCGCCACCACATCCACGTCGTGGGCTTCATGGCGTCGCTCGGCCCCGTTAAGCAATACCTGGTCAGCCGGCCGGGGAGCAGCGGCAGGTCGGAGCTCGAGAAGAGCCTGCTGGCCTCGGGCGTCTCGTGCTGCCTGGAGCTATTGGATAACTCGCGGAAGCTGTTCGAGTCGGTGACGTACGTGAGCTCAAAGTTCCACTTTGGCGTCTTCTGCGTCTTCGACACCGCCACTGTCCTGTGCTCGGCCATCCTCCACGACATCGACGGCGACCTGCCCGACCGCCCGGCCGCCGTGGACGCCATCGCCGCCGCCCTCCGCATGGTTGACAGGGTCAACATCGAAACCGGCGGCTACGGGGCCCTCTGCCGCATCCTCCGCAGGCTCCTAGAGAGCCTGCCCCTGACGGCGGCCGAGCGTTCCGGCCTGGGCGGCGCCGGCGAGGCCCCGAAGCGCGTCAGAACCGTGGACACATCGTCTCCGGAAAGCGACCGGACGAGGGTCGACTCATCACAGGGGGACGCCCCGTGGGGCGTTGACCCGGGCATGGCCGCCGTGGGCAGGGTGCCGCCTTCTGGCGAGCCGGCACCGCTGGATCCGGCGTTTGGCTCCCGGCAGGCGTTTCCTAACGACCTCGACGGGGGTGTCTCTTACGACCTCGACGGGGGTGTCTCTTATGACCTGCTCAATATTGGAGGGATAGGGGCGCTGTGGGACTGGGAGACTCTCGACCTTGGCACGCCGGGGCCGTTAAGTGAAGACCCTTCCAGGCCTGTTCCAAGGCTTCCTTGAATGGGGGTGGATATTCTTCAGTGGGCGCACATTTCGTACATGCGGCGGACAATCGAACCTGGAAAAAAGGGGTGTGGGACAGAACGATGTCGTGCGTACAGTCGACGATACCAAGCTCGAATGTCCGGAGTACAGGTTTTCGCTATATGGTGCAGGCAGGCTTAGCACACACTGTTGCTAAAGAGATCTTGGAGTCCAGCGTGCGTTTTCCCTAGAGCAATTTGACCTGATTTTCTTTAGCTAGCTAAAAGTAGGCCGAGTCGGAAACTGAGGGCTCGCTCCTGAACTTTCTAAGCGACTCGTACCAGCTTCACTAGCAACGTGAAATACCTGTTGCTTGCCCCAGCCCCCCCTAATTTCCCCCCCAGAGCGCAGGACTGACACCCCTCAGCTCTCCCGGCCCAACTGAGCGATCCATCTTTATCTCTCACGCTTTTCTCGCCATCCGCGCCGCAGGCCCATCGGCGGAAGCCGGGCAGGCCACGGCCGGCAGCGCGGCCGTCGCGTCGATGGGGGTGCCCTGGCTCATCTGCACGAGGTGCTGGCGGACCAGCTGGATCTTGCTCGTCGTCTGGGCCGAGTTCGCCGGGTTGCCGTACTGCAGCGCGAGGCCATCGTTGTGGTCCACGAACTTCTGCAGACCAGAAGGTTAGCCCAGATATATATATTAAAGGAAGAAGAAACGGAGTCGGCACAAAAAAGGGGGGGAGGGGAGCGGGGGGCAACGTACGGTGCAGTCTGGCACGTTGTGCCCGAACAGGCTCCAGAAGGCCGAGCCGATGGCGCCGGGGCTCGACTCGATGGCCCTGAACCACGAGGAGAGGGAGCTGTCGCCTGAGGACCCGCCACTGCCAACCCAGTCGTATTCGCCCGCATAGTAGGTCTTGTTCACCGATGCGACTGGGGTTTCGCGTCAGTTTCCGGGTGCCGAGGCGTGACGGATCGAGACTGCCCAGGCGGCGGCCTCGAGAAGGCGGGGGGGGACTCACCTAGTGCCAGATCGCCCTTCAGCTTGCTCAGGCTGATCGGGTAGTAGTGATCAGAGAAGATATCCACCTCGGCAATTGACAGGTGCTCCCTGTTGACGCCGTATGTGCCGTCGACGAACAACTTCTTGGGCGCCAGGGACTTGACGTAGGCGCCGATCTGCTGCACCCACGAGGCCGGCACGTTCATGTCGCCCCAGACGGGCCCGCACAGCTCGTTCCCGGTCTCGTACGCGAAGATGGTGGGGTCGTCGGCGTACGAGATGTTGGTGTACTGGTTCACGTGCGTCAGCAGCGTGTGGATGTAGTCCTTGAACGACGCGATGATGGTCGCGTTGGTATAGAACTGCTGCACGGCCGGGTCGGTCGACGAGGCGCTGATGCCGTGCCACCGCAGGAAGTTGTACTTGCCGCCGTGGTAGTAGTCGAAGTTGTCCGTCAGCGGCACCATCAGGCGCAGGCCGTACTCGCGGGCCTGGTACACGGCCCAGTCGATGGTGTCGAAGGCGGCCGGGTTGACGGTACCGAGCGCCGGCATCAGGCTGAGCGGGTTGCCCGTGCTGACGCCGAGGGTGTGTGCGCGGATCGCCGTCCCGCCCATGGCCTTGGTCACCGCCATGGCCTCAGTGATGCGGCCCTTGGTAGGGTAGCTGGCCTTGAGGGGCGCGTAGTACGGCTCGCCCGCAGGCGGCGTCACGTTCTCGTCGAGCCCCAGCCAGTAGATGTTGCCGCCCACGGCGGACCACGGCTTCCCGTCCAGGAGGAGCGCCGAGCCCTCTCGCGTGACGGGGAGGTCCCGGACGTCGCTGCAGGCAGCACGGCGAGCGTGCTGGGCACTGGGCGCCGCCGAAGCGACGCCTGCCGCGGCGAGGAGCATTGAGGCCTTCATGATTCACTCTGAGGGAATATATGAACGACACGATGAGGTTGGACAGTGAGGGCACCGGGGAGACCGTATAGGACGGGAAGAAGGTCCTCTATTTAAATAAATGTCATGGCTCCCCGCATCAGAAGCTGGTGTGATTTAGCCCATCCTTCCGGGTATTTCGGCGGGGTCGGGCTTCATCCTTCCTTCCTTCCTTCGACCAGGATCTACTGCTGCCGGTACGGTCAGCTTGGGGTTCTATCTGTCAGACAAACAAGAAACGTCCAGCTTGCCAGTCCTGATGTGCAAGGACCATCAATATCACTCCTGCTTTGGGCCTTCTCAACGCCCTCAAGTTCTCAACTTGATGCCAGTGCAGAACGTTTGCAAGCCCTCTTTGAATTGACCCGGTCTTAGCTTGCTAACACAACACCCTAGATCAACTGAGTCGTTTGGTCGTGCTCGAATACTGCGTATGGAGAAGATTGATGCTGAGTACCGAGCAGTTGAGGTTGCGGAGGGCGGAAGGGACTTCTCCGCAGTCAGGTTTGGGGAAGCGGCTTAGGTACCCAAGTGGAGCCCCCCGACGTGGAGAGGTGCGGGGGGGGCCCGTTTCCCAGTACCCCCGGCTGCCCCAGCCAAATCGCCTGATGAGGCAACGCCCTTATACCGTCCCGGACCGCGTCACGGCCGGAGCCAAAGCTTCTAGCTGCCGCTGCCAGGTCCAGCAACGACAGCAGCTCGCCAGTTTTCTCGAGAAAGGGGACTGGACTTGGTAGAACCTCCTCCAACCTGGAATTGTTGTGTGGACAACAAACATTCCGTAATCACCCTCCTGATCCGTCCGCACCTAAATGGCTGAGTCTCGCTAATAGCAGTAGGAATGAGGTGTAAGAGCCTATGGCCATGGTCGTGGTCATGGCGAATTGGAGCTAGACACACATTAGCTTCACTTACCCCTGATCTTGGAGAACGCATACATCGAGCCTTTACGCCATCTGACGTCCCATGCATCCGGTTAAATGGCCAACTGCTGCTAAGGTCGTCTAGTACGTAGGTGTAAGGGTCGGTCGAGGACTATCGGCTCTTATAACAACCGATGTCGTTCTCGGGGAGTCTCTTCGATGTTCGCATCAGTGTCGGTTGACGAAGATTCGAAATCGAGGGAGGGCCTCGAGGGGTCCAGTTCACCGGTCCCTCTAAGCTCACCGGAGCTCTCGAAGGGAGAACCCGCATATAGGAAAAAAACAGAGGCCTTTAGGCCTTGACGGGAAGATGGCTCAGGGTGGCCCGAGAGGTCTGGTATCAGACGGCTCGGTAAGAAACAAGGTGACTAGAATGTGATCTTCTTGCTGCCACTGCCACTGCCACTGCCACCCATTCACTCGCCTGGCTTGTCCAAGCTCTGGTCTTGGGTTGCGAAACCACGAGTTGCTGCCGAAGGGTTGATAAAGAGATTAAGAAAGGTGGTACAATACAGGATGGGTGGTGAAATGGTATCGTGCGTGACTTTGAAGAGTCAGAACCATGGGCCATGGGATGACTCCTTGAGGCCGGCATTCGATTCATGTCACCACTTTCCCTGTTATTTTTTTATACTCCTTTTTTCCCTTTTTTCTTTTCTTTTTAGTATTCAGGACCTTTTCATTCTCTGTGGAGAATCATCATCCTCCATCCAGCATTTTACGTCCCTATTTCCAGCTCCCTTTCTACGGATGTTTATTCTTTTCTCCCTTCTTGTTAGTTTTGGAGTATCTCTGGCGCAAAGTAATTAATCGTCAATGTAAGGCATAAAATTATAAGATGGAGAGGAAAAGTAGAGACATTAACGGCCGGCCGCACGCCGTGTAGCTTTTATATGGCCTGTACGCGATTCCCTCTGAAGTCCGCCTTCCTTCCCGACCAGATTCACCGAAGACCGCGGCCAACCGGCGGAGGGGCCGGGGAGAGTGAAGTACATACAATCGGGGTGCTGCGGCCGAGAAACGGATCGGTGTTGCCCTGGCCGCAGTCACACGGAGCTCTGAAACATGGCCCGAGACAATAGCCTGAGGCCATGGCCATGGTACGATGGTTCGTGGCCCAAGGGAGGACTAGGTGGGTACTACTGGTACGTAGAAGAAGACGAGGGAATTGATCGAGAACAAGTCCACAAAACAACTTGGGACTGGACTGGAATTGATGGACCGAGGCAGTCCGTCGTTCTAGGTGAGGACCTAATAATGGATGCCCTATTTTACTTTTTGTTGAAGGCCACGGTGGTCCCTGACTCAGGTGCCCTGCTGGAGGGAGCCGTGTTCCATAATTCCATGTTTCATCATCTCTGCTGGCACTTTCACCACCGGATCAACCACGAGGAACAGAGTGTTGCAAGTTGGCAAAAAAAAAAAAGCCCACCATCCCAAAGGGTAGGTGGGTAAGTGATTTCACTTTTCATTTGAAAGGTTGTGATATCTCGTAATAAACGAACCTGAGTAGACCCCCAGTAAGCTAGCATCGAGCTGCCGCTCGAGCCCAAAGAAGAAGCCATCAAACGCCCTTGCGCGCCATTATCCCGGCCTGGTCCCGTACTATTCCCGTATGTAAATGTGTGGTGTCCTCCCACGTAATGGTCATCCCACCTATCCTCGCAGAGCTTGGTGTTTTTCGGCCGCTCCAAGAGAAAATAAAAAGTTGGTCATCCTCATGATGCACTTTCTCCCGCGGGTTCTTCCCGTAAGCATCTTGCTTCGTCACTGTCGTTACCCGCACTCCTTCTCCAGCAGGGTGAGACGTAGATAGCAGCAAGCCCGCGGTGCAACGGGCGCAACAATTCCGCACAAGCCAATTTGACTCGTCTCTCTCCTCATCAAGGCCCAAATATCGCCAAAAGAGGGTTGTCCATCTCATCCCTCCCTCCCCTATTCCTGTGCCCATGCGCAGGAACACTCTGGAGGGTGGGGGGGTCCTAGAACGAGCCCATCCTGTCCTGGAAGCTGCCCCAGTAGACAATGGGCCGGGGCTCGAGGATGGCCAGCTCGCTGCCGAAGCTCCTGCGCTCCTCCTCCAGATCCACGATCGATGGCTGCCGGAAGATGACGCTGTTGATGGTGCCCACCGGCGACGGCGCCCGCGAGCAGTACGAGCTCCGGTCCGTGCTGCTGGCCCGCGACGATGTCGACGACGACGATGCCGAGGACGACCGCCTGAACGAGGTGCGCAGTCTGTGTGCCGAGAAGCGGTTGGCGATAGCCTGGAAGCGTGGGGTCTGCATCTTGGCTTGTGTGTGGGTAGGTGGGTGGAAGATAGAGGGAATTTGGTGCTGTTTTCCCAAAGTCGGCGTCTTAAAAACAAGGGTGATGGGACAAAATTGGCCCAGTTGATCGCTCTTGGTTGATATTAGGATGGTGAAGTATGATTGAGTGAAAAAATGAGAGGCTCAGCCTGGTAGAAGGGGTATATATTAAGACAGTTTGTCGAAGCGAATGACGGAGAAGCGAAGGTTTAACGACTGGACGATCTTGATTGCAGGGAGCTCATGGGTAATATCCAATGGAGCAAGGAGGCAGTCTGGAATCCTCAAAATGGATCAGATCAATTTCTTCTTTCAACACACCGGTCGGTTGAGAGGGATGGCGATGACGAGCTCTAGCTGGAGAGACGATGATAGAAAACTAGTTGGCCTCGGGTTTGCTTTAAGTACTAGCTATCCGAGTTTGCGATAAGAGGGGTTCAGGGGGTGGTGGGGAAGCGGTGGGGAGCGACGGGGGACCCCTGCTCTTCTGAGGGAAGGGGGGCCATGTAAGGGCGAAGTGAGCCGGGGGAAGGCTTGCGAAGAATGGAAAGGGAAGGGAGTGGCTTCCAGGATGGGAAGGAAACAGTATCATCCAGGGGCCTGTGATGCAGGGAGAAGTCATGCAATAGCTTCGACCCCGACTTCCATCCATGCGGACGACGGGAAACCTACCTGAGGCATGGTACCACAAGAGCAGGTACCTAAAATAGGTAACTGGAAACCACATCACTTTGGGTTTGTATGGAAGTTGCGCATAGCACTTCCACAGACCTCCCTACTTACATGATGGCATCTACAAAATGATAACCACCTCCCTGCTAAGGCCGCACTGAAGTTTGTCTGAACTTCAGAAGTGTCCTTCCTGGACCTCTTGCAAAGCACCAAGGGCGAAACAAAGGCTCGAGTTCTCATTTGTGTGCCTGTTGCAGCAGCAGCTGTTCCTCCCTGCTGGGCCAAGTGGTTTCATTCTTTTCAGAAGGGGGTCTCTGCGCTGTATGATCGCCGCGGCCGTTGCAGAAGTACCCACTACCAGATCGGCACCTTGTCAGGGCGATGACCTGTTAAGAACCCTGTGCGACCCCACCATCTGGGCCCGCAAAACGGCGGCCTGTAACCCGCTCGCACAGCTTGTTTCATGCCTCCTTGGTCTTTGTCACGCAATAAATTGCAGACATTCCTCTGAAACTCGACTGCTGCGAGGGAGACGTAAGAACATGTGGCTGTGTGTCTCTCACTTGTTTACGTTATCTCTCTCTCCACATTCGGCTCCTGCGGTATGCTCTCTTATGTGATGATTGATGCAAGAGACAGAATAGGCGATGGGAGACAGCGAGCAATTCGAGCAAGGCATAAAACATTGGGTAGTCGTAGAGTTTTGACCTGGTTGGCCCTCGCATCACATCACATCACTATCGCATGGCCCTCTCATGCAGGTCTTGGCCAAGATCGTGTGTACCTGCATCTCGGTCCACTGCAAAGCCACCACGAACCAACATCATCCCATTTAAGTTCTTCCTCAGCCACGTAGACACCCAACAGAACGAAATGCCCATCTTCAGAATCGCGGACCAGGAGAAGAAACGCAGGACACTGCCTCCTTCCCACGGACTCCCCTCCACTACCAGCGCAGAAATCTCCTGGTTTGACATGTTGCTCAGCCCGATCGCTGGCTCAAGGCATGGCAAAGGCAACATCCCAAGTCGTCACCATATATTATCCAGGGGAATCCGATAATGGGAGTGGTACAGCGCGCATGAAACGATCGCCGTCGACACCCGACTCGCCGGGCTCGCCGTCCTCCTCCCGTTCGTCGAGCCAGCACCACCTTGGCTTTGCCAAGCCCATTGAGGAGGATCCCTTTGTGGCCGATCCTCAATGCGACTGGGGGTCCACGAACGAGAGAGCACCTTCCGTGGCTCTTTCTTCGAGAAGCCTCAATATTCCGGCGTAGAGACAGTATCACTTCAGCAAACTAACAAACACAAACAATACTAAAACAATGGCTAGCCGTCTCTGAATACTTCTTTCTATATTCGCTCTTGGGGTCTTGGCCTTCCCTCGTCTATGTAGAAAACAGGGCATCCCAAGCTGGGTATTAGTTGAACAAATAGAACACGAGAGCCTCTCCCATAAGAGCAGAACCCTCTTCTCCCCCCTCCTGCATGTAGTTGGTAGCCCGCTCCTCCACAATGCACTCCATTCCATCCCGATCCTTCCCATTCCTTGCCTGGTAGTGTCACCCCCCTCGCCAACCCCCTCCATCCTGTCTGTCTACCTCACCAAGGCAGCAGGATCATGACCAGGTATTATCCTCACCAACCACGACCAGTCCCCCTTGCTTGGTCGTTCTCCTGAAATAGAAAACAAATACAGAAATGTCAGATCTCTAAACTGTCGTCCAAATCATCATCTCGCTGTGACTAAAGGGGGAAAAAGGTGGGACGGAAAAAAAAAAGTGGTTTAGAAAATCCAAGAAAAAAAAGTAAAAAACGCCATGCCTCCATGTAAAATCCCGGCCGCAACTGTGTCGGTCAATCAGTCAGTCATCTGTCGTCGCACAAGTAGTTATCCCTCAATGCCACCCCCCCTGCCCAGCGCTCCGCCTGACGGTCGCGCTCCTCCGTATGCTGTCCATCCACGCCGAGTCGTCCAGCATCTCCCTGACGTGCTCCGCGTTGACGCCGCTGCCCCTCCGGCTGCTCCTCGTCGAGCTCCCGCCCGCGTCGCTCGGCTCCTGCAGCTCGAACCCGAACGAGCCGGGCCGGGACCCCGCCTGGCCGCCCGGAGACCGCGGGCTGCCGAGCGGGTGCCCAAACGCCGTGTCAAAGGCCGACAGGTCGGCGCCGACCCCGGTCCACGAGCGGTGCTGCGTGCCGTCGGGCGAGAGCATGGCGCCGGGGGAGCCGGCGCCCGAGGTCGTCTTCCTGTTCGCGCTCCTGGCCGCTGCCGTGCGGTCCTCCTCGTCGTCCACGAGGATCTCGGGCACGCCGAGCTGCGGTATGTCCGCCATGCGCGCCGCGCGCTTCCTCTCCATGTGCTTCTTGAACTTGCGCGACCAGTATAGGGTGTCGAAGAAGCCCTGCACGACTGATCGGCTTATTTGGTCATCGACTCGCTGAAGCCGGGCTCGGCGACGGAGGAATTCTTCTAGCCTGGAGAGATTACGTTAGTTACAGATCAAAACTGGCTTGCTCCTGTTACGGGGTTGGGTCTCACCCTAAACTCTTGCTGTCATTGATGATGTTGTAGTGCGCCAGAATCATGAGCACCGTGTTAAACGAGATGCCCTTGTCTGGATCGGCCATCACCATGACTTCCTGGTAGAAGATGTTGAACCGCCGCCTGCGTTCCCGCACCTTCGCCACATCGATCTGGTTGAGCCGCCTGTTGAGTTTCTCGATGTCCACGCCGGTCTGGAACTGGCTGGCGCTGGCCATGGACGTGTGCCTGGTGGTCGGAACATCGCTCCGGACGTCGTCTAGGATTTGTCGCACCGAGTCCTCCGCATCGTAGATGCGCATCTCGAAGATGCCAGACAGTTCGCCCAGCAGGCGTGGGAAGACCTCTTTGGTGATGTGGCCTGTGCCGTTCGGGTCGACGCTGCGCCATGCTTCCTTGAATCGCCGGATCTCGTCGCGGTCCACGATCGCCAGCCCGCTGGTACGCTGGTACACGTACGAGAAGCTCTCGTAGATGAGCGACACGAACAGATTGACGAAGATGTACATGCTGATGATGTTCCACGCGATGAAGAGCACGCGAGCCCATGTCGTGCTTCCGCAGTCGCTATTGAAGAAGACGGGGCTCTCCACACACAGGGGCGGTACAACCTGGGCGTAGTCTTCCATCACTTCGTTCCAACCTTCGCCGCAACTTATGCGGAAGAGCAGGATCAGGGCCTTGGGCACGTTGCGCAGGTTGATGTTGCTGCTCTCTTCTTCTCCGAAGCGCGTCAGACTGAACGTCTGCGTGAGCGCGATGGCAAAGACCAGGAAGAAGACAAGCCAGGTGGCCACGAGGTTCCCGATGGTCGTCAGACTGGCAGCCGCCGTCTTGAAGAGCTGATCTAGTGCGTCGTTCCGCGGGATGAGTAGTAGCACGATCGCCACGAGAAAGAACTTGTGCAGCTGGATGTAGGTGTCCAGAGCGGTGTTAGTGAGGAAGAGGATGGAGGTCGCAAACGCTCCCGTCACCGCAACCAGCGAGAACACGTCCCAAGAGCTTCTGCGGAACCGGCTCCAGCCGAGACCAAATATGCGGACGATGATGTTCGCGATGTATATCAGGGTGAATACGAGGAACGCAATATCCCGCGTCCTGGTCCACCACACAGGTTCCGGGTAGAATTCGCAGAGGAGGACAACGAGGTGCAAGCCCAGCACACAGGTAATGGCGAGATACCACTTGCCTCTCTTCTCGATGGCACGCTTGTGGCACCACTTCTTCCACCTGTTCGTCGAGTCGTCATACGAGCTTTTGGATGGCGTGATCTGCCGGAGAAGCTTCCTAAGCTCAAGCCACGATCTCTGCTCCGCAGTCAGGTATGCGACGCCGGTCTGTTCCGTGTAAGTCCTCATGAAGACGGAGATGAACAGCGTGAGAACGAAGACAGTTGCCAGCAAGTTGAACGCGACGAAGAAGACGGCGTTTCCTTGTGAGGCCCCAAACTCGGGCTGCAGACCCCGACCAGTGATGGCCTGAGCGGCAAAAGAGACGTCAACCCAGCCCTCCTGGCTGACAATCTGGTAGAGGATGAAGGCTGACGAGCCAAAGTCGTCAAAGTTGAAGAAGGGGTTCGACGCGACCCTCGGAGACAAGAGCTCCCAATCGCTGCGGAAGGGGGTATTGTTATACTCGCCGAAGCAGTCGACCAGCTCCCGGATGCCGTCCCCGTCGTTGCAAGACACCATCCTTGCGCTAAACAGGTTGACCCCGTAGATGGCGAAGGGGATAAGGAGGGAGATGGAGACGAAGGCGGCACTGAGAATCTTCCATCCGGCAACGATGATGAGCGAGTGGAAGGTCCGCCTCGCGCTGTCGCTGACGTTGAGTAGACGGAGCGCTCTCAGGGCCTTGAACGCCCCGACGGCTCGGGAGACGGCCCCGTCATTAGTGAAGAGGGTGATGACGTTGATCCAGAGAGTGATCAGCACGACCCCGTCGATGATGCCCCATGAGCTGCGGAAGTACGCATTGGGCGTCCAGAAGAAGCCATCGGCGATGATCTTAATCAGCGCCTCGGCCGTGAAGACTATGGCAAATGCCATATCGGTCCAGACGAACCAGTTCAGGATGCTGAATTCGTGCACCATGAAGTACTCCCTCTGGTACAGCGGCGTGGTCACACAGGCAAGGACAACCATGGCCACGATTGCGGCGTAGATTATGGCCGAGAACGTGTACCACGCGTATTTGTTGGGCACGACGCCATCGAAGCGCTCGCTCCCGCGCCCCGGACCCACCAGTCGCTGGCAAAGACGCCGGAGCGGGTTCTTGGGGCCCAAGATAAACAGCGCTTTGTTGTAGTTCGGGTGACGTGTCAGATATTCTCTCTGTGCCCTTCGGCGAGCTGAGGTTGCCGTGACGGCCTGACGGGCCATCTGCCTGGGATCAAGGGTGTCGTTCGGTCCGTCGAAGCGGAATTTCGAGTAAAAAGGGTTGGGGTCGCGGCTGCGGAAGACGGAGACGATCCTGCCCCACACGGTGGAGAGCAGCCCTGGCTCGACGCTGCCCCCAGGACTTCCCTTCCCCCCGTCCCCCCCGGGGGACTGGCTTCCAGGCTGTGGTGGGGTCTGGCTCTCATCCGGCGATTCTTGGAGAGGGTCGATCGACTCGTCGAGAAACTCCCTCACAACGGCCTCTTTGAGCAGCATCTCCATGGCGGCTGGGCCGTAATCGAGCGGATCTTTCCGCTTCTTGGTCTTCCCGAAGCCAAATACTTTGGAGAGCGCCAAGTTGCTGGACATGCCGCCCAACTCTTTCCTCTGGAGGAAAGCCCTGACCTGTTCGAGGCGTTTCATGTCCTCGCTAACATCAAAATTCTCCTGGATGACAGCAATGAACATGTTTACCAGAATGAAGAAGGACAGAATGAACCAGCCGATCAGAAACATGGCACCGTACCATGCGGTTTGCAACGATGTGGTGTGTGCGGTGACGTTATAGAGGATGTCGGTCCAATTTTCACTTGTAAGAATCTGGTACATGCCGAGGAAAGAATTGAAGATGGTATTGAATGAGATCTCGGTCTCATCGCCACCCTCGTCCTGTTCCGGGATTTCGCCTCGAAAGAGCTGTGCCGCGAAAATGGCCATGAGGAAGGTTATGAGGAAGACGAAGAGCATCAAGTTGCCGATACCGCTTACGTTACCGAGGACGAGCTGGATCAGCTTCCGTGTTATGGTTATAGCAAGGACGATGCGATACGACCTAAACAGTTGGAAGACGGTGAGCCAGGCATACGCCTCGCCCGAGTTTCGTATCGGCGGGATCAAGATGATGGACGTTATGACTGCAAGCCCGAGATCCACCAGGTTCGTCATTTTGCGGTGAAAGCCCCGGAAGTCGGCCACCACGCGGATGATGATCTCGACATCGAGCGCGATTGTGACAACTATTTCTGTCGTGTTAATGAATCGTTCTCGTGACACGGGCATAGTAGCGCTCCTGAGGGCCTGGGAGAGAAGGCCGAAGGCGACGACGAGAACCCAAAAGTGCGACGTTTTGTTGTACATCTTCTGCAAGGCCGACTGTCTCCTCAGGCTGTCTTCAGCAGCACGATGTGGCATCGCCGGCTCTTCGTCAACGGCGAAAGCGCTGGCTTTGCTTTCTTCTCTGATGACCTGGAACGAGGACGTGATGACGGCAATCAACAAGTTCGTCATCCAAAGCATCATTATCATGATGCCCGCGCCGAAGAAGAGCGCAGCCGGCAAGTAGTCGGAATCCGTGGTGTAGTACATCAGATCAGAAAAGGTGTTGGCGCTCATTATCACGAAGACCAGCTCGAGCGAATGCACAATATTATCGAAATGCACCGTGCCATTATAGGGGTTGCCCATTTGGAGGCAGACCGAACCCCGAGGACAGAGGAACCCCTTGGCGCTGTTTGTGCCGTTCCGGAGGTTGATGAGAGTCCCGGGAATCTCGGGGTAAACCCACGGGAGTTCCTGACCGGTGGCATTATCGAGGTAGCCACCGCAGAATGACATATCGGGGCTGTATCCTGCCTCGATGTTATCTGGGTCTTCGGGATCGAGCCAGAGGCACTGCCGACCGAGACTGGATTTGAAGCTCTGGACGCCTATGATGGAAAACACAAGCCAGAAGAAGCCGATGAGGAACGAGACCCGGACCAGGAGGGGGGCTGCCTTCTTGAGACTTCGAAGGATAATCTGCAACGGTGGTCAGCACGGTAGCCTTCCACTCATAATACTGCTGGAAGAGTTTGGGGGGCGGGGGTTCTTACAGCGTTGCCTTTGGTAAGGGCAAGCAACCTCAGAATACGCAGGCAGCTGAGCATGCGAAAGAGAAACAAATGGTGCTGCTTCTCCAGACCGGTGACGCCAAGGACGAAAGATATCCAGAATGAGACGACGGCCACGAAATCCAGGCGATTGAAGCCATGGCGCAAGAAGGCTCGTCGGGCTAGCTGAAGCCGTTGCTGCTCCTTGACCGATCCGGTGGCCCCCTGGCCCTGCATAATGGTGAGGGACCTCGCGAAGGTCGGGGCGAAGTCATCATCCTGCCGTTGTCCCTTGACCGACTTCTGCCGCTGGGGCTTGAATATCTGCCTATACTGGTCGGCCACCTTTTGGCGCATGCTTCGCTGGTGGTCTGCAGCGACGTATTCCGGAGCGTTGACAACGAATCCGGAAACGATAATCCTGGCAATGAGTTCCATGGTGAAGACGACAAAAAGCCCAAAGACAGCCCAGTCGATACGAGTACTACCCCATCGATCGGGGCGCCCGTTGCCCTCGCGGAACACGTTTGGGGAAGCCTCTATTGCTAGCAAGACGGCCTGCAATATGATCAAGACGAGGATGAATGGTTCGGTCCACGTATTGACCAGCACATCACAAAGCCACTTCCTCAGCGGATTCTCGGGCGAGAATATGCCAAGCGAGTTCCCCTTCAGGGGGTTGGGGCGAGTCATGCGAGAATGGGTAAACGGCGGGGGAGGCCCCATGGGAATCACATACTCGGGCTCCCCCTTCTTTTCCGTCGGGGTACCCTGGAATGTCTGAGAGGGATAGGCCGTTTCTTCCAGCATGGGGGCAGAGACGTGATGGTGACGCAGGCCCTCGGCGCTGGGCGGGCGAGACCGTCCTCGGCGGGCTTGCTGGTCGATGGCCTCCCCCTCGCCGCTAATCATGACCACACGTTGGGACATGGCTCGCATAATCGACCCTGCTCGAGATAACGCGCCGGTGGCCGAGGGGGAGCGGGACCTCGTGCGACCCTCGGGACTCAGCGACATCCCGAAGCTTCGGTGACGGCTCGATCCAAAGCCGGGCTCCAAGTCGAAGCCAAGCATCTGGGTGTTGCGGGACCGGGACGGACTATTGCCCAGATCGGAAACCGTCTGGAAGCTGTCGCGACGCTGTGCTTCGTCAGGCGGCTCCAGTCCACTCATGGGCTGGGCGGCCGGCTTGAGTGGCACGCGATCAGAGTCGAACGAGTCGGTGTCGGGAACCTCCTCGTAGTACGGTGTCGTTGGTCCGTACGGAGTGCTCGAGGAAGGCATTGCCGCCGTGTTTCCGGGGAGGTGGTGTTGTCGTATGTCGGGCGGGAGAGCGAACTGCAACGCTACGTGATCGATCGGGGACTCGGGACTAACACCTCCAGAATCCTCGTAGGGCGTGTACGGGTGGTCCCAGTACGTGGAAATGCCAGGAAGATTGGCAGCCATCTGTGGTGTGGCCGCTGGGGCCCTCCCACGTTCCACACTCCCATCATGCTGTTGGTAATGCGACGACGATGCGACAGCGGGCTGTCCTCCCCCAGATTGACCCTCACGACTCGGGCTCGGTTCGTCGGGGGGCCTTTGGAGATTCCTCAAAGGTATTGACTGTGGAGGACGCCCTGAAGGGGGTTGTGTGTGATCGGGAGACGGCGGGTTGTTGTTCATTTTGAGTGACGAAGGTGAACAGACGGTATGTATAGGTAGGTAGGTAGGCGGCGGTCTATAGTTGAACGCCACTCATCCACGCAACGCGCCCGGGCGCATTGGCGCGACTGCAGCAAATCTCCGTCACGACGTTATCGAGGGCATTATCTGAAGAGACGGGTAATTGAGCGAATCCTCTTGTTTGTCGAGCGTGGGGGGCAGCCCGACTGATCGAGGAAGAGATGGGGCGCTAGAGGAGGGAATTGAAATCGATAGACTCGAATCGGCTTCGCGAATCCTGAGGCGGCGAGGTCTGGGACAGCACGGTAGACGTCGTGTGATTCTTGTTTCTTACTCTTCGTCGGGGAAGAGGACGAACAGCATGGAATTTGCAGCTCAGCCTCCCTGCCTCGCTGCCTCCCCTGTATCTAGCAGACAGTGTGGGGAATACCGTCGTGGGGTTGATACGAGAGCCAAGTACACGTACGTGTCCCACGTTCCTGGGCATCCATGGAAGCTAAGAGGTAGCTAAGAATAGGTTCATTTAATGCCCAAGTTCGGGTGACAGGTGCAGCAACAAGAGATGTTTATGAAAATAAAACAGCACTCTGTAAAAAACACTCTTCTTCTATGGCAATTGAGAAGCCTGCCTCGAAGAAACCCATCTCAGCTGAAGTATGTGTACTGTACAGTGAGGACATCGGAATTTCAGCTCACACTCATCTGAAACAGCTCCCACTGGGGTACCTAAGTACCGCAGTCGCACGTGCCGACTGTGCCGTTTGGTACCTACGATAAGAACCATTTGGTCCGTGACACAATGATGAGCAAAAATTAAGTCTCGGCGCGTCTGTCAGGACCCACGTCGCCGCCTCGCCGTCAAAGCGCGATCTTTTCTTGAACCTTATCGTTGACCCGGCCAACAAGACGGCACCCTCGTTGACGCGTATCACGATTTATCGCCAATGCCTCCTTCGGTGCTAACTTAACCCTGCCATGCGTTCCGTCGTCCTACACTCATCGCATCCCACCCGCTCCGCCTTATTCTGAGCTCAGGCCGCGTTGCTGTTTGTCTGGAAGCCGGCGTGCACCCCCTTTTGAACCCGCCCATAGCCAAACAAAATGCCGTCGGCGCGGAAGCGGACCTTGCATGAGGTCGACACTGACAATGTCGATGCTCCGAAGGAACCCTCCCTGCTACATCGCATCCGAAATATGTGGCAGTTCGCGAACCTTTGCCAATGGATCACCCTCTTCGGAAACGTGGTCAAGCTTGACGACTTCGACATCGCTGTAAGCCGTCCACTTTCAACCTTCCCATTGCTCCAAGCTGCTAAGCACTGTTCCGCGTGCAGGACCTGGAGGCCGAATGCCTGAAGCCCCATTCCACTGCTCTGCAAGACATCGGTCTCGCTTTGCTCAAGTTTCTCTCATCTCACCGCGGTCTCACGTATGTCTTCCATCCACCCATTGCCGCCACAGGTACAGGGACTGATAGCTTCCAGACACGAGTTATTCGACGAGTACACAAAAAGGCAATACCTTGCTAAGGCTCCCGGCAAGAATCCGTTCGGAGCAGACGAGGAGCCGCGCAGGTTTGCCGACTTTGATGTCTTCACAAAGGTCTGCGTGGCCACCATTCCTCCCCAATCCCTATTTTGCGACTATCAACTCACTCTAGCTTCCAGATCTGTATACTGCAACAGATGACCCAATTCGTCATGATAAATCCGGATCGGCTGCGGGAAAAGGCGGAGGAGCAACGGGACATCGATCAGACCAACTGGGTACTTTCTCCCCCTATACACCAAGTGAATTATACCCTCTTGCTTACTTTGTCATAGAGAATTGAACCGTATGGCTGGGATCGTGAGGACCGCACCTATTTTGTTCTCGACGACAATCGCCTATATCGACAATCCGAACCTCCCGCTCCGCCCGCGAGGCCAAAAAAAACGTCGAAGAAGGCCAAAGCAGCCTTGAGAGCAAGCAAGAGGCGGCGCATATCGGCTGCCTTGGCGAGTGATGCAGAGGATGCAAGGGAAGAGAGTTCAGCGGACGGTCAGCCCGCAACCGAACCCGAGGATGACGGCCTTGGGGGGATGAAATGGGAGTGTGTCGCCGTCACCCTGGATGAGGTCCGCCAGTTCTTGGCCACCATCCAGAAAACGAGGGATGATAACGAAAAGATCCTGCGCGATCAGATCCAGGACCATTTACTTCCAATCCTCGAGAAGCAGGAGGAATCAATGAAGAGGAAACAGCTACAGAGGGAAAAGGAACTGCTGAATCTTGAGAAGCTGGCGCATGCCAAGAGGTCAAGCCGCCTTGCCGGCAAGGCCGAGCAGCAAAAAATGGAAGAGCAAGCCCGCGAGGAGGAACGAAAGATACGAGAACAGGAAGTAGCTGCAAGGAAAGAGGATCAGAAACGCTTAAAGATAGAAAAGGAGCGAGACCGCCGACTAATGTCGAGAGCACATCGGCTTAGGGAACGGGAAGCCCGCCGCTTGCAGCACGAGGAGGAACTCGCTCAACTGTCTGAGGATAGCAAGAACCTCGGGGCCGCAGCCGCAGCCGGACGCATGTCGGAGCGGCAGCTCAAAGCAGAGATTGAGCGGAAGCAGCAGGCCCTGAAGGAGCTTACCGAAGAAGACGACGATTGGATGTTTGACTGTGTCTGCGGTGTCCACGGCCAGATTGACGACGGGACGCACAGTGTTTCCTGCGAACAATGCAGTGTGTGGCAGCACAGCAAGTGCCTCGGCATTGCTGAGGAGGAAGCTGAGAAGAAGGACTTCCATTTCGTCTGTGACTCGTGTCGCCGGCGGGAGCAGGCTGAGAAAGAACGGCGGCCGAGAATGATCAAGATCAAGGTCAATCGGCCCGGATCCTCGCCATCTTCGCCAGCACAAAGAGCTCCCGAGGGTAATTCGCCTCCACAGCCCAACCGAGCGTCGCAGCTCGTGGTCGAGCTTCAGTCGAGTTCTTCCCACAATGCAGGGGCTTCCTTGCCAGGCGAACTAGCCAGCCGCGATGATCAAGCTGTCAAAGAAAACGGTCCCAACGGCGGTAGTCTATTGCCACCATTTCCGCATGCTTCTGGCCACTCGTTGACGACGGCACTAAATCTTACGTCTGACCCAGAAAGCGCTACGACCATTTCCGGCACCTTGCCTCATGCCTTCGCACCAGGCGCAAACCCATTCTCTTCGCCGCATCCCACCCTTTCGCCTCCGGACCAGTCACCGAACAAGTCTAGGGCCTATCACACCATCTACGACCCATCCAGCCCCATGACATCCAACGGCCACGGGGTCCCAAACATGGGACAGCAGCAGATAAAGCAGCAGCAGCAGCCGCTTAATGGAGGGCCTATTCCCTTTGCGGTGCATCCAGAAGCAACGCCGAAGACGACTCCCCCAGCACTGTTTCCAGCCGGGGTCTCGGCCGGTGTACCTTCTGCACGCGATTTGGCGCCACAACTTACACCGAGCCAGCGTGAGACGGGGTACGACGAGAAGGCGACTCCGCTTCCGCCCTCGCGAGGTGGCTTATCGCCGACGAAACACTCACCGCCCTTGAGCCAGCAGCAGCAGCAGCAGCAGCAGCTGTTCAAGCAGGCAAACGGGGCAAATGGGATTAGTCCTTTGCATGGGGCGGCGTCATCATCCCTGACGGGTGCCAGCCCCAAGCCAACGATCTTGCCGCCAAGCGCAGCCTTGTCCCCCTCGCCGCCTCAGCAGATCCTGACACCGCCCGTCAAGCCCGCCGAACCACCAAGACCCGCTCAGCAGCAGGGTCCTCCGGGGGCCATTTGGGCGCCGCCTACGTCGTCATAGGCTGCGGGGTCTCATACCAGGCTCTGTTGCTTGGACGGGTGTCTACAGAGACAGAGTAATGGGTGATGGTCGGGGACTATTTTACGCCTGTCTCGGACTGGCCTGTGGTGTTTGGTTAGTCTGATCGGGCGGATGGCAGATGATGGGCATTTGGCATGGTGTGGGGGGTGTGAGTATCTAGATAGTAAGGGTGGATACGCATGGTCTTCCTCACATCATATGGCGTTCTGGAAACAAAAGGAATCATGGGGGGCGAATGATAGAGAACGAGGACACCCCTGCAGTGAAGAGCAGATAATGGAAATAGAAATACGTGCTCTGTGAATGGTCAGGAGGGTTGTTGTTGGGGGGCTGCTCTAGATCTCTCACCCAATTCAGGGCTTCATTGGATATCCGTCTCCCAAGGTGTCTACTTCTCCTTCCGGTGCGTGCCCTATTCCCCGCCGTTTGGTATCAGGACTATCGGTGTCCCCATGAACCACCTTTTACACAAAACCAGATCAACTCCTTACGCCCTCTCTCGTCCCTCTCTCTCTCCCTCTCGTGGGACGAGGCGCCAGAGCCAGCTCCCCAATGGCCACAGCAGGCACACCACAACAGCCATGTCTCTCTTTCTTCGCCGCCGCCGACACGGGAAACGGGTCCCCACCACATTACCATGGCACTCACCGACTCACAGCGTTCTTCCCATGCAAGACGAGCTAAGCGCCAGCCACGAGGTAGGCATGACGTGTCCCCCCCTTCGCGTTTGTGTCCGGCGGAAGCGGGGAGTGGAAAGGGCGGGTGAGAGGGCTATGAAAGAAAGAAAGAAAGAAAGAGAAAAGAAAAAACGAGATCCTGACAGCTGTGTCTTTGCTCTCTGGGGTGTGGAAGATGGCGTGGGCGGGCTGGGAAAATGACATGTCAGGTCGACGCGGTATTACTATCCATGTAAGTTGGGTAGGTCAGGTTAGATACGTAGGGGTTTGGCTCCGACGGGCGGCACGAACACTTGGTCTGAGTGTGAGACCTGTTCCGAGGTGGAAACGTGCATGATGAACCCCCCGGGACCTATGGGGAGGCCCATCAGGGGGGTTATTTGGATAAGGATCCGAGGACTCAACAATGGCGCCAGTCGTAAGAAAACCTTGGCCACTTTCGTTTATTGCCTTGATAAGAAATTTGAATACAAGGTTCAATAGTCAGTTGTATGTGTAAAGGGCGTTGTTGGAAACGGAACGATGGCCAATCAGACCCCTTAGTAGGGGAGGGACGTCGGAGGGACTTCCAGAAGGAGCGCTGAAAAACTCCATGGTCGTTTGGCATACTGCTTCCAATCCATATGGTTCTTGCATCTAGTTAAGGCTTGCAGCCCTGTCTTCACCGACACTCCAGCGAACTCCCGAGCTCCTGGCCCAGCCACCGGCATGGGCTCTGGGATTGGAAATTTGGATTTTGACTGTAATAAGGCAAGGCAAATAAGATGAGACGGTCTTGTAGGCATTCAGCAATGCCACCAGTGTCGTCGCCCCTTGGTCTGGTTTGGAGAGATGGAGGGACCTTTCATGAGCTTCCTTCTTTCCCTTTCAAGCGCCCACGATGACGGGTCCATAGGGCTGACGAGGAGGCAAGAAAGCAAGTCTTTCAATTAATCTAGCAAAGAGGACCAAAGGGACAGCTATAAATTCGCATGGAATTCCTGTCTGCTCCCTCTTGCGTGAAGTTCACCTCCTCAACCAAAAATCAGCAACAACTTCTTATGCCCTGCAGAGTAGCGACGACAACGACAGCGCGGCCATAAGATCCTAATCCCATCAAAGATGTTCAAATCAGCTTCGCCCTGCTCTTTGGCTGATATTCAAACAGTTGCAGTACGTACTTTGTACTAATGCACGTACCCGCTCGACCTTGCAGGGTTGTTGCTGTTGGTTCTAAGCCAAACACCGATTTTGGCTGGACTGTAGGGGGGGGGATACATCCCATCATCATCATCCCGACAGCTGCAGCTGCTTGCAGGAAAAGGTTGTTGCAGGGCCAAGATCCAGCACTGCGGTGAGGGAATATTCGATATTTGACCCCTGCGATCTTGCAGTCTGGGGGAGGGGGGAGCCTCCTGGGACCATCCACGAGGCCGCAAAGAATTGACAATTGGAAGAAAGGAATTCCGCAAAATTCCGCATCTGGCCTGTTAGCATGAAAGGAATGCTGGCAAAAAGAGGAAGCCAGATTGAGCCAGAGTCCCATGACCGGATGTTGGCCAGGAGATTGCTTGCGGGAGCAACCGTCAATATTGCATCCCCAACGCCCCAGATGCCAGGCACCGTATTCCTGACTGGTTCAGGGCAAAGCTGGATGTCCTGGCACCCCTGCCAAGGGCATCGACGAGTCTCTGGCATTCGAGAAGAGGATCCAAGATTTCGGTGGGGAGAAACCGGGTCTCTGCGTGAACCGGTGGAGAAGGGGAGGTCCATAGTCTTCTGCCCTGACAGGGGACCAGGCTGAGGATGCTTGCATAGGCGGGCAGGCAGGCGCAAGGGTATGCATATATCTTTTTGGTTTGGCAGGGGCTGCAGGGTAGACTCACTGCCTACCTCAGAGCTGGTTGAAGCAGAGCAAAAACCCTCAGAGAGGGAGTGCACCCTCCCGCAAATGGGAAGCTGCTATATGGACATCCTGGGTTCCCTGGGTTCCCTGGCCCGGAAGGCAGGCCAGAAGAAGGGTTGGCCCAGGTAATTTCCCTGTTGGTGTTCTGTGTTCTGTGCCGGTTCGCGGTGGCTTCTCCAAGCTCTGGCCGAAAGCGGTAACCCATGCCACATCCAGGGCCACATGCAACATCCAGCCAAGGAGTGGTGCAAAGAACGAGAGAATACAAATACGAGGCTCAGGCTTCTGCTCTCTTTTCCCGCCTTTCGCCATGAGCACCAAGAACGGGACAAAGACTGCCCACTCCACTTCCATTCAGCAGAGAGAGGTGGCACCCAGACTGCCCTGTCACAACTTAGGCCATCCTTTGCTACCGCGAGGACAAAGAAAGCGGCGTCTGTGCAGGATCCAGAAGCAAGTTGGCATCCACACTAAGAGAGGAGACGACTTTAGAGGAAAGACATCTCAAGTGAACAGCACATCCTTCCAAGACTCTTGTTCCAGAAGCGAAGGCCCGGTAGACTGAGAGCCTGCATCCCGGCTTTCTGCAACAGGTTCGTACCAGACTTCTGATGATGCACTGTTGCCGCCGACACCAAGACAAACCACTCTGATACCTCTAGCTGCAGAGCCCTCCGTGCGGTATACCTTGCTGACTCTAGAGGAGCCAGCCCACCACAGATCGCCTTGCCAGCCCGACCAGCATTGGACCTAGTCCCAGGTTTGCTCCGGCCAAGCACGATACCGCGTCCCCTGCCTGGCAGAAGGCGCACGAGCACACCTTTCAGGGACGGGCTTCAAATTGGCTTGCCATCGCCACTATCCTTCCGCCATCACGGCTACTTGGCCCTTCTCTTTCAGGACCATTCCAGATCCCCTCTCCGAGACCCAGTCCAGGTTGACACCCAGACCGTACCGGTCCCCCGAGAAGTCAAGCAGTACCGCTCCATAGCTGGTGGCTCAGGCAACCTTCCAATCGCCGCATTTCCCTTAAAACCAGCGCCAGCAGCATCAGGCCTCGCAACCCCCGTGGTCTCGGATCTTCCCAGAGCGGTTCCTCCAGAGCGCTACCCCACAAGCCACGCCTATACGCCGACAAGTCGATGATATCGGGAGCAGACATCGAAATGGTGAAAGCCGCCCCACCTTCGCCGGCACTCTCCAACAGCGACATGTTCCATGGGCTCCCGAGCAGTTTCGGCGAGTTGGCGCAGCAGCACAACACAGTCGCCTCGTACCATCGTGACCAACTCGCCATGGATTCGTTCCAGACCCAATCTCAGCCAGTGTCCAGATACTCGACGCCGGTTCCACAGGGAATGCCATACCACCACCATATGAGTTATGTTGGCGGCCATTACGTGAGAAAGACACCCGTTCCTTCGTCTCCCTGGTGATGCTGTATATCTGATCCGTCCGGCAGCCAGGCTATTCCCACCACATGCATCCCGAGGAAATGAGCCAATACGGCCCATTTCCAGATGAGATCCAGGCTGCGGTAGGTGGCTTTTTTTTTTTTTTTTTTTTTTTTTTGTGGGGGGGGGGGGGGGGGGGGGGGGGTTTTTGGTTCCGCCCCCCCGCCGGGTGGCGTGGGGGCGGGGGACAGGCCCCCCGCCAAA